ACCAAGGGATGTAAGAATAAAGAATAAGAATCCAATAATAAATGTAATGTTGTGGGGAAGAAGCTGCTCAACCAGCTGCTTTCTTGTGAGTTGCCTGAACTGTAATTAGCCCGGATTGGCTGCAGGTGGGTAAGGTAAGGGTGGGGTCAAGAGGAGACTCCAGACTCCTCCTGGTGGCTATTTATAAGCCACAGAGAGAGATGTGGAAAGAAGTAAGGAGGCAGCAGTGCCTGTTAATGGAGGATGGAATAACTGGTGGGGAGAGTTAATTGAGTTATCTACTTCCTTCCTCCCCCTTTCTGCATCCTCTCTGATCTGACAGGAAGACAGAGAAAGGATTATTACCTTTTTCGAAAGGAAACATTGAAAAACTGCACTATGCTTTGTGGGACACTAGGACTGCAACAACTTTGTCGTTTTAAAATTTTATTGTTTTGTTTTAGGTGGCTGCTTTATCTGGTGATGCAAGACGTTGCCTTGATATCTGCAGAAGGGCTGCTGAGATCTGCGAATTTCCTAGTCAGAAAAGTGTCCGTGGATTGGTCAGCATGGCACACATTATGGAAGCCATAGATGAAATGTTCTCATCACCTTATATACATGCCATTCGGTAATGTACAGTAGTACATTAGCTGTGTAACTTCTCTGCTTGAGGTCCCAGAGAGCAAATTCTGATTATCATGCTGTAGCAGCCACCTATGAACTTGTTATACAATGATTGCATCTGTATAGGGAGCACATTATTCTATAGCATCTAATCTGAAGCAAATTCCAGTGATTGATTTAATGGCTGCCACAGCACAAACTGTGTTCTAAAATTTTAGTGTAGCAAAACTAATTTAGTGGTTCAGTACTAACATGTCAAACCAGTTTGTGCTAGCCTGTACAACTCATATCCTTGTTTCAGCTTCTGCTTGCTACGTTGTTGAAAGTGGCAGAATTAGGAAGCTCAAATGTTAGGATATACAGGTGCGCGCTCTCTCTATTTGGATAGAGCGACACTGAGAATTGCAATTGTAAAATTAAAAATTTCAAATTACAGAAAGTTCTCTTCTGACAAAATGAACAACCTTTGTATGCTGGGTATTTGTAGTTCTTTCAGACCTATGGTTAATTAAACTTTCTGAATACACATTTTTTAGACGCAAATACCGTTACATCAGAGGTTTAGACGCTGCTTTTCAGGCCAAATCATATCTGTTACACAGTAAAATATATCACTAATTATATATGACTAATTAAGCTTTGGGGGCTTTTTGTTCTCTTTCAGGAACGCTTCACTGTATGAGCAAATTTTCCTAAAAGCAACCATTGCAGAATTTCGCAGGTCAGGACTGGAAGAGTCTACAGTTCAGCAGGTAATCTAAAAATATTGCATGTTGAATTTGTTTACTATCTCAGCCAGAATGCTTTAGCTATATTCAAAGAGTGCACCTTTGACTGTTGCTATGCACATATGTAGGTCATTGCAATTTAACCTATTGTACACGTAGGCTACAATTCACATATATGCATAGATAAAAATTTCCATGCTTTTTGCTTTCGTTAGTTTAAAATATTATATGCCTCTTCTTGGGGGGGGGAAAGCTCTCTCAAAATGACTTCTAACAATCAATATACAATGTAAGTCACAAAGCTTCAAATACAGTAGAACCATAATACTAAAAGGTAAGCTCAGATGTTGCAATTGTACAGTAAAATTGAAAAATTACAGAAATCAAACCAGTAATAACATTAAAAGAATATCCAGCCCACCTTTTTTTAACCTCTTCCTGTTCAGCTATCTTATTTAAACTCATAAACCTGTTTTATACTAGCAGGGAGTGCCTGGCACTGTGTGGGAATTTGTAGAAATGAAAAAAATATTGTGCTATTTAAATGGATAATGCAATTTGTGAGTGTGGATCGCCATGCCAAAATCAGGCAAATCACATTTGATTCTGCAATCTTGATTCAAGATTGTGCCTGGCATTCAAGTGGCGATGAAGTCTGGCACCCCCACCTTGGGAATCCCTGTGGCCGAGTTTGGCAAAGATATTGCCAGAGGCAGCTGAACCTATGCCAAAAAACATGTGCAAAGTCATGCCAAAGTGATGTTTTGGTCCACCATCTTGATTCAAAATGGCATCTGGTGTCCAAACATTGACAGCTGCAACCCCCGTCTTGGAAATCCTCGTGCTGTGTTTGGTAAAAATACCTTGAGAGGTGTGTGAACTTGTTGACAACAGATGGATGGACAGACAAACCACTTTCCAAAATATATCATAGATGTTGAAAACAAATCAGTTTACTGGATGGTGGCTGTAATAATAAAGCAGTCACAGACTCAGTATGGGGAACTTATTTAAAAACTTGTGGTTCAGAATATACAAATGTTGTATAAAATAAAATGGTACTGGTTTGAATTCTATTAGCAATTGTTCACCATTGAACCTCAGTACTAAATGCATAGGGAAAATGTGCTCTACTACTATTGAGCTATAAATATATATAGTGGTTCCTCTGGTTACAAACTTAATTTGTTCTGGAGGTCCATTCTTAACCCAAGGTACCACTTTAGCTAATGGGGCCTCCTGCTGCTGCCACACAATTTCTGTTCTCATCCTGGAGCAAAGTTCTTAACCCGAGATACTACTTCCGGGTTAGCGGAGTCTGTAACCCGAGGTGTTTGTAACCCGAGGTACCACTGTTTATAACTTATTGGTTTCCATACTTTTCCAAGAAAGGAAGGAGATCACTTATTCGCTTTGATGCTTCCTGTGTTTTCATAAACCAAGTCCCACTCCCCTTTTTTTGTTTCTTTAGATATTTCATCAGCATGTTGCATTGTGTAGAATTGAAGGCCTGCAAACTCCTACTGTATCAGACGCACTGGCAGTTGTGTCACGGCTTAGTGCCTATAGACTCTTGCTAACAGATTCTAATAGTAAATATATCCACATGCGAGTTCGACTTAATGTTAGCCAGGATGATATCATGTATGCACTCAAAGAAGATTAAAGCAACAGAGCACCCGTTATTGGTACATGTATTGTGATTAAAGCTTGAACATTCATGTTTATTTAATTTGTTTTGAATTTTCTTTTCATATACCTTTGTATTATAACATTTGTAATTGCGCTTCTAAAATAAATCTGTTTTCTTCAGCTGTTCAGAAGGTTTCTATTTTATTAAACTTCTTTCAACTTTCCTAAAGCTCAATTCAGCAGGGGTTTTTTTCTGATCAGGAGCATCCGTTATGAGCTAATTCACTGTCCTTACCTTTCATCTACTCCCTGGTTTTCAACAACTAATTTGCTGGGACAAACTAGAATTTTGGAGAAGGCAGAGAATTTTGGCAGCTCAGTGATAGAGCCAGGGTTTTGCGTACAGAAGGTCCCAGCTTTAGCCCCTGGAAACTCAAATCCTCTGTTACTGGATCCTTTTAATTGGAAAAGCCTCTGCCTGAAACCCTGTGTGTGTTGTTTACTAGTCAACATACAAAAGCAATACTGGGCTAGGTGGAGAAACAATCTGACTTGATGTAAGTCAGCTACCTAAGTTTCTTTGACATCCATGTTAGCAAACTGCTTGACTCTAACATCCGAAATATATTTTGCAAACATACATCAGATTGTGGTTGGAGGCAAAGTGCTAATATCAATTTGTCAATTGTTTGGGCTGCCCCTAGCACCAGCACCATGGTTCATCTCAGTGGGCCACGGCCTACCATGCACCATGATGCACCCTGTGACATAGTCCCTTGCCTGGTGAGCCTCTGTGTTCATTGAATACTCCATGACATGGACACTACTGATACTAAAAACAAATTTTGAAAAGCTCACTGGATTAAAACAAAAGGGGGGAACCTTGGCTCTTGGCTGTGGTTTTGCCTGCCTTGAACGGAGAATGTATCATCCTTGTCTGGACAGAGAGATGTGTGAGTGTGTACAGAAACTAGCCTATACAACAAAGGTAATATTTGCCAGTTTTTCTTCTGACTTTGCTTACCGCTGCCATGCAGCCCCAGAAGGGAATATGGCCATTTGGCTGTGAAGTTCTCCACTCCTGGTGTAAATAGGCTGTTTTATGAACATTAAAAGTTACCACTGCAGGATATCAGAGCAGCAGAGGAAACCAGATGGCATTTTATACACCCTTTGGATGAGTTTTATAGGAGGTGAATATATGCAATGTCATCACATCTATATGCTCATAATTGTTGAAGTAGGCAGCTGGTTAGTATTTTCCTGTTGAGCAGAAATTGCTGTTTTTAAAAATTGGGCAGTGCGATTCAATACTGTAAAAAACAATGGCTCTTCAAGCAACTGCTTAAAAACCATAAATAAGTGGTTCCAGCACTGCATTTCAGTAGTAAGAGGGAACACTGGAAACTGCCTTGCATCGAATCAGACCAATTGGTCCATCTAGCTTAGTACTGATTACACGGATTCAGCTCTCCAGGGTTTCAGGCAGGGAATTTTTCCCAGCCCTACCTGGAGATGCTGGGAATTGAACCTGGAACCTTCAGGAATGGCCATACTGATAATACTGTTAATCTCCAAACTGATGTAGCTACCGGCAGTGGAGGCACATCAACTGGAAATCTGAAAACACCTCCTAGGCTGCAATTGTACACAGCTTTACCTGGGCAAAAGTCCCACGAGTGGACACGTGTAGCATTTCACGGAAGCTGGTTACGGAGGAATAGGAATGCCTATGAATAAACTAGATTCTTACTTGAGGGACCGCAGGTTCAAGAGAACCATCCCTATTTGCATTTTCTGGTGGGAAAAGAAAAGACAAGTGCAAAAACCAGCCAGTTATGCAGGGTGAAGGCAGGACGAGTGGTATAATATATTTTTTTAAAACACAGGTGTATTTGGATTGCAGCGTGTTCGCTTGGGTTCTCGGCCATCGCTATCCCGCGCGCGCGCTCTGGCTCTCCTTCCGCCTCATAGCTCCACCCCTTTTAGCCTCTCCCTTTTTATAAATAAATAAACCTCCGCGCCTGCGCGTTGCTGGGCCTCTTGGTGCAGCCCCTAGCAGAGTCGGAGTAGGCGGGGAAAGTTCTCTCCTCTCTGGGTCCGCGGCTTCCTGTCTGCTGCGCTGGAGCCCGTCGGCTGCGGCAGGAGGTGAGCTCGTGCCTTCGGGCGCCGCCCGTCTCGGCCGGAGGGATAGTAGGGCAGCGCTGTCCCCACCGCGATAGGGCTGAGTAGGGAGGCAGCTGCCGTGGTTCCTCCTCCTCCTCCTCGGTGGAAAAGGGTTGTTGCTACCTGAGCCTCAGAGCATAACCCAGCTCCTCCCTCTTCCTAGCCTTCTCTGGCGCGGTTGAGCCCTTAGAAAACAGGGGTGTGTGTATGTGTTGTGTGTGTGTTGTGATCATTGGCGAGCTGAAGAGCCTAGTTTTCTGTTTGACTCAGCGTGGTGTCCATTCACACATGCAGGCACGCCATTCGACTCGTAACAGAACGCCTGAGCAGCCTTTGTGGAAGCGTCCTGCATTTGATGTCAGCTGGCCGTAGCGGCGGGGGGCATCTGTGGTGGTCGTTTCATACACGCAAGCCATTTATGTAGTCGCTGGCGATTAAGGTGTCCTTTGGAGTTAATGGTCCTGGAGCGGGGAAGGGGGCATGTCAACACAGCTGAGCCCAATTGGTGCCCCAAAGGAATAGTAACTTTGCAGGTGGATATCGCTGGCCCTCGCCTTGGCTTGAGCTGCAGTTTAATTTGAGCCAAGATTAGTCTTGGAACTGGTTTTGAATGCAAGAGCTCATGTGAGGCATGTGAAATTAGGAATAAAGGGAGTTTTGTAGGAGGATCTGCTCTATCTCAGAGTGTAAATATCAAGGCACACCTACACATCTGAGTCGATCTTTGCGTTGGGTCACATCACTGAGATTCCTTAACTGGAGATGTTGGGATAGGGAGCCCTGTTGGATCAGACCAAAGACCCATCTAGTCCAGCATCCTGTTCTCGCAGTGGCCAGCCAGATGTCCAGTGGGAAGTTTGCAAGCAGGGTCCCAGTGTAACAGCACTCTCCCTCCTTGAGATTCCTAGCAACTGGTATTCAGAGATATACTGCTTCCAACAGTAGAGGTAGAACATAGCCATTGTGGCTGGTAGCCACTCATATTCATGAATTTGCCTAATTCTCTTTCAAAGCCGTTAAAGTTTGTGGCCATCACTACATCTTGTGGGAGTGAATTCTATAGTTTTAACTGTGTTATGTGAAGAAGTGCTTATTTTGGTCTGTGCTTAACCTTCCAGCATACAACTTCATTCGATGTCCCTAGGGTTCTAATATTATTTATTGGGGGGGGCACTTCCCTATCCCCTTTCTTCACAACATTCATAAACTTAAGCACCTCTATCACATCCCAGTTTACTCTCCTTTTTTCTAAACTAATATGTCCTAAATGTTGTAACCTTTCTTCCTCCAGCCTCTTGATAATTTTGGCTATCTTTTTCTGAATCTGTTCCAGCTCTACAATATCCATTTTTGAGATGAGGTGACTAGAATTGTACTTAGTATTCCAAGTGTGTGTCACCATAGATTTGTATAATGGCATACTTTTATTTTCCTTTCCTATTGATCCCTAACACGGAGTTCACATTTTTCACAGATATTGCACACTGGGTTGAGCTACCCACTATGACCCCAGGCTCTCATTCCTGGTCAGTCACCACCAGTTCAGACTCCATTAACAAATATGTAAAATTAGGAATCTTTTGTCCCAATGTGCTTCACTTTACAGTTACTTACATTGATTTGCATTTGCCACTCTACTGCCTACATACTCAGTGTGGAGAAATCCTTTTGCAGCTCCTTGCAATCCTTTCTAATTTTAACAGCCTTGAACAATTTGGTATCATCAGCAAACTTGACTACCTCACTGTTCATACCTTCCTCTGGATCACTAATGAAGAAGTTAAAAAGCACAGAATCCAATACTGATCCTTGCGGGGCTCTGCTTTCTAGGAGAACTGTTCATTTTCCTCCTTTAGTACACCTTTGACTCCTTTGTCATACAAAGGTCAAGCTGTTTCCTTAGCTGCCTTCAGTCGTGTCCGGGGGGGGGAGGCAGGATATTATTATTATTATTATTAATAATAATAATAAATCAGTCTCCTGCTACTAATGCATGTTTTTCTCGTAGTTTTTGTTTTTAGCAATGTGCTCCTTCCATTCCTTTTTGCATGCATTGCTTTCCACTTGAAATTCTTTTCCCAAGGTGTGTGTTTCTTTTTGTTCTTCTCTTGGACAAGAGTTTCATTTTCTAAAGGAAGCCTTCTTGCTTTAATGGCTTCCTTGACTCTGCACACCTCAGCATCCTCTTGGCACCTTCCTTGATTCGAGGTATACATTCTGAATGAGCTTCTGTTGTGGTGGTTTTGAACAGCCTAAAGCATTCTAAAGAGATTTGACCCTCTTCACTTTGTCTTTCAACTTCCTTTTTACTATTCCCCTCATTGGGGAGGAAGTTTCTTATTTTGAAGAAAAATGTTACTGGTTTGAATTAGTGAATTATTGAACCTCAGTACAGTGGTGCCCCGCAAGACGAATGCCTCGCAAGACGGAAAACTCGCTAGACGAAAGAGTTTTCCGTTTTGGAGGTGCCTCGCAAAACGAATCTGCTATGGGCTTGCTTCGCAAGCGAGTTCCTGGGTTTTTTTTTCCCTTTTCCCCCTCTTTTTCTAAGTCCCTAAGCCGCTTATCTGCTTATCCGATAAGCTGATAAGCTGCTAAAAGCCGCTAAAAGCCGCTAAAAGCCGCTAATAGCGCTAATCCGCTAATCCCATCAATGGGCTTGCTTCACAAGACGAAAAAACCGCTAGACGAAGAGACTCCCAGAACGGATTCTTTTCGTCTTGCGAGGCACCACTGTACTAAATGCATGCAAAAAAATGTGCACTGCTACTATTGTGCTATAACCCCACTTCTTTCCTTGCCAACCCCCCCCCCCAAAAATCTGGGAATACTGTGGTACCTCTGTTTAAGAACAGTCTGGTTTAAGAACGATTCGGTTTACAAACTCCGCAAAACTGGAAGTAGTTTGCGAACTTTACCTCAGTCTAAGAATGGAATCCGAATGGTGGAAGGGCACCGGTGGCAGGAGGCCTCATTACAGAAAGTGTGCCTTGGTTTAAGAACGGTTTCGGTTTAAGAACGGACTTCCTGAACGGATTAAGTTCATAAACCAAGGTACCACTATAGTCCGTTGGCAGGACTTCCTGCTCAGTGGATATGGTTTGTAGACAACATTGAGATTAAGGCTGCCCTTCATTATTTTATTTTATTAACTGTTGGGTAGCCATAATCTAAATGGTAGCAGTGACTTGTTTCCATCTATTTTGGGGTAGGGAGCTCAGGCAATAAAGATCTTCTAGAAGCCAAAGTGACCAGCTTTTCCACTCATATATTGGCTATAGGAAAGTGGTGGGTGGGAGAGAATGACAAACTGCCTTCTAGAATAATATCTAGCAGATGACGGCAACAAGCTGGTATCATATTTTTTTTAATTAAAGTTTTTTTTCATTTTGTAAAATATAATGGGATCGACATGTATAAATCCACAGTGGCAAGTTACCTGAATACCAAGCTTGTATCTTTTTGACCTTGTTTCCAGTCAAGGTAGTTTCCATGTTCTAATTGAGAATGCTGTTCTTGTCTGTTATGTTTGGGTATTATTGTCTGTAGGTAACTTTTGTGGACTCAGCAAAACCATAAGCCAAGATGCTTGGCAGAAGACCCAAGAAAAGCCCCCAGGTGAAAGGTCAGGCAGCTGCTGCTGCAAAACAGGTATGTGTATATATATATACATGTCTTCTCCCAATTCTGTATGTACTTGTTAGAACAGTTTAAACTTTAAGTCCATTTGCTTAGCACAAGTTGTTATGTTACTATGATTCAAAGATTCTTTGGAGTGTATTGTACTTTTGTATCTGTAAGAATAGAGAAGCAGTGCCTTTGATTACCCATATTTGAGTTGCTTCAGGAATTCACTTGCAGATTTTGCTCCAGAAAGACTTGAATTATACAAGTATCTCATCTATCCTGTACTTTGCAATGACAGGCTTCCTTAGAATTAAACCAGGTCTGACAGATGTCCAGCCAATACTTCTTATGAAAAACTGTACCTCTGCTAGGTGCTTTATCCTTGAAGTCTGTGCCTTGTGACCTGATGAGTCATTGTCTGATTAGCCTTTTAAGTTCCCATCAGAATTTCCTGCCAGCTCTTGGATGCTGGGGAAACATTAAAAGGCAGGGTAGTTTAAGGAGCAAGCAGCAGCCCTTTGAGAGAAGCAAACAGAAAGTTGGAATGCTTGACACCTACTGAACAAACTTGGTTTCCTTCTCCGTTGTCATAAGTCTTGCTGGCAGTGCCAGGCGATTGCCTCCGCAATCTAAATAAGTGTTGCTGTTGCATGTTACAGGTAATAGAGCTGGGCGGTATCAGCGGCAACTGCACTTCCCTCAGCTAAGCAGTTTCACGGAGCCCCCACCCCACCGCCGACTCACAGGAGCCATCACCAGACTGGGGGCTCCTTAAACTGCTCGGCTGAGGTAAGGGCAACTGCACACTCCTCAGTCAAGCAGTTTAAAGATACAGAGGGAGGAACAAGCTGTATTGGCACCTCTCAGAGTGCAGTGGTGGTTTCACTCAGCGATATGTAACTTGTGAAATCGCCACTTCTCTTGAGTCCCTCTGCTAGCAGCGCCACTGGAGGAAGGAACTCTAGCGGGCGCTGCTAGCAGAGGGACTCAGGACCGGTGGTAGTTTAACCAGCAATATACCACTGAGAGAAACTGATATCACGGTTTGCTCCTGGGCGATACATCACTCAGGCCTAACAGGTAACTTAGGTACGAGTGTTCATATAATAAATGAAGAGGGCAAAAGTAGTTAGTACTTAAAAGCAAATGCATATGGAATCAGAGCTGAGAGATGCCACAATGCTGCCCAGGGCAACCTCCTCTATGAAACAGGATCTGCCATGATCAAAGAACACGTATGGTTTAGAAAAGTGCTAGCTGAACAAACTCATCCATGCAAGGAGGAGACATTGCATGCTGCAGAAGGAAAGCAAAACCTTCCAAACTTGCTAGCCAGCCTAGCCTTATGGAAGAGAGAACAGGTCTTGTTTCTCTAGAATGTGATCCTTATGAAAGGAAGTGTCACATTTCCAAGCCAGTTGCAAGATCTGAACCCTTCACGAGTCAAAGAGTTTCAAAACACTGATTAGAAAACAAGAGGGAAGCAGTGCTGCAGGGTAGAAGTGCCAAAAGCAAACCATCAAACCAACGATTTAGAACTGTGCACTGTCATGACTGGAAATTGCATTGGGAGCTTGTATGAAGGCTACCTGCTTCAGGATTTATTTATTTTTGTTATATTTTTAAATCTCACATTTCCTCCAAGGAGCTCAAGGTGGTATACATGCTTCTCTTCCTTCCCATGTTATCTGCACAACAACCCTGTGAGGTAGATTATGCTGAGATACTGCAACTGGCCCACATTCACCCATTGAGCTTCATGGCTGAGCGGGGAATTGAACTTTGGTCTCCCAGGTCCTGGTCCAGTGCTTTAACCACTACACCGTACTGGCCCTACAGACTTATCTACTTCAATGCAAGCACAGCAGTGAAGCCGGGAAGTGAGGATGTAATGATTTGGACAAGGCCAGTGAGTGTGTTCCTCTTCTCCCTCCTTATGTGATGTGGGTCAGCACCCAAATAGGGATATACTCTTCTGTGTTTTCCAGAGTAAGTCAGAGCAAGCCTTCAGAGAATCTGTTTGCAAGATGGCTTGGTACTAGATGATTTTTAAAAGAATAATGATCTTGAATGCAACTTCCTCCTTATGTTGACAGGTAGGAAACGGGCAACAACAAACTTTTTGTTTGGTTGTTAACCCAGTGGTATGTGTTTTTGTTAGCTTTCACAAGCTAAATGGGAGCGCTATGACACAGCAGCATCAAATCAAGGAAACAGCTTGTTTTTTGAGTTTTTGTGGGTTCTGTTGTAGAATAAAGGAAAGCACACCCTCAATTCACTCATGGAACTTGCCAGATCAGCAGGGCCTTACTGTTTGAGAGTGTATCCAGCATTCCCCATGCCTGACTATTGCAAGCAAAGGTAGATAGTGGTGGGCAAACTGTTTTTCACAGGAGCTTGTGTTGCATTACTGATCTTCTCATCATGGAACACTTGATGAACGTCAGAGCAAACCCAGGGATCTGAAAGCCACTGAGCTAGGATTATTCATGGGCACTGTTACAGGGGCCACATAACAAATAGATATTTTAGTGTGTCAGCACCTGCACTTTGGAACTTATTGTTGACACCACACAAGTGCCTTCCCTGTATTCTTTTCACCGCCTGCTTTAAACATTTTCGTCCCGAGATGCCTGTCTGCACATGTAAAAGTTATATGTGTTTTATCAGTTTTTAGCTGCTATGGGTTTTAACCCATCAGCTTTCAGATTTTAAAACATACATTTTTGTGTGTGAGAATTTTAATGTTTTATATTTTTGTAAACTGCTTAGAGCTTTTCTTGCAATCAAGTGGTATATTCATTTTGTCAAATAAATACATACATACATACATACATACATACACGTTGGGCCTCAGATAGGCAGGGGGTGTCCAAAAGAGTTACTCCATTTTCTATTGCTCCATATAGGCAACTCAAAACTTACAATTGTGTTCATTTGGGGTTGCTTTAGCATCCAAGTGGTGGATCAAAAGCAGCTATTCATCATAAATATTATTTCTCTCTATTGCCCTTGCGTTACGACTGAAAGGTTGAAGAGATATTGGGAGGAATTCAGTGTCATGATTTTCCAGTTGTTCCATCAGCTCAAGCATTTGGCTCGCTTCCTCACCCTGTGTGCTGTTCCAGAGGTTCTCCAACCCCACCCCAGCCAATTTGGGGAGGGGAGAGGGGAGACGTATTGCACAAGCTTCTGCTGATTGGACTCATTAGTTGGATCCCATCCATTTATTTTTTGTAGTGCTTTTAGGCTACTAAATTTGTGTCAGGCAAAGGATTATAAAATCATGTATGTTTTTATGTTTTAGAACAAAACTGGGCATGCAGAAATTTATCTGTGACAGCTTGTATGTTGTTTAGATTTCTATAAAAGACTTAAGTTCCCTGGGTACATTAGATGATGGATAGTACCTTCTGAACTTGCAGAAGTTTCAATTTGCCAGTTTTCCGATGTTAGAATGAAAGTGGCAATTTGGTACGCTCAGTTAAGCCTGGTAACTTACACATCAATGGCACACCTAAGCCATCTTCAGGCATTGCATTCCACAAGTTACCAGGTGAGAGGGGGCAGCATGGATGGGTGCTCTATCTCTCTCCCCGATTTTGTCTCTTTCCATTTCATGGAAGGTGACAGTCTGCAGTGGAGAGCCACTTTTTGTGTCGGTGTTTCCAAAATAGGTGGCACTTCATGGATCTGAGAGGCTCCCCACCTTAGATAGTCACAGCCTACAAGTTGGAAGGTGACAAAAACAGGGTTGTTGAGCTAGTGCACCCTACAAGTAGTCAGTTCCCTGGAATGTGATGCCCTGAAGGGGTCTTAAGACACATGAAGTTCAGTGGAATCTGAAAGCTGGTGCAGAATTCTGAGACTCCAACACGTTTTGATTTTTAAACTATATTTCTAGCCCTTTCTGTTATGGAGAGAACTATATTTCAAATTAAGGTAAAGTGTATGATAGACACCAGTGTCTTCTTCCTTCTCCAACGACCAAAATATGCAATTTCCTAACACGTATGACTTTCCTTATTGGTACACTGTTCTTTTCCGAACAGATTCATACTTAACAACAACCAAAAATCCAATTCTACCAAGAAAAAAGCATTCCAACTGAAAGCCAGTTCTAATCAGAGTGTTGGACCAGATTCAAACTACCCCTCAGCCATGAAGCTTTCTGGACCAATCGCTGTATCTCAGCCTAACCTGATTCCCAGGGTTTTTGTGAGGCTAAATGTTGAAAGTGAAATTATGTACACCACCACACTACCCTGAGCTGCTCAGAGCAGAATTACAGTGTAATAAATGTAATGGATAAAGAATACAAAGGTTTACATTATTTATTTTCAAAGCTTATTAAAATCTGGGTATAATCTTAATTGTTTGTTTACATCTATGTTATGGCTGTAATATCAATCCTATGTTTTAACTGTTAACTCCAGTAATGTCACTTGTGTTTATGTTTGTACTGTAATTCAGTTGTTCCAATTGCTTATATCCTTCCTGAATTTTGGCTGGTTGTAAAGAACACATCAAGGTTTAAAATGCATATATATTTTTGAGCTGGGGAAAAACATAAAGTCCACCTAATTTTGCATAATATTGTAAACGTAATCTTGGCACATAACTTAAGCTTTTTCTTCAAACTTGAATTTGGTAGCTTCAGTTTGTCAACATCATTGTAGAGCTCATGTGATCTGGAAATCTTAACAAATCTCTAGGCAGGTGATCTTCATTTTTATAATCTAGGGCTGAGGCCAAGGCAGAGAAGTTAACAAAGCCTTGGTTCAGAGCAAACAACACCTGTGCTGGTCTTTCTGATGAATGACCATTGTACGTAACATGGAGATTATATGGCAGTTGTCTTAAGCCTCCTCACTGAGCTGGTTTCTCTCTTGGCATCAGCTGGGACTTTTCGTAGAGTTCAATCCTGAAGAGATGATGCTAGATCTGGAGGATGACGGGGACCTAGAAGCAGAACTAGCTGCTATCACTGGAGAGAACTTGCCTTCTGGGAAAACAAAACCCAAAGGAAAAAGTAAGCATGTGCACTGGAAACTTTGAATTGTTTAAGGTAATTAGAGGTTGCATTTGTACTTTTTGCCTTTGCGATGTAACTGATAGTTAAGAGCCCATACACAAGATGGAATTTTTTTTTGCAGTACTGTACAATCCTATATAGCAGAGATGGGGAACCTTTTGCAGCCTGTGAGCTACATTTCCTCATAGGCAGTCTTCTAGGGTGGTGGGTGGAACCAGAGGCAAAAATGAATGGAGCAACAGGTGTAACTCTGAACTTTTTAGAGTACATTCAACCATGCAAAAGGCAGAGGTTTCTACCTGCCCTACCCCCAATCCCCCCCCTTCCAGGTAAACATGAGGCGTTATCACAGTTAAAGGATGCATTCCAGCCAATGAAAAGCCCTTGAGGAGGGTCAGTAAAGGGTGTGGCCTGGGGAGAGTCCTGAGGGCTGTATTTGACCCCTGGACCTTAATTTTCCCACCTTTGGTATACCTGTCTGCTGAAAAGTAAACCCCTTTGAGTTCTTCATTCCAGGGAGGGGATTGCAGCCTACCTTTGTTACTGGATCTGTAGGGAGCCAATCAGAATGAGAAAATAAAGCTACTCTTGTTCAGACACAGTGGAAATTGGTAACCTGAAGAAGTATGATGCATATGTTGTTACATGTTATTGTGACAGTATAATCAGATGTTCTTATTTATTTACTTAATTATTTACTTACTTTTGCTGGGTTTCTAGTAATACAAGTTCTTTGGATGACATGTAACAGCTAAGTGTAAAACAGAAGTACAGGGGTACCTCGGGTTACATACGCTTCAGGTTACAGACTCCGCTAACCCAGAAATAGTGTTTCAGGTTAAGAACTTTGCTTCAGGATGAGAACAGAAATCGTGTTGCGGCAGCGCAGCGGCAGCGGGAGGCCCCATTAGCTAAAGTGGTGCTTCAGGTTAAGAACAGTTTCGGGTTAAGTACGGACCTCCGGAACGAATTAAGTACTTAACCTGAGGTACCACTGTAAAGCTTAAGCATAGAATAATATAAACAAACATAGAACAGTACAAACAAGTTCAGTTTTTAAAAACAAAGGTAAACCAGCCTTATCATGTGCAAAAGGCTAAGAAGGGAGTAAAGACTAACCAGCCACTATTAAAACAAAGACCACTCATTGTTAAACAATAATTCAAGTGATATATATATATATATATATATATATGTATATATATATGCATGCATGCAGGAGAGCATATGATGTTGGACTTGTATATCTCCTTGCTTGCCTTTCTTGCTGTTTTAATTTTATACTTCTGTAGTGATGTAGAATGAGACAGGCTGAAATTGGTGTGGAAGCTATAGTAACAAACAGTGAAGTGAGCAACTGGAGTCAAATAGAGCAGTTGAGAAAGAAAATTGGGCAGATGGCTGAGCATGATGAAGGCGATGATGATACAAAAGTGGGAGGGGATGAGCTGTATATACAAGCTTTAAGACTCATGACTGAGAGTTTAAAAGATAACAGAAGAGGAGTGGACTGACACTGAAATGATGTAATAGTGATCATTCAGCAGAGTCATTGGGATATATAATAGATTGTTGAGGACCAGGTTTTATATCCCTGCTCAGCCAAAGGTATTGTTAGTTTCTTGCTCTCCTGCATTCCCCATTTGTAGAAGGACCATAAAGTCACTGTGTCCCAGGCTTCTGGTGGAGACAAAAAAGGCCTGACCTGTAGTGCACTTTTCACATCAGAAGTGCTTCATAAATGATGATCGCTTTTAAAAAGCAACAACAACCACCTGTGTATAATCACTCCACCTGTCCTATCCTATCCTATACAGAGATCCTGTATTGCTTGGAATTCTGCTTGGAAGATTAGGTCTAAGTCAAAATAACATTGTGTGGCCATGCATCTTTGTACTTCTGGATGAAAACTTTGGAAGATCACTGTGTTACACAATAGGCTGGTTCATACAGAACACTAACCCATGGTTTAGCACGACAGAATACGTCCATTGCACACTCTGCTTTGCTTCTTTCACGGCGTTTCGTTTCTCTTTCACCCTGACTTAATGTTATGCACAAACCAGAGATCACAGGTTTTAGTGCTACATAAGCGAGCCTCGTGTCAGGCATGTACACCCCCCTCCCCCTTCCTCCTCCCATCCCATCCAATAGTAAGATTGATGCCAAGTTTACTTTCATTTTCAAAGACACTTGGTTTTGGGGGGAGGTTTAGGCTTGGTTTGCTGAAGATGTGTTTTTATTGGCCAGGTTTATTTCCTAAATTGACTGTTGAGACTTTGTTTCCTATAATAGCTTAGGAGTGGTGCAGAACAGGGGTCACCAACCTTTTTGGACCAATGGGCACCTTTTGAATTTTGGAAGAGTGTTTTGGGTGCCAGTCACAATTTGCCTGCCACGGTGCACATAGTTTAACAGAAAATTTAAGAGAGCACAACCATTCTTCCTCACCACATCATACAGTATTGATTATGTACTCACATTCAACCATTCTGTTGTTGTGTAATAACAACAGTTAACATTCCTCGAATGACCATGTTTCTTTCTCTCTCTCTCTCTCTCTCTCCCTCTCTCACGCGCGCGCACACACACACACACACACACACACACACACCTTCAGAAAAGCCCCTCCATGGGAGAAGGAAGTATCTGCAATTGTGGGGGGGGGGAGCAATTTCTCTCCTTGCACCCTGAAACAAAATACACAACAATAACATAAAGTCCACAAACTTGATACCCACAGTCACCAGTTTCATGATCCCTACATAAAGAAGGAAAGCAACGTGATAGAAAGTTTAGTTATAACTACTTAATGTCTTTTAATTTTTTACTGGCTAAAACCAACAAAGTGGCCAAGATGAATCTTTAAAAAACCTGCCACAATGTTAGGGTCACAGTAATTGTTTGTCTGAACCTTAGGGTTCCTCCCTTAGGATCTCCTTTTTAATTGTGTTCTCCAGCTCCCCTGCCTATGGATCATATTGAAAAGATGGCCGCTGAGTGCATGAAGGACTTGGATGAAGATGATGATGAAGGTCTGGAAGAAGATACCGAACTTTTGGTATATATGGGATTCCGTTGCAAGGCTGTTTTTCTTGGTGTAAAGGAAGAGGCATCATCCCCTTATAGGAAAGACTGCATGTGATAACACTCCAAATTCTTATGGGTCTGGAACACTGAAAGGGAGGTGCAAGCAGTTCTTCCTAGTAATTGGCTGTAACCATTAAAGCACAGAAATTTCCAGAGAGCAACGGCAGGTGTGTGGGTTTCACCTTTCCTGCTTGGTACTGGCTCTGTTTCCTCAGGCTGGAGTAGAAGTGGTGTCTGTTTGTAGCTGCCAGAGGGGAAAGAAGAAACTTGTCTGGAAAAGAAATTGTGACATTCCTGAGGTTTGAACTGGGCTGCAGGTGAATTAAATTTAGAAGTTGTTCCATAATGTTTGAAGAGATAGTAGCATCTGGCAGTACTACTGGTGAACTTCATGTGCACCAAGACCCACTCACACAGGTTTCTTAAGGATCCTGGGAAATCAGGCTGAAAACTTACTACCGTATTGGCCTGAATATAAGCCGCACCCAAATATAAGCCACACCTTTAAAATTCATTGGGGAGGGGGAGAAAAAAAGATAATACCTGAATATAAGCCACTCCCTTAAAATTATGCAGAACACCCGTTCTGTTTTACCATATGTCTGTTTCAGCAGCAATATTGTAAAAGCCAATTTTTGTAAGGTCGCGAAAATAAGCCGTACTTTAACTTTTCACAGTCAGCATTTGGGAAAAAAGTGAGACATATTCAGGCCAATATGGTATTTCTCTTGGGAGTTGTTTTTAGAACTGCTTTGCACGCCCTAAAGTGATTGTGTCCTACCACACATGATCCTTATATTAAAATCATTTCCATATTCTTTAATACAAGGCTGGGAGAGGCAGGAGGAAATCTTAATCAAATGAATATAATGTCGTAATCACTGGAACATCATTAAGGCCTCTTGAAAAGTAATGTTTTCTCTCAACAACTGCAGTTTTTGGAGTTTCCAGATTTGGAATTCAGGCATATCAGGAAGGCTGGTATATAAGAACTTTTACTACAATCTTGTGTACAAAAACCACTTTGAGGTTTTGTTTTGTTTTAACAGTCAAGTAGTATCTGAATAACATTATGAAATATAAAATACAATTGTGCTTGGTTAAGTCCCATAGGACTTCACTGGGACATAATTGTATGCAAGATTGTGGCTTTTGTTTGCTTTACAGGCTGTAGAGTTCTTCATAGATGTATGTTCTTCAGAACCGTGCAGGTTCCTGGTTGCCTAAGGGGCCCTTAAAAGGCATACAGGAAGTTTACAAATCACAGCACAATTCTACCCATCCTAAACCACCAGACATTTGAGGTTTAACTGGAATTTTTTTGCTGCCAATTCAAATTAGCTAAAATGTGGTGCATCGCTTGGACAGCATGTAGGTTTTACATGAAGCTTTTAATCTCTGATAGAAAGCTGCCACAGAGGAACATAAATGAGGCAGCCTTATTCACATACAACAGTGATTTTTTGTAAAGAAAAAAGTGCAGTTGGTTTGGCATAAGAAGAATGCTCTTTGATTCTAAGTAAGAGATTTCCGGGCCCCACCTTTGAATGATAGCAGTGGAAAGTACCCCGTGGTTCATTTTAATGCAGTGCTCAAAATAGAAATAGCTCTTCTTTAGCAACAATTGCACTGTTTCATGCTCTAGGCAGAGTTGCAGGAAGTCCTGGGAGAGGAAGACGGAGGAGGAAGCGGTGAATGTGAGACGGAAACAATAGATGAGTCTTCTGTAGCCGCAGAGGAGCCCAGCGATCTACCAACGCAGGTAAATGAAAGCTTTTGCTTTGAGCCTAGAAAACTGGATTTTAAGGAATGTAAAGGTCAAGCCCTTCAGTGTATGAATTGCACTGCATTTTGGTTTTTTGGGGGGGGTGTTGTTGTTGTTGTTTTAAAAAAACAACAACCTGCCCTCTGTACTGGGAATATAGCAAAGTGTTTAGCTTTCATTTAAAGTGAACTTGGAAGTTGGTTAGCACCTTGAAAGTGAGAATGTGTTGCAGGCAACTGAGCGGAGACAATGGCTGTGACCTGGGCTCCTGGAGACAGCTGATTTTAACAGCGTAGTCAATCAAGCTGTAGACAAGGGATGGAGAACCTGTGACCCTCCAGAGGCTGCTGAACCCCCAACTTCCATCAGTCACAACCAGAATGGTCTGTGGTCAGGTATGATGGAAATCTTAAGCTCAACAACATCTGGAGGGCCACCAGTTCCCCACTCCTCCTACATAGACAGTGTAGGATTGAACAAAACCACCTCAGGACATTCTCCTTGGCTGGAGTTGTGTTTAGGGCTTGTGTTTGGTTGCCTCTTCCCTTTGAACACATTCTGTGAGTTTTCTCTGTTCCGTTCTTGTTAGCGTTAGGTTTGATGAGCAGTGCTGCTTCTTGGCAGAGTGTTTTTGTAAAGTGAATAAGTGCTAGTGGGATTTCTAGTCTCTTGAATTTGTAGCGTTTGTCTGATGATTTTTCCACCCCCCCCTGCGGAAGGAGAGAACTTTGTAAGCAAACATGTTGAAGAAAACCGTTAGAGGGCTCACAGCAGAATAGAGAAAACATTTTCAATACTTCAAAATAACTTTGCAGTCAGTCTCTGTCTGAAATGACGAAGACCTTCCGACTAAATATGCCCAGTGGCTGTGAATGTTTCCTGAGGTGTTCCACCCACCCACTTCTCTGCTGCTGCTTTGGCAGAAGGCCGAGAGGTGACTTGTGGAATTTTTGCAGAAGAACAGACACTCATCTGTTCAAGGGAGGTGGTTCGGCCTCTTATGCCTTGAGTCTTAGGTGTGCATGTTCCAGAGAATGTGGTTCTCTCCTGCCCCTGATACTTGAATGTCTGATTTAGAGTGCAATTCTCGTGGGCAGAATACTTGTCATCTTTTTGGTCTCATTTCCTTTATCTTCTTTGAGATGGCGCCTGCTGTTTCCAGTGGACTGCAACAAACAATAGAAGAAAGGATAGTTAACTATAAGGCAGCTATACTCAACGCAAAGGAAGCCGGCGAGAGTTCCAAAGTGCGACGGTATGAACGGGGCCTGAAGGTATGTTGGGACCACAGATTCTCATCCTTTTAGCAGAGAAGGAAAAATGCTGTTAAAAACAGGCTATGAGTATCAGCCATTAATTCAGTGCAAAGATGTATGCAGGAAAGAACAGGGGCGTAGCATTCATTTTTTCACTTTTGTAAATGAGTGCTAGTCTTGTTCTGTCTAAAATCTTTGTATAGACAGAATTGTCTAGGTTAAATTAAACATTCGTTAATGCTTCTTTAGTATGGTATCATGATGGTAGTCTGGATGAGGTTCTCTCTTTTTTTTTTAACTGCTTTAGTAGGTGGGAGTTTAATTGAGGTTATTTTATCTTCTCCAGACTTGTTGCTGTAATTGTAATCATTACAGTTTCATACACTAGCACTCATTCCCAAGCAGCAGTTCATTCAAATGGAAACTTTTCTTACAGACTCTAGATATTAGAGATAGCTACCATGTAACACACAAAATAGAACTGATTTTAAAAGCTATTGGCTCCAGCGGGCAGGGTATTTATGTTTAGGGAAAATTAGGTGGAATCTTGTATTCAATAAATACCTGGAGGCAGGGAATAAAAGCTAAACATTGGTCTTGCAGGCTTAATTATTGGTAAAGTTGAAGATTCAACAGGATCTGTGAGGATTCTCAGCTAGAGGTCACTAATTGAAATGTGTAGCTTTCCTACATTAGAGATTTTTTTGTTGGAGTTGGGGTTTTCTAGTCACTTGGTTGGACGGACATTATTTTGTGTGTTGATTTTCTGTGCCTGTGCTTCAGAAGAAAGCAGAAAAGTTCATTTATTTATCATTAAGACTTGAAATTCAGCAAAATGGGTACAATTTCTCTTCCTCTTTTGATGCATGGGTATTGTCAGAAAGCTGCTGCATTTTCCCATATAGTTTAGAGTCGTGTTGTTGAGTCTTTGCACAGTCCAGTGGAAGAGGAATTGCAAAGCTTTATAGCACTATAGCTCCCATCATCCATGACACTGGCCATGCTAGTTGGAACTGATGGAAGTTGTAACCCAGAATATGACAGAGTTTTATCATTTTGTGTGTGTGGGTTGGGAGTGTTTCATGGATCTCGGAGCATTGCAAAATGCTGCAGTTCCCAAGAAGGCTGTAGAGTGTGAGATTCCAGGCACCTAAGAGGTCCCAGGTATAGCTTGAAGGTACATGAGGCCATCATCTTGCCGTAGCGAAACTGATCTGGACGTGTTGAGCACCTGGATGGGAGACTACATGGGTCAATAAATGAAAGACACAGCTTGATTGGAATGATCATATACGGGATAAGTATTTAATCTATGCTGGGTAATTGAAATCGCTACTCAATCCACTACTAGGCATTGGAAACCATGCTGACTGCAGTGAAGAAAGGGAAAAAGGTGAATGAGGAAGAAATGCCACCACCTGTAGCATCCGGGAAGAGCTCTGTCACAACTCCACAAGCCGTGCCTTTGAATGACTTGCCTAAAAACTCAGGCAGCCAAGATGAAATAACTCTTCCTGAAGGGGAGGAAAATGAAGGCTCTACTACAGACCATGAATTAAAGAACCCCAGCGATCCAGAGCTATCTGTGAGCACACCTGATCTCCAGAGCCAGGATGCAGATTCAGGTGTTCTGGGAACAAGTAGCACTTCTGAAAACAGTAAGTAGTTTGAGTGTGGCCTTTTCCCCTGCAGCATCCCTATTCTGCATATGTACAAAAAAGTGCCACTTTTCTGCTTGTTTCTTCCATAGGGTGGACGGGTGGTGGACCCAGGTGCCTAAGGAACTATGGTCCTCATGGTGTTTATAGTAGATGTTTTATTGGCTATATAGTAGGTGTTTTTATGTTTTGTTGTCTTGTTCAGATTCCCCAGACCTTGGCACACGGGCACTGCTTGTGACAAGAGAGAAGGAGTACAAACTAGCAGCGCTCAAAGCTAAACAGAAAGGCGATCTGGAGAAGGCAAAAGAGTACATGAGGACTGGGAAGGTGAGGCATCATTATTTTCAAGCTAAAGCAGGTTTCTGCAAACCATAATTGGTGTTGGGGATCTTGAGGAGTCTCTAGAATATTTCTTTTTCTGTGGGTAAACGTATATGTTAATTTTCACCGTGGGGATTTGCACCCCCATGGCAAACTTCCAACCTCAGGCGTATATGAGTTGGAGCCACGGCATATTGAGTTTTCCAACCTCTTCCAGTGGGTCACCATGGAGCTGAATTGGAAAAGAGGCAACTCAGTATAATGGCCCTGACTCATGCAGTAAATATGGCTGTGTAATGGGGAAATCACCATGAACTAACTGACCCCATGGTAAATGTAACATATGGACCAGCTCCCTGTTCCTTTCTTTTTAGAGTGAAAGTCACAGTTCTGCAGCTTTCTTGTGTCAGGATCCCTAAAGCAGAATTTCACTAGGAAAATCTACATTCTTTGACCAGATAAATAAATCTATGCAAGTTAAATATTGATAGAGATCTAAAAGAACTGTATCTACCTGCATGCAAGAGTATTGAAGGGGAATGAGGTGATTTGTGCATGTGCTGGGGACTGAATGAAGGATACATCCATCAAAGAGAGAAAGTGGGGACTTAGGGTCGCAGGAGTGCATCTTGCTAACATCTGGAATCCACATCCCATCCCTTCTTATTTTTGAATCCTAAACAGAAGTTCTCTGATTCAATGCAAGTTGTTCAATGGCTAGAAATTTGAGAATGCCTCTCCTATGGGAGGTCCAGAGAATGGACCTTTTCTGTGGTGGCTCCCTGTTTGTGAAGTGCTCTCCTCAGGGTAGCTAGCCTGGCGCCTTCATTACATATCTTCATGTACCAGATGAGAACATTACTTTATAACCAGGCCTTTGGCTGGTTAACAATCTATGTCTTTTTAAATGTGTTTGTGGGAAGGAGGTTGTTAGTTTGTTCTTGTTCCTATCATGTGTTTTGGGTTCTTATTTTGTATTTTTATGTTGTGAACCACCCTGTGATCTTTGGATGAATGGTGGTATACAAATGTTAATACAGTGGTACCTCGTGTTACAGACGCTTCAGGTTACAGACTCCGCTAACCCAGAAATTGTGCTCTGGCGGCGCGGCGGCAGCAGGAGGCCCCATTAGTTAAAGTGGTACCTCAGGTTAAGAACAGTTTCAGGTTAAGAACAGACCTCCAGAACGAATTAAGTTCTTAACCTGAGGTACCACTGTAATAATAATAGTAATTTCAATTAGAGTGGGTATCTGGGATGCTGTACAGTGGTACCTTGGGTTACAAACGCTTCAGGTTACAAACACTTCAGGTTACAAACTCCATTAACCCAGAAGTAGGACCTCGGGTTGTGAACTTTGCCCAAGGATGAGAACGGAAATCGTGCAGCTGCAGCGCGGCAGCAGCGGGAGGCCCCATTAGCGAAAGCACGTCTCAGGTTAAGAACAGTTTTGGGTTAAGAACGGACCTCCAGAACGAATTAAGTTCATAACCCGAAGTACCACTGTGTGTGTGTGTGCTAGTTCTGTGGTCAGAAGCACCATTTTGTGAACCGAGTTGAGACCCTTTGGCTTTGCATTTTTGTTGTAGAAGTTCAGCCTGGTTCTGGAAGCACTGGACAGTGGGCAGCCAGTAGACCTCAGGGATATGCCTCCAGCACCACAGGGTAAGAGCAAAGGAGATAAATGATCTTTCCAGTAACTAGAATACACTGAATTGCAGATAAAAGATGAAGGTTTATCACACTGACTTCAGATATCCTGCGGTAAAAACCCTGCAAAGGATCTGTGATGTTGTGAAACCGTCAGACTTTCATAGTTTCAGTTTTCTAATGGCATCCTGCTTTCGCCTCCAGATCAGTAAAAAGAAGCAAGTGAATCTATCTAATATAATGTATTGCATGATGATTTTTTTTTCTGTCTTAAGTAACTTTGCAGTCATTTGTTTTATTTTTCAAAACCAGGTATTCTCCGTATTTTGAAATTGAAATATCCTATTCTCTGTTCCCACTGATGTCTCTTTGTGTGGATTTTTTTTTCAGTGAATGCATCTTCATTTGCCCCCTGCATGTCTCTGCTTAAGGTTAAGTGTCTGCTGAAGGGATATTGTGTTTCTGAGCAGTCCAAAGTGCAATATCTTGCGCCTGAGAGAATGCATTTGCTATGTACTGTTTTAGTGTTATGTGACTCCACCTTTTCTTTTTCCTGGTTGCAGTTACTTATAAACATCAGTTTCATGCCCGTGCTATTACGTAAACTGAATTCTAAACTGATTTTGTTTGGGATGTTTCTACGTTTCTAGGATTTGGAATTAATTACATAAAATTAGTTGAGTGGTTGTCCCTATTTACTGAGAACTGGAACTGCTTGGACAGCTAACAAATATGTAAAGGAGTTGGAGGAAGCGTTAGTGTATTTGGTAGTTATTCTAACAGTGGAATTGTGGGAGTTAGGTGTTGGTGTTCTTAGATCACAACCACACTGCAAAAACATTGATGCAAGACACAGATCCTCTTAGATTTCCGTAATTTTCAAATAGGGTGACAACAAAACCGCTAACAAATCACAGAATCCTTCTGTGAATTCTGTGAATCTATGATTTGGTGGTGGTGGATTTGAAGGAATTCATGTTAAAAAGTATGAGGCCCCATTAGAATCCATACCTGGGATCAAAGCTTTTGTGCCACAACAATGAAAAGTGTCATTTTTTTAAATGCTTCAGTTGCAACATGGGTGGGAACCTTTGAAAAGTTTATGCAATTTCAAGAGGTTCCATTTTATGGGATCCAGTGTGTCAGGCTTATCCCTCTCTCTCTCCCTATCTTCCCCTCTCTCACTCCACATTGCCTTTGTCTCTCTGGCATGCCATTTCTTTCCTCCTTCCCTTCTCTCTATCTCCTGTAGCACCCCATTTTCTTTTGCCTAGCAGCTTAATTTTTTTCTCCCTAGTCTCCCAGGTTACTCACCTATACTTCTCCTATCCTCTCAGTTGCTTTGCTCTCTGTTCAGCTCCTTTAGGTGCTAATCTGAGCCTTGAAAAGCACATGGAGCTGAAAGAAGCAGTAGGGGCAACTTCTCTTCAAATTTCCTCCTTCATCACTTTGTACTTTTCAAGAGAGGGAAAGGTAACCATCCTCGCCACCCCGTGATGATGGCAGTGATGGGTGGAGGGCAGTGCCATTGTGCCTGTGGGTGGCATGCTGGCAACCCCAGACTTAGAGCGACATTTGTTCCCATTGGAAAAAACAGCTTCTCTTCACAGTACCAAATTTTCTTTGGCTCTTGTTGAATTATGTTGCAACTGTAGTGAAGAATTTGTATCTCTACGCTTCCGTGCCTTTTATAAAATGCATTAAATTCTTTTCCCTTGACACTCACATTTTCAGACCTTGAAAGTCCAGAAATGATACAGCTTCCCTCAAAACAGGCACCATCTGTAGCTGTGGAAACCACCCTTCCTGTGACGGCACCAGACAGTCAAGGTAATAAAGCTTTGGCTTAGATGCGTTTTAAAGCAAAGCCTCTCTCTTGTGAGGTGTATTGTATAGATTAGAAACTCAGATCTTACAGTATAATAGGTATGACCAGCATTTCTAATCTATATAAGTGCAGCCTGTGAAACTGTAGCGCAGAATTGGAGAAACTGAGAAATACCTAGATTGGACGACTGGTTACTTAAAATGTGGCATATCACTTCAGTAGTTAAATTAACAAATATTAATTAGGTTCAGGTAACAAATTAGGTAACAGATATTAATTAGGCAAACTAGACAGAGCAGCAAGACTTCTATTGAAAAATGAAGCTTATCCATTCCTTATTGGACTGACAGAACACGAAACAATATTCGTCTATATATGCTTTTGGTAGATACGGCATCAGTCATATGCTTGGGTGAAATTTAATGGTAAATTTAAAAAAAATTAATGGTAATTTGCAATTCTGATTTTTGAATAAGTATACAATCAAAAGAGTAAACGGTTAATTTTTAATAAGTAAGCAAGCAAGCAAGCAAGCAACACTTCATGGTAATATATACATATACAGTATAGGTTACAACTTTTTGATAGGTTATACATATGAAAAAGGCAGGGAATGATCTTAAATTGATGGACCATAGTTTCTTGTTTGAAATATTCCAATGATATATATATATATATATATATATATATATATATATATATAGTCTTAAGTTTGCAGGTATTTGTACTGTGTTCTTTTTGTAGTGGGGGGGGGAGAGAGAGAGGGAGAGCAAGCACACACACACACACACACACACACACACACACACATGCATATATAAATCTGTCTTTCCATATATTGCAACATACACCTTTCAGACAAGAATAAAGTGTGTCTTTCTTTGAGAGACACAAACACCAGAAGCATTTTTTCATTTTGTTTTTTTAATACTGTTGCATCTGTTTGTGTCAATGGGAAAAGGAGAATGGATTAAAGCACTGATGGGGGAACCACTGACCCTCCAGAAGGTGCTGGGCTCCAGTTCCAACCAGTGTGGTCAGTATTAAAGGCTAGTAGAAGTTGTGGTCCAGCGACACCTGGAAGACAAGACATTGTCCTCCCCTAGGCCAAAGTGCGAGAAGCAGGTGCCTATATTGTGGCTGAGCTCATATGATACGTTCTTTGGATGCTTTTAAAGGTCCCTTGCCTCAGCCAAAAACAGTGATGGAGGCTTTGCAGCAAAGACTGGAGAAATACAAAGCAGCAGCCGTTCAAGCCAAAGCAAATGGAGATGATCGGAAGAGCAGGATGCACGAGAGGATAGCCAAGGTAAAGAAGAAGCAGCTCTGTGTGCTACCACAAAAGTCCCTTGGTTATAATCATTTTGTTGTGAGCCTCTGCTGTGATATATCAGATCACAAAAGATACTGATTATATAACAGCAGTGAGAGGATCTTCTCCTGTTTGAACGTATTACACCAATCCGGACCTGACTGCGTTGGCTACCAATTAGTTTCCAGGCCCATTTCAAAGTGCTGACTTTGACCTTTAAAGCCTTAAACTGCTTAGGACCATGGTAATTTAAAGGCCTCTCACCATATGAACCAACCTGGACCTTATGATTGTCATCTGAGGCCCCTCTACAGGAGGTCTGGAGGGTGGCAACATGAGAACGGGCCTTTTCTGTGGTGACTCCCTGCTTTTGGAATGTTTCCCCCAGGTAGCTCGCCTGGCGCCTTCATTACATATCTTAGGGAGCCAGGCGAAAACATACCTCTATAACCAGGCAGTATACAAATTTGATAAATAAAAATAATAATTGTTAGACTTGTGGAATACAAGCTCGTTGGGTGGTGAATTTCAGCATCACATATTTCACATTACACTCTGAGAATGTCATTATCAAATTTGCCTGCATTAAACTCAGAAAGACTTACTTCTGAGGAGACGCATATAGAATTGCACTTGAATAATGTTAACCATCATTTCATCACATTTACTAAGAATGTGGGGCAAATATTTCAGCCCTTTTCGTAAAGCCATGTGGAGGGGTTGTTGCATCTGTGTACTGCAAGCCCAGCAACAGATGCAGTACATGGAGGAAGGTTTGCATTTTTCTAGCTATGAAATGTTCTGCCTGGAGTGCTCTTAAAATGTTTTCTAATCCTTATGGCATAAAGGGAAACACAACAAATGAGTGACAAATAAGTATTTATCTCCCCCTCCCCACAACCTGTCAGATGACTGTATTCTCTAACCAAATTTTCTCCTTAACAGCAATACCAAGATGCCATAAGAGCCCATAAAGCAGGAAGGAAAGTGAATTTTGGTGAACTACCAGTTCCCCCTGGTAAGTATGCAACACTGTCAGGGCTGTGTGTTGGAATGTGAGATACCCTCGTGTAAGTGCTTTGCTCCTGGCACATTTGCCAAAAATGCTTCAGGAGACTCCCTCCTACTCTGCCTTGTCAGGAGACTGGCTTGGCTCCATGACAACACTACAGAATGTGCTATGAAACTGCTTATTGTGACTGTAAACTTTCATGAAGTTGCACGATAACAGCACAGAGGGCCTCTTGAATTGCAAGTTAGCTCGTTGGTTTTCAGCTGGTGGGTTGGGACCCACTACCAGGTCATGACCCCTGAGCTAAGGTGGGTTGCAACAGCACCATACAACATATGACCCATTTGAGGAGCTGGCTGGTTGAAATTAACCATAATTAGCTTTAAACACAGCTCCCAGTTCACAAACAATTCAACTAAAATTGAAAGCTTCCAAACTTCTCCTCCTCCTCGGCCTGAATGTGTCAGTGATCCGTTTTGTGGGCAGCCGCTGGAGTTCATGCTCAATACTCTCAGAACTTGTATCTTCTGAGTATAATGATAATTGTCATTTCAACTTTTTAAATCTGTAGTTCTCCTCATAAATGTGTGTTGTGTTCATCTTCATTTATTTTTAAGGCTATCTTCTGGGGTTTTTTCTTCTCTCTTCTTTTCAGGTTTTCCTCCGATTCCTGGACTGGCTCCTGCAGATGACAATACTGTTGCTGCCGTCCTTGAAAATGCTAACAGGCTGGTTAAGATGGAGGAGGAAGAGAATAAAGAAGAGGAGGAGGAAGACGAGGTGTGTTGCTTAAAAATCTGTTTGCTTACAGATGCAGAAGAATATTCTTACCATTTTAAAACACAAGTTACAGCCAACTATTTCAAAAGCTGCTATTGCTGCTGCTGTTGTTTTTTTTAAAAATCCTACTAACCTAGTATTACATACACTGAAACATTTCCAGTCACCATTTCCATTCCTTTTAACCCATCAGGTTAGTCATGTTCATGCTTTTTAATGGGTCTACTCTGAGTAGGACTAGCATTGGCCACAACTCAAGAAGCTCTGGTAGTTAAAACTGCTTATTCCCTTTAATTTCCTAATGCTAACTGCTGAACTGGTTAACTCACAGACTTTGTGTTAGGGTACCTAGTAGTAGCTCATCTCCTGTTAAGCCACACTCTGCACTAGGACTTCAGATGATGAATCACTCTATAACCCATTTTGTTGAAGATGGCCTAGTGATGATGACTACAGTGCTGTTATTAAGGAGTTTTTCAGCCTCTTAAGATGACTTTCTGATCCCTTTAGCACAAAAAAGGTCTCTCTTCTGTAGCACCACAGCAGATGGCTGCTGTAATGGGATCCATTTGTTTAGTATCCGTCCTCATCTTGGGCCCTATATCTGAATTTCCTGCTCATTGCATTCAATTCCTTTCTGATCCCACTAGGGTGAGCCTTCCATACAGGCTCCAGCTCCCAAGAAGCCCACTCAGCTGCCTAAGAAGCCAGTGCAAGTTGTTCAGCCAATAACTGTGCCATCTGCTGTAATCCCGGAAGAAACCTCTCCAGAGAAAGATATTTCTCAACCCACCCCTGTAGCAGCCCCAGAGAAATCTGCATCCACTGAGCACATCTCTCCAGTTGGTAAGGACTCAAAAAGCTGGCTGAGAGTTGTATTTATTTAATTTACATCAAGCAAGACTTAGGAAGTGATGTATTTTAGATACTTAAAGGATGTTAGGAAGGAAAAGGGGGAAACAGTTGTTCACGCTGAGGATAGAACATGACAAAAATGGTACGCAAGAAATACGTTCAGTGAGGCTTAACAGAAGAAGCCTTTGGGACAAAGCCCTTGTTGTCTTTTCATTTTCTGAGCTGTGAAATGCTGTGTTTGGAGTGCTCGTAAGATGTTAACAAGCCCTCCCTTTCAGTAGAATAGAAAGGTATGTAGAATCTGGACATCAAATGAGTGACTAATACGGATTCCTATTCTGACCCAAATTATCCACTTAAATGTGCACATAACAGACAGACCCCCTGCTGTAATCAAGATAACTACCAGGACACTGCTACTTGCACTGGTTCAAGCTAGTCAGTGTTTTGTCTTCCTCCTAAGCAGTTCAGTGACACATGCTTGACAGTGTTCCGTGGAGACATGCCACACATTTGCACAGCTTGGATGCAGATGGCAAGCTTGCATTTGAGAAAACAGGACTACCTCTTGGCTAGGTCTGTTTTTTTCTCTTACTTTAAGGAGCTTGGAAGAGCTGGTGTGTGCTCTCTGGAAAGGACATCATAAAGATACCTGGCAGGCTTAGTGAAAGTTCTTGCCTCCCTGAGAAGTGTCCTTTCTGCCCCTCTTTTTTCATGTCCTCCCCCACTCCTTGCAAATGTTGAGCTCCCAAACACAGTTTAAGTATTCCGTCTGAGTCAAAGCCTGGCAAGCAAGGCTTTATCTAATGGATGTGGCTGTGGATGACTGGGCAGATTGCACACAGGAGATGCTACGGTGTGAGGGCGGAAATAAATAGGAGCCACTGCCACACATTTCTTTCTGCACCATTACTGCGTATTCTGTGCGTCCCTGGGATGAGAAAACCTTCTGTTTCTCTCATACAGCCTTGTGTGCAGAGTGGGAATACAGCTAAGCAGGAAATAGCTTTCTATAGGTGTTACTATTAGTACACTGGTACCTCGCAAGACGAATGCCTCGCAAGACAAAAAACTCGCTAGACGAAAGGGTTTTTTGAGCTGCTTCGCAAGACGATTTTCCCTATGGGCTTGCTTCGCAAGACGGAAACGTCTTGCAAGTTTGTTTCCTTTTCTTAACACCGTTAATACAGTTGCGACTTGACTTCGAGGAGCAACTCATAGAACGCGGTGTGGTAGCCTTTTTTGAGGTTTTTAAAGACTTTGGTGATTTTTGAAGCTTTTCCAAAACTTTCCCGACACCGTGCTTCGCAAGACGAAAAAAATCACAAGACGACAAAACTCGCGGAATGAATTAATTTCGTCTTGTGAGGCACCACTGTACAGCAAGCCCTTAATAACTTGGGACCAGTTTACCTGCAAGATCGCTTTACCCCCCTATATTGCCCACTCAACTTCAGTCTGCAGAACTGGCACTGTTACAAGCAACAACTGTTGCCCATTTCACATTTGTAAGAAATGAATCTGATAGGGTCTTAGCCTATTGACATCAGGCAGGCAGCTTCGCTGTAGCTTTTATGATGCCTGCTAAAAACATTTTTGTTTAGATGAGCCAACCCAGATGTGTAGAATGTGGATGTATGTTTTAATATCTTTTGGGTTTACTGCTGAATTTATTCCTTTAACGTTTAAATTAGTTGTTTTTACTGGTAGGTTTACTGGCAGGTTTTATTGTTTATCCTCATTGTAAACTGCTTTGAGGGAGTGTGTGTTTTTTAACAATCAAGCAGTTTATAAATTTTATACATTTGTAAATAAATTCTCTCCTCCAATAGCACAGGCACGCTTTGTTTTATTGCGCTTCTCACATATTGCTCATTGCGAGGACGCGGGTGCAGCTGCAAGCAGCCTGGCTGCTTCTGGGGAAGAAAGCCCTGCTGCTGTCACCGCCTCCCGCTTCTGGCCACAGGAGTGGAGCTGGCTAGGGTTGGAGGTGGGTTTTTCCCCTACCGCCCCTGCAGCCAGCGGGGGAACCTGGCTTAATAGACTATATATAGCGCAAGCATAATTTTTATATGCAGTGGGGAACCAAAATGTTTACGTGGCTCGGTTTATTGCAATATTCACTTTATTGCAGTGGTCTGGAACCGAGCCTGCAATATCTCCAAATCTGAAAAGTGTGGGTTTTTTTTAAAAAAACCACAACTATGACAACACCCCAGTTGTTTTGCTTCTTTGCAGCTTTAGAGCACCTTGAATTCCTGGAGAGTAGAAGGAAACAGTACTTAAAGGCTGCAGTCCAGGCAAAGAAGAGAAATGATCTGGAGCAAGCCAAGGCGTTCCTAAGAACAGCCAAGAGCTTGGAGCCAAAGATCGAGCGGGCAAAAAGTGGCAAACTGGTCGACATTTCCAAGGTTAGTAGAAAGATTCCTAAGAGTGTATCAGGTCTGCTTTGAAGGAAGCACTGTTCACACCACTATCTGTCGTCTGATGTCCTTTGTTGCCTTTGAACACAGCTTTTGTGGATTTTATTTCAGAAAACCTTGTAATTCTTTTAAGAGAGAGGCAAGCTTTTCTGCCGTTGGGCCTGACCATAGGCCTGCACTCTCATCCTGGCTGTTGCCCTGCCTCCTCTCCTTGAATTGTAGGAGCCTTTTACTTTTTTTGAAATTCTGAATTTGTTCAGTTGCACCCAGTCTCTGTCTCTCTCATGCACACACATTTATATGTATATGTACATATGTATATTAATTATATAAAACTTCACTTAAACGTGTGGTGCCTTGGAATGTAACCTGCATGTAAATGGGAGCTTGTTTGTATGTTTTATTCTCAGCCATCAAAATTGCCTCTTCTGAGTTATTATTTTGTACTTTATAGCCACTTAAGAGTAATAATAATAATAATAATAATAATAATTTATTGTTTATACCCTACCCATCTGGCTGAGTTTCCCCAGCCACTCTGTAGGGAATAAGGGGAGGGAGGCACCTAATTCTGTTGCCTAGATGGCCTTACATTTTTGCAATTTTCACACATATAAAAATACATATGTGCAGGTTACAAAAATGAGACTTTGTTTTTACATATTGCCTTAAGTTACTTTGGGTGCCTCCAGTTTGGAAGATGAACAGAACTGACTGGGTTTATGGTTGTCCCTTAACATATATGAATGTAGTGCAGACTTTTCTCTGCAGGAAGGGGAGAATCGCTACTGCTGGGATTAAAATATGTAGAGCAGGGGTAGTCAACCTTTTTATACCTACTGCCCACAAATGCATCTTTCTTGATGGTAAAATTTCCTTACCACCCACCAGTGCTCGATGGAAGGAGGATTCAGCTTGTGCCGTAGAACCCCCTACCGCCCACCTGGAATCCTGAAATGCCCACTAGTGGGCAGTAGGGACCAGGTTGACAACCCCTGATGTAGTGGGTCAATTTTTTTCATATGGAATCCTTTGGTCTTCTATTTTCTTGTTTGGTATCTTGAATCACTGCTGTGGTAACGATCAGAAGGGTAGGGCATTTCAAGATTGTTTAAAACCTTACTTGAGGAATGTGGTAAACTTGCAGTCACTAGTTGGTTTTCTCATATTGATAAATGCTTGCAGTGCTGTTGGAAATTCAAGACAGTTGGATGTATCATTCCTCGTCGTTACTTGCAGGTCTCAGAAAACTGATGTATTGGCACAGCCTTTCCAATGTGGTTTCGACTAAAAGTCCCATCAGCCTCAGCCAGCAACCATGCAGTGATGAGAGTTGTAGTCTGTATCATGTTGAGGACACTAGATTGGGTGGGGAAGAGTGCATTAACAGCATATTAACTCAGTCTGGCAGGAACCTTAAAAGTATCCTGCTACCCATTCCTGATATCCTTCCCCCACCCCTTTTTTTATCTGCTCTGAATGAGTGTCCCTTTGTCAGTGCTCACCTTTCTCTGTCACAATTTTACCAGACAAGCTCTGACATGTATTGTGTGTTGCTGTGTAGCTGCCATCACCACCTACAGATGATGAAGGTGACTTTATTATCATACATCATGAAGATGTCAGACTCTCTCAGAAAGCAGAAGAGGTGTACGTTCAGCTCATCAAGCTAATGACAGACCAGCATGAGGTGTGTGCCTCCTTCCTCTCCTATAGCATTATACATAGCTAAGGGTCCTATAGTGGAAATAGAATGTTCTCTATACTTTAAACTGGATTATTTTGCATACAACTCTAAACTGTTGTTCTTTTATGATATATGCACAAGCGTCAGTGACCCTCTCTCTCCTTTCAAAAGTGATTTGAAAATAAAGGTGCTCAGAAAATTTGCTGCCTTCTTTATGGGTCCCCTGTATGTGTGTTTTTAAGAGGAAATAAGAGAGAACTTCTAGTGGCAGTGTTAACATCTGTGAGTTATGGTACTAATACTATAATCCAGCAGCAGATTTTATGCAGATGACTGTATACTCTCAGATCAGTTTTTGAAGGTAGCTTGTGGTCTGACTTCTCCCTCCTTTTTTCTGTTAATAGAAATGTTTGCAGTATTCGAAGCAGTTCACACATCTGGGAAATGTATCTGAAACTTCCCGGTAGGTTTATTATGAGTTTAGTATTGAAGGCACATCTCAGTTGGGTGCAATACAAATTCCACTTGGCAGAATGAATGTTGCCTTTATGCCTTGGGTCTAATCATTTTGTGGCTGAGGAAAAAGTTGTTCCTCCCTTCTCAACTATGTAAAGTGTAACTTGACTTTTTCACATCAGGGGAAGCTCAATGGCATGTCCCTACATTGGGTGAGCTGGAGAATTACAGCCTACATGGTGGTTTTCTCCATATGTCAAACAAGAAGGAAATTTCATGTTGAGCAACCAGTGTTCTGCTCCCTGTGCTTGCTTGATGAAGGTAGCTCCCAAATCCCATCAGTAATGAAAGTTAAGTCCCTCTGGTGCCCCACTCAGTGCTCTGGTGCTTGCTCAGTTTCTAGACAGCTTTCCCATTGACCTCTGGCAAGGAGCTATTTCTGCCTTAAGTGGAGCCCAGCCATTCTCTCATTTGAGTAGGAGCTGCCTCCATGAGTTTAGCAGCCACCCACTGATAACATTAATGAAACCAGAGCAGCTCTGGCAATATGCTTCCTGATCTTTCTCACTTTTACTATATGTTGTGTATTTCTGTGTTGCGTTTCAGGTTTGAGAAGCTGGCTCAGATTTGTAAGAAAGATCTGGACATCTTACAGCTTGCACAGGCCCAGGGGCTGGATCCCCCAAGCCACCACTTTGAAGAGAGAACCTTTAAAATTGTAAGGTATGGATGTCCAAAAGATGGGAAGGTTTCAAATGTCTTATCTTTGTAGATAGATGAGCTTTACAAAACCTTTCTGAACCTTACAAGAACAAGCAACCTGGAATACTGTGAATTTCTGTTCCCAAAAAAGTGACCAATGTTTTATAGTGGAAACTAGGCATTTCAGTAAATGTGGGGCTGCCATGAAAATGGGACCACTCTCCCCCAGCCCCGTGAGTCAAAGGGCTTTAACTTTGTTCATATCTTGATGTTGCCTGTGTTTGCATATGTAATACTAAGTTGCAGCTTGTTCAGTAGGCAAACAGACAAGGCTAGTTGGTTTTCCAGCTACTCTTGCCTTGTGCCTCTGTAGCTTGGAGAGTGCCTGGGCTGCAGTGACCAAACAAACCATGGTTAAGCAAGGCTTTGTGGTTCATAAACTAACAACAAACCATGTTTTCACCCTGCAATTAGTTGTCAGAAAGCAAGTATGCTGTGTATTTCTTCATGATTCCTATTTCTACATGTTCACTACGTTTGGTATTGCAATGTGAAGTACTTCCGGATTGCTGGAGTAAACTTTTTCTTTTTGTTTGCTTTGTAGAATATTTTCTGAACTCAGTAGCACAGAAATGCATCTTATCATTGTCCGAGGAATAAATCTACCAGCTCCACCAGGTAGTCTACCATTGACATGAATTTTTAAGATTCCTTCCTGCTCTGCAATCTTCCCTGCAGCTGATAGAGCTGAGAACTTGACCTCTGTTAATCAGTAGTTAGGATCATTTTGTTTTTATCAAGCAAATTGGGTCACAATTGGGAACAAGCATCTCTGAGTAGAGGCCTCTTCTTTCCTGTGAGATAATCGGCAGTCTTGTGTTCATAAGATTTGGCCCATTTTTCTTTTTGTTCCTGCAGCGGTTTGCTCAGCTAAATTCCTCTCTTTGCACAGGTGTGGCACCCAATGATTTGGACGCATTTGTGAAATTTGAATTCCATTACCCGAATACAGTGAGTACACATCAAGGCTTTTGCTCCCTCCTTAATTTTTAGGACCTAGGGTGACAATTCCCTATCAAGTATATTCAGATGCAAACCCTCAGTTTGCCGCCATGTAATATATGCAAAGATTGGGAGAATGGATGACTTGTGCATTGCTGCTGCGTTAAGCGAGCAGCCGTGTAAATATCAGGACAGGGTAGAAGCAGAGCATAAAATAAAGGTGCAGAGAAGCCCTATCAACTTTTGAAGTGAGTGGGATAACTGAGACAAAAGAGATCGGGACAAAGCAAGATCTATGGTGCTGCAAAGAGACGATCATGGGTGTTAATGAGAAACAGAGAGGAAAAAACAAGGATACAGAGAGATCAGGAGGGGAAATAATGTGCTAAAGGGGGTTAACAAGGCTGAAAAGAAATCACTGAGGTGGGGGGGGAGATACACAGAAATGAGCTTATTACATTTATATACCACCTGTTCTCCCAAGGAGCTCAAGATGGTGCACATCGTTCTCATCCCCGTTTTATCTTGACAACAACCCAGTGAAGTAGGTTAGGCTGGGAGGTGGTGACTGGCCCAAGGTCATTCAGTGAGCTTCGTGGCTGAGTGGGAATTCTAACCCTGGTCTCCCAGGTCATAGTTCAACACTCTAACCATTATGCCACCCTTCAGCTCTCTTGAATTAACGAAAGTGAAAAGGTGGTCCTCTGGAGTGGTTTGACTTACACATCCCTGCTTTAGAGCAACCAGCCCATGGTGGGGCGGGGGGGGGAGCTTGGTCTTCACAAGTAAAGGCAAGGACAGAGAACTGCACTGGCTTTTCTGAGAATAGTTAGGAAGGCAGGGTCACTGGTGGCATCTCTGGTGGCCTTATCACAGTAGAAAAGAGAATGGCATTTCTAATAGGGTTGTATATGTGATGCTTGAGAGGCAGCTGGGGAAGGAGCTGCCTCTGAAATAGAGAAAGGGCTATGTTGCTTGATAACTAGGATATCATCTAGAAGTGCTGGCAGTAATTGGGTCACCTTGTCCTTGTTCACGCCCTAGAGACTTCTTCTGTGCTTTGGGCTAGAAGTTAATTTGTTTTGTTGTATGATTGGGTTGTTAAAAAGAATAGTAATTGCTAAACAATCTCTTTGGAGCACGTTTGTTGCAACCTCTGAAGATCCATACCCATTCCCTTCTTGGGGACAAGGAAGACAAATGAAAAGGTCCCGGAGAAATCTACCTGCACCAGGCTCTTGTTCTACGGCAAAGCAAAATGACTGAATGGTGGTTGCAATGCTAGCATTGGATCTAACCTATCTTTTTAACATCCCCATGCACCATTTGTTTCTATCTCTTGTATATTTCATATTGAATCTCAGTATTTGCATTTTGTTCCATATTGAATGGGCTGTGCCCAAGAAAACTTTATCTACACTTATGCAGGACTTTCTTTCCAAATGAAAAGCAAACAAAGATGTTGTGATTTCTGCTGAATATTAATGGTGTGTGGCTGTAGGTGTTTAGTTTTAGGGTTTTGTTAACCTATGTTTTGCTTTTATTAAAACAGGAGCAAGCTCAGAAAAGTAAAACATCAGTGATAAAAAATACCAACTGCCCAGGTGGGTGCATGTGCTTATACTATTATTGCCATCGTTACGTTGTCTTTTCTTGGATTTTCATTTCAGAGCTAGGCTGAAAAGGGTTAGTTCCATTTTATGTTTGCATCGGCTACCTGAACAGAATTCAAAGACTCTCATTTCAGAGCAGTAGTAATTTTGTATTGTGGGTTTCTTAATTAAGCGATTTCCGCATCTGTGACGGTGTTAACCTAACTTGCAACACTGCTCTGTATAGTGGCAGCAGCTCTAAACAGGCTAACTGGAGATGGCCAAAGGCTGGGCCTGGAACTCTGTGCATGCTCTTCTACTGAGCTATACGACTCCAGAAGGACTTGTACCTGGAATATTTGGATCCCTCTGCATTCTGTCCCTTAGAAATCCAACATTGCTGTTCATTTTGCCACAGAAAAGATGTCACCCTCTTACCCCCAACTGCATAGAATTGTTTGGGATCTATTATTTCACAGCTATTTAGCATGAATCCTGTAGCACTTTTTTTTGCAGGCTCTTTTTTTTAAAAAAAAAACAACTTAGTGAATAGGGTAATATACAGAAGGACTTGCAGTCCTTTGTCTTGGCTTCTTCTTCTGGCAAAGGAAAACGTAGGGACCAAGTCACTGTGTCATTCAGTACAATCTGTACCTCTCAGATATGCACCTGTGGGGCCTACTTGATTGAAAGGTTTTTCCATGGCAAAATATCTCCCACCTGCTTATTTTGAGGTGTTGACCACATGCTTTTCTTGATCTTTTATTTGGTTCAGAGTCGTCTCATCAGCTGTTTGTATCTGATTATCTGTCTGTGCATTTCCAGAATATGATCAGCTGTTCAAGCTGAACATTAACCGAAATCACAGAGGTTTCCGAAGAGCGATTCAGGCTAAAGGAATTAAATTTGAAGTCTTCCACAAAGGGTGAGTAGGGGTTCATGCCTAATGGGAAACAGTTTGATTGCTTGAGCTCAAGGACTTTGTTAATTCTGCTTTAAAACAATTCCCAGATTTCTTTTGGAGCTAAAAAAAAATGTAACTCTTTGTCGCATACAATCTGTAGGCATCATTGTGTGTTTGGAATTTTTAGCTACAGGGTAGTTGAAGATATAATTGAGAATATGGGAAGGAACTATTTTGAAGTCTTTGTAGAGATTTTCTCATATGCAGCAGATACGTCTTTCAGACATTTGCAGTGCTTGAACTTTTAGACTGCAGTCACGTAATATTGGTCTTCTGCTTGATCTTCTTAGATGACTGACAGGCGCTGTATTTGGGTGTTGTTAATACTCTACTAAAGCCAAAAGCTGTGAAAACTCCTGAGAATTTTGGCTGTATACTACTAGGCCTGTATACTAAGGCTGGCAGTTCAGCAGGGATCAGGGGCTGTCAATCTTTTCATCCTGTAGACCTTAATGCATTTTTGTGCTGATTCCATATCAAAACACAGAATCCCCTTTGCCAAGCAGGCCAGTTCACTGCTTCTGATGCCTGTTGCCCCCAAGGGATCTAAGCCACAGCTGAAACAGGACATGCACCCACATGACTGTTGTGGTACGGGAGGGTGGAAATCTTCCATGATGAACTTAAGATGCTTTTCTCCTTTTGGTTGAGTACTACAAGGCTACATCTGTATCTCACACTGAATACTGTATTTTTCGCTCTATAGGACGCACTTTTTCCCCTCCAAAAATGAAGGGGAAATGTGCGTGCGTCCTATGGGGCGAATGCAGGCTTTCACTGAAGCCTGGAGAGCGAGAGGGGTCGGTGCGCACCGACCCTCTCGCCCTCCAGGCTTCAGGAGAGCCCCAGCGCCAGCCCCACAAGCTCGGGGGACAGAGGAGGCGGAACGCCGCCATCCCGCTGTCTCCCGAAGTGGTTTGGAGGCTGACGGGGAGACCCCGCCGCCAGCCCCGCAGCTCCGGGGACAGCAGGAAGACGCAGCGCGTCTTCCCGCTGTTCCCGGACCTGATCTGAAGGCGGGTGGCGGGGAGAAGAGCGCTTCTCCCCGCTGCCTGCCCCGCAAGCTCCGGGGACAGCTGGGAGACGCAGCGGGTCTTCCCGCTGTCCCCGGACCTGATCTGAAGGCGGGCGGCGGAGAGAAGAGCGCTTCTCCCCGCTGCCTGCCCCGCAAGCTCCGGGGACAGCTGGGAGACGCAGCGGGTCTTCCCGCTGTCCCCAGCCGGGGTCTGAAGGCGGGCGGTGGGGAGAAGAGCGCTTCTCCCCGCTGCCTGCCCCGCAAGCTCCGGGGACAGCTGGGAGACGCAGCGCTTCTTCCTGCTGTCCCCGGACCTGATCTGAAGGCGGGCGGCGGGGAGAAGAGCGCTTCTCCCCGCTGCCTGCCCCGCAAGCTCCGGGGACAGCTGGGAGACGCAGCGCGTCTTCCCGCTGTCCCCGGACCTGGTCTGAAGGCGGGCGGCGGGGAGAAGAGCGCTTCTCCCCGCTGCCTGCCCCGCAAGCTCCGGGGACAGCTGGGAGGCGCAGCGCGTCTTCCCGCTGTCCCCGGACCTGGTCTGAAGGCGGGCGGTGGGGAGAAGAGCGCTTCTCCCCGCTGCCTGCCCCGCAAGCTCCGGGGACAGCTGGGAGGCGCAGCGCGTCTTCCTGCTGTCCCCGGACCTGGTCTGAAGGCGGGCGGTGGGGAGAAGAGCGCTTCTCCCCGCTGCCTGCCCCGCAAGCTCCGGGGACAGCTGGGAGGCGCAATTTTTTCTTTATTTCCCCAAAACCTGATGGTCCTATGGGCCAAAAGGCCCTATGGGGCGAAAAATACGGTATCTTAAGTCAATTTGGCATATAACAGTAAGAATAGCTGCCCTTATTTGCAGCGTGGCCTTTAGTGTCAAGTTGTCTGGCGTTAAAGAAACTGTTTGAAAGGATTCCTTAGTGGCCAAAATAATTTGCTTATAATAAGCACTATAATGTATAATTGTGATATAGCATTGACTACAACTTAGTTCCTGTTTCACAGGTGTATAGTTTTAAGATTGTACAAGTGTCTTCATTGGGATGGGGTGCATGATTGTTTAGGCTAGAAGAAAACAGTGGGAAAGAATATTAATAGGATCTGTTTGCGGGAGTGGTCTCATGTCTCTTGTAAGCATGCATCCAAAATTTCTAGTGGCCAAAAAGTGTGGAAGGCAATACTATTTTTAAGCTGTAAGAGGGAGGGCCATAGGTGAGTTTGCTGTTCTTAAGTTCACACTATGGCAAGCCCCACAAGTGGGTTTGATTCAGATGAAATGACAGGCCATTAGCAGGATTGCATGCTCCTTCCTTTACATGCAAGGGAGAGCTTTTCTTTCTAGTTTGCCCTTTTGCCCAAATGCAGCAACCAGAACCTTTGAATGTGATTTGAGGGTGAGCTCTTCAGGAGCCATTCACATGAAGGGTGTAGCAGGGCTGTACATTTCACCCCACCTTCTGAAGTCACATGGAATCTCCCACCCTTGCCATGTTGGGGTGTAATTTCTGAGGTCTGAAGCCTCCACACGCAGAACAGGACCCCCACTTCAGAAGTTGTGCTATGAACTTCAGCGACAGAAAGACTCATATGGCTTTTGACGGTAGTATTAAAAACGTGTCCCTGCCACAGCCCCTTCCACCACAGTAGCCCTTTCATGTGACTAACAGCTGAAGAGCACTTGCAATTTGCTGCAGACTAGAAGCAGAAGCCTCTAATCTTTCCTTGCACTCAAACAAATAGGAGCAGATAAGCTCAAGCCTTGCTGTGGCTCCTCCTAACAGAAGGGGTGGGGGCAGAGCTCATAGGGAGATAGTTTATTAGGCCTGACATGTTTTGAGGAAAGTCTTCAGAGCCACTGAGAAGCACTACTGCTCTGCTTTTCTGCAAGCTCTGTCTCCAAATCTGTACTCACTTGAAAGTGAGGGAGCCTGCAGGAAGCACACTGCTACTGCTGCTGCTGCTGCTGCTGCTGCTGTGTTTACAATTTTGCCTCTCAGTGCTGCTGAAGGCTTTCATCAAAATGCATTGGGCCTTTTCCCTGTGCACCTGGGAATCCCCTCCCCTTCTGCACTGTTCTGCACTGTTATTTTGTGTGTGTGAACCAAGCCATGATCTTTAGGCGTATTTGGAAATAAATAGGTCATTCCATTCAGTTGCTTCCTTAGCCTAAAACACGTCTGATCACTGAACGTAACACTAGCGATTTTTGTTCATTTTAACATCATTCTACTCTCTAGTTTATACAGTGCAAAATATTTTTGACCCTTGCCTACGGCTTTTGTTGGTAGCACTACTGAACAATGGCATTATAACCCGCTTTTAACCTTGGAGGTATGAGTTGGGAAGGATCTGTTTCTCAATTTGAGATCCTGAGAGTCTTTGGGGTTCTTTTGCCGATTCCCATCGTGGAAGTTAGGAGAAGAAACTGAATCTTGCACTGACATGCCTCCCCTTCCCCAGGTCCTTTTTCAGAAGTGACAAGCAAGTGGGGACAGCACACTTGAAACTGGACAAACTGGAATTTGAATGTGAAATCAGAGAAATTATTGAGGTACCGTACCTTTCTTGTTCTCAAAGAAAGCTGTGGTAAGGACTACCTTTTTATTCTTCTTTGCACAGTAGTCCTGCTGAAAGTGTGTTTATAAAACAGGATATGCTGCACTGACTTTCCTCATTCATAGGAGTTTCATTATTTGCACAGGCTGTACCTGCCATATGCTGATATAAATGTGCTTGGAAACTAGGGTTGCCCATGGGGATGCAGGTCTTCCTTAAGGCACAACTAGAATTTTCCAAGGATGTTGTTGGGGGGTAGCACAAAAAGTGTGCTGACTAACATAGCTCCCCAAAAGTCCTAAGGAAGGGAGGAGAGCGATGACCACAAGGAATTCTGGCAGCAAAGGAGTAGGGAAGCTTGGAGAGCCAAGTTTGCTTCTACTGGACTGTGGTGGAGAGATTCAGTTACAGTCTCTCCCTTGTGTGTATGTAAACACCTCTGGAATTAGCTTTTATGCATTGCAACTGGTGCTGTGCCACTTTGAAAAAAGTGGTGCCTATGTTCAGATATTAGAGATACACATTATATTCAGCTTAATTCCAATTTATGATGCAATACGGGATGCCTTAGAGGGATTTTTTTCCCTAGGCAAAGCAGGAACCCCCAAAGGCCTTTGTGACACCTCAGTCAGTTATTTTTAGAAAATGCTGCTGAAAACAAAAGTCATGTCTCTAAACTTGATTATGCAACAGGGAAAAGGAGAGCTTATATTGTGGCTGACATGTCAAGCTTTGAATCAGAGGGAAATATTTTACCTGGAAGGTCCCCCTACTTTTAGTTCTTCCCACCCCCAAAGGTGCTTAGCACAAAAGCACCTAGCTCTATTTGTCAGTAATCTGGCAGGTTTCCTACTACAATGGCAATTACCCACAAAAAAACCCAAGGATATTAAGTGATTTTTTAATCCACTCTAAACTCTACCTATTAGCCTTGTGGGGAAACAGCTGCAGCTTCTGAAATTTGGTGGGATTGCTGCCCTCAGAAAGGGTAAACCTTCTTGCAAATTTCATCCAATTCTGAAAAGTTACATTTCATATTTTTTTAAAACCATTTTAAAACGTTGCCTATTTGCCTACAATTTGGCAATTTTATCCTCTCCAGAAGGGATGCCATGCCAACGGATTTAAACCACTTCTATCAATGGGGGGGGGTAGTTTGTTGGCTTCCTGTGACAAATCAGGATCTGAAAGGAATTAATGATGCTAATGTTTGGCCATGTAAACTTTGTAGTATCATTCCCTGTTTGATGCTCCAACATAAGCACTGTTGGTGGTCTAGGCCACCCCCACCCCCTGCCACCTCCACCAAAGAAGAAGTACTAGCAGCTACAGGGAAACACCAAGGTTGGCAAAAGTAGGGGGGAATATAGTAGTGGAAAAAACCTACGGGCACGAGACAATCCCCTTTGGGAAAAAAAACCCCAATGAGGACCAAATGTGCTCACCAGGCAGGAAATGCTGACTAACAGGGTTTTTTCCCCATATCCTAGAGAATATGACTGAGCAATCCACACTGAACTTTTTGTTTTGGATCCCACCTGCCATACATACAGCTGCCACAAGTGAAGTCCAAAACCCTACTGAATGTTCAAAGCCAATTGCAGTTCTCTAGGTTATGTCTCTTGTGATTAAACTTCTCATGTTGCTTCTGTGTCTAGGTTTTGGATGGCAGGAAGCCTACTGGAGGGAAACTAGAAGTAAAAGTGAGACTCAGGGAGCCACTAAGTGGGCAGGATCTTCAAACAATTACAGAAAACTGGCTAGTCCTTGAACATTAGTTCCACCTAAGGTATGTACATCTGTCTTTTAGGATGGCAATTGGCATGAGCAATCTCAAGATTTTGCTTTGATTACCACAAGTGAATGTATTCTATAGATACATGCATGAAGCAGTTTTCTTTTTAAAAATATGCAAGATAGCAAACGATTCATCTTTAAAATTAAAATGAGTCACTGTCCAACAAAAGGACAATGTAGCCACAGGAAGGAATCCTTAAAGAAGGGTTGTGGTCCCTTATAAATTTCTAAAACTTTATATTTGAGTGGTTTTAATGGACTTGCCTTCAGTTAATGTTTGAGAGCACACTAGGAAGACTCTGTACTTCTATCATGGATGTTTGATCATCTTTCATTAATCCTTCCATTATTCCTCTAAAGCAACATTCCTATTTTTTTTCTTGTCACCCACAGATACAGAAATGCTAAAAGCTGCAGAATGGACTTTATACATAGAGCTTCTGCAAGCACCAAAGATGTTCAACGAATGCACTACTGAACATAACATCTTTATTTTCATAACTATCATATAGTATGAGTTGGTAAGCTTTGTAAGTCTACTACTGGGAAAGAAGGTGCTGATCCACAAAGATAGACCTACCTTAAACCTTGCTGAAAGTAGCAATGTTAGCACTACATGACTGTTACCCATTGGGCTGCTGTTATTATGCAAAGGGCATGTTTGCAGGCGAGGGCAAAAAGGTTTGGTTTTAATGGCTGACAATATACTAAGATGGGCTGCAGCAGTGGAAGTTTATCATGTAAACTTGCAAATAAGATAGTGTTTCCTAGCCCTGGAATAAATTCTATTCTTGCACACAGCATTAGGTTAAGCATATTACTGTTAACAGCAGCATGAATATGCATTTGACATTGCCTGCAATGAATTTTTTTTAAAACCATCACTGCATCCCCCCCCCAACTTTCTCTGTAAGTTTACTCATAACCTTGCTCTAAAGCAACATTATCACGAGCCTTTTGGAAAGGCCCATACCATATTGAGATGGCTAGTAGCTGATTTATTATTAAGCTGTTTTCCTCAATCTGCCCATGTTCTTGTGTTCTTTTTCAGTGGAGAGGAAGAATTTAACTTTTTACTGTTTAAGGATTTTGAGAAGCACAGCATTTGGGTGTAAGTTGAAACAGTAATTTGACAAAAGAAAGAGTTGCCTGTTTTCTAGAATGTTAAACCTAGGTGTGTACCTGAATATAGAACTAAGTCTGCCAACCAGGCAGAGTTTGTTTATCTTAAGTGGATAGAGACAATACAATATTCAGTTTTTAATTTTAATAAATTTAATATACAAAACTACATGTTGAAAATAAAAATATAATATGCAGTCTTTTGCAGTGTAACTGAATTTTAAAAGTACATTTTTCTCTTTAAACAAGTACTCATTTCTTAACAATATGGTAAATTTTAAGGTCATTTTAAAGGCTATGGTTGAAGCAAACCAGTCAGTCAATAGCATTTTGCACAAACATAACCCAAACAAATGATTTTCTGCAGGGGGGAAAGGAGGGAGGAAAAGTCAGTATTTTCCATCTATCAGTAAGTTTAATAGCAAAACAAAGTTATTGAAAAAGCTACTTCAGTGGTAAAATTGGAATGCCATCTCTTGAAGTAGGAATCTACTGCAGCCATGTAAAATCTAAATAGAGTTGAGCTTCCGTCTGTAAAACTGAACGTTGACACAGAAGGAAGTAAAATTTAAAAGCAACTTTTTATATGCAAGGAAAAGAAAGAGCAGGAAATGTAAGGCCCTTCTTCTGCAAAGGAGCCTCTTTATGCCCACCCTGTCTCCCAGGGCAGAATATTGAGCACCTGAGTTCTTTTCAGGTTCAGCATGGGCTAAGAATTTAACTGTCTTCATAGCATATGGCCCACCATTAATAAATTCAGTAGAAGTGTTTGTATTCAGGTGGGGTTAACTTCTCCAGCCATTTAATTTGTGGTCTAGTTCTAATGCCTTGTCTTCCTTATGTTCTAGTTGCAGTTTACATAGGTTGTACTAGGAGGGCTTTTTTTGTTATTACTAATCTTAGGCAAGCAGTAGCACCTTGCTCAACTAGTGATTTCCTACCCACAGAGGAAAGTTAACTATTACAGCTCTCACTGCTATATGTTTGCTTTAAAAAAATAATTTCTTGACAGGCTTGGAGCAACTGCTGTCCCCCCCTTACCCTTGAATGCTCACCGTTTTGCCCATGCTGCTCCAGTTTTAGATTGCTCTTTAAAAGGCCAGAAACTCTGTCCTCCTTACCCATGGGGGTGTGTGGCCAGCCTTGAATAACAGCAGCCTGTGTCTTGTTGAAGCTTAGGTCTGCTTTCTCTCTTATGTGGACACAGCTCTTTCCACAGGACTATCAGTTGCTCAGGGATGGAAATCGGATTTAATAGGAACGTGCTCGTGTTCTTTTGCTTACTCTCATTGCTGGCTTTGTACGTTGCAGTGAGAGGGCTCAAGCCGTTCTTCTCATAAGTGCCGTCTTAGGTGAGACAGAGTGCAAACTTCTCAGCCTGAAGTGAAAGCAAAACATGCAACAGCAGCCAAACTATTACAGTTTTCACAGGCTAGCTTTACAGAGTGCTGCTACTATAAAGTGTTAGATAAGTGCAGGCTTAATGGTGGGGATAAATGCACACCAAATGGGAAAATAAAAAGTTACCTAAAAAAAACTCCAGGGCCAACTACAAAAAGAACAAATTTCCATGGTAACTTATTTTTTTTAAGCCTAACAATTCTCACGCCTGTGACAGGCCGTCTGAAAACTTACGAGGGCAGATTTTTGCTATGTCATCAGGCTTAGGGAACAGTTTTATCACAAATAAAGAAAAATAAAGTTAAACTATCCTATTTATACACACAAAACTGCAAGCGTAATTTACATACAGCTTCTAGAGAGATTCTGCTTTGCTTGGGACAGACGTAGAAGGTACCCTCAGTCATGCTGCTTTCTTTCTCTGTACATCTCTATAGAATATTCCGACATGTCTTGGAGGTACTTCAACCAATAATCTGGTCAAGATAATGTAAACGATAATTTTAATGTCTAGAGAAATTAACCATAAGCAGCAGTATAGTGAGGTCAGAATGGAGGTCTTCAGAATAAGTTCACCTACAAACATCAGAAATGTTTACATTTCCTTTCCTTTTATTTACTCCCCAGTGATCTCTGCACCCGTTTGAGCATTGAATACATGACTGCAATTGTCTTAAAACATGACCATTGTTTCTAATCCGTAACAGAAGTGTATTAGCTGCAAAGATAGCATAGCCATTTTGTAGTATAGAAGCTGCCCTGATCCTGTTTGTTGACAAATGCATAGAAGATTCAGAATTATGGAACAACTGTTCTCAATCACGCACCCACCCCCTCATAGTGTTAACAAAAGCTTAATTTTTCCAGTTTTAAAGTGCAAATGATTCAGATACAGCTGCTGCTGGAACAGGTCTGAACAGAAAATGAAGTCCTTATGAGATGTTTTCCAGAATATAAAAAATAAGCTCCATTATGACTGGGCCCTCACTCAGCTGGCATGCCCCTCCATGAATCACTGGAACTAAGGCACTGTCCAGGTCATTCATGTACTGAGCAGGCAGTGGCTGCCCATTGCTCCCAGCCTGGTAGCCAACCTAAAAAGTAAGTAAAGAGAAAATATTATTTTGTTTTGAAACTAGAGACTAAAGCAATCCCTTAGCATGACGGAAGAGGTTCTCGCCTAATAAAAATTTATCCATGGAAGAATGCAGGTAAGCAGGCCCACCCTGTGATCTTGAAGCAACCCTTCAAGATTACATGAAACATAATCCACAATAGGCTTCAACTTGGAGCTTTTCAAATAATCACCCTCAGAAGTTTAAAAGAGGCTTTTTTCAGCTTTCTGAAATACAACAGAGATAAAAACAAGTGCAAAAAGAGGTCCTTTCCAACTCAAAAAGTGGAAGTGAGGTCCAGGAAGAGCTTGTGTCAACTAACAACTGAATAAGAAGAATCATTTTCAAGGAATGAATAGTACAGTAACCTCAATCTGCATGTTTTCACATTAGGCTCGCAGCAATTCTGTTAAAAAGCTATCTCCCCCACCCCCAAAATAGGTTCCAGCTTATTTAATTACCAACGCCAAAGATGTGGAGAGAATTTTCCCCACAAGATGTGTTCACTTACTTGATCAGCATCAAGCGTAACACGTAAACCCAGCTTGGTCATCCCGTCTTCCTTCAAAAGCTTCAGGTGAGGGCACAAGGCCAGGCAGAAAGCCTTGGCCACATTCTCAGTCAGCCTGCTGTGGTCAGCAGGGTCACTTAGGCCATTGTGTTGGTCATCATTTTCCAGAAAGAAAACCTGAAGAAAACAATTTTCCCAGTCTCTAAATTTCTGTACCATAACGTCCTATTCTTGTAACTCAAGATCACTGTGACGAGGGCAAGCTTCTACTCCAATTAATGGCAGGGATTTTGGCAATTGAGGGAAAGTAGTTAGACCTAGAAGGGCACCAAATCAATGAAGAAAACATTTGGGCATTTTCCAATAGGACATGGTGGTGGGCAGATGCCCTTATATCACTGTGAATTTTATCTCTGTGGAGTATTTAAGATCTCCTTGATAATTAGATCTAGAAGTTTGTTACATTTTAACAAATAAAAACTCAGCCTCAGGTTTCTGCTCATCCCATCAGTATGAAAGAAATAGCCAGAATAATTAGGGTAGAAGGACTGCCAATAAATGTATCAAGAGTCTTTTCTAGGATACCTTCTATACAGTAGTGTACTATATCCTTCAGAGCTAAGTGCCAAGGCTATATTCAAGGGCCTGTATAGTAGAACCCACACAATGAGTCTCAGCCTGGGCTATATAAAAAGGAACACATTTGTATTCAACCAGAGTATTTGGTGAGGGCTAACATGGCTTTCCCCCCACCCCAAAGCAAGCAATACTTCTGCATTAACATACAAAAACAGTTTTGCTTCCTCACCTCTGTCCACCTAATGACCTTCCCATTTGCTTTATACTCTGAGCCATGGAATATTTTCACGCTTGTGATGGACTCCATTGATTTTCCATCAATGGGACTTACAACACTAGAAAGGAGGAAGTAAGAAACTTTTGTTAGCAGAATTTAAGAATACAGACCCAGATCAGAAGACTATGCAGAAAAGTAAGTCCCTTCATCAAGACAATTTCATATACGTTGGGGAAATTGCAATAGAACACCACAAGCAGTTAAACGGACTGTGTGCAGACACACAAAGTAGTATGAGAGAGCCTTCTGTATACACCTTTTTTGTTACCACCATTTCTGGTCAAATCAATTTTGCACATGTTAACGGTGCTTCCAGTTGTACCACAGAAAAGCCAAAGCCAGAAATGTGATCGGTACAGTTGCAAAGCATGTGTATGGTACTGAAGCAGAGTTTAATGGTGTACTGGCAGGGATGCTGCCATGGCCCTTTTGTATTAATCAGGGAGTTGGACTAAATTACTTCTAAGGTCCCATCTCTATACAGTAAATAGATAACCATCTGAATACTTATGAAACCTTTTAAAAAGAAAAACACAGTTCAAATCTGTCTTTGTCCCCATACCAATACCCTAACATTTCAACACTTTGGACAATGTATGGCTGCAAGGGCACAGAACTTTTTCCAACCAGACAATTGCATTTTCTCATGAGACGCGTGTCAGTGGTGGGTGGGGCAGGAGATGAGTCTTACCTTTATGAGCAACTGGAATGTAACTTACTGCACAAATGTGAGAGGTTTCTACACCCTTTCCCCTCAACATCTCTCAATGCAGGCAAACGAAAGTCATAACAATTCAAGGACACATTCCAGCCAGACAGAAACACTCAAGGAATACATGGAGCAGGGATGGTAGGGTGGGAGGATGATACAAGGGGTCTGGAGGGCTATATTCTGCCCCCAGATCTAAGGTTCCCCACTATTTAGTGTAAACATTTGGTGTTTGTTTTAATGCAGAAGTCTTTTTCACACGGTAGCAAAACTCTTCCCTTTTTCGTTTTGGTAATCATCAAGCTACTGAAGCAAGATTAAGGCTAATGCCACTGTAAAGGTAAACAGGAAGCTGCTCCCATCAACCTACAAAAATAATTGTCTGTGTGAAACCACAGAACACCCCAGGAAGTCATCTGGAATACTACTACAACGGCAGCATCCTGAATACATATCAGAGGTAAATGCCTCTTTGAAGTAATGTCCCTGCAGCAGGGGAATGTAGCACATTCTACTACTGCATTAAACAGAAAAGCATGAAGACATTCTAGGGAAGCATAGTAACTGTAACACAGTTAACACAACAAACAGTGTGTTAACCCCTGCAACTGAAAAGTAATTGCCACCACATGTGGAAGCATAAAATGCAGTTAGAGCTGTTAACATCCCGTGCACATATCTTACGTCGGTGGTTCAACATACCTTATCAATTTATTTACAGCAATTATTTTAAGACAACAAAGGATATGTCTCCTCCTTGCACACTCACACACATGCTGACAGAAAGCACCAGCTGCTGCGATTTCCCTCAGTGTGTCGACACAATGCCTGTGCATTCATCTCAAAAGATGGCGCATACACAAATTTCAAATACCAAAGATACTCATGTAGTACATACTTTAATCTTTCATGCAAGTTTTAAGGGGTAGCTTGGTTCCTATAACATTAACAAGTGTTCAGGTGATGCTGTAGAGCAAGATATACATATGATAAATTAATTCGTGAGACATCTGGCCTTAGCATCAGGCTTTTTTAAAATAAAAAACACCTCTGGGGAGTCAGATCAGCTAACACCCTCTGCTAATTAATTTGAAGGTGCTAGTTCATACCCCTTAAGAATATCACCTCCTGGAATATGAACATGCACTCCATGCAAACAGGCAGATGAATGTGCCATCTTTTCCTTACCAAGAAAGCATATAAAACCACACAAGCTCATTTAATATCAAGAAAATACTCCTATATTTACCCCTTGTTGAAGTTTTTGTCATCATCCACCCACTGAATGTGCACATGTTCTTGAGGCTCTTCAGCGTCCACTTTACCACAGGCAATAGTGAAGTCTTTCATCTCCCTCAGAGCCTGCCTCAGGGAGTCCATATTTTCAGCCGTTATCTGGACCATGACTCCATCTAGGTAGGACAAGACACAATCAGGACAACAGCCCACAGCTGTATTCTTAACCAGAGAACAAATGTACAGTGGATTCATGCTGCAAATATCAAAGTCCTAAACCAAACTTTTGAACATACACTTGCTAACAGGAGGTGGGTGGAATCCTGAGCCCTGGATTTCATATTTGCCTAGGGGTTTATATGTAGACAGTGCAGCCCACACAATTCACACACTACAAAAATCAAGGCATAAAATTATATGGGTTAGGCCTTGGTATAAAAATGGAATCAAAAGCCTGGATAGGACAGCACAATTCCAATCTCCAACACACACACCCTCCAGAAGAAAACATTCCAGGATGTACTCTGTGTGCTACATTCCGCAGCACATTATACAAAATTAGCCTAAACTGAAACATCAGGTGTTTATTTCATTATTTATTTGTTTTAAAATACTTCTATATTTCCATTTCATTAAAAAAAAATCAAAAGCAGTTTACAGAAATTATATATACACAATATAATTGGTATTGACAGCAAGAGTACAAATTAATTTTAATGAGCCTTTTTCGTAACTACTACTTATCTATCATCTATATTCCTGTTCTAGTGTTAAAATCTTCACAGACAGAAATTGTCACGCCTTAAAAAAAAGAGCACATTATCCACATTCAGTTTTCCACCACCGCCTGGTACTATAAGCACAGGAGTAAGTACATCCTCTTTTTTGTTTATTTAAGCTTGTCTCTTGCTCTAAGATTCTAAGAACACAGTACTTAGTTTAAAAATAGCAATACGTTTTGTAAACAAGGTTAAGTTCTAACTACCACCAAAGCACTGCTACATTTAACCAAGAAGAAACTGGTGTACATGGTGAAAGGTGACTCAAAATTTACCTTCTACAATGCTGGACTTTGCCAGATAGCCTGAAGAAGACTTTAGAGCTCCACTGAACACAAAGAAGCTAGCTCCAGTCACTGCAACAAATGGGAGACATGAATAAGATTCATATTGTTTGTTTAAGTCAATGACCAGTAGAGAAGATAAAAAGAAAACACATAAAACACAATAAAATATATTAGATATTACATGTAGAGTTAAAAACTATGTAAGATAAAAAACATGAGAAATATAATTATATTAAAATGTAAAAAAAAACCAAGGTAATGTGTTAGTAATTCTAAAATTAAGACACTGTATATAAGAGCCATGTTTCAGAATTAGATCAGCAACAAAGCAGCCAATAATCCAAACAAAGCCCATGTAAAACAAATGTATGCAACTACCAATATTGAATGATGGAGGAAAGCGCCTTTCAATAGTGTTTTCTAAGCCAAGTAAAACACTTTGGTAAGTCCAAGTATTAAAAAGAAACCCACATTTTCCACCTGATCACTAAAAGTAATCCTAGAGCTTTAAAATTTGACGTCCTGGGAAAATTACTACTTCAGCATGGACCTGAGTAATGAGTAGTTCCAAACAGATTCTGCAAGGGGACTTTCCTTGAAGAATCAAAGAGGTGTGTGCTGTCTTCATGAAAACCTCTTTACTTACTAAAATTTAAGCATTAGATAATGGCAAAGAAATAGTATACAAGTTCTCTGTGCACCACTCTGATATTTTATAATGTGAGCAATTCATAGAACTTTTTTTAAAAAATCAACCAGAGGCAGAATCAGTGCAATGCCCAGAATCCAACTAGCTGTGGGTGAAAGGCGATTTTACTTCCAGCATTTTTCAGCCAGTTCAAGATTAAAGGTAAAGGTACCCCTGACCATTAGGTCCAGTTGCGGACTCCTCTGGGGTTGTATGCTCATCTCGCTCTATAGGCCGAGGGAGCCGGCATTTGTCCACAGACAGCTTCCGGGTCATGTGGCCAGCATGACTAAGCCGCTTCTGGTGAACCAGAGCAGCGCACGGAAACGCCATTTACCTTCCCGCCAGAGCGGTACCCATTTACCTACTTGCACTTTGACGTGCTTTCGAACTGCTAGGTGGGCAGAAGCTGGGACCGAACAACGAGAGCTCACCCCGTTGCAGTGTTCAAGATTACTCACAGTCTTATATAGAATTCCCTCCAGAAAACGTATTTCATACAACTGGCCAGTCAAAAAGCTTAAATGGTTATTTGCTCTCCTTCAAAAAGGAGATCTGTGGGTATTCTTAGGACTTCAGGAGCAAAGTAGAATCTAAGCAGCCACAGTGGACCCCCAGGCTCGGTATCAGCTGCGTCTGGTTTAAGCAGCTGGAACAAAAGCTTTGGCACGATCTTTCAAGCTTCATAAATTGAATTATTGCAAGGATGTTTACATGGAGCTGCCCTGGTGATGAACCAGCAGAAGCTGGGCTGAGGCACCTCTTGCCATTGAAGCCTCGTGAGCTTCTAGAAGCACCCTCAGCTTATGAATCTGTTGCTTCGGGAAGGGTTGCAGCTTCGTTCAGAATAGGCCGTATACCCAATTCTCACCTGTGAACCATCACCAACAGTGCCTTTGTTTTATCAAGATTCAGTCTCAGTTTAGTGGCTCTCATTCAGGCCATAACTGCCCTCAGGCACTAGGGCTCTTTGCTCATCATGCACTTACAAAATTAAAAGGGCTTACAAGCAAAAAACAACAAACAAGAAAACAATGCAAACAGCAGACTGTTTATGGGGGGGTGAATACATTGTCAGCAACTCTCACCCTTCCGCGGTTGATTATGAATACTGATGGCCTGTGTCTGATAGTTCCCATCATCATTCTGCACACACACGAGATGAGAGTCTGCCCTGTCATTAAAGCATGCCCCACCGGCTAGAACATGCTCATTGGACTTGTTCATGGCTTTCATCATCTGCAACCAAAACATTCACCATTACCACATAATATGACACCACCACCCAGGAAACGTGAGAACTGTCTCCACAGGTGCAAACCCTGAAGAAAAATGACATCTGTACGGGGCAGATGGAAGCAAACTTTTTCCCCCTGTCAAAGAACTCCTTTCAGGGATAACTGGGGGAAGGGGGGGCTAAAGTCAGCAGTGGCCAAGGCCAGAGCCAAAGGTAGTCTCTGCCTGTCTGTCTGTCTGTCTCTGTCTCTTTTCATAGGGGGTACTTCACTCTTGCCAAGGGTCTGAGGTGATGCTTGCCAACGATCACATAAAATCAGGCCAATGGCTGTAGAGTGCCCACCCCAGGAATAGGGCCAAATTAAACTATTTGCAATGCTGTTTCTTGGCTCTTTGAAAAAAAAAAATTAACAATCACTGAATTAAAATTTTAGTCCTCCAAAAGAAATATATGATTTATGGCATACAATATTTTGGAGGAGAAGAACATGCAAGACAGTTTACACCTGATCTGCCATATCAACATGAGATATTAAGGTATGTCATTATTGATCATTTTTCAGATGGGAGACAAGGTAAAGAGCTATCATGGCTTAACCAAAGCTGCTCCCTCAGTTGCTTGCTGAGCAAGAATTTGAAACCCAGTCTCACCGATCCAGTTTTATTCACCCATCAAGTAACTCCTAGTTCATGCAATATTTCATCAATAGAAGAATCACTGTGATGCTTCTAGGACATGTGTGTTATATATTTATTCACACTACATACCTCATTGTATCTGTTGCTGGGAATTTTGATGCTGGTTTTCCTCACTTCCATATCAACCACTAAGCCTTGGACAACTGGCAATGTATACTGGTAATTTCTGAAGTCCTGTCAGTGCACAGAACAATGAAAATCACAATTGCTGCTGGCATTTGAGTTTCAGCAACGCAAGAACTATGGGTCAACTTTGAAAAATTACAATAAAAATACTAAATCCATTCGCAATAAGCAGTATTCTTTACTCATTATTTTGTTTAAAATATTGAAAAATACACTTTGTTTCAGGAGCAACCTAACCCATCAGTAGGGGCTCTGAAAACAACACTAAGTAGAAAGAACTGATATTGTACCAATGAGTTTCATGAGACATAATGTGTATCAGAGTAAGCTGGGGACGTTTAGCTGTGAGAAAATATAAATTGCCTTTGGGTGAACAAGAACAGGAAAGGAGCACCTGATAATCTCCCATTCCCACCCACTCACCCACTTCTGCTATATTCCTTCCTGGAACACACTTCACATTTAGAACAGGTGCCTGTTTAAGCTCCTTAAATGCTATGGGGCATCAGCATCACTCCAAGGTATTCTTTCTGTCCTAGAGCGCAGCTGTGCTCTTTCTCTAGCATACAAAAAAAATTACAGGACACTAAACTGCGGTTCCTTGGTATAAAGGTACAGATGAAATGCTTAGGTGGTTTTTTTTTAACAGTAGTGTGCCTACAGCTATATGATGGTCCAGTTCAGAGATGTTAAAAAAAAAAAAGGATCTTTAGTGTTCTCTCAATTTAAAATAGATATTTGTTGCATAAAACTGTGTATTAGATTCTGCATGATATTGAGAGCAAACCTCATCCCCACCTCCTTTAAAGACTTATCCTTTTAGGGATAGGGGCTAATAGTCTTTAGGGACTAATTATAATCTTAGCTGTAAAATTGGTATTGTGGTGTTCTATGGTATTTTTGTTATGCTCAGAAATACTTGTTTTTGTGATGTCTTTTAAATTATCTTTTGAAATCATATGGATGTTTTAGTCAGTTTTAAATTATATTTTTTGTTTACGTTTTTGTATGTAGTTTGTAAAACACTTTGAGAATAAGTTTTTGCTTGAAAACTGTATATAAATTTGTTAAATAAATAAATAAATAAATTCTACTCCATCATATCTAGATTTAAGAAATCTACGTATTATTATATTTTCAGAATAACAGTGCATATAAATTAGGTGAGTGAACAGGACACATACATTTTTCTATTTGCAAAATAATCTTGTAACCATCACTTACTGCAAGAAGATTCATAATTGTGTGTCCAGTCTCTCCAAACAATGGCTTACGAAATCTGACACTGAAAAGTGGGCACGGGTACACTAAGAAAGTAGGAAAAAAGATCTCAGAGTCAAACATATCTATGGGGAAGTTTACTCCAAAAACCTTGCATTTGGTAGCTAGAAAATCAAATTTAGAAAAATATCAACAGTAGGAAGATCAAAATAACACCATGGCTTGTATCCAGACATGCTCAGAGAAGTTCCACTTGCACAGGAAGAAGTTCCATTTGCACAACAAAAACCACGGTCCTTTCACAAGTGGAGAACCCCCACTGGATTCTGATTCCCTCTGCAAATAGAATGAGTCCTTTTTTGCAAAGCAGCAAGTCTTGCTCCAACCCAGAGTTCTCCCTCATTGTGGCTCTTTGCCAGTGGTCTACATATAGTCACATACAAGGAAGGAATCATTCCACCTATGTTGGTGCCTGTCTGATCAAGGACAATTGTAAGAATAGAATAATAGGATGGGCCTTCAGATTTCTACTTGGAGCACAGATGTGTGCCGAGGAAAGATGCTCTGCCTTTCTAGCAACACTTTCCATGTTTTTATTTGTACACTACAGAGCCAAAATGGGAGCACAAGAAGTCACTGTGTGTGATCTAACACTAACCCCAACTGACTTAAACAAATGATTGTTGTGGCGATCTTAACAGCTTATATTCAGTACTAGGTATTTGTAACCATTTTAATTTTCAAGTTTGCCTAGGTTTCAGTTACTTATGAAAGTGGTGCACACACAAAAGAACCACTGAATACAACTCTGAAAACCATGGCTGCACCAGTTACTCCAAGCTCCCATGTCTGATAGGGAGCCACAGAGCCCTGCATCACACAGAAAGCCATTTTAAACCCACTTCAGACACTGTTCCCATATAACATACCCTACTGTGCATTAAGTGCACAAGCAACTACTTTAATGTAGGTTAATTTGGCCAACAGAATCACATTTAGTAATGTCCTTACAATGGTAGCTTGGACCCTAACCTTTTGCTCCATGAACAGAAGACTCCCTTTGCTCACAAAGCAAAAAGTTTGAATCCAAGGCAACGTGATTACCAGCAACAAAACGGTAAAATATGTATATATGACACTCTGAAGCCAAGGCTGGGATCTAACAGGACACTGAAGAGTAATAGGACTTACACCTGTATTCAGCTCCAAGTCTCAACATCAGTCGGATGGGAAATACTTTGGCCCAAGGAGTCTCCCATTTCTGGATAAGGATTCCAAATAAATATGGTGGAGTGGGGAGCACCAAGTCCTGCAGCGACTGATACACAGGTGTAACATACAAGAAGCCGCCATGCTCCTTACTGCCGAGAAAACTCTGACTGAAAAATGAATGTCCTAAATTACCCACAACACTGCCTATGAAAACAAGAGAAATAGTTATTATTAATGGCTATATATCAAAAAGGCAAGATAAAATTGCACAGAGATCCACCTCCTTCTTGTGCTACTTGTTACACAGAAGAAAACCTTTTTAAAGAAATGTTAAGGTATACTAACTTAAATTACCCATTTGCAGCAGATATACCAAATAAAAGCAAAAGGAATTTTATTCAATAGTATATAATGCTTTATTTTTCCAGTTTAATTAGAAAAGTTCTGCACACACTTATTTATGTCATTTCTAGGTATTTGCAACTGAAATCTCTACAGTGTAGATTCCCTGCCACAAAAAAACCCAACAACCCTGATCCCAAAAGGGATCCGAAAAAAGCAACTCCACAAACATTGGAGCATTCTGAAGCAGCCATATGCTGAGTCTTAGGTTAGAGATGGAATATACGGTAATTTTAAGAAAGTGCTTTGAAATATATGTTGCACTTCTCATGATTAGCACAAAATACTTTTATCCAAAAGTTTGACCTCTTGTCAAACAGGATTTGCAGGTCTTAGAAATGACACCAAATCCTGCCAAGCAATTTTATCAGATGTGAAGGTGTGATGAGTATATACATACCATGAGCAGCACACTTAATTCACTCCCAACTTCCTGAGAAAACTTTGTCTCTGGATTTAACCTGGTAGATTATTTATTACTATTATATACAGAGAAAACCTTTGTTTCAATAGTGAAATTATATGTCACAGGTTTTAAACTAGTACCAATACCATGCTTTATACTGTTGCATTTTAACAACAAAGGATGTTAATGAAATAGAGAATGCTTAAAAGTTAATAATATGTGATGTTGAAAATGTTGGACCTAAGATTAAGGACACTCAGGTACAAATTTCTCCTCAGCCATGAAGCTATGACCTGCAGGTACTAGATATGCAGCCCAAGCACATACAACTCTTAAAGCTCTAAGCCCTGCTGAAAATTTCTCCACTGTTATAAAGCAGAAATCCTTTACAAATTTCCCACTCCCCTCAGCTTTTCAGAAATAATTACACACAGTGTACCCTCTATTTATTACAGGCATGTTTTGCATTATAAGAAACCAGCAGCCTTCTACCTGGCGTTACTCGGAAATTTTAAGAAATCCCAAAATCAGCACCATTTTGAAAGGTTCAGTCTGCTATCTTGATTTGAAAAACCTGCTCCCTGATCTCGGGAACCAGCAATTTTTTAAAATGCTGTGTTAAGAGGTGTTCCAAAGCGTAGCAAACAAATGAACAACTTTCCAAAATATATAGCAGAATGGTTAAGACACAGTTGTCTTATTCATTGCACTTATAGTAAATAACTTTACAGCAAGCTGTTTCTGATAACCCCCCAGCAGTGTTAATTTAGTGTACTGTACTGCATCTCTCCACAACTCTCTCTCAACTACTTACAATGTCAGAACATAAGCAAGCCACATACTAAGAGTGTATTATGGACCACTGCAGAAATTGATTTAGAGTGCTATGAGTCATGAAGATCATCTGCTCACAAAACAAGAATCCTTTTTGTATCCAGCACAGTAACTCATGATTTAATTTGATTGCCTTACATTTCTGAACTACAGAAATAGAAAATGCCCCCTCCCCAAAAAGAATCATAAAGTCAGCATTACTGATATTAAATTTTGGCTTTTGATTAAAAATAACAAAGCCCCGAAACCCTGCTTCCTTCACAGCATTGAAGGATAGTATATCAAAGAATACCAAAAATAGAATTCAAATACACATTATGTAGAGGTCATAAATTATGCAACACTGTAGTGAAATTGCACATAGTAATAACTGTAGTATGCTGGATCAAAGTTCAATCAGCATCTGAAGAAAAGGCAGAGAGCCCTTTGGTTACTTAAATATTATTTAATAGTGTACAAATATGGACTATTTTATAAAAGAATCTAGAAGGCACAGCTACACAACTGTGATGACTTAATAATTCAAGTAATTTAGCTGTCAGAAGTCATCACAATTTTCAAATAGGCAGTTCTCTCACCTGCCAAAGCATCTCTATAAAGCTGCACAAAGTGGTTGAAAATATCCTTCGGCAAACACTTCTCATCAGGTAAGCACTGGAGAAGAATTACTATTTCTGACTGGCCCACAGCATGCATTCCTTTTGTAGTGAAGCACCAGCACTTCCTGTTCACATCTGTAGAAGAGAAAGCACAATGAGGGTTTGTAAAAATAAACATATGGAGCACAGTCATACCTAGTATTGCGTACGCTTCATGTTGCGTCTTTTCGCGTTACGTCCCGCGGCAACGCGGAAGTACCAGAACATGTTACTTCCGGGTTTCGCTGCTCGCGCCTGCGCAGAAGCGCTAAATCGTGTTTCACACATGTGCAGAAGCGCCAAATTGTGCCGCGCGCCTGCACAGACACAGCGCTTCAAGTTGCAGTCATTTCACGTTACGGACGTGCCTCCGGAATGGATCCTGTCCATAACACGAGGTACCACGGTAAATGCAAAATTAATGCAGACATTACTGTATGCTGCTTATTTGCCAAGGCCAAACTAAACACAACAGAGCTCTCTGACTCAGGATCTCATTTATATATATAAAAACCATGTATGGTTTTTGTGTATGGGTTGTGTGTAGATTTTAGACAACAGTACTGGGTGATTCAGGGTTAGACCCTTCTTGCAATATCACTTTCCTCAATTAAAATCCTTCCCAAGCTATTCAACCTGCAGGTTAAAAGTCTTGGTTACTATAAGGTTGTGTTTCTAACCCAATATGGCAACCTCTGCATTTGCTAGTCTTTACATTTTAAGTCTCTCCTCTCAGCACAGCACTGCAATGGGGAGGAATCCCTCAAATTGGCAGGGTTATGGCTTGTGTCTGCCAGTGTGCATCTGTGTGCCTGCCTGTGTGTGCACAGGCTTGGTCGGGGAGAGGCACAAAGCTAGGGGACACCAAAGTTCATTTTGACAACACCCTCCACTGACATGAAGCCCTTAGACCAAATAAGGTTAGCCACCTCTAGTTTAACCATATAGGTTAAACCATATAGGTTTAACCATATAGGTTAAACTAGGCATTCATCTAAGCTGCTAGCATGCGTGAAATGAGGTACCTTGTGCAACAGGACTTCTCTCCCCCTCTCCCACCTGTACTTCCAAAATCAGCTATGGAGCGTTTCGAGGAACCCTCAGAACAGGTTTAGGGGACAAATGGGGAGAGAAGAGCAAGGGAAGTCCCACTGCATGAGTAGACCTTGTTCCCTGTAGGTGTACCCCTCTTAGAATTACGCTGAATTACACCCATAGATAATCTTAAATCCTGGATATTCTGAACTGCATCTTGTTACGCTCATAGGAAGTATGATTTTAAACCCCATCATTCAGAGTACTGAAGTTCCGCTGTAATATCATGTTGCTATTAAATCAAGAAATCATCAGTAGCATGACCAGCACATCTTTTAAATATGTGAATTCATATATTGGGTCTCAGAAAAAAATATCCTGGACTTTGGGCACACAATCACTTCCAAGACACAGACCAGAAAGACAATTCACTACTGTTACTTGAAGGTGATTTTCTGCAATGCAAGAAGTTTTTCACAGGGAAATGTTTTATAAAGCAAAGAAAACTGATTCATTGCAAGATTGTTTTATCATCATCCAAATAAACTGGACTTACAGTTCACAATTTTAACCATGGACAGCAAATTTGCATTTAAAACAAACACAAGGGGGTCAGGGCCACCATCTTCCAACTGCTGCATCACTGATATATGAGATGGTTTTTCTTCTACAGCATAATCTGAAAGCAAAAAAGGTAGCTGTCAAATGATGGTTGTCAAGTGTCTTATGCAATTTGGCAATAGCATACCTCTCATATTTAAGTACTGTGTGGTCTGTCATCTTATTCAAATGGATGGGTGGAGGATTTTTAAAAAATGAGATTTCCCCCCAACATTTCATTGGGTTTAGGTAACATCTGAAAAATGCATGCTATCAGTAATACCTATTGTTGTTGTAGGTATTACTGATAGCATGCATTTTTCAGATAACAGTGAAAGTATTACTGTGAAATCAATTACTGAATACTATTGCCTGTTCTTAAAAAATAAAATAGCATTTGTTTAACAGACCCATAACAAATACCTTTGTAAATCTTTATTTGATAGTGGAACAAAAAAAAAAGATTTCTACCCTGGGGCTTCTACAAAACACACCTCTATGTCAAGCACTGTATATGGCATTAAACACAACCGTTATAAACCAGTTTTGGCATCTCAGTCATGTATTGCAAATATATGCAGGCTGACCCTCAAAATGATCAACAGGATTGGTGGGGTTTCCATGGGGAAGACCAGCTTATATATGCTAAGGAAGCCAGGGGTGCAATATAACTATGTGCTTTGCATGTGGACATACATTCCTGTGTGATCCTGTCAATAGAAGTTCAGCCACTAAGTACGAGGGGTAGAATGCAGGTTCTCACTCCTCAATCAAAGTCCTTAATTTTCCCCGAAAGGAGCAAATGGGAATCCTTTACTGCCATGGGAGATATTAAAGGTATGCACACAGGGGTACCACTGGGTAAGATATAAATTTTCTCCCTATAACTGCGGACCCTAGCCACCGTTCACCAAGCCTTCTTCTATCTGCATAGCCCTGGCCTTTCTTCTGTTCCATGCCCATGCTAGAGTATGATGGAATATTGGGAAGTGGCTTTTATTTGCTTATGTTTACAGTGCCATAATATATTACAATATGTTGTTGTGTCCCAACACAATATCCATTAATGAAATCATATTTAAAGGCTATATTTTGAAGCATTCCCATAAACACAAATTCATGAATCCCTTCTAGTTTTCCTTTTTTAAAAAACTTTGAACATCAGGACTTTTGACAGAATGAAGTGTTTGTCAGATATAAGATTTACTGCAAAAAAAATAACTTGGAATATATCCATAATTCTGGAATATATCCATAGTCATTGGTTCTTAATTATTAAGTTTATCAACTGATCAGTTTTAGTTGTTTAAATAATTAAACAAATAGTACTTGCCACTTGGGGTAGTATTTTATGAAGAGTCTTATTTCACAGGCAATCATTTAGTTTTATCTATTGCAAACAAGTAGCTACACATAGATATTATTCTCCACTGCTTCAAATTGCAGAAACTTCATGACATTGATATGAAAGATGTGACCAAGAAAAATTGGCAGTATGCCAAGAGATCGGATATTAGGTACTTGCTGTGGGTGTGACCACACACCATAGTGCTGATAACCTCTAGCCCAGCTCAGAGAAGGACTACCCCAGAAATTAGTACTTTCCTAGAAATGCAATCCCTTCTTCCAATTTCACATGCATCCAAGTCAACTTTTTGAACTCCCATCACTATTCAGTACACCTGAAAGATTACATGTACACATAATCCCCATTTGTGTTAGAGATAACAGATATTTTATTAAGCCTGACCTTGCCTGTTAATATTCAGCCAACTGACAGTCAAGACTATTTGACCTTGATCCAGAAGACTTTGGTTTCAATATGGACTGTTCTAGGATGGAATGTTACTCATTAAACCCAAAAACAGACACAACACAGTTTAATTCTCACCTCCTTTCACCCCAGTAGAAATAAGAATTGGAGGAAGCCCATCTTCTGGAATAAGATTCATCGCACTGCCAACTGGACTTCCAACCTGAGTAATGCTTCTTGAAAATGCAAGTGTGTTTTCAGTCTACAAGAAGCAGTAAACAACAACACTATGTAAATGCATAACTAGACATATTTTACTCTTCATTTTGTAAAATACAAGATACAAAAAACAATCTGTACTATAGGCTCTCATGTAAAAATACATTGCTAGGGAAGCTACTTCTGCCTGTACCCTCTGACCAAGAGACATGTCCAACATATTACAACAAAAATCAGAGCTTTTCCTCACCTCTACGGGTGAAGTAGTGTTGCTCATGGGTTTGCTTGGATCATGTGACACTGCTAGCGCTCCAGGGGAGGTTGTTCCAGCCACTGCCAATTTGGCTGCATCAGCAACTTCCCCATTGGGTAAGATGCCATCAGCAAACCAAACTCGTCTTTGTTCTCTGGGCTGAGCCACTAAGAAAGAGATGGGAACAACTCATCAAAAGAAATGCATGCATGAAAAGAGAAGTGAAGCTAGCTGGCTTTAACTGAGATACAGAAATACACTGAAACACAAACTAAAAAACAGCAGCGGTAGGGATTTTGAATATATCCAAGGCCACAACCAAAAGAAGAAGAATCTGATTTTGGTTCAACAGTTCCCATAGTGGTTGTTTTTTAAGGCAGCTTGTCTTTTCATCAGCAGTTGAAGATATTTTTTAAAAAGAACATTGTAAATAGTAATTTTATCTTTAGTGATAACCAGATTAATATTCAATCATTTAGATCTAAGCATCTTGATCCTATAGTTAATCTCTAAACTGAATAAATACGTCCACCAGATACATCGAGTTAAGGAGGCTTTCCTATGCAAATAAAGAACCAGTTTGAGCAGTTCTCAAACATTGACATTTACACAGGTAGATATAGGCATTTGATTTTCACTTGATGAAAATAAACTGCTTTAGAGTGCTGAGTAACTATCAGACCATACTTCTTCTCATCAGCCATGGGTGTTTCATATACCCACTTGCCTTTGAGTAAATCCCATTGAATTGGGATTCTACTGTTATTTACACAAACTATCACAGGTGCTGGTCATCTGAAAGACCCTATATGCCAACAATCTCTTTATAGGTAAAAACAGGTAAGGTTGTAAAATGTATACAGTGCAACAGAGATGGTTGAGTGGTCAGATTTGCACCACTGTTTAGGAATTATATGAAGTAGTATCAAAGGGAAACTTGACATAAACTACTGACATACATGTCTTTTATTCAAGTCACTTGGGTAGGAAAAATTGCTACAGCAGAAACAACAAATGAAGCTCAGACTCTGCAAATAGTTTTTCCTTATGTGTGCATGTCACTTCTTTGGATTGCAGCCCAAGTAAATAATACTAATCAGCATTAACACTAATCAGCATTTTGATAACACACTTAGAATTCAGAAGTACTCTGTATGATGGCAGAGGTCATCATACAGGGTGACCAAAGCAGTTTCTGTGCCAAAACTGGGCTTAAACCTTGATTGAAATGGATTCAGAAAATCAATTTATTCCAAAAGTGCCTGGATCTGGTCTGCAACCACTTGCTCCAGAACCTTGCTCAAGAAAAGGAGATTAGCAACTGGCTGGTAGTTAGCTAGGTTTTTCGAATCCAAGGAAGGCTTTTTAAGGAGTGGTTTCACCACTGCCTCCTTCAAACAGGCAGGGACCACCCACTCTCATAAAGAGGGGGAGTAGGGAGATGGAATCTAAGCAGAAGAAAAGAAGATCCCTACCTTCTGCACCTGGATGCTTTAGGACTCCCACAGGTACCATAACAGTAGGTGGTGGAGAGTTCAGAGCTCCAGAAGCCTGTGCTTGCTGTAAGGGAGGAATGGTAGAACAGTACTCAGCAGGATTGTTAGGATTAGGGCTCTGGCTTGAGGCACTCATCATGTTCTCCCAGGCTTGTGCTAAGGAAACACAAAACACACAAAAAGGCAATCAGTACACCAGAAAAATCATGCAACCACTGCAATCCTAAGCTTTGCAATATATCAGATTAATGACTCTTTTCCTTCATCAGAAAATATATTTATGCAACTATAAGTCCTGAACCTATCCAGGTGTGGTCTAAACATCCGCCTCTGCTCCCTAAGATGAAGTAGCAATCTGAAGGAGGCAATGTAGACAGCTCTGCCTTTTCTAAAATATTTCATGCTCACATCCATACTGGTTTTTTTCATCAGCACTACTGGGACAGGGCTGCTCCTTGGATGCCCTCTGGATGATTGGCAGAGATAGTGGAGCTGTCCACTTATGCCAATAGCCCAGTACCCCATGCTCAGGAAAGCACAGAACTAGATTATAACTTTAACAAAGTCAAAAAGCAAAAATAAAGACGAATCTCAAAATATTAGACGAATTCCACTGAATAGTTGGCACTTTTAGCATCAAATGTTGTGTACTGAGAAATATGATTATTGAAATTATTAATACTGGAAAAAATATTTTTACTACAAAATACCGACTCAGCCTAGAGCTTCAAAGGATACCTAAAAGGTGGTGGCATGTTCAAGAGTCTGATCTTATCTCCTCTTGGGCCTCTGTGGTATGAAAAAAATATAACCACTGTAAAAGGGATTCCCATCCAACTATCCAACTTTCCTTTACAATCTTTATGAATTGTCTGGAAATGATTTTTTTAAAAAAATAGGAACATGTCTGGGACTGTAAGTAGATGAGCACCAAAACACAAACACCACACTTCTCTATTCCACCCCATCCACTTCAACATTCCCACAAGTCAGCCACCAATTGAACAATCACTACTTCAGCCTCCTGAAGCAAAGAACGATGAAGTACTTGTTGTACTGTACCCAAATACACCAAAGTAACTAACTGACAAACAACAGGAAAACAGCAGCATCACCTACCACCGCAACTTCATAGAACATAGATGCAGCTTGGTTCCAGGCACAGAAATACATGCACCTACAGGCAATGTGGACCCTCTTATAAATACTTTTCTTTCCCATCACTAATGAGTAATGGAAAGGAAAGGCTTCTGAAGGGAAATTACAGCTCAATTAATTTTATTAGACTTTGTTAACAAAAGATGTTCAGATACAAATGAACCTATATCAGGTTCCAACCTTGCACAAGTACAACCCAAAAGTATTATGCATTAACCGAATGGAGTCAGCTACCTTTGTTACAAAAGCAAGGGTGTTTCACGACATACACTCAGGGCATCCTTAAGAAGGGCTTAGCTCAGTGGTAAAGCATCTGCCCTGTAAGCAGAAGGTTCCAGGTTTGGTCACTGCCATCTCCAAGAAGGACTGGGAATGTCACCTGCCTGAAGGCCTGCAGAGCTGCTGCTACTCAATCAGATGACACTGTGTGTGATAGACCACTTGTCTGACTTGAAATAATGCAGCTTCCTATGCAACTCCCCCCTCTTCTCAGAGAATAATATTTCTTGTCCTCAAAAATCAATGTCACTTTAGTCACTACTTTTTAATTCATAGTTGCAATAAACCCACCATTTCCTGTCACATTTCTATCAGCCTATAGGGAGAGATGTTAATATTTAATGCTTTAAATAGCACTGCACTTAAACTGCGGTAGCTCATTGTCAAAACGCAGTACAAATTTTAACAACATAATTCTTAGAATCCTTTTGAGACAGAAAAGAAGTGACATTTCTGAGCTTATATACTCAGCTTTTTAGGCCAGGCATCTTTTCAGGCACCAAAAATGTAATGTACGAGGCACAAAATGTCTGGAGCTACTGTCAAGATCACTGCCTTACATAAATCACTTGCAAGCGTTTATTCTCTCTCATCTTCTAAGTCATGAAAGCAAGATTTACTGTGTTTTTGTGTGCTCAAAAGGAGTTTCCACAACCAGGAACACTGTTTTGGGATAGAAGATTAAATCGCAACAAACCGTACACCTACCTCTACCTCTACTTGTATAGGAGGTGCACGGATTTCTACCTGGAAAAGTGAGTTCAAGTCATCTGACACTATTTAAAGCTCTGATGGGATCCAGATCAATCAAACTCCATGCACAAACATTGAGCCTGCCTAGTTTCTTCTATTAATCAGGAATTGTGGAAACAGGTTAGTTTTGAAATAGCTCATGAGTACAGATAGGCTTTAGATTGGGACATCACTTTAGAAAATAATTATCCATATTGAAATAATTTCCAGTAGGGAAACAAAATGCACTAGGCCACATTATTTATCCTACTCATGTACATGGTTGGTTCTGTACAGCACAATGTTAGTGGAACTTACATTTGGTTCCTACCCTGTTACTTACCATTCATTAGGACCGAATGGCAAATTACACACACTCTGGCTTCCTTTCTGTCCATATATAGCAGTTTGCATTTTAGACTGCAGCAGGCTGCACAGAAGACCTTAAGTAAAATAGCAAAAATATATTCAGTCACTGAGCACTCTTTTATAACTACAAGTTTTCAGATTGAATTCTGTACCTATATAGCCAACACTCACCAGTGCTGCTTTATCCTCATCCTACAGGAAAAGTGCTAGAATGACCCCCCCCCCCCAAAAAAAAACCCAACAACAACAACCCAAAACAACCTTAGTACAATATTCCTGTCTTGTAATGAGTTACGGGATTTATATTGATAAGACAGAATATAACATAATGGGATATAATAAAACTAGAGGCACCCATTATTCACATTATTTGATTATGCTGAAAACAGGAAATGTCTGAGTTAATATTGTGGTATGCAGGTGATCATCCTATGCAGAATATCAAAATCTTACAGTCTTTATAACCTTGTCCACTTTCCCACTTCATAAAATAAACTCATTAGAGGTCTGAACACACTTGCCCTCAACTCTGTGTTGAGGTCTCCCGGCACCTACACTGAAACAGTTAGCCAGTCAACATTTAGTTTCATAGTGGCCAAGCTTTACTTCACCTTTCTCAAACAGCAAATATACTCAAGCATAGTCAAAATGCACCAAAAATAGCTCCTGGTTTTAATTCAGGAAGTAAGGCTGGTTTTGTCCTATTAGTTATTGCCTTATATTGCATAGACAGTAGCATTTCAATTTCTAATGAGGTTCTTGTACTCTTTCCTTCCTGTGATCTAACAATATATATTTAATGAAAAATTAAACAGCCGCTCAACTTTGAATGAAATTTTCCACACTCCAAAAAAACGTACAATATTTTATATTTCTGCACTCATGGAGGGGTTGTTGCTGGAAAATTCAGCTCAACAGTAGACTAGGATGGAAATTTAAATTTATGAAAAAAATCAGTGCCCTAAGCTGGGAAATGAAATATTAACTTTTCATTCATAATTTACTATTCCAAACATCCCAACTACATTAAACAAACCAAATATTTAACAATAATCCTTTCACAGAAATGAAAACTTTAGATTAATTGTTGAAAATTCTTGTAACATGTATAGAAGATGTCTCTTCCCTCATTATCTCACTGAGAAAGAAAAATACAAACTGGCCTAATCTCTACAGAGGATCTCCCCAAATCAATTGTTATATCTTTTTTTAACCCATGTTCAGGACAATCTTTGCTAAAGTTGAATTCAGTGAGGTGCAAGTTCTTATGTAACTTATTCACTGGAGAAAAAGAGTATCACACTGGATACAGTAATGCTTATTCAAACAAAGTCAAGGTCAATGAAAAATCTGCTGCCCAGAGGAAATGAACTGTAAATAAAGCAATGCCAAAATGCTTCATGTAAAGGAAAACATCAGCATAGTGTTGGGTATTATAGTGATTATTACCTATACCAATTTGTGCATCAGCATGAAATATTAAGGGAGAGAGAGGTTCTTATACAGCAATAAACTACAGTGGTGCTGTCAGGGCAGTGACATGCAATCCCACTTTCAATACTGTTTGTACCTGCAAAGGTTTTGGGGCAGCCACATTTCTTCATTTTCAACCAGTGCATATCCTGTAACTGTCTGCTGAAACCCTATTACTTTTTATACCGCAAACGTTCTGGTTTTGTTGCACAATTGTTGTTACAACAATAATGAGGCAGCACTGGGGCAGCATCACAGAACAAATTTAAGCAAAATAAATCCACCACTTTTGCACTATTGTTGTGCCAAGGATACGTTGCAGAATAAACCTGTGATAAAACACCAGCCTGAAGGGGCTCTCAGTGTAAAACAAGTTTCAAATGGGAAGAAAGAGGTGTCTATTACAGTTAAATGGTTTTAAAAGGCCTAACGTTTTACTACAAGCAGGAATCCCACTGAAAGAAAAGCCCCTGTGCTTTCTTTGATAAATAAAATGGATAATTGCTAAAGAAAACACTTCCATTTCTACAGCACCATGCACAGCTGTGCTGATTACAGATCTTTTATTCACTTAATTCTACTTTACCTTGTCTTAGTTGAGAACAATATTCAAGTCTGTATTTTTATAAGGCCCCAAGATATCAGGCTTATTTTACATCCAATTTAAAATGAAAGCACAGAAATCCTAAATGCCACACATTTACTTATTTCTCAGGAATATTTAAAAAACAAAATATTGGTATTTTTTCAGCTGAAAACCGGATAACATGATACAAAACCAGGCTTACGAATGACTTTTTGTTTGGTCACTTATGCTAAGTCAGCATTCCTTTCAGGCAACCAGACAGAAAATATTTTTCATCATCTCTAAATCTGCTAATGAGTTAGTTACATGAAGGCAGGTGGGATATAAAGATTTTGTTGGAACATATTGTTTGTGGACTTATTTCTACTGATGTGTGCTAAAACCACTTGTAAAATGGTCCAACCTGTATAAGAAGCACTTGTACAGAGAAGTGCTTTACCCATTACCAACATCATGTATTTTTAGCTATCACAACATTCCCTCTCCACCCTAGAGTCTTCTAAGAATTTGGAGTGGTGTTATATTGTAATAGTGATACCACAAATGTATGAAATAACAAGCAAATCAGTTAATTTTTGGCTGATCAAACATTCAGGGCAGAGATTGCTTACTGCTTGCAGCAATGGCTTGAAAGCATGGCAAGCACCTTTAGAGAACTACATACAACTCTCTACTTAAAAAGGAAAAGGGAAGTCAGGGAACAGCCACTGCCTGAAGACACCTCTTTCCCCCTCCCTCTGCTTTCACCCTTTCTGATCCGGAGTAGGAAAGGCCAGCAGAAGGGTTGCCAATTTGGTCTCCATGGCCAGGCTCACCAGCTGCCAAACCACCTCCCAACCTCTCATCATGGACCACCCCACAGCTTGAAAGCTGGGGTGAAGGTTGGCTGTTTATTACTCTTGCCAGAATGTGATGCCACACTCACCACGACACGCAGCCTATAGTGAAAAGTGGTTTACCCAGTGGGGCAGAGCAGCACCCTAGATTCCCATCAGCTGGGCTGCTGCTGCTGCTACTTATCAGGAGGAGAAAGCCAAGGTATGAGGCATCACAGAAGTTGGTGTGGTGCGTCCACACTGGCAAAGCCAATCCGGCATTCCCGCCAGTTGAGCCACACCACACTGACCTCTCTGTCACCTTGCTCCACTACCTCCCAGTAAGCTGCAGCAACAACACCTCTGCCAGAAACCTAGTGCTGCAGCTCTGCTTCTGCCTGTACTTAATCACAAAGTGTGCTGGGGGGACCCCATAAGATTCAAAAAGTTATTTATTTGGGGTGTACACTTGTTTTCTAGCTTGACGCAAAAATAACAATTAATAATACCTTTAACACTCATGTTATTTTCAGTAGCCATTAAAATAAATAGATATCTAACCTTGATTTGCTAAAAACTACAAAATGCTTACTAAAAATATCCCCTCAATTCTGTGGCTTCAATCATTTGTGAAAATATTTCATTAAATATAAACATACCTTCCCACAGGCTCTGCAATGGTGTCGTCTTTTAGTGAATGTAAATCTGGCCTCACATTTCATGCAGTTTGGTGCTTGAGAATCTGGAACCCAGACCGGAGCCACTTCGCCCAAAGTAGTAAATGGCTTTCTTGTAGGAACTCCAAACTGGCCAGCTCCAAGGTCGTTGTCCGGACTATCTGAAGCTGCTGCAAGGCACGAACTACTAGAAACCCCAGACTTATAATCATCAGAATGCTCCCCGCCAATATCTGTGACTGATGCACTCAGTGATGTTTCATCAGAAAATACATTTGCTATGTTTTCACCTACTTTTACTTTTCCAGATACATCATTTTTGTTTTTACTGTTTCCTCCACAGTTTGGGGGAACCAGATCATTTTGTAAATGGTCCGATAATGGCTTTGGAATTTGTAGTTTAAGATTTGTAGGCTGTTTGGGTCGGGCACCACCAAAAGGAACACTGAGAGGTTGCAGACTACCTGCTTGTTTTGGTGATGCTTGACTTGTTTCAGATGGTACCTGACTGCAGAGATTATGTAAATGTTTTTTTTTAATTTGGTCACCAGTGCAGTTCAAAATGAGCCCACTTCTCTCTGTGGCCTCATTTCCTCTTTGTTCATAAACATTATTGTAACATTCTGATTTGCTCTCCTCTATCTCCTTTTCCTCAGTCACTGAGTCTTCCTTGGAGGGTAAAGTCTTTGGAATATGAGCAAGAATTGGGTTCTGTATTCCATAGGAATCACAACAATTGAGCAGAGCACTTGATGCCGATGTACTCATGACATCAGTGGGGCTGGAATCTTCAAACTCATCCATATATGCTCCCTTTAAGTCCTGACTTGCTACTGTCATGCCATCGCTGCTATCTCCATTACTACTACATGCTTCCTCCCGCTTTGCTGTATGCAACAGTGTTTCATCCTCCCCAGGTGTTTGCTCATTACTGATCTGATTTTCTTTAGTCAGTTCCCCATTTGCCATCTCCTGAGATTCTGATAAACAAACTGTCGTGCTGAGCAATTCAGTTGAGCTGAGTATTTTTTCATATTTGTCAGCTTCACTGTCAGCAGCACCAACATCCATAGAGGCCAAATGTCTGTCAGAACTTTCACCGTGATTACCACTTTCAAGCGTATTTGGCTGACAAGTTGCAGAGACCTCACATATCCCTGACTGAAATGGCTGGGCTGCTGGTTCTGCAACAGAAACCTCTGTGGAGAAACCACCATTACGTGAACTAGGTAAACAGTTTCTAGTTTCCAGCTGAGCAACAGCATCAGTATCAAAACCCTCACCTGATGCACAGCTTTGCTGTATTTTAACACTAGGGCCAAGTGGCCTCTGCAATGTAATTACATTCATCCCTGCTGCTGCAGTTTCTGAGAAATGAAGGTCTTTATTTGAATTATCATTCTCCTTTAACCGAGAAGAATATCCACTGGATAAGCAGGCAGAAGCAGCAACACTACAATGGTTGAAAAAATCTTCTTCTGCAGGTAGCCTGTTTGCTTGTACTGCATCTTTTTCAGTATCTGAATCTTTTTCAATGGACCCGTTTACAGTAACATCAATGTGATCAGTTTGTTGGGTTTCATTATCCAGTGTAAAGCTAACAGTATCCATTCTGGGGGAATTGCTGTAATTTCTACAATCTAACAAATCATTTTGCAGTCCTTTTTTGTCACAGTTATGCATGACTGCTACTACAAGAACGTTTTTTTCCTCTGGTTTCTTTTTCCTTCCTTCTTCATCCATCAAATTGTACAGGGCATTTCGATTGCTATTTCTCTTAACTAGCTGATGATCATCTGTTGCTGCCTGATCATCAATCCACATGTTTGGGCTTTCTTGTCTTATATTAAGATTCTTTCCATTAGAACAGCAATCTCCTCCTCCTGTTGATGCAGTGGCTAACTGAGACAGGGAGAATGACTTCAACTTTTGCGGACACTCATTAGGAATTGTGGATTCATTCACGTTGGCCAGAGCTGGGTTAAAAGACAGCCGATGGGAAGGAGGATCTAGGATCTTATTCCACTTTGCATCCAACAAAGTAGGTGAAATGGCTTCATCTGAAAAGATAAGTAACTTAAATCAATATGCAATAAATTCAGCATATGCAACTTGTACTTTGCACAAGAAGTTCAAATGTTTGTATATCAAAGGAAAATACATAATACTGTATTGGCCTGAATATAAGCCTCACTTTTTTTCCAAATTCTGTCCGTGAAAAGTTTAAAGTGTGGCTTAAATTTGCGACCTTACAAAAATTGGCTTTTATGATATTGCTACTGAAACAGACATATGGTAAAATGGAATGGGTGTGAATGCCTGCAGAATTTTAAGGGAGCAGCTTATATTCAGGTATTATCTTTTTTTTCCTCCTCCCCCCCCCCATGAATTTTAAAGATGCGGCTTTTATTCGGGTGCGGCTTATATTCGGGTCAATACGCTACTATTCCAAGAACTGTAGACCACAGAATTACAGAGTTGGAAGGAACCACGAGAGCCATCTAGTCCAACCCCCTGAAGTGCAGCAATCCTTCACCCCGTGTGGGTACTACATTACAAGTGTATTGCGTAACAATAATTATTATCTTATTTTGCAAGAAGCAATTATAGTTAAACTAGCTTAAACCCAGGATCAAACAAGATCCCAGTTTGCATGAAAATTACTGTATTTCCATCTTTTGAAATGTATGCAGTTCTACAGTCACAAAGGTCTCAGTCTAAATCAGAACCACAGTGTGGGTTGGTTTAACACTTTACCTCTTGAAGTTTCCCAATGAAAACCACCCATAAGTTGCTATTTGCCCTAGAAGAACACACAAATGGGTGTCATATGTTTTTCATTCCAGAGTGAATAGTAGCTTAAGGGAGAAATTTTGTGAGGAAAAAAGCACAGAGACAAGTATTAAAATATTCCTTACCCTGTGCTGGAGACCCAATGCAGATTAGGTACTCCCACAACTGCTATTTTTTAAATCAAATTCAAAAAGATGAAAATGCAGTCATACATTTCTCTAGATTATCAGTTTGGCTCCCAAGTTAGATTTCTGGTTTTGATTAGTCTCTAAGGCCTGGAACAGAAATATTTCTTTATAATACACATTTTATGGGAATACGTAATCTTAACATCTTGATTGATATATTTAGCTGCAAACCAGAGGAAGTAGAAAACAACAGCATTAAGACAAACATGTAAAACCCAAACAAGAATTGACATCATATAAGTTATTCAAAGAAGCTGGGGACAATATAGCACAGCAAACTGAACTGAATGTCAATTTTGGAGACTCAAAAGCACATTGAAATTCCTGTTTAATCTTAAAGCTAATTGGGTGACCTTGGGCAAGACATCATCTTGCAGCTTTAGCTAACTTCACAGAATAATCGTAAGCATAAATGAGATTAAAATAATTGCAAATCGCTTCTTATACTGAAAAATATTGTGGAAGCAAAAGCATTTCTAGTTACTGTTCCCTTTGTAGATGGCATTGTTAACTGTATAGCAATTCTTAAGTGTTTTACATAACTATATAGCTTAGGAACACTGCGGAAACACTGGAATAAACTGCTTTATACATTCTCCAGTTGCCAAAATCAAAACAGAGATCATGTAAAATTAAATAAATGCATGTTTGTTCCACATATAATAAAAAAAATCACATACTATACTGAAAATCTCTGTAGAGGTAATAGGGCCCAAGCACAGAAAGTCCATTAGTTAGTATACTGCTGCCAACTGTATATACTGTTCTGGCTAAAACTAGACAAAATGAGAAATGCATGGTTGCATTTCACATGTCTTTTTTTGGGAGGGAGGAATAGCAAACATTAAGAAGCTCATCAGGACTGGAGCTACAATGCTTAAAAACTGGAGTTTGGCCCTTTCCCCCGGACCATGGTTCTTTTTATACACACGATACAGATGCTGCTATTTACCAGAAAGGAAAGTTGCCACTGTCACCAATGGCAGCTTCTCCCCCAGGGCAAATAGCAGTGGAGGGTTCATACACCCTCCACCCCCCCCCCCAATTTATTTTTTAAAAGCAGGCCACATTAAAGGAGAACATGCATTTCTAATATCATCTAGCTTGGCTGCCAGTTTGCAATCTAAACCATGGCCAAAATATAAATACTTCATCAAAGTGCACCTGCTGCCTTTTATACATGCACACAAACATAAACCAATCAAAACTATTTTGGTATTCATATGGTAACAAATTTGCAGTGCTATACCAGTTTAAGGTGGTGAGTGTTTTAAGAACTCTTCAGCTGCAGTAGTGACTGGGGAGGAAGCAGAGACCCTTTCTGGGGAGCAAAATCTGTCACTACAGCATTCAGGTGAACTACCCTGAGATCGGTGGATGAAGGGCAGTATGCAAATTTAGTAAATATAAAAAATAATAATAAATGAAGAACTGCAACTTCTCCACCCACTGAAGAACGGCTGGATAAAGAGACAGATTCACCCAATTCAGCCACATGTGGCTGACGATGATATCTTCTTGGCACACAATGCTCAATGCCAGCAACAGCAAAAGCAAAAACCCTCTCAAAATTTAGTCCTCACACTCCCCAAAAGGGGCTGCTTTTTGCCTCTCCAACCGTCCTTCCTCCAGCATCCGCCCTTCAGACTGCTGCAGTGCTTTCTCAAACAGCAATCCAGGAATCATATCTGCTTTTTGCAAATACATCATTTAGCACCATAAAAAGGGAAACCACTCAGGAAAGCAATTAGTCTATGAGTTATACCCACAGACTAAAACTATTTTCGTTTCTCAGAAGAACACTACAGCGTGGACAAGCCCTAAGAAAGCAATTTCTATCAGCCCAACTAGCGAATAAATGTTGGCCAAAAAAGGTAACCAAATCACATTAACTCTCAAATAGCACTTTGATTGCTTCTGTAGTTGGAGTCATTAAACACCAAAGGTTGTGTTTTTCCTTAGAAAAGCTATTTATTTATTAATGGCATGTGGTGCCACAAGATGACCATTAGCTGTGATGGCTTTAAAAATGGGATTAGACCTTCCATCAATTAGTCTGACAATGCCTATTAGTTATGATGACTATATGAAGCCTTCATGTCTGGAAGCAGTATACCACATTACTAGGTCTTGGGGAGAAAAAGTGGGAGTGGAAATAGCCTACTTATAATCTCCCCAAAGGCACCTCTTTGGTTTATGTGAGAAACAGGATGCTGAACTTGACAGACCTTTCATCTAATCCAGCCAAGCTCTTTTTGGGTTTGCCTGTTTCCATTGTTACACTTTTCATGCCAGAGAATGCCCTACTTGTACAAATTATACAATGATAAATCCTATCCATGTTTTAGCAGGCATTCACAACAGCAGAACAGTGAAGTAGCATAGTATAAGGGGGAAAGTGACTTAGCTACATACAAATCACGTAACAGGGAATACAGCAATCACAGACAAACAAACCACTTGGCAATTTAATTTTACAAAACATGTTTGATGTTTCAATATTGTGTGAATGCCATTTTTTCTTCTCCCTCCTCAATGTACACATTTAGTAATGTAGTTAGTAAGTTGATAAGATCTTGTATTCCTACAACAAGCCACAGAACCTAGGGAGGAATACACCTACCAAACCCCATTAGAGGAAGGCTTCCACAACAGGGCTTTCCCCTCCCACACATGCAACATCTATAATTTGCTCAAGGGGTTGGGAGAATCCCCAAAACAGCACACAAGAGCAAGGGATCATTCCATCTGGGAAACTGATACGCTTGTACAGATGGAATATTTGTAACAGCGTGAAGCTGAATTCCCCCCTAGTTATTTGTGATTACTCAGGGAGTTTACTATTATTATTTTGTGATGTAATCCAAATGCTAACACAAACAACAAGCTGTAACCAATATTTGTTCTTGGTTTACCACTCCTGGTTCATCTGGAGGAGAGAGAGACCATGAGCCTGGGTTCAAATGCATGGCTAAGCCGAACTATGGCTTAGTCCTGGGTAGCACAGTGGCAGCAGGAGCAGGAAAAAACGGCAGTGGTCACAATCCCCTGGACCCACACATTTGCTCATTTGTGCTAAGCCACAGTTTATGTTAGTATTATGTGCAAATTTTAGCCTTCAGTTAGCAGAGTCATAGGTATAGGAAACAGACAATTAATCAGTGTTGTAAAAGCTAGTTAAGACTTGTGATAACTAGGAGCACAATGAAATGTAACACTGAACTTAGTGTAAAATGGGGGATTGATCTGGGAGTATGTGCATTCTGGGTGGCAAAACAGCGGACGGAAGCTGATTACTTCTTATGCACAGACAGCTAATCTTATCTGTACTAGCTCTAGCTGCAAGCAATTCTCACCTGTGAATTATATATCTATGCAATTGTGCCAATGTTTGACACCCAATTAATACAGGGATATCATTCATGTAATCACTGAAATTTTTAAGACAATTATTTTAACTGTTTCTACCTAGAAAAAAATTGTAGATTTCTCAGTATCCTTTTCAGACTTTTATTCCCAGCAAATGCATAACAGATGTTAGTTACAATGGAACAGGAAATACAAAGAAATACAACCAGAGTCACAGATCCAGATATTAGTTTGCATCTCCAGCCCTAACAAAAGTTACTCACCTTCATTTTGTTCAAATTCATCTAAAACCTTATCAAGGTTAAAAGCCTCTGCCTGGAAATAGTTCTCCATTTGTCAGGAAATGCCACCCAGCTCCTTGTCTGAACCTGTCAAGCAGACAGCCAGTTATGAACTTCTAGCAATATTCCAATGTCCCATCACAAGATTTAGAGATTATTACCAAGCTTAAAATTTAAGCTAGTTTGACTATTTCCTATAAAATCAAAAGCATTTCCCAGTATTACAAAACTGTGATGATGAAACTGTATTGATCCTCTAATTCCTAATGCCTCATCCATATCAGCCAGATATACAAATAAATTAGAAGCCTTCTAGACTAAGAATGGACTTAAGGATTTATTTTGGTTTTATCAGTTATTTGCTGCAAGTATTATTATTATTAATATTTTTAAAAACCCTAATAAAATCATATTGTTCCTTTTCTTTCTAAAGACGGGAAGGGGAAGGGGAATCCTAACTCACAGATCTAATGGATGGAAGGGGTTAGGGTTGCATGGAGGAGCCCCTCTGATGGCAGTGAAGATGTCTCCATTGGAGAAGGGGGACGTTATGTGGGAAAGATCCATAGGAACAGTTCTATTTTCACTAGCAGTAATCAGTGTTAGGCCCTGAAACAAGGCACTCAAAGGGCAGAGTATGACTGGCCGAGACAGGATCAGGTCTGCATCCATGCCACTCTGGAACTGGTATATCTAATTTCCCTCTCCATTAGAACCAATGGGGTGATTCTTTTAAAAAAGAAAAGGCTCCCTGGGAGCCAAGAAGACGACAAGTCTGTCCTCACACCTCCAACCTTGCCAGTGCTAGCCAACATAGGATTAAAAATAGAATACAATCTGTCACTTCACACCCCAACCTACAACTCACTTGGAATCACACTCTTAGCTAACTTTTGGAAATAAAAGTCTTTTGTAAGCAACTTAGAGAGTTCTTGTTTGAGTTAAGTAGTACAGTGGTACCTTGGATTAAGAACAGTTTGGTTTAAGAACGATTCAGTTTACAAACTCTGCAAAACCAGAAATAGTGTCCCGGTTTGCAAACCTGAGCTCTGTCTAAGAATGGAATCCGAACGGTGGAAGGGCAACGGCAGTGTGAGGCCTCATTAGGGAAAGCGCGCCTTGGTTTAAGAACGGTTTCGGTTTAAGAACGGACTTCCAGAATGGATTAAGTTTGTAAACCGAGGTACCACTGTATATAAATTTGGTTAAATAACAGCAGGATGACTGGCATGATGATAGAAAATGTACCAATCTATTCTTTTATGTATCCACTAAAACTAAGATCCTATGTAAAATATGAAACATTGCAGGACTTCCTAAATGAACACATTCAGTGAGCTTCACAATGGCAATTATTAATAACTTTGAAACAAAATTAATATGTATCAACTACTGAAACCAATTTACTGCCTAACGCTGCCAGCCTCCATTAGTATCTACTCCTTCTACCAAAGCAGAGCTCCCCCATTCTACCCACCAGACCAGGTGTGTGTGCTCTAGTGGGAGAGGGGGAAGGGCACTAAGCTGGCTCAGGAGCTACTGGATCTTCAGTGAGCCCCAGTGCCATCACGTGATGGCATCAGTCCTAATCTAGGCCCCACCTTCTGCATCGCCTAGCGTTGTTTTAATTTTTTGTAAGCTGCCTTGAGCCCTGGTTCTGGGAAAAATGTGGGGAATAAATAAACAAAAGAATAAAAACTAGATTTGTCCAGATTGTACAAACACAGCTAAAACACAGAAAGCTAAAAAGTTATAATCAATAATAGTTGAAAAGTAATTAAACAACAATGGAATTAAAACAATGTAAAAAATAAATCTATTAAAATACAGACGGTAAAAACAGCACAACACTATTAAAAACCCTTTCCTTAAAAGCAATCAGCTCCCAAAGGCCTGCTGGAATAAAACAATCTTCACCTGCCAGAGGAAGGCCACAAGGACAGAGTTCAGTCTAGGTTCACCAGGAAGGGAGTTCCAAAGTCTGGGAGCAGCCTCTCCTGCGTTCCCACAAAAGGTGCCTGTGAGCGTGGCAGGAATGAGAGAAGGGCCACCTCGAACATCTCAAGAGCCCAAATAGGTTTGTATGGGAAAATACCCTGGGCCTTCAGATAGCCTAGGCCTAAGCAGTATAAGGTTTTATAGGTCACAACCAGCACTTTGAATTGTGACCGGATACAGACCAGTAGCCAGTGGAGCTCCTTGGGCCCTTTAAAAGTTTTCTAGCACTTTTCAAAGGCAGACCCATGTAAAGCATGTTACAGTAATTCAAATGGGATGTAACTAAGGTGTGTGTCACTGTGGGCAGATCAGACATCTCCAGGAATGGGCACAGCTAGCACACTGGCTTTAGCTATGCAGATGCACTCCTGGCCACTGCAGAAACCTGGGCACTCAGGCTCAGGGTTGCATCCAGTTACTAACTCAGACAGAAATCAGCAGGATTTCAATAAGTAGTGACTAAAGTATCAAATCAGGAAAAATTATCATATTTTTTCCGTGTATAAGACAAGGGGTTTTTAAACCAAAAAATTAGGTTTAAAATTGGGGCTCGTCTGATACATGGGTAATGCTGAGGGGTGTTTTCTTAATTTGGAGTCCCCAAAAATAGGGGTGTCTTATACATGGGGGCATCTTATAAACGGAAAACTATGGTAATCAGTCTTCCGACCATACACACAACTCATTATCTATGCTTGACCCAAGAATGCTACCAGTAATTTCTCATCCGTATAACAGATTTGAACTACAAGGACGCATTGGGAGATGTTACCTAATAAATATATCATCTTGGTAACTCCTCAATGACCAAGTAACTTTATAAACCATCTCTACATAAAAAAGTTTTGAATGGATGAGGTGAAACAATAATTGCAAAGAGGAGTAGATGTGACAGTTCAGAAATCTTCACTTTATACAAATATATATTCCTTTCTTTTCCACAGAACATTTAACAACCCCACAGGAAACAAAGCTATACTGAAAATCACTGACTTGTCCAAAGCTATCTAGTGAGCTTTACTGTAGTATGGGCTCTTGACCATTTCAGTCCAATAAATTATATAATGGACATTTTAAAAGATGACTCCTGTTAATTCAATAATATTTTGTCTATTGTGCTTTGTATTCTTGAATCTGCAGCATCTACAATATCTAACCTAGATTAATGCATGACAGGATACAGCATTTAGCCTAAGCTTTGCCAACCACATAATCCTGGTGGACTGGAACAACAACTCAAAACAAGCCAACATATTAGTCAAGGAAGTAATACTATTTCACACTAAAGTCTTAAATGCAATGTGACTGATATGACTTATTCAAGATCTAGGACCTTACAGAAATTAAAAGAGAGATTTGAATATCTTACAACAGTGTTTATTATATAGGGAAGGAAATCTGAACACAGAATTTTAAAATTAACACTGTAACGATAAAGTGTAGTACACACAACTGACCTGTTCCTCCACACAGTCAAGGGATCAACCAATTCTTTAACCAGAAGAAAAGCCTGCAATTTTTAATGCCACCATCCAAATAAACATTGAAGAAGTCTGTGCTGGTATGCAAAATAGGAGGCCTTGCATGCAGACAATGAACCAGACAACCCAGTCATTCAATATATCGTATGTAACCTCATAAGTGAAACAAATAAGCTAGCTTGTTATGTGCACCTTTCTAAAACTTTATCCCAAATCTATCCTGCAAACATTTGTGCTGGAGAAGGCAACCAAAATACATTAAATCAAGAACTTAGTGACAGTGCCTGATTCCACAGCTAGGTTTCAAGGAAAAAAACAGAAGTCTAAAGAAAAAGCAGGCAAACTTGGCCTTAAATACACTTCAGTTCACAATCCAATTAGTAAGTATGTAATATTCACAGCACCCATTTACTGCAAAAGCACAGCTAAAAGTTGTTAAATTTACAGTACAGATGGCAACCATTTCATGTGGGCGATCCACTTCTAACCTGTGTATGTCGGCATAGCACATATAAGTGCACCACCCCTCCACCTTCTTCTGGGTTCAAAAGGACCAGCGCATCAGCAATCACGCCCAAAATGGTCGCCACCCATAGTAATTTTCTTACAAACAGGAAACTCTAAACTTTAAATTTAAAAATGCATGATTCTATTGCAGAACACTATTGTGGCCAGCAATGATAAAAGTAATAATATATTGAGGGCCACAGCTTCCTTGTCCTTGCTTTAAACAAAACACCCTAGAAACATTACTAGAAATTAGACTGATTCATAACTCTTATTGTGGAAGGCTCTGGGGTGAAAATATGTTTTCCTGCTTGGTTGTTTGTTGCCCTAGAAGGAACAGCAGGCCAGAAGCTCAATAAATAAATAAATTTCTGATCTGTTTAGGCCTGCAATATAAGAAGCATACCAAGGATGCAAATTTAAAGGCGCTCTCTTAATTCAAATATTCCAGATGTATACTGTCATTTGCCATCCTCTTACCTTTTTCTCCTACACATGCATAAAGAAACGAATGAACCAATGTCTATCCATGATATACACTGCCCAATCAGCTAGTTGAATTGAATCTGTATATTCTGCTTGATCCTAAAAATGAAACAAACACCACATTAGAATTCCTAAAGCTGCTATTAATTGTATGTAGTTTAGCTATTTTCAGCCTGCCTCATCTTGAAAGCCAAGTTAGGGTAAGATTTTCCCCCTCTGAAACCTATTAAAAACAATTTGATAACATAACCTTCGCTCCACTACATTTAAGTGGCCACCAAAGAAAGACCCCCACCAAAAAGATACCAATTATTCCTTGTCTCCAACACATGCTCCCAAATCTCCACAGCAGTTACACAGATGAACTATCAACTATCCTTTCCCAAATAAGGTGTAGACAGCACACATCTGATCTCATGAAGAGGCAGGAGGTAAGATGGGCTTAAACTAGTTTATTATCAGTGTCCTGAACTGCATCTAGTCTCTTTATGAGGCCATGCATCCTTGTGTAAATGTGCTTCCCGAAACACAGTCAAAAGCAACTTTAGAAGAGTAAACAAGCCCTAAGACTACAAAGGCATCACAATAAGTTGCTAGATACAAACTTGAAAAGACTTGCCATTTTCTCACTAGCTTAATTGGTAACACTTGCTTATGCCTACAACAGAAATTTGTACTTATTCATCTCAGGTAATAAAAGATTTGGGCACCTAATCTATAGTGGTTCTCACTTTCATTAGGAAACATGACTTTCTTATTATAATAAACCAAGTTTTCTGTGATAGGATTACCTTTTTACCAGATTGGCTGGAGACTAACACCAAAGTATGGAGGAAATAGTCTTAAGGAAATAACCAGGAATAAGTTTTTGCCCAAAGTACGCAGAAGATGGCAAAACATGAGGGCTGCAACTTGAGCTCTTCAATGTATCCTTGTTCCTAGATTGTGTACATCAGGCCTGTCCAACTGGTTGATCGCGATCTACCGGTCGATCTGACCTCTCTCCCTTAAAAAAGCTCAACTACTGTGATCTCTCCCCCCCAAAAAAGCTCAACAGCTCTGGTCAAATCCAATGGGTAGATCACTGCCAGTTTATTTATAGTGGGAGTAGATCGCAGTCTCTTGGACACTCCTGGTGTACATCTTTCCACAGAAGCATTCAACTAAGCCACCGGGTAACTGTCCCTCTGGTTAGTGTACCTTCCCTCCTCTCTGACTCAAATTAATAGAGTGACATGAGAAATTAAATACCAAAACCAAATAAATACAAATGTGTAATGGAAAATAATCATACAGAACAGGACTATCGATTTGACTGGCATACTTTGATGCCTGCAGAAATTTTAAAAATGGCAGACCCAAGTGACTTCTCCGGGGCAAAAGTCTGGGCAGGTCCTAGGCTGCCCAGACAACAAGACCCCCTCTCAGCCTTGCTAAGGAAAGCAGAGCAATATGTTTGGTACCAGCTTGGCTGCAGGAGTTGCCAGAAGGAGGTATACAAAACATCATTCAATCATCTTACAGACTCCATTCCAGATAGGTGTAGGGTTTACTCCTTAGCCTTTTCTTCTCCTGAAGATGTACCACAAGGCTGTGGGTATGTGCCCATCACACTACATAAAAATACATTTTCAACACCACAGAACCATTGTGTGTATTCACTGACTACAATAGTCCTCAAAATTATGCCAATGGGAATGGGTCCTAATCACTTCACTCCTACACACTGATCTTTCCCTAGGGCTGGACGATATCTGGTTTTCAACATTGTGATATACCAGCTACATACTGTGATATAAGGATATATAACGATGCCTGAAATAAGGATGGAACCATGTAGAAGCAAATGGGGTAATGTCCTGGCAACTGCTACCCAGACAGGGAGAGGTGGGGAAGAAGAAGCAGCCAAACCTTGTGTCAATTTCTGGATGGGGTGGAATAGAGAAGGAAAGCAGAAGAGACAGACCCTGGAGGGGGAACTCCCACCCCTATATTCAGATTCTTAGCACAGGGAGACAGACAAACACATGCATGCGTGCACACACACGCACATGCAGAAGACGAGTAACAGGAATTGAGAAGCATTGACTAGCTTCACGGTTTTTCCCACATTGTGGGAAAGCTGACCACAGAACTGAGGGCATGGGAGAAGAGGTGGTAGCAGGGATGGGAGCGGCAGGGGTGGTAGTGGAGGAGCAGCTCTGAGGCAAAGATGCACGTCTGCCGCCTCCCTCAGTGCAAGGAGAAGGGACTGTGGCGCTGGGGAGGGAGGCGAGCAAGCGAGCAAAGCAGGGAGATGGTGGTGCGCTGTTTGGCCTGCCCCTCTCCAAACTTGTGTGTGTGCGATTTGGGAGAGGGAAGTCCCCTTCCATCTGATCTGGTTGCCATCTGATTGGATTTTATTCTGATCCTGATCTGATTTGAGGATGTATTTTAATTGATTGTCTGATTTTATGTTAATGTTATACAGTTGATGTTAGCCGCTCTGAGCCCGGCTTCGGCTGGGGAGGGCAGGATATAAATAAATTTTATTATTATTATTATTATTATTATTATTATTATTATTTCAGGGGTTGTCAACCTGGTTCCTACCGCCCACTAGTGGGCGTTTCAGGATTCTAGGTGGGAGGTAGGGGGTTCTACGGCACAAGCTGAATCCTCCTTCCATCGAGCACTGGTGGGCGGCAAGGAAATTTTACCATCAAGAAAGATGCATTAGTGGGCAGTAGGTATAAAAAGGTTGACTACCCCTGCTCTACATATTTTAATCCCAGCAGTAGCGATTCTCCCCTTCCTGCAGAGAAAAGTCTTGGTTCAGCCGAGCCACTCCATGGGGAAGTCATCAGTTTCCAATTGTTTTGTCCAAATTTCCCTCGTGATATATTGCCAGGTCAAAACAGTTATCACAATGTGAATTCAAAAACAGTTTGGGATGATATACTGATTTATAACCCAGCCCTACTCTCTACCTTTCCTATGCTATGACGCAGTCCCTGGTCAACATATTTTGTGCTGCTTTTTCCAATTCCTGGTTCCATCATCAACAGAGACTTTCAACATTGTTCTCCCTTCCTCAGTAAGTAGAGCATGAAACTCTCAGGGTCATGGGTTTGAGCCCCATGTTGGGCAAAAGATTCCTGCATTGCAGGGGGTTGGACTAGATGATCCTCGTGATCCCTTCCAACTCTACAATTCTATGATCAATAATTACGGAGGCCAAATGTGCAGAGGTGGAGAGAAATTAGATCACAGTTAAGCATGAGTAGAGCAAAGTGCAATTATATAGTGAAAATGAGTGATGGGTGTTATGCCGAAGTGGTGATAAGTTGAGTACTATGCATATTTTGTGTTGAGTAGACATTTTACTAAAAGGCTATCTGGGGAAAGGCTTATTTTGGCGTTTCAATGTGCAGCAGGCATATACATAAAACATTTCTTCTCATGAAGATTACAGTGGTGCCTCGCAAGACGAAATTAATCCATTCCACGAGTCTCTTCGTCTTACGGTTTTTTCGTCTTGCGAAGCACGGCTATTAGCGGCTTAGTGGCTATTAACGGCTTAGCGGCTTTAAGAAAAAGGAAACAAACTCCCAAAAACTCGCAAGACGTTTCGTCTTGCGAAGCAAGCCCATAGGGAAATTCGTCTTGCAGAATGACTCAAAAACCGGAAAACTCTTTCGTCTAGCGAGTTTTTCGTCTTGCGAGGCATTCGTCTTGCGGGGCACCACTGTATTCATGACCCAATAGTCCCATGAGCCAAGGTACACCAAGGATGCAGAATATCCAGCAAAAGGGCATGGCACCATGACAACAAGGTGAAGAGATAAACAACACAAAAGAATCATTATGCCATATTCACTCTCAATTTAATAGCAGAATGAATAGGAGGACAGGGAGTGATGTAAGGACTGGGAGATGCAGAATAATTAACTTCAGTCTTATGAATTTTAGAATGTTGGTGCGAACAGTACTGCAAACATAAGACAACTAAACATCTAAACAAGCTTTCATCCTACTGATCCTACATAGTAATTGTATACCAAACAGCGTACAGCCAGCTAGGTGAACACAGCTACGATTGAGTTCAAAGCAAAATTTTGACACAGCAAAGTGAAATCAGAAAATATGAAAGTGTTTATAACGAGGAAGTGTCATTCATAGCTAGGCACAGCTATTAGGAGATTTGTACAGCACTTTGATCTGCCTTTTACAGGGAACATTACAGATTTCTATGTTTGCTATATTATGGGGGGGATCAACACAGAGGTTTCTGACAGTTACAGATGTTCTAACAAAAAAGGCTGTATACCAGAAGAGACATTTAACATTGATGTATTTGAATACTGTGCAATAAAGCAAAATACAACCAATTCATAGGTTTACTTCATATATTTATATGAATTTCAGTCAATTTAGAAGATGATTCTACAGCATACATTAGCTCAAAATGTAATCATCTGTATAAAATTTTAAGAGTGCATTGATACAATAAACATGCTTTTTATTACAGAACACTCAAGAAGCACAGGCTCAAATGAAGTCTAATTTTAAGATCATCAGCTGATGGTAAATGCCTCTCCCCCATAGTCAATGTATGCGGGAATGTAAGAGATTCTGGTTTCCCATCTGCCACTCCAGTGACAAAACAAAAGCTATTGTGCTTGAGACATGCATTTAACCCTTCTTCTTTTGTACTGGCCTAGATCTGCACTAAAGCAATTGAAAGTAATGGACCACAAAAAGTAAACAATGCTTATCCAAGAAGTCACAACAGTATGCAAACACAAAAAATATATAGGACCTCCTATTTTAGTTTATAAGTACCAGTTGCAGTAAAAACAGCACCTCTAGGCCAGCTGTTCCTCTCAACTGAAACAAATGTGACAGATAACTAACTGTATGAGGTGAACCAGACAGGAATTATCCTCCCCCCACATACACACTATGCAAAATTTGCAGCATGAGTACTTGCCTCAGGTACACTCACTAAGAAGCTGACATATGGACCAGCTTTCTTAACATTTGCACCAAGACAAAAACACACATTGCCTTTTATTACATTTCTGGATACATGCTTTGTTTTCCACAGCACATAAACTAATCTGTTTTTTTAAAAAATAATTTGTAAAGTAGCAGTACAATCTCACCATAGGAGCTGACAGACTGAACTAAAACAAATCTTCCACTCAACTTCTTAGTTAATTAGATGGAGGCAGTGAAGGTTTCGTTTAAAAAAAATTAAATGGGTCATTTAATGAAGCTCAATTTCCACAGCTATTACCAAAAAGATGTCTACAAACAGAATACAAAGGCCGGACCTTCTGAGGCCAGATGCCTTTAAGGAGTTTGAGAGCAAAGCATTCTTTTTTCTACAAAAGTCCATTATTTTCCCATTATTCAAAATAGGCTTAACCTACCAGTACTGAATCTTTGAAGTACTGGTAAGCAAGTCCCATTGACAGGAACTTGCAAAGTCTGTATATAATTAGGGTCTTGCTCTTAAAAGCTATTTTTGTTTAATCAAAAACATACAATATATATTCCGTTGGGAAAGCGTACTTGCGCAAACTTCTTTACAATTCCAGCTACTGTTAATTACCTTTATCTAAAGATTTATTATTTAATCTAAAGGACTGCCTCCTCCAATCAGAGCAGTTCTCCTCATTAACATCTCCAGGAGAGATTCTTCTCTATGTTCTACCAGTGGAAGAGAGGTTCCTGGTTGAGATGTGGAAGACAATCTTCTTGGGATCACATCTAAGCTGTGAAAGTTCTTACTCAAAGGAGGTTTGTTTCACCCAAATAATTGTCTAGTACATAGTGAAGACACTTGTGTTCTGGGGCAAGTCTGGCCTGTTGGACGGATGTGTTTATTGTACTGACTCCACACACTTTTATTGTACTGACCCCACAACCCTGCTGTGATATTCCCCAATCTTGCTTGTTTAAAAATATGCAATTTTATTTTATTTCTTTCATATCCTGAGCACTGCTTTTACAATGAAGGGGCAGGAAATAAATACTTTAAACAAATAAATAGGTCACAGTACTTATGACTCAACTATTTTCCTCATATGCTTATTGTGATTGGTCATCTTGAAGAGAGACTTACTGTGAATTAAAATAAACATACATGTAATCATAATCAATCACACCCTATGACTCTACTTCAGTAGCAGCTAAACCTGCATCCTAAGCTACATAGCTGCTAGAGCTTGGCTTTTAGGAACTGGCTCTCCAGTGTTTCAGTCAGGAGTTTTTTCCAGCCCTACCTGGAGACACCATTAGCAGCAATACTAAGCTTGGTGGACCAATGATCTGACTTGTATAAGACAGCTACCTATAGTCCTTCTAAACACACAATGATGGAGAAAATTAAATACTGTATTACTTTGAATAGAATTCAATTGGTGTTCCTTCATTGGTGAAGGAAATAAATTCCCTCCTGCAAACCCCCAGAAATTTGCTCCAAGGGGTTCCCCAAAACCTCAGCAAATTTTGGGGAGCAGGCAGGGAGGAAGAATTGCCGGCCCTCTAGTTCTATAAAAAATGCCTTCCATCGGCAGAGAAACACTGTTTGCTTCGATCTTTCACATCTTCTTACATAAATTAAAAGGTTTAGGCAACTACTGTTCACTGAGCATTTCAAACAGTTTCCAAAATTTCACTTGTGGCCACACGCTCCAAAAACCTTTGCATCTACTCCCAGGTTTCATTTAGCAAAAAGAAGTCAAAATTACTAGAGACTTGTTTCAACACCTTTGTATAGGGCTTGTAAATAGCTGCTTGGTCTCCTGTGTGAGTAAAAATTGCCTTCAAGCGACTTAATAGGGATATTTACAACAAATAAACTGTTTATTTTTATTTTAAACCACAAACTACTAACTTAAGCACGCTTGGGCTGGTGGGTTAAAAACTGCCTTAATACCAGCACCATGAAAAAAGTATAGTATAGCGCCCTAATATCCATAACTTTGCTTATACAAAGGTGGTATAAACTGATAATTTTAACATGGCTTATGGGCTTCCATTAGAGCAGCTGGTTGACCACTATGAGACAGGGTGCTAGACTACATCCAGCAGGCTCTTATGCTCTTATTAAAATGAGGCAGATTGGTCAAGTTATAACCTTCCAGCTCTAACAAAGCAATTCTATGCATATTTACCTAAAAGTAAATCCCACTATGTTTAATTAGGTTTATTTCCTTGTAGGTGTGTGTTAAGACCGCAGCTTAAGTAGATTAAAGTTCTTCCATAACCCTTCGCACAGGACCATTCACAACTACAGGGATACATACATACTTTATCACTGTTTCTGCTATTCCAATCCTAAATATTTACCTGTAAGCCTGTTTTGAAATATTATTCCAAAATAAATATTGTTAGTTATACTTTATCCAGTTAGATGTTGGCATAAAAATTCTTAGCTGTTAGCAATCCTGCTCTAGTAAGGCATATTATTTGCCTGTTGACTTCAGCATATATTTCTGCATCCATTTACATTTTTCATCTAAGGAGCCCAGTGGTCTAGATATACACTTTCATTTTCAAATGTAAAAGAACAATGAGAACATAAATGCTAAAATACATGCTGAAAAGCATCTGCTCTGAATAGTTCATCCTTTACTTATGCACTAAGAATTAATTTATTAAAATAATGTAAAGCCTGCCTAAGTTATATGTTAAATTATATTTGCTTAGATTTAGAGCTTCATGGATTATGGAAGGATTAAATATTTTGCATTTTTAAAAAGAAACAGCATAGACATTCACAATCTTTAAATAAATTTCAGTAAGATTTCAAGCATGAGACTAAACCAAAGCCTAGATTTGATGCCATGAGACATGCTGCAATTATCAGTGAAGTAAAGTTGCTTTTAAAAAACCAGATCTCTATGGGGCCCTTTAAATTTTGGTCAAGTGAGAGCTGCTTTTTTAATGAAATGCTTCTGTGCAGCTGAGCAACATTTAAAGGACCTCTGGGCCATTGAAGAGCCCTCTTAATTGTGCCAGCATTTACCAGATATCAAAATCTAAAGTTTTTTGTCTACTGTACTAAGTTTAATCAAATGTAAATACATTTTTAGTTTAGTAAATCCTGGCCATTAAATTATACTGATATAAGGCATGTGATATTAAATCCACACCAGAGAAACAAACACTAATTCACTACCACATATGTGCATCTTTGTGTTGCTGATCAATAAAAGCAGTTTTATCTATGTTGGGCCAAGCTCAGACAACCTAACAGTTTTCAGTACAATCCAAATAAGCACTCCACTTTCATGCACCTATATTCAGATTTTGATATTTTACATAATAAATATATTATCCTTCTAGATGTCTATGTGCTAAAAATAATCAACCTGCTGTCCTTATAACCTTTAGTGTGACCTCCATGTTTCCCTTACTCACTCTACCAGGCTCTTTGAAATTTTGCATCCATCTTAAGTCACAAATAAATAGCAGCAGGTTCAGATATGAAAATCTGCACTAACACCCCAAGACCATTCAAGTTTTGTGGACATTTTACATGTGGAACTTCACCTTGTTTAAATATATTAATAAATATATTCTGTTGTCATATATACTTCTATTTCGGTACATGCAAATACTATTTGTTTACATATATGCAAAATACCTAAACATTCAAACTTATCAAGGTAATTCCCATCAGTTATTCATGTTACAAGATATTCAGTCCCTCCATTGCAACCAGTCATCTGGACCTACTTACCCACATCCACAGAACTAAAAAATACCTGAATTTTATCACCAAGGTGAGTATCACTCAAGTGAGCGCAAGAACACACACAATTAAAAGTAACCTTGCCTCCTGGTAAGCGCTCTATTTCGGCAGTTATGGCACGTTTCAAATTATTTAAATAGTGAACAGACTGCAACAAACGACGCCAGAGCAAGGGAAGGTACTTCGGGCACAAAATAGGACACCTTGACAGCAATATTCCCGTCAGATCCAGTATGAGAAACTTGGGCTGCGAACAAATGGGAGCTGCCTGTAAAGCAGCAGGACAGGAAAGAAAGGGGATGCAAGAATGCACAACTGCAAAAACAAGCAAAGACTGTGAAAAGGCGATGCATATGCTCTACGGGGGGGGGGGGGGCTGGATGTATGGGGGAGGGGAATCTACTAATTAACAGAAGCGGTATGAGAAGGCTTGCTCGCTTGTTTGTTTGGGGCGGCGGCGCGGGGGGCTGCCACGTCTTCTCGCTCGCCCCCTGAGATATTAAGAAGGGTGGGAAGCGCTATAAACGAGAAGCCAGGAACTCCTCGCGGAAGGCTTCCCGGTTGCCATGAAGGGAGCAGGGCTCTCTTCCGCTCCATCAGGACAAGCCAGACAAACAAGGCGAGGGATAAGCCGGGACGAGAAGCTCCTCGCCTGCCTCTATTCTCAAGGTCCCGAGGCTTTCATGATCCCTAGTAGGAAGGAGGGAAACTCGCGCCCCTAAGGTTGGGGGGCGGCGGAACTGACCCAAGGTGTGCTGTGGACGAACGCGCTCCGACCCCCAGTTATGTCGCCTCTCGCCCCTTTTGGGCCACCCTCTCTGGCGGAAGGTTCCCCCAGCTTCCTCTCCTCAGGAGCCGTGGGGCGGCCCCCTACCAAGAGAGGCTCCCTTCTCACGCCGCCCCACAGGGGCCTGGGAGAGGATGCCCGGCCTTAGCGGCCCGGCGGAGACCGGCTAAATCGGGAGGCGGCCAGCAGCTTACTCACCTCGGGAGGCGGCGGCAGCAGCGAGCGCCGCCGGGCCTGCATGTCGGAGAGGCTCCCCTCGCTCGGCTCCCGGGCAGGCCTCTTCCCGAGCTCAAGGAAGGCCAGCGCTGCGCCTGCCCGGCCTCCCGCTTGCCCGCCTGTTCCCGACGGCGAGGACTGCCTCCTCTCCTGGCTGGCTGGGCTCCCTCGCCCGCTCCGAGGCCGCCTCAGCTGCCGGCAACCAGCGCCCCCTGGCGGGCCTCAGGGGCAGCGCACGGCACTGCGGCACAAGCGGGGAAGCCTGGCCGGCCTCCTCAGGCGCGGCTGCGTCGTAGAGCGGCGCCGCGGGGAGAGAGCCGCCGCCGCCGCTCCTCGTTTATTTCTCCGTTTCCAAGCGGAAGCCCAGGCGAGGCTTGCTAGGTAGGCACCGGTCCGCCTAGGGAGCAAGCAGCCGCGCGAGCCTCTGGGAGGCGGAGTCGCCAGAGGGCAATTTGGATGCTTTGGGGAAACCCCTCTCGGCGCGCGAGGAGGACAAACAACTGGCTTGCCAGCCGCCTAAGAGGGGAGGACTCGGGCATTGCAAAGAAACGGAGGGGGAGGCGTCAACCTCCGACCGCAAGCAAGGACGCAGCTGGAAATCACTGCGCGTGTAACCTGCGCGCGCGCGCAGCTGTGTGCTCACGTTCGGAAGAATGTGCTGCACGTTAGTTCTTGCAGGATCCCTGTTGCTTGATGCAGATCAAACTCTCATGCAAGCACCCCTTTGCTTTTCCCAAACCCCTTTTTTATTTTTTCGTTGCGTCCCTTTGTTCCTAAGAGATCGGCCAGTGTGTGCTTTATCATCCCTTGGCCCCTTTTGGTGCATATCTGGTCAAAATAATCAGGTGATCCTGCAAAGTTTCAGCTCGATGTCTGCTATCTAATTCTTAAAGTAAGCTTGTCTGGAGTGGACACAGATAAGATTTGTCTGCAAATTCTAAGCAATTAATGGATGAACTGTAAAGGTGAGTCATGCTGCGTATGACTTAAGTTTAGTTTATATGCTGACATTTTGGTAAACTGCCTTGAAGTCATTATGAAAAGCGCTGTATAAATGTTGTAAATAAATAATGCATATCAAATTATTACATACTATCCTTGTGGATCGGGTTGGTTGTCTGCAATGTATTGCAAGGCAGTATTTTGTGGTACAATAAAATATCCTTGTATTGTATTTGATTTGAACACACTTGTGATGGTCACAATAAACTGACTCTGTTTAAAAGCATTGCAACGATATGTGACACGGTGGGCGATCCGACTCTGAGATGGTGCAATTGCATACACATCACACAATGTTGCAGTCATCAAATGATACTGTGTGTGTGTAAATGTTTGAACGTATCAGCCCTTTTAGCTAGGTCCAAACACAGAAATGTATTGCACGGCAACCTCACACTGGTTTTCACCCAAGACAGATAAAGGATCTTTAAGGATATGTCATCAGTGTTGAGTAATTTTGAGTGGAATGGCATGTTAAGGTTCATTTTAGATAATTATAGGAAGACATATAATGGAATTCAATAGAGGAGTGGTACAATCATAGCAGCAAGAGGAAAAGTTTATTTCTGAAGTATCCTGTAATTATAGGAAGTGCCAGGGAGGAAATTGAGTAAGGAGGTAGTTCCTTGAGCATGGACAAGTATTGCAGCAGTCTTTAGAACAGGGTGGGGAACCCTCCAAGCCTGTCTGCCCTCTGGGGCTCTCCCCATGCCACACCCCTTTCCCAGACACATGCCCTTTCCTCAGGCCACCACCAACTCTTTCCATGACAGCTTAATGCTTTTGCTTGACTATAATGTGTTTTTGAACTCCAATAATGCATCTTGCTTGCCTGGATGGAAGACAGAAGAACTAGCTTACTGTACAAAGCTACTTCATATTTGTTGCTCTGCCCATGTTTGCTTCTGGCCCTACCCACCACTGGCATGTCCACCACCACCATGCCAAAGATTGACAACAAGCTCTCCCAGTTCAATAAACAGTCCCCAAACTAGCAAATTTGTTTAGGATTTCAACCTTGAAAGTCCTATTCCTAAGACATGTCCCACTGAAATCCACGAGACTCCTCACACCTGCATTAGGTCATGTTGAGGAGTGAAAAATAGTTATCTGACAACTTTGAATGTGAGGGGTTGGGGAAAACATAGTGCAAAGAGACAAAGAAGTGGGGTGGAAGAAGCAGCTAGGTATGTAAGAGGAGGAAGGAAAGTGGGGCATGATGTAAAAACCTGAAAACCTATAGTTTGTAACATTGTTAAGATGGATTGCAGGGGGCCAATATCCTTCAGCCTGAATAAATTTTGCAAATTCAAAAGCTTACTCATGACTTTGTGGCATTTCAGTTAGTCTTAATAACAATATGACCATATCGTGACTTGCTTCCAAATAACTGTATTTAGAACTGGGATGTTATGTGAACCTTAGTTTGCTTCTCAATGGAATCTAGGAAACATACAGTACAGTATAGAATTCCCTACATAATATAGTGAACAGCTGTTTCCGGCATCTACAGATACAGCAGTTAAATCATGCCCACTGAAACTCTGTGACTGTTGTAAAGCTTGTATTGTGCAATTTTGAATGAAATTTGAAAACAAAATGTAGGTGGCATCTGTCAAAGGCTACGTTCAAGGAAACAAGTTTATAAGTATCTACTATTACAGCATCAGCTTGTTGGCTGGTTTTGTGTGTGATGTGACTGTGAAATACAATTCTTTGATTACACCATGGTAAATATACAAACATGGCAGGGAACATACAATGAAACATGGTGATTAGCTTTCTCCCTTGGGAATATATCCCTGAAAGGTGGCTGTTTTTAGAATTACTATAATGAGGGGTAAAAAAAATCTGAATACAGAAAAAAATACACATTGATCTTTTGCTTATTTTTAGCATTAGGATTTTATTTGCTCAGTTTTATTCAGACAATTGTTTGAGATTCTGATTTCGTCAGCTTCCAAATGGTACTCCAGATGGAAGCAAGTCTCACTATGTTGTGTTGCAACCTTCATACATCCGATTTAACCCTTAATTTAAAGAGAGGAGGAAACTATGAAGGTTTTTGCCTGTTATTTGCTTTTTTCCTTTACGAAAACCATCCCCGGAGGCTTACATGCACAACAATCTGTAGCTTGTTATCAAGCTGGGACTTTTGCCACTGCCACTTCTCCTCTGGTCCCAGGGGGCAGATTACAACATTGAAACACTTATGCCTCAAGGCCCAAAGCAGAAGCAGTATGATGGAAGCTTACCAACAAAGTGATCTCTCCTTGCTTTTGGTGAACATCTCAACACCAGAGGAAACAGATCAAAGCAGTCATGCATCCATAGCAGTGACCAGAGGAGAAATGACCGCTGGGAGGAGTGCAGAGAGAAGAAACACCATGGTGCATGTGCAGCAGCACAACCGGACACCTTCATCTGCCCCAGCTGCAACAAAACATGTCTTTCCCACATTGGTCTCTACAGCCACGGCAGGTGCTGCAACCTTCCAACAGCTTGACCTCATCCACAAAGGCACACTCCTCCAGTTTCCCAAGACAGATGCCAGCCAACCAAGCCACCTCATATGGATCCAAAAGATGCAGTGCAAGAACCCTGGGGAAGTGTGAAGCCAGCAAAAAGGCTGTTGCTGCATGAACTTGTGGCACTGATGATTCAAGGTCAACAAACACAGCCTCCAGTGCAGTACTGTTAAGGGAATGATGCTGTACTTGCTGCAAGAGGTGCTTCTTATGTTGAGAATCTTTAATCTGGTGGCTAGGTAATTCATTAATATTACTGCAGAAATTCCTGGGTGTTTGGATAATGCATTGAACTAATGTAACCCTACAGAAGGCTTAACAGTAAAGAAAATTGCTGAGCTGATCTCAGCTGTCATATTGTGCTCCAAGCAGTCCAAAATCAACCATATCTGCCTCAGATGTTACCACATTATACAAATATAATGCACAACACATAATGTTTATCCAGAATATACTGTCATCATTTTAAATGAAAATATATTTCAGTGGTAAATTAGGAAGCTATGTTTTCTCCATGGATGTTTTCCAGATGGCTAATTTATGTCACCAACCACGAAGTGTCCATTCAGGATCAGCATTATTTTACCCCTTCTTTTTCTGGTATGTAGCTTGGAAAATACTTGCAAGTCTGTACAGGCACTGGTAGTGTATCTACACCATGCTTCCCATTGCCTCTTTTAACAAAAAAACCTATGATTTTCAGGTTTATACATTTCACTAATTTAATAATTTTAACATTTCAAAACTTGACTTCCTTCCCTCTTTTCTGTGGTTCCTTAAATTTATTTTTAATCTCTTCTGCATATCCTAATTAACATGTTCATTTATTCATCTACTTTAAATATATATTCTGATGAAACTGCAGGTTATTACTATAATCCTGCCAATGTTCTTATCTGTTTACAATTTATCTGCAAATATTCAATACTCCATTTCCATTCTTTTATAAAAAGTTTGTTATATTGAGTTCTTATTTTTCTGGTAAATTTTGCCATTTCTACATATTCAATAAGTTTTTGTATCCATTCTTCCTTTGCTTCTACTTTTTTCCATTTTGGGGTAATATTCTTGCTGCTGTAGTAGCATACATGAATAGTTTCTATACGGTTTAAGTGGTTCTGTCCCTATAATTTCCTGTTGCCTCTCCTACAATCAGAAAAAAAATCTGCAAGAACACACACACAATTAGTAATTTTAATTTTGCACTTTTATTTGTAGTAGCTTTGTGCCTTATTTGCACATGTACAGCTATCGAAGGATCTTAACAACCGTACAATATATACCGGTAACCTGTATCAGCTCTTATGTGCAACAAACATGATTATTCTTTCCTTCTGCTCCCTTTTCAAAATGTGTAGTGGTTATATTGTCTTTCTATTCCTAAACCCACTTTCCCTCAAATTAATATCTGTGAAGGAACAGGAAGACAAGATAAAACAAAAGGACAAGGGCAAAATAAAGTTAATCTGCTGACAGGAAGGGAAAGGAAGTTCTCCTGCAGTCACTACAGCACAGATAAGTGTTATGCTAGCAGAATGTGATACCATAAACACAGGGCATAATCAGAATTCTTCAGACCATATTGTCCTAAAACCTCATTTCATGAAAAATGCACAGCAACTAGATTTCAGCAGTAAGATGTTTAGCATCCAGATGTGCTCTCTGGCTCTTTTGAGTTTCCACAGGTTACAGAGATGGGCTAGGTATCTCAGTGAAACAGCCCACACCTTGCATACAAAACATCCCAGGTTCAATTCCTGGCACCTTCAGGTAGGGTTGGGAAAGAATCCTGTCTGAAACATTGGAAGCCCCCCACCAAATCAGTTTCATCAATACTGAAGTAGATGGACCAATGGCCTGACTGTAATATAATTTCGTGTTCTAAATAATGTATTCTTTTAGAAGTAACACATATTGATTCTACTGAGATGCTGGGAAACAAGTTGCCAACAGGCTAGTTAACTAGTTGCCTTGCAACTTACAAGCATTTAACTTGTGCAAATTCAGCTTTATGTATTTGACCACATAAAAATAAGAAGGGGGGTATCAGGAGGGGGGAGCATTGGCAGTCCCACCCACCATTGCACTCACCTTGGAACAGCACCGGGAGATGCAGGGAGTTCGTTCAGTGGCCTTGAGCATGTTTGGAGCTGTAAGGAGTGTATTTTGACTACTGTAGAGGCAATTGTGGCTTTATATTGGCTATTATATTGGGGTAACCCCTGCGTAAGCTGAGTGTCGACTGTACTATGATCTAAAACTTTGTTTCAAGTATAAGTGGGACTACAAAAGTGCTTCTGCAGAGGGCTTAAAATATATTATGGCTCTCTGCACTGAGGTTAAACTATGCTAACAAACGGAGCACTCCCATGTTCCCATGAGGAGGAGATCTGTGGTGGAATATCTGCTACAACCATAGCCCTGCCTGCTTGCTGTGACCAGGCGAGAATGTGGCAGGTGTAGACCTACAAGGTTTCCTCTTCCCGTCAACCTCTTTCCTATTTTCATTAATGGTAAGGAAAAGAAGTACACTCAGTGCAAGGGGAACAAGGAGGGTTTGGAACTGGAAGATCCGAGGCCTCCCCCAAACCCCCCATTTCTGGTTGAACTGGCCTCAGGACACTGCCACTCCAGGGAGCCCTATACTCATAGAGGAGGTTCTCAGCATCCTATGGCAGCATCCTGCCCCCTGGTTCTAAGAGTCGTAGGAAAACCTATTTAAACTGATTCCGCTTATTAGACTATTGATTCAAATAAAACACACTCAGAAGTAAGCTCCATTCACATCAGCAGGACTTACTTCAACATTTAGAAGTCTAAGATCAGGGTGCCAGCAACGCATATTTTATATTTCAATGAATTGCTTTAATAATTGTTTAGCCTTCAAGACACTACATAGTATCATAGGTGCCAGTACATTGCTAAATTAATGAAAACTTTATGGGGGTTACAAATTCTATTATTTACTCAAATATTTGACATGAACAAAAAAGCAAACAAACCCTCTACAACTGTGTTGCTGTGTCTAATCAATGCATCTCATAGCACTGGAAGTGGAAGGTTTGCCTTGATGGTCAGCTCCAGTAGGCTATTAGTCTCAAGTGCCAAAAGGAGACTAGGTGGTATCAGAACAGTCTTAATAGTTCACGTCTTCAGTTATGATCAGTTTAATGGTTTTCAATAAGCTATAGAACGTCGGCAAAAAAACAATTAAGTGGTCAACAGTTCTTGGCATACAGTAAAAAGTAATCACTATGCAAGATAATTGCTGATTTCCAAACACAAGTATGAATAAGGATTACAAATAAATTGGCAAAAGGAAAGTTTAAAGCTGGAGATTTGTGGGTGTGCACTTTGTTGGTAAAAGGAATTGAAACTTATTCCAAATGCCTGCCCTTTACTGTTCTGAAGTATTTCCTAATTCTGGACAAGAAATTAAATTTTTGTTTCCGATCTTCATTAAGTAAATTATTAACAGCTGAACTAAAAATGTTAGTTATAAGGACAGAATAACTCTGAAATTATGTGAGCTTCAGCCATACTGATCAGTTAAAAACTCTCTGCAAAAACATTTCTACATGTTCATTTGCTGTCTCGTGGGACAGCAAATATGCTTAAAGGAACTATGCCTATTATTTGCACATGTGCAGAAAGAAATATTCAAAAATATAGCATGGCAAGTGTACTGCTGGTTAAAGCATCACCTGTAACCACGTTTTGTCCCTCTATCAGTGTTGTTGTTAGGAGGAGATAACACACAAGAGGGAACATTGCCTCTTTTGAATTATTTTATTAAGATCCACGTTTTATATAAAATAGAACAAGAAAACCAAACAAATCTATAAAATCAAGTGAGCAGTCCAGGTGACAAACCACTAAAAGCTCTGCTTTCGTGGTTCAGCTTGATGTCACTAGAATGCTGACATACTGATAGCCTCAAACTTTATAGTCGCTGGGTGTATATACACAGAAAGCAGATATGTCTCAAAAGTACACCAAAGAAAGGTAAGAAAGATGGCTTTCCCGCGCCGCAGCTGCCCTTGACAAAGGTTAAAATGATGCTCAACTGCATTACACCAATCACCTTTGAAGAACCGCTAGGAAGAGCTTCACATTGAGCAGTTTGAAGGAAGGTTCAGAAAATACTGCACTGTACCTGTGATATAGCCACTATCCTCTGCGCCACCAGAGGAGCGCTTTTGTTTTCAAAAGTGACTGTAACTATTGAATCCACCCAAAGTAGGTTGCAGATAACAGGTTCCAAACCTCAAAATTAATGTTTTAAGCCTGTTGCTGGACAATTTATGCAAAACACAACACAATACAAGCAATGGCACTTTCCTTGTCCGCTCTGTATAATCCAAACTACACTTCCAGATTCTAGTGTCCTGAAATATGACAGTGGCTCATATGCTCTTGGGAGCTGTCTGGTAACATCCACAACAGTTTTACCTCTTCCAATAAAATTATTTTACAGTGCACCATGATGCACTATCTCCTACTGAAAAACAGAGGATATGAGACAGACTCCTCTAAAAGTAAGCAACACCACTGGAAAATATGCCCAGAGGCACTGCTTATCTGAGATGAAAAGGGTCAAACAGCATTCAGTGCTTTGAAGAGAGGTGTGTTTGAAAAAACAGCTAATTGTACCAAAGAGAAGCTACCAAGGCATCTGATTCAGCACTTGAGTAGACTGTAGCCTCCAACCTTTATCAAAGTCTACGACATTCTTATCTTCTCCCAGAAACCCAGAGCAAGAATATAATCAGGCTTCTTACAGATTTTTACAAAAATTATGCCGTAAGAGCAGGGTTGACACTTGCTCAGCATAAACAGGCAGGACTTCACAGGATAGGCTGTTTATCCAAGGCAAAGTAGATTACTCCATAACATGTGAATGCAACCCAAGTTAAATATTAAGGTGAATGAGCGAAGGGTTTTAAAAGGGATGGGGAAAACCAAGCTCTTAAGTATATATATTTTTTAAAAATGTTGCAACAAACATGTTTGTTAATTAATACCCTGTCTTTGGTACAATTTAGAATCAAAAGGAGGCTGGTGGGAAACTGCACATATACACTGTGAATATGGAAGAGAAATACAAATGTAAATACAACAGTTAATGAAGAAAATTAAACTCAAATGTTAATTAGTAAATGGTTTCTGGAGTTCATGAAATGTAGACAAGCAAGACGTAAGTTATCACTATTGTATGTGAACTGTTTGGTTGCAACAATAAAGGTTCCTTTAACCAAGTTAAAGACTCATTTTATTTCTACTTTCAAGGGGGAAGGGAAAGTCGAATAGATCTGTTCACCGATTTCCTCTCCACTGTACGCAAAGCCACATTCACACATACACACACATGCACACACCCCTTAATCTGCACTGAAAATGTATTATTTGTTTTTTTCCTTTTTAACTGAAAAGGTAGATCCTGGGAGTAAGTGCAAAATGCAAAAATCAACCAACAGGAATTGCTGAACAAGCAGCATAATTAAAATACAAAATATTTTATATTATTGAACTATTAAACGGGTAATGTTCACTGTTTCTGTAAAACTTTGGAACCACACAGCTGATTTCTTAAATCTAGTCCATGTCAACTTCCAGAACTATTAATGAATTAATTAGCTTCATTTTTTGATGCTTCATCGAAGTTTTCTACAAGATCTGAAAAACATGGAAAGTATAATACAGTAACATTCAATAGGAGAGCCAAAGAGAAATGTTTTTTACTAAAATGTTTTAGCTAAAAGACTATGGTATAATGAACATTATTCCTACATCATTTTTATCTCAAAACCTCAAAGCAATTACAAGACGTTCTCTTTTGTTTAACGGTGACTAGGCCCTAATATTTCTATGGGGTGACTTACAATTACATCTGGTCAGCACTGGAAAAATAATTCTGTTAGTCTCTCCCTATGCCTGCTCTCAGGCAACATGGCAGCTCCTAGACTGACATCTGTTGTTATGCCAGCAAACATGTAGGCATTAAACAAAAATGATCTATAGTACAATCCTATGCTTGCTTACAAGGAAGTAAGCTGCTCCCCCCCCCCCCGTACAACAGAGCTCACTCCCATGTCAGGATGCATGGGACTGCAACCCCTAATCAAATTGGGATGATAACAACTATGGCTTATAGACAATTGACCTCTGAGCTGCAATCAACACATGCAACCTGTATTTTGCCTTATATTAATTTCTCAAATGTTCACCAATGATGGCTACGCTGCATGAAATCTAGACCTATTTGAAAATTATTGCAGTCTTGTGTGAGACCCTTCTAAAAAATTGAGGGGCTAAATGACTCAAACTCAACTCAACGTTTAATTTATGTAGCGAGCAATATTTAAAAGGATTTTGAAAGACAGATTATACAACACAGATACAACCATTAATAGCGAGGGCGGGGAGAAGCCAGGAGGAGGGAGGGAGGAGGCGCTGCCGCTGTGTGTGTGTGGAGAATCTGCATCTCGAACAATCAGAATCAGATCCACGCGGCGATTCCCGGACTGTTCACGAGCCAGATCCAGAAGGCAATTGGGCCAGATCCGGCCCCCGTGCCTTAGTTTTAATAGCCCTCCTATTCATTACAGTAAACCTCTTTTTCTGCTTGTTCTTAAAATATTATTCCCTCACAGAATCCACTAGTTAAGTTTCTCACCCCATCTGAGAGGTGCCTCTAGGAACCAAAGGCATAGCAGCAGATACAGTGGTGCCTCGCAAGACGAAATTAATCCGTTCCGCGAGAGTCTTCGTCTAGCGGTTTTTTCGTCTTGCGAAGCAAGCCCATTGACGGATTAGCGCTATTAGCGCTATTAGCGGTTTAGCGGCTATTAAAGGCTTAAAGGCTTAGGGGATTAGCTGCTAAAAGGCTATTAAAGGCTATTAAAGGCTTAGCAGATTAGATAAAGGGGGGGAAAAGCGGAAAAAAAATCTCAAGACTCGAAAGGTATTTTCGTCTTGCGAAGCAAGCCCATAGGGGAATTCGTCCTGCGAAGCAACTTCAAAACGGAAAACCCTTTCGTCTAGCGGTTTTTCCGTCTTGCGAGGCATTCGTCTTGCGGGGCACCACTGTACAAATCCTTCTGCTAAAGCTTGTGGTTTCCTGGGGTTGGTCCCGTGACAATTATGTGCTCCAGGATGTACAGCATGCAATTCTTATGAAGCACTTTTCCTTTGTATCTGTGATTAACCCACCATGTAGATTCTCAAATTTACAAAAACATTGTCACGTGCTCAGTCAAGCAGATACAGGCTAAATAATTTAAAGTTTAAGTAGAATAATCTTACCAGGAACGTCATCATCTTCTTCATCAATATCTTCTGATTTTGGTACTTTGCTATCCAACACTAGAAAAGAAAATACAATTATTGATATAGTAATTAACAAAATTCTATCCATTTAAGAAACAAATTCAGCATGCATAAGGAAAAGGTCACAGTTTACGGCACAAAAAAGAAGTGCAACTTTGCAAATAAAATAGGTTTTATGCAAACAGTGGCAGTGAAAAATTAATAAATTACAAGCAGAAATTTACAAGAATCATTATTTTTGCAAACTTCTATGAAGTTATCACTCAAATGTTTATAGGCAACAATTACTGGTTCCGACTGAATAAAACCTCTTTACAAGTAGTGCAGCAGACACACAACTGGTGATGCCATACACCCTGTGATATTTAACACAAAATGATCAATACATAGAATATTACAGTGGAACCTTGGTTTTTGAACGTAATCCGTTCCGGAAGACTGTTAAGACTTCTGAAATGTTTGAAAACTGAAAACTCAAACAAGCCGCCGCTTCGGAAGTTCGACTTCCAAGGCACGCTCGAAAACAGAAGCATTTATTTCCGGGTTTTCGGCGTTCGGCTTCTGATACATTTGTCAATGGAGACGATCGAAACCCGAGGTTCCACTGTATCTCCAATTTAGTCAAACAGCAAGCATCTCTCCTGAAGTATACCCAACATCTTACAACATTTCTACATAACAGTCTACCCAGTATGCTTTCTTGGTATAAAATCTTTAGTGTCTATGCTGATGTAGGTTTTAGTACTTCCCATCCTAAATGCCAATGGAGCAAGTCTTAGGATTGGGCCTTGAGGCTGCAATACAAAAAACTGAGGAAAGTTTCACTAATATAGAGATAATCCAAATAGAAGTATGTGAGAAAATCCATATGCTTGTAACCAACATGGTGGGTTTTTTTGTTCTTCTATTAGGGTAATATTTTTATAATAGCCTCCATTGCTCTGTACCAGTGTCAAGTGATAAAGGAACTGCCTTCATGATTTTATTCTGTGAACCACCCTGATACCTTATGATGAAGGGCAGTACTGTATATAAATCTAATAAATCAAAATAATAAAAAAGAGAACTCTGTTTACCTTTCAATGTACCCTGTCATGAAACTCATTAAATGGCCCCAAGGGAGTCACTATCTTTCAGCCTAACTTTCCCTGTAAGATTGCTATGAGGACAAAATAGGGTTTACAATGCTTGCCACCCTGAGCTCTTGAAAAGCAGCATCTGTGATAGTTCCCTTTATACATGTATCTGGGAGCAAGTCCCACTAATGTCAACTGGACTTACTTCTGAGTAGGCAGGCACAGGATTGTGTTGTTAAGTCTTTAATCAGACTGACAATTATTATACTGTTTTTAATCAGACACAAGTTCAACACTCAAGTTATACCCCAAACCTTCATTTTCTCCTTCCGTTACAACATTCTGTTCATGGTGCTCCAAAGTACATTCACATAGCTATCTGTTAGTTAATGCAATTTTCAAAGCATTTCCCACATTTAGAAGCCTTTAGTTAATGGTTTGGGGAAAGGACAAAGCAATACAAGGTATCCATATAGTTATTACAAATGAGGAAAGTAAGGGAGGGGGTGGTGGATTTATTGGTCTGGGGTTTTTTTTTGTTTTTTGTTCTTGTATCTATTATTTATTTTAAGTTTTTATCTTGTATTTTTTATGTTTGAACCGCCCTGAGATCTACGGGTGAAGGGTGGGATACAAATAATAAAAAATAACAACAACAATATTATTATGGAAAACTTGATATTAAGTAAATGCTGCAATCCTATGCATATTTATCTATCAACAAGGTCCACTAAACACAGTGGGACTTCTACATAAACATGCACAGAATTGCAGAGTTCTATACCAGGGTTGTTCAACAGGTCGATCGGAATCTACTGGTCGATTGCGGGCTCCCTTTCCTTTGTGGTGGCAAGAGCACCCCCCCACACACATTTCTGCATGATCGCTGGAAAGGAAGATGGAGCCCTAAAAAAAGCTGAACAATTTTGACCTGAACCCCCCCCCCCCCGGGTAGATCACTGCCAGTTTTTTATTCTGTGAGTAGATTGCAGTCTCTTAGGAGTTGGATGTCCCTGTTCTATACTATTAGAAATGATCTAGTGAAGTTAGGAGTGCGTGGGGGAGGGTGGAATAAAAAGCAGAAAGTCCTGTGCACAAGAAAAGCTACTCAGAGTAAGAAAAGCTGACCCTTACGATTGATCAGGAATTTTATGCTAACAAACAAGGCTGAAAAAAACCAGCTCCATGTCTCAGACAGGGATACCTACCTTGCCTTGGGAACTGTTCAGCTAACTTTCTGAGACTTGTTAAGCTGTCAGCACCCAGCTGGCTTAAGATGCCAGGCAGCATTTCCGTAATTGGTTTAGCTTCAGCATGACCAGTAATTGCAAATGTATTTGCAGAAAGCGAAGCCTGGACCTTGGGATTGTTGAAATGAATAACTGTTCCATCATCTTTTATCATATTCACCTGTTTTAAACATAGATCTATTAAAATTCATTCATCTTAATTAATAATAAAAAAGTACTATAAAGGAAGAAAAGAACCACCCAGTTTTTTTTATTTTGTAATAGTTAGCATCCACTCTAAGGAGTTGCACACCCAATTTTAGGCCTGACTAACTGTAAAAGAGATTTATAAACACTATCATCAATGTATATAATTTAAAATTACATCAGTTGGAAGTGTAAGATTTTGTAAAGCAATAAGAATTCAGATTAACACATAACTGAAGTATCAGCGTCCTAAGCATTTAACTAAGTCATGCCAGTTCCAAAAACAATATGAAAGGAAAGTAACATTTCTCAAGATAAAAAAAGAAATGAGAGGCACAGCTTTCATACTCGGGAATTTTGATGTAAATATTGCACTTTTGTACATCTAAAATAAACTATTACACTTCAAAGCTAAGAAACTTAAGGCATATAAGCATAAGGCATCTTTACAACACAAAAATAAACTTATTTCAAACATGTTTTAACTGCCCTTGCTTTCCCTCCATTGCAAAGAAGTCTGGAAACTAATATAATACAGTGGAATAGTCAAAAATTTCTGATCATTATTTATTAGTCCACAGATGGTGTAAACTTAGTGCTATTTTTTTAAAAAACACACAATTATACTATGGGTGTGTTATGCCATGCTCAATCAGATATGCATGTGCACACCAATGTCTGAAAATGAGCACTATATATTAGTCCAGAAATGTTGTATATTTGGTGTTTTCCTGAAAAAGCGCATGATCATTGTGAAAGACTGAGGTATGCCCCTGCACTGATATATCCTCAGCTTTCTCACAAAAATAACAAAGAGCTCTGAGGATCTACAAAACTACAATTCTGGAGAAACCATGACTTTCAAATTCGTTTAAATGATGGGTGTCCCCTGGATAGCACTCCACTCTGCCCTTTGTTTAATGCTCCTATTTACTGCTCCTATATAAACACATGTCCAAGTGCCACCCATACTCTTTCTCCAGTCCATATTGAGGCCCATCATGTCCTCTTCAGAACACTGTGACCACTGCAGAACAGGGCTGTCCTCTGGAAGTGGGCCCAAACACTCAACACAATAACAAGACTTGTTACAGCAGGATAGCAGCTGTTTTCCTGCTCTCTCAAACGTCTGCTTAAAGCAACTTGCCTAGTGGAAGGAATGGCTCCCTATCATAGGCTGGACCCTGCTGAAGCTAAGCAGGTCTGGATCCAGCCAGTTTCTAGATGGAAGACTGCCTGGAAACTCTATGCATGCTGCTTTGGGGGAAAATGTAATTTAGTAAACAAATATAATACCATTCCACATAATACTATTTCCACATGTAGAGAGCGGGGCAAAAAGGTTCTACTTACTCATCTAGAAGACTCGCAGTTACTTTCATACAAAATGCCTTTAGAAAAGGGACGTAAAGTTACTTAGAATAAAACCTTTTGTTTCAAAGGAACTTGTTTCCAAGTAAATGTGCCCAGGAACACAGTTAAGCAACAATCTGACTTGTGTTTTCCAGTTAAAACTTTGCATCTTGTATGTATCTTAATTCAGACATATTGTCAAAACACAGTTTGTCCTTTAGAGAATGAGCAGTGCCAATTGTCAGGCTTGCAGATGCCTTCTCTCTTATTTCATACATGAGGTGAGAGTAAAGCTTCTGCTTCTAGTTTGCAGCAACCCGTAGTGTGCTGTCAAGTGAAGATCCCAAAAGCACAGCAGGAGGTGAAGCTAAACCATGGTTTGTGTGTATCCTTGTTTTGAGGACAAACCACAATTTGCTGCAAGCCAGAACAGGACACTTCTACTCTTCCCTCATATAAGAACAAGGGGATGGGGGGCGGAGGAGCAAAGGAGGCTACGTGTGAGCCCAATACTTTCTACTGCTCATTCTCATAATAAAAATACTCTCATTTACATAATATGGAAGTTGTGCTAGTTTATTAATTATTATTATTATTATTATTATTAACATATTTGACAGCACCTTGAGATTACTTCTTAGTAAGCTTTTTATTGCAAATTGGCATGAGCTTTCATAGCCAACAGCCTACTTCATCAGATGCCAAGTTGAATCTTAAGAGAGCAAGGTAGGAAAGATAGAAGTGGACTATTTTGTCACACAAACTGCCCCTTCCATGGGACTCTGTAAAATCTGCACCATCCCACACAAAGTTATGGAACAAATGTCCTCAGTTATACAAGGGAAATCATGCATGAAACTCCAAAAGACGTCTTATTAAAGGATCTCTCACACAATGCGCGCACACACACACACTGAAATCACAACAAACTCTGAGCCACACCTCATTTAAAATGAGGTAAGGTTGCCAGAGGTCGGGCGCTTCTCTTTTTAAGGGGTCTGGCTGGGCCCACAGGCCCCAAGTTTCCCCCCCTGATAATCCCATTTTAAATCAGAAAGGTTTCACATTATTCCTATGATCAGTTGGGAGATCACGTATCTATGACTGAAAATTTTTATACTGATGTACCTCTTCAATCCCAGCGATATTGTTTACTGCCAATTTTTTGAGTGAACTCTGAAGCTTTTTATCATCAGCTGTGGCTGTTCTGTGGACTACCTTCTTCTTTCTACGAGCTGTACCCTGAAAAACAGAAAGGAGAAAAAAAATCATTGCTCCTAGAGGAAGAAAAATGGATCTTACACAAATGCTTATCAAAAACAACAAAATAATCTCGAAGTACCTTAAAATGTAATACATGTAGTGCAGTAGGAGGGGTTTTCTTTAAGGCAAGAACCTGTTTCACTACTGTATAGTTTGTATAATCCTACTCTAACTTTCCACTCCAAATTTTCTCACTTATTGCCGCCAAGGAAGGGAGGCTTGATTCAGTGACAGTTTTCATGGGGGATTATCAATAAGGAGGCAATGTGAGGGTGCAAAATAGTAGGCTAAAGGAGGTGGTGGTCCTCAGACCACAATGCATCTCCTGCTGCAAGGACCAATTCCATTTCTGCTGCCCTTCCTCTTTTCAGCCTTGTGTGTCCAAATACCAGTAACAACCCCTTCGGCACCTAAGCTATACTGATTCAAAATTACATAATATGCTGCCTTTGTAGAAAAAAATGTTCATCTTTTAAGAAAACAGTTCAAGAATATAACATGAATCTTTTTCTTCTCGAAAGAATGTAGCTACCAGTACTAGGGCTATATACTCAGAAACAGCCTAAGCACATCAGAATGGGCAATAGCCTGAGGAAAAGACATTCCCAACAAACCCCTAAACTATGGGAAATACTTACATATGTATTACTTTTATATTATATATATATATCTATGTTTCTATTTACACACATACAATAATTATAAATGGAGTGGGGGAAGTTATATTCGTGCATTCATACCTTTCCACCTATTCGGACCTGCGCCTGAAGTTTAGCCAGCTTTTCTTGATTCATCGTGCTTTATCTGAAAAATACATACAAACAACATAAATGCTTATAACATATTCAGATTTATTTAATAATTTTTACTTCACTGTCTTTCAAAATACCAAGCATCTGTATCTGAATACACACAAACAACCTATCAATAAAAGATACGTTACCTCTCTTCCAATTCCTCAAACTATCTAGGGAGTGGGGGTGTAAAAGCACTGAAATCATGTTGGCTCTTCCCCTTCCTGCCCCTGGACTGCCTTCAAGGAGAGATGACATCGCTTTCCACACTACCCCTATCCCTGCAGCTGGTAACTGGTTTTGCAGTCACCGTATCATGGTTCCCAGCACTTACTTCCTCACACAGGAATGAGCAGCTGCTATTTGCTCATGAGAGAAAGTAAAGGCATGCACTTAGGAATACCAGTGTGCATCTACACGCACACATGCTAAATCTGACATCTGACAGGACAATCCCTATATCTGGAATGTTTGCCCTCCATGTCCCAAACTGAACTGTTTATTTTTTCACACAGAACTACAGAAGCTATTGAGAACTGAGCCTGCCTCTATCTGCATGGTGCCACATCTTGGTCTGTGCATTTCCATCTACATAACATTTGTTAGTCATACACTGTTAGTCATACACAACATCAGGAAGTTGGGAGCATGTGACAAAGAATGAATCTTGGAAACTGCCTATTACACCCATGTTGGTTACATCTATATTCTACCCTTTCACTTAGGAGCTCAGAGCAATATTTTGTGGCTCATAAACCATCCTGTGGTGTAAATGACTCTCAGAGACAGTGACTTGCTTGTCCAAGACTACCTGGTGACCTTTATAGCTGAGAGGAGATATGACTCTAGAATTATCAAGCTACAAGGCAAGCTCACTTTTTCTGAAAATATTTATGATGGAAGGGATTCACCTAACATGTTCCACTTGCACAAGGTTTCCCCCCCACTCCTCCTTCTTAGAACCCCCTAAAATTAGTTTGGGAAAGGTCAGGAGAACCCCAAAGTAGTGGGCAGGGCAAGGCGAGGGGAGAATTGTTCCATCTGGCAAGCTGACATGCTTGCACAGAGAGAATGTTCATAACAGCACAATGTTGAATATCAGCCATGGGGTCCAAAAAGTGTGCATAAGATAATTTGCGGTCCTAAAAACACAGCCCTAATCCAAAACGAATATACATGCAAGCAAAATTGACCCATTATGATTTTGTACTCGGAATACAAACTACTAATATGCATTTACTGTATTATAGAAATGCCAACTTGAGCATTATGTCCTAGTACACAAATGAGGAAGCAATCAATCAAATCATGAAAATATACAGTCACGGAGCCTTTCCTATGTTACATACCACACCCATAATAATAATAATAATAATAATAATAATAATAATAATTTATTTATACCCCGCCTGTCTGGCTGGGTTTCCCCAGCCACTCTGGGCGGCTTCCAACAGAATATTAAAATACAATAGTCAATTAAACATGAAAAGCTTCCCTAAACAGGGCTGCCTTCAGATGTCTTCTAAAAGTCTGGTAGTTGTTCTTCTCTTTGACATCTGGTGGGAGGGCGTTCCACAGGGCGGGTGCCACTATTGAGAAGGCCCTTTGCCTGGTTCCCTGTAACGTGGCTTCGCGCAGCAAGGGAACCACCAGAAGGCCCTCTGCACTGGACCTGTGTCCGGACAGAATGACGGGGGTGGAGACGCTTCTTCAGGTATACTGGACCAAGGCCGTTTAGGGCTTTAAAGGTCAGCACTAACACTCTGAATTGTGCTCAGAAACGTATTGGGAGCCAGTGTAGGTGTTATGTGGTCTCAGTGGCTGCCCCCAGTCACCAGTTTAGCTGCCGCATTCTGGATTAGTTGTAGTTTCCGGGTCACTTTCAAAGGTACAAACACTTGACCAATCAACCCCATGTCTTATCTGCTTAAATGAGATTTATGGAAACATTTGCTTAGATCTATGTTTTTGCTCACTATTAAGTCCCAAAGATGCAACTATGTCTAGGACCAGGAGAGAGAGAGTTAACAACCAGCAGCAACACATAAGTCAAATAACTATTAAAAACCTAGCGCTTTGGTCTGCAAAGTGTTTACTTTGGGATATGGGTCAGATTCATTTTCATTTCATTTTAAAATATGACATTCCATATCAAGTGGCATGTGCATGCTTCAGGAAAAGTTAAAGCTGCGATGTGCCATTTTACTCTCTAACCCATAACCAGTTGTCATGTTGCAACTGAACTAAGTTAATCAGCAGCTTATACTTTGCAAACCAGAATTCCTGCAGGTTGAAAATAACAAGTAGCTGAGAATTTGGCAATGAATAAAATGGAAAGGCTTTCCTTTCTCAAGGCCATTAGCTCTATCCCTTTGATGGGTTGAAGAAAGAGAAATATGTTCTCAGAAACAAGCCACAATTTGTTTTATCAAGGAATGTGATAAAAGAGCCACATGATGGATTCAACCCTGAGAGTACAAAGAAGGTCAGATTAGTAGAAGCAGAGAAAGACACAACAGGAATGGTCTTTATTTCAACCTTGAACTAAAGAACCTTTAGTACATCTATAAAAGAGGTGGAATCAGCAAAAGTACTACCAGGAAGAAGAAAAACTAATGGCTAGAACTGGGTAACAAGAACATCCACCACAGCATGGATGAAAACATTCTTGCAGAGGAGCCTCATCTCCATTTTCCTCACTGGAATTAGAGAAAAATTAAACTATTGATACTGAGAATGTTAAAATCAAGGAGTTGTGGAAGGGGAGATTTACATCATTTAGTTTTGAAAGCAGCAGGCATGTTCCTTATTTCAGAATTTTGCAGCTTCACAGACGCTTATTCTATTATTATATCCAAAGTGTAGGTTTCCATGCCCTTAAAAAGAAAATGGTGTGAACAGGAACTAACTCCGCACAACAGAGGAACCAAATCTGATAATATACAGGCTTTGATACAAATGAACTTTCAGTTGCAAGCAATGAACAAAGCAAAAAACCCCAAGGTCTCCAAAATGAAAACATGGCAACTGATGCAACACAGAAATGTATTAAGCGAGCAGTAAAATCTACACAGGAAGGTGAAAGAGCTCCAGATTGCCAGTTCCTGTTGGAGGAGGGGTGCGGGCTTCCCTAAGGGAATAAAGGGCATTTATTCTCCAAAAAGAAACACTCCCAGTACACTAAGGGGCAGTAGGGAAGCCCCCCTCAATGTCCTACGCCCAGGGATGGGAACCCCGTCCAAGGCGTAACCCACATTTTGGGTGCAGTGCGACCTAGGCCAGCGCAGGATCCTAAAGTGCTTTGGGCGAGGAGGTGGAGCGAGTCCTCAGCAAGCCCGCTTCTGTTGCGGGAAGGTTTCCGCGATGGAGGGTCCGCGCGCACCCACCCTGACCGGGGGTGGACTTGAACGGGCGCTGGGGCGGACGGGGGGGGGGGGCTCTGCTTCCAAGGGCCGGACCTCGGGGAAGGCGTTCCCCAGCGGAGCCAGGGCTCCCCGCAGGCGCCCAGTTGCCAGGCCCCCTCTCTCCGGCCCACCAGCAGCCCCTCCCACCGCCCATGGCGCTCCGCGCGCGCACAGCGGAGTGTGGGGCGGAGGAACCGCAATCTCGACCTGTGGGGACCGTGAGGGGCGCAAGGGCAACGGGGCGCGGAGGGGGTCAAGCAGGAAGTTTTCACCTCAGTCCGAAGAACCCTCCGAAGGCAACACGCGGCAAGAACAAGATGGCGGCTTAGGTGTGGGGGTGGGGTGGGGGTAGAAAGGGGCCCAGAGAAAGGAGGCCTCGGACCACGGGACCATGGCCCCGCCCTCCTCACCCGATTGGAAGAAAGCGAGGCTCGTTTGCATAACACGGGCGGCGGCGGAGGAGGACAGCCTGGTCCTTCCTTTCTGTTTTTCCCTATCTAGACAATAAAACGGCAGCCCTCAATGCAATGCAGTGAGCGCAGCAGGATAGACGTGCCCGGGGGTGGGGAAGAGGGACATAGAGTAAAATGCCTCTGAAGCAATGTATGCTGGGAGTTGTAGTCATCCTTAGGAGCAGCTAGCAGGAATGGAGTGGTGCTTTTTTTGCAATGCGCACAAGCTGTTCTTTAGCTTGGGATGGAAGAATATTAATGTTTTAGTAGCGCATGATAGGAAAGAGCTTGTTTGCGTTTTGGGATTACTACCCCCCCCCGGGCAACCTCCTCCTTTCGTTGATCAGAATGAAGCTGAAAATTGATTTAACCGGCCTTTCAAGAATCAGTTCCCCACCGCTTCTGACTTTCCCCTTCAAAGTGCCACTGAGTTTGCCTACGGCCCCAATCCTACGTGGGCTCTTCCTGGGGAACAGGCTTCGCTGAACGCAGAGGGACTTGCATCAGAGCAAGCCTGCTGCAGGACTGTGCTTCGAACTGGGGAGCTGATGTTACATTTGCCTTTCATGAACCGTCGCACCAGAGTTAGGATAGTTCGCCTTTTAGAAATACACGAGAAAGGAACAACTCCGTAGACACTTAGAAATTCCTACGTAGATTCCGAGCGGAGAAAGAAAGACACTCTTCTGCACAGCGTGAGAACTATACATGTGCGTATATAATAATACCCCGGACCCAAATCTCTGAAGCGCCTCCTATATCCTTCCGATAACATCACTTCCTCTTAAACGAAGAAGCTGACTTGGTTTAATCAGATACTATTGCTTAAGAGAATCGCTGTGCGGAGCTGGAGTAATTGTCCTGGTGAAGATCTTGGCAGACAGCATGAAGGTTCAGTTAGCAGCACTGTCGACTTTCCTACTTTGCCAATTGCTTGTCGCAGTTTCTGCTGGGGAAGCATTAGGAAAAGGTTAGATACCAATTCTTATTTCCTCTTTTGTTTTTACTGATGTTTTCAAATGCCTGTGCTTTGCAAAAAATAAGCAGAAAGGTTTATGGTGTGATCATCCCTAAGCTATCTGTGATAACAAATACGATTCTTATAGTTTGCATCTACTCTTGGGAAAATAGTTGATTTCAAGAGAGTACTGTAGTTTCTCTAGTCTAGGCCATGAGTTGCTCAGTGTGGCAGTTTCCAGGGCCCTTTTTGTTTTCAGAGTTCAATTCAAATAAAAAGATATGTATAAATCCTTTAGGAAAGAGAATTGCTTGCTTTGGAATAACTTCAAACTTCAATGATGTTCCTAGGAATGGTATCTTAGATTGCCATTCTAAAAGCATTTATTTCTTCGTATGTGGTGATATATAGAAAATTGTTTTTATCTTCTGTAACTGATGCTTTAAATTATGCAACATATATTCCCCCTTTTCTTTCAAGGTTTTGGAGATCATATTCACTGGAGGACACTGGAAGATGGGAAAAAGGAAGCAGCAGCCAGGTATCTTGTGCAAACGGATCTACAACCTTAAAATTGGCTTATTTGGAAGTTAATTTTCCTGTTATCCATAATAATTGCTTCCAAATAAGCGAACTGAGGTGTAAATTTCATAAGGTTAGCCTTACTATTAAACAACGTCCTGGCTTATCGCTACACTCAAAGATGCAGAGTTTATACATAAAAACCACCTCTGCCATACCAAAGTGAATTTGCTTTAGGTTGTGAGCTGTATATGCTGCTTTTCCCCTTCTGATGAAAGAGATAGTCCAAACCTAAACCAAGTGTGTTTTGTAGTAAGTCCTAGGAAATTCAATTGAACTTTTCCCTCTCTGTTAGTATTGTTCAAAAAATTCTAATAAAATTAAAACCAACAGGGAAAAAATATTCTGGAAAACTCTCAGTTGACTCCCATGCAGAATTAGGCCTGTCTCAACGTGTTTGGAACTGGATTACTTAAGCAAAAGAATTGCAGTCACAACCTAAAAACCTGAAGGTGCAGATTAGTACCGGTAATAGCCTTTTGTAAGAACTTGATCTCCAGCCTTACACAAGAAGACATGAAATTATTCAGAGACTGACAAACTGATCACCTCGAGTTCAGCCATACAGCTGGGATTGCATGCTGCTGCTGCAATTAATTTGATACTTTTCTTTAATTGTTTTTTAAGTTAGCACATGGAAATAACATGCTTTAAAGGAACAATCTGTGCTTTGATATGAAAATGTTTTAGTGATGATCACTTGTATACCTGAGTACAGTTTTGCTTGAAACGAAATAGAGATTAGGGCTGTAGTCATATTTACAACACTTGGGTGGCACATTGTGAATGCTACATGGCGCCTTTCAACTTCGGTTGTTTCCAGCTTTTAGTGTGACATATTTTGAGGATAGATTTTCACAGGTGAATGTCAGGGGTTTGAGATTTGGGGGAGAGTACGCTTATTTTGTGCTTGGAACTAATACCAGCTTCCACAGCAGTTTTTCAGCTATGCCATGGTGCATTTGGGAAAAGAAGAAAAAAAACTGCCCCAGCTGGGTTGCCAGTTGCGACCTGTGTGGTTGTGTGGAGCCGCCCTCCTTACACTGGTGTCACTGCAGCTTACCTGGACGGGGCTGGGGTGATGGGGTAGCAAGATTGGGGTGGATGCACCAGTGGAGTCAATCTTGTTCTCCTGCCAGCGCATCTGTACAGCCCCCAGCTTCAGTAGCACTAATGTTTGGATGATGGCTCCACCACTGCACATAGGCTGCTACTGTGGGCAGCTACTATACCTAGCCTGCATCTTCCAGTGAGGAGTTAGAAGCCTTCAACTTCAAAGGCTCTGGGACTAATGACACTTTCCTTGGCCAACTGTCAAGGTGACCTCTGCCAGAGCTCTGGCATGCTTTGGAGAGGGATCCAGCTATGACCTATCTTATTGCACCATTAACAGGAGCTGACATTCTTCCGTTACAGTTGTGCTGTGGACAAGAACTTTGGATAATGAAAAACCCAACTAGCTCACAAATGTAGAGACCTTTAGAAAATTGGCTTCTTTATTACAACACTGAACTCCTTGCACATCAGCTGATGCTCAGTCTTGCTTTCTGCAGGGATCAGCTGTGTAAGCAGTTGATGCAGGATCCATCCAGGACATGGGATGTCAAGTGTGGGGCAGCTGGACGTGGTTTGGGGGGAAGCAGTCTCATGGGTCAAATGGGGAGGAATGGTGGGACAAATTTGGCCCACAAGCCAGAGGTTAGCCACCCCTACGCTAGAGCTATCATCCTCTTACTTGGGAGTAAGACATAAATGTTTTCTTCTAGTGTTTTAATAAGGTAATATATAAAAAGGGATTCTTTCCCAGCTGAGTACAGTGATCTTCATAAGGCAGATGTTGATGAACCCCAACTCCCATCAGCCCCGGCCACCATGGCTAATAGTCAGGGATGATGGGAGTTGGAGTCCAACAAATGTATTGAGGACTACAGGTTCCACCAGTCCTCCCATAAGGCACAACAAAATAATAATAGCAAGCATATGTGGGTTGTGGGCAAAGCAGGTGATTTTCAAAAATGTAACATTAGATAAATGGGCAATATGAGTGAGGGCTGGATAGAAGATGGCTGGGCCATTAAGGCAACACATGAAAGACTTGCACTTCTTGGTCATTGTCCATAGAGTTTAGTGTGCAGCTCTTAGACCTACAAATATTGCTCGTGATCTCCCTTTTAGGTTTGCTTAGATTTATTTTTTTTACCGCACCTCTGACAAACATAGTAGTGCCTAAGAAAGCTTTTCGCATTGTGAATTCCAGGTTTAATCCTATAAATCATTTGCATATCTGAAGGTGAAATCACTTGAGTAAACTAGATCTCCTTTTCCTGTAAGGTGGACAGTTGGCTGATCTTTTATTAGGTATAAAAGAGTAGGACATATTAACCTTGTTCTTAATAAATCTTTAATCTTAATGAAGCTACAATGGGACCCCCTTCCTTTTATAAATTTCATTCTGCAGTTGCACCTTATAGAACAATCTTGTGCATGTTTATTCAGAAGTAAGTCTTAAGAGTACTGGAGTACATTAATGGTGCATTTCAATGTCTTTTTTTTTTTTTTTAGTGGGTTGCCTCTCATGATAATCATTCACAAATCCTGGTGTGGTGCTTGCAAAGGTAAGAGAAATTAACATTCCCTGAGAGCACTTCAGAATCTTCTAATTGGATAGATACACAACATTTGTAGGAGAAAGTATAATTTTACAGAGAGTATAGCATGTATGTATTGTCTTCATAAATAAAACTATACTTATAAGGTAGGGTTTTTTTCTAGATATAGCTGTGGCTAAATGCTAGTTGAAAAGCTGCCCAAGCTTTTACTATTTGGATTCTGTGAGCCAAAGTTCAGAGAGTAAAGACTAGACATGTACTACACTGATGAACAAACTTACTTCAAACACCATTGAAAATGTAAAAATACTTTTAGTTCAAGAGTGACCATTTATTTTGTGTTTTTTGTTGAAAAAACGGAGCATTGCTCATGTTTCTTGGGCTTTTTATACTTGTATACAACTGTTTTGTATCACTTTTTCTTCGTATTAGGTATATTAACAAAAGTAGCAAGGGCTGTTTCTGTTTCTTTTTATTTAAATGCGAGGATTTTGATGACTGATTTTGGCTGTGATCTAACTAAAGTTAGTTATGCTTAAGTCCTACTGAAATCTAGAGTGCAAGTTAGGTATGAGACACTTGTTCCCATGAGACTGATTTAGCTGGGTTAGGGCCCCTTGTGATTAGAAGCATGTGTGTAAGAATTATAACACTTGTTCTCTTTCCTGATTAATTTTTCCTTTCTATGCTTTTCTTAGCTTTAAAACCAAAGTTTTCGGAATCTAAGGAAATCTCAGAGCTTGCCCATAATTTCGTGATGGTCAACCTTGAGGTAAGTTTCAGTTGGATAGTTGCTAAGATGCTGAAATGAAGCATTTCCCCATATTCTTCCTTGGAACTTTCTGAGACAATTTATGAAGATACAGAAAGCAAACATAAAACATTCTCTGTATTTCGGGGGGGGGGCAACGCTTCCATTGATTTATCCATTATTTTACATTGCACATCCTTAATACAGTGGTACTTTGGTTCCCAAACTTAATCCATTCTGGAAGTCTGTTCCAAAACCAAACCATTCCAAAACTAAGGCGTGCTTTCCCATAGAAAGTAATGCAAAATGGATTAATCCATTCCAGACTTTTAAGAACAACCCCTAAAACAACAATTTAACATGAATTTTACTATCTAACGAGACCATTGATCCATAAAATGAAAGCAATAATCAATGTACTGTACTATAAAATAAATGAGACAGTATTGTAGATAAAAATTAAAATTAATTTTTATTCCTACGTGCACTGATGATAGTCATTGTTTGGAATGGGGGGGGGGGCTTTTATCCATTTCTGCAGACACACAATCAATCAGTAGCTGAAGTGGGTTCCACACAGTCACAAAAACAAGTCACAAGCCACAGTCACAAGTCAGTGCCATAAAATGAAGAACAAGTCACAGTCAATACAGTGGTGCCTCGCAAGACGAAATTAATCCGTTCTGCGAGTATCGTCGTCTAGCGGTTTTTTCGTCTTGCGAAGCAACCCTATTAGCGGATTACCGCTATTAGCGGTTTAGCGGCTATTAAAGGCTTAGTGGCTTAGTGGCTTAGCTGCTAAAAGGCTATTAAAGGCTTAGCGGCTTAGAAAAAGGGGGGGAAAGCGAAAAAAAATCTCAAGACTCGCAAGACATTTTCGTCTTGCGAAGCAAGCCCATAGGGAAATTCGTCCTGCGAAGCGCATTGAAAAACGGAAAACCCTTTCGTCTAGCGGGTTTTCCGTCTTGCGAGGCATTCGTCTTGCGGGGCAGCACTGTACAACAAAAAAGCCACACAAACAAAAACGCACAAAAATAGCAAAAACAAAAGCTCCAAATATCACCTCTGTTTTTGCGTGGGTGTTCGGGACTGAACAGCCGACACACTCAACAGGAAGCCTCTGATTAGCAGTGGGGGACTCAATTTACAAACAGAACACACTCAACAGAAAGTGGAACATGTTCAGCTTCCAAGGCAAAGTTCACAAACCGGAACACCTACTTCCAGGTTTGCAGCGTTCTATTTCCAAGTTATTCATAAACTAAGCTGTTCTAAAACCAAGGTACCACTGTGATGTTGAATGAATGAACAAACTATTATTGTCAAATTAATAGTCTGCTGTTTTCACAAAGAAATATTACTGATGAACAATTGCAGTGACTTGCCCTTCTTTCGAGGGGTGATATCCAGCTGTGGGGTCCATCTTGCAGAATGGATCTCCATGCCTTGAAATGTCAAAGGTTGAGCTTGAGAAACTTTGCATCCAAGGCAGTTGCACTTCCACAGAGCTGTGGATCTTCCCTTTGGTTATATGTATAGAAACAATAAAGATAGATTTCTGTGGAAATAGTCCTAATGTTCCTTTACTTTATCTTTTTAACTTTCAGGATGAAGAGGAACCCAAAGATGAAGCTTTTAGTCCTGATGGTGGTTACATTCCCAGAATCATTTTCATGGGTGAGGCATGAGGCAGCTTCTTATCCCTCTTGGAGAACTGCATTGCTGTTGTCATCACATGGATGTTTTCATTTGTTCTCTCTGTTTTTTGTAGATCCCAGCGGAAACATCCATCCAGAGATCATAAATGAGAGAGGAAACCCCAGCTACAAGTACTTTTATACCAATGCTGAACAAGGTACATGTGAATTAAGTTCAAATTGGGCTTTATCTCAGATGGCTATAGTAGCCCTGGCAGCTCTCTGACAACTTGTATTTCACTACAGGTGTCCTGATTAAGTCACAGTTCAGAACTATATTGAATTATACCTGATTACCATTGCATATAAATGGTGTAAGTTTAAGCATACACGTTTAGGATTCTGTCAAGACTCTTAGGTTACATCAGAATATTGGTCAAAGAGAAGAGATTTGACAGACTTGTTCTTTTTCACATCTTCTGTTAGGGGGATAATGGAATAATTGAGCTTAAGAAATGGGAGGCATTTCTAGAAATGGGGGAATGTGTCTGTTTTGCTTTCTCGTAGGTCAGGGTTCATCTGACAAGCCCTGTTATTCTGCTTCCACAAGGCTTTCCTCTCTCCTTCCCCTGTGCCCCCCAAAATTGGCTGGGGTGCAGTGAGGAGAGCCCTCAGAGCAGGAGACTGTGGGAGGAGAGAGCAATGCTTAGACAGATAGGATGTTCATCATAGTGCAATGTTGAATTCCACCCTCAGTTTCTTGTTTTCATCTCTCCCGTTCTCCAAATTTCCACAGCAATTTGTGATTATTTATTTTTAAAAAAATACTCATGAAGATTCATTGGCATATGAGGAACGGCTAAGGGAGCTGGGCATGTTTAGCTTGGAGAAGAGGAGGTTAAGGGGTGATATGATAGCCATGTTCAAATATATAAAAGGATGTCACATAGAGGAGGGAGAAAGGTGGTTTTCTGCTGCTCCAGAGAAGCGGACACGGAGCAATGGATCCAAACTACAAGAAAGAAGATTCCACCTAAACATTAGGAAGAACTTCCTGACAGTAAGAGCTGTTCGACAGTGGAATTTGCTGCCAAGGAGTGTGGTGGAGTCTCCTTCTTTGGAGGTCTTTAAGCAGAGGCTTGACAACCATATGTCAGGAGTGCTCTGACGGTGTTTCCTGCTTGGCAGGGGGTTGGACTCGATGGCCCTTGTGGTCTCTTCCAACTCTATGATTCTATGATTGTATGATTCATAAATGATATACACCTTTTTGCACAGCAAAATTTTATAATCTTATAGGCTGTTTTCACCAATACAGTGGTACCTCGCAAGACGAATGCCTCGCAAGGCAAAAAACTCGCTAGACGAAAGGGTTTTTTGTTTTTTGAGCTGCTTCGCAAAACGATTTTCCCTATGGGCTTGCTTCGCAAGACGGAAATGTCTTGCAAGTTTGTTTCCTTTTTCTTAACACCGTTAATACAGTTGCGACTTGACTTCGAGGAGCAACTCATAGAACGCGGTGTGGTAGCCTTTTTGAGGTTTTTAAAGACTTTGGTGATTTTTGAAGCTTTTCCAAAACTTTCCCGACACCGTGCTTCGCAAGACGAAAAAATCGCAAGACGACAAAACTCGCGGAACGAATTAATTTCGTCTTGCGAGGCACCACTGTATATGCATTTTTATGTACACTTTACACTAGTATATACAGTATTTTTTGTACATATTACTTGGCTAGAGAACTGCACTGCAAAATTCAAAATAAATGTGAAGGTTGGCTGTGTTTTGGTTTGCATATTGTCTCAGAAAATGTGAATTAGGCAAGTTTTAAATGCAAACTGTATTGAATTTCTCTCCTATTCATGACAACTGAACTGAACCAAGTACTAAGCATCTTTTATGTTTAATATTACAGTCATCCAAGGCATGAAGGAAGCCCAAGAGAAGCTGACAGGCGATGCTTTCAGGAAGAAACATCTTGGAGATGAATTATAATACACTGGGGATCTGTTTTATATAAGTTCAGAATCTAAAATGAGATATGACTCTTTCCCCCCTCCTTTTTCCCCAATGAGGAATTGTAGATGCACTGATACGATCTTTTTCCTACTGATAACTTGTTCGATCAAATACTATCTAATTTTTCAGACAGTGAAATCAAAATAAATAACTCTGTCCTCTCTTGTTTACATTGAAATGCCTGTTTATAGGATAAATAAAGCTAAAATACTTAATGATGAATGAATGTTTCAACCTTGAGCATATTATAAACCACAGTTTCAGTGGAGTTTAAGGCCTAACTATTTTTAAATTGCTTATTCTCTATGAGGTAAAGGCTGGTATCTGGTTTGTGATGAGGACATTGGTCTTAATAGAATCATCTATTCCTTTTATCATAAACAGGCTTAGTCTTGCTTATTTCAGTAGGAACTTCTAGATATTAATGTTTAGGATTACAACAATCTTGCTTTTATTGTTCAGTATGAACTTTTACCAAGCCCACTGTACCAAACTAATAATTCTGTCATGAACGCTACACCAAGTAGAGTTATTTTCCTGCCTGCCCAAGGAGCAGCATGAAGAACATTGGAAGTACAAAATTGTTTTTATTTTCCTTACAGAATTGCCTGCTGCTCCTTTTGTTACGTTTAGACAGAAACATAGCTTTCCCATTTGTGCATTTGTCTTTTAATTCTTTTGTGAATAGAAGAGAAAATGTAATGAAGTATTTGGTGTGAAAATCTCTTAACTTGCTGAATGTTCTCGGTGGATGCCTTGCTTCATCATATTGTACTGTATTTTTGTATCTGGGTAACCAATAAAATGGATTTTTATTTTTCATTTCATTTTGAGATAACAGTAACTTCTATGAGGGGCTAAAGGCATAATGTTGAATTTGTGAAGTTACTGTTGAATGTTTCATTCTTTTTCCTACATGTTTTCATGCATAGACATCTGTAGTTTTTAAAAATCCCATTACATTCAGTAGTTCTGTACCTAACACTATTTTCTAAGCATTTAATTCAGCAAAGTTAAATGAGAATGGGTCTAACAAATTTGCCTGTTATTATGAAAATAAAATTACTTTTAAAATTTCTACAGTAATAGCGCTCACATCTTCCAGTGACAGCACAATCCTAACTATGTATACTCTGTTGTAAGCCCTATTGAATTCAGTGGGACTTTCTTCCAGGTAAATGGGGCTAGTATTGCAAGCTTTGTAACAATTGTGTAAAAAGTTTTTAGTAAGAGCAACCAACTTACTGCACACAAGGGGAAAACCTATGTTAGCAAGTTATAGTGAACTTATTGGCATGCTTTCCTTGATGTAATTATGAAATGGTGTGCAATACATTTCATTTCAAGACAAAAAAAATCTCCAAGTGGTTTACAGCAATAAAATAGCCTAACAACAACATTGCAGTAAAATCATAGTTTACTATAGGTAACTGATTTCTATTGCCTTTCTTGCTGAATGTTGAATGAGGAGCTATAAAAGTTTTTTTAAAAACACCAAAAAACCTTCAGTGCGTAAATGTAAAGACCTTTCTGGCATAAATAGTATGTTTTTAGCAGATTCAAGCTGCTGTGGTCAGATATTACTTTATATGTACTACATCCATAAAAACTTTTTTTTTTTAATGAAGAGTTGCCTTTATACACATTAAATTTTTCAATCATTTAATACAATATATCATTTTATTTTATTACTTTAAAAACTCTTCTGCCTTAGTTTAGTGGAATGTTCTCTACATCTGGAAATCAGCCGATACTTTGGCCAAAGGTGGCATGACTTTCTCAAGAAGGCACTATTAGATTCACTCTTAATAATTAATACCATGCATTTATCAAATAAATTTAATGGTGTGTTTACGTACCATTTTTACTTGCTCAATCCACAGAAGATCATAGCCCTGATACTTTGTCTGGGCTCACCATTTCTGTAAAACAGCAGTTCTGTGTAGGCACCTGTCTTAGTTGTCCAGTCATATCAATAACTGGAAAAAATGCTGCAACCATCATGGGAACCAGAGTAATTATGATGTACAGAAGTGGTATATTCATATGAGCTTCACCCAGTGCGGTAATGTGGTAGCTGTTTCTATGACCAGGACCTGGGATTGTAGTGACTGCTGGTTTCAGTATGTGCAATAAGCCACGGTTATTTATTTCATACATTCTGGTTCTGACTTTTAGGGAAAGCTTGCACTAGTTAGCTTGCAATGAAGCTTGAAACAATTGATACGATAAAAATAGCTATGTACAAAATCATATGCAGGTCAATGAAAAATAAATACAAATTTTGATGGTGTGAATAAGTCTTTAGTGTCATCTGCTTAACGACACAAGAAAGACAAAGTGGAGTTATTGGGAAATTAAATTCCAGAGGTTTGGGCCACCAAGCAAATGCCCTATCTCGCTTACCTGTCTGCTAGACTGACCTTAGTGGTGAGTGTGAATAGGGTCGCAAAGACAAATCCATACAGATAGAAGGGGTTCTTCAGATCATCTGATTACAAACCATTCAATGTTTTAAAGGTTAGTGTCAGCACTTCCAGACATAAGACGAGTAACACAACTGAAAATTGCCTAAAGCCCTGCCTTTCACATGCATTCTAGTATTTTAGTTTGCACCAGTTGAAGTTTCTGGACTGTTGTCAAAGGCAGACCTATGAAAAGAGCACTACAGTAATCTAAGCATATGAATTTGGCCAATTTCTGCACTTGCTGCCAAGTGTTTAATTACTGTCGTCTGGCTCTATGTTTTGGCTTTGTGCATGGATTTATTTCAGAAATGAGTGTTGTAATCAAATGGGTTAATTTCCATATAGGAAGGGAAAAAATACCTTGTAAAATCTCTACCAAGCAAGAGGAGACAATTTTAATACGTATTTATTTCCACAAATATAATCATCATCACTATTCTTATTATTAATTTACCAATTCTATACAAGAACTCAGGATAGCTTAATTGGTAGAGCATGAGACTCTTATGGGTTCAAGCCCCGTATTGGGCAAAATATTCCTGCATTGTAGGGGGTTGGACTACATCAGTGTTTCCTGGGTGAGCTGGAGCTGCATGTGGCTGCCGCCAGTGCTGGGCTCGATGGCAGCCTACGCCTGACTCTGCAAGGTCTGGGCCTTCGGATGTTGCTGAGGGGTGCAGGCAGTATCGGCCCAGCTTTGCAAGGTGCGGGGTAAAATCCACCCCAGAACCTAGCCATGGGTGTAGCCAGGATTGGGGTGGGGAGATCTTTTTGCACCAGAACCTCAGATTTGTACTGATTTTTACTTATTGGGGGGGGGGGCACAGGAAGGAAACAAGATTGGAAGGGGGCCACAGTCGTAAAAAGGTTGGGAAACACTGGACTAGATGACTCTCGTGATCCCTTCCAACTCTGTGATTCTGTGAAGTATCTCAAAGTGATGTACAATAAAAAAGCAGAAAACTGTTTGAAAAACCAAAATGATATATTCAAAAACAAGACAGTACGAAATAGACACCCATGGCAGAGACCCATTCACGCAGCTTGGAAAAGTCCATCAGAACAAAAAATGTTTCCACTTGCTTCCAGAATGTGTGGATAGTTGGCGCATGTCCCCTCTGGACAGGAATGTTTTCCCACAGAACGGAGGCCGTCACACTCAAAGCCCTGCTGAGTTACTGTAGAATAGGCTTCTGATATCTTTGGAGCTTGCAGGAGGACCTCTTCCGCAGACCACAATTAGTTTCCTACTGGGTATGTAAGGCAGAAGAGAGCCTTCTCAGTGGCTGCTCCCAGACTTTAGAACTCCCACCCCAGAGAAGTTAGACTGGCTACTTCCTTGCTGTCCTTCTGCCGGCAGGTGAAGACTTTATACTTTTTGGGAATTGACTGCTTTTAATTAAAGGGCTGGTGCTCTACTGTTTTTATTGTAATTACTGGTATGTTTAAAACAGATTTAATATATCTCTATAGTTTTAATTCCGCCAATGTGTAATTGTATTTTAATGATTGATTTTTAAAATGTTGTTAGCAGTTCTTGTTTTTAGCTGTAAGATGCCTTGAGTCCCGTCAGGGGGAAAAGTGAGATATAAGTAGGTAAGAAAGTAAATAATAAGACAGTCTCTCAAGTAACTTGGTCCCGAGCTGTATAGAGAGCCGTATCTGTTATTACCAACACCTTGAACTTGGCAGGATTGCAGATTGGCCCCAATGCAAATCTCGCAAGTAAGGCACCAGCTGCAGCCTTAGGACCCACCTCAAGGGTAGCCCTATGCCAGCTTATTTCGCTTGTGAAAAACTATTCCCTTAAAAACGTGTTTCCCTATATAAAGTAAGGAAGTTTTAAAATTTGTGTCATTTTAAAATACTCCTTGTTCACCACCAGGTGGAGGTACCCACTTGCCGGTTGTAGCTGCACGGTATATGTGTGCTAAACTAGCCAACCCTGAAATCATTTTCAGCCTGCTTGTTGTTGTTGTTGTTTAGTCGTTTAGTCGTGTCCGACTCTTCGTGACCCCATGGACCAGAGCACGCCAGGCACTCCTGTTTTCCACTGCCTCCCGCAGTTTGGTCAAACTCATGCTGGTAGCTTCGAGAACACTGTCCAACCATCTCGTCCTCTGTCGTCCCCTTCTCCTTGTGCCCTCCATCTTTCCCAACATCAGGGTCTTTTCCAGGGAGTCTTCTCTTCTCATGAGGTGGCCAAAGTATTGGAGCCTCAGCTTCAGGATCTGTCCTTCCAGTGAGCACTCAGGGCTGATTTCCTTAAGAATGGATACGTTTGATCTTCTTGCAGTCCATGGGACTCTCAAGAGTCTCCTCCAGCACCATAATTCAAAAGCATCAATTCTTTGGCGATCAGCCTTCTTTATGGTCCAGCTCTCACTTCCATACATCACTACTGGGAAAACCATGGCTTTAACTATACGGACCTTTGTTGGTAAGGTGATGTCTCTGCTTTTTAAGATGCTGTCTAGGTTTGCCATCGCCTTTCTCCCAAGGAGCAGGCGTCTTTTAATTTCATGACTGCTGTCACCATCTGCAGTGATCATGGAGCCCAAGAAAGTAAAATCTGTCACTGCTTCCATTTTTCCCCCTTCTATTTGCCAGGAGGTGATGGGACCAGTGGCAATGATCTTCAGCCTGCTAGCTATAACTAATTCAAACCAGGTTGACCCAGCAAACCAAGACGAATGGAACCATATCCAGATTAATAATGTTATTTACTCCTCGCATCCTTGTAGAATACTACTTCCCTTCAAAGGCCTTTAAACCCCCCCCCCCCCAAAAAAAAGCCAAGGAATGATTGTTGTGGGGGTCAACTTGGAAACCCCAGTTGGACAACCCACGACCCTCAACTGCTTTAGTGGCGCCTCCTGACAAGCCCGCGAAGTCCCCAACCCATTTGACCTGCTGCCCCTCTTATCCTCCCTCCGAGAGGGAGAGCGCGAGAGGCGTGTATGGAGCTCTACGGAGACAAAGCGAGAAATGTAAGACTACCGGTAAATCTAAGTGAATCAATAAGAAAGGATGGTATGTAAATTAGACGGGCAGGTTGAGATGAAAGGAGGGGTTGGGATGGATGCGGCTCTGTAGGAGAGAGGGGCAACCCGGGCAGCGGTTGAGAGACCCGCCGTGTCCCCTGGTTTCCACTTATTCCGCCCCGCGTGGGGAAGAAGGCGGGAGGCCTGCGGCAGCAGCTCCGCCCCGAGGGTTGTCCTCTGCTGCGCCGGGTGAGAGGATCCGCGGGATGTGTCGCTAAGCCGGACACACGCACGCTCTTCTCCGCCCAGAGGTCCGGGAGCGCCGCTCGGGCTCGGCTAAATCTCCCACCAAGCGCCTCCTGCTCGCCGCTGCTCTTGGCTCCAGCCTCCCTCGCTTTGCGTGCCGTTCCCTGCGCCGCGCCCCAGGTAAGAAGAGCGCGGAGGAGAGGACGGGACCCATCGGTCCCCCGCGCAACTTTCCCCCGTCGCCCGGCAGCCGCCTGCTTCGCATCTCTCCCCTTCCCCGCCGCAAAGAGCGAGCCTCGGAAGCCCCGGGATCCTCCGCGCAAAGCGCAACCAGGGTTTATGTGCGCGCAAATCTCCTAGCGCTCGTGGGAACGGAGGGACGACATTAGAGCCGCAGATTAGCCTTTTTAGTGCTAAGGCTCAACTCTGGAAATTGGACGGCATGCCTCTGAGTATATGCAGAGGGCTTTTTCTGCAACGTCTATCTCTGTCTGAGATTTAGGGGCAGATCTTTCCGGTTAAAATGTTTGATTTCCAGACAGACCTGCCTCCCGGGTTTATTGAGCGTATCTTATTAATTTAATTAATAACAAACAAACAAACAGGGAGAAGTGGAGAGGGTTCCTCAGTCTTTCTCCTTGCCTTAGTAGCCCAGCTCAGTATAAAACCTATTGGAGGAGACTGATCAGGAAATGATTTTTTACAGAATCAGTCTAGTTTTGATTTCTTTCTGCATCATTTTTCTTTGTTTTGGATAAAATGGAGCAAATTTTAAAATAGCCCTGTCAACAATTGTGTACATGTGTGTGCACATAAACACACACACACACAGTTTCTTTGTCAAGGATGGTGCTAAGCCCTTAGCAGCTGAGTGATGGTTGGCAGCCACTTGCAGTATGCTTTCTTATCTTTTGCATCATCTCATTCACTGGAAATGTGTACCAGTTTTCTAGAAAAATAGTCGAGTGTAATAGGTTATGCTTCAAATATAGCCAATGCATTTAGCCCTGCTGGTCATATAGATTTTTGCCATTTCTTGGTTTATTAGAATTAATAAGTGAATTGCTATACCTGGCTTCATTAACACACACACTCACTCTAAATTATTTGAAATCCCAGAGTTTTGCATTAAATGATGCTCTTCTAATTGTTTGGGGCCTTACTTGTTTTACAGAATCTCTTCTTACAGATTATTTATGGCGTATTTGACTGCAGTTCAGACTTTAACTTCATTTATAATAGAAAAATACTATGGGTCTTGCCTGATGCATGTATGCTGTTAGCAGTGTATGAATGGAAACAGTAAGAAATATTGTGAGTATGTAAGCAATATTGATGCAAAACTAATCTCAGGAGTAAAATGTGAGCTATCTTTCCAGGATAGTAGGATTGCCACATTAAATTTTAAAAAACAGTGGACAGCTACAGCTTAGAGCAGGGAAGATTTTTGTGGAGCTTGTGTTCTGATAAAGGGCATAGCTTTACAGTTTGAACTAAACTGAGTGGAGGAGGGTGAGTGATCAAAATCTAGTGAATGTATTTGAAAATATATTCCATTTGAGTGTGTGTGCATGTGTGTGTATGGATATATATTACGCTAAAGTTACCAGGGCTGTGAAGTTAAATCAATAAAATAATGGAGATTCATGTGCGGGAATCTGTTAATATTACACCAAAACATCCAGGCTTTGCAGAACACAGAAACAAAACCTGTAGCTAGAAAATCCAGAGAATGTATTAAGAATATATTGTGGTTATCATGACATTAAACAAATGAAAGTTTCAAAAAAAGATTATGCTGAAGAATAGCCTATCTATGTGTCTGTAACTTTGGTGGAATTTTTGGGGAAGGTTTCGGATGTTAAGGGAGGCAAGCACCCGACTGTGGAATCAGGGTATAGAGCAATGTGGAATGAGGAAATAAGTTTGAAGGGAGTGGGCATTGATCTCAGCTGATAAGTGGCAACTGGGATCCAGAGAAGCTTGGTCACCCAGTGATAGTACTTGTGGACAAAAAGTCCCTAGTAGGAATTCTGCCACAAATTTTGTAAAATAGTTAACTGAATTGCAAAGGCAAAGATGGTGGATTATATGGTGCCGACATAGGAAAAATGGAGGAACATTAGTGAAATGCTGCTTGAGTTGAAGGAAGGACGATCTGCAGGGAGGATTTTTGCTGTTGCTTCTCTTGCCCCCCCCCCCCGCCTAGTTTTGCATTAATTGTCTCATAGTAAAAAGGCAAAATTATAGGTAATAGTGAAGTTATAGTGTATTTTTATTTGTTATCAGGCCTTCTATATGCTAATTTTGTTTTTAACTAATGCTATTCTACATAGATGATTTCAATGCAACCCAACGTGTCACTATCACACCAGCTGCAATGTCTCAATATTAAAAATTATCAATGTGCAGGTATCTACCCACCACCTCTAAAATTATTAAACCATATTAAACCAATATTGAAACTTGAAATACTTTGTATTATAATATGGGGGGAGGGTGGAGAGGAGGATTTAAAGATCTGTCTCATCTTGCACACGAGAAAGACACCAAAGCACATGATAGGAGCATAAGAAAAGAAGCTACAATCTGTCTTGGAGATCTTGTTTAGTAAATTCCCTTAGGCTGGTGGGTACAAGATACAGGGCCTTCTCTGTGTTGGCCCATGACCTATGGCATTCAGTCAACCAATGAAAAGTTAGGCAGGCATATTGAAGACATGTCTGCATTTGGTTTTTATATAGGGAAGCTGGACAGTAGAGGCTATTGTCCCTAGTTGATTTTATTGCTTAAATGTAATGACTTTTTGTTTTGTTGTTGTTTTAACTGTTTTGATGAATTTATGGATTATACACTGCTTTGTGTATTGATTGTCCTAGCAAGAGGAATAGAAGTCTTTTAAATGATGATCATGAGAGCGCTGCTAGATCAGACCAAAGGCTCATCTAGTCTAACATCCAGTTCTCACAGTGGTCAACCTGATGCCTATAAGAAACCCACAGGCAGGACATGAGCACAACAGCATTCTCCCAGTCATGTTCTCCAGCAACTTGTATTCAGAGGCATAAAGGTCTTCTCCTTTAGAGAAGGAACTCTCAGATATGAAACCCTCTATTTGCAGTTTGAATCAGTACACACCAGGAAGGGTTCATTCTACACAAGTGCTATTTCTGCACATTTAAAGCTGCTTATGGTCAGAATGCGGCTCTGTCAGTTCCAGTGGTCCCTGGGCAGGGACAATAAACTCAAAAGACTGTGGAGGTTTCAAATTTCTCCCACCACAAATGTCTATAGGTCAGGAAAATTATACTTCAGAATCTTTATTTAGAAAAATTGACCAGATAGAAAGAATCTCCTTTTGCTAGACGGGAAAATACTTGTGCTTCTAGATTGACCTTGGTGCAATCACTAGTCTCCCAAAAAGCTGTTGGATGAGAGAGATTTATAATAAGGATTTAAACTAGATTACTGTAAATGACAGGTAATCCAATTTTATAATCAACTCTGTCTGGTGGTTGTAACAAAGCTGGAAGCTCTCTGCTTTAAAATACTTTTGGATCTGTTATACATTACCCTCCAAAATGATATATATCAAGAATTTGTTATTGACAAATCCTTTTATTGATGATTAGTTGCCTCTAAACCAGGAGTAGGAAACCTGTGGCTGTTCAGATTTGATTTTATTTATTTTTACATTTATATCACACCTTTCCTCCAAGAAGCAAAAGTTGGTGTACATGGTTCTCTGTCTCTCTACATTATCCTTACAACAACCCTGTAAGGTAGAAATGCTGAGAGTGAGTGACTGGCCCAAAGTCACCCAGTGAGCTTCATGGCTGAGTGGGAATTTGAACCCTGGTCTCCTAGGTCTTACTCCAACCCCCTTAGCTGCTACACCACACTCCCAACTCCCACCCACCCCAGTCATTCCGGTCATGGGTCAGAGATCATGGGAGCTGGAGTCCAGGAACATCTGGAAAGCCACAAGCTCCCCATCCTTACTCAGCTGTAGAAGAAAACTATGTGGGGTACACATTGGGATCACAATCTGGGGAAGAGCTTCCCTATACTTAAATGTAAATGAGCCTTTTTCCTTGCGGAAGGGCATGCTGGGAGCTAATATTTCTTGCAGAATTCTTAGCATCTGCCTTCTTCCAACGCATTCCAAAATTTCAGACTCCTAAGATCATATAGCAGAATCATAGTCAAAAGATGGGAGTCAGCCAGCCTCAGGAATTATGCGCTGACACCTGTAAACAGAGCAAATTCGTATGTCCATTTTGAGGTCATCCTCCTCAGTTCATGTCAACTATTTTTCTCTGTAGATGAAATGCAGACGTGGCAGTCCAGTTGGGAGCTGTGTGAAAGAATCTGCACCGCTGATCACACACATATACCAGTGATTTGTGCTTGTGGCAACATATACATTTGAAGTCGCTGTCTTAATCATCGCCTTTGAACTAGTGAGCACTGCGTCAATAAGTAAATGTAACCAAAGCCAAAATGAGATTTATGAGTTTCTTTCATCCTGGAATGCAAAGACATACTGTTTAGGGTTTTTTGTTGCGGGGTGTCGTACTTGCAGTTGTTATTGCTGCTTTATTGTATTTTTATTTTAGTTCTTGTGATTTATGTGAAAATTGTTCAGTTTGGTTGTGGTTTTTAAAAATGTTTTATTTATTGGGACGCAGGTGGCGCTGTGGGTTAAACCACAGAGCCTAGGACTTGCCGATCAGAAGGTCGGTAGTTCGAATCCCCGCAGCAGGGTGAGCTCCCGTTGCTCGGTCCCTGCTCCTGCCAACCTAGCAGTTCGAAAGCACGTCAAAGTGCAAATAGATAAATAGGTACCGCTCCGGCGGGAAGGTAAACGACATTTCCGTGCGCTGCTCTGGTTCGCCAGAAGCGGCTTAGTCATGCTGGCCACATGACCCGGAAGCTGTATGCCGGCTCCCTCGGCCAATAAAGCGAGATGAGCGCCGCAACCCCAGAGTTGGCCACAACTGGACCTAATGGTCAGGGGTCCCTTTACCTTTTTACTTTTGTTATGTTGTACTTACATATTTTTTATGTTGTAAGTTGCCTTGAGCATGGTTTGAATTGTGGAAAGGCAGCATGCAAATTAAATTATATATGTATGTATGTTATGTATTCTCAGCTCTGCTTTGGACCTGACCTCTCTGCTGCTCTTCTTCCTTCTGTGTGATTAAGCTGATAGTGAGCACAACAGCACATTATTTGTTTGCTGCAAGAGAAAATGTGTTGATACGCCAGAGACTGAACCCTTGGTATAATTTGTTTATATCAGCTGCCCTCTTGTACAGAAATACAGAATGTCAAATGCATAATGCATCTTATGACTCACAGTTGTACCACAAAACAGTCTGGGCAGTGATTTTATTTCTCTGACCAGTTTCTATTTTTATTTTTATATAAAGCTAGGATATGTGTTTCATATTAGACAGACCCACTAGCCTGTAATTGGGGGGAGGGGTCAGATTGTTGGTTGAATTCTTAATAGTTGATCCTGATCATTATATAAAGGACTGTTTCAGCACTCGTGGCCGCTCACCCCAGCCACATATTCACACTGGACCATAGCTCAATGCTCAAGCACAAGCTTCGCATGCAGTAGTTCCCTAGAGTAGCATCAGTCACTGAATGCAGCATGGATGTACTGTAGATGAGTAGAATTCATATGGATGCTGGCAGGTGAACATTCTGTGTCTGATTAGTCAGTAAACAATTAGTATTGTCTGGCTTGCATAGAATCATCCCTACACTGGGATCTCCCTAAATCTGGAATGGGGAATTTGTGGCCTTCCAGATGTTGTTGGACTCCCACTCCCATCAGCCCTGGCCAGCCTGGAGAGATGGTATTGTCGGCCATCTTCCAAGGCGCCCCTAGCGGAGCCCCCATTTTTCTCAGTTTAAATTAGGTTCTCCACATTTCCATAGCAATCTCTGTATTACTTTTTTTTTTAAAATCCTCATGAAAATCTTTAAGCATTTTAGTGTGAATTTCTCTCAATAAACACATTTTTGTATGCAGCTTTGACCAATAGACACATGTTTCCCACCAATTTTCCTTAGTATAGGGTTGTCATATGTCTGAAATTTCCCAGACATAGCCAGTATTCAGCCCTTGTAAACAGTGTCCGGGCAGAAATTGCTGGAATGTCTGGGAAAATCTGTATATATAGCAACCCATGTTGGCAGTGTAGATTTTTGTGAATTTAATAAAAAAAATAGCTCAAAAACTAAAGCTCCACAACTTAATACAATGCATTTTTGTATGCTATTTTCACTAATGTGCATTTCCTCCTAATACATACATTATTGTTTGTATTATTTGGCTGGAGAACTGCATCTCAAAATTCCGAAACGTGTGAATTTTTAAGGATAGCTGTGTTTTAGTTCACATAATTGGTTCAGGAGGCTAGTCAGGAATCAGGGAGTTATAATCCAACAACACTAGGAGGACTGCAAGTTCCCACCTCTGCCCTAAATAAAGGAGGAAGGTTATATAAATCGAATAAGTAAGTAAGTGAGTACCATAAGTATTCAAAGACGTGCAAGTAATAATAACAGAAGCAAGCATCTAGTATTGTACATAGAAACTCCACGTATATTCAGGCAAGCTCTGGGATTAGGGAATGGAAAAGACAGAAATCCTACCAACCTGGGTTGTTTTTTTTGACAACCCTCTTTTCAGACTTTTCTCTGCAACTGTGATTAAAACAACAACAACTATTCCATATTCTGAATTCCAGGCTGACCATTGCATATAGATTCCGAACTATATATAGGCCTGACTATTTGAATAGTTGCCATTTGAAGCCATTGTTTCAAGCCAGGGACTGTTGCCAGATGAAAAGAGGTGAAGACCATAGGGAGCAGATGTCCCAGGGGTATCCCGTTATAGTCTGCTTAACAATGCGTGTAAACATTTTGTGGGTTCATCTTCATGCATTTTTAGTGTACAGTACTGGTGCAAAAGATGGGAGGGGAATATTATTCCTTCACTGCTTAACCCTTTTATTAGTTTACATTTACATTTATTAATTTAAACTATTCCCTCTTTTTCTTTCCGCACCAAGTTCTAGGTGGGTATATTAATAAGCTGTTTCTCACCATGTTCATACATTTCTGCTTTCATTGCTAAGAAGCCCAGTGCTTTTTCCTAAGGGAGAAATGTACAAGCAATAAGCTTTGCAGTGCCCAGTTACAATGAAATTGACATGGCAAATTGGAATCTACTATATTAATAAGAAGTAATGAATTTCCCAGTGGGGAAATTTGCAAGGAGCAAGAAAAGAATAAGTGCCAGAATCAAACTGACTAGGTAACTGGCATTAATACTTTTAATGGGAAAGGTTTTCATCGGTCACACTTAAGTTTTCTCCTAATAGTCTTCTATAAGTCAGTTTTATTGTAAATAGTATCTCCACAATGACAATCTTATTTGGAATCCTTTCTTTTTATTAGTGAGAAGAATTGACTTATCATCCTGGGGAAATTTCAAAATATAATATCCATGTGGTACCTGAATAAGAAAATGACAGAATACCTCTTTTTATAAGAGTGTCACCTGTGACGTTTTGATGCACTCGGATTAACATGGGAGCAGGAATCTATCACTTTAGCTGCTGTTCAGTAAACAATGCAATAATTAATACAATCTGGGAGCCAGGTGGCTCCATTTAGCCTTGGCACAAAGTAGGATGTTTTTTCCTTCTTCATTGCGAAATGTTAGCCACCGACACTGAATTCTAATAATGAAACTTGGTCTGTTCAGTTCATATCAGCACCTAATGTAGGCAGGATTAATTGTCTTTAAAATGTGCTATCTGTTTATAACCAATCCTAGGGATAGGGTGAATATGGCAGAGTTATTCATAAGCTGTGTTTCTAAGCTATTCTGTTTATCTTGATCAGGGCACTGTCAACACCTGTTATCAAATACAGTACTCATTGAGTAGTCTATAGACTACACAGGTATTTTCTTTATAAATCTAAACAGAAATAAAACCACATGCATCCCTCACTATGTTATGATTATGGAAGCAGGTGTTATGTGCAAATCCGCTTCTGAATCAGGTCCTGCAATTATGAAAAATCAATTGCTTACTCTTGATAGATCCATGTATGTATTGCTCCTGGAATGGGGGCCATGAGTTCAACATTATACAATCACTGCTATCAGCTTTGATACTCTTGGTCACCTGGAGATGAGGGCATGTGAGAAGGGATTGCAAAGTGCATATTCTGTTCCTGAATAAATTAAATCACAGAGACAAATGTGCTACTCTTATTTCCTTAGATGGCTTCCGTAACAGATGCCAGATATGGACACAAGGATGCTTCCGACCAGAATTTTGATTATATGTTCAAACTCCTGATCATTGGCAACAGCAGCGTGGGCAAGACCTCCTTCCTCTTTAGATATGCTGATGACACTTTCACACCAGCCTTTGTCAGTACTGTGGGGATCGACTTCAAAGTGAAGACTGTTTACAGGAATGACAAGAGGGTAAAACTGCAGATTTGGGTGAGTATCATTTATTCTGGAATCATTAACCTTATGCACTAAAGTAACAGAAAGTGGATCAAACTGTGGTTATGGCATATTTGTACTACACGGGCCTTTTGCTTGCATTTTATTTAAGCAGAAGATGTATTAATTATTTGTTTACCTTCTGTCCCTTCTTCTAATGGAAGGGCTTCTTCCATTAGAAGAACATACTATTCTGTAAAGTTTTCCAACCCTCTGAAACAGCTTTTAGGGGGCATAAGGAGGAATAAAAATCATCTTCTTGCCTACCCCTGGTGGAAGCAACCCATGAGTAAAGTAGGCTGGATCCAACCCAGAATCTGGATCTGAAACTATTATCATTGCTCTTTATGGGTTACTGATATCATTTGGGACAGCTGTTACAGTGTGTCTTCTTGTGTATGAAATCAGATTCAAGTGATCCTTCTTTCAGGATGCCTTCACACTTTTTTCTCTGGAACTGCCATGCTTTGCTCACTCACTTTTTACAGAGCTTTTAGATGATGGTGTCATCACTATAGTGCTTTCTGTGTTGTTCTCCTGTGTTTTCTGGCTTGAGCTTGAGACTGTTTTCTTGCAATCAAATGAAGCTGCAACATTAGCCTGTCTAGTGTGAAGAGGCTTGTAGGGTTCCTGTTCCTTTCAGCTAGGGTTAGCTAACCTATGGGCCTCCACATGTTGTTGGACTCCCTTAGCCCCAGCCAGCTTGACTATTGGTGGATGATGGGAATTGTAGGCCAGCAATATCTGGAGAGCCACAAGTTAGCTATTCCTGCTTTAAACACTTATTATTTGCAAATTTAGTTACTCTAATTACTTCCATTTTATTATTTCTTGTTGGTCCTGGCTGGCAGAAGAGCCTCTCAACTGCCCCTTAAATTACTTCTATGAACTATTCCATATCAGTTTCTGTTCCCACAGTGGGGAGGAGGGAGAGTCTATAGTAATCACTTTCCTCTGTTTTTTCTGTATTGTATTTAATAAAATGGCAGCCCATATCTTCCTGCATTATCTCTCTCTCTTTCTCTCTGAGCAACATTCATGGTAATTGGTGGGGACAGAATAGGGGAATCATACCTATTTTTTTCCTTGTATCGCCACTTATCACCAAGCAAATCTTCACCTCAGAGTTACACACACCAACCTCCTTGACAGGCTATACTTCTCCCTTTGTCCATACTCCCTGTACTATTATTGACTCAACCAAACTTTGGGCTGTGTTCACATTACTGTCTTTAAGTACAGTGAAACTATCCCCCCTTTCACAGCTCCCCCCTGCAAGCTGTTCACAACAGCATAACCTAACTGGTGTTTGATGTTTTTCTGATTCTGGACACGTCAGGGGGCATTAATGCGAAGCTGTGCAGGAAGATGTCTTTACCCTAAACAAAGATGTTCACACCCGATGGTACATGAAGTATGTGCTGTGGAATCCTAATCATTTTGACATCTGTAACTGAATCTCTTGATTACCAGACTGCAGTATGTAATCCCAATGGACGCATCATTTCATTCCTCCCACCCAAACCTTTGATAAGCTGAATATTTAGAATCTGTGATCGAGTTTTTTGTGTTTTTTTTCTAAGGTAGTTAAAAGAGCATGCAGTCCTCATGCTTTTGTTTTGTTTCTTATCCCCCTCATTGTTCTACTTGGTTAAAAGATCTGGGTTTTGTATATAAGTGTGACTTTTCCTCTTAGGCTGTGGATGAGGGAGGAATTACAAAAGGAAAGAAAAAGATTAATGGCGCCGCTTTGAAAATCTCACTTTTGTTGAAAGCTATTGTGGTTGTGCTGTGTAAAAATAGCCTGTTCCACCTCAAAGGCATAAACAAGATATATAATAAAGAATGTATTTTTACATTTAGTACTCTTAAGGTATTTTGATTTGTGAAGGTGATTTGGTTCAAGGAACTGAATAAACATTTCCGAAATTGGAATAGTTTAGTCTTTTTATCTGGGTGATATTATTTCCTTGTGTTAGTGGTTTTTTTTTAAAACGCATGGTTCTTGCAAGTTCTTTTGTGCAGTATAATTGTTTGTGACACTTGCATTTTTAAATGTGTGAATAATAAAGCTTCACAACAACAGCTAAGACCCAAAGAACTGTGAAACTAGTTTGATGAGCCCAAGAGACTACGCAGCACAATCTTTTGTATTGTGTAGTCAGAAATAAATGGGAGCTTAATCCTAAATAAGTGTGCTTTAGCAGGGACAGGGAACCTGTGTCCTTCCAGATATTGCTGGACTCCACCTCCCATCAGCCCCAGCCAGCATGGCCAGTGCTCAGGGATGATGGGAGCTGTAGTCCAGCAACCTCTGGAGGGCCACAGGTTCCGCATCCCTAGTATATAAGATTGCAAGCTCTTAACTAAGAGCAAGCCCCACTGAACCCAGCAGAACACTGTTAGGCACCCCCTTCAAACAGCAGGACCCCCGCAACACATGGAAAACCTTGAAATGGAGAGGGTTTTGAAGTTTTGTTGTTGTCCTATATTCTATATCTTATTATCTGCAGTTGTTGTTTTCTTGTGACCCATGCCTTTGGTGTGCTTCGGTGTAAAAATTATTCAAAAAACATACTAGGTGGATTATCAGAATTAATCTGTGTTTTGATATGGGGGCCAGCTGTACAAAGATGAAACAAGCCCTTTTGCGTGAGCCCAAGTAGGGATGGGGAACTGGCTGCCCTCCAGGGGTTTTGGACTGCAGCTCCCATCAGCTCCAGCTAGCTTGGCCAGTGGTGAGGGATGATGGGAGGTGTAGTGTGGCAACATCTGTAGGACCACGAGTTCCCTATTCCTGGCCTAAGCAGTCCTATGGGTTTGCAGTCCATGCTGAGCAGCTCTGTGCATATTTACAGTGGTACCTCAGTTGTCAAACGTAATCCATTCTGGAAGACCGTTTGACTTTTGAAACGCTTGACAACCGAGGCGCAGTGGGCAGTCTGCAATTTTAATTGGGGAAAAATAAGAAGAATACAACGGAAGCCGTTCAACTTCCGAGGCGCGTTGGAAAACGGAAGCAATTACTTCCGGGTTTTCAGGGTTCAAAAACCAAAACGTTTGGCAACGGAGACGTCTTCAAACCGGGGTACCACTGTACTTGGAAGCAAGTTCCACTGCATTCATTCGGGCTTACTCCCAGATAAATGTGTTTAGGATTGCAGCCCTATGTGTTTAAGAGCTAAATTATAATCTCCCTTTGTCTCCTGGCTAAAAGCCTTCTGATACTCAGTTCTGAACTGCTGGAGATATTAATTACTGATCAGAAAGGAAAGCTTGGATAGCAGTGTTTTCCCATTTTTTATTTTTTATTTTAAAATCAAATCGAAGAGTTAAGTTAGCACAGTCCATAGCAGATGGCAACAGCATTACTGTACACTTAGGTTGCCTAGCAGCCAGAGAAAAGTGTATTGAAAAGACCAGGAGGGAGCCAGAGCGGATGAATAGAAGTGGACTTTAAGTGAGAAAAAGGACAATGTTGCCTACTTTGCACTGAAAAGCAAAACTGGGTCCTATATATTTATTTAGTTACAGGAATGCTGCTGTTAAATAACTAAGGGTAGATCATATGAAAACTTCAGCTTTTCATAATCTCAGAGTTATTACCAACTCACATCTCTTGGCCTTGCCAACCTCACAGGGTTGTTGTGAGGATAAAATTGGGAGGGGGGGGACCATGTACATTACCCCAACTTTTTTAGAGGAAAGGGGGAATATAAATGAGTGTTTATGCTGGAATTTGCTCTTGTAATACTTAGTGAGTACATAGGTATTTAGATGCTTTCTCTGTTTTTAGGGTGCTCAAATAACATGGTTATTGAGTGGCATATAAATGCTATAAACAAACACATATTTTTTCACCATACCAGAATGAGGCCCATTTTAACTTGGCATGTAAGCTTGAGAAGGGGAGCTGTGGTGAATTTTGTTTCCTCCACTTCCCTAACAAACCACTAATACTGAAAGTTATTGCTTTTCTACCAGCCCTGGAAGCTGAACACATCCTCAGTTGGACCTGGGGCTGTATTTCTTAACAGCCTGGTTTGCACATAACTGTAAAATATGGTGTCTGGCAGACAATCACTTAGACTTTGGTTTATTGTGTCACAGAATAACTAAAAAGGACCTTCAGAATGACTTGCAGCTCTTTGCTTATGCCTCTGTAGCTTCTGGGTGGTGACAGCTCCTTTGCTATAGTTAAAGAAGAGGTTGAGTTCTCACATAATGCTAAGCTATGGTTAATGCTAGCTAAGGTTTGTAAGCCAACTACAAACCCTGGTTAATGAGCTATCATTAACCATAGGTAATAAATCATAGATAAGTTGCTGGATTGGGTTCACACATTGCACTAAGCCATGGTTTTATAAACTATAGTTTAGTGTTACATGTGAAAAAGACCATTCCATGAGATTCTTTAAAATCAGCAGTAAATTCAACATCAAATTTTATACTCAGGGAAGAAAAATACAGTATTTTTCCGTCCATAAGATGCCTCCATGTGTAAGACGCCCCCTATTTTGGGGGACTCAGATTTAAGAAAATGGGGAGGGGAGATGTATCCGTGTATAAGATGCCCCCTATTTATTGACATTATTTTTTAGGGGGGAAACCTAGTCTTATACACTGAAAAATACGGTGTATATCCAGATTTGAGGGAACGAAATTTGCCTTGTGTCATACCCATTAAAAAGATTCAGTTAACTAGATTTATGGGCAATATTAATAATTTTCATGAATGGTAGAGAGATACAGTTCCACAGCAATCATGCACAGCTGCTACCAGAAATATCTAACATCATCCTATTTTTGTAGAGATAATTAAAGCAAATTGAAACTTGACAACCACAAATTACGCTGGATGACTGTTTCTTTTTCCTTTCTTTTGCCAAAATCAATTTGGATGCAGCTGCCTACATGTAAAATATGTTAACACTTTTTTTTCATGCATGTACAACAATTGGTGCGAAGCACGTAAAGTGATGCAATGATGAAAATCTATTTTTGTCTGAATGAAACAGAAATTCTGTAGCTGTGATTCTGTAATCAAGTGTGCCTAATTTTATACTGCAAGGTTAGAAATATATATTTTTTATTCAAAAATAAATAATTATGTATCATCTATTCTCAAACTCGAGAGTTTCCCATTTCTATTGCAACTGTAAAGTATTCATCATGAACTACTCTAGAATTGCTGCTTGCACCAATTCATCTCTTAAAGAGACGCACAGCTGCTAAGCTGGATGTATGAAAAATGAGTAATACTGTACATAGATGATAGAATGTCCATACAACTGAAATAAGAGGAACTAAGGAGGTTATATAGTTATAAAATCAATATGCAAGATGAGCTAAGAATGTAAGACGATTTAGGTTTTTAATACATCGAAACTGGAGAGAAGATTTAGGGGAAGATGTGGTTACGGGAGCTCAGATTCCCAGTGATCTTTTTGTACCTCTCCCATCAGATGTCAAGGCAATAAAGAACTACACAGTTTTTAGAAGACATCTGAAGGCAACGCTGTATCGGGAAGTTTTTAACGTTTGACGTTTTATTATGTTGTTATAATCTGCTGGAAGCCACCCAGAGTAGCTGGGGAAACCTAGCTGGGCGGAGTATAATCATCATCATCATCATCTTCATCTTCATGTAGTTGTTATTATTATTGTAATTGTGCTTAGTTACCAGAATATGATCCTATTAGGACACTTCTTTCACATCGTTTATTGACTCATTGTAGTGATCCTCTTGAGCAAGCGACATTAATAGGTGAACCAGAAACACACTGATCTTTGCGTTACTGACCAGGGCCAGCCCTCCCATGAGGCTGTGTTAGGTGACTGCCTCAGGCAGCAGGATCTGCCCAACTACATAGATCTGACCCCCAATACATAGGTTGGTTTCAGTTCTGCCTCCTATTTGCCTGGGGGGGCGGGGCTGCTGTGCAAGAATAAAGCCGCCTTCTTTTCACGGAGGCCAGAGAGGGCGAGAAGGAGAAGCCAAAGCTGCTGCTTTACTCTCAACTACCAGTGTTCCCTCCCTCCCTCCAGATGCAGATCTTCACTCTCAACTTCTCGCCCACCCCCATATTGATGCTGCCTCCCTTTTCCCTGATGCTAATCTTTATTCCAATAGATGGAGGCTCAAGGTGGCGTTTCCCTCCTCGTTTAATACATCACAATCCTGTCACACAATTATAAATGAGAGTTATGTCCAAACTGCATATTACATGTCTCATACCAAATAAACACCTCATGAGTAATGTCTGAACCATGCCAGGTCTATCAGTCGGATCAAACTAAGCACATACTTTAAAGCACTTTCATGGAAAGCAGTTGCGGCTCCGGGGGGTCCCTCTACTCTGGATTGGTATTACATGGCACAGAGAGTGGACTCTTTCCTCCCTGCCCTGTTTTCCTGCTGAAAATTGGCTCTTCATATAGCTGTTTGCTCCCAAAGGTTCTGTTTGCTGCAAATATTTGCTGATTTTTTGCTATTAGGTATCTTTTAGACCATGCTTGGAAACAGGGAAGAGCGCTGCCATGATTGGAAACAAAACAATGGCACTCACCTTCAACATTTGATGGTCTAACATACTGTGGCAACTTTGTCAAGGTCAGAATGTTGTTGGCATCTGTCTGTCTCGAGAGACAATGGAGTGCACCTCTGGGGGTGAAGACAAACCGTTGGAGAACCACAGCGTCTGCTGTGACTGCAGAGACCAGTAAGTCATAACTGCTTCCTCCTGAACTGATCTCTCTGAGGTGCAAGCTTGGGCAGTGTGTATGGAGATCCTGGGTTGCCCAGACGACAGCAGGGAATGCATATTTGACCCAACTCCTTTTATCAATATGTGCAAGAAGAATGGTTCACTCTCTGCATCTTTCATAATACACCACCATGCTGTCATGCTATAGTAAACAGTCACCCGAACAAGCCCTACGAATCAATAGGCAAATTTACCACCACTTCACCATGGGGTATCTAAAAGGAGCCTCCTACAAGCATTGCTCTTGTGCAAATCTTGTGAATTTGGACCTACTGTAGAAGGAGTCTTATGGATCAGAAGTAGAGCAGGCTTTGTAATGCACTGTTCCTTGTGCCAGATTTTCCTGTCAAACACCATGTTGTTTGCACTTCCAAATGAACTGCAGTCACTACTGAAAATCCCTGGGGCTGCACTTGTCAAACACTTTCCCCCGCTTCTGGAACCAGAAGCTCTTATACCTACCCTTTGTTCATGTCTCAGTTTTTCAGCTATGCTAATTTCTTATCACTTGCACAACCTCTAGCTGACAGTGACTCATAGCTAGAAAATGAAATGTGCATCTGTGATACAGTTATGGGAGTATCTTTTCATAGTAAGCAAAGAAGAGTCACAGGGAGATTCATGTCAACTTTTCTTAGACCACCAAGGGGAGAATGGAGCCTGAGGTAGAGAGGATGCAGACCTGGCATATCCAGGGAGAGGGGGAGGGAGGATTGATTTCTGTCCAAATCTAAGGCTGTGGCTCTGGGGGAAGCAAGACCCTCAGAGTATTAATGCTGCCAGTCCTTCCATCATAGGCTCAGGTTGTATATATATATGTGTGTGTAAATGAACCATAGACCATAAAGTCACCACAGTCTCCAAAGGAAATACGAACCCTGGGCAAGCGCCTGGAACCCCTGGAAACTCACACCTCTCAAAAATCTCACACCTCTCAAAAATTGGGGTGCCATGCAGCAATAGGGGGGGAAAGCTCATTACTTTATCTGAGGGGGTCAGAAATACACAGCACTTATGCTACTACTGCTGATGGAGCTGCATTTCTGCCTTTTTTAATAAACGAATGAGCAGAGTAGTCCCAACTGTTTTAAAAGCACATTCATCTTAATTTACCAGGTTGGGTTGTTATTTCAAGACTTCAGATCATATTTTGAATGTGCCTTCAAATCCAATAAGAATGTATTGGAAATGGTTCTGTAAATGAATGATAATTCATTTTATGTTGTCATGGTAGTTAACAATACCAAATGATTTTTAAGTCTCCTTTTATAAGTATCTTCAGAGTGTTCCCCCTACCCACTTTATGAACTTGAGACTAAGGATGCCTGTAGGATTTTTATTCACTTGTGTGTGGGTGACTAATGGATTTTTAATAGAAGTCACGAAAGGGAATGTGCATGAACGTTATTTGGGGAAAATATCATATATTACTTGTGGAAAACAGCATGTAATATTGCCTTTGAAATTAAAATCCGGGAAGTTTGCTCAGGCATACCTATTTCAAAAGATGATTGAATTCATGTTCAGAAACAACGGGCAATATGTATCACTATTTTTATGAAGAGGTATTACTTTTAATGATGCAAGATTTTTCTGTCACACTAGCTTCCTTAAGATATTGATTGCAGGGTGGAAATAGAGGGTCAGATTCGGATCTCCAAAACTGAAGCAACTTCAATCCAGGAATTTTTTTCTGAAGGCTTACGTTCCTGGGATTAAGTTTATAATCTGATCCTGGTCTTATGTTCTCTAGGTAGTGTTCTTCCTTGATTTCCATTTTCACTCTGGTTCTCCTGTGTGAAGCAGTGGGGCCCAGTAGTTCCCTAACAGGAGACTGAGGCTGATCTGTTATGAATTTATTGGCTGGGGATTTTCTGTTTAATTGCTGCTCTGGAATCATTACTGATAAAGGGTGACTAATGAATCCAATAATTAACCAAATTATACTGGGCTTCTTGCATCTTTCTTTTTTTAAATAAAGAAATTGGAAATCAGCAATTGAAGCCTTCCTACCCCACCATCCACCCTCCCATCCCTGAACAAACAACTCATTAAGGCAATTACTCACTAATCCCCTAGCTGTGATAACAGGACAAGAAAACTGACAGAATCTGGAAAGGGAAAATATTAAATTTTAAAGCATGGGGTTCCTGGAAAGTCTTAATAGTTTTTTTTCTACACTGTCCTGACTTAAGCTGCAATTCTGTTTTTTTTTATAAAAAATAGAATAAAATGTCCCACAAAACATATTTGAAAAAAACATTGGGGGTGGGGACAGCCAAGTGCTACTTATAATTTATCAATGACAGGATGGTTTAGAAGTTCCTTCTCCTGCTGTGTTACATGACACATTACTATCTTGCTTAATGCTTCTCATGGTACATCTCTTGTAGCTTTAACCTTTGCCTTCCTACTCTTGGGACAGGTCTGCTCCTCTTTCTAACTAAGAATTCCTTCATGGGATGACTTATAGGTTCAGTTTGGACATAACTCTCATTTATAATTTAGTCTGACATGAATGAGCTTCAGGCTCGTGTGTCATCACCTTAAACCCCACTCCCAGGTGGTCATAAGAAGCAGCAGCTTTCATTTCCATTTTCAATGAGCCAGAGGTTATCATTGTGTCTCAACCCTTCATCTTAACCACGTTAATCTATGGCTTTGGAAAACAAGCCAACTTCATAAACCACCATTTGAAGCATGCTTCTTTCAACACATCCTAGTTAAGAAGTCTGTGGCATCACTTCCCTCTACCCCAGAGGTCGGCAACCTAAGGCCTATGGGCGGTTCCAGCCCATGAGCTTCCTTGAACCAGCCCACAGCCGTTCCATGGATTGGCATGGGGATTCCATGCTCCCCCCGGCGCCATTTTTTTCTTGCCGCGGGGACCGACTTCTGGGTTGGAAGAGCGCCAGAAATAGCATGTGCGCATGCGCATAGGCGCTCCTCCATCCTGGAAGGGTGCCGGAAATAGCTTGAGTGCACGCACGGGTGCGCATGCTCCGGCCCACCAAGAGGTCTGCCAGGGAGTGGACTGGACCGGCCTCAAAAAACGTTGCCAACCCCTACTCTACCCCTAGTTTTATGGTAGATAGGGTGGTGCTTTTGTGCACATCCCCGAGGGGCAGGAGCAAGCCCAACTTGTTGAGTTAGGAGAGGGTGCTGAGTGGGATGCTTTAAAGAGCTCTTCTGCCCCAAGACATTGTCTTTTCAGCCTTCAGCACAGCTCAGCACCCACCTCTGAGGACACAGTGTTGGTTGCCAGTTGATAGGTCTGTGTAGGAATTTTAGATAGCGCTGCAGGGTTTTCCCCACGTACACCACACTTACCAGAAAGTGGACATATTAGTCTCATTTCTAGCCCATGTCACTGTTGTTTATGTTCATTCATAAGGGCACTCCAGCCCATTTCCAGATTAATCTGTAATGGTGAAAAAAAATCTATGAAAGTTCACGTCTAATCACAAAATGACCATGTATCAATGTAGCTCAAGATGAGCATTTTAGGATAAAACACATTTAGAAATGCATACTTTAATGAGACTTAAATATGCATTTCAAATGCATTTTATAATGAGACTAAAAGGCTCCATGTTTGTGTGCCCAACTCACCACACAAAGGCAGGAGGCTTGAGGGGAGGAGCAGGTGATACAGGCAGATGTTCCTCAGCACAGCTTTGTGAGAGCTATGAGGAACCGGGGTACATGAAAAGCTAGGAAGGGTAGCTTATCCGGAACGGTGAAAGAAGGAAGGCTGCTCTTTGTCTGTCTTACAGGGAACCAGGGCTGGATGGAGGGAGTTAGTTATATTGAAGGAGCTGAAAAAACCAGGGCTTGTACAATGCTAAAACATAGTTTAGTGTAGCATCCAAATGAGGCCATGGATGTGTCCAGTTTCAGATCCACCATGTTGGTACCTCTGGCACATTGCTGGCTTTGAGCTACTGTTAATTTTCTAGAGAAAGAAGTTGGGGTTCAAGTCTCGCAGGAATTACTCAGAAGTGAGGGCAGCACACTTCACACCTGCTGAGAAGCACTTTAATATATTTTATTTAACAAGATTTATATATCACTTAATTTGAAAACAAAGCACTGAACAGTTTACGTGAAATAATACAAAATATTCATGAGAAAATACCAATAAAAAGAACAATCTTAAAAGTAAAATTGTATGCCTGAGTAGACTTGCCTAAACAGAAAAGTTTTTAGCAGGCACTGAAAGCAATACAGTGGTTGCAATATTAATATTCTTACTTCATATGTTCTAAAGTTGAACTCTGGTACTGAAAACAGATGTTAAATTTAGAAAAACACATGAGATTGGAAAGAAGACCTAAGGGTACAGGTGAGAGCATAAGCTCTTTCCACCTTGTCCCAGCTGGCTTGATTCTCTCTTGAACTACAAGCTCCATTTGGCTAAAATGAAGATAGGGTCATAGGCCAAAATTAACAGGAGTGAGTGCTGCATCCATGGGAAAAGTGGTGTCAAAATAAAATGCCCAGCTATTCAGGTCACCTGGCCGCTGGCTCTGATCTCAATTTTTCATTATACTTCTTGCCCCACCCTTTCCTTTTCTACATCTGGGTTCTCCACTGTGAAGCTTGGCACTTGTCTTTTGACCTTCAGGCTCTGCATGCGTTTTGTAGTGTTTGAGAAAAGGTCAGGTGTCACAGGACTTAAAACTGATGAATAATGTAATCTAGACCCTGTGAGCTTTCGATCTAGGCTGTATAATCACAAGTAAATATGAGCAGGTTTCATTATATCAAATATTTGGCTCCTGTTTTTGAAGTGGCTGCCAAAGTGTCAGAGCCAGAAACGTGTTTTTGAATTAAATGAAAAGACTTAAGAATGGTAGAAATGGCAGGCTGTTGCTGTTAGTGTCTACACTGAGGACTCTCACATAACATTATGCATATGTGTCTGTGTAGGGGTGTGTGTGTGCGTGTACACGCACACACGCGCATACACACACACATCCATGTATCCCTACAGGCTAACTTACACAGATACATGTATTATTATTGTATATTTACATCAGCACCTATAGGAATCCAGTCCTTTTTTTTGAAATTAACATCTTTGATTGTCAATCTGTCATAATTCATTGCTCACCAATCCACAGTTAGAGAATGGAGACTCTGGAGTTCAGCCATAGCCTTCCCAGAAAAGGTGGTTTGGACAAGGAAACTGATGGAAGAGGGAAGTCACACTGGAGTTCCTTGGATAAAGGGAAATACTGGGAGTTACTCTGAGAACATAGCAGAATTACTTAAGAGAACAGGTGCCTGAGGATGGAAGAGTTGGAGGAGCAAAGTTTGTGGAGAGGATGTGACAATGGGAGAGTGACTTTGCTCCTGCTTCTTGATCTCTTATCAGCTTTTAATACCATCAACCATAGTATCCTCCTGGCAGCGGCAGAGCTTCATGCTCCGACATCGGGGGAGGGGCGGAGAGCCGGCGGGGGGGCTGTTGCGCGTCCTGGGGGCGGGGCACACCGCCTGCAGGGGCGTGGTGTCCAGCGCGGGCTGCAGGGGCAGCCGCAATGGCACCCTACTGGGATCGCGCTGCCGGGGGCAGTGCACTCCCCCCGCACTCCTCTTCCTCTGCCAGTGCCTCCTGGACCAGTTCTGGGGAATAGGAAGTGGCTGCAGTCATACCTTCTGGACCAAGTCCAGAGAGTAACATTAGGAGAGTGTTTTTTGGCACCCTGGCAGCTACATTATGAATCTGTTTTAGTCTATTCTCCCCCCCCCCAAATAATTTTTATTAGTTTTCAATTACAAAAAATCCAAAACAGACCTCATTATATGCATATCGAATCATAATACCAAATCAAATAACAATTAATCAAATATCCAATTATATAATTTGGGTGACCTCCTGCTTGCTGGATTACAGGTTCAGTAATTCTTTTTTTTCTTCCTGCTTTCAACATCTTATTTATTCCAGTTGTATTCCAATCTTAATCATAGTCTCTTGTTCAACAGCTGCAATTTTTCTGTTTTAGTCTATTGCGGTTTTAACTTTTTGTATGTTTTAAATTATGGCTGTAATTATTATTTTTTAGTGATAATTTTTATCATTTTATCTTTTTTTGTTAACTGCTTTGAGGTTTTCTTCTACAGTCAAGTGGCTTGCCTCTTTTCCTACTGCTTCTTATTTTTTCTCTTTCACCCTCTATCACTATCTCCTATTTATTTTCCAGAAGTACATTTCTTCTGCTTAGTTCAAAAGTGGTGAACACCTGATAAAAGGATGCCTAGTATGAGATCAGATCAGGACACTCCAATATGTTAAATGATGAGTGAGAACAGAAGTGGTTTGTGTTTTATAGCACATTTCCTGTGATGCAAAGGATTCATTTCAGACAAGACTGTTGTTTCATTAAAAATAAAATTGAGTAAACATAGTCCAACAAGCTAATGAGCCTTGTTGAGCTCATTTTAAATGAAGCTTCAGAGATATCTTTTTTGTAATCAGTGCAGGATGAATTTCATTCAACATAATGGATAAGCCACAATATGTTGACATTAGGACTGATGGATCTGCTCTATATCCATTGGTTTCACCTATAGTTTATTTATTAAATGAGCAGTTATTCTTATGTATCCAAGTCTTAAAGGGCTTTTCAGACAATCAGAATAACTTGAGTGAGTTCCACTCCTGATCCAATACCCTGATTGCACATGACAGACCATGCAGGTTGTGGTGCGTAGCCTTACTGTGAGGAGAGATGGGGAAATTAGCCTTCCCACTGAGCATTTCTGGGTGAGCATGTTTATATAGGCTTCCGATAACACTTTGGTGCTGGTGTTAAACAGTGTAGAAGTGTAAGGAAATAATGAAATAAAGTTACCAGAAAAGTTGGGGCATTGCATGGGGAAGTATGAATCTCATCTCTTTTTGAGCTTAACTACAAATAATAGTTAAGCACTAGTGCTGTAGTTGTACGCTGAGGCACCCTAGTTGGAGGAGGGTTTGGGTTGTATCCAACTAAGATCTACTCGGAGTAAACCCATTGAAATTAATAGACCTAAATTTGTTACGTCCATGAATATCGGTGGGTCTGCTCTGAGTATGAACTACCATTTGATACAGCCCACTGAATTTTATGAGTGACTCATGAAATGTTGCCGTTTGAACTTGAAGAAAAGTTGATAGTCCTGTAACAGAAACAGTGCCTAAGGGAAAATGTCAAGAGTCCTATTCAACCAACATATAAAAGTGGTGTGCTTACTACTCCTCTAACTGCTAAACTGGAAAGCCAGAGGCAAATCTAGTTCTGAAATGACTTAAAAGAGAAAGAGCCCCTGGCTAATAGAGCTCTTTTCAAACCTCAGTCCACTAGGGCTACAGTCTTGTGTTCTGCCACTCACAATTCTTGAACTCATCTATCATTCTGCCTGGAAATGAACTACAGTCAGAGCTAAAGATCCTGCAAAGGTCACTGCCAGCATCCTTTTCCTCCAGAGTACGGAATTCAACCCGGATAGATCAAGCTTTTCCTCCTATTAGGAGAAATGAGGTGGGGATTTGGATGGACTGCCCTGTGCTTTGTTTCAGAGCCAAAACCGCCCAAGACATTTTGCTGCCTGAGGCAAAGGACAAGATCACGTCCCATTCATTTGACATAAAGAAGCTGATCAGACTGGCAGCTCAGGCTTATTTTGACATGGGTGATGGGCCAGCATCCTCTTGAGGGCATCAGGCTACTAGGCATGTGCACACACATTTCTGTCTCCTGACACCTCACTACACTGCTCCACAGCACCCATCACCCATCTCACGCTGCCTGATGGTAGGATCACCCCTGTTAAGAATGTTCTTAGTTTCAGTGAATAAAAACTAGAATTGTAGTCTGTGCACAATTCTTAGTTCTTCTTCAGCTGTAGAATTCAGTTGTGATGTTTGAGTGTATTTAGAGAACTGCACAGTATACACAAGAGTAAAGTGAATCTGTAGGAAGTGAGAATGGAGCTCCTGGGAGCACACAGAAGAGACATGTTTAATAAATAAGACTTAGGATAGCAGAAAGAAAAGGTGGAAATTATGAGTGGAACAGTCAATAATTAAGGCAAATGCAAGTTAATCTATAAAGCAGGGGAAATGTTTCAGATGCTTCTGTTTTAAGACACTGAGATTTTTGGTCACATCATTTGACTACCCTTGTCAAAGATAGATCTTATTTTAGAATATAATTTTCAATAAAGAAAGTTCCAGGCAAAGTTTCTGATGTTCACAGATCTAGGAAGGAAATAGAAAACAGTCATTTATTTTAAGCCAACTGGAGGGGTTGGGTGGAGAAAATGTAGGGAATGGTTTTCACAAAGGTAGCTTTAAATAGAAAGACAAAAATTACATCAACGTAAAGGTGAGTTGCCTAAAATAGTCTGCGAAATGACAGATCTTTCCCATATCCCCACAGGCAGTAATAACCACATGGCAGGCTGAAACATAGCCTCTGAACTAAATTGTTGAAAAGGGACAGAAGCAGTTTTGACAATGGTATATTGCAGAGGTTTTTAGTCTTTTGGGGTCCACGGCTCCCTTGACCAACAACGTTCCTTCTGCGGCACCTCTGAGGGGCTCAGGAGCCCAGTTACGTCACCCCTTACCTGCAGAGCCTCTCCTTGGGAGTCCTCTGGGCAGCTGCTGCTGCCGCCCCTGGTCTCTGAGCTACCCTCCCCGCCATCCCAAAGAGAGGTGCCTCCTCACACTGCCCCACAGGGGCCTGGGAAGCACCCCCTGGCCAGCCCCAAAGGGACAATTTGCCTGGGGTACTAGCCAGGGCTGTTGCAACAAACATCTGTGCAAGCCTTTGAGAGGCAAAGACTCGAGAGGGCATCAGAGGGAAGGAAAGAGGGACCGAGGCTAGTGTTGTCGCAGCACCCTGACCATCACTGAAGACAACCCAGGGTGCCACAACACACAACACACGCTAGTATGTGGTACTGACTGGAATGCAATCTATCATACAAGGATAAGAATCACATATACTGTTCCACCCACTTTGGCCTCTGGCTCGCTCTCCTTACCACCAACATGCACCTCCCTGAAAGTTGGCCACGAAGGAAAAACGTTCCTCACCCCACCCCTATACGAAGTAAATAATATGTGACATGTGGATCCAGCTGCAGGTTTTCATAACTAATACCTCTGAAAATATAACTTACTTAAAAGAACTGAGAGGAGATGCTTCTGCGTTGCCACTGGAAATTCCAGAGGAGGAGTGTGGGCCAAGTTCATTTATGACCCTCTTGAACATGGGTAAGCTTGGAACATTCTCAGCCAAAATGCCTCATTCCCTCATGAACCACCTTCTGGGGGCTGTGTGCCTGTGGTGGTTGGGGTGGGATGTGACTCTTAACTTTGTAGGGAGGGCTACATTCCTGCCATGCCATGCCTACATCTCTCTCCCTTCTCCATCCAAGTCAGCAAAGAGGCATTATAATAGTTGAAGAACACATTCTGGCCTTGGTAAGAGCACTTGAGGGCCTAGAGTAAGGCCCATTAGGGGTGTGGCTTGGTGGATAGAGAGGCCTGTGGGGCCTTCTGGTTTGCAAAAACCTGTTCTTGTCTATATATATTTGGGGCCTGTGCATCTCCCAGTCCAATTTAAACCAGCCTTTAGCTTGAAATGAGAAATTTCCCAAATGCTATACAGTGTGGTGCCAAACTGCAAGCAACAGCTATGTTTTCCCTACAGATATAACTCCTGCATCTGTTCAGTGTGAATCAATATCCCTTACCTGCTTCAGACGGGTGGCGGCTTGGCATTTTAAAATAAATAAAGGAAAAATATGTCTGTATCTAATACTGCTGTTATGTCTTCCTTTCAGAATTTGAAATAATTACTTACCCAAACATGGTTTGTACTACCCTAGTCACAAACTGATCATTCACATTGATTGCTTCACCCTCCGCACCGCTCATTTCTTGTATATGCTAACAGTTTCCACTGTGCTTTGGTGCTAAAGAGAAACCGATGCAGTCAGACCCTGAATAGAATCAAAATGTATTTTTGCATCTTGTGGCACAGCGTGCTTTAATAGTGAAGACAGAAAATGGCATCCATTTCAAATTGCTGGAGTTTTAATCCCTGTGTATAAACCCACTTTTCAATCAGTTTAGAAATCAGCATTAAAGAAAGAGCAGCAATCTTACAGTCTGATCCTAACTTCATCTCACGGATGCCAATTCCACTGATATTCAAGGAATTTATTTTCATGCATATGTAGGTTTTATGACCCAAATCTGCCCCCCACATATACACACACTTCACTATGTATTCTGTTGTAGTTTTTTCTTCTTCACAGCACTGTTTCATAAATCCTATAAAATCTGTAACAGGCCAGTAAAGTGATAATCAGTGTCAGAAGATGTTTGAGAAGGAAGCAGCTGTGTTTTCTACCTCACTTGCTGTTTGATCGGCTGAACTGGCAAGCAGTAGCTAATCCCTTCTGTATTCTCAAAGCAGCAGCACGCCCCCCCCACTAAAAAAAACCCTAAAGCATTTTCTGTGTGATAAGTCTTAATCAGATTTTCACAGCCCAGTTCTGTATTGAGATAAGAGAAGTACTGTACTTTATATTCACAAGTCACTCCCATCCCTTCATTGTCACAGGCCCAACTTTGTACTGATTTTGTGGCATTTAAAATGAGGAAATAGAGAAAACAAACTACCATTTTGACCTGAGTTTACTTTCCATGTGACAAAAATGGCCCCCATATCTCCCATGTTGGACCAATCTGTGGCTATATACACATTAGTAGGGGACGCGGGTGGCACTGTGGTCTAAACCACTGAGCCTACTTGCTTGATCTCCCTGTGGTTTTGTGAAAATGAATGATTAGTTTTTAGAAAGAGAGAAATCACACAATTAATTCCTTTGAAATGAAGTGTATTCAGGAGAGCTAAGCTCTGTAGCGACTTTGACATTTTCTGGTAGTGACCGGGTGGGTGTGGGGTTAATTTGCTGCTGCTGGCAGGTGAAATCAGAAAGCAGCTTTCAAAGTGATTCATAACATCACTTGCTTCTCATAGTAGTCATTGACTCATCCTCCCCTCCCCTGAATATTTCTATTTCTAGGTTGTAGCAGGAACAAAGGTTGACCAGTGCCCACCAACATAATTCTTTGTTGCTAATTTGGTAGATTTTGGTGAGGGCAATGTGGGACATCCAAGTAAAAACTGAATACTTAAAGTGTTTCATTTGGTATGCTGTTTCGTATTATTAGTGTTGTGCGTCCTTTGGGTTTTGCAGAGTACCATGAGCAAAACAAAAACAAAACCGCAACAAATCCCTGCTCAAAGGAGCTTTCAATTTACATTTTAAGCATGGGGTGGGGGAAAAGGCAATGGAAGGCAGTAGGGAAGGGAGATGCAAAAGTGGCAAGACATGAGCAAACACAGTTATAACTGAATGATTGCTGCTGCTGCACTTTGAACAAAAGCAAAGGTAGATTTTGGAAAAATAGAGTGTTGTCTGGTGAAGGGGTCCACAGGGCAAAGAAGGTCACTGTTGAGAACTCCAGATGAGCAACTTTTGACAACAAAAGCTAGAAGTGGACTGAGGCCGCCTGAGTCGCAGCTTCCATTCCATCTCTCTCCATATGAATATCCATTTGTTTTCCCATCTGAGAGAGGACAACCCCTCAAAATGCTGAAGCTATTGTATTCACTTGCCACTTCAGAAGCAAGTGCCATGGACTGACTGGATGCAGAGCAGTGGTGAGAGGCACCAGCTGAGGAACCCCAAAGGGAAGGCGGCTCAGAGCCAGGGGATTGGTGGTGGGACGGCGATGAGTAGTCAGTGGGAGAAAAAGGAGCAGACTGGGAGGAGGAGGAGGAGGTGTCGGAAGCAGGGTTAGGGAGCAGGAAGAGCCTGTGGCAGAGAACAGTCCAGTATCGGAGGCAGAAGCAGGGGCAGGGCGCCAAGAGGCAGAGTGGAGGCAGGCCTCTGAAGAAGCCAGGGAGTTTCCCCCTCCTGCTGTGACCAGCTCCCCTCCCCCTGGGAATGGGGGAATGGAGAAGGTGGAGCAAAGAGAGATAAGACAAAGGAGCCTTAGGCTACTGGGGAAGGAACCAGGGGAGGAAGCTTAGAGAGCTGTGGGAGGGCAGGGACATTCAGTCCTGACAACTGCCTCAGTGGGGCAAGTCCTACTGGGAAGTGTTGCTGCGATCACTCGGTCTGTGTGATTTTGGTTTCTTTGAATAAAGAGTTGACTTCACTGATACCAGATGTTTTATTGCTGAGCTGCCTCTGACTTTGGCTCCTGACAGCAAGGCATCATGGGAGAGATGAGAATTAAGGGATGGTTGTGAGTAGTTGGACTTGACATTCCAACATATACTAAGTGAAAAACATATAGGCTTATATCAGTCTAGTTATATATATATCTTTCCTGCTACCACCACAAATGCATGCCCGTCTGCCACTAAGAATCCTTCCTAACAACCCAAGTGTGTGTAGAACTCCTGCTTTTATCCATTCTGTTGCAAATGTGGCTTGTCCTTTTTGTCATTTCATTCCCGGCTGCCACAAATGCCTCCTCTTGCTGTAAATGAAGTGTGATTTAAGTGTGTGAATGAAGAATTTCTGTAGTGCTTTCCACTACCTATATGAAGTAGATTCACATCCATCATTTTACTCAAATTATGGGGAAAGTCCTATTTTCAGACTTTTAAAGGTGGACTCTGTGGGACTATCACTAGGGACTGGTTGATTAATAGGTATGGGCTGGTTGATTAATAGGTATGGGCTTATTTTAATCAATAAGGGTGAATTTTAATTGGCTGGGTTGTTTTGGTTCTTGTGTGTCACCACAACAGAGAATTTCAATGAAATGATGAAAGATGGCCTATCTTCCTAACACTGAGTTTAGCATCCTTCAGGATCTCTAAAAAGCACCTATATTGAGGTTTTGGTGAAGAAACTTAAAGCAATGAATTAACCAATTCATTGGCTTAAAGGCATTCAATTAATCAACTACACTTCTTTAATTGGCGGAAGCCCTAACAGCTGAGCAGAGGTTCACATATATATAACCAAGGTCTACATTCTTTGATTGGATAAGTACCGTATTTTTTGCACCATAACACTCACTTTTTTCCTCCTAGAAAGTAAGGGGAAATGTCTGTGCGTGTTATGGAGGGAATGCCTACGGGTGGCATGCCTACGGATTTTCCTCCTCTAAAAACTACGTGCGTGTTATGGTCGGGTGCGTGTTATAGAGCGAAAAATACGGTATTTATATTCAAACTGAAAGGGATTTCCAGTAAGGCTGTGTACATGGGGGCATTATCTTGCAGATGGGTCATTCAGATCCATTTTTTAATGTATGTGCGAAGAGCACATTAGGGTCCGCACACTTATGTGTTTTCACTCAACACATTAATTGCATATTCTGCTGCTTTCCATTCACACCAGTGAATGCCCCCCTCCACCTCCTGCTCCTTGATCACTCTCCCCTTCCTCTTCCTGTTAGCTTACAGGAGTAAACTGTAGTTGTTCTTTAAATAAATATATATTACTTTTAAACAGAATTGCAAAAGATCCGTAACATTAAAAACAAACTGTAGCTACTTGGTGATCTGAGTTGGGTTTATGTGTGTGCCGGGCTTTCTGCAAATTAAGATAATTTCTCTCTCCCAGCCTTCGCCAACTGATGTCCAACTTCAGCTTCATTAACCTTAGGATTTAGTCATGTTCATGAGACGAAGGAGGGGAATTAAAATCAGCCCTGAATCTTGCTGTTTTTTTTCAAATCTCTCCAAAAGTCTCCTGCGGCATTGGAGAGGCTTGCTGGAGTAAGTTAGTGTCTGTCTTTTGGAGATATTTGGGGGAGAATGATGAAAAGAGGCTGGACTGATGAGATTCCTTTCCCTTTTTCAGCAACATAATTGGATTCCAAGGTGCTTTAAGCTGAAGTTGGACATCAGTTCGAGAAGGCTGTGAGAGAGGAATTACTTTAATCTACAGAAAGTCTGGCACATGTGTAACCCCTACATTCAGAGCATTAAGCAGCCCTAAGCATTTGCTTTTATTATTACAGAAGTAGGAGTATGGCAACAAAGGCCGCTTGTTGAAACATCAGCACTGTGGTTGGGGAGAAATTTGGTTGAGTTTGCATTCAAGGGCAAATCTATCAAATCTGTGCTGTCTGAAAAGTTTCTTGTTGGCTTCTGTCTGTATCAATAAAGTGGAGTGTACATCTGGGGGTGAACTCAAATAGCTGGAGAATCACAGCACCTGCTGTGTCTGCAGAGACCGGTATCTCATAATTGCTGCCTCCTATGCTGTTTTTGCTGCGTTAGCAACACCAAACTGATCTCTCTAGGGTACAAGCTTGAGCAGTGTGCTGCCCTGACGAGAATACCCACCTCTTGGCCTCACTGATGTGGTCCAAAGGAAAGCAGAGCAATACATTTGGCACCAACTTGGCTGCAGGAGCTGATGGAAGGAGGCAAACAACGTGCCATCCAATCATCTTAGGAACTCCACTCTTTACAAAAAAGTGTACATTAGTCAAAACAGCATACAAAAATGTGTTTATTAGCAGAAAACCGCACTTAAATGCAATGTTGATAGACCACAGCTCTCATCAGCTCTCAGCCAGCATGACCAATGGCCAGGGATGATTGGAATTATTCTCCAACCAGAGAGCCACAGGTTCTGCCACCCCTGCCCTTAAAGCTCTTTTGGCAGTTGCTGAATTTCCTGGCTAAGTTATCTGAGGCGTAAGGACCTTTCAGTCTCCGTCACCCCCTGGAGTGGGTAGAAGAAAGAGGAGACTTCTCTATTAATCATATTCAATGCCTGAAACCTTTTAAAAAGCGGAGCTTGAAAACCTATACACTGCTATTTGATTTTTTAAAAATACCACCAGCACAAACCTGAACACAGCAGGGAAGAAAAGGTGCTGTACACATCAGGTGTGCGCCTCCAAGATAAGGCCCTCATTTTTTTCTGCTGCTGTTTCAGAGCATCTCTCTGATTGCTGAGAAATGGATGAAATATGTGCAAATGGATTTTTTAAAAAGCAAACATGTATTTGTAAACACTTTGAATGTCTGGTCTACAGGTTGCACTTTGAGGGGAAACAGATTAAAATGCTGTCAAAGCTTTCTCACTTCTAGGTTGCCAGTTCAGCTGGAGAGCCATCTCAGAAAACAAGACCTTATTGTCATAAAACTGCTAAGCAGTCTGTTCCAGTAATTCTCAAATATTTTCAAACCATCACCTCTTGAGGCATCGTGAAGGCCAGAAAGATTAATTGCAACCACTTTAAATAACTGTTAGGAAATAGGATTACTGGGTTGTCCTCAAAAGTGTCATGATGTCTCTGCATATCCCCCCACCCCCAAGATCACCTCAAGGTAAAACATATCTGCCTTCAACAGCCAAACGCTAACTGCAGGTCTTCCATTTTACGTTGTAATGAGTAACAACAGGCAGACTGAATTATTATAATAGTTGCCATGTGTGGAAAATTTTCCAGTGGAAAATTAACTTCTTTTACCAGACACCAGTCCAAAGTGATGTGATTATTAGAGTATAACATGGACATTCCTAGTACAACAGATAGGTAAAGGTAAAGGTACCCCTGCCCGTATGGGCCAGTCTTGACAGACTCTAGGGTTGTGCACCCATCTCACTTAAGAGGCCAGGGGCCAGCTGTCCGCAGACACTTCCGGGTCACGTGGCCAGCGTGACAAAGCTGCATCTGGCGAGCCAGCGCAGCACACGGAATGCTGTTTACCTTCCCGCTGGTAAGCGGTCCCTATTTATCTACTTGCACCTGGGGGTGCTTTCGAACTGCTAGGTTGGCAGGCGCTGGGACCGAACGACGGGAGCGCACCCCGCCGCGGGGATTCGAACCGCCAACCTTATGATCGGCAAGTCCTAGGTGCTGAGGTTTTACCCACAGCGCCACCCGCGTCCCGAGTACAACAGATATTGATAGCAATAAGGGGCAAACTTTATCTGAAAACATACTATTTGTCTTTTGTTTTTTAATTTTGAAGTACTGTATTGTTTTTAATTTTTTCACTGGAGACATTCAGTGTTTGCTTAGGCACAAGGGTGCTCAGAATAATATAAGTATGATTAATCCTCAAAGCAAAATAAGAATCTCGTGAAATGTTTCCCATGGCATGTGTATTTCTATCCCTTTCCATAACCCAATAGCATAATCCCTAGCAGTGTATTGATGTTGTAAGAAGGCCATGAGGTTGGCAGACTTACACTCAGGAGTCACTGTTTATGGAAGCAAGTAGCTCATTTAACCAGACATTGGGGAAATAAAGTGGTAGGGAGACGGTGTCACTCAGATGAATGCTGCTTGTTCTCTTCTGATGACGCTGCTTCTGCAAATATTACAAGATCTGGAAACCCTACAAATACAATGATAACATAAACAGAGGAGTTGTGGTGCCTTTTGTGATCAGGTGAAGCGCTTGGGGATGCTGCAGCTCCCGGTCCTCCTTTTTGAAGGGTAGGCTGAGAAGAAAACCCAAAAATGCTAAAAGGGTTTTCAGGAAATGGGTAACAGAAATCATTTTATTGGGAAACAGAAACAGTGCTATCGGTTGAAGGGTGAAAGAAAGGCACAATAATTTTCTGTATAATGTTGCTAGGGAGAGAAATCAAAGGAGCAGAGCTGTTTCTGTTTGTTTAACTATGGATATTCGCAGACACATACTAAATAAACTACTTCGTCAGATATTGTGCAAGTGGCACCTAATATGTCTCCTTTAAAAGAGACAGAAAATATCAAGGTACAGGCAGTGGGCAGGGAATGAGAACATCCCAACTGAAAATACTGAGGCAGTTACCACTACTCTGCAACTTCAGCGATGGCAGAAGCTTGATATAGATAAAAAGCAAAACCTCTATCAGATGAATTAAAACTTGAGCTGCTCACGCAATGCTGGACCCCTAGAGCAAGTTATGACCAAGCGTGATAGTACAGGTCCAAAAGCATTTCCCCATGCATGACTATACTGTATAAATATTCTTAGTTAGCACTCTGCTGTTTTGGTATGGCATTCTGTTTTTCCCCAGCCAGCAGCACAAGGGGTGCAAGTCACGTTCATTGCCAAAAATTGTACCAGGTACAAAGGCTTCAACGAAGCTGTGAGAAAGCACTCACAGAAAGAATGACAGGGGTTCACCTCAAGATTCTTCTAACTTCCTTTCTGCCGTGAACAGGAGAAAGGTTTCAATTGAACAGTAATTTAATAAGTCATATGTAAGACTTGTAGATGTCTCGTTCTTGGTCAGACACTGCCAGTTCAGACCCCATGAGCATATATGTGAAATTATTATTATTTGTGCCCCTGTTTGTCTTACTTTACATTTGTTTGCATTGAATTGCATTTGTTGTTACTTCCCATTCACTCAGTTTGGAGAGGCCGTTTTGGAGCGCTTTGCAATCTCTTTTCATTTTAATGATGCCAAACAATTTGGTATCATCATCAAACTTGGCCACTTCACTGGCCACCCCTAACTCTAGGTTTTTTTATGAACAATTTAGAAAGCACAAGTTCCAATACTGATCCTTTGGGGAACTGTACTTTGTATATTCCGCCATTGGAAAAACTGTCTTATTTGGTCCTACTCTCTGCTTCCTGTTACTTAACCTACTGTATTCCTGATCCACATCAGGGCATTGCCCCTTATTTCATGACTACCCAGCCACAGTCCTGATGGAAACCACTCCCATGCTGCCATTAGCAATACCAATGAAAGCTCCCAATGGTGTCCCATCTCCCTTCCCTAAATCTTTATTCACTGATAATCAGCCTTCACATAATAATAATGTTTTTTAGCTCTATGGTCCAGTCTGGACAGGGCTGATTTTTCAGTGCTCTAGTCATGTTTTTATCCTGTGCAAAACCTATAGATGCAAAATGCCAATACAGAAATGATCTGAGAGGATTCCAAGAAACACAACACTTTTTGACAAAGGTCTGATTAGGTTCTTTGTTGTGCAAGGTTTTATTATATCTGTTATTTAGTATTGTATTTATGATAACTTTGTAATTTGTTTGTTGTTGTTTTCCATTTCCATATTGTAAGGAAGCTGGTTTAGAAATCCTTGAAACAATCAATCAATCAATCAATCAATCAATCAATGACCGCATTAAGGAAAGAAGTGTGGCAGGCCCTCTGCTGTTTGTGGCAGACAGAGCATACAATAAAATCAAGGATGTACACATAAGTATACAAGTTGCTTGCATGCTGGTGACTGGGCGTTAGAAGAAGAAGAAAATAGTTGGTGAGGTTAAGTTTACCATACCTCAAAGTCAGGCCAGTATGAGTCTATGTTACTTTTTCTTTCATGGATCATAGTATAGGAAAAATGCATTAGGCAACATTTATCTTTATTGACCTCTTTAGTTCATGTACAAGAATAATACTGATACTGGTATTCAGACAAAGCAATAAATGCCCATTTTCCTACAAAGAGATTGCCTCTACATAAGTAAAACTTAATTTATGAAGTGCCCCTCATGCTGATAAGATCAATGGGTTTATGTTGTTTTCAGGAAGAGTACTTGATGCCTAATGCTTCTGTTTCTTGTCATTGTTTAGGATACTGCTGGACAAGAAAGGTACAGGACAATTACCACTGCCTATTATCGAGGAGCAATGGGATTTATCCTTATGTACGATATTACTTGTGAAGAGTCCTTCAATGCTATTCAGGACTGGTAGGAACAGATAATTGCTACATTCTGTGATAGTTTCATTTTCCAGTTACCATGCAATCCACTCAGTGATCAACTCACACCACATCTTATAAGAGGAAAGAAGGAAGCTCAAGAGCTTAACAAAACATAATCACAATCAAATTATTAATACTACTATTAATTACTCTGCCTGAGTCTATAAAAAATGCACACACACAATTTAAAAAGTTCCTAGCCGAGTCCTGCATTTCTTTACTCATAAATAGCTGCCAATGAATTTAGTAGAACTGATACTGAGTAAATATGCACAAGATTTCAGCCTTGTCCTCAAAGATGCTCCATTACCGCACATCAGGACAGTTTTTCCGCCCTGGAACAATTTTTCAGCCAAATTATTCTACTGATGGCATTAATTGCCAAGCCTGAAGTTCATTTCACAATGTCAGTGAACATCAGTCCTATCTAATGTTTATTTATGAGTTCACAGTGTCATTCCAATTATGCAGAAAGCTTATGTATTACCAGAAGCTATACATCACTTTACCATCTGTGTGACAGTACGTGGTCCAACCTTCAAACACTGCAACAACCTTTCCAGAAAAAATAATTCTCATTCTAACCATCTGATTCTGATCCAGTGTAGCTGATTAGATGTAAAGTTCAGAGGGAGAAGCATGTCTTATACCTCTGGTCAAAGAGCTTGGAACCAGCCAAGACTCCAGTTTACAGGATTTCTCAAATGACTAGCCCTTATAGCAAAATACATTTGAAAGCACGTCAAAGTGCAAGCAGATAAATAGGTACCACTCTGGTGGGAAGGTAAACGGTGTTTCCGTGCACTGCTCTGGTTTGCCAGAAGCAGCTTAGTCATGCTGGCCACATGACCCAGAAGCTGTATGCCGGCCCCCTGAGCCAGTAAAGCAAGATGAGCATTGCAACCCCAGAGTCGTCCATGACTGGACCTAACGGTCAGGGGTACCTTTACCTTTACCTTTAAACATCTTGAGCTAGGTTCCTTAAAGTACCTAAACAAAGCTGCAATCCTAATTAATCTTACCTGGGAGTAAGACCCATCAAATTTCATTAGACTTCTGGGGAAATACAGATGGGATTGTGCTGTTAGACATCAGTAGCCAGATCAAATGAGCTTGCCTTCTGTGCTATCATGCTAGTCAACTAAGAACAGCAGCATTTGTCTTGCTCTCTGCCACCAGTGTAGCTGGCCAAGAGATGCTGTAGCTGATTTACACATCTGTCAAATGACACAAGTAAAAATGGCAGAGAATTCCAATGCAGTTTGCATTTAAAGACAAACGTATCTAATTTGCATTTCATAAAACAATATGCAAACTGAAACACAGCCATCCTTCAGCCAAAAGGGAAAACGCATATACTAGGGGGAAGTGTGCATAAATAGGAACTAGGGGAAAATAAGATTTAATTCAATTAAATAAAAGGAAATTGCTTGCAAATGTTGTATTGCAAAATTATATACAGTATATAATGTACATATTAGGAAAAATATGCACTAAAATACTGACAATTTTTCATGAGGACGTCCACTAATATATGCATTCGTATGCATACTTTACTGTACTATATGCATTTTGCACATATATATATATGGTTGTATTTCGGTTTGCGTATTGCTTTGGAAGGTGCAGATTTGGTTGATTCACCTCCAAATATGAACTGAATGAAATTTGTTTCCCATCCCTACCTGGGAATAAGCCACAGTGACAATGAGACATATATAGGATTACTGTTTTAATGGTGTCAGTCAACTTTGACAGACAGTAGTACATATGCATTACAGTAAGAAAACTTGACTATTAGTCTATTTCCCCAACTCTCTTCTAGCACCAAAAAAAAAGCCAGTTCAAATTAGTAAAAGTGTCCGCTTGCTGACAAACTGCTTTTCTTTTTTCCATTATAGGGTTGCCACATTGTTTTAAAACTCCTCTGACTTTTAAAACACCTTTGTATATAAAGACAAAAATTCAACAAGTGCAGCTTACCCCATCATGGAGAAGCAGATGGTGAAAGTACACCCATTGAATTTCTGCCTGTCAGACAGCTGTTAATGATATGGGAACCAGAAAAAAGTAGCAACTCTGTCTCTGTGACTGCCAGTATAACACTTCCCAAGAAGCTGACATCCTTTTCTCCTTTAAATCACACCTCCTTGTTATAATTATTCCACACAGCACAGTAGCAGCTCTAATTAGAGCTATGGCTTTCATTAAATGAGAAATATTTTTCTTGTAGTTCAGTTGTACTATGTCAATTAAGATGAAGTGATCACTGCCCTCTCTAATGCATGCAGACAGAGTCAAACCTTCCCCATTAGTCGGCGTAATAGGATCACTCTGGGTCAGAAATATACCGTGCAACATTATTTGAAGCCTATGCCTATGTAATCTACAAAACAGTATGGCTTATAATCGAATTCGAGACATTTTAGGGTGGATTTTGTTTACTGTGTCTCCATCATGTGACAATGGGGGGAGGTAGGGAGGAGAAATTTCTGCAGTAGAGAAGTAGGCTCTACCATTTCAATTGAAATGTAATATTAAGGGCCAGTCTATGCTGCACTGCTGTATACACTTCTCAGGAGATAAATCCCATTGAATTCAGTGGGATTTGCCATTGAGTAGATATGAATAGCGGATGCGGGTGGCGCTGTGGGTAAAACCTCAGCGCCTAGGACTTGCCGATCGCATGGTCGGCGGTTCGAATCCCCGCAGCGGGGTGCGCTCCCGTCGTTCGGTCCCAGCGCCTGCCAACCTAGCAGTTCGAAAGCACCCCCGGGTGCAAGTAGATAAATAGGGACCGCTTACCAGTGGGAAGGTAAACGGCGTTCCGTGTGCTGCGCTGCCTCGCCAGATGCAGCTTGTCACGCTGGCCACGTGACCCGGAAGTGTCTGCGGACAGCGCTGGCTCCCGGCCTCTAGAGTGAGATGAGTGCACAACCCTAGAGTCTGTCAAGACTGGCCCGTACGGGCAGGGGTACCTTTACCTTTAGATATGAATAGGACTGTGCTGTTATTAGAGGTGGAGGAGGGAATTCAGTTCAGATTGCATTTAAAGGCAAACCCACCTAATTTGCACTTTCAAAAACAACATGCAGACCAAAACATAGCCATCCTTCAAACTGCACAAGATATGGGGAAGTGATTATTTAAAAATAAAAGCAAAATCCTGCAAGGTGAAAATGAGTCTGAGGCTAAAGCATCCTGAATGTTTATAGGACACACACTTCACAAGTAGCACCTCTTGCTATATAAAGTTAAAATGTGTGCAGTCAGTTTTCAAGATGCGCCAAACATCGCGGTTTCTTCCAGAGCCAGAAAAGCACATGATACAAATGAATAATGGCAAAGGCCAAATTCATTTCTCAGTTTCATCATCTTGTCATTCTGTGGAAGTGACTTGAGATTGTTCAGGCAAGGGCAACTATTGCTCGCAGCTTATTTCTCCTCTCTCAAGTGCCAGCTTCCTTTCCTTGGCTGACAATGCAGCGCTCTTGTCTCCACATGTACAAGATTTTGTAAAGAGATGGTTGCAAATCCCAGAAGGAACAGAAGGCTGGCTGACACCTAAGGCAGTGGGGATAAATAAATAAATAAAATCTAAAAACACTTCACTAACCAAAAGCCAGCAGGGGACCTATCAAACCAACTTTGAAAACATAGCATTCTAAGTAACTTCGGAAAACAGCTACACATTTTGCCTATACAGTATATAAGAAAATATTCTGCAAGCTATTTGAGAGAACTCACACAGTTTGCTATCTCCTGTGATGTGAGCTTTTTAATGGCTTTGTAAGAGATTGCCATATGTCCTTGAAGAAATCTGTCGTTTCAGAGCTAAAACATTAAAAGCCTGTAAATTAGCTGGTGCACTCTTGTATGATTTAACTTAATTTGTTTCTGAGAAATCAGGGGAGCACACTTTGAGAAAAATAAGGGATGGAAATTTTAAGCCATTATGAAGCAAAACATTTCTTTTGAAATGACTATTGTATTGAAGACAGGGGTTTTTTTTTATTGGAGGCAAGTGGCTTGCATACAATTTTATGGGTTAACACCTTGGATGGAATGTGTGATGGTGCCGAAATAAAAAACAAAGCATGCTATAGCTGATGTGTTAAACCAGATTGGAATCAGAAAAGAGAAACAAAAGCAGTATTATCTATACAGGTATATAAAGTATTGCTTTTTGAATGGCAAATAGAGCTTCTACAGCAGAGTGGCAGATCATATAATTGTAGAGCTAGAAGGGACTCTGAGGGCCATATAGTCCAACCCCTGCAGTGCAGAAATCTCAGCTAAATGACAGGTGGCCATCCAACCTCTGCTTAAAAACCTCCTTAGTTGGAATCTCCGTTCTTGAATGCATTGGTCCAGGTGCTAGCCTCCAGAACAGAATAAAACAAGCTTGCTCCATCCTCCATGTGGCAACCCTTAAGATATCTGAAGATGGCTATCATAACTTCTCTCCGTCTCTTCTTTACCAGGCTAAACATATCCAACTCCCTCAGCCATTCCTCATAAGGCTTGCCCTCCTCTGCACACATCCCAGCTTGTCAATATCCTTCTTAAATTGTGGTGCCCAGAACTGGACAGAGTATTCCAGGTGCCGTCTAATCAAGGCAGAATAGAGCAGGACTGTTACTTCCCTTGATCAGGACACTATACTTCTGTTGATGCAGCTTAGAATAGCATTAGCCTTTTTTTTGCTGCTGCATCACACCATTGACCCATGTTAAGCTTGTGGTCTACTCAGGGGTGGAGGAAAGGGGATGCGGTGGGTGCGGACCACCCCGGGTGTCACCACTGAGGCGGTGACAAAATGCCGGGCAGCACTCACCACGGGGCCTGCAGTGCGTCCAAGCCACGTGTCACTCCTGGGAGAGACGCGGTGGCTTGGGCGCGTGCAGGCTCCACACTGCCCAAACGGTCCACTCGCTGCTCCCCACCAGTTGTAGACAGCTGAGTGGGAGGAAGCAAGCATAGCTATGTGTGAAGAACAGTGTGTGCATAGGAAGAATGGCAGGCACAACACCTGTGTTTGTGTGTGCAGAATGGTGGGTACAGTAACGGCTCCAGCGTTCTCAAAACCCAGCAGACTGCCCAGAAAATGAATGGGACAGACAGGAAGTCATGGGGAGGAAGCTCTGCCTTCCTCAGAGAAATAAAACAGCAGCTGATGGCAAGGGAAGGGAAGGGAAGGTTCTGAGCTGAGAAAAGAGACTGAAAAGGCACTTGAAAGAAATGGAGAGTCAATGCATAATGTTATAAGGTTTGGGGGTCAGAGTCTGGGTGCAAGACACCCATAAATCCTGGTATTAGTAAAAGTTAAAATTAATCAAGGTTTGATTAAACTGAGCTAAACACTGAAACCACTGGATTTGGTTTATGCTAAAGAGCTAAGCCAGCTCAGCAGAGCTACATAGGCTCCCAGCCCAACCTTTGAGTAGCAGAGCTTTATAGTTCTTCCCATAGACAGCAATGAAGGCTGCTTTTACTGTTTAGGTGCCTGCAGTGTTGTTCTCCCAGGTTATCACTGTTTTTACTTGCTCTTTCCCATCAGTTTTGCACTGGTGAAGCAGGAAAGAGAGCTTAATCATAATGTGATTTCTTTGGACTGGGCAGCAGTCATTCATTCAGTTCCATACTGAATGAGCCTACCCAAGGTATACAGAAGGGGAGGATGAATTGCAGTTTTCAAATCAAAAGACATACACGTGTGTGAGGAATTCAAAACTTGTGAGGTTCTATCAGTTTGGATGCCATTTTTAGGTCGTTCCCACAGCATCCATTCAGCTGGAACGTACCCATTCATTCATTCATTCATTCAGTTCTTAAAGAGCAGACATGGTAAGGAAGCAATCCTAAGGAACCTCAGGTCTGGCCGATGAGCCACAATATGCAGTGGAGGTGCCACTTCACATGGAGAGACAGGTCTGTTGATAGGTTGGCATTTTGCCCCAGAGCCTCTCCCCACCCCCCCACTGTCAGCATGGCATCAGAATGTTTGTGGGCATAGATGTACCTGCCCATTATAGAACCCGAAGAGAATGTGGGCATTGGTGTTCCTGCCCATGATAGAACCTGAAGAGCATTCTGGAGGCAAGCTAGTGGTGGTCTTGAATCTGTAGGATCCTAACCCCCTCATTTCTTCTATAGGATTATGGCAGGGGGAGGGGAACACACCACAAATATTTGATGTTAATGACACTTTGCAGATTGCTGAAAGTGCGAAGATGATCTTAGCATTCTGGTTTGAAAACTATCGCAGCTGGCTCTTTTTAGATTAGCTGCCACAAATTCCGTTCCGCAGCGGAGTTTATTTAAGGTAAGCTTTGCCATCCATCACAGAGCATCCTGCCTTGTGAATATTCATGGACTGACTGACTGACTGACATTGCTTTTGGTATGAGAGGCATGATGTGGGCTGTCCAGAAGTCATTAAACATTGTCAGGAATTAATCGGAAGGTGGAGGTTGCTTCTGAATCAGAAATCAGGCTCCACAGGCATAATCCATCAGCAGTCTTACTGGTGCAAGCTTTGTTGAAATAAATGGGAACAGGGAGATACAGGGGGATAGGGTTGCCATATTTCAAACAGTGAAAAATTGCAAAAAATAAGTAAATGTTATTTTTATGGGGGGGGGGGGACAGCAAAAACGGCACTGCCAACATCTCCCTACAGGGGATATGCTGAGTGGATTGAGCTCCATATCACTGAGAGGGATGTATCCAAGAATAACATTAAATACTATTGAGGAAATGTGTGCATTATGTGTTCGGAGACCACTGCTTATAGCAGTAAGCAGCATTTACCTAAACTAAAGATTCAGGACAGACAAAAGTTCATAATGAAACTTTGACATTCGCTCCTACAAGATGTAGTGATGACCACAAACCTGGATGGCTTTAAAAGAGGATAAAGCTATTTCATGCAGAACAGGCATAGGCAAACTCAGTCCTCCAGATGTTTTGGGACTACAACTCCCATTGAATTGAAATACTTTATTGTCACTTGTACAACTTGTATACAGTGAGATTACACAAGCACACCCCCCCACTCAGCTCTCTTAGTCTTGGTTCCCCTCATTTACTGACATCCACCCACCAAACCTGAAAGTCAGTTGCCCTGTTGTTATCTTTTCATTCAGCAGCCTAACAGCCCACGGATAGAAGCTGTTCTTTACCCTGTTGGTGCGACTAATCATGCTTCTATATCTTCTGCCTGAGGGCAGGAGGTCAAGAAAGTGCTGGCCAGGGTGTGAATCATCCCTGAGAATTTCCCTCACTCTCCTGAGGCAACATTCGTCCGCTATTTCATCCAGTGGATTCACGGGACAGCCCATAATATCTTGTGCTGTATTCACCACCCTCTGTAGGCACTTCCTATCAGTTGATGTCAAACCAGCATACTACACCGTGATGCAGTATGAAAGGACACTTTCTATTGTGGTCAGGGATGATAGGAGTTGTAGTCCCAAAACATCTGGAGGGCCGAGTTTGCCTATGCTTGATGTAGAAGAAATAAGGCTATTGATGGCTACTAACCACGGTGGCTAGTTTCTGCCTCCGCTGTCAGAAATGATATACCTCTGTATCCTAGTTGCTGGATATCACAAGTGGGAGAGCACTGAAGATAGGATATTGCCCTCGTGGCCTGCTTGTGGGTTTCTCATAACCATCCATTTGAACACTGTGAGTACAGGATTCCTGGACCACATGAGCTCTTCTGACGTTTTTATGTTCTTAAGATGAAAGGAACATTTTTGACCATATGTTTAGGTATGACTACAACAACTCAAGATTCCTCCAAACTGTGATAGAATATTCCACTGTAATGCAATATATTAGAATTATATTGTTGTTGTTTAGTCGTGTCCAACTCTTCGTGACCCCATGAACCAGAGCACGCCAGGCACTCCTGTCTTCCACTGCCTCCCGCAGTTTGGTCAGACTCATGTTTGTAGCTTTGAGAACACTGTCCAACCATCTCGTCCTCTGTCGTCCCCTTCTCCTTGTGCCCTCCATCTTTCCCAACATCAGGGTCTTTTCCAGGGAGTCTTCTCTTCTCATGAGGAATTATAGAATTATATATATATGGTTAATTGATAGCAATGAATTTGGGATGAAGATGATTCATCAATTTTATATCTCTTAGCTCCCCCTGCTGGATTTGGGATGCTTTGGTTTGTTTCTTTGGCCACAGATGCATTCCAAAGCCAAAACTGTGCTGAGAGGTGCTGCATTTCTATTTAAATTATAGCAATTTTTTTCTAAATTTGAATTGATACATATAAATTAGCACAGACAAATGTCATTCAAATATTTGTCTTTTGCAGTCTCTTTTGGTGATAAGATTCCTCTCTTTTTTTGGAGATGCATATGTAACCACCCTAAAATTATGTAGAAATGTTGTTAAATTATTAACATTTTTAATTCATTAATCTTCAGATTAGTTAGTTAATTAAAGATATCCACAAGATACCAAAAACTAGCGGAAATTAACAGCTTCAAAAATAAACAAGTGAGCCATTAATTTGGAACTTCAACTAAAAATTGAATTGGTTAATATACTAAACAAAATTGCCAGAGCAATTCTAACCATCCTATTGAATTCAATAGGGCTTCTTCCCAGGTAAGTGGGGTTAGGATTGCAACCTAATGAAAGCTTATGATTGTTTTAAAAAGGTGCAGCTTCAAGATATTTTCATACAACCTAGGACAAATCCTTGAAACTGATCTAGAAAGCACTGATGCTACTGTGACTGACCTATAAACTCCAAATTCCCAGAAACACAAATTAAAATGAACGGGATCAATAAGTAGTCACTGGCAAGCTATAATGCATTTGTGTGCGTATGTGTGAACAAAACATGGAATATTAGGCACATCTGGGAGCTCTGATCTAGTTTCAGCTGAAGAGGGACAGCACCATACTTTGAAAAATCTTACAAGAAAAGCTGAACATCTGAGTTCAATATACAGGCTACTTTTATTAATAATTATAAGCTTTCCTAACTAAACCTTCAGGTTCAGAACTGGAACTGTCAGAAGCCAGCAGCTCAGCTGAAGGCTGAGTATATCTTTTTTCAAAGCACACATTTCCATATTATATTCCTCAAAACAGGGATCAGCAAACACACCAGTGGTGTGCTGTGAAATTTTTCATAGGGGAACAGTTAGTATCAGAGGCACCAGCTTGCGAGGGCCATGGAGGGGGGTGTCACACACACGAGCCTCTGGCCCTAAGCCCAGCAGAAGTTTCCCAGGCTTTGGGAAGGAGGCACCAGGCTTTAATACTTTAATTTAGCGAGATCATTGAAGGGACCAGCATAGTCCCCCTGGTCCACTTGACTGCACACCACTGAAATGCACAAAGGTTTTGGCTAAAAAATTTCATTGAAATTCCTAAACTGGGACGATTGCATTGCTTTTGCAAAATCAACAATATGTTAACTGTCAATATTGTATTTGTGTTTTGTCATTTGGGAGTGGAGGTTTAGTGCATTCACATTGTGACACATTATTGGCTACTACTCTCACCGCAAATCCTTTCTTCTCCCACAGGGCTACTCAAATAAAGACCTACTCCTGGGATAATGCCCAAGTCATTCTGGTTGGAAACAAATGTGACATGGAGGATGAGAGAATCGTTCCTTTTGAAAAGGGAAAACATCTGGCTGATCAGTTGGGTACATGTTAACATTTTACTTTTTTTGATCCCTTCTCCCTCCAGTTATAAGCAGGGATGGGAAACCAATGGCCCTCCAGATGTTGTTGGATTCCAACTCCCATTAGTCCCAGCCAGCATGACCAATGGTCAAGGATGATGGAAGTTGTAGTCCAGTATCATCTTGAGGGCTAGATTCCATATCCCTTAGTTGCATCCTAATTGCAGCCTCATCTACTTTCTCAGATAATTGGGTTATAATATTTATTTATTATTTATGCAATTTTATTTTTTTATTAAATGAGTGTAACACCGTTTACCTCAAGATCCCAGGGTGGTTAACAGCATAAAAATACAGAATAAAAACACAAAATACAGGATAAAAACAAGAAGAACAAAATAAACCAATAACTCCCCTCCCACAAACACATTTAAAAGGACATAGATTGTTAATAAGCCCATTGACTATTCCTCTCTGTTTAGCCTACTGTCTCAGTTGCAGTGAAAGATGTTGTCAATGTTGAACTACAATCCAACTGCAGGTCTAATAGGCTTCTGTTATGTGGAATGGGGAGGGGCACCATCTTGCCTTTTGCCTCAGCCAGTAAAATGTCTTGGTCCAACCCTGCCTGCTACCCAAGTGAACTGAGTTGAACTGTAAGCTGAATGTCCCATTTGGTCACAGCTGAACTTTTTGCTTCCTATCTTTTTTCCTTTGGGCACATACTGGTATGTCACTACTGTCGAGTTCTGTTAGCTGGATGTTTGCTCCGATTCCTGTGTGACTTGCTGTCTGTATATGTGTGAGTGTGCAGGAGAAGTGAGTTTTGTCAGGTTTCAATCTGGTTTTGTATATCGACTGGCTGGATATTGGTAATTCCAGTATTCCTAGGGAGTGAAGAGTGCAGAATGAGTTTTTTAAAAAAACATACTGTGTTTTGCTGGCTTTCAAGTGTCATGGCTGAGTGATGGAGACTTAATGGCTGTTTTGAGATACGTCTTTGGGAGTGATGGCATCATGAGAGACTGTGAGTGTGTGAAAGAGAGAATTAAATAAACTGTGGGATATGAATGTTTGTGGGTGTTATGAGTGATGTGTGACCTCATGCCCTATTATTTATACTCTCAGTGTTGTCAAGAGAGCGGCTGAACGAGGGTCAACCAGAGAGCCTTATGGCTCAGTGAGAGAGCCTCCACAGTCTTAGCCTGACACTCTAATTACTGGGTGCTTTCAGACCGAGGTATAATGTTGCAAAGCTTTCATTTATATACCACAAACAGGTCATGGGCAAGAGGCTTTTTAAGGGATTGTATTTTCAGTGAAAATGATGAATCTGGATTCAGTTGAGGTGGGCAAGGCTGGCATTTTGTGTAGGCACTGTGAAAAACTTGTATGAATGACCAGTACCAATACTAATATAAAAACCTGTCTGGAAGCATCATTTATCTTTCTGCTGCTACTATTTGCAGCAGATGCACAGCTTTGTTTGTCAAATAGTTGGGAGCACTGGGAGCTGTTCTGAGCTTCACAGCAGTGAGGATTAGAGGTACCCAGGCATGCATAAAATATAATTTTCCTCATTTAGCTTTTCATTGGTTGGTGTGTTAACACTGATTGTTCATTTCAAACAGCTGGTCTGATGAAGCAGCCCTTTTAATAACTTTATGAAAATATTTCAGTTAAGTCATTCCATTTTCCATTCTTAGTAGTTGACATACGAATCAGCATGACATTCAACATTCAAATTACTATGACAGTTAACACTGCTCATAATTTCTCAGCAGTGTATTTTGTTCTGACTCTTCCTTATATACCTTCTCAGATTTTTTAGAACATCAAGAAGTACGTATATCAAACACCAGATTAAGAGCATTCCAAACAGCTCTGGAGTGTAAACATTTGCTTTTTTTGTAAGAAGAGTTATCAGTGTGTTTATGGAAATTCCTTAATTCCTAATTTTATTCAAACCTCTCATGTTGACCCAGTTCTCAACTCCCAAATCTTCACCTCTGACAACACGGTTAAAAACAAAGGACCACAATAAAACTTTATTCCTAATTTTAGCTGGTTCCTGTCTATGACTTTATGATTACCAAGCTGCTATTATCTACTGCTCTGCCTGTACCTGCATCCAGACATTATAAAACAGCAATATTTTAAAAGTGTTTTGTAAGCTTTAAATATTGTTAGTAGTAGTTGTAGGCTTTTTTCTTCGTGGGCTTCAATGCCTGATTTAAGATTTGTTTATTTAATATGTGACTAGAGCTACGTATTTAATATTTGATGTGTTAAAATTATAAAATATGTTTTTTTTAAAAATGGGACAAGGAAAAAATGCAGTACAATAGAAAAGAATACAATAGAAAAGAATAAAAACAAACCCACCCCAAAAGCCTATACAATACAACACACATCAACTAAATCAGTCCACCTAACCTGAGGACCATTTACATACCCAATGCTTTATAATAATAATAATAAATCCCCTTTACAGCTGCGCTACACTTAGGGCTTTTTTCAGCCGGAACTCACTGGAACTCAGTTCCGGCACCTCTCAGGTGGGTGCCATTGCCATTCTAAGAATGAGGGTGGTGATCATGGAGAGTTCCGGCACTTCTTTTTCTAGAAAAATAACACTGGCTACACTCATATGGTGCAATATCTTTCTGAACTTAAACTGATTTTATTTATTTTAAAGACCATAAACTAGAGATTTATACAGCATCACTTTTAATAAAACCTTCTTATCTATTCTGAACTTAGACACCTGTTTTTTTTAAAAAAAACAGACAAACCAAAATGAACTGTTTAATATGACCAACAGATAATTTAAAGCCAGTTTAACATGAGAAGCAGTTTTGGGATAACCAGATATTGATTTGTGTACTTTTTTCAAAAACAAAAAACAGGGTTCGATTATTTTGAAGCTAGCGCCAAGGAGAATGTCAACGTGAGGCAGGTCTTTGAGCGCCTGGTGGACATCATCTGTGAAAAGATGTCGGAGAGCATGGATTCGGAAGCTTCTAGGACAACTACTGCCGGGAAGAACGTGCGTCTCACATACAGCCCCCCTCCGTTGCAGCAGAAGTGCTCCTGTTAATGCCTCAAAATCTCTAAGAAAGTTGTTGTTGCAGGATAGGGGGCAGGTACAGTACATCTTTTAAAAGAGATGTTTCAGTGCTGGTGGAGCTGGATATGTTTGTCTGATGTTTTGCAAAGTCTCTTTATATATTTTATACCAAAACAGTGCAAGCGCAGCTAGTGTTCCAGTGAAAAGTTATGCTACGGTTTAAGTAGTTTATATAGTCTGTCACATATTTCTGTGTGGTTCTCAATGTTACCATTGTTTTGCCACCAGTCAGGTAATCCTGACTCAAAAACACTTTATTAGCATCTGATAGCTAGAGACCACTGTTAACTATGGCACAAAAAATTAATTAAAAAAAGAAAGGACAGCAGTTTGAACTATCTCACAAAAAGATCTTCAGAAGGGAGAGGCAATATTGTTCTTTGTGTAATTAACTGGTATCTTTGCTTAAGAAGAATTGCCCAGGAAAAGCTGTAGCTCAGTGGGAGAGCATGCAGAAGGTCCTAGACTACAGGTAGGTAGCTGTGTTGGTCTGCCGTAGTCGAAACAAAATAAACAAATTCCTTCCAGTAGCACAAGGAATTTGTTTATTATGTTTCATTTGAACCAGTCATTTTCATTGAGGCAAAAACCACCAAGCTCAGTCACTCCATACCACAGCAGCCACACCATTCACATGAGCATGTGTCAAAAGGAAAGGGTGGTACTTTAGAGGGGCATATTGCCAGAAACACTGGGAACAAGTCGCTAGGGGTATTTTTCCTATAAAGCAGCATTTGAAAAGCCTTGGTATGTGCATGGAATTCTGGACATGGTTTCAATTAGACTGCAAGTACGACAGTGATAGACATCCAAGGCCATTCAACGAGTTTATGGCTTAATTGCTCTACAGATAAATATTCAGACTGTTTAATTTTTTTGCACTTGTGGAAGTACATTAGTTCCCAAGAAAAAAAAGACGTATGTAACTGGGAAAAGGTTGAAAAAAAGAATTCTGTGGCACTTTAAGGACTAACAAATTTTGTATAGCAATTAGCTTTTGTGAACTAAATTTCACTTAATCAGAATATATCATTTAGGACCATTCCTATACTATTTAATATTTTAATAATCATAAACGGCATGTATTACATGTGCACATAAAAACTACTGAAAATGACAAAGGCTACTAAAATTGACACACTCTTAACTTTTCCTGCCAATATCCTCTACCTTCACTGAGGTCAGCTAAGCTCAGGAAGCAATTTGTTGTAATTGCAGGATCAGGCATTTGCCCTTGACAATCTTGCAACTACCTTAAGATTGCAATCCCACATAACTTGATGGGACATACTTCTGAGTGGACATATAAGATTGCACTGTTAATGTTCACACACAAACTCCACTTTGTCATAGTAGGAATATGAACTGTGATAGTAAGTCAAAATATGTTTAGTAGAGAGTTTGAATTTGTATTAATTATAATGAGAAAGTTCTATTTTCTTGCACATTTGTGATTTGGTGTTTAGCAGGCACTTTCTGTGTAGTGTTTGAATGTACATGTTCCTAATTATGAAATCATGACAAAATAAAGCTGTTATTTAGTCACCCTGATCTGATTTGAGTGTTAATTTACATTGCTAATAGGCATAAATAGCTCGTCTAGTTTTTCAGTTGTATCACTGTGAAACCATATAGTTATAATGCTTATCAATAACATTTATTATTAGTGTTGTTGTTGATAGACAGACTAAGCAAGGTTATAAAGATAATGCTACATATTATTACCATTTGAACATTAGATTGTTCAAATTACTTCACATACATTGCATCAATAATTGTTACCTCAGTTCTGTAACATAGGTCAATACTATTTCATTCACATAGGCTGCTGAGCTACTCTCCAGATAATATAACCTGGGCCCACTTTTAATTATACTCAGGGCTTTTTTTCAGCTGGAACTCAACAGAACTCAGTTCCAGCACCTCTCAGGTGGGCACTATTGCCATTCCAAGAGAATAAAGGAAGTGTCCGTGGTGAGTTCCGGCACCTATTTTTTCTAGAAAAATAGCACTGATTCAGTTAATGGGGGGGTGGCTAACTTGTGATATTCCAGATATTGTTGGATTTCAATTTCCATCATCCTCAACATTGGCCATGTTTACAGGGGCTGATGGAACTTAGAGTGTAACAGCAGTGAAATATAAGGACAATTAATGATACAAAGAAAAGTATACAATGTCTGAATCAAATAATTTATTATTACATTTACATGCCATCATTCCTCCAAGGAGCTCAAGGTGGCATTTATGGTTCTCCCCTATTTTATCATTGCAAATCATGTGACCCAGGTTAGATTGCACCTGGCCCCAAATCAGTCTGGCTCCAGATTTGATTAGCTGCTGAAATGGTGAATAGTTTACTGCAGTTTCTTTTTCACAAGTACAATATCCAAATTACATATGTACCATAGCAAATGGTGCATTTCTCCCCTGTTCACAATGGAAAGGAGGGTTGGGTGTTCAGTCCTGGCTATCCAATGAAATGTTGGTAAGTCCGGTGTAACAGAGGATAACCCAGTGCAAGCAATTCTAGCATGGTGCAGGGGAACCAGGTTCCTATCCCCAACCTATGTAAGCCTGACTACTAGCAACTCTTGTGAAATGGGATCGTCTAGTTTTCCATTCTACCCACTCTTCAGTGTCCGAGATACAGCTAGTCATTTGTAGATTAGGAGGGCAGCCTCGAGTGTTTTGGAAGACCAGCAAAGTCGTCTAATAGGTAAGTTAAAGGTTGTAGAAGTAGTGCAGGCACGTAAATCAAACTGTAGTGACTCCCAAGTATCACCAATATTAATCCTGGAGATAGCAAGGTGGATCACTCGGACAGACTTCAAGTTTACAGTATCTATTTTGTTTTTTTACTAGAATACCAAGATCCATCAACCAGAGCAGCAGGGCAACTCGAAAATGCAAACTACAACGCCACAGTCTTCCATAGTTTGCATGCCAAAAACCTTTAGAACCTAAAAGGAATAAAGTTACAAAACACAAAAAAAGAAACAGCAGACACAATCATTTTTACTTCCAAGCCAAACAGATACATATACATATATACATAAGTGTGTGTGTGTGTGCGCGCGCGCGCGCGCTACACATCCCCAGTTCAAGGAAGCGCAGAATGGTTCCCAGACGTTCTAAGCGTAATAGCGCTCCCTCATTCGCTGGCGCAGATTATTGGCTCCTTTTCTACGAGTGAGAGCTTGTTGAACCAATCCAAAACTACTCGTCTTTAGAAAGACGTTTATAAGGCAAAACTCAGTTTTGAAGGAAGCAGGGGTGAGATAAGCCTACTACTCCATCCTATTCCCCTTCCCCGACTCTCCGTCTCCCCTCCATTCCTAACGCCAATGGTTTGCCCCATTCCCACCTCCTCAGGCTCCCGGCAGCCTGTTAGAGTCAAGTGATGCCGGTAGAAGCTGGGATTTGCGGGCGTCCGGCGCGTGGATGCCGAGCCGGGCCCTGATTGGGCGACTTCGGCGGCTTCCGGTCCTGAGCACCGGCCTGCGGCTGAGGGCTGGAGCTGCTGGGCCGGAGCTGGGCCCGCCGTGGATGCTGAGGGCGGGAGCCGCCTGGCCGCGCGGGACCTCGGTGGTGAGCCACCTTCGAGCAGGGCGAGCCCTCCGCAGCAGCCGCGCCGGCAACCCTCAAGCCAAGCCGCGAGGGATCCTCAGCGGGCCTCGCTCTCCCTCAGCCATGCCTGGCCGGGCCAAGGCCTCGCTGGGTGGCGGCGCCGAGCAGCCTGAGGACTTGGAGAGCAGTCGCGGGGCCAAGGCCGGCACAGCCCAAGAGGAGCCTGAGGCGGAAGCGGGAGGCGAAGGAGACAAGGCCGCGGCCGCCAGCGAGCCCAGCCCCAACCTGGGGGATCCCGAGATCGTCAAGTCCCCCAGCGATCCCAAGCAGTACAGGTGGGCGCGGGGAGGAGGAAAGGGGAGGGCGAAGGCGTAAGGATGGGGAAGCGCCTCTCAGGTGCGTCAAGCGTAGCGTAAATGAACTACACGAGACATTTCTTGTGCCGGTCAGCACCGTAGTTTCCCCTCCTTTTATCCTGATCGGCCGCCAGAAGGTTTGTGGTTGGGGAGGTTGGGTAGAGCAATCCCGGGGAGAAGGGATGTCGCTTTCCAGCGTGGTAGGCCCGGTTATCAGAAGCAGGGGCATAGCTGTCAACTTTCAGATTTGAAAATAAGGGATCAGCAGCCTTTAAAATAAGGGATCAGTAGCCTCACCTGTCCCAGGGACAGTCTACGGGATAGCTAACAATCCGGGATAGCAGCGGGAAGCAGCAGGAAACGGCGCTGGAATAAGGGAATTTCCTGCAAAAAAGGGAAGTTCACAGCTATGGGCAGGGGAAATATATTCATGTTTCTTTTAAAAGTCATGCAAGCCACGGGCCATTGCATTATGTGCTATAGAAGATGCTACTGGCCACTAGCTTAGATGCATTTAAAAGGCGAAGTTGGTGGAGATATATCCCGCATGATTCTATTGAGTGGCTCTTAGCCAGGATGGCAACATGAAACTTCCATGTTCAGAACATAGCTGTCAACTTTTCCCTTTTCTTGTGAGGAATCCTATTCGGAATAAGGGAATTTCCCTTAAAAAAAGGAAAACGTTGACGGCTATGGTTCAGAAGCAGTTTATCACTGAGTGCCAAATGGAGTGACATTCCCAAAGGCATGTGGTTAGCCACTGTTCTGGATTAGGCGGACTTCAGTCTGATCCCACAGGGTTCCTATGTACTCTGTATTCGTAAAATAGCTTGCCACCTTTGTCAGCTCAATTCCAGCAGATGCTCTTTGTAGAGAGCCAGTGTTAGATGAGATAATTAGACTGGACCAGTTACGGGTAGGTAGCCGTGTTGGTCTGCCGTAGTCGAAACAAGACTTAAGGTCAGTTCCCTACTCAGCCATTAAATTCACTGGGTGAGTTTAGACAAGTCATACTCATGGTCATTTTGAGAACAAAATGGGATAAGGCACATATGCGGTGGTCATTGTAATCAGTAACTTCCTGTGAGATTACCTACTCTTTCCCCATTTGTGTTCCACTTCTCAGCTTACAGAAGGAGGACTTTCATAAGGACTTTTGTTTCTTACATATTTGTTGCCTCTAGCAACTAATCTTTAGTCATAGTCTTGAGATTTTAGCTGGATCTGCTGGTAAATAGAACTGACAAGAAAGTTTTGCAGACTTTACACTGAGTAGTTGATTTCTGTGAAGAATCTGAGTCTGTGTGTGCTCATTTTCAGGCTTTTTCCTTAAAGGTGGGGAATAGCAGTAGCTTACCACCACTGCCCCAGTTATGTATCAACTTGATATTGCACCTTTGATTTGAGAATTTCAGGACTGGTTTCAAGGGGACAAATAAGAAAGAAAGCATTACATCATGACTTACTTTCCTAACTGATTCCTCCCCCCCCCCCCTTTTACTAACTAGCATTTGGTCTGGTATTGTTTACAATTTTCTTATGTAACCAAAACCTGGACAATGTTGATTTGGCTGAACTGGATTCTTTTCCCGCCGCCCGTCAGCACTGTTATCTAAGTCATATAATAAGAGGTTATGATCTTGGTTATCAGTAACTTGATCATGTTGAGTGAGGTTACTTGTTACTTTATAATTCTTCAAAGAAAGGAATAATTTGGCATAAAGAAGAAAAATCACTACCACATGATGTGGTGATGACCACCAACTTGGATAGGTTTAAAAGCAGGTTAGACAAATTCATGGAGGGGATAGTCTTACTAGTCGTGATGGTAAAACACTATCTCCAGAAATAGAGTGCCTCTGAATATGAGTTACTGGGGAACAACAGCAAGAGAGGGTTGTTGCCCTCTAGTCCTGCTTGTGGGGTTAAAGTAAAAAAAGTAATTGTATATGTATTACAAACATGGAATTTTATTCCAACCATTAAATGTAAAACTGCACTCTTATAACCATATAAATACCAAGTGCCTGTTAAAAACATAAACATTAGTGTACTTTAATAATAAAGGTAAAGGTAAAGGGACCCCTGACCATTAGGTCCAGTTGTGACCCACTCTGGGGTTGCAGCGCTCATCTCGCTTTATTGGTCGAGGGAGCCGGCGTACAGCTTCTGGGTCATGTGGCCAGCATGACTAAGCCGCTTCTGGCAAACCAGAGCAGCACACGGAAACGCTGTTTACCTTCCTGCTGGAGCGGTACCTATTTATCTACTTGCACTTTGACGTGCTTTCGAACTGCTAGGTTGGCAGGAGCAGGGACCGAGCAACAGTCGCTCACCCCGTCGCGGGGATTCAAACCGCCGACCTTCTGATCGGCAAGTCCTAGGCTCTGTGGTTTAACCCACACCGCCACCCGCGTCCCTTTAATAATAAATAGGTATAAATTCAGAAGCCAAAACCAAGGGTCAGCTAACCCTTGTGCTGGTTGCAGAAGCCTGCACAAGGCATTCTGCAAGCACAGCAGGGCTTTATGTCTCTCCTTCACCTATGTGCCTCCCATAGATCCTCTCTAGAGAGTCAGGAGAACTTCTAGAACTGTGCATGGGGGAAGGAAAGGGGAGTTTTTTGTTTGGCAACCAGAAATGCTTGCACTGACAGAACGCTTATATTAGTGCAATGTTTAATTGCATCCTATGTAATTATACTTGTAAAATGTAAATCTGCACATTGAAATTGCAACTTGAATGTGAGCATAAATGCTACATCTACTTTGTCTTATGGAAAACAACCTGCTGTAGAGATAGAAAAGGTCTAACCTGAATTTCCAGTATTAAATAGAAAGCTGTGATTGACTGCAATTTTGTGTGGATGAATAGAAGAGCATCGCGCTGTAGTTGCATTTCTGTGATGAAAGCTTTATTTTTCTTGCATTGGGGTTTAGAGCGGTAACACTTTTGATTTAAAGCAGAACGATTGGTAAGGATTGTGTGTAAGTCTCTCCTTGCTCTTACCACTTTTGCCTGTGCTGAATTGTGAGTGCACAGCTTTGCCCTCATCATTTTTAAGGCACCTCTCCCAGGAAGTGAGAGGAGCAGTGGTGCAGCTCACATTCTGAATCCAACCACTTTTAGTCTTGGAGGCTGCTAGTTGGCCATCCATGCAAACAGATGTGACCTACAGGCTGCTGTTGAGCCTTCACCATTCCTCCCCAAAAGCCCCAAGTAGAATTTGTTCCTTTTCCATTGTTGTTATGCTGTCTATATCTCTGTAAGGTGCCCTAATGTAGAATACTTCATTAACACCAAAACAGTCCTGGCAGCATTGTGTCTTGTCTTGCAATGTAATTGCCAAGGTAAATGCATATTTTTTATTAGTTCAGAAAGGCAAGAATTACTGTTTAGCAAATATTAATGGGTAGTATACAACCAAGTCATATTCAATAGGCAATTGAAATGTAGACTCAAGTTAGTCATCATGATACAACCCTTATACAAGAACAAAGTTCGTTGTTATTTTAAATTGTTTTTAATATTGTATTTTAAAGCTGTAACTTGCCCTGAGACCTTAGGGTGAAAAGTAGGTAATTAATAATAATTATTATAATGATGATAATAGTAATGATTGCAGGGACACAGAGGCAAATACAGGGATGTTCCATTTTATTTTATTTTCCTAGGGCATTAAGAAGCCAATGGAAAGGGTCATCATCCTGATGATAATATTACCTGTCACTTTGTAGGTACATCAAACTGCAAAATGGCTTATGTGCATTGCTGATTTCGGACTTGAATAACCCAGACGGTAGCCCTTGTGCAGTGTCAGAGGATGAGGATGACTCTGAGGAAGGCACGGATGAAGATGATGATTCTGGAGCAGAAATAGAAGATGACCAAGAGGGATATGATGATGAATGTGGATATGATGAGGATCTTGATGACCCTGATAGTGAATTAGAAGAGCTAGGAGAGAAAGAGGAAACAAGGAAGAGGAATAGCACAGAAAAACAGGTATGGTTTGAATAATGATAACAACTGACCATGAGTGGTTTGGTGCAGAGGACAAAAATACCACATTGCTACTTTTGATATTTTATTCATTTCTGTACTGGAAACTCATATAAAATACATCTACAGGGTGTATAAAATTCCAGCTAAAACCCAAACAATATAACAAATAAATTCCAAAGGAAAACACGTTAATGAAAGAGAAGTTCAAAGTGAGTGACGAGAGTTTTTAAAAAAACCAATAAATCATTTTCAGAAGATGTCTTGCCATAATATGTTAAGTTGGCAGGTTCACTTCAGAGTTGCAGAAGAGATAGGCTTTTGGCCCTCAGATAAAGAAAGCATTACTTTTGTGTCTGCCTTAAACAGATTCTTAGGTCATCCTCTGCAGTTTTACAATTCAGATTGTTTTCTGTCTTTTATAGAATTGAACAGTGTTTACATCACTTTTCGTGATTCCCTTGCAGAATTGTTTTATAGTGGGCAATTTAGTAATCTTATAAGATAGTAATGTTGTTTTCTTAAAATGCTGTTCTTGTTTTTCTTTTCCCAGTCTGCAGCTGCACTTTGTATAGCTGTTGGCAGTTTCTCTGACCCTGAAGATCTGCCTGGGTTGGCACATTTTCTGGAACACAGTATGTTTTTTGTTGTTAAATGTTACCTTGCTGTGTTTTAGCAAAAATTAAATTTTCTAGTTTTGCATCTGTGGAACTCTTTGACATAAACCCCTGAAAATCAGCAATGTAGGAGTCAGCTGCATTATTTTCCTGCTTGCATATTTGCAAAGTTAGATATGATATGTCCATAGAATAGCAATAGATATCTTAAAACCAGAAGTTGCCCTGCTGATCTAAAAAAAAAAAAGTTTGTCAAACGTATGCAACTAGTCTATTTCCATTTGTTTCCCTTTAATACGCCCAAACTTCTTTTTGAACTTGGGGAATTTCAAGTTTTTTCCATTAGAATTAATACCTGTCTCTTTAACTTTCATTTTTTCCCCCAGTGGTTTTTATGGGCAGTGCAAAATACCCAGATGAGAATGGTTTTGATGCATTTTTGAAGAAACATGGAGGCAGTGACAATGCTTCAACAGACTGTGAACGAACAATATTTCAGTTCGATGTACAGAGGAAATATTTCAAGGAGGCTCTTGATAGGTATTTTGATTATTCTGAATAAAAAGCTGGATTTACTGCTTCCTATTTGAGTAGTTGCTGCTGCTGCACTTGATTTTTTTTTCAGTTTTCAAGTAGTTTGAAAACTTTGGATGGTATCCACTAAGTCATACTCAGAGTAGACCCATAACTGCATAAATTAGGCTGCAATCCTACCAGGGAGTAAGCCCCATTGAATTCAATAGGACTTACTTCTGGATTGCAGTAATGACTAACAAGTCTATTGGTTTCAGTAAGTATGGTCTGACTCTGACCTAGATACTTCCCAAAGGTTGAAACACTTCAGGTAAATATTAGTAAAAAATATGCTTCATTGAAGAATGATATATTTGTAAAGGATGTTAAAAATAAATAGTTGTATGGGGTACAATTACGTTGAGTACTGAGACTTTTGTGGATCATTTGCCTTAATTCATTTTTGGCAAAAAATATAATTCACTGCCAACATTGGGTCATAAAATTCAAAAACGAATTCATACCAATCTAGATTTTTATTAGAGCAGATAACCAAGACACACATCAAAGCATAATTTCCATTGGGAATAAAAATGTAATGAATATTTTAAGCCTTTGCTTTAGGATAGAAAGTTTAACAACAGACACTAGAAGAACTTTTTTTTATGTTATTACTAAAACTTGAACTTGGTAAATATTTTAAATTGCAACACTTGTACACCTGAAAACTAATTTTTGTGCAAGCCTGTCAGACTGCCTGGAAAAACATATGTCCAATATTTTTCTGTTTCAGGTGGGCGCAGTTTTTCATTCACCCTTTAATGATCCGTGATGCAATTGATCGGGAAGTTGAGGCTGTGGATAGTGGTAAGAATCCTGATTTCTCTTGTCACTTGATATTTAGTTTTTTGAAAAAAATAAAATTTGTTTGGCATACAAGTATTGAAAGCATGTTCCATGAAGCAGGACATTTATACATGCTTTTAGTACCCAGAGGTCACCATCGTGGTACTTTCAGGCACACATGTGCCCACAGGGTCTCTTCCCCAAGCATTCTCTTGTGTGCTTGGTTGAGGGTTGCATGTGACGCCCACAACAGTTTCTCTGCTTTTCAAATTTGCCCATGGATTCCAAACGGTTGCCAGACAAATAAGATGCATTCTGAAGTTTTCAGCAACTTACAGAGGAACTTGAATTTCTAATTTATTACTACCTGCAGTAAAGGATTCACAAAAGGATTCACAAAACTTCAGAAGTTCATTTAAACTTGAAAAGGAAGGTGGATCTTTCAAAATGGACAGACAAGTTGTTGATGTTTTCTTATTACATATATCCAACTTAAAATGTATAAAGGAAAAATTCCTCATCTCATCACTTAAGTTGACTAGAAGCAGGTATTGTAAAGCCTGCATATTGATCCAGTAAGGGCATTTTCCATACAGGAGCTGACTTATGTTTACCACTCATTCTCTTGAATGGGTCTTTTGCATTCAGAAGGGTGCTGCAGATGATAAAAAAGCACCCTGCATTAAGCAGTTAGCATGTTGTTGGGATTGATTTTGGGTTGGCTCTGTGTACATTTCCATCAACCACATGGCTGACATTGTCAAAGCGAACCCTCTTCAGCCAGTGGATCTGCAGGATTCTTTATAGCAGGGCCCTTTACTAGTTTTGAGTGTTGTTCTTTTTGATGTAAAAATAAACACACAAGCCATGCATAAAAGCAGTAAGCTAGGTTAAGTAGTTTTGGCAACAGTCCTTCTGATCTGTTCATGCTGTTTTGAGCAAATGAACGTTTTAATGTGCATGGCTTTGTTATATTCCTATAGTCAAAGCTGGTTTGGAGGTCTATATTAGTTTGAATCTGAAAACCTTTCTATTAAACAAACAACAGAATATCAGCTTGCAAGGCCCTCTGATGCAAACCGAAGAGAGATGTTGTTTGGAAGTCTGGCCAAGTCTGGCCATCCCATGAAGAAGTTCTTTTGGGGTAAGTATTATTTATTATTATTTTAAAGTGTTTTTATCCTGTTGTCCAGCTGAAAAGGCTCCCAGAGCAATAAAAAGCAACACAGGCCGTGCCCTCAGACATACCACCTAAAAACAACACAAAGGGAAAAGGGGGAAAGAGTTAAAAAGCGAAATTAGATACCAGTTCTTAAAGTTACAAAGTTCTTACAACAACTTAACTCTGTCTGAAATGGTTTATGGAGATGAGGAGCTAAAAGGAGCAGGCCTCTCAATTTACTTAGTAGTTTTCCTGCTTCCCATCTCCCTCAGTAATGGAATGGCTGCTACTAGTTTTAGCCCAAAGGCTAAATGAAAGTTCCCTCTGGTTGGTCTTCAAGGAAGGTCTCTAAAAAACAGCCGGAGTTTTCTCTCTTTCCTGATCTCAGTGCAGAGATAGAAACTCTACCTGCTCCTTAGATTTCTTTCTGAAGATCGGGCAGAGCACTTTCACCTCCTTCCTGTGAGCTGGTGGGCCAGGTTTGGCCTGCAGGCTAGTCATCAATGGCACAGAGAACCTGTTGGATCTTGTATGGTGATAGAGAACACATGTGGCCAAGTTAGTGCAATACACTGAGAAGATGACATAACTTGTTTCCCGCAAGCTGCTCATACACAGATTATCCTGAACGTCGTATGTGGGTGTTGCAGAGATTTCCTGTCCTCTCTCTTACCAGTTCTCTTTGAGTCCCGCCATAAGTGCTTATGTGTTGATGTTCTGCACAGCTTGTTCCAAGCTGTGGGCAGGGAGGAAGGAAGGCACATAGTGGGCACGCAGGCAGGAGGAAGGACAGCAAAATGAGGGGGATACCACTTTGTTGCAGCTTAAAATTTATTTTTCAGCAAGTGGGGTGAAGGAGGAAAAACGTGGACTGGCAAGATATATATTAATCTGTTAATGCACAGTATGTTTTTACAGTGGTGCCTCGCAAGACGAAAAGAATCCGTTCTGGGAGTCTCTTCGTCTAGCGGTTTTTTCGTCTTGCGAAGCAAGCCCATTGACGGGATTAGCGGATTAGCGCTATTAGCGCTATTAGCGGCTTTTAGCGGCTTTTAGCAGCTTATCAGCTTATCGGATAAGCAGATAAGCGGCTTAGCGACTTAGAAAAAGAGGGGGGAAAGGAAAAAAAAACCCAGGAACTCGCAAGACATTTTCGTCTTGCGAAGCAAGCCCATTGCAGATTCATTTTGCGAGGCACCTCCAAAACGGAAAACTATTTCGTCTAGCGAGTTTTCCGTCTTGCGAGGCATTCGTCTTGCGGGGCACCACTGTAATGACTTTTGCTATGAGAACTATTAGTTTTAATTATAAGTAATTTGGGGCCAGTGGGAAAAAATATTTTGCCTTTGAATTCCTAGTAGTTACTTTTGTGACTACTTTTGTTACTAGCAGAGCAGAACCCTGTTAAGCCTTTGGATCAAAAGCATAAGAATTTTTAATAATAAGCAACCTTGGTTTTCAACATTATTTACAGGTAATGCAGACACGCTGAAACATGAGCCGAAGCAAAATGACATTGATACTTATACCAGGCTGAGGGAATTCTGGCAGCGCTATTACTCAGCTCACTATATGACTTTAGTTGTGCAATCTAAAGGTAACGACTGTTAATTTGAAGCTACAGGTGCAAACTGTGATACACTGCCTTGATTATTGTCTTTCAAGAGCTATAAAAACTCTTCTGCATCTGCTTGTAATGTAAAGAATGCCACAATAGTTTACATTTCTAGTCAGAAGTAAGTCCTGTTGAATACAGTGGGGCCTGTGCCCAGGAAAATGAGTAGGGTTGCAATTGTGTACAATGAAAGTAAGCCCCACTGAATCAGGACGTATTTCTGATCAGCTATACATATGACTCCACTAAAATTAAAACAAAACTAGATGTATCTAGCTAAATATTTTCAATCTTCTACTTCTGAATTTAAATATTGAGTTCATTTTGATGAAATAGGTGTTCTTCAGAGGAAACTGTCTGGTCACCTTTTTAAAATAGAGGCTTATATTTTGGACCTAGCAATTCATATAAGTTTCATTAGTTGCATTACATAACCCTCTTTTTGCTCCTTATTAGTCTAAATGAAGTTCACAATATTAGATAATTTATTTCCCTTTGTAAACAAGGCTATGATTTATCTTGAGCCAAATACAGTGTTTTCTGAGTTTCCAGTAACACAGACTTGGCATGTGAATTTTCTCTGCCATTACTGACATTTTAATGTCGTCTTTTTCTCAGTAAGGATAAAAACCTGCCCCTCCCTTCCCAACCCTGCCCTAAGGGGCCAATCTGTACATGCACGACATACATGGATGCTTCTTTAAGTGTGGCTGCCATCACAAGGAATATTTCTATGCTGCCAGAATCATCTATTGTGGAGGCTGTTTCAGATAGCTTTTGGGCGCGGCCCATATCACGGAGACCAGCCATAATTTTGTTGTGTGTAAGTTTTAACTGATACAACCAGCTTGGGAGGTTGTAAGAATGCAAGCTCAGCTGCCACATATGCCTGATATAGGAAGCAGAAATGTACTGGTGCAGCCACACCCCAAAATAATCCAAGTGCCAAATGCATGTGCAGTTTAGGTATACTGAGAGAATTGAGCCTTTGGGCCTACAGACTTTATAATGTTTGCACCTCTTGTTTAATTAGCTGATTGGGTTCTTGAGAATGAACAGGTTCTCCAGCTTACCTTTGTTTTACTGAGAACAAGCCTTTCTTCTTCAGTGAATTGGCTGTTGAGCTTTTTCTCTCTCTCCCTTCCTCCCTAGAAACCTTGGATACTCTGGAAAAATGGGTGATTGAAATCTTCTCAGAGATTCCAAATAAGTAAGATTTTTTTCCCCTCTACCATTTTTGTCATAAGTAAGATGTAAAATTATATGCACAGTTCTGCATTCAAGTCATATGAGAAGACCACAAATATGATTTCACCTGTTTATCCCTAAACTTTCCCTGCTTCTTACCCTTTTCCCTTCTTTCCAGCCCTGCGTCTTCTTCCTTCTCTTTCCATGTCATTGCCTGTTACTGCTTTTTAATTATAAAAACTAATTTGTGGCATAATTTATATAGAATATGTTGCTGTGTGGTGTTGGCTTAAGGGAATAGCATGCCTGACTGGGGGTTGGGGGGAGTTGAACAAGCATGCTAAGGTGATAGTTTGACTGGCCAGATGGAATGATTCACCCCCTCATCCTCCCATGCACTGATGTGGGTGCTCTCCTGACCCTCAGAACCAATTTTGAGGGGTGTTTGTAGGGAGCGGGTAGGAAAGCCCCATTGCACAAGCGTAAGCCCTTGTGCATGGCTTCCACTTTCAGAAGTCATTAGTTGAAACCTACTTTAGGACTTGGGTCTCCTCTTCTCATGTACAGAATGAATACTTAGCACAAATTTGGTGGGGGCTGTTATGCCAGCGCCGGTGCTTTGAATATTTAATAAAATAACAAAGGTGTTCTGTTTGATGTTTAAAATATTGATTTCTCAATTTTGGTTTCAAAAAAATAGAGGTCGTCTTATACATGGGGGTGTCTTATACATGGAAAAATACGGTAATATTTTTAATGGGCATGTTAATCCCAATCTGTAGATACTGGTTCATAGTTTTCTACCAGACATACAACACAATAATCACCTGTTGGAACACGTGAGGAGCCAGTCCCTGGAATTGGTACTGTTCCTGCAATGAGTGCTGGGTACAGAAGGATATATTCAGATTAGTCATTGATACACAGGATTATGATGTGATATGGGGAGCATCCTAACGGAATTAGGACAATGATGCCTAACTTATTTTCTTTTGTTCTTAAAGTGATTTACCAAGACCAACTTTTAGCCACCTGACAGAACCTTTTGACACACCTGATTTCCAGAAACTTTACAGAGGTGAGTAATTGGAATGAGTAATTCCTATAGTGCTAACGATTAAGAATACATATTGCATTCTAAACTTTGTAACTTTCAAAGTTTAAAATACTGCTCTTTGCACTTTTCTTTTTGAGAGAATTTATTATGAGAAAGTTGATGAAGGCAGATAATCATGTTTTTACATTTTACAGTAAACATTTCTTTATTTTTAGTTGTTCCAATCAGAAAAACACACTCTTTAAATATCACTTGGGCTCTTCCTCCACAAGAACAACATTACAGGTAAATTTTAAACTCTTGTTATGGTTGAACCCTTTCATGTGGGTACCAGGAAACTGAGTTAGTTGAACAAATTAAATTGTTGATAAAAGAAAAAGCAGCTACTAGTGGCTTTCTGCTGATAGAAGGGGCTCCATCAGCAAAATGTGGAGGGAGACCATTTTAAACCATCCTTTTGCAGTGGTCTGTGCTCCCTCTAAAGCGTTGGGGGAATCCTGAGCAGATTTGGGTGGGTACAGAAGACAATTGTCAAAAGGTGGGCCCTTCCTTGTTCTGTTCATGGATTCCTTTCTGTCAGCAGAAAGGCACCCTGAATACCACACATAGTTTATGGTAGCTATAGTAGTTTGTAATGTGATCATCACTAAATCCCAGCATTTTGGATATGCTTATTTTACTTGCTAATTTGTGTACTGGCTAGAAACCAATATTTTCAAGGCATGTTTTATGACCTCCATTTTTAAACTTTCCCCTCTTTTTTCAGGGTCAAACCTCTTCACTATATTTCATGGCTGGTTGGACACGAAGGCAAAGGCAGCGTTCTTTCATTCCTTAGAAAAAAGTATGTATGAAAAAATCAGTTATAATTTTAATAGTTAATTGACACATTTAAAAGATATATACGCCATGTGCCTTTGTATTACTTCTGTAATGCAGACAGTTGAGAAACATGTCAGCTTAGTTAGTGACCAAGTTCAACATATATTTGTTATAACCCAAATATTGTGCAACATAAACATTGGATAGACTTGACATGAGCATTTTGAAAAGTTTCTCCAGAGTGCCTACCTACCCTTTGCTTATATTGTGATTGCATCATGTGAGGAGATGGAAAAATCAGAAGTTGGTAACTCACTATTCCATTGGGGCAGGGGGAGTGATACAAGCAACGCTTCACTCGCATAGACTGGACTATGTTGCTGCTTACCCCTAGGTTATTAGTTGAAATATGTCATCTCTTCTGCATGCTAAAGCAGGGGTGGCAAAACTTCCTCTTGCTAAAAGCCAGAAATATATTGGAAATATGTATCAATAGCTCTATCTTTGATGTGTTAATTTTTTTCTGATAGATTCTGGGCTCTTGCATTGTATGGAGGAAACGGTGAAACAGGATTTGAACAGAACTCTACATACTCCGTCTTCAGTATTTGTGTGACTCTAACAGATGAAGGTTACAATCATTTCTATGAGGTAAATTTGAGATCAGCTTGAAGTGTTTGTTGTTCTTGCTTATTGCAGACGACAGAAACCTGAATGTGCTTTGTTTCCATTTTCAGGTTGTTCACGTCGTATTCCAGTATTTGAAAATGTTGCAGCAGACAGGACCAGAGCAAAGGTAACTAAGGCCTGATTCTAGTGAGCAGTCGGTGTTACTGAACTTTTTTTATTCCTAAATGTGAGCAAAAGTAGCAGGTGGGAGGAAATGGCTGTTAAAAAGAACTGGAGGAATTGGAATTCTCCCTAAAATGTCAACCCCATGAAAAAGCAAGGAAAATTAGCTATTAAGGTTGACTATTTAAGAATTGGTTTAGGGCAGAGCTTTCCAAACTTTCCGTGTTGGTGACACACTTTTTAGACATGCATCATTTCACAACACAGTAATTCAGTCTTACTAGCAAACCAGAGGTTAAACAAACCCATTTCCAGCCACGGGGGGAGCATTCACAGGACACACCTACACATAGCAGTCAACACACAAACGTGTCACAACACACAGTGTGGAAACCTCTGGTTTAGGGGAATATTCACTATCCTGAAACATTCTCTCTATGTGAAGTATTATTGGTTACTATATATACTACTTTTCTGTATAAAACTTACAAATACATAAAGAGTACATTGTTATCCGTGTCATCTTCCTAATAGAAACAATATGGAACAGTTTAATAAGAGATACATAATAAAACCTCAGTATTGATACATCAAAACAATTCATTCATAATTCTGTACTAATAGGAAGCCAGTAAGACAGCCTCTGACCTAGGAGGTGGTAGCAGCAGAATGAATCTTTTTAAAGAGCTGCAAAAGGAAATGGGGTCAGCCCTCAGTCCCATGTTAAGATGGGAAATGACAAAATGTTTCCTCTGGCCTGTTGGTCAGGCTGATGAGAAATAGCCTTAGAATCATAGAATTGTAAAGTTGAAGGTCATCATCTAGTCCAACCCCATGTGGTGAAGGAATCTTTTGGAATGTTTGTTCTGAAACCTTGTTTCTGGAAATGGTTCCTTTCTTGACAAATGTGACTGATTTATTGAGAAACATACGCTATCATCCACAGAATTTGGGAAGAAATCCAGAAGATTGAAGCTAATGAATTTCATTATCAAGAACAGGTATTTCCTCAACCTTGAATATTTTCAAACACCATTTTATAGCCCATCATTTTATCTTGGCTTACGGAAACTAATAATGGCTGGGAATCTAATTGTGGTGACTATAGTAGGCTCATTGCTAATTTTAATAATATGGGATTATTTTACTGAGCTGCTTTTGAAACAGTCATGATTTGTGATGACTTTCTGCTTTTGAAGATGTGCGTCTTCAATCTTCAGAGCTAAGAACTTGAGTTTGGAGCCCTGTTTAGGAGCCGTTCAAATGAATAGCTTTTTCCAACAGGAATGAAACTCTTATCTTCTTTTTCTTAACTTTGATTCTTAATGAGCCCAATGGGGATTTCAAGGAACAAGTTTTCTTGTCCAAAATCTACATTGATTTTTGCAGTTGTCATGCATCCGGGAATCAAATGAATTGACTACTGCAGAAGATTGGTGCAACTGCCAATGCATATTTGGAAAGCAGCCAAAATCTAGGATTCTTCACTATTTCCACTTGATTCTTGGCACAATCCAACTGCAAAAGTCAGTGCACAATTGTGTGGGGAAACTGATGACCTGGATTCACCTTTGAGCTCAACCAGAAGTAAGGTTAAGGGGGGAAATGTTCAAATGATCAGCTAGTGAAATAGAACTGTTTGTTTTACAGACTGACCCAGTTGAATATGTTGAAAGTATTTGTGAGAATATGCAGCTGTTTCCAAAGGAGGACATTCTGACAGGAGACCAACTTCTTTTTGAATACAAACCAGAAGTAAGTGCACTCTTTAGGTCTTGCTTCTTTCTAGAGGAGATGATTAAGAAACCAATTCTACCAACTAGGGAATCTTCTTTTCAGTCCTTCATGCTCTGCTTACAAAGTAGTAGTAGAATAAAGCTCCTTAATTTTGCACAAATAGGGACACATAAGAATATATTTGAATCCTTCATCTTTGCAGATCATTGCTGAAGCTCTTAACCAGCTGACACCTCAGCGAGCCAACCTTATTCTGCTTTCTGCTGCCCATGAAGCTCAGTGTCAGCTGAAGGAGAAGTGGTTTGGCACACACTACGGGGTTGAAGGTACAACAACTTTGAGTCTTTCTCAAAAGAATTCCAGAGGCGGAAGGAGGCTATGGAAGGACCTGCATTGTGTTATGTTGGAGTGAGGTTGGCCTATAAGTCTCCTAATAATTAAGGAACCTCAGTGCCAGGGGTGGTGAACTTGTGGCCCTCCAGATGTTTGTGAATTCTGGCTCCCACCAGCCCCAGCCAGCCTGACCAATGGTTAGATATGATGTGAGTTGGAGGGCAGTGAGAAGATGACATTTCTGTCATGGTTAGCAAAGTATGACATGTTGGATCTATGAATGGTGAAGGATTATGTCTAGATCAGGTGTATGAGTTCCTCCCTGCTGCTACGGTGTGGAAATCGGGTGTTCGTTAGAGAAGAAGAGGATAGGAGCTGGGCGCCCTGTCAATACAGCTTTCTGCAGCTAAGTAGAACATCTTCATTGGCTTCAGTTGTACTAAGTTTGTCTGCTTTTATCATTAATTTTCAGATATTGATCAGTACTGGAATGATATGTGGGCCAGTGACTTTGCATTAAATCCCGACTTGCACCCACCAGAAGAAAACAGATACATTGGTGAGTGAATTATGACTTCATACATGGCTAAAATAAGATTGAATGTGACTAGATTATTTTGCTTACATGTTGTTAAATAAGCTGTCATAGGTTTTATAAATGAAGGCTGCCTCTTCAGTTACAAGTGAATTCAACAGATTTATGTAGTTGGGTTTCTGTCATGTTGTATCTCAAAAAAAGTAAGGAGCAGTACTTTTTTCAGGGGATACTCGAGGGTATGCAGTACCAGCACCTCTTTTTTGTTGTTAAAAAGTGTAGCACTTACTGTAAGAACTTCATGGTGATTACTGGCACCTGTTTTTCTAGAAAAAAGCACTGGTAGGGAGTGTTATCCAGCAGAATCAGAAATTTATTGTGCATTTGTGCAGCAGACCATAAATAACTGTTAAGCTAGTAACACTTCAATCCTTACAGTGATGCTTTGACACTTAAGCATGCAGTTTGCATAATTTATTTGAGATTGATGTGTACTTGTTACATTGACATGTGGGTATGCAACAGTAACTCCTCCTCCTTAATTTTAGCAACTGATTTTGCTCTGAAGGCTCCTGACTGCCCACAGACAGAATATCCAGTCAGTATACTGAGCACCCAACAAGGCTGCTTGTGGTACAAGAAGGATGATAAATTCAAAATCCCTAAAGGTAACTCCTTTATAGGTCTTTTAATAAAACTTAATACACTTCTAGGTTACAAAACACAGGACATTCCAGGTTGCACTTATCTCCTTGGGGCTTTTCATATAGCTTATTTTGAAATTATTTTTTTGTTTTTGTTTTAAGGCAGACACACATCCTTACACTGAATCCAGATGCAACTTTAGAACATCTGTTTCAGTAGTGACATAGATAAAAAAATTAAATGACATGTCCATGCATCCTTGTGCTGAGATCCTTCTCCTGAAATGAATTTCTGTGTTTGTATATACATTTTTAATCAAACAGTAGTAGCCTTTACACCAATAGTAGTGAACCTGTCGCTATCAAGATGTTGTTAGAATCCAAACCCTATCAGCCCAGCCAATACTGCCATTGGTCAGCAATGATGGGAATTGTAGTCCACCAGTATCTGGAGGACCACAGGCTCTCCATCCCTTCTTTCGACTAGACAAGGCAGTATATTGGCATCGTAAAGCACCAAGTTATTTTCATTTTGCTGGCTCTACATAGCTTAGCTTGCTGGTGTCTGGAGTTTTAGAAAATGAAGATGTGAAACATTTCAGTTGTTAATCTAAGCATTGTGTTTGGACTTGGGATGTTTAACTCTGGCTACCATGGTTGGGAATTTTTGGGCAGTGTTTCAGTCACTGATCTGTGGAATGGCACTGCTAGCCATTGGAGGAGGTGCTGACTCACTCTTCCTGTACTGGGTAGGAAGCTGTGTTTCTTTTATCCAGCAACATACCGACACCATTCCTTTTCACTGTTCAGAGAGACTACTTGCCAATCAAAAGCTTTCTGGCTGTATATTAGCATGCCCTTTAGATTTCATTGTATTTAATCAGCAGTGGGTAGGACTAATAATCTGTTTAAAAGAGATTGGGAACCATAGGTCAGGAGGTCCGAAAGAGAAATAATGGCTTGACGAAAGCTCCCCATTGTTTGCTATAGCTCATTATAACCATTTCTTTCAGCTTATATCCGTTTCCATCTAATCTCACCGCTGATCCAGCAGTCTGCCGAGAAGTAAGGGTTGCAGTCTTTTTGTCTGTCCTTTTGGTTAGCTTATTTTTCTGCTGTAACAAGCATCTGTGGTGCTTCAGAGCATCCCTGTTACTAATAAACATGGGATACTAGGTGGTGGGTGATGGTAAAATATCAAATGCTGTGTTTGATTGCAGAAACCATAATGTCAAGAGTGCAGGTAATTGTCTAAAAGGGTCTGAGATTGTATACTCCTATATAAGTTAAATTAATGAGCGACTTTTGTCTATTGAATGAGTGCCTTTCCATGCAGGACTCTCATTCACATTCTTACTTTTGTTTCCCCTCAAAAAAATTGCTGTGTGCAGCATTGTGCTCTTTGATACATTTGTAAACATCCTCGCACACAACCTCGCTGAGCCTGCTTATGAGGCGGATGTTGCTCAGTTGGAATACAAGCTGGTAGCTGGAGAGCATGGACTGATCATTCGCGTAAAAGGATTCAATCACAAGCTTCCTGTAAGTGTTGGCGGGATTTTTTCCTTTGGGTTCCTTTTGGGAAAATGATCCTATTTAGTCTACTGCTCTAGGGAATCAGCATTTTACTTTGTTCTCCCAGCTGCTGTTTCAACTCATCATTGACCACCTAGCAGACTTCAGTTTTACTCCAGAAGTTTTTGAAATGATAACTGAGCAGTTGAAGAAGACTTACTTCAACATCCTCATCAAGCCAGAGACTCTGGCCAAGTAAGTGTTTGAAACAGTACAGGCAGGCTTGGGTTTACTTTCTGGGAGAAGTCCCAGTTCTGATTTTATTATTTATTTGTGTGGTTTTTTAATAAAAACATTTTCATACTACTGTATCACAGCAGTTTACAACAATATAAAAACATATACAGTATTGTTGATTTGGGGAGAGAGCAAGTCATTGTGGAAATGTGAATGAACATTCTTCCTTTGCTTTTTGTCCATTTTCATTGTTCTTTGTAGGGCATTCTTGGCAAGGAATTGGGTTATAAGAACAAGAAAGGAGCAGGAGATCTGTGGGGTCAAGACAGGGGGTAGAAGTTTTGAGGGTGTTCAATGTGACCATGTGTTGACTCTTGTGAACACCTGGAGGCTGTGCTTCCCCTTCCATGCTTTCTGTGAAAATGGTGTGCCTTTCTAGCCCTTAGGTGTTCTGAAGGTAGTTTGAAACACAGATGTAGCATGAATGTCTGATTTTTGGGGTCAACCTCTGATAATCATGGTATTGTGTGCATTGTACTGGTATCCTGTACTAATGCTTTTCTCAGCAACATATCATTGTGATTTGTTTACCAGCTGCATTTGCAGCATAATGGCTGTGATCCAGAAAGGAGTGTGACCTGCTCCACGCACACGATGGAGCATTTTTATTCCCATCTCTTCTGCTGCCCAAATTGAAATCCCCCTGGGCTGTCTGATAAGCTGCCTTTGGGAAGGGCTGGGGTTTGCAGTGTAGTGGACCTGAAAGCAAACATCTGTCACCCTTAAAGGAGCTGTCTAAATCAGAGTCCATGATAAGGAGAGTCTGTAGTAGAATTAGCTTTGCAATTGCCTGTCTTTCTGTCTATTAGGGAAGTGGCTCATCTGCTGGGAGTCCACAGGGGGAGGGGAAATCGCTACTGATCGTAAAGATTCCTTAGCTTTGCAAGAATATATTGGGAAGTGGGTGGGGGTGGGTATGCAGATGGGGAACCCTGAGAAGGGAATGGAAATAATTTGTCCCAACCACAAGGAGCTTCAAGACCCACCTCCTCACCAGTTGCTTTAGGGGTGGTATGGTTCTGAGCGCTCCCGTTTCTTGAAGTAATAAATTATTATTATTATTATTATTATTATTATTATTATTATTATTATTTATACTCCACCCATCTGGCTGGGTTTCTCCAACCACTCTGGGCGGCTCCCAACAGAATTAAAAGCACACAAAACATATGGCAACTGTAAAAATTGTACCTAACGCCGTCAGATTCACAATTGACATGGAAGGGGTGTTAAACCTGGGGGGAGGGATCCCCCTAACTGTTGCCCTGGGGCAAAGAGAGGCAGAGATGTCATTCAGGGCCTAAGTTTCCTGCCCCGTGGGTTTATTCTCTCTTCACTTGTTACAGTTATTGTTGAGGAAATGGTTCTTCCCACCCACAAATAGTTCAGTTCTCCATGTGCATTTGGAAGGTTACCACTCTTAGCATTGTTATTTATGTACAGTAGTTCATGCATGCTGCAGTGTTCATTGAGTAAAAAGAATGGCAGGTTTCTATTCTAAGGGAGATTTTGGTCTTTTAATGAAAAAGAGGAAAGGAGCAAGATTTGAGCATCTGCGTTTCAAATGAGTGCAGTTGCACATTCTTTGCTTCCTTTCGGATTGGCTTATAGGAGGAACTTGAGAGGCCATCTGTTTTCAATTATCCTGCATTCAGCTGTATTTCTTATTGGTCACAGAGATATACGCCTCTTAATACTGGAGCACGGCAGGTGGTCTATGACGGACAAATATGAGACACTTATGAAGGGCCTTTCTATAGATTCTCTACTATTGTTTGTGAAGGCTTTCAAATCCCAGCTCTTTGCAGAAGGCCTTGTCCAAGGAAACTTCACAAGCACTGTGAGTACAGATCTATCAGCTTCATCTGCCTCTCTGAACGATCCTTTATTTTGATGATTGACAGCTAGTAGTAGCATAGCCTTATTCATCTATGACTTGCCACGCTAGTACCACAGCACAGCAGCTAGTGGTGTTTGCAACCTCCATGTTGATGGTATCTATTTGTTGTTGCTTTAGAACCAAACCTTGCAGAATAGAGTCCATCAAAAGGCTATGGCTAGAAAAGCCACTCAACGTGAGAGAGCAGTTGTGCAGCTTCAAAGGAAGGCTACTTTTCTGTGCAAGCAGTCAATGTGAAGGGAATTCATAATGCTATCTGTCCTCTGCTTGTGCTGGTCTAAGTGCCTGGAAGATTCTCATGCCACTCTTGGAGTGATGACACTCTGCTTATATCGCATGTGTTTAGACTGGTACATGGGAAAGTGTCAGATTTCTTTGAAGTTCAGAGAAGGATTTGCAGGATGTTTTGGAATCCATGAAGCTTTGCTGCTGTAGTGTGCTCTCTCACAAAGTATTTGTTGTGTGGTATGGGACAAAACAATTGGTGTTTACACAGAGTGGCCATTGGGTTGTCTCTTGGTCTCAAGGTTTTGAGGCAAAAAAACCCCCAATGTAATACTGGAAGGGCTTTTTTTCATGGTAGGAACGTATCCTTAATAGGCTCATGTCAAGGCCAGTAAAGAATAATTTGGAAAATGACTAAGGATTGTATATTGGTGGTAAGCATGAGTTGTTTCTTAGAGCCAGAAACCACAAATTGTTTCTATCCAATTTATTTCTTCAGTGCTGAGAACACCAGATTTAAGTGTGAGCAAAATACTTTAGTTTTGTGTGGACTAATTTTGGCTTTGGGTACATATATTCAGAAATTAAAATACATATCATTTATCTTTAAGGAATCAAAAGAATTTCTGGATTATGTTGTTCAGTAAGTATATTTATACATTATATTAGAATATATATTAGGCTGTGAGGCATGACCAGAACTTGAATGGGAGAGATACCACTGAAAACTAGGACTGCAAACCAGTTGAAAAGAATGCTAATTGATCTCATGAATATGATTGATTACCCTATCAGTTAAAATTATATATGAATAAAAAGAGTATTCCTGAAGCCAGAAGCATATTCTCTTGGGTTTTAGGTGGCATGCAAGTGTTGTAGCAGGTGTCATCTTAGAGGTGTTCCCACCTGCGGTGCCTCTCTTAGGATGGTGTTTATATTAAACACATACTATCTGATCAACCTGGACACTTGTTTAGTCAGTTAAAAGGTTTTCTAAATGAATCTAACCAATTCATTTATTAAACACTGCAGCCCTATTACAAACATAACTTCTTCCTAAAATTAAGACCCAACCCATTCGGGTCATCAGCAACCGCCTCAAATTTAAGTTTTTCTCTTGTGGGTCTTCATTGATGTGATTTTTGTATTTTATGAAATAGACATGCTCACGTGTTTATAATATCTGAGCCTAGATCATACTGTGTATTGGGTTAAGGAGTGAGTTGACAGCTGACCCTTTGATCTGTGGACTTTTTCAGAACATTGAGATTCCTTCCTTTGGTACATCCCTGTCCAGTTCAGTTCCGGGTGATGGACTTGCCCGGTGCTCATCTGCTGTGCAAAGTGAAGACCCTGAACAAAGGGGATGCAAATTCTGAAGTGACCGTCTACTACCAGGTGCTGTGGTGCAAAGAGTGGGTGTATTAATTCCTTTATTGTGCAATTGCTCCTCATAGTATGTGACCCTCCTTTATCACTTGAGAACTTGTTTCATAATCTGCACTGACATGGCAAATACAGTGGGCTTCTGCAAGCAGATGGAAACTTTGTACATGTAAACATGTAGCTAGGAATAACTTTTGCTGCTAAACTCTGCTATAGAATGGAATCTAACATAGAAACTTTACAAGAAAGTGAGTGGCATAAATGTGCCAGTGGTTTGTCTACGGTGTTTACAAAATTCAGTAGCCATTTAAAAAGGTGGTATAGTTCAGTGGTAGAGCATTTGACTGCCATTTTAAAAACTTATCACATGGCAGCTTTAATCACATAAGGAGCCTGTAGTCTCTAGCTGAGCGTTGCCATTGCCCTACAACTTTTTGGAAATCCCAAGAGGTTGGGGGCCATGGTGACACCCTGCCCACACACTAAACATTATTGTGTCTTCTATTTCTCCGTACGGGTAACTCACAACTTAACTCACATTTAGCTTTTGTGCATGCAGCTTTATGTGCTTAGCAAAAAATACAATTGAAATGGGGTGGGTGTCTGGGGAAAAAACACTTTGGCAATCCTACCTGCCGTTGATCCCGATGTGTTGTGACTTTTGGAATTTGGCTTTATGTGCTATCCCCGGAACGTAACCCTAGGCAGTTTAAGTTGGAAGTCAGTTGTATTTCATAGCTGTTTCAGGAAACTGGTAATCCTCTCCTTACAGTGCAACTAGAAACTTCTAACTGTGTAGTCAGAGCTTCCATGCGTTGTGTTTAGCATGCTTTACTCCCTTCCCTTGCATCCTAGTTCTGAGGTATAGGTGAGAGGTATAGGGCCGTTTATTATCGATTTGTCATGTATTTGGTGATTTAGAGAATTTTAGCATCTCTTCCCACTTTGGAGATAAACATATAGCATAACTTAAAACCCAAGCCTCATAGTGAATGAATTCTTTGTTATTGTTCCCTTTTAGTCTGGAGCTAGGAGTTTAAGAGAATATTCTCTCATGGAATTGCTTGTGGTAAGTTTGGATTGCTTTCTAAAAACTGAAATAGGTTAATATCTGACCTTTCTAAGTGCAACTATAAAAATCACAACACTTGAGTGTAAATTCAGTTGGACAGCATAATCGTTGCAAATCAAACCATAGACGCCCATGTTTGGGATGTTTGTGCTGAAACTGTGCAGGGATAGTACAGAGTGTGGATGGAGAGGCAAAAGGGTGATTAATATGGGAACTGGTTGTTATACAAGGGAAGGACAATGGCTCAGTGATAGAGTACATGCTTGGCATGCAGAAAGCTTCTGGTTTGATCCCTGGTGTCTGTTGGTAGGGCTGGGAGACACCCAGGTTCTAGAGATCATCTGCCAGGCAGTAGAGACAGTGCTGAACTAGTTAGACCTAATGGTCTGGCACATCATGAAGCACACCTTGTTGACCTTTTTGAAGGGTCTTCCCAAATAATCAGTTCATTACATAGTCAATGTGCATTTCCAGAACACAGCCTACAACCTGAGCGTTCACTTCCTGTTTTGTGAAGATACAAACTTTCCTAGCACAGGTGGGACTAGACACAAGTGATATAGTGCAAATTTTGGGGGGGGGCAAGTATTTTGTATCTTCGGGTGATAAGCTGTTCTAATAGGTGGCTTAAAAATAGAAATCATTGCTTCATTTTGTTTCATCTGCCCTGAGCCTTAAATACCGCTTTTTATCTGGGAGGGAAAATGCAAAAATCTTGCTGTGATTGAAATACTTCGTTTCAGATGTACATGGAAGAGCCTTGTTTTGACTTCCTGCGAACAAAGCAGACCCTGGGGTAAGTTTCCATTCAGCTGCCCTTTGGAAGTGAGATGCGTCAAGAAGGATGGGAGTGATCCAATAGACAATGTGTACTGTAACTTTCCAGAAGCCTTTGATAAAGTTCCACACCAAACACTCCTGAGTAAGCTTTAGCAGTCATGCGATGAAAGGGCAGGTTCTCTTATGGGTCAGTAAATGGGTACAGGATAGGAATCAGAGACCAGATGGACCATTCTCACAATGGGTATTGGGATTAGGGGAGGGCAGTTTCCAAACTGGGTGGATAAGCTTCAAAAAATGCAAAATTGGTTCAGTTTCTGTAACTGAAAAGTGATGTAGATTGAGGCCAAAAAAGTCCATATAGAACTGGCAGTGACTGACCAGGAAAGAGATATTGGTAGATACCTTGGTGAAAAAGTTGACCCTCCTGACTCCAATGGAATGGAGAGACCTGAGAGTCAATAGCATATTCATGTCACCTCTCTACTTTTTATTTGTAGTAACAAAATTAAAAGCCAACACTAAAATGTTGAGGGTTTTTTGCAGCCTTCCTTCTTGGAAGATTTTTTAGGTGGCATGTGTACTGATGAAGCATTGAGGATAGGAATCTTAAGTTAGCATTCTTAGCTCATTATTATAGCATTCACATGAAACTTGCTTAAGATGTTTTGAATCATGCTTACGGAATGTGTCTTCTCTTTGGGCTTTAGATACCATGTGTACCCAACTTGCAGGAATACATCTGGAATTCTTGGTTTCTCTGTTACAGTAGCAACACAGGCAACCAAATACAAGTGAGTTGCGCATTCTGTTAAAACTAATTTCACTGTTTTCATCAGGCCCTGTAAGCTCATTAGTTCTTCAGACATGACATTTTAGATACAGCATTCTCAAAACAGGAAATACAAACTCTTGCCTGCATATTCTAATGTATTCATCCTACAAAATAATATAATGCAATGGGGGGGGGGAGTGCAATAAGTAAAAAAGTTTTTTATTCTATCTTGCCTATGCAACAGCCGCTTTTTTAATCATAAAAGTTTCCTTTTTCTGTAACTGCCTGCCTCAGGACAGAAATGGCCATGAGCTACTCATTTATTTGTTGCTTCTGCTCCACACACCTGTTTTTAAAATGTCTTTACATCGTATTTCACAGCACTGTGGCTTTGTTTTTGTTGTGAGAGTAGTTTACAGTATCTGTGTCATGTACTTCTCTACTCCAACGATAGGTACCCTGTAGCCTTTCAGATGTTGTTGGATTCTAACTTCCAGCCAGCATGGTCAGAGATGCTGGGAGCTGTAGTCCAACAACATCCGGAGAGCCACAGGCTATCCATCTCACCTTTGGTGCTGACAGGACAATGGTCTATCCACCTCACTCCTGTTAACTTACATACCTACATGCTTACTCTTGGTTTAACTGAGTATGGACTGTCTGCTGCTTTAATGTATTGTAATTTATAAATAAGGATCAGCAAAAAAAATATTAAAATCATGGACTGCAGAATGAGGAATAAATATTTGCTCTTTGACTCCTTGTTTCTATATTCTTTCCAGTCCAGGGTCTTCCTGTGGTTATACAGCATGGGGTTGCTCTTTTCCTTTCGCTGGAATCCAGTGATTGCCAATGCCAGCACTTTTAAGTCCAGTGGATGCCAATTAACTCCACATAGCTGGTTCAAATAGGGACCCTGCTGGCGCTAGGAGTATGTGTCTGGTTCATCCTGCCCCACCAGGCTATGGACAGAACTTATGGCATGCTGATCTTAGCTCTCTAATTGGGATGTATTATAGTGAGCAGACCACCTGTTCAGCCCAAATCTATACACAGATGCCAAGCCTGACTTACACTGCCTTGAGGCTTGGATGTTAGTGGCAGCATATTGAATGTGGACTGCAGGTAGCCCTGCCCTACTATTTTAAGGGTTAGATTAGGTCTCTTCCAACAGTAAAACTTGTCTAGCTTCTCCTTTATAACCTCCGCTGGTAATCAGCACCAGTCACAGGGTTACTAATTAAGCCTTGTAAAGCGAACTTAGGAACTTATTTTACCTAGGAGTTACCGTATTTTTTGCTCTATAGGACGCACTTTTTCCCCTTCAAAAATGAAGGGGAAATGTGTGTGCGTCCTATGGAGCGAAGATGCCATAGCCCCGCGACCCTCTCCCGGCTGGAGAGGTGACGCACGGTTATGGCAGGAACCTCTACAGCCGGGAGAGTGCACGCACGGGGCTAAAGCAGCCCCCCGCGACCCTCTCCCGGCTGGAGAGGTGACGCGCGGCTATGGCAGGAGCCTCTACAGCCCCGCATCACCTCTGCAGCCGGGACAGCGCGCGCGGGGCTAAAGAAGCCCCCCGCGACCCCCTCCCGGCTGGAGAGGTGACTCGCGGCTATGGCAGGAGCCTCTATAGCCGCGCGTCACCTCTCCAGCCGGGAGAGCACGCGCGGGGCTAAAGAAGCACCCCGCGACCCTCTCCCGGCTGGAGAGGTGACGCGCGGCTATGGCAGGAGCCTCTCTGCTGCGCCTTTCCGCTGCTCCCTGACCTGCTCTTTGGGGCTGGTGGTGGGCTTCCCCCCGCCAGCCCCAAAGAGCAGGTCGAAGGAACCTGAAGCCTGGAGAGCGAGAGGGGTCAGTGCACACCGACCCCTCTCGCTCACCTGGCTTCCAAGGTAGCCGCCTGAACGCACTTTAAACGGCACCTTGTTTTAGAGCGGGAAAACAAGAGGGGGAAAGTTCTCCCCCTCTCTGTGCAGCGCCTCCTGCTGCTTCACTGAAGGGGCGCTGGGCAGAGAGGGGGAAAAAATTTTTTCTTGTTCTCCCCCCTCTAAAACAAAGTGCGTCCTATTGTCCGGTGCGTCCTATGGTGCGAAAAATACGGTACTTTCCTGGAATGCTGGATTGCAGCTCAATTTTCCCATGGTGCAGGAAATAGTTTCTCTCTACTCCCAATTGAGATGGTGGTTTCCACAAGGGAATTTGTTGTGGTAAACTGGTATTCACAGTTAACATTCTGATAACATGCAAAAGCAAAATTCTAGAGCAGTGCTCCACTTTCTCAGAAATAGGCTTATACTTTTAGTAGAATTCAACTTCCGTTTTGTGGAACTAAACTCTTGAATGCAACAGCCACAAGGAATAGATGTTTAAATATAAATTGTTCTTGCTTTCAGCTCTGAACTAGTGGATAAGAAGATAGAAGAATTTCTTTCATGCTTTGAAGAAAAACTCAAACACATGTCAGAAGAAGCATTCAAGACACAGGTAAGGGGTTTAATAAGATGCTTCTTTATTGGAAAACTAATAAAAGGACAGCTTGATCAGGTATATCCTTCCGTATATCCATCTATGTGCCAGTAATAGTTTCAGGTTTGTTTTACTTATCTGAGGACCAGAAAACTTCACAGCTGGTGATTTGCAGAAATCAAAGAGGAATCTTTGTCTGGTGGAGCATTCCACTGCCATAATATGCCTAAGTGTGCAGGAGTCCTCTTGCTGCCTATGTTTTTGATTATGTGAGTAGAGGACATATAGACTAAAAAAAAGGAAACCTAGTTCCAGGCCACCTTACATTGTAACTACTGTTTTTGCTGTAGTGTGCTCAGCAAATTTTAATACAGTGGTGCCCCGCAAGACGAATGCCTCGCAAGATGAAAAACTCGCTAGACGAAAGGGTTTTGCGTTTTTTTGAGATGCTTCGCAAGACGAATTTCCCTATGGGCTTGCTTCGCAAGACGAAAACGTCTTGCAAGTTTGTTTCCTTTTTCTTAACACCGTTAATACAGTTGCGACTTGACTTCGAGGAGCAACTCATAGAACCCGGTGTGGTAGCCTTTTTTGAGGTTTTTGAAGACTTTGGTGATTTTTGAAGCTTTTCCAAAACTTCTTTTGCAGCCATTTGGCAAGTTAAACTTTTAAAACTTTTTGGGGGGTTTTTGGATTTTGGGTTGGGGTGTTTGGAATTCAAGGACTTGGTGTTGGGGAGGGGTTTGCAAGAATCTGGAAGCTTGTGTGGTTTTTTTCCTGCATTTTTATGATTTTCTGTGACCATTGGGCCACTCTGCTGTTTTTTTTAAAAAATTCTGGATTTGAATTTCTGTGTGGTGGGTGGCTGGGGAACAGTTGAGGAGGGGTTTGCAAGAATCTGGAAGCTTGTGTGGTTTTTTCCTGCATTTTTATGATTTTCTGTGACCATTGGGCCACTCTGCTGTTTTTTAAAAAAATTCTGGATTTGAATTTCTGTGTGGTGGGTGGCTGGGGGAACAGTTGAGGAGGGGTTTGCAAGAATCTGGAAGCTTGTGTGGTTTTTTCCTGCATTTTTATGATTTTCTGTGACCATTGGGCCACTCTGCTGTTTTTTAAAAAAATTTCTGGATTTGAATTTCTGTGTGGTGGGTGGCTGGGGGAACAGTTGAGGAGGGGGTTCTTCAGCAAGAAGCAAAGAGTAGAAGAGGAACCTTCTTCGAGTTGTCCCCCAGAGTCTTAGAAAATGTACTGTACACTTTGTTGATTTTTAAATGTTTTTCTGTCATGTTTAGAAACTTAATTTATTGTTCCTTCAATTTTTGAAATGCTCTTTACAGTATGTGTGACTTTAAAGAGCACTTAATAAACTCTTGTTGTACCAAATTTGGCTTTGTTTGGACTTTGTTTGACCATAGGAATGCATTAATTGAATTTCAATGCATTCCTATGGGATTTCGTGCTTCGCAAGACGAAAAATTCGCTAGACGAAAAAACTCGCGGAACGAATTAATTTTGTCTTGCGAGGCACCACTGTACACACCTTACTCAGCCACGTACCAGCTTCTCAAAATTGTCTTACTATACTATAATTTGATTCCTTACAGATATATGGCTGGAAACATAAGGTGGTGCTATGAACATGCACCAGCAAGGAGATAGTTTAGTCCATATGTTCTACTCATTTACTTAAAGTATTTTTATATTTCTTTACAATAAATTCTCAGAGAGGCTGAGAACTGTACTGCAAGTGGCCAAAATTTAGCTAAAAGAAGAATTAGTGTGAATGGGGCATCTTCAGTATTTTTTGTAGAAACAGCGACTGTGTGTGATTAGCGTGACTTGTCTTTTCTACCCCAGGTCACAGCTCTCATTAAATTAAAAGAATGTGAAGATTCTCATCTTGGTGAGGAGGTAGATAGAAACTGGACAGAAGTAGTGACTCAGCAATATCTGTTTGACAGACTAGTCCGGGAGGTAAGTGACTTCTTTATTTTTAACAGCAGAATTGCTGCGTGGTTCAGGTTTCTAAAATCTCTTTAGACTAAGGTGAATCTCCAAGTACTCCAAATAAATGTATCTAATGCTACTGGAATTATAGCCATTATGGTGCCAGTGTGTCCACAAAAGGTCTCAGTAAGCACCCCTTCATAAATCCACAACATACATTTATACTGGCTGGGCTTCTCTGACATTGAACATGCCATGTTTAACAAGCTAAATAGGACTGGACAACCTACCCTCCATCTGTTCTGTTATAATAATAATAATAATAATAAATTTATAATTTATTTATACTCCGCCCATCTGGAGGAGAGCAAGAGTTTCTCTTTGTGAAGAATATGGCGGTTGCTAATGTAGACCCCTTTTTTCCTACTGATGCAGGGAGCATGGGCACACAATTTATTGTCTTTTTCTACTCTTTTAGCTAATGTTAGTGGTCCTGAGAAAAGCAACTCAGGAGGCATCCCCTTTAAATATTTACAGGATTGTATCCCAGCATTGACCTTGAACAACTGCAAAGGTCTATGAGCCAGCAGAATGTTTCTGCTATTATATTTAATTCAAAGTCCGCCTTTTTGCAAGGAGCTCAATGGAAGGGGAAGAGTTTTTGCCAATTTAGTGTTCTCCCTGCACCTCTGATGTTCTAGAACTGGTTTTTTATATATATATATATATATATATATATATATATATATATATATATTCCTCACTATCTATTAGTGAGAAGAATGATGGTAGGTTCAGCTGTATTCTGTACAGAGTTCATGGATAAAAGAAAATGGCCGATGCTTTGAGCTAATTTAGATACAGTACAGTAGTTGCATGTTAAGTAAGGTGTTATCATTTTAAACTATTCCATCTTTTTCAGATTGAAGCTCTAAAATCTCTTTCACAGTCAGAACTAGTTGACTGGTTTCAAGCACACAGAGGTAAAGAAAGGAAAGTGCTTAGTGTACATGTGAGTATTTATGCTTTTAAAAATGTATTTGTCAGGGTCAGCCGAGACTAATCTGTGTTGGAAGTCCCTGGCTTAGAGGCTGAGCACATATTTGTTGTTTCTGCAGTTACCAGGGCAGAGGTAGTTGAAACTCTTTTTTCTGCAAGGCTAGAAAGCATTCAATCTACCCCCACAATACTTGTTTACTTATGGATTGTGTATTTTGGTGGGGGTGTTGGGGGTGGGCAAGTAGGTGCAAGGCTTTTGAGCTTCCAGTAAACAGTAGAAGCAACCAAAAGGTTCACTCAAAGGTTTAGCGTTACAATCCTGGTTCTGTAGTAACTTGGATGTAGAATTGTATATATGCAGAGCAGCTGAGTAAAGAGCACTTGTAGCAGAGTAGAATATTAGCTGTTACTAAAGGAGTCATAGCTCATGCAGGTACCCATGCCTGGTTTAGGGTGAATTTAGGAAAGTGAATCATAGTTATGGAGGTAAGGCTGCATTTTGTTTGTTGTGAAATTTATCAGCTGGTAACTTTGCTATTTTGAAATTGCAGGTGGTTGGATTTGGAGTACATGAAGGTGATACAGAAGCTTCATCTCTCACTAATGTTCACAGTCCCTCATGCAATGAAATACCTCAGCTAATGTTTTTGGACTCTTCGTCTTTGACCGATATCACTTGTATCAAGGACATCAAAGTGTATACATCAGCACTCAATGTTCTCCCATACCATAAGATATTAAAATAACTCATCTCGGAGTGCTATAACGTGTAGTACAACTTCACTACTGAGCAGCTTGGGGAGTCTGCTTTACTACAATGAATCCAACCTATCATGCTTTCTGGAAAATACGTAGCATAATACCTTCCACTGTCTTAAGTAATCTGCTACATGCATGTCCTTGAAGAGAGAAGGTATAAGCAAGTGTGTTCTTGGTGAAGTGGGTAAAATATAGGAAGATAAAAATCTTACATCAAAATAAAGGGCTGGACCCACCAGCAATCTAACATATTAGGTCTTTTTGTTTGGAGTGCTATTTACGTAGATAAAATGGGGTCAAGTTGAAGTATCGGGTATCAAGTCCCCAAGACATTTTGTGTTTTGTTTGGGGAACAGAAGTGATTTAACAGGATTCTCTGGAGAGGAGTTGATTACTTAATAAATCTGCCTGTCTGTAACAACATCTTTGGCCTTAAAAAAAGGAAATAAGAACCATTTGCATGAGAATTCAGGATGAGTGCTCAGATTCCATGTGCAATAAACTAATGAGATCTCAAGTTCTGGTTTTTTATGTACAGGCTGTTAGATGGACTGCAGAACCCCTTAACTTTGCATTAACTTTAATTTTAGAAAGTGTAGCCCTTGTTGAAGGAAATGCAGTGCTGTTAATTTGATAACAAGTTTGGAAGACAGCCTACTTCAGCTCACAAGACCCTCCCTATATAAACAGCTCAGGCCCCATAGATCATTTTCTAAACTCATTACCTGCAATGGGACACATTCAAATGTGCATTCTCCTGTGGGTAACAGTTTGTCATATAAAGCTTTACAAAGACCAAAACAAGCCAGACAGTTCTACTGAGTTTTTGAGGGAAAGGAGAACTCAAGACAGCCCATTCTGTACTGAGAGAATGGGTGGGATAGGGTGCCTAGGGCAGGCTAGAGGCTCTATAGGCAAAGTAATGTACACCTTCTTACCTAGTCAGTCCCCATCCTTCAGTAGACAACAGTAAGCAACCGGACAGAAGGAAGTGATGCCTCAAATAACCCTACCACCTATTTTCAGTGCAGAGTAGGGGTTGTCTGGCTCCACCCCACCTCAGAGAATCTGCTAAACCCAAAACACAAGCTTGCATATGCTATATAGCCCCATTATACAAAGACTATAAAATGAGGCAGTGATTTTGCACACAATTTAAGAGCAACCCATGACAACTCTTAATCAGCTTGCTTCACCCAGCTTTCCTACTCAAATCAGCTCTTATGCATCTCACCTAGCTAACTCAGCCTGTTGCACTCACAGACTGTCTCATTAGGGAAACACTGACTCTATACATTTGTCCCAGTACTACAGGAGTTTTCAATAGTGATTCTACAGTGGGTATTAGGCAGCTGCAGCACCAGAGTAAAAGCACAAGTCACTCAGATTACCTTGATTCTGGATACAGCACATATTAAAGCAGTAGGGTTTTGTTTTTTTTGCTATTTAATCATAACTGGTCTTAGATAGGTTGGTCACCCTACCAGAGCATTTATGTTTTGCCTATTATTGCCTATATAATGTTTCTGGCCAAGTCTAGTTACCAGTCTAGAAGGCGAAAGGAAAAAGAGAGGCCAGTAAAAGCCAGCCGACTGCGCTCAACGCAATTAGCAGAAACAGGAATGCAGTAAAATTGGTTTCAACACAAGTGCTTGGGTCAAATTGTGACCAACCATCTTCTGAACTACTAGCACTGCTGAACAGAAGAACCTGGTTACTTAGATTGTGTTTGTAATCATATTTCAGATGACAACCATATATATAAGAGGTTGCTTTTGTTTGCTTGTATCTCATACTGCCCTGGGTATTTTCAAGTGCATATGAGTATATCCCTGTTTAACAGCAAAACACATTCTTAGCATTGTTTAACTTGAATATAATGCTCTTTCAAAGCATTCTTGCTGTGAAAAGGTTTACTCTGGAATAAAACAATGCATACAATTGAAAATCTATTTTATGAAGCATTATAGATGCACCAGCAGGAACCAAATGGTAATCTAAAATTACATTTTAGTTTCTAAAAATACCAAAGTTATTTTGGGGAAACAATGAAATGCCAAAAAAATGATTTCTTTAAAAAACCCAAAACATACCAGTTGGTAGATTAGAATCTTGCGTTTTCTAAACTGGCAGAATGAATCCTCATATTTACACAAATTAACTGGCTCTAATGAAATAAAGTCATGTATTTGTAGGATGCCAGAATCATATGTAACTGGAATCAAATGCCCCATTGCACCTTTTACAGCAGTGGTTAAAACATATATGATGGGGATCAAGCCCAGGTTAATTCTTCTAGAAGCATGGGAGGTCAGACAGGAAAGGCCAATATAAATTACTGCTACACAGTCAAGGCTCTTCCTGTTTTAATTGTTCGCTGCATCAGTGAATCCAGTATCCCTGAGATAGGAACTGTAACTGGAGGAGACAGGCTCTCCAAAAGAAGAGTACTTGAAAGTTACAACTATCGCCACTAAGCCAAGGCTTCAACTTCATGGTGGTCCACTTAATATTTACTGGCAGCAAGTCGCTTGAGTAGTGGTTCATCATAAACCCAGCATTCGCCATCTTCATGGAATAGCTGGAAGAGAAGAGTACTCAATTAATAGTGTCACAGGAGGAACAGGGAAGAAGAAGAAGAAGGAGAAGAGTTTGGATTTGATATCCCGCCTTTCACTCCCCTCCAGGAGTCTCAAAGCGGCTAACAATCTCCTTTCCCTTCCTCCCCCACAACAAACACTCTGTGAGGTGAGTGGGGCTGAGAGACTTCAAAGAAGTGTGACTGGCCCAAGGTCACCCAGCAGCTGCATGTGGAGGAGCAGAGACGCGAACCCGGTTCCCCAGATTACGTGACTACCGCTCTTAACCACTACACCACACTGGCTCTCTACAGGGAGATTTACAAAGGTACTGATTATTGAGTAAAACGTACCCGTGTCTCCCATGGAATCTCTTTCTCCTTTCTGGCTCTGGCTTCAGCTCTTTGTCTTTCTTCAAGCCTATGCTTTGCTTCAGTAGCTGAATCAATGTCTCTGATCTTTAAGTTGTAAGTTACATCTTTCCATAAGCTAAAAAAATAAGAATATTTATACATCATGATACAAAACTCATTTCTTATCGCGGGTTCAGGAGAAATATTTTAAACTAAGATGAGGGGGAAATCATCCATGAAGGAAGATAAATAGGCAGGTGGCCAATTTTGTTTCAAACCCTTGATGACTGACATTCATCCCATGTTACTGCTCATAATCCACGTTATATGCAATAAATAAATGATTTATTTCCTAGTATGTGAAAGTAGATTTTTTTCACATAATACAGCTAAACAATGCACTTGTTCTATCAAAATATAGAGGTGAAGTTACTGATATTTAATTTCAAGCAAATTAGATTTATGAGACCCAGAGTCTCTTCTGCAAATATAAGGGATCCCATTTACAGAAAAGACAGATCCAGCAGAGGCTATTGCAGGAGGAAGGGAGAAACATTTTGGTGATTCCTCTGTAACCAGTCCCCTGCCCCACTCCTGTTTTCAGGGGACCTAGGTGGAAGGAGGAGTCTGCAAACACACCACCTTCCCCTCCCTGCTAATTCTAGTAGGAGTGTCACGTGAGGGAAATTGTGCTGGCAAGATACAGGCCACTAACCTCTATTTACCTGAAGGTCTGGGTTTTAGTAGGGAGGAAGAAGAGTTATGCTTACCAGCGGGATTCGTATTCTTCTTGATCTTCTAGTTTTCTTACTTTCTTCTTAATGATAGGCATTTTCTTGGTATCTATAAAGACTACATTCTCCTAAAGAAAGAATAGCACTATTATTGTTTATATTTTTCAATTTGTTCACCATCTAGGTTTTATTTATCATTAAGTTTTGCAAAATTTCTCTGGCACAATTAAATTTCACAGCAGAGATGCCGTCAGCTGCCATGGTCTAGCATCAATATCAGCCCCCAAATATGCTGAGCCTCAATCTGCAAGAAGCACAATTCACTCGGTGGCCCCCTGGGATGTTAAATCCATTAAAAGGTTTTTGGGCTGAAGCCAATTTACTACTAACAGGAAAAGGAATTCAGATGACATGCTTTGGATAATCAGTATTTTCTTTGAGTGCCACTAGTCTAGCCTACTGATTTAAACAAAACAGAAAAAGGGATGATTTACCCCAGTTGCATGTTTGGCATACATGACACCATTCCATTCTCCTTCAACTGAACAGAAAGATTTCTTGTCATTAGGAGAACTAAAAGAAAAGATAAAAAACAGGATCCATCACTACTAATAGTATTCATAATTATAAAACAAGATGAGTACCTGTCCAAAGCACTGGCTTAAGCTGCCAGTAGCTCTACTTCCTGTCTTGTGTCTTATTCTCTTGCTACCAGAAGTATGAAATGGGTTTGTTGCTTAAAACCCCTGAATATACTTACAAGATTTCTGCTGTAACTCTGTGCTTTTTCCCACCATAGAAAGGTTTCGTGTGGAAGATTATGGTAGCATTATAGCCTGTCTTGGAGCAGCTAATGTTGCATTCTCCTCCCAGCTCTATCCATGGCACTGTGAGAATAGATCTGTCAAGGTAACAGAAGATGCCCTTAAAGAGTTAGAAAAAGAAACATTTGCTATCATAAAATAAATTGCCGAAAAGTGTGAAGTCGCTTACCTCCCGTAACCATTGGGGAATGTTAGAATATAGTGCTCGTCATAATCTAGGCATGATACACACCCTGCAAGAGAATAGGGCATTTTGAGAATAAGACAGTATTTTCATATGAAATAAGATGACAAAGGACCACAGAAGAATAAAAATGCCATGAAAATCTTGGCTGCAAGAACTAAGCCAATGGAACCAGAAAAGAGAACCTATGCTCCTGCCCCTTGAAATGTTTTGGGCATTTCACAGTTCCCTCTCGCACCACCTTTGTAGTCCTTAATTTATGATAGCATAATGAAAAGAAACGGCAGCATATCTGAATCTTTAATCATTGTTCTCTGAATTCTCCCCCCCCCCGAAGGTCCAATAAATCTATTTCCTGTTTGCCCCATTACTTTTTGCTCTGCTGCCATGTTTTAAGAACAAACATACAAGACAGTGCAACAAATAAACAGCCATACATTCAGTATTATCGATTGCAGCAGCTGCACTCTATGAGGTCTGGGCAGACGACTTTTTAATCCCTGCAGCCCAAGTGGTTCCCTTCCCCCTTAAAACTGGAAATGGGGATCTTCTACAGATAATACACATGCTGAATTATGTGCCCCATAGTTAATGCCAGTCATATTGTGACTTCAGTTCTCTTGGGTCAGTTGATGCCTTGTGGACTTAAGGCCAAAAATACATGGCATCAGGATGGGCTGGAGCCTTTGCAAACATTGCTGCAGGCAATCAGTATACAGTGAGACCTTTTTTATAATGAAAAGCAAGACCCAAAGGATTCTGTATTGGTTTGTGGCTACTGCTGTGATTGCCACCAGCCTTCAATGAGAAATGTTATCCAGTGTGAAAAAATAATTCATCAAATACTTTCTCATAAATACATTAATTTAGAGAATCAGGAAGTAGATGCACATTTCTGTGACATACCTTGGCCTATATTATGAACGCCAATAGACATTCCCAGGAACTTTGACTTAGTCCAGATGTGGGCATTGAACTGTATTTTCTTGCTAGAGCATTCTGCATAAAATGCTGAAACTTAAGGACAGAAAGAAATGGTAAACGATAAAGCAATAAATTCAGGCTAAAACACCTGCAAAGCACAAATTGATATTTATTATTTACTTCCCAAGTAAAAAATCAGCAGCAAAGCCTAACACTGACTAAACACCAGCATTAAAACAGAGGTTTTAAAAATCTGCAATAGGCTTCTTCACTTACTTGGAGGATGGTGAGAAACTTGTTCCGCTACAAACGTTACACTGTTTTGAGTAACCCATGGAAGTGGTCCATCTGCCAGAGTTTCCTAGAAAGACGTATTCCAATGTTACATGATATACAGTCTTTTTAACACGTATACCGAGGTATTCAGATGTGTTCCCTACCTAAATCTTCCAAGGATGCACAGAATAAAGGGTAAAATACACAAGGGCACAATGTATGCTATTACCTAGGATGTGCATGATTTGAAGAGGCTGCGATAGGAAGATAGGAAGAGACTGCGAAATAAATCTGGGAACACAGTATGACTTGCACAGTAGAGGAAGTGCACTACAGCATGATGTGTAGACATGGATATGGTCTATGTAATCAGCATCTATGTGTATGACAAGAGAGGCGGGCCTGAGCATTCCAGGTCAAATACCATGTGTGGTGTGGGAAATGTCTGCATAGGATTAGAAGGCATCATTCAGTGGTGGACAAACTTTGTTCCACAAAATTTACTCTCAGATTAGATGCACCAACTAGGAAAAGTCATTGCATTTGCCCACATATAAAGTATCATTTAGAAAATGTGCTCTCCCCTAAAATGAACAATGTGAATCAAACTAGTCTGGAAAGGCCCTCAATGCTATCTACAAGTCCCCCATGTATTAGACAAGGATGGTGATCAAGTCAAATAAGTGGTCCCAGATGGAAGGGAAGAAAAATAAACCCATTGTAAGAGCTAGCTCACATTATCACCAAAGCCATAATAATAATAATAATAATAATAATAATAATAATAATAATAATATTTTTATTTATACCCTGCCCTCCCGGGCCAGAGCCAAGCTCAGGGCGGCTATCACCAATAAAATTACAATAAAACATAATGGGGGGGGGGGAACCAGTTTATTAAAATACGGGTTAAAATACAATTTAAAATGCAGCCTCATTTTAATAGTAGCCCATAAATCAAAAACATAAGGATCAGACTGAGTCCAAACCAAAGGCCAGGCGGAACAGCTCTGTCTTGCATGCCCTGCGGAAAGATGTCAAGTCCCGCAGGGCCCTAGTCTCTTGTGACAGAGCGTTCCACCAAGTCGGGGCCAGTACTGAAAAGGCCCTGGCCTTAGTTGAGACCAATCTAACCACTGTGCGGCTTGGGACCTCCAAAGTGTTGTTATTTGTGGACCTTAAGGTCCTCTGTGGGGCATACCAGGAGAGGCGGTCCCGTAGGTACAAGGGTCCTAGGCCGCATAGGTCAATAAAGTATGATGTAACTCTGGGAGCCCTAGATTCAAATATTCACTCAACCATGAAGCTCAGTGGGTAACCACGGGCCAGTCACTATTCTATCTCACAGGGTTGTGAGGATAACATGGGAGGGGGGAAAACATGTATGTAGTCTAGAGCTGCCTGGAGGAAACGTGGAATATAACTGTAATAAATACATGAACTAAATGCTAGACAAATTACTTAGAAATATATCCTGAGAAAGTGATCAGAAGACAGATGGCACAGTATGAGACAGAATGAGGTCTGACACTGAATAAGAAAAAATAAATTTCTCAAGCTCTGGGTTGTTCAAGGCACCTTGAACTTAAAAAAGGTGAACTGTCCCTTCCTCTCAACAAAATGGAAATGAGAGTTAAAGCTCCTATGAAATGGCTGAGATTAAAAAAAGTTGCATTTTGTAAACAAGCTGTTAAGTAATTTTTACTAACCGTAGTTTCTTCTTGTTCCACACTTGGCAGCACCCAGTGACACCGGAATATTTCTCCCAGGATGGGATTGTAAGGCTTTTTAGCAACAGACCCTTTTCTTCCTGCATGGAAAGCTGAGAGGTACCACTTTACCACCTGAACCATTCGGTCCTTTGGATCTTTTTGGTCACTGATACTAGAGAAGACATAATAGGATAACAAAAGATATTTTAAAAAAAAACTGAAACCACAAAAAAGTTATTCAAGATGTTTAAAACCGAGCTGAGAGAAAAAAATCTAACTGATGGTTTAGCTACACATAAAAGTCCTTACCATTCCTACCTGTAAGATAAAATGCTTTGCCAGCAATGTAAAACTAGCTGCCCAGTTTCAGTCCCAATACAGTGGTACCTCGGGTTACATACGCTTCAGGTTACAGACTCCACTAACCCAGAAATAGTACCTCGGGTTAAGAATTTTGCTTCAGGATGAGAACAGAAATCGTGCAGCGGCGGCACAGCAGCAGCAGGAGGCCCCATTAGCTAAAGTGGTGCTTCAGGTTAAGAACAGTTTCAGGTTAAGAACAGACCTCCAGAACGAATTAAGTACTTAACCGGAGGTACGACTGTATTGCTAGAGGCAGCTGGATCTGCCTAACAAGTAGGCAGCAAATCATGTATATGTTCAAATTAGATCATGGTCCTTAGACAAAAATGCATCCACTGAAGTGGAGCTTGCACTACTGCAGATATATAAGCTGTATGAAAACAAAATTGAGAATACCTTACAAATAAGTCTGGATGTGCAAAGAAGTCTGCATACATTTCTAAAAGTGATCTTCTTTCCAAAATAAAAGTTGGAAGAACCACCTGAGGGAAGAAACACACAAGACTCTTAAGCATTTGATTATCTAAAAAACACTTAAGTCTTAACGCTGCTCAAAACTGCTTAAGCATAATTTGACATTTGTAAGGGTCAGCACTTACTGCTGGTACCACACTTCGTTAAAAAACAGATGGTCCTTTCCACTAAGCTTTCCAGTACAGGATTATTATTATTATTTTACACAATACATCCAAGAAACTTTAAAAGGAGGGACATAATATACTTCTGGTTTGTGATCAGCCTATTGCAAAAGAAGGAACCTATTATGTGCCCAATATTGTTTATTAAAAGAACAGCCCAGAATGTTGAGCATGGGGGATAATCCAAAACAGAAACAACATTGGAAACTCTATTCATTTCACGTGTTTGGAGATGTGAGAAATCACTACTCATCTCAGTTTAAAGGCAATAAAGAATGAACATGATGCTCAATCGGGCATGATTTGCTCTTCAGTATGTATTGGTAAGCCAGCCAGGTAACTGGCTTAGCATTACTAAAAAACCAGCACTCACCATGAGCAGAAACCAAGGCTTGCTCCTTGTAATTTTTGAATTTCGTATTAAAATTCTTTACTTATTACTTGTGAGTTTTTTTAAGACTATGACTTACTATCACATGTGAATGAGATCAATAAAAAACCATAAGATTAAGTCTCCATGAAATCAAGTTCAATGCTCCAGTCAAATTAATTTCAATGAGACTGAAACAGGCCTAACATTAAATGCTGAAGCAACTAGGGCTGTTCTATGGCACGCTCCCCCTAAAGTCAGGAGCCCTTAGGAGAGGGAGAGCTTTGGGCTGCAGTGTGGACAGCACATCTTGTGCAAATATCATTGTAAGAGTGCAGCAACTAGATGCCACCCTGTGTTGAATTTGAGCATGTAACGATCCATGCCATTGAAGAGATTACTTACAAACAAGTTTGTGCAGGTTTAACACATGCAGATTCAACAATCATAGTTAGGATTTGGGATAGAGGAGATGCAAAATTGATTTATTTGATGACGGAATACTCTTGCACTCAAAGCAATTAAAGCCACTAACTGCTCAAACTCCATGAACCTCCTTTTGACTCTTACCTTGGTTAAGTCCATTCCTAACCTAACTTGTGACAAAAGATGCATGATAACGCTCTTGTGTTCTTCCACAGACTCTCCTTCATTATCGTCATCTCTATCGTCGAGGGGATCAAACAGATCTGTAATAATAAACTGCATTCAACACATGCTTTACTGAAGAAGTAGAAAACATTCAAATAATTAAAATCTAATTAAGGGGTGGGGAACCTGTTTGCCTTAATTTCATGTGTGTGAGAGAAAATGAGGAAGAAGGCGGCAGAAAGAGGGAGAGAAAACAAGGGCTCTGGGCCCAAGTGGGGGAAGGTTCCCCACACCTTATCTAATACGCCAAGATAGGCAAACATTGTTTTTCCGCCTTCACAATAGCACAGATATTGAAAGCAAGCATGCAGATAAAGATTGATTTATCCTCGCTACTTAGCATAGAGAAGAAAAAGGAGTCTTTTGTAGTATCTATACATGCTGCAATTTGTAGCAAAGTGCTGTTGGGGTCCTGGATGGTTTGTGAGCTTCTCTTACCAGCATCATTTGTCCCATTAGACATGGAAGAATTGAGGGACTCTGTTGTGTCTGGGCGCTTCATACTACTTCCTGTGCTGCTACGAGTTAGGATTGCCCCAGGCCCTGAAGACCTACAGAAAGATACAAAGCATTTTAGACCTTTACAAACACGATAAGGATGTGAAGAACTCCCACACTTGGGGAATGGCTGATAAACAGTAAATTCCAGGGCAGATAAAGAGCAGCTTTAAGGTATGGAAAAGAGATCAAAGGAAGGCCAATAGTTCACTTTCATTTAGCATTTTAAAAGATTTAAGGATTGTAGCCAGAGGTTAAGCCTCCAAGAGTCTGCTGACCCACAAGACAGGCTTTTCAGGGAACACAGGTGGTTGGAGTGGGTAGAAAAGGAAACCTCTGTTGTGTTCAGCAGCCTTCCACTTCCTTAACTTATAAATAAAACTTCTTTACATATATTATCAGAATTTACCCGCCATTACTCTATGTTGTTGGTCACTTTGACAGGCAGGTCAACTGCCTGACATCACAGTGGCCCAACTACAAAGGAAAAAAACTGGAGCACACTCAAAGTGCACTGATTCTTTCCTTACAAGGAAAACACCTGCAGTGGGAGTTGTACTTTGTGCTGATTGGAACCCCTACTTTTGGCAGGGACGCCCTCAGGAGTTCCCAAGTGGAACCAATCCCAGTGAAGCCTGTATTTGTCACCAAATTTAAAGGGCACCAAATCAAAACTCTGCCTGCCAGGAGCACTCTTAAGACTCTCAACTGGTTCCTTTGCAGCTTTGTTTTTGCCAGCCATTACATTTGACATCAGGTGTGGGAGGAACTGTTGAGCAAATTAGGACACCCGCCAGGCCAAATGAGGCCTGTATATGGTGGGTCAGATTTAGCAGAGTTTAAAGGCTAGATGGCTAAGGGCAACTCACTACTTAGTTGATGGCTGAGGTCTATGAACTGAGGAACACCTCTGTGCACCACACAGCAGCTCATGAATAAAACGTCAATTTCCATTAGCTTCTATAAGAATTTGTGCAATTTTCATATCCACGCAGGGCATAATGTTGGCACATTATAGTTGCTTCATTCACAGTATGAATTTTTAAAATCGGAATTGTTCTTAATTTGTATTTTTAAGAAAGTGAGAAAGTGGAGTAATAATCTTGGGTTAGATCCAACACAGTTTGATCTGTTGCCCACTTGTACAATAAAGCTTATCTTTCCTTTCTTGCTCCCCTGCACCCTCTTAAAATCTGCTCTGGAGGGTCTGGGGATCCTGTGGAACAGATTTTGAGTGTGCAGAGGGAGCTGCAGGAGTGAGGTAAGAAACCATAAGTCCTGTTGTGCAAGCAGAAGGACATCACTGAGCACTGCCCACTGTCCTAATGATTTCTGCTACATGCATGGAATGTGGTCAGTATATGTACCGACTTTGACAGTTCTCAAGGGAAAACAGTGTTCGTAGGCTTCCCATTACTTACTCCAAACATCTCTTTGGGGATGAGCTGCTTTGATAGAATTCATCAGCATCATAAAATTCATCTTCACTGCTGGAGTAAGAGAAATCTGGAACTGTATTTGGAGAAATATTGGCATGGCTCGGAGAAGTTAAACTGCTGCTAGGTGCTGACTGGCCACTTCCTGTAACGATTATGAGTATAAATGTAAAAAAAAAACAGTTTGTTGTTTTCAAACAAAACATAAGTAGCTGAACTTTTATTAGCTCAGGAAGTACGAGATCAATAATGATTTATAAATAGATCTAAACACAGTATCTTTTTTAAAAGTAACGACAACAATCAAAGGAATGGAAGAGACCTGTAACAGAGGTGATTGGATGTAAGGCATGTCTCTCCCAACCAGCACACACCAACCAGCATTCCTGATTGGTGCAGGTTGGGGCGGATAGGAGTTCGAGTCCAGCAATGTCTGGAGGGCACCAGGTTAGCCACTTTGGTCTAGAACATCACCAGGGTTTTATTCCATCCACTTGGAAATAGTGGGAGCCTATGAAATCACCAATAAAGCATGTGCATCGTGAAAAGGGGTACCATTCAAATCCTGATGTTGCGGTACTACAACACCCATCTGTTCCAGAGAGAATGGCCAATGGTCAGAAAGGATGGGGGTTGTACTCCAGCAACATCTGGAGGTCCACAGGCGCCCCACTCCCACCAAACTGTGAGAGTGTATTTTGAAACAAGATAAGAATTTGTGCTATACCTGTACTATTTGGTGTTGGAGTCTGGTGACTTCCAATTAATGCTACAACTGGTCCAACTGCCAAGGATGAAGGTCGCTGCTCTGATTTGCAAAGCTGGGTTGGCTCTAAAAGTTATTACAAAGTGACAAGTGAAATGGTGTAAGCAAAAATCCTGACGTATTCATGGCATCATCCTAGGCACAGAATGTATTCTGCTGTTCTACTCTCCATGTGGGAAGATGAAGGCTCACTGCTCTTCCACATTCCTAGTTTAGTTGAGTATCTTTAATGCAAAGAACAGGCAATGAAGATAGGGAATGCAAACACACTACTATGTGAACTGATTATAAAAACACCACTTGTAAAAAGAAATCATTTAATTTGAGTACAAGAGGAAAGAGTCAAATATATTTCAGCACAGAGAATAAAGTTAGCTCATTTACAAAGCAACAGCACAGTACAGCACAAATAGCTTATAAGCTACATCCTTTATGCAACCACTTTCAATGAATACAGTGGTACCTTGGTTTCCGAACGCCACAAACCAGTGTTCTGGTTTGTGAACATTTTTCAGAAGCCGAACATCTGACACGGCTTCCGATGTGAGTGCAGGAAGCTCCTGCAGCCAATCGGAAGCCGTGCCTTGGTTTTTGAACCGTTTCGGGGGTCGGACTAAGTTTGAGAACCAAGGTACCACTGTATATGCATTCTACTGGGGTGGTTGTCCTTGCCAGCTCCACTCAACAACCCCACGTACCTGCCAACTCCCCCTCCCGCACACCTGACCAAACCTTCCTCCCTTTACACTTCAACTATCCCTTCACCGCTTGCCCCAAGCCCCATCCTCTTTTAAAGGGGTGGTGCTTAGCCAAACTGCTTCGTGGAGCATCTCCCCTCCCTCATTAAACAGCTTCCTTGGGTCACCTGCCACCCACACTGCTAGCCTGTCTGCATGCTGTTCATCATGCTGGAATTGGTGTGGCGGCAGCCTAACATTTTTATGCATGTGTGTAAGAAATAAAGGGATGCGGGGGGAGTGGGAGAAAGTGCATATAAAATAAATCACATTTGAGCTGAAAGAGGGTATCTACTATTAGTACTAAACATTACATTTTCATAAGTTTCAGAAACAAACATTTCCACAAGTAGTTTACAAATACTATACCTGAAGGTAAGACAGTTTGGGTAGGCATTGCGCTGATCACTGAAGATTCCAATAGACTAGGTTGATATATTGCATCAACAGGATTAATAGTGCTCTACGACACAAAAAACAAATTAAACCTTTTTTGAGAACCACAGCGGTGTGTGCTCCGTGCAGGAACTTTATTAATGCAATAGCAAATTCCTGAGAGAAATGCAAAGTGACAGAAGTACAGCAAATGTTCTCCAAGCATTAGTGGTCTGTACAGAATAGTAGTAGCAAGTTGAAAGTGAATTTAGTTAAGTGTAAATATAAATACTCTATCATACAACCCAGGAGTCCCAGCTTTAATTTTTAATGTACTGATGTGATAGCAACCCTAAAAGATGACAGACGATCTAGAGATTGTGGTTTACTCCTGCTTTCAGAGAAGATATTCAACAATTCCAGAAGTACTACTGAACATGGTGCCATAAGAATTTGTCAAGAATCTTGAACAGGAGTCACTATGAATATGTTTTGTGACTCAGGGATTTCATTCTTCTCCTTTGCAGTTTGAGGGAAAGCATAATACATTGTCTGATCTTGTTTCACACTAGTTCATTCTACGTTGAGACACAGTTCCGTTTATCTTTCCACCTTCAATTTTCTTTTTCAGAAAAGCAATTGTCCCTTTAATAATACCCCTTAAGACCTCTTCACACACTACCTCACTTGCCAGATTCTGATGCAGGACTGATGTCACTTTGATCAGGACAGGAAATTAACAGAGTGTATCAACTGTCACTATTTTAAAGGGGAAAAGACTATAAAACTTTCAGCAAGTTGAAAAATTGATGAAACTGAAAATTTCCAGTATATGGTGGGCTAGGTATTCATGTTAGGGTTGCCACACATCCGGAATTTCCCAGACATAGCTGGTATTTGGCCCTATTAAACAGCGCCCGGGCAGAAATTGCTGGAATGTCTGGGAAAATCCAGACATATGGCAGCCTATGTTGGAAATGGGAGATTTTGGCAAATTTCATTAAAAAGAGCTCGAAGCCTCTCTGTTTATTTAGATTTGGGGGTGGGGGAGAACAACGCAACTTCAGCAAAAACAAAAAAAAAGCTTAACAACTTTTTTGTCTGCATTTTCACTTTTTGAAATATGGCAATCCTATCATATGTGTGTGCCCTCATTATACATGTAACATCTACTAGGATAGATCTGCTTCAAAGAAGAGAAAAATGAAAGCAGTTGGGTATATGATGTGTACAGATGTGTGGCTCTGGTCACATGTTATGTGGTACAAGTGAAGGCATGCAAAGATCCACCATACTAAACAAACTGCAAGTGACGCCTTTGGGAAACAGCTGACTTTTCATTTTGTTCAAACTCTGTCAGCAGAGTTCTAAATGTGTGGGTTAAATACAACTGAAATCACCTTTACTATTTAAAAACTAAGCCTAAAACAATCCTGCCATTTGCAGAGCACACGGTCAGAAATAAAACAAGGTAAGGCTAGAGCAGTCAGCAACCTGAAAACTCAGCAGACAACCCAATCTGATAAGATCCATTTAAATCCAGATATTGTACAAGATTTCATATCAAAGAAAGATAAACCTAGAAAAACAGTAACTCAGAAGATTAGACAGAGACTAAACCGAACATGAGCTTCTTTCTGGAAAAGTAGGACAGCAACAAAAATAATGAGGAGTTCTTGAAGATATGAAGAGAAGGGAAGCATTTGAGGGTAGTACAAGCAGGTAAGTTTTTCCTTTGCAAATGATTAGCAAGTGTTAGCTGGCTTTCTGCACACACATTGAAGGACTGTTGTGATAATATATGGGAACAACTCAAAACTTGAGAAATACAGTAACTTCAGGGGCAAGAAATGTTTCTTGCAGCAAGTAATCTCTTCCTGCTTTTAAAATGGCAACAATGGCTAAACTTTGGAATTAGCTTCCTGTGGAGGAAGAACTAGATATGGAACAGCTTTAAATCTATGCAGCACAATAAATTTAAGCAACAGTAAAGGAGGGCATCTAATACAATCAATCTACTGATGGATGGAATCTGCCAGTGGAATGAGAAGCGAGACAATCTTCAGCAATCTCCCTCCCTTCCAGCCTTCTGGGCGATGGGGGGGGGCCTCCAGAGCAGATTTAGAGGCAACGTGGGTGGATAGAGAATCTCCAAATGTTGCCTCCCTCTCCTATTCTGTGAATGGATTCCTTTCATCAGTTGGTGAACAGTACTGGATACCACCCTAAATACTGGACAAGACAAAATTGCTGTCGGTAAATGAAATTAATTAGAGCTTATCTTGTTCATTGCCATTTTTAACTATTATAAAATAGCATTTGACTCTAATTTTAAATGTACTGAGGTTGTTTGGAAACTGACTTTATACAATACAATTTGCTGTCAAAGATGAATGTTTGTTATGCCTCTTACTTCCAACATATTGGAATGATCTCCTTGATATTTTGCCCAGATCCTCACTATTCTAAAGCTGTTCTAAAATGGTGGTGGCCCGCCAGTTGTTGGACTCCAACTCCCCTCTATCCTGCCTAACACGGCCAATGGTGAGGGCTGATGGAAGTTTGAGGTCAACAACATATGGAGGGTCACAGCTTGCCCACTCCTATTCTAAAGACTTTTATGGATCTTTGAGAATAATGCTTTACTGTTCAGTGTCAAAATGAGTTGTGTTTAAAAGTCAGTATTATTAATTCTACAAACACAAAAATCATGCCAGTTGAGAGAATGGGTGTGATCTAACTACCACGGCATTAGGTATAATTACGAGCACGGTTAGTTACTAATATTTTTCCCCATAGCGAAGGTGAAATCTTGATCCTCTCCTCCCTCTCTAATAAATACTATCTCTAGTTAATCTCAGAAGAGTATTTGTGAATGGTGTGCCTGAAGAACAGCAGTAAGGACGAAACAGTTGGGACAAAGCACTGGGAAATTCTGGAATACTAATTCCTTAGTCCTTGTACCAAACACTACGTAATGTCAATGCAAAGGCTTTTATTCCATAGTCGTCAAATCTAGTCAAGGTTTTGAAAGACATTATCAAAACCTGGTGATAATTTATCAGAGAACGTTGACAGACTTTCAGACATCTGAAGTGATGACACCAAAATATTCATTTTCAGGCATTTCAGTTTCATTCACCTCAGTTCCTTATTACATTATGATTATATTGGTATACCAGAGAATCTGTACTTGAGGGAAAAAGGCTAGTCAGATTGTTACAGAACTAAAGAATCATGCATTTTACTATGCGTACAATCAGGAAACAAGTTTTCAAAATTAAAACTACAATAGATAATTAGGAGGCTATCATACTGAAAAAAAATCAAGCTAATTCAACCCTGCAAATATCACGGTATGTTTTAAAAACATGGATACTCTTAATGCATTTTAAATTACAATATACTCATCTGAAAGTAATTTCAGACAAGTTAGAAGCACTATTGGCTGGAGTTTTAAGGACAACGGACCAGATATTCGGCTTGTTCTGGATAGAGTTGAACTCCTCAAATAGCATTATAGCTTTTCAACTTACATGTTAGATTATTGGAATTTGCTTTACATAGCACTGCCCCTTGAGATAATTGGGAGCTTCAATTGGTCAGAAACAGTGAGGGTTCTGATGGGAGCTGTCCATTTTAGATCACATTGCACCTATCCTCTACCAACTTCACCAATTTGCGTCAAGTTTCAAATCAATGTGCAACCTATTATCTTCAGAGCCCTAAATGGTTTAGAACCAGAATCTCTCAGGAAAGTCGTTTCCCTATTCCCAATATGAACCTGTACAGGATGCTCACTCTACTTTAGAGGGCCTCACGCAGGTTCTGATTCTGTCTGAGATGAAGTTGGATACATGCAAGAGCGCCCTTTCAGTCATAGCACCCAGGATGTGGAAAGGCCTCTGAAAAATGCTTGGCCTCTTGACTGTCTGTTTTCAGGTAGGAGTTAGCAAACCTTTTTAGAACTGCAATTTTATCACATACTTTGCTGCCGTCTGGGTTCTTTAGTTTTAGGTTATAACTGTGTTTTGTATTATACTACTATTTTATGAAAGCATCTTGTACACTTGTCTAAAAAGGAAGACCGTAAGTGAACAACAATAATCAACACGTTTCTACATTTCACCACAAGGCAGCTTTGTTTATTTTACTGGTCATATTTAATAGTTATAACAGTGTTGTGTCAAACTAGCTTTATTGGGAGGTTCTTGGTTGAAGGTTTTTCATGAGCTGGTTCCAACAAGTCAGAGGGGGAAGGCTCTTACAAGTTGTTAAATATATTGCAAGATAGAAAATTGTACCAGGGAAAACTCTACAAACAGAAAAGATAGCTAAATTAAGCCTACAGATGCAAAGTTTAACAAATCTTTTTCAGCATTTTATATGGATGATTGTTACACCTTTGAATGTTACGCTGTACTGTATATTTATATATAGTACTTGGATTTTCTTCTCTCTAAAGTTGTTGTGTTTATTGTACCTGGATTTTTTTCTTATGTAAACTGCTTCGAGATATATTGATAACTATCTATAAATGGCTTAAATAAATTAAGGCTTCTAGGATTTCAAGTCAAATGTTTTCTCCAGGTAAACTAAATGAAACTGGACCATTCAATGTTGATGTTTTAGAAATAACTTGTTCATGTTAAGGACATTCAATCCTTTCTACAAGCTCTTCAGTGTTATTTTTAAAAGGTGTGTGTTATGCTATGTTGATTTCAAGCTTATAGGAAATAACATCTTGTGTTCAATGTGATTGAAAAGCTTTCATTTAATTATAAACTCTGCAAAGTCTTCACAGCCAGCCTCCTATTAATCTACAAGCAACACCAATTAAAACACTAGAAAAGTAGAAGATTAACACATTGTGTATCTAAGGGTTCAAGCAAAAACAGATAAACATGACCGGAAATATTTTGAATGGTAATACAGTACAAGTAAGTTTGAGAACTGGTAGGAGCTCAGTACTGTTTAAATTGGAAACTCAAGAGGACTAAGGCCTTGTTTATTATGCTCATCACAAGAAATCCTGGCAATCAAGTTCCTTAACTGCAGATCTGCCATTCCTGAGTAATTACTATTCCTCTTAAAACTGCATTCTCCATTGCTCCCAGAATGCTGCAGTGTTTAGAAGTTATTTATAATCTATTGATTTGATGCTATGAACCCACATCTTATTTTCAAACTTGTTGTAGCAGAAAGGAAGAACTTGCTTTGAATTTCCACATTTATAAGACATAATCTCCTTTGAGACCATTAATGAATGCATATGAACTCATACAGTTAAAGGCTATCCTTAAACTTTGCAAACTAGTTCACCAACTTTATTTATAGGGGAATTCTCACTGTGACTGTCTTGTGATTCACTAGTGATATCATATACAGTATATAGAAGGTACTTTATATTCCCAACTTTATGGCATGATGAGGGTTTTCTTAAAAACAGACCTACACTTACCCTACCAGACTGCAGTTACACTCTTGTCTCATGGGGTCCAGCACTACTTTGTTTCCTGTAGTTCTAAGGGTCTTAAAATGTGTTTTTAAGTTTCAGCAACGAGGGAAATGGGCCATGAAAAAAGTTCCCAACTATTTATTAAAATGTAGGGTCAACTAGAAAATAAGAAAAACAAGCTACTTCACATAACTGTTCTGCTCTTGTTTAAGCTAAAATGCCAATGTAAGTTCCTACCAATTTACAAACACTCAGAATCAGGAAAATGTATACAAATGGAAGACAGAAGTAAAGTTACATGAAGTATATACAACAAAGCAACGTGACAGAAACTTCTAGCATGTATTTCAAAAGCAGTATTATAAAGAAATGTTATTCTGAAAGCACGTGCATTTCAGGTACAAGAAGAGTGACCAAGTTATCATCCCAGTTTTTCCCCATTGCGGGTTTAAATTTGCTTCATTAATAAGAAATAGTGGTGATAAAAGCGAAGCTGGAATTTAATATTCTTAATTGTGATTTTTGAAGCTTAAGGAAAGTGACAACATATTGAGGAGACACCAGAAGATGTGACTAAGAAAAAGAATGTCAAAATTGAATGGAAGTTCAAGCCCCTGTGGCCACATGACTGCAGCCTTAACGTTCTGCCGAAATAAAGGGAGATTGAAAGATTAGATTTAAACTTACTATAAGTCCATCTGCGTGCTTCTCCTCATTACTTTGGTCCTTAAGGAAAAATGTTACAAATATTAACATATCATTTTTTTACTAGATGCCATGTCTTTGCTTATATGAGAATAATTGTTTCTCTCCGGAATTTTTTACTAGATGTTCTGAAAGTGAAATGTTTCTGAAGGAAAAGAAACTGATTAACCATTAGAAACCTTGCACTTTATAAGCCATGGGTATCATCTTACAATACCTAGCTATGTTTGCTATCATCTGAAGATAATAAAGGCTAACATATCAATACTGAAAAGCGCTTTCTGTCAGGTGAATATAACACTGAAGAGGCATGCTGCTATGTATCTACCAGTTCTATTTATTACCAAGTATCATGAAGAGGCCTGCACAAATGCTTAGACACTTGCAAGATATTTCTGTGACATGCAAGGTATTTCTGTGACATGCTCCTTGATGTTTTGGAAACTATCACCTGGAAAAAATTACAAGTCACTTAAAAGAAAAGCACAATAGTGAAAGGTTTATTTGGCCATGACAAAATGCCTCAGTACCAGTTAAATAAACCCCTCACAGGTTTTATCTCTGTGGTCTAGAGTAAGTGTAATGCTAGCCAACCCTTCAAAAATGGTTAAGGGATTAGGTATAGGCTGTAGGATCATGTATTTTCCCTTCTTTCAGGTGCAAGGTTCCATCCTACTCCTCAGCTGTACCTTAGCTGTGAATGAATTGTCATTCATCTTACATTCAAACTGCATCTCCCTATACAGTACAAGTAATCCGTAGTTAACCAGAGTACACCAACATTTAGCAGATTTTCCTTTTATGAAGTCTAGGATTCTCCTCGATACAAACAATGAACCAGACAAAACAAAATTATCCTGCCCTTCTTCCAATGAACTCAAGGTGGAGTCCAAGGTTGTCTTTTCCCACCCCGTATTAGTTTCATGGGCTGAGCCTTGTTGGGCTGAGTATGCACCACTGGCCAAAGGTCACACGGTAAGCTTCATGGTTGGGGGAGGGATTGAACATGGTTTAACTGAGGAAGTGCCAATCAGAAATATCAGCTGGAAATTACTTCAAAATTTCATCATTGAGTAGGTACCAAAAGAGCACAGTGAAGGGACCTACTTGCCTGATGTCACTAGGCAGTGAGTCCCAAAGTATAGCTGCTCCCACACTAGAAGATTGCATATTATGTGGCACCTTTAACAGTGCCCGTTCTGGGGATCAAAGCAGCTGAGTGGGCACACATGGGGCAAGATGAAGCTGCAAGTAAAGTGGTACCAAGCTGCTAAAGGCTTTACAGACTAACAGTAACACCTTGAACTTGGCCTGGTAGCAAACCGGCAGCCAGTGCAGATCTCTGAGTAGAGATGTTACATGCTGAGAGGGTCTCACTCCTGGCAGCAACCGTGTTGCAACATTCCTCACGAACTGTAGGCTTTTGGATTAAGCACAAGGGAAACCCCACACAGAGTGTACTGCAGTCATCCAATCTTGGAAGTCACCAGTGGCTGAACTACCGTGATCAAGCTCTCGTGGTCCAGGAACAGCCATAGCTGTAGCACCAGTCACAGCTGGTAAAAGACTCTTCTAGCCACTGATGATACCTGGGCCTCCAGGGACAGAGCTGGATACAGAAACAGCTCTAAACAATGGAGGTGATGTTGAATAAAACTGCCAGTATATCAAAAGCCATACTGAAGACTATACGGTAACAGAAGAATGCTGGGAACCAATCATAACATGCATTAACAACTTTATTGGGACTGTAATTAAATGATGAATATTAGTATTTTATTTAATACTTAAACACGGAATCATAGAGTTGGAAGGGACCCCAAGGGCCATCTAGTTCAATCCCCTGCAATGCAGGGATTTCAGCTAAAGCATCCATGACAGATGGCCATCCAACCTGTGTTTAAAAACCTCCAAGGAAAGAGTGTCCACCACCTCTAGTGGGAGTCTGTTCCAATGCTGAACAACTCTTACTGTCAGAAAGTTTTCCCAAATGTTTAATTGGAACCTCCTTCCTTGCAACTTGAGTCCTATCCTCCAGAGCAGGAGAAAAAAAGCAGGCTCCCTCTTCCATGTGACAGCCCTTAAGATAATTGCACATGGCTATCATATCTCCTAATCTGTGGCATATGCATATACTTGAGAGATGAGAGTTCCTAATCAGATTATTCTAAAAGAATATATGTAATTTTTAATGTTGAAAACTTAATTAATTAAAGTCATTAAAATAATATACAAACTCCGTGGTGGAGTACAGCCAATCATCCATTGTAGAATCCACAGAATGGAAACAAGATCCAATGCATAATCATGTAATGACAAAGGCAATTACACTAATCCCAAATATTCATTGAAACATGCACACACATATATTAAATGCACAGTGATCATGCTCTATGCTCTTTTTTTGTGGACCAGGGACAAGAAAAGGCTTGCATTTTGCTAAAATAAAGCCGCTACAAAAACGAAGGTAGCTTTATGTTTTCTCAACCTAAAGCATAATCATACAAAGTCCATTATTCCAAGTCACCCAAGGTCCTATAACTTGAGTCAGAAAAAAACCTAGCTACTTTGATTTCTCTTGCACATTTCCCATGGAACCTATTGTGGGTTTGCAGGAGCTGAATTCCTAATTCTTTCAAGTAAATGCTGCTCAAAGCATGGCACTATTTTTAGAGCTAGGAGGGAATAGATGAGGGCCTCAAACATCAGTTTTATCTTGATGGTTTTAAAATATTATAAATGGATTGAGAAGACATAAGGCTGGCAGGGAGTTATGAACAATTCTATGTTAGTAGGAACGCCATCTCTTTATCTGGCCCATGGGACTCTAACCATGCAATGCCCCCTTTCCATACAATTCACCAGCATCGCTCCACAGCCTCAACAGAGTCCTTGAATTGGGATATTGCCTCTCGCTCATCTGACTGGAAGTGGAGGGATGCATATATAGAAACCTTTGCCTATCGTGTGGCTAGGAGGCCTATAAAAGGTGAGTGTCTCTACTCACATTTGCCTCTCCTCATACCTACTTTCACCTCTGATCTTGCTCACCACTGATATGCATCTCATGGAAGCAGGCTTATTAGGGAATGTGACACAAGCTGCAAAAAGTTCCCTATCCCTATCTTAATGCATTGGAGTCTGAGATATTGGGCTGGATCCAAACTTTACGGCTGCAGGCAGGAGTATCTCGAGTGGCGTTTCACTCAGGGGGTGCTCCTACTGTTGGTGGTAAGGGAACAACTTCTGCCAATTCTCCCCTTCTGCTGCAGCCCCCAGAACCCTCAGAATGATGTGGGACACAGGATTGGGGTTAAAGGGAAAGATAGAATTAGCAAAAGAAGCCTCCCAAAATTCTGCCAGATCAGAAGCCTTCAGTATTGTCTGCCTTAGGTATGCATGGGTTTGCAAGGCAAGGTATGTTCCAAGAACAAAACTGGGATAAGGGTGCACTAAACATTATAACAAATGGGTTATGGAGAGAGAGAGAGCAGCAGCAAAGGTCTCTTTTGTGGATGAATGACTCATTCTCTTTCCCCATCTTTCCTTTTGCACTTTCTATGGAAGCTTTCTTAACTGGCATGGGTATGGGGAAATTTGGACATCAAAGGAGAAAAGCCTAAGCATCAGATACATTATTAATAGATGCATTTTACAATCTTGTGCAACTGCCCATTCAAAATTCTGAACAGTATGTTTATAAATCCAACTTATTCCAAGGCAGATCAACAGTTTATCTGACCCAGAACTCCCTACCCTGACCAGCAATGACTTCCCCGTCATTGACTTCTTTAGTAAATTGGCACGCTTGGCCAGAGACATATGGACAACAAACAGCACTGAAGGTGTTTTGTTTCTTCACCAAAATAAAATTTTAGAGTATAAAATCATAGAATGGTAGAGTTGGAAGGGCCCGCAAGGGTCATTCAGTCCAACCCCTTGCAATGCAGGAATATTTTAAGTTGTGTGCAGTGTAGAATGTGGTTGTGTTCATGTCACAAAGATTCACCGGATAGCGGCATATGACAAAGATTTCTTCCAGGCTATTCATGAAGTTTTTAAGTGCTAGCAACACTTGTACATCCTTTTGTTACTCCAGAAACTTTGTTGTATTTATGCTTATCTTCAGTTTTGCAGATGGTACATTCCCTCTTCAGCAGTGAGACATGCAGCATATCTTCCATGTTTTCACAGAAGAAAATGAGCAAAAAGTATCCTTACACCACAAGCAAGTCTCACCCTCTTCTCCACCTTGTTAGTCCATTATTAATGGGAGCTATATACTCTTTGGAGAAACCTATTACAACGTTGTACTACAGCACAAGCTCACTGGGGCTCACCTTCTTTGATCATGTATAAAAGTTCCATAATCCAGTTTACGATTAGGATTTTAAGATGCCCAGAAAAACTTAGTGGGTTTTTCACTTCTGATATGGCAGGAACTTCAGTGCTATAGGTTAGGAATTATTAGGCCTATTAAGATTAGAGAATAAATCCAAAATTTTAGAGTAGATTAGTACATGCAAACCCATTTGGTGAGTAAGGGCTTTAACCATACATATCCAATAACTTTTCATGCCAAAATTGCTCCATTTTATCAATTCTCTATCCAAGGCCCATTGTTAAAGGAGGAACATGTTTTAACTCAGTTATCAGACACTGATATTCAAGATGAGTTTTTGAAGGCACAAGCACCATCAAATTTCAAGATCAATCTTTAATAGACTATAATTCTGTTATTTATACTGTTCATGTACAACCTAGCAGAGCGCTTTTTAAAAACATTTGTTTCATCATACTTCCAACCTGGGGGCTTCCACAAAATAGTTGCTTGTGAATGTTTAAAACACCAAAAGTAATCAAACCAATGTAGGCACTGACATAAAGAATCTGTTTTTATGTATGCTCAAACAAAGCATGAAGAGCACAGTCACAACATTTGAGATTATGGTAAACACCACTTTGTCAGGATCAATAGGTCAGTATAATCACCACTTTAATATGAAGAATGGCACAGCATTGAGTATGCTATTGTATGCATTGTATAACTTATACAATGTACATTCATATACCCCTGGCAATCTACTTACAGTATTTATCAATCTACCTACAGAATGCAACAGGAGGGGAAATAATCAAGTCATATAAATGTACATATATCTATACCTTCCAATTCTTATTAACTTTGATGGTTCAATGCCTCTACAATATAATAGCACAGAATGATTTCTTCCAGAAAACAACATTATACTGCAAACACTTTTTATTGCATTTTCCAACACAGATACTTACTTTAGCAATCTGCAGCAACACAATGCAGTGTTTTATTGATTCAACCATGCTCTAAGGGGGAAAAAAATAAACATGTTAGTATTTCTACAAAACTTTTACTGCTTAGAATAGTGTGTTAAGGAAGCAAAGTACTTCCTTTGGTTAGTATGTTCATTATCAGTTTAGTACTTATTTGCCATAGATATCTTGTAAGAATTCATTTATGATAACATTGTTTTATTGTTGTTAGCCGCCCTGAGCCCGGCTTCGGCTGGGGAGGGCGGGATATAAATAAAATTTATTATTATTATTATTATTATTATTATTATTATTATTATTATTCTGCACTCGAATGAGTGAACAGGGTGGAGAAAATCAGTAACTATTTTGCTAATAGTTTTAATGGATCATTATTTCCCCAATTTATATAGCTAAAGCCACACAGGGAAAGAACATTTGATGGGTGAAAGAAGCTACTTCTTTTTCTAAGGGCAGTTAACTTTAAAGTTAACTGACATCCTGCAGGTTATTGCACAAGCAAGATATTGTCTAAATCGGCCTAGCCACCGGTGCCCTGCGAAGGTTTTGGACAAAAGCTTTCACTGGTCCCAATCCCCTAGGATAATGGGAGCTGTAGCTCAAAATATCTGGAGGGCACCAAGTTGACAATACCTAAACAATACCTTCACAACAGAAGGATTAGAGCTGCTTTTGTTGCTCAGATTTTATCATTAAGTTATGAAAATACAATAAAATATATACTCCAAAAAGCAACAGGACTAGTAAATGTGTCAAGTTATTTTGTGTCATGCTTTCAAAGACCTGACTGTTAAGCAGGTTACCATCGAGCATAAAAATATTCTAAAACACTACTATATTTTCTATTTAATATAAACACGGAACATAATTGTAGGGCACAGTCTCAATCGCCATTTCCATCAAAAGACAAATATGAAGATAATTTGGACCACAGAAGGGAGAGGATGACCCCTCCCTCCTGAACATATGGTACAATCCATTCCCCCTCCTCTAATCAGGTGGCATAAGGAGAAGCAGGTTCTCTGCATTTGCCAGCAGGCCACTTGGGAGATTTGGGGGGGGGGGGGCAACTGATCTCCCACCATTCCATTCTAAGTGCCTGTCAGCAGAGGAAATAGCTAAAGAGGAATTTAACACAGATCCAAGCCAAGCCCTTAAGTTGCTTTAAAATATGTAATGATTAAACCCATACTTACACTGGTTGTTTCTTTGAGGTCTTCAATCTTCTGGAGGAAAAGAAAAGAAAAGAAAAGAAAAGCAAGGTCTTTAGCAATGTGAAGTTACTCATCTTCAAGATTGCTTCTTGTTAGTTATTGTTTATTTAAAACGTTCACATAAAATATAAGCTTAATATATGAAGCAGCACTGTGCAGAGCTATATGGACTAAGTATTGTCTACTCCAACAGCTCTCCAAGATCGAGGGAAAATGTCTTCGCTGCCTTTTGCACCCGGGATCCTGCTGAATGAAAACAACAGGATCCTTACTGCAATCAAAGCAGACATATTCCATTATTACACTGTGACCGCTTTGCAACCATTTCTAGATAATTAAAAGAGTACCAGGAATGCAATTTGCTTTAGAAAAGGGTTGCCCAACAGCAATAGAAGACGACTTTAAGCAAAGGGTGTGTTGTGCAAATTGTAAGGGTAGTGCTTTTTCTCGCATGATGCACTGTTAAACCGTGCCCTGCTGAACAACCAAAGATTATTAATGCTTGGTTTACATTCCCATCCCACCCTGCAGATAAATAGTCTAAAGAGAAAGCTTGAAAGCAAGTACTGTACAAGGCGGCTTCAACTGAAACATGTTCATCCAGAAAATTTAATCTTCATTCCACATTTATCCCAACTGAAAGTGATATATTTTCATTTGAATCAGTTCAGACACTGTATTCCTATACTTGTGTGTGAAATCATGCAAGTACAGAATTGTTCAGACAGCGTGATTCATCTTCATATTGTTAATTGTCTTAGGTTGTTCCAAACTGCCACACACTTGTTCAATACAGTGAAGACTCAAGTCTGCCTTTCCCCCCGTCTATGTAGACCAAAAACAAACTTTGGTCAAAGCTCAGGTTTGTCTGAAGAAAGATAAACTATAAGTGACACAGCAATCCAAATCATGATTTAGCTCTGGGTAGTGCAGCAGCAGGAGGAGTACTAGGGTAGGAGTGCAGCAGCTGTGATCCCCTCTAGGAACCTGCATGTTCGCTCTATGTCATTGTTTGGCTTAGCGTTATGTGTTGTCCTGTTGTGGCATCTATTTTTCTACAGGGTCTATAGATGTGACAGTTTTGACACAGCTTTCCATAAAGATTAAAAGGAAAAGAGAAGTGATGTCATGGTTTCCAGTAACATTTCCTTAAACTACATTTCTACAGGAAGCAGCTGCTAGTTGTCTTGAGTCAGGGGAAATAACTACCTTATTGCTTAATCAGAAAATGTCTAGCATTACTGAAGTTGTTAGCTGCCTGGAATGGCTGGGGCAACCCAGAGGGGCAGGGTAAATAATAATAATAATAATAACAATAACAATAATAATATCATGCAGATTTTTAAGAAATACTTTGGGGTGAGTGTAACTGGAACCTCTTCCTTCTGCATGAGAGGAAGCAGCTTTAAAATACTGAATGCCACAACAAATCAGGAAGAAAACAGCTCATCTGTTGCAACACTAATCTGCCATTACAACAAATTAAGACTAGAGGCCAAACAAGTACAAGGTCACACCCCAGCGGCAAGATTGTATAATGATAAGACAGTGCCAAGTGCTAGATTACAATCTAAAATATGAAGTACAGTTAGCAAATTACCCTGTTCTAGAACACAAAAAGCCAGCCACATGGCTAGTTGGTTTAAAATCATTCTAACAGTGCTGGAAGTTATTGCAAAGAGAAGCCCAATTACTTCTCAGTAATTGACTAAAGCGTGAACTTAACTTTTATTTGAATTGGATATATAATTTTACCTGACATGTGTAGAATCATAGAAATGTAGAGCTGGAAGGGACCCCAAGGGGCATCTAGTCAAACCCACTGCAACCACCAACCTTCTGGTTAACAGTCAGACGCCTTGTCATCTTATGCTCCTTATTTCATCCTTACATTACTTATTTCATTGAGCCCTATGAACTATGCTAATGGTACAATAGTTCATGAAAAGTGAGTGGGGCACAAGGCATTGCTAACTGAACTTCCAATAACTGACTTCTCCAGGAAGCTCACAGAGAAAAAATATTTAAAACAACTGCAGCATGAAACTTATTGAAATAATAGGATAAAACCTTTTCTATGGCTCTCCAAGCTTGTTTTCATCTTTTTAATTATATTCCACTGTAATGGAACAATTGAAGAACTGTTAGCAATTATTATTACAAGTGTTTTCCGTCCCAACAACTAAAAAAAATAAAAATCTATAAAGCAACGCTGAATGCAAGTTATCAGCTGTATATAAAAGGAGTGCTTAAATTGCATTTTAGTCAATTACAGGAAGGCTGAAAAGTGAACTTCAGGGAGAGGAAGAATCAACATCTATATAAAAAGTATACTTGCTTTTCTCTGTTCGTCATCTTTGCAGTTCTGAAGCTTTTCATCAAAGAGCTAAAAAGAAAAAGGCACACAGTATCAAACATTGTTAGTAAAGCTTTTAAAATGCAAACAGGATAGCAATTTATTTATTTATTTTAAAAACATCCAGAGTCTGCTGATCATTTGGTTCCATCTTACCAGAAACATGTCTAAATTACTAGTGGTCTTAATCATCAGTATTTCACACAAAAATAATAATCGATATCACCTACTAAGTCAGGAAAGATGTTTTGTCTTTACCCCAAACATGAAACTATTTGGAGGGGATGAGGGCTTCTTTATGATTACAGAATTACATTTTTAAAAAGCCAAAGAAAGTGCTTAAAATTGTTCTGTGTTCTGTTGCTTCTGTCTCCTTAATTATCTGTTTCCAGTCAATATAATGTCTGAGCTAAAGATCTTTAGACAGTTTCTTTACAACACAAAATAATGTGCTGCATGTAAAGCAGAGATGGAGACTCTGTGTCCCTCCAGATGGAGTTCAATGATAATTCCCTTCAGTTCCAGCCAGCATGGCCAATGATCAGGGATGGTGCCAGTTGGAATCCAACAACATCTAGAAGGTTACAGGCTAGCCACCACTCTGTAAATGATTGAATAAGCTTTAAGCCTTCAAGGCATGCAAAACAGAACCTCTCTTGCACATATTTTTACTTCTCAAATGCTTACCCCATTTCAAATATTAAATATGTTAAACATATCTAGGATAAATCACAAGGGCAACATTTACTCTCTCTCTCCCAATATATATAATAAACAGTACAGGAACTACTGTTTTAAAACAGCTTTTTAAAAAAAAAAAACCAAAAAACAGAAAAAAATTCAAGTATGCTTGTGATCCAAGTCTCTACAGTTGACCTGTGTCATAGATGACTGGGAAATTTTAGGTTTTGCCTGATTTTTAGTTTTAATTCAGTATTGTACAATTTAAAGACTGCACGACACAAATTAGATTGTATTCAAGCTACTTATTGCTCCTAGCTTAGTTTCACTGTTCTAAGGAACAGGTTAGGAATGAAGAACTAGAATACTGAAATCTTCATCCAGACTCCCTAGCCAGTGGTGTCCAAACTTTTTTCAAAGAGGGCCAGATTTTATGAAGTGAAGGGCTGTGAGGGCCGACCAAAGGGCCGACCAAACTTGTTAACCTTTTTTAAGGATTGAAGCTGTTGAGGGTTTTTTAGTTTAGTTAGGATTTTACCCCAGGAAATAAACTACCACAGGAGCCGGATTAAACCAACTGGCGGGCCGGATTATTCCCCCAAAATGGACTTTGGACATGCCTGTCTTAGAGATATAGTCTTTTAGCAGGAACTGCTGTTAAATTTCTGAAACCCATCTAACTACTTAACGAAAACATGGATCAATGAGCTTCAATGATGACAATCTTTCATAACCCATTTATACCATGGAAGTCAGGGAGAAATCAAAGTGCATATTTACTAGATTATTGTAAAGTCCGGTTACAACAGCAAGTTCAACATACCTTCAATTGGTCTATCAAAATTTGTAGATAAGCATCAGCTTCTGTAAGTTTTTTATCAAAATCTTGGACACTGGGAACAAATCCAGGATCCACACCCTATGTAACAGAAATGCATTTGAACATATTTATAGAACACACAGAACAGCACCTCATTAGCTGCAGGATTGAACTGGGCAAATTTCAAAACCATGGAATAACCTGCCTAGATACACTTTAAAGAATGAAAAAGGCTAGAACATTATATTATTCCTACAGATATATGTCAGCATAGTGAAATGATTAACTCACTGCGAGGACTAGGGCTCTCCTAGCACTATTCTAAAGCCTAAATATTATGTTCTTGTGAGGTTAACTATTTTGCTACGTAAGCCACATCACAGCAAAATTGTTACTAAGGTGAAGCATCCAATACTCTTCCAACTAAAGTTTCCTTGTAAAACCAGGCCTTACAAATGAATTCTCAAATAATAGAAATAGAAGCAACAATCCAGAGCAGCTCAATTGTTCAAGCCTATACGTGTTTACTCTGAAAGAAGTCCCGCAGTGTTCAAAATCATATCCCCAGGATAAACACACACAAGACTGTGCTGAAAATCTACACTGGATTGTGACCACAGATGAATCAAGAAGAAAGGGTATTTCCACACCTCTGCTTTTTCATCTACTTCATTTAAACAGCCTCTCTTATCCTCCAAAATGCATAAAAAGGTAAAGGTAAAGGACCCCTGACACTTAAGTCCAGTCGCAGACGATTCTGGGGTTGCGGCACTCATCTCGCTTTACAGGCCGAGGGAGCCGGCATTTGTCCACAGACAGTTTTTCCAGGTCATGTGGCCAACATGACTAAGCCCCTTCTGTCACAACGGAACACCGAAACCAGAGCACACAGAAACGCTGTTTACCTTCCCGCAGAGCGGTACCTATTTATAAGTAGATAATACTTGCACTTTCGGTGTGCTTTTGAACTGCTAGATTGGCAGGAGCTGGGACCAAACAACGGGAGCTCACCCCATCGTGGGGATTTGAACCGCTGACCTTCTGATTGGCAAGCCCAAGAGGCTCAGTGGTTTAGACCACAGCGCCACCTACGTCCCTTCCAAAATGGATATAAGGCTTAAAAAGTTATTGCCAACTAGAAAGGCACACTTTGGACAGAACATCAAGCACATAAACTGATACATGTAAATCTATAATTCACTATGTCAAGATCCCTTGTTAGGAATTACATGGGGGTGTTTAAAATTTCTAGGTTTTATGATTGCAAATGACAAGTAGACAAACAGAAATTCATTATGTCTTCAATTCTCACAATTTAAAAGCTATAGCGTAGGTGTTTTAAATGCTAAGCAACCTTCACTTTTAAGAGAAGCAATTTTAGAAGACACATACTTTAACAAAAAATATTTAAGGAACAGAAGATTCCTAACAGAATCCAAACTGTCACTCTTTCACTTCCCTGCATCTGTTTCCACAATAATGTGACCTCTAGTGAAATACGTGCAGTGCTTCTATCATAGCTATCTATCACATGCATGTAAATGACATAAAATGCTACAAACTTCATTCAGTTTTAAATGTTAGTTAACTCATTTACATTTTATGTATTTCAGTGAGCTTTTGCATTATTTCCAATGAAAATGAAGTTAAATATACTCAAGTCTTAGAGGTATTAAAAAACCAAGTAATTAAGCTATTAGCATTATGTTACAAGTTCTGCACTACATTCCTTTTTAAACTAGTATGATTACTAAGCTATTTAAGTACCTCAGCATTCATTAGAAAGCAATTCTACCTGACCAGGTTATATAAAAGAGGCCTTATAAGCTCACTCACCAGAACATGGGAGCCAATTGTGACCTCTGAAATGCATTAATTCCTTCTGAAGTACCACAGAAGTGCACACTGAATGCTCAAAATGGCCACAGAACAGTGCTTGAGTCCCTTTGGGCATCCTGTACATTTGTTACTCTTTCCTTCCTGTGAAATGCCTAAAGGTATGTGATCCTTGTTAGAGTTATACCTTATTTCCTGTAGAAGTCTGAATGATCCTTAAAATAAACTGGGATGTTTGCCCCACATTATGTAACATTTAGGACATAGCATGACCACTACAAGAAATACACTACAAATGCTACCTGCCCAACGTTGTTTCACCAGCAAGTATTCGGCTCTTGAAATTCTTTAGAAAAAAATCAGGGTCTACCCAGCAACTGTAGTGCCTACCCTCTCCCCATTGTTTCTAGGACCAATTTTCCTAATCTGCAAAGTAATACACCCAGTTTCCAGAAAGTCATGGAAACATGTTGGGCATATGCTGAGGGAAGGTAGGATCACAAGATCCTTTAGTTGTGGGAAGCATTTCTAATCACTGGGAGAGATTGGCTTCCATGTCCATTCTGGGCTACAGGACCAAGTTCCTATGACCTCTTGGAAGTAACTGAAGCATTTCAGTATGTCTTCTTATTTGAATAATGTTGTGTGCTTTAACAGTGTACACTACTTTGATGTTCCATGACACAGCGGTATAGAAATCCTTTTCTAAATAAAACATAACTCAAACCTACATACTGTGAAAGAAGCTGATTTCAATGGGATGTGAAAGGAAAACTAACTTTCCTGCAGCCGAAATACGAACTAGGCTAACCATCGAGTGGGTTTTAGAAACGATCTCCTATATCGCGGTCGAGGTGATCAAACTGGAACTGCTTGTTTTTAAACAGCAGTCAGTGGCAGTAATTAGCCACTTCCACCAATGGCAGACAATGGAGCCTGCCGGACTGAAATCAGGCAGAGCTGCTTGGGGGGGGGGGGTGAGTGCACCCCATGGTGTAGCGCGCACACAAGCGCCGCGCTCTTCCTCTCCAGCGATCAATGGCTAGAGCTGCTGCGTGCGCTCCCCGGCCCCGGCTGCAGGTACAGGTTCAGGGCCGCGGGCTTCGCAGCACGCACCCTCTCCTCCCCACCCACCCCGATTATACACGGGGTCGACCACAGAACCCAGGCGTCCGGGTGGGCCTCCGTAAGCGCAGGCCGACGGTGATCGAGGGCGCCCCCTCCTGCCAATGTCGACGCTGCACCGCCCCAACGCTCGGCTCTACTCACGCAAGCCATGCTTCCTCCCCTCCCGGGCACGCTGCCGGGCGGGGTCTGTCGTCGGCTGGGCCCCCTGCCCGCAGGGAAGCCGCGTCGCCAGCCCGCCGCTCGCAAGCAGCGAGGCTCTCCTTCGCACCGAGCCGGCTCCCGATTGGCTGCGGGTCAGGTGCCTCCCAGCCCGGCCCTTTCCTCTCCCCCGCCCCGCGCACCGACTGAGAGGGGGACGCATAATAGCCATACACACCGGGCTGCTTCCTTCCAGCCGGCGCCGCCGGCTTCCTCCCGCTTTCTCTCGAGGGCATCCTTCGTCCCGGGAATCTCCCGCCTTCAGCGGTAGCCTCTACCCAGCAAGGCTGCAATCGGGGCAGGAAGACCAAATCGCCGCGCGCTGAAAGGAAGCCCTGATTGGAAGGGCTGCCTTGGACCCCGCAGCACCGACTGACTTCGCCCGCCGCCTCGCTACCCAGTGGGCTGCTTGGAGTCTAACCTCACGCGCAGCGCCACGGAGGACACGGGCTCATCCGGATATTTCACCCGCCCCCTGCCTTCTTGCATCATCTGAAATGCCTCCGGCAGCTTTCTTATTATTGGCTACAGCGCCGATCGCTCTTTTCCATTTCGCAATCCTGACCCCCGTTTTACCTATAAGAGGACTTACTTCTGAGCAGGCATGGCTAAGATGCTAAGACTAACTTTTCGCATCCGCCTAGATTTCTGTAGCTCACTGTCGTTTAAGCGTAGCGTGTGGACAGTTTCTGAAGAATACTAAACGCATTTAAGAACCTTTGCAAGGTTAGGGCTGCGAATCCTGACTATTTGGAACTAGGTATCCCTGGCGTGGATCCAGGCTAGACCAGCTCCACTCTGCGCATCGGGGGTTTTCCGCCCAGCAGCACCTTACACAGTCTGGAAAGCTACTCCTGTCAAAGGAATCTTCACCATAGCATGAGGTGGGGCTGAGGCCATAGGAAAATCTAGTTCCCCTGATTTCCAGCACCTTTTGGGGGGGCGCGACACACGGAGCAGCCATGAGAAGGAAGGGGAGCAGAAAACATCACCTGGCCTGAATGCAGCTTAAGCCCAAGTAAAGCATGCTTCAGTACCAAGCTGCCATTTTCAGACGTTTCTCACTTGAGACGTCACTATGATTGATGCCCATTAATATTAAGACAGTTGTGCCTCTGCATTTGCTCATTAGCTTCAATATTAAAGTGCACCTGCTGTTATCCATAGTTTGTGCCAGTGTCTCCAAAGCAATCCCTTTCTGTGATAGCACCTTGGAGTGGCTAATATTCTCAGGAGGAATATTTACATAGCAAAGGCTTCAAAGCAAGAATATGCAGGTTTAGTTTTGTTTGGTTCCCTTTCCCCTTCTGCCAATGTGCAACACAGACAGCACTAATTTCTCCATCCTTATGCACTACAAAAACAAAGGAGTTGGGATATGTTTCTGTATAGTTCAGTGTTATTTGTATGCTACCATAAGCAATGTTTGATAAGCAAGATTTTGGCAAAGAGTACAGGTTCATTGTTTGGATGAACTGGAGATCCAGAGGTGCAGTGACTTGAAGATTCCTATAATGATCTTAACATTGCCTCCATTCTATGTTATTTTTTTAATCCAAGGCTTTGTTTCAGGTAAAGAAAATAGAAATTAAAACTGCGAACAGGTCATTGAGTAGAGTCCACATAACAATCATCACAGGAATCTTCCCATCATTGTATTCTTAGATCTCCAGTTCAGTTACAAAGGTTTCTCATTCACAGACCAGCAATAATAAATGTAAAATTTATCAACTGAGGTGCTATATTTGCAAGATGGAGACATGATATATGGCTTAATTTCACAATAAATGTAAGAACAAATATACACTCATGGAATAGAGATTAGTATGGATTACATTTTATACAGGTATTATGCAGAACAAATGCATCTCTTTTAGCTTAGGTTAAACCGACTAACGCACCTGAAGCTGAAGAGTATGACGAAGGATGGTTTCCTCTAAAGCATGAATCCATTTCTCCCTCTCATCAGCATCTCGAGCTGGAAGAGTATTAAAAATATACTTAAGTGGCCTTAAAAGAAACAACTGGAAACTTAAACCAATCCCAGGTCAGTAATTAAATGTCCTGTTAGTTAAGCAAAGCTAATCAAATGAAAATTGCTTGCTGAGAGACAAGCCTACATTATAGCTAATGAGAAAGTTTGAAGATATTGTGAAAAATAAGTACATGACTGAAATCCAAACACAGTTTTTATGGCAACTACAGTACAAATACTCCTGAATATTAGCTAAACTGAAATAATTCACAATTCCATACTAGTATGTCCCAAGCAATAGCTATCAACTTGTGCTTGTAGCCATCTTAAGGATGGAAATATATGGGAACGGAAGAAATGAACGGATTCAAGGTCCTCCATTTATAAAATGACCAGACAGCTGCAATGCTCCCATCCTGTCTATAATATTTCTAGTCCACATTATATTACTTATTTTAGAGAATGGAGCTAGTTTTTACATAGTTCACTTACATGGTAACTTCCAGCGGTTCTACTTTCATTTTAAATGCATCCAAAAAATCCTATACATAAAAAGCAAGCTCCGGCATTCAAGATATCACAAATCTAGCATGAGAGAAACATGGATTCCAGACCAGTTCATGCAGATTAAGAGGTGGGACTATGCAGGTAACAGCTGCCTCAGAACAAAGTAAACAAGCTGCAATCTGGGAATAGCTGAAAGTGGAGAAGGTACAGCATGAATATGCTATCAGAAGTCCTGCATTATAGGCACCTCCTTTGCTGAGGACCCTCTGTGGTTTTGACATTCTGCTGTTCTTAGTGATAACTGAGTCAAAATTGAAACTGATCGGATCTTCAGAGTTTATTGGAAGTACATCTGCACACTTCTAAGCAATAAAAAGTCTTTTAAAAAAGGATATGTAAATAACTCAAAGTGCAAAGGTGGGCAATAATTCAAATGGTGAAATTTTGTTTTCATTCAGTGAATCAAGCACAGATATAGTAATCAAAATAGCTTACTCAGTGCAATAGATATCTGGGGGAAGAATCACAGTTAAGCAAGCAAAGATGCTGAAACATTGGCCTGCCTCCAGTCCAGTCACCCTAACTCAAAGATTCACAGCTGTCTGTTTCACAGATGAAGTAGGTCAATACTCTGCCAAGAAGCTGAAAAAATCAGCATGTGATATGTGAGCCAGGAAGGAGCTTGGTTTACTCCTAAACACTGCCCATGCTTCTATGGGAAGGATGTGGTCACACTTCAAGCATCCTGAAACTAGTCTGCTTATAACAAAGTCCTATGGCACTTTAAAGATTAACAAGTTTATTCTGGCATAAGCTTTTGTAGCGGGAGCAGCTACAATATTAAAAGCAGCTTCTAATATTGTTAGGTTTATATATGTAATTAATAAAAAGACAACACACATCTAGGTCCTGCAAAGCTCACAGGGTCAAATCACTGCTTGATCATGAAGCTCAGAGTATGAGTGTTCACACAGATGGGTCCAAAAGTCAGTAAACTAAGTAGATTCAAAATGCTGTAAGCAAATGTTACATTCACATTTGTCATAGCAATTACATCAAAGCAGCTATTTAGGTTACTGCAAATATTCAGATTTATCCTGGTATGTTCAGCCTTTTAATTATCAGTGCATATTTTATTGCAGTACTGCATCAATATTGCAGCCTTGTAGTAGCTAAGTGACAGTTCAATTTATGGAAGCAATATTACAGTGTTGTTCATATTACCCAGTGAGGGAATAGATGAACTGTAGACAGAACAGGCCCACAAAACCAAGATAAACATCACGAATCCCTAGAGACTGCCAAGAGCCGGCAGCGTTCTCAAGCTAGAACTAAGCATTAAAACTGAGGTATGATTCACAGCTCATTTTTCCCTCTGGCACCATAACAACTAGAGATAAAGTTTTGATATTATGTCAGTATGATGTCAAGCTTTCCCCATTTCCACAAGTGGCAGCCTATGAAATGGAGCAGGGGTGGGATGTCTGTCAGTACAGTCATGTTACAACATATACATCACATGGAGGAGGGGGCAGATTACAAACTGACTTCAAAAGCCCCATAGTAAAATATGTTACTGTGACCAGGTTAGATATTATGAAGACATGCATAAGTACTGCAAGGTCTGAATCAGCCCAAAAGGGTAGCAGTTTTCTCATTGGCTAGTGTTGGACAAAAGAACACCTAATCACCATTAAAACCCTGATTTCTAGGTACCACAATAGAGCCACATATACTTCAAATAACTAACTAACTAACTAATGGAGGTTCATCTCTATTAATTATAAACCAGTGTCCACTAATCCCTATTGTCAAAGGTACTGATTCTTGGTCTTCCTAAATTTAGTTTCAGTATGCTTGCTTTTAGTCCCAACCACTGAATAAACACAGATAATATAGGTCTTAGGGCACGTAAAAGTGGTGATACTGAGCTCTTTTGTCAGTCAGATGATGAAATGATGACACCCAGCAGCATCATAGACTTGTTTAACAGGATTGGAAACAGGAGCAAACACTGCAAATTTGGCACAGGAAAGATAAGCAACCATTACTCACTGGGGCCTCCCTCCCAGGAATCTGCAGGCACAGACCGGAAATCTACCCCACCCCAATAGATTTCTCAGCATCAAAATTTCAGACACACAATCAAGTGATGAATGTTAGCAATCCTGAAAAGAGCAACTCAAAAGCCATCTCATTTAACCCCCACCAGTGCCCACAACTGCACAAAGGCTGCATCTCAAGGTAGTGTGAGCATCATGATCGAGAACTCTTGGGACAATGGATGTATATTTAATATTTTAAACTTGCCCATTGGTATTCACCATACTGAGGATTAACATACAGGTGCACTACTCCGTGATCAAAGTATCATTTCCGTTACTGAACCATATCTGAGTTAAGAGGCCTCCTAGTTTGTGCCAAAAGGCACAAAGTACCGTATTTTCCGTCCCATAGGACGCACCGGCCCATAGGAGGCACCTAGTTTTTTGGGGGGGAAATAAAGGGAGAAACAATTTCCTTTATTTCCCCCCCAAAACCAGGTCAGGGAATCCAAACCAGGTTGGGGAACAGCGGGATGGCAGCGCTGCGCCTCCCTGCTGTCCCCCGAGCTTGTGGGGCTGCCCGATGTCTGTCCAAAGCGCGGGGCGCTCTGCTTCAGCGCTCCCCGTGCTCCGTGCAGCAGGCTGCTATCCGCAGTCTAGGGAGTCCTGCAGGAACTCCCGCAGGGCTCCCTAGGCTGCGGAAGTATTCCCGAAGCGCCGGGCGCTCTGCTTTCAGCGTGCCCCGCTCTCCGGGAAGCAGGCTGCGGATGTTTTCCCGAAGCGCCGGGCGCTCTGCTTCCAGCGCGCCCCGCGCTCCGGGAAGCAGGCTGCTATCCGCAGTCTAGGGAGCCCTGCGGGAACTCCCGGAGGGTTCCCTAGGCTGTGGATGTCTTCCCGAAGCGCCGGGCGCTCTGCTTTCAGCGCGCCCTGCGCTCCGGGAAGCAGGCAGCTCCGTGCAACCCTCGGGAGCCCGGCGTGGACTCCGGAGGGTTGTGCGGAGCTGCGCCGAGCCCGGGAGTGCAGGCAGCTCTGCGCAACCCTCGGGAGCCCAGCGCCGGGCTCCCTAGGGTTGCGCAGAGCTTCCTGAAGCCTGGAGAGCGAGAGGGGTGGTTGCGCACCGACCCCTCTCGCTCTCCAGGCTTCAGCGAAAGCCTGTATTCGCCCCATAGGACGCACACACATTTCCCCTTCATTTTTGGAGGGGAAAAAGTGTGTCCTATAGGGCAAAAAATACGGTACATGATGGGTCCTGAAGTTACCGAGCCATTGCATGCTCAACAACTTTCCAAAATATCAACTCATTTGGAATTGTATCCAACTAAATCATTGTGTGCATGGAACAATTTCTGTGAGAACACTGGAACTTCTTGATCTCTTTCCTTACACATCCCCAGCATTGTCCCCAAATCTAATCTGGATGATTAGTAGAACCACCAGGGTAAATATGATGAGTCTACAGGAGGAAGAGAGAGAAAGAGAAGTTTTGTTTCATGCAGACAATTGTTTAGTTAAAGACAGCTTTTGGAAAATAACACAGAAAGAAACTGAAGAAAACTAATTTCCTTTACACATAATTAGAAGCTATCCTGTGCCCTAAGCTTCCTGGAGGAAAACATTTATAACCCCTCGCCCCAAAAGGAACAGTTTTCCCTAGTTGTCTCTCACCAAGCAGGGCTGGTGTTGCCTTAGCCATTCACTTACATGCTTCCTCTGGTGACCCCTGATGTCATTAACTGACATGTCTCAAACTCCCATCATTGCAAGAAAGGTATGGTTTCTGCCTGTTGCATGGCTGCTAAGAGCAATTCTCAGGGACTATTTAAAAGGGAGGATAAATGGATGATGGCGATAAAGGGACTACTTTGTAGTACACTGTGACTATGCTGTGAAACACTGAACAAAGTTGTTCCACCTTGGTTTCCACAGCAATTACAAATTCAGGGGATGTATAATTGAGGACTGCTTGGTGTGTGGATTATTTAAAGTTTGCATAGCTTGAGGATGTGGACCGGATTCATAGACACTGCCTTCATTGCAGGGGGTTCGAGTAGATAACTCTTGGGGTGCCTTCCAACTCAACAATTCTGATTCTATGAATAGAACAAGTCTAGGCTTCCTATGTCATTAATATTGATGCTTTGGTAACGCAGAAGTCCCACATCTAGCCACAACTCAGAGTGAAGAGAGGGTTATGTGGTCTCTCAGCAAGCACAAAGGCTGGTAATATTAGGGGGACCTCCTCCCAAAAAGAAGTTTCTAGTATAACAATATGTATAGGATCCATTTTCTGAGGGCAGGCTACATTTAATGTTACAATAAGATAAATTTAGTGAATATATTATGATTAATGTATTAGAGATTTAGGTTAGGGGTAGGCAATCTGTGACCCATAGTCTAATTTCAGGTGTCCCTATGCACTTTGAGCTCTTTTCCCACCTATTGCTAGCTTTGGCTCTACCCACTGCCCACATATTGCTCCTAACAGATTGCCCTTGAAATAATATGCCCCCTTCAGAGTTCTTCATCCCTAATGTATACTAAGTTCACTGCAAGGATTCTCTACTTCAGTTTATCCCTCTTAATATCAACAGAAATCTTGTCTCAGAATAAAGGTTTCTCTGTTACTGAACAATGGAACAGCATGTATCAGTAACTGTGACGTTTATAAAGCATACCTCCAATGGATCTGCAGAGAAGACAAGATCGTCTTTAAACACAATGACAAATGTGACACTAGTTATGGTGCTAAAAATGCAAGCTTTTATCTATCTGAAGGCCCAATATAACCAAATAAGGGAAGGTTCTTGAGGATGACATCAGAACACATTTCAATAACCATATTCCAAAAGCCATACAAGTATTTTCAGGGGGGGAAATTACAACGTAGCAAAGGATGAAGTGTTCCCCATTTTCTTCTTAGAAAAGTAGTGTTCAGTTGGGCATAGGCAGGGCTAGGATTGGCAAAGCAAGTGGGCCCTCATATCTGGCTCCAGTTGTAGTAAGGGAGGGAGGATGTACAGGTAAGGAATGCCATTACGGTAAGAGACTAGAATTCTCATTCCTATTCCATTTTACCCAAATCCATCAAATTCAAATGAAGGCACTGAGTAAGGACAGCTAGACGCTCCAACATTAGTAAAGCATGTCCTCCCTCAAAGAGGGTGTTGCGGTGAGACCTGGAGACTGCCCTCCTGTGTTGTGGGTGGGTATATTGGACAAGCCACAACACCCGATTGGTAGGTCCCTTGTTGCTGGGTTTAATCTGGCCAATGGGGTGTAGTCTAAACGGATCGAGGGACCTATATATGCCTATGCACGTGACCCAGAGCTTCCTCTTTCGGCTCATGCATCGGAACACCCGCCCACCTCTCCCTATATTTAGGATATTTTGTGACTGACCTTGCTATGCCGTCGTGTGTCGTCTGTCATTGGGACAGGGGCATAGCAGGAATTTTCCCCCCTTGGCTGATTGGCTGTTGCCATTTGGGTTTCGCCTGCCACGTAGCAAATCATCACAATTCATAAGGTTGCGGATAGACACTGGTTCAGGTGATAGGGATGGGAGTACTGTCTCGCCATCCCTATGTGAAGGGTATTCCGTTAAAGGAATCCAGGGACTCAACTTGGTTTGGTCAACCCCCGAGCGCAGGTTGTGCCTGTGCCTGAGTCCAGGGGAGCATCTGGGGAGTGGACATAGTCCGTTCATGGGCTTTCCGCCAACCTCAGGTGTTCACCCTTGGCTGACCTATGATAGAGCTCTGGGTCAGCGCTACCTGCAATGGTGCAGGGAGCTATTCGAACCAGAGCCTATGCAACCGCTCACTTTCTGTAATAAAATTGGCCTAAATTCTGCCAAAAACCAAACCAAAATTTGAGTCAAATGTGTCTTTATTTAGGGGGGAGGTCTCTGGGTCTGAACACGCAAATGGCCAATTATATTCACAACCATCTAATAAAAAGAAACTTTCAGGTGACTAAATTGGTTAGGCACAGTTACATCATTCCTCCTTATGAGTAAGGCCGAATGATTTCCAACAACAAAGACCTCACAAGCTAGAGCAAGAAAACAAAGTACATAGGACATAAAGTTCTACATTTATTCAGCATAAAATACTATGCATACTTTCAAATGTTAAGTAGTTCTTCTGCCACTTGCAAATAATGTGCAAGCACTGTGATTCAAGCAAGTTAGTATTTTATTTTTATTATTTTACTATGGGTAAGGGCCTACTAGAACATGCAGTGAATGCAAGCATTCAGTATTAACCAGCACCTTGATCCAGCAGTTTCCTGGTGGTGCAGAAACAGTAACATGCACACTAAGTCCCCTGTCATAAAGCTCTTCTCCACTTGCCTCAGTGCGGGGGAGACTACCCCAACATTAGGAACACTGGGCATAAGGTTACATTGATAAAGGCACACAATATTCAGTATCAGCATTGGCCATATACTCTGAATAAATCTGTACAGTACTTGTAATCTCACCTCTTGTAAATATACTAAAGTGAACCAACATTTGATAAAAATGCTACATTCCATAGAGGATGCATGTCATCATACAAACTGTATGTGTTGCATACAGATAGGATTTTTTAATGTGCATTTTATTTTACATTCAGTCTTAAACTGATAATGCACCATTGATATTCGTAACTTCTAGTACACATCAGTAACCACTAATCCATATAAGAGCAATTTCCTAACTATGGATTGCCATCTAAAATAATTTACTTCTAAAAAATGCATCATCATCTTCAATACCTAAACAAGCCAGCAGAAATGCCAAATCATAGAAAAAATAAATTTCAATGAATTAAGCCAAGACCCTTTAGATACCATGTAAGTTGAATATGTTATTTAAAGGCAGCATTATTAAATACTACTTTGTTCTGCTATAAGGTGTTTATCTCTCAAGAGGCTTTCCTTTCTGCAGGCAGCGAACACAAAAGCTAGAGAACTGCTGCAAAATTAGAACTGCAGAAGGTATTCCTTTAATAGCTGCAGTTTTCTACTGCAGATTTCACCCTTTATCTGCATCATGATACACAATACAGCTGCTACTTTTTGAAGAATGCATGTGATGTGGTCTGATTGTATTAACAATTAATTAGTTTGCTCTCAAGAATAAGTTAAGAATATGTTCTCTTTTTGTGTGGAGCTGTAAAAAATTATTAATGATGCTTAATGCAGCTACTGAAAAGCCACATGACAACAGAGTCATTAAGACACCATAGCAGAGGATAAACATATACACAATTTGGAGCGTAAGGTTTATCACTGGAACTATTTGAGGAATACTTTGCCAGAATATTAGGATCCTCAGTACTAAATAATAGTGCTGAAGATAAACCACCACAACAGTTTGCAGTTCACAAAAACTAAGTAAAGAATAGCATGAATCAATCTAATTTCTACAACTGAATTCTCACTGTTTCAAGTAAAGCATTTTATCTGCAACTCATCTGACACTGAAAACTAAAGAAAAATATCAGATGTCAACAGCAGAGTGAATTACAATTTAAAGGAAAGATGATAACCAAAAAAATGGGAACATTTTATTTAAAAAGACCATTTATTAGGAATTTCAAAAGGAATTAAGGGAATATATAGAAGTACAAATGAAAAATACAGTACCTTACCCTTTCTACTGGTGAACCATAGCATGCAATGACGAAACATAGCAGTAACAGATGGCATTGGAGTTGTAAATATGAATAAAAAGATAAAATAGCAGGAAAATGATGTTTGGCAGACAAGAACAAAGAAATAGAGATGAAATGAATGAGAACTTGTAGATCCTGAAGCAAAAATCCACCTTTAAATCTGCTTCCTCTGGTCTCCTCACATATTCAAGCCTTTAAGTTCAATATCAACAAAAGCTGCAACCTCACGCGATCTCGTGGCTTTCTCCATGCAGAAAGGCACAACAGAACATCTTGATAATAAAGATCAGTGGTGCTTTTTTTGCAAGCAAAACCCATCAACGAAAGCCCATTATTCTCTCCCCCCCTGACTGATATATCCTTTAAATTTTTAATCTCCAGATCCTGCCAAAGCTACCGTCCTTTCTAGCACATATGTATACACTGCAGATATAAATCCCTGTCTAACCCACAGTGCTTCTGACTCCAGAATGTTCCCTGTACATTGATTCATGCAGTTCTGATTATAAAATGCTTAAAATTAGCCCACTGAACTGTAATTCAATATAATTTTCTGTGATTTATTCTAATATAAGAAATACTCTTCTTTCAGCTCACCCTGGAAATGGAAGGTTTTCTGATCAACAGTTATTGTGAAGGTGCTGTCGTCCTCATCATCTATACCAATCACAGCTCCCTGTGAAACAAAGAGCAAAAATTCTGATAAGGCAGAGCAGTGACATCAGCAGCATGCAGTCTATTGCTACACGACCAGAATGCAAAATTCATGAACAAATTTTTGCAAGGCTTCCAGAGTCAATACTTGAAAATTAAATGAGGAATTTACAAAACCAGTTTTATTCCTTCTTTAGTTAAAGCCCCATGTGCATTTTTCTTCCCTGTTTTGCTTTTTCATAAAATAAGGAATTTTGCACTTTAAAAACTTGCATTCTATACAGGAAATAAATTTACAATTAAAGAAAGCCTCTGGGAATTTCTGCTATTCAATCTATAAAACAGAGCTATGAGTGCCTATATAATCATCAATATCAGTGCAATGCCTTTATTAGGCCAACCAAAATATCACACAGCTTTCATGTGCAAGCTTTTTAGTTCTCAATAGTTCTTCATAAGACTCTTCATCAGCCTGGAAAATACCAAGCTTGCACACTACTTTTGAGACATTTTGACTGGTGTAATAAAAGTATTTATTTAAGGTGGAACATTTAATATTAGTCAACACTGTTATTGTTACTTTTTGCATAAAATCATGCAGCTCCATGTACCTGAGAACACCACCATGTATAAATTTCAAAAAAGAATTTACATTGCAATGTAAGGCAATTGTGCTGAGAGGTTCTACAAAGTTCCATCGTGTTGTTCCATACTATTGAGCATCTATTATAGGCTTGCAGAACTGAACCCCTCCCATCCATTAGCAGATGTCTTGAGTGACATCAGCCAATTGACACGTAGGCTTGGTTTGAGGGGAATGGCCTTACTGGCCTGGAACCCCTGAGGGACCAAGACTGACCCATGGGCTGGAGGTTTCCCACTCCTGATCTATATGATGCTTCTGGGGGAGGTTATCAGCAGGGTTGAAGTGCTGTGGGGATGGAAGCAGAGTCAGCAATATGAAGATGACAATGCATAAGATCCCTATTTTCTAAATCAGGTGAAGTAGTACAGTTGATGGACTATTGCCTGGAGGCAGTAATAGGGCAATAAATTGAAACTGAATCCTGACAAGATAGTGATACTATGGGTTACTTGTTCTCAGGTCCAGAAATTTGGTAGATGGCCTGTTCTGGACAGGATTGTACTCTCCCCTTGAAAGAACAGATATAGAGTTGGTCCTGGATCTGCTTTGGCATTGGAGCTCCAAGTGTTCTCTATAGCTATGAGTGTTTTTCTGCAATAGTGGTTCTCAAGCTACAGCCACTCTTGGACTGTGATAGCTTTACCACAGTGCCCCATGCTCTGGTAATTAACCTCCCAATCAGAATACTGCAATGCACTCTATGTGCTTTAAAACCACCCTGTGATCTTCAGATGAAGGGTGGTATATAAATTTAATTAATAAATAATGTGAGACTATCCTTGAAAATGGCTTGGAAGATGCCACCAGGGCTGGGTGATATCAGCTTTTCAACATTGCAGTGTATCACCAGCTAAACATTGTGAAATAATAATACATCATCATGTTGAAAAGGAAGGAGTGTTATTCTGTGCCAGGGTGAAGCCAAATCGCCTCAGCTCCTTCCGCTGCCAGTGCCTGGCGTAGAGAGAGGAGGAAGGAGCATCAGCCACAGCCCCACAAAGTGCCGGGGTGAAGCCAAACTGCCACCGCTCACTCCACCACATCACTAAAAAGACGACGACTTTTTGAAGGGAGAAAGGTGTTCACAAAACAATTCACCACCCACTTTACCATAAGGTATTCACTGCTCAGGAAGAAAGGAGGCAGCCAGAGAAGGTAAGGTGCCAGGCAGCAGGCAAGCCCCAACTGCAATAAAAAAAGGTAAAGGGACCCCTGACCATTAGGTCCAGTCGTGACCGACTCTGGAGTTGCGGAGCTCATCTCGCTCTACTGGCCGAGGGAGCCAGCGTACAGCTTCCGGGTCATGTGGCCAGTATGACTAAGCCGCTTCTGGTGAACCAGAGCAGCACACCGAAACGCCGTTTACCTTCCAGCCGGAGCAGTACCTATTTATCTACTTGCACTTTGACATGCTTTCGAACTGCTAGCTTGGCAGAAGCAGGGACCGAGCAATTGGAGCTCACCCCGTCGTGGGGATTCGAACCGCCGACCTTCTGATCGGCAAGTCCTAGGCTCTGTGGTTTAACCCACAGCGCCACCCGCGTCCCCTATAACTGCAATATACCGCCAGGTATATTATGCTCAGGCCCTCAGACCTGTCCTGGACAATGTACTGATACATCACCCAGGCCTAGCTGCAACAAGTGCAGAATACGGCTGCCAGGTTGTTGAGTAGTATAACTAGTTAGAACTACATAACACCAATTATGAAGATCCTTCTCTGGTTGCCTATACATTTCTGAGCCCAATTCAAGCTGTTGAAGCTAACATATTTGGACTGGGAGCCCAAATCTTTGAAGGAACACTTTTCTCTCTATTACTGCACTTTAAGATTAGTGGAGGAATCCTTCCTGTTGTTCTACCATTGGGAAAGTACACCTGTGGTGGAACCCATCTCTGGAATGCCCTCCACTCAAAGGTGCATCTGGCATCAACATTACTTAGTTTTCATTTTCAGGTAAAGATGCCTCTTTCCTCCGAAGCATTAGGTGAAGGCTAGTGGCTGACTAGTTATTATTTGAGTATATTTGCATGCTGTATTACAAATTGATTTAGTGAATACGATTGGTGTGGACTTGTTCTGTTTTATGTTGGGCATTTATTGTAACCCACCCAAGGATCAGTACAATGAACGGTGGACTTATATAAAGGAGGAAGTATAAAAATAAACATCATCTCTCATTATGTACTCTGGGCTACAAAAGTTCCATGCACAGCAGCAGAAAGATTTCCTATAAAGCTATCCTTAGCTCTCGGGTCCAAGAAAAGTGAAAACAGGGAATATATTTTCCATGGAGTAGGGAGGCACAATGGGTACTATCTTCCTGGCATTTCCATTCAATAAGGTCTAAAAAAAGTTGCAACAGTGGCAAGAGGGTGGCAGGTGTAATATGACAGGTGCAAAAAAGATGAGTGACTTCCCTCTCAGTTGCAAGGCTGCTCAATCTCCAAAAGCAGGGTGAACTATCATCTGTGCCTGAAGGAAATTAATATAAATCATTCAGTACAGGCTCACAGGCTCGACACATAACCCACATTCTGCCACAAGAGTCACGGCAATCAGTGCATGGATAGTGCATTATGCAGCTGTCAGGGAACTGCCATCGGACGGAAGGGAGGTGAAAGGGCTCACACAGGTTGGGAGAGACGCAGCAGCTGAAGAGGAAACCAACAGGGAGGTGAAAGGGCTCACACAGGTTGGGAGAGACGCAGCAGCTGATGAGGGAACCAGCAGGGGAGAGGAGCTGAGCTGGAGGGATGGCTCAGAGACACTTCCAGCGAAAACAGTGGAGAGGTTTCAGGACCTCCTGTAAGAACACCCACTCCTCGCCGGAAACTGTCACGCAGAGATTCCAGAAGACGTGTTTCCGTTAAGGAGCTTTTATGTTGGAAGCGATTACGAAAGCAACCACTGTCGGAATCTGCTAGTGACTAGAGTAGCCATGTCTGAGGGGCTCTGTCACAGACAGAGGTTTGTGGACTTGAACAAACTCTGAGGGGATACGATTTTACGCACAAGCAGCTCATCATCCCATCACAGCATTCCGACAGTCTTTGAAAGCAGCTTGTGCAGGAGAAGGTATCATGAGCAACCCAGCCGGAACCGGAGAAGCAGGAGCTGGAGCGGGTCCAAGCCTGGAAGAAAGGTACCAGATGTTGGAGGTCCAGCTAGCGATGCAGACGGCGAGGCTTGAGGAGAGGAGGGCTCAGGATGCAGACAAAAGGGGAAAGCCACCCAGTTCGCCAGAAAGGTACCAGGATTGGTGCAGAAGTTTGGGGGGGAGCCCAAAAACTATCATGGTTTTCGGACAGAAATGCAATATGCCCTCAATCTGCAGTTTGATGAATTCCCTGACGAGGAATCACGAGTGGCTTTCGTGATTGAGCATCTTGAAAAGGGGGCGAGAGACTGGGTTAGACCCCTGATGGCAGCGAATAGTGACGTCTTAAAAGACACGATGAAGTTCTTTCGCGCCATGGATCTGATGTTTTCCAGCGATATTGAAAAGGGAGTGGTGCGCAGACAGTTAATGGGTTGCAAACAGGGAGCCGATCTGTCCGTGAGTACTGGACTGAGTTCACCATGCTTGTTCACAGATTGGGGTGGGACTTATCGGCGGAACCCATTCAAATGCTCTTTGAAGAAGGGCTTTCTTCGGCTGTGAAAGACGAACTTTCCCGGGCGCCCAGGGCGGAGTCTATGGACCAGCTGACCAAATCAGCGCTGGCCATAGGAGCGCGCCAGGAGGCGAGAGCATTGGAGAGGCGGGAAGGGAAAGGGGAACGTTGGAAGGAGTTCCGCATTCCAGACATTCCAGAGCCAACTTTCCCACCGGCAGAGCCGATGGAAATCGGAACAGCGCGCGCGCGCAGTTTCAAAGCCCAGTGAGGGGGCAAAGAAGGAGGGAAAAGGCGCCCGGAAATGCTATCTCTGCCAACAGCCAGGTCACTTTGCCAGAGTCTGCCCCCAGAGGAAAGAATGGCAAGGGATGGTAGGGTGGAAGAGAGGAAAATATACCGGAGCAAGTAAAAGCCAACGCCTGGCTGCCACTGTCAGGGCACAGCAGCCAGGCCAAAGAGCAGTGAGAGTGCCCACGCCAGAACCTCCTAAACCCGCCCTAGTGATAGATGTGACGCTAGAGCTGCCAAACGGACACCCTCTAAAGATAAAGGCGCTGTTGGACTCAGGCAGCTCCTGCAATTTCATGAGCAAAGAGTTTGCAGCTGAACACCAGATACAGACAATCCCTTTAAGCAGCCCCTGCAGGTGACCACGATCGATGGCAGGGAGCTGTTGGGTGGAGAAGTCAGCTTGCAGACCGTCCCAATGATAATGAAGGTAGCAAGGCACACCGAACTGATAGCTTTTAATGTGGCCACCTTGGGAGGAGCTCCCATTATATTGGGGATGAGCTGGCTAGCGTTACATGATCCGCTGGTGGGCTGGCATCAGAGAGTGGTTTCTTTTGGTTCAGCACATTGCTTAGAACACTGCAAAGAGGGAAAGGGTTTGGCAGGGGTCCAAGCCACCCTAGCAGGGACTGAAGTAACAGAGAACGTGAAGGTACCACGACAATATGCAGATCTCCGTGACGTCTTCAGCGAAAGGGAAGCTGACCAACTACCCCGCATAGACCCTTTGACTGTCAAATCAACTTACTCCCTGGAGCACAGCTCCCTGTAGGCAAGCTGTACGCCATGTCAGACAGAGAGATGCAGGAGTTAAGAGAGTTCATTGACAAGAACCTGAAGAGAGGGTTCATCAGAGAGTCCAGGGCGGTGGGGGCAGCCCAGTGTTTTTTGTGGATAAGAAAAACACGAACAAGCCGAGGCTGGTGTGTGACTTCAGGGCCTTAAATGCAGTGTCAGAACCAGTAGCCTTCCCTATGCCCAGGATTGACGACATTTTGACAAGGGTGCGGAAGGGAAAGATTTTTACAAAGCTGGACCTAAGGGGGGCGTACAACCTGGTACGAATAAGGAAGGGGGATGAATGGAAAACCACTATGTTCACCCCTTTAGGGGCATTTGAATATTTGGTTATGCCCTTCGGCCTCCAAGCAGGCTCCGCAACCTTTCAATCGTTTATGAACCACGTCCTGGGGCCTTTGCTTTACAAGAATTGTGTGGCCTTTTTAGACGACGTGTTGGTGTATTCTGAGAATGAGGAGCAGCATGTGAGAGACGTCAGAGAAGTGTTGAGCAGGCTGCAAGCCAACCAGCTGTGGGTGAAACTGGAGAAGTGTCAGTTTCATACCAAGGAGGTGGAATTCCTGGGGTATCGCCTGTCAGACAAGGGATTGGCCATGGATCCTGGCAAGGTCCAGGCTGTGCTGGAATGGAAAGCACCCAAAACAAAGAAGGATGTGCAGAGGTTCCTAGGATTTGGGAACTTCTATCGTAAGTTCATCCGAAACTTTGCCCACCTGACGGCGCCCATTACGGACTGTCTCAGCAGTAAGAAGAAGTTCGTGTGGACTGAGGAGGCGGAGCGAGCATTTGAGGAACTAAAAGGGCCTTCGCCTCGGAACAACAACTCCTGCATGTGGATTTACAAAAACCGATGAGAGTGGAAACTGACGCATCAGACAGAGCGATTGGGGCGGTGCTTCTGCAGCCAGGCAAGAAGGGGTCAGAGTGGAGACCGTGTGCCTTTTTTCGCGAAAGCTGAACAAATCCGAGAGGAACTACACGGTGTATGACCGAGAACTACTAGCCATTCATGAGGCGTTCCGGAGATGGAGGCACCTGCTAATTGGCGCACAACATAAGGTGCAAGTGTGCACTGACCACAAGAACCTAGAGTATTGGAGGACGGCACGAGTGCTCAACCAACGGCAAGTGAGATGGGCCCAGGAGTTCTCCAAATTTAACTTTGAGATTAGTTACGTGCCAGGCCCAGAGAACATTAGGGCGGACGCTCTCTCACGCAAACCTGAATATTTGGAGGGGAGGGGCACCCGAAGAGAGACATGTCATTCCAGAAGACCGCTGGGTGTGTGGGGCGGCATTGGTGGGACAAAGAGAACTGGTAGAGGAAACAGAGAATGATGAATACGCCCAGAATAAGCTCAGAGGTCTTAGGGGTGATGGAGAGGAACCAGGGGTTTCGAGGAAAGAAATGGAGCTTTGTATTACAAAGGGGCACTGTATATCCCTGAAGGAGAGTTAAGGGGAGGGTACTCAAGCAGTTGCACGACAGCCCTACGGCGGGGCATTTTGGACAACACAAAACCATGTGGTTGGTCACCAGGGAATTTTGGTGGCCTAAGGTGAGGGAAGATGTACGTGAGTATGTAAGAGGGTGCGAGCAATGCCAGCGAGCCAAAGGGGAAAGGCGGGCGCCGGCGGGGCTATTAGAACCCTTACCAACCCCAGAACGACCTTGGGAGGCAGTGTCGATAGATTTTATGACTGATCTGCCAAAGTCCAAAGGGAAAACAGCCATCATGGTGGTGGTAGACCTACTAACAAAGATGTGCCACTTTGTAGCTTGCTCGCATGCAGTCACGGCGGAAGAGACAGCGAAGTTATTTGTAGAAAACATTTTTAGGTTGCACGGAGTGCCATTGAGGGTGGTCTCAGACCGAGGAAAACAATTTACTTCCAGGTTCTGGAGGAAGCTCATGAGCTTACTGCAGGTGGAGGTCAATTTTTCGACTGCCCGGCACCCTGAAACCAACGGGCAGGCGGAAAGAGCAAACGGTGTCCTCCAGCAATACCTGAGGTGTTATGTCAATGACAGAGAGAATGACTGGGTAGAAAAGTTGGCGCTGGCGGAATTTGCCTACAACAATGCCGAGAATGTGTCCACAGGGATGAGCCCCTTCTTGGCTAATTATGGGTGTCATCCCAGGGCTTTCCCAGGGGAGAGGGGGAGAGATGGAGCGTCCCGGCAGCCGAGCATTTTGTGGAAGAAATGGAAGCAATCCATCGTCAGCTCCAACTCAACTTAGAAAGGGCGAAGGAAGAATACAAGAGGCAGGCAGACAAGAACCGAAGGGAAGGTGAAACCATAAGGGTGGGAGATAGGGTGTGGCTGGCCACCCAAGGGTGGCCGGTCAACGGAGGTTGTAAGAAATTAAGACCCAGGAGGTTGGGTCCCTTTGAGGTCATTCAACAGGTCAACCCAGTGGCTTTCAGGCTCCGGTTACCCAACCACATGAAACTGCACCCAGTATTTCACAGGTCGTTACTGTCACCGTACGAAGGGGGACGAGAAGGGCTGGCCACTCGGGGACCGGTCGTAGAAGAAAGAGAATGCAGCAGCCATGTGGCAGAAATCCTCGACGCCAGGTGGAAGGGGGATCAGGTGGAGTATTTGGTAGCGTGGGAAGGAGAACCGGAGTCAGAAAACACTTGGGTAATGGCTGAAGATATCAATGACGAGGTATTGATAGAAACGTTCCATCAAAGGTTCCCAAGGAAACCTCAGCCTGTAGAGAGGTTCCGGAGGGAATACTTTGGGACCACTGATGAAGGGGAGGAGTTGGAAGGATTCCCGGACTCGGAAGGGGAAGGGGAGATGGACTCTGAGGAGGAGGTGTACTTCGAGACCAGGAACCGCAACAGGTTGAGAGAAGTGTTCGAGACATCGGAAGATGAAGGAAGTTCATTCCGGGGTTGTGCCTCCTCACCGCCCGTAGAGGAGGGGGCGAGAGGGGGTGAAGGGGGCCCTGGAGGGGAGGTGGATGTCAGGGAACTGCCATCGGACGGAAGGGAGGTGAAAGGGCTCACACAGGTTGGGAGAGACGCAGCAGCTGAAGAGGAAACCAACAGGGAGGTGAAAGGGCTCACACAGGTTGGGAGAGACGCAGCAGCTGATGAGGGAACCAGCAGGGGGAGAGGAGCTGAGCTGGAGGGATGGCTCAGAGACACTTCCAGCGAAAACAGTGGAGAGGTTTCAGGACCTCCTGTAAGAACACCCACTCCTCGCCGGAAACTGTCACGCAGAGATTCCAGAAGACGTGTTTCCGTTAAGGAGCTTTTATGTTGGAAGCGATTACGAAAGCAACCACTGTCGGAATCTGCTAGTGACTAGAGTAGCCATGTCTGAGGGGCTCTGTCACAGACAGAGGTTTGTGGACTTGAACAAACTCTGAGGGGATACGATTTTACGCACAAGCAGCTCATCATCCCATCACAGCAGCTTACAGAAGGACAGAGAAAAACGTACCCACAAGTTGTACAAGTGATGAAAGGTCCTGGTTTATGGGTATCTCATAGGCATTTGGTTAGCCATTGTGTGAACAGGATGTTAAGACTAGATTAGCCATTGGCCTGATCCAGCAGAGATCAATGTTCTTATGTGCTTACGCACTATTATGTTCTAGTTATGGAACAGTATTTATCGAGGGGGGGACACTTCACATTATTCAGAAGGAGAAGATTTCACATCAAAATCCACTGACGATTGAAAGACTGGACTTATTTCCATTTATTTTTTCTAATATTTCCTACATGTTTCATTTTAAATACATTAACAGTCCAGCCTGCAAGTCCGTTTTTATCACTCCTGGGGCTTACTCCTAAGTGTATATAGGACTGCAGCCTAAGGCACTTCTATACACGCTTACTTGGGAATAAGCCCCACCAACGTACTGTACTTGAACTTATTTTCAAGTAAGCATGCACAAGACTGAGCCACAGAATGCTCAACATCAAAAGGCTATATTTTGATCATACTGTGTACAGATTAATTCCCCGGGGTCCAAGAGCTTTTCTTGTTATTCCCCAGCTGTGCCTTGTGAAAAATTGATCCTACCTGCAGAATTGTTTAGGCAAAATCTCCCTTTGGATTTTAAGATCCAATTCAGTGGGTAAGATCAGATTTTTGCAAGGCACAACCATGGAAAACAAGAAAAGCTCTCAGACTCAAGGAATTAATTAGTCCAACAGACAATCAAAATATGGGTCAAGTGAAAGTATGGAGAAGCCTTTGAGCTACAACTAAGGTCACTATTGTAAATTATTCTACTGTGACAACTGAATATTTTGCAGCAAGAAATTACATCTTAAACTACAAAATGGAATTTAAAGTGCAATATGGAATCTGTTTTATTGTATGTGAAAGGCTATTTTTACAATGTACGCACATCAGGAATTTTGAAAAGCCATATTGCAACAAATGACAAAAGCATTTTGCTGTTCCATTTCCATTTCCAAGATACACACAGGTGACTTACCAAATTCCAGATAGCACCCAAATTATTTACTATTTACTACAGTTTCAGGTTAAGAACGGACCTCCAGAATGAATTAAGTTCTTAACCCGAGGTACCACTGTATACCACTGTATTTTAAAACAGCTTGAAAATATAATTATGACCTAACATGCTCTTGACAAAAATAAAAAGCTTTTACCATGTCCTTTTTGGGATTCATAATTTTACAAAAAGCTAACATATGCTCAGGACAGAGACAAAACTAATTTAATATCAGCTATAAAACAAACTGTTTAAGTAATCTACACAACTCTTCCCTTTGTTAAAAACCAACTTCCAAAATCAGACTATTTGGACCTAAGATCTTGCAATAAGCTAACATGAATTACAAACTATTACAGTAAAGGCATGTACAAAACACAGCTATCATATATAACTTCTATCCTATAATATTGAACAAAGCTGAAACTCCCCATCCCTGAACCCTCTGGTCTGGTGCTGCTGCTGCTTATGCTTATGCCAGATCACTCCATAAGAAAACCATGCTCACTCACAATTTGATCGGGCTGATCCAGCTTGCATTACTGAGACTTAGGTGGATGAGCTAGATGGGCCTTGACCTTACCTAGGGCTGGGCAATGTATCATTGAAACCAGCTTGAATCCATATGACCTGGCTATATATCACAAATCATAGTGTGTGGGTGTGGGTGCGCTATACAAAAATCACAATGTGGGAAAAACTGTGAAGCCAGACAATGCTTCTCTCCATTCCTGCAGTCCCTGTTAACTCTGCCAGCTCAGCAGAGTCTGGTAGATAAGGCAGAGTGCTTAAAAGCTCTTTCTACAGTGGGAAAACCCAGTGCAGAAAGAGTTTTTAAGTTCTCAGACTTGTTAAAGTCTGAGACTTCCTAAAGTCTGAGAGTTCTCAGGCTCTGGGAAGGTCTCATGTGGGCTCTGGTGGGCTGTCACAAGATCTTGGACAGCCCCACAAGATCTTGCAGGAGCTTCCCAGAGCTTGCACGAGAGTCTGGTAAGCAAGTGTGAGAGCTTAAAAGCTCATTCCGCAATGGAAAAACATGGCACAGAAAGTGTTTTTAAACTCTCCACCTTGCGCGTGTTTAATTTGTGTGATTTCAGCTGGCAAGTTGCAAGTCAACTGTATACGTACACACACAAACATACATATCTTAATTCAGTCCAACATCTAGCATAAATGGCTGTCAACTACCAATAAAACCTGAAAACAGCCAATAACTCAAAGGGACAACTGTGCAGTAATGCCAAAGACAACTTGAGAAGCCTGAAATGTCAAGCTAACATCACCACCATAGGTTTTTTAGCCGATTTTGAACAAAAACACAAACAGAACTGTCATAAAATGGGCAGCAACCTGCCTCAATTTCAATCTTAAAGGCATATAGACCTCAAAGAATTTTGTAATGAAGAAAATATAGATTGCATTTAAGATATGGAAGGAAAATATAATTTGTTTAATTGATCACTGACAGAACAAAACAAAAACCATCTCAGAGGCTAGCAAAGTATTTGTCAAGTATATCACACAGCACACATCTAAGAGATGTATAAAAACAGATACTTACCCTCAATCTAACACAGCCTCTGCGTGATCCCCGCATCATCTTATCCTTTGACTGAAATAGAAAAATAAGTCAGCTAAATAAAATTTCACCACTGCAAATGCTTCAAAATTGTTCATACTCTTGTTATCTACACACCAACTGTCTTGTGAGTCTTCACAATATATACACATGTAAAAATGAAAGGTATCTACTTAACCCATAAGATTTACCACAGATATGAGGCACTCAGATTGTGTATGCTAAATTTTATCATGTAAGTGCCTCATAAAGATCTGTTGAGCAGGAAAGTGGCTCCAAAATATTAATTTCTTACTCTTCTCCAAGGAAAGACGCTAAGAAGAAACTAAAGAGCACAAATAAGTGGTTCCAAAGCCCACTCTCGTGATTATGAAGTGGGTAGCCCAACTCCTCCCAGTCCCGCTTGCATGCATCTTTACGGAGCAGGAGTCAAGCTACCTAACACCTCACCATTATGCCTCTACTTTTTTATTAGTCCATCTGTAATCCACCCCATTTGTTGTTTAATAATTATGGGTTCTCCTAAAACCAGCTTCTGCTGCCCTATAGCCCACTACATACCATAAAAATGCCCCAAAATGACACTGGCCCAGTTCCCATGCAACTTTAAACGAATGGATTAGCAATATGTATAAACCTTGCCTAGCAGTTTAACTATGGTTTGTTTACTGCCAACAAGCCACAATAGGAAGCCATTGTTTGCTAAATGGCTTACAAACCTTGGTTTGCTTTAACTATGGCTTAGCATTATATGGGAACCCAGCACCATGGTTTGCTTAATGATCCCACCCCAGAAACATACCAAATTACAAGCGCATGAGGCATTAACCGCTGGAAAACAAATGCTGGAGAAACAATACATGGGTTGTTTGATTGTCTGTGAAACAACTTGGGGTTAATTTATGGTTTGATAAACAATCCACAGCTTAAACAAACCACAGTTTATGTGTGAACTAAGCTGCTGGCTCAATTTGCATGTCACAGTAAACCACATTTAATAGTTTACCATGAACATGCCTTTCTTAGCTGTTTGTCTCCTGTCTGCTATTGCTCAAAAGAAACCAACAGCTCAGAAAAGTGAAATCATAGTTTACTATGACATTCTAGTAAGGCCACTCTAGTTCGAAAGCTACAGGAAAAACATTTGTCTGGAAGCGGAAAAATTAGTAATCAGCCACAGAAACCAGGACTGGGGAATAAAGATGTTTAGCAGCCTTTTGTTCTAAGTCACAACTAGGCTAACAGACTGAAACAAAACTATACAGAACAATATGTTCCACCACACAGAAGACTGCAAACTCAAAATAATCAAGAAGAGGGCCTCTCCTATTTGTGTTTAAGAATTCAAAAAGCAAACTAGGCTATTTAGCTCTAAGGGCACAGGCATATGACAATCTATTCAACAGAGGCAGTAAAAACTGAAGCAAGATGCAAGCTGCCATTCCAAACAAGTTTTTCTTTACTTAAAAAGTGGTGTCAATCAGTTATTTCCCTTCCTATTAAACTTGCAAATAAAAGTTTAAGGCTGTTCTCATAGAAGCTAGAGCTCCTTTTGATAAAATGTATTCTAAGGCAGACTCATGCCTCTGTTCAAGTTTTTTTGCAAGCAAGCTTGGGAACAACAGCACCATGCCATCATACATTTTATTTACTGCAAGTGTGCTAAGTTCTGTACACAACACCAGTGCTTATGCCCAGAGGATTTAGACCTAGTTCTCACAAACAGCAGATGGAGTCAGAAAACCTGTAGTAAGCTGCCTCACTTCAAACTGAAGTTAAGGATTCATGTAACTGAATGCTTTTTTTATCTAGTTCCCCGTCTAGCACATTGAAAAGTAGGTATCAGTGAGAAGAGTTGTAGCCTAGCCTCTTCTACATGCAGGAACCCTTTTTGTGAAGCAGCAACCCTTTTTGGTGAAGACTTACAGTCTGAAGTGATATGGCTGAACACTGACCACTTCACCTGCTGTCTGTCAGAACTAACTAGCCTTAGATTAATAGGATATGAGGGAGAAGCAACAAGAGGTGACCACTGATGTATGGAAATGGCTGTATTTCCTCACCTTCTGCTACCATACTATCTGTCCTCCTAGATCATATGTATTATTCTTATTACGTATTGAATTTATACACCACCCTATACCCGGAGGTCTCAGGACGGTTCACAAAAAAAAAGTCAAAATATAAAACCATAAAATACATAAAATGAAAACAAACCAATAGCACCCCCCCAAAAAAACCCCACATTTAAAAAGGGCATAGGATGTAAATCAAATCAACCAAAGGCCTGGTTAAAAAGGAATGTTTTTGCCTGGCGCCTAAACGTGTATAATGAAGGCGCCAGGTGAACTTCCCTGCACATTCCATAGATGGGGAGCCACTGCAGAGAAAGCCCGTTCTCATGTTGCCACCCTCCTGACCTCTAGAGGAGGAGGCACACAAAGAAGGGACTCAGAAGATGATCTCAGAGTCTGGGTAGGTTCATATAGAAAGAGTCAGTCCTTGAGTTATTGCGGTCCTGAGCCATTTAAGGCTTTATAGGTCAAAACCAGCACTTTGAAATGGGCCTGAAATTGGTAGCCAGTGAAGTTGGACCAGGATCAGCATAATATGCGCAAACCGTCTTGCTCCAGTGAGCAACCTGGCCGCTGAATTCTGCACTAGCTGAAGTTTCCGAACCATCTTCAGAGGCAGCCCTACGTATAACGCATTGCAGTAATCTAACCTTGAGGTTACCAGAGCATATACAACAGTAATTAGGCTATCCCTGTCCAGATAGGGGCACAGCTGGGCCATCAGCCAAAGCTGATGGAAGGCACTCGGGCCACTGGGGCCACCTGAGCCTTGAGCGACAGGAAAGGATCTAGGAGTACCCCCAAACTACGAAGTGTAACCCCATCAAGAGCTGGCGATCTCCCACCCATCCGGTCTAGGGAACCACCCACTAACAGTGCCTCAGTCTTATCTGGATTGAGTTTCAGTTTGTTGGCTCTCATCCAGTCCATTACTGAAGCAAGACACTGGTCCAGCACTTTCACCGCCTCACCTGCAGATTTAAAGGAGAAATAGAGCCGAGTGTCATCAGCATACTGCTGACAACGTACTCCAAACCTCTGGATAACCCCACCCAGTGGTTTCATGTATGTTTTTCCAAACAGGCACCTTACCCTTACACACATACGTTAAGAAAGATAACATCTAAAATAGGGTTGTAATAGTCAATCAATGAATCTAACCAATTGTTTAAAGACATGTAGATGGCTTTTTATAGAGCACTCAATTAACTGGGCATCATTTCAGAGGGGTGTTTATCCAAGCACTTACAGTATAGGCTCAGACCTGGCTGCACAGTTTGGGCAGTCTATGCAACTAATAAGATAGCTGCTGTGAAAGTTAGAGAACAAATACCACCCTTCTTTTGGGTGTCAGTATCCAGAATGCCTGTGGCTGACAGCAAACTGCTGCTTCTTCAGTCAACTTACACTACATGAATTTCATTCCTTTGGTTAATGTGAGAAGCCCCAGCCTTCCCACCCTTGAAGAACTACCAATGCATTTGCACAAAGATCCTATTTAGCATCAAGGTTTGGAGGAAGGCTGGCATTATATAACCATTGCATTGCCAAGGAACTCGGAGAACTTCAGAAATACTATCAGGCAGTTCTTTCCACTTCCCAACTTAGAGCTGGAGAGTAGAACAAAGAATTGCTCTTGCCCTCATAAGAAGACGTGAAGTCAAGGATCAATGGAGAGGCAGGGTTCTCGCAACTAGTGTTTGGCTTGATTGCCATGATCAAATAACTGTTTGAGATGAGGTTTTAGAAATAAGAAAGAAAATATGAGAAATGAGTGAATAATCTAAAGCAGGCATAGGCAAACTCAGGCCTCCAGATGTTTTGGGACTACAACTCCCATCATTCCTAGCTAACAGGACCAGTGGTCAGGGATGATGGGAATTGTAGTCCCAAACCATCTGGAGGGCAGAGTTTCCCTATGAAAGCATTTACCAAGTAATTGTAAATACTAGATGAAGGTTGCTATCTTGACAGAAATAAACTAACATGGAAGCAGTTTCAGAATCTAATCTACTGCCTGGGATTTTTCCACTGCATTGACATGAAGAGGAAACTCAAAAACAATGGGCCTAAAATTCCCAAGCCAAGAAAGGAGAAGAATCTCATATTTTGTCTCCATCTTATGGATACTCAAAGCAATAGCAGCAGTTCTATCTAGTCCTCTTGTGCAATATATTTCTGTAAAATAGCAAATAGATTTCATAACATCAATGAAGAGTGACTATAGACTAATATAGGCATACACTGCATATTTATGAAGGCAAACCTCTTTAAAAGCTAAGCCACAAAAATCCATTTTAAAAGCACAGAAGGACCTAATTCATCCCAACAGAAGGGGATCAGAGGATGGGAACAGGAAAGATTTCTCTAGAAAGAGAAAATAAGCTGACTACTGAACTATAATACTGTATAGACCTGCAAATATGTCTTATTGAGCAACCCTTGGGAATAAATTTCAAGTAAAAACAAACCATCTAAACTTACAATGGCTGCAATGTTATATTCACTTGCCTTGAGCAAGGCCCTTCTGAACTTAGTAGACTCCCTCAGTGTTTGCCATAAATGATCAAATGATTAAAGCACTGTTTGTGAATATCTTCCCATCTGCATTATTGAGCAATAACAATATATTTACTGCAGTATTAACTTTTCCAGATAATGCCAGGCTTGTGAGAGGTAGAGAAAAAGATTAAGACAATATACAACTTCATGCTTAATGTCACAATCATAGGCCTGTCAGGAAAGTTTTTTTTAAATTTGTTATTTTCAAGCGCACCTTTTGAGACCTGAACCAAGAGATCAGTAAACAATTCCCAGAACTAGCCATGCCCTAAGCTATAATTGAGAAAGAAGACATTTCAATACAGGCACTGATAACCCACATCTCTGTTAATGATGAAGGGGAAATTTAGCACTTTTAAATAACTGCAAGCTTATCTCTGTTTTTCTACTCACTTTTTTATCTTTCACCAGCTCATAGATCATTTGAATACATTAAAGTTTAGTTGTTTTTCAGGTCTCTGATATGACATATTGGGACTATGTGACATGTTTAAGAGCCCTGCTGGATTGGGCCAAAGACTGATATAATCCAGAACTCTTTTCTCACAGTGGCCAATGTCAGGGACTGGATAGACACCGCAGGGCACTGAGGGAGGAGCAGCCGGATGCTGCCACTGCTGCCACTGCCCAGAGCCTGAGGCGGCGCCTCTTTCCTTTCTTCCCTCTTACTCGGTCGCCCTCCTCTCTCTCTCTTATTTCCTCCCACCCCCCACCTCACTTCTCTCTCACTCCCTCAGCCTCGAGGCCTCTCCCTCTTTCCCGCCCAGGGGGGATTTTGTCACATACCCATAGGCCTGACACCTGGGGCGCACCGCCCCCCCGCCTCCCCTTGTGACGCCCCTGCTTACAACCTCTTTTTGTTTTAACCAACTTGTTCAAATTTGGTAACATCAGCAAGCATGGCTACTGCATCCCTAACTCAAGTAACCCTAGGGCTACTAAATTAGGTTAAACAGCACAGATCCTCATACCAAGCGTGGGGACTCCACCTTCTATATCCCTCCACTGAGAACACTGTTTATTCCCACTCTCTGCTTCCTGTTTTCTCAACCAGTTACCAATCCATATAAGGACCCTTTCTCTCATTCCATGACTATTAAGCTTACTTGGGAATCTTTGGTGAGAAACTTTAACAAAAGCTTTTGAAAAGCTTTCCTAGAACAGTCATTCAGCTAATTAGCCAGTAATTTTCCAGATCCTCACTGAATCTTTTTTTTTTTTTTTTAAGTTGATGTTACAGTGGCCTCTTTTCAATCTTCAGTAACGGAGGCTGATATTAAGTCAAGTTACAGTGTGACCAAAACAGCAGTTGGTGCAGAGTTATGCAGAACATAACAAGTTTGATTCTCAGGACCAAAGTACACATTATTCAGAAGATCTATGACTGAATCTCATGCATAGGGCAGGCAATTTGATCAGAACAGTGGAGGGGGCAAGATAATTGATACGGAAGGGGGGGCATGTCTTCTTCACCTTCTTCTTCGCTACAATATATCCATTTATTTCCAATTGTCAATGTCAAAAGGGACTAAAATCTATAAAATTCATAGAAAATCAACGCGCCAATTTGCTCAATTTCTCTAGGACTCCATGACACCTCCCCTGTCCTCCATAATCCCTCAAGCAAGGTGTCAAGACCCTAATCCTGTCAAATCGCTCTGCCAAGCCTTTCCTCCGGGCAATGCCAGGTGGCAGACTATGCATACATGGACCATTGTCTTCCCATCACCAGTACTCAGGATGTGCTTATCTGCGCATATCTCCAGCTCTGCATATTCCCCCCTCCCTCCTCCATATGTTAATCCGGTGTAACCCAACCTCTTCCTAATGTATTCGTGATGTAATCTGTGTAACCCAACCTCTTCTTAATGTATTCATGATGTAACTGGGATGTATTTTGCACTGTATTCTGGGACATGGAGTGAAGTTTCAAAAATTCATGTCACCCCTTTCTCGCTGTTCAATCTCGCCTTGAACCTGTTGCGCAATAAACTTGGATCTTCTGCAGTTTGCTCCTGTCTCCGGCTGAGCTCATTTTTCTTCCGCAGGGACCCGCGGACTTAGTCCGACGAGCTGGGTGGCAGAGTAGCCCCGCACCCAGATTTTACCGTAACAATAATGTTTAACCTTTTTCCATGCAGTTCTCGGAGTTAAAGTTTCCCTGCAATATGTTCACCCCACAGGGTAAAATCACACTCACACAAGCATCAGCTTGGAGGAGCAATTTGCCTGGAACTTACATGGAGCGGGCAGTGTTGAACATACAGTAGGGCTGCTTCTATGATCATATTGGCAGTTTTCCATGGCTGTACAGTGTTTCAGTTAAAAAAACAACAACACGCACACACCAGAAAAGCCAATCACAGATCTCCTACATCACATGAAATTTTATCTTCAACAGCTGGAGTTAAACAGAGACAAGAAGTCTGACCCCACCCCAATGTGCCTCTGCAAACACAGACTTAGACCATGCAATCTACAAGCTTCTGCAACACAAACTACCCATCATAATGATGAGCATTTCCCTATCACTCTGAACTATCACAATAAGAGTATCATAGAATCATAGGAGGGTTGAAAGGGACCATGAGGGTCATCTAGTCCAACCTCCTACAATGAAGGAATATTTTGCCCACCAGGCAGTTCAAACCCACTCTGAGATTAAGAGTCTCATGCTCTCATGGCTGAGCTATCCCAGTTACACTAGTAGTTACACGGAGGCAATGTGGCCCATCTGGCTACGTGCAAAGGAAAAGCACGAAAGATAGGAGTTGGAAGACAGGAGGAGAGGGTATCCTCCATATACTATCCTATCATGTCCATACTTCTCACATTTTGCAAGCAGTAGCCATAAACCTTAGCTGTCAACACTATACAGTAATTACGATACACTACAGCACTTAATTGGGACACGGGTGGCGCTGTGGGTTAAACCACAGAGCCTAGGACTTGCCGATCAGAAGGTCGGTGGTTCGAATCCCCGCAATGGGGTGAGCTCCTGTTGTTTGGTTCCAGCTCCTGCCAACCTAGCAATTCGAAAGCACTCCAAAGTGCAAGTAGATAAATAGATCTGGCAGGAAGGTAAATGGCGTTTCCATGCACTGCTCTGGTTCGCCAGAAGCGGCTTAGTCATGCTGGCCACATGACCCGGAAGCTGTCTGCAGACAAACGCCGGCTCCCTCGGCCAGTAAAGCGAGATGAGCGCCGCAACCCCAGAGTCGTCTGTGACTGGACTTAATGGTCAGGGGTCCCTTTACCTTTACAGCACTTAATTACCAAAGTTCAGGCCTACATGAGCAGGAAGATACTCATCTAACCCCAGGCTCACCAGGCTCATACTACTGCATTATGCGAGAGCTTGCCAAAATGCTTATCTGCCCCCTCCCATTCAGGATTCCTTGCAACCCCCAATTTGTTGAGGACTGAAAGCAAATCGCAAAGATTATCCAGTGCAGAAGTGTGCACATCTGATTTCCTAACAGACGTTTATACTTTTGTCTGTAAAACAAGCTCACCAAGAATCTTGTTTTGAACAGATGTGAAGTATCAGGTTACTTATTGCAAGCAGAGGGAGAGTCCAAGGTACCAAATGAGAATGGAATGCAGTTACCTCATGCAGAAGATTTATGTAAACAGTACACTGCTTATTTTCCTTTGTGGCAAAGGAGCATCTTGCTGAAACAGAAAGAAACTCTATCTAAAACCTGCAGTGGAGTTCTCTGTTTCCAGTTTTGTGTACAAGACATAATGAGGTTGTTGTTCTACAGCAATGTGTACAGAAGAAAGCCTAAATTGATCTTGATGTATTTCTCTTATACAATTAAATTCTTTGTACATTTCCCCCCTGAAAATTTAGATCCCTGGGGCAAAAAAATTAAACCAGAACTAAAAGTTACAGCTGGCAATGAAATAGAGTTTTGCTTAATGACTCTTTCAGCCATTGGGTTTGCTCACTTTATTTTCTCAGGCATTTCCATTTTCCCTTATGAACTCATAGAAATGGCAATTTCAGTGTTCTCCAAAGTACATGGAATGGTTTAAGATGAGCTATACCTTTAACACCCCAACATCAGCAAAATTATAAAGACCAGGTGAGTTTACATTTACCCACTATGCTTGCCTGTTCTTTTGTTGATGAAAATTTAATGTTCTGCAGAACCTGAAATTTTTGGACAAAGAATATACATGTAAAAGGAATAGAGAGAAGTTATTCTCTCTTTCTTGTAATACTAGAATTCAGGATCACCCAATTAAGCTCTAACTCAAATTAATGGAGGCTAAGACTATCAATGTCTGCTGGTCATGATGGCAATATACCACTTCCAGAGTCAGAGATGACATGCCTCTGCATACCAGCTGCTGGGGAACAGCAACAGGAGAGAGCTGTTACCTCATGTCTTGCTTGTGGGCTTCTCATAGGCATCTTGTTGGCCACTGTGGGAAACAGGAAACTAAACTAAACTAGGCAGGCCTTTGGTCTACTCCTGCAGGGTTGTTCTTATGTTCTTAAGTTTCAATTGGAAAGCAATGAATTCAATTAGAAAGCAACATATTGTGAACATATCCTCACATTAAATTCTTTTTATTTCAGAAGAGCCTTCCTATTCAAAGCTCATACACCTTAAGAAAAAAGATACAATAACTATGATAAAGACAATCACACTGCATCATGTTGGCAAATTCAAATTTTTAAACAGTGTATATGAGTTTGAAACATAAGCATATTTGAACTGTTTGCCTGCAAAGTGAATATATTCACAAGCCAACATCAAGGCAAATACTTTTACAGCTTTACTTCAGGCAATGAATCACCGTGACTGCTATTTTAACCATGGTTTGTTGAAGAAACCATGAACCATCTCACAGATGAATGAACAAGTCACATCTTATTTCTTGAAAGTTTAGTTTGTTTTCCAGTGGCTCTTGCGTCATGCCTTTGTAGTTTGGTGAGTGTCTGAGGTGCAATGATGAAACAAACCATGATTAAGCAAGGCTGCTGGGTTTGGCAGTAACGCTAAAACCACAGTTAAAACAAGCCATGGGTTGTAAGCCAACAAGTCGTGTCTCCACAATGTTGTTTGCTGATAGAAAACAAATCATGCTTAGTTTGTTGGGCTGGGTTTGTGTGCTCAACAAACCATGGCTTAAGAGTTATGTGCAAATTGAGCTCTTTGTACAGTACTAGCACAAGAGCAGAACACCAAAACACAGATCTCCAGATCTCCATCCTTAGTCTCTTATATTCATGCACCCAGAAAGGAAGCCACACAATACTACTCCATACCCACTATGTTAATTGTTCCTTATAATATTCCTACTTGGGAGGAAGAAGAATGCAAGGGAAAGAAGCAGAGACAACATCAGTGTCTGCTCCAGTCCGACTGTCCTCTCCCCACACCCAACTTTACATGTTTGTCTTAATACTCCAAGATTGTAAAAATGCCTTGAGTGTCTTGACAGAAAGGCTGTATTTAAATGTGGCAACTTAATTTATTATTATTACAATTTATTACCCACCCTCACTCTAAGGTCACAAGGCATTGGTGTAGACTTTGTAAGGAAATGTACAGCAGTACATTCACATCCTGTTGGAAAAATCTGGGGAGGGGGGAGAATAAAGGGTCATCTAAATTAAGAAGTGATATTAATGGTTCCTGCATCCATATTGGAGAACTGCAGCCCCTCATACCTCTTGCACTACTGCAGCAGGAATTTAATGTTAGTCCTATTTTTAAAGTACCGTAACACCTCTTCCTAGCACAGGTTCTTTGCCCTTGTTATATAACAATAAGAATCTCTACATTTTCACAGCGATATATTATCATTCATAAGAAGTGGCAGCTCTTACATGCTAACTTGTTGCACACTCAAAGCAAAAAGCATCTGCCAGTAAAGTTGCTGACAACTCTCTTTAAGAACGCTTTTATCTGAAATATTACCCCCTAAATGATTATCTTCCCTCTCAATATACATATTATAATTTCCCAATATGACCCCAAGGACTAGCTCATCTGCCCAAACTTCAAAATTCTACCTCAAAACTTAGCTGCTATCATCATGTTCTATTCTTAAAGTATTAGGACTGGACATTCCTACTGCTTTACCCACCCCACTTCAGTCACCAGAACTAAACCCATATGGCAATTCTATGGTGTAAGCCTTAAAATACACAGATGCCTCTATTTCAACCAAAGACCACAATGGTAATCTCATATTTCCACCTAACACTCACATGATCAAACTTATAGCATGTCATAGTCTTAAATGTTACTAACCAATCCCAGTCTCCAGCTTAGTCAAGATGCCAGGCTGCCCGCAACAGGTTTTTTTTTCTGTTGTGGTTGGAATTCCTTCCCACTGAAATTTTGGCAGGCACATTCTCTCTTCTCAGAGGGAGTGGTAATAAAACTTACCTTATTCACTGTAACTTCTGCAGCTAGATTAAGTTATTTGTATTCCTCTGTTGTTTATTCTAACACTGCTTATCCCAGTGTTTCCCAAACTTGGGTCTCCAGCTGTTTTTGGACTACAACTCCCATCATCCCTAGCTAGCAAGACCAGTGGTCAAGGATGGTAGGAATTGTTGACCAAAAGCAGCTGAAGACTCAAGTTTGGGAAAGACTGGTTTATCCCATGCTGCTGCTATGTGATTAGAAGTTTTCCCTGTTGCTTCTTAGACTTGAATTGGTTTTTATTAATTAATTATTTTTATTTATTTTTATTTTAAGTCACATTGAACTCAGTATATTTATAGATCACCTTTCGGCAATAATAAGTAAGAAGCAATAGAGTGACCTTGCAGTTACTATGGCTTGTTTATTTTACTTCATTTTATTAATTTTTATACTGTCCTTCATCCATAAATCTCATAAACATAAAAACAACAACATAAAAAATACATAATAAAAATAAGAACGCCCCCCCATACACAAGCTAATAACCCCTGCCTCTGCCTTAAGATTGTTCACACACACAAAAAATCATATAGTATACTGCATTGGTGATTATTAAGAAAAGGTAAATGTTTCAAGTGGCAACTAAGTAAAAACAAAACAAGTGCAATTCTATACATGTCAACTCAGAACAAAAGCGTATTGAGCTCAAATTACTCCCAGTTAAGTGTTAAAAGACTGCTACCTATGACTAACCCTGAACAAGTTGCCTGTCTATAATGTTCTAATTGAAACCATAAAATAAATTTGGATTAAACAAGTTGTGTGCTAATGAGAAGTTTTACCGCACAAAGCACCTGCTAACTTGCAAAGTTTACCGCTATCAAAGACTACTACTATCCGAAGCAGCAACACTCAATTTAACTGAATCTTAAACAATTTACTGAATTAAACCTATTCAAACTTTGTTTTAAGGCCAAAATTGTTACATAGTAAACACCAGATTCGTGTGTTACTGTATTTTCAAAGATACAGTGTAACTAGTGTGGTATAGACTGCGAAACAGACATCTTCTATTGTTTTGTCCCTAATGTCCTGTTTGTAAGCTGCAGAAAGTGTGCCTCAGTAGTTCAACCTTGTGTCTGATCCTGCCAAACAACTCTTTACGCTTTTAATTAATCCCCTGTGCTGTGCAGATTTCAATTATCAAGATGTCTCCCCTGAAGTAGACACAGTAATGGGCAAGACCATAAGCAGAGCCTGTGTTTTGTTTGTTTACTAACGTCAATGAAACTTGCTCTCAAGTTTGGGTGCTCAGGATGGAGTCACCATCTGACAGAGAGGGGGAGAAAGTTACTGCTACTTCCCTTTTCTGGTCTATCCCTACTTTGAAAGAGAGGAATGGTTGGATTCCGCCTTCAAATGCGGCACAAAAGCAGCCTTGGCTGCCAACGTTTATCACGCGGAAGCTCTACCTCGCTTGCCAAAAGGAGTCAACCCCTCTTTCCTCAAGCAAGGAGAGTACAGCTTGCCCGCCCCCAGACCCAAAACAGGCTTGTGCTTTTGAGACCCGCCTCCCCCTTTCACAAAGTAAAGAGCACTTAGCACCACCAGGCCCTTCGGCTCCCCCCACCCCACAAAAAACCCCACTTCAGTCGCCTCAAGTTAAAACGCGGCCCGACCCCACGCCCCCCTCCACATAAATCTCCCAACGCTACCACCCTATTGGCTAGCGCCAAAATCTCTGCCATCCCTATTGGCTTCCTCGCGACCGCGACACTCCCTCTCTCAGAAACCCCTACCCCTGGCAAGCGGGCATCCTGGCTGTGCTCCGCTTCGCCCCCCCCACCCCCACAGCTCCGTCCTCCCGGTTTGCCCCCCCTCCCTCGACACGCACCGTATAGTAGGAGAGCAGCCCCGCGTTGTAGTCGAGCACGAACCAGCGGTACTGCCAGCCTTTCATCACGTTGGTCCATTTACTCAGCGGGCCTTCCATGATGGACGCCATCTTGGGAGCCGGTAAGATGCCAAGCGGCCCCGCTGAAACGAACGCCGGTCGCGCGGGCGGGGCTGAGGGAGGAGGAGGAGCGGGGCGGGCTGGGGGGGGGGAGGAGAGAGGAGGGACGGAGAGAAAGAAAGAACGCGCGAGCGGGCGGGTGCGCGCGCACCGTCAGTGGGCTAGGCCTGACTGAGGCCTGAGATTAAGAGGAGAGAGGCGACGGGCGCGGCAAGGGAAAAAAACACCACACACACACACACAGAGCCTACGCTGCTAACGAGAGGGAGGAGATAAAGGCTGAGGGGGCGTGACTTGTGTACTGAGGGACGCAAGGTGGAGGGAGGGGGGCCAAAAAATAATAATCGTTAGGGGGCGCACGAGGGTTTTTGGAAAAGTCTTGGGGAAGTATTGTTGTTTAGTCGTGTCCGACTCTTCGTGACCCCATGGACCAGAGCACGCCAGGCACTCCTGTCTTCCACTGCCTCCCGCAGTTTGGTCAAACTCATGTTAGTAGCTTCGAGAACACTGTCCAACCATCTCGTCCTCTGTCGTCCCCTTCTCCTTGTGCCCTCCATCTTTCCCAACATCAGGGTCTTTTCCAGGGAGTCTTCTCTTCTCATGAGGTGGCCAAAGTATTAGAGCCTCAGCTTCACGATCTGTCCTTCCAGTGAGCACTCAGGGCTGATTTCCTTCAGAATGGAGAGGTTTGATCTTCTTGCAGTCCATGGGACTCTCAAGAGTGTCCTCCAGCACCATAATTCAGAAGCATCAATTCTTCGGCGATCAGCCTTCTTTATGGTCCAGCTCTCACTTCCATACATCATGACTGAGAAAACCATAGCTTTAACTATACGAACCTTTGTCGGCAAGGTGATGTCTCTGCTTTTTAAGATGCCGTCTTAAAGTATAGCGAAGCATTTAAGGCTGCTGCCAGTATGGGCTTAAAAGTGCCGAAAGCTGCATTTCTGCTTGCACATAGGTGACCTGGAAGAAAGCCTCATTGAAACTCCTTTCGAGTGCATTCGGAGTTACAGAACTTCATTTGGGTGTCACTCCAAGTAAAGACGGTGCTTATTATCCTGTTCCCACTACAGATGTGGAATTCACTCAGCACTGACAAGTTTTCTCGGAACCCTGGAGCTGTAAAGGTATTTTGCAGACATTCTAGTTCTGATTGGATTGCCCTAATCTACTATGCTTTTCATCAGCAGGGACATAGGAAGGGGGGGCGGGGGGCAGGCTGCCCCAGGTGCCATCATCAGGTGACAAATTGTCAAGGAACAATTACTGCCCTACTAGGGCGGTTCATAATTACTGCCCTACTAGGCTGGTTTATAAAAAAATGCCTGCTCCAAAGGTCTTATCTTACTACACTAGGGATTATATAGCTATATATGATATTTCATGCATATTAGTTAATATCTTGACCCTCCACGAAAATATCTGTTTACTTGGCCATTTTCCTATGTCATGAAGGCTGAAATTTCAATTCAGTGGAGCAGGGTCAAGCCTCCTAGCTGCCTGCTTTCCTATACAGCCAGTCCAACTGGTGGCTCTGGCTGTCTGGTGGCTCTGGTTGTCTGCTTCCTTCTCCTTACTCTCAGTTGTGCCCTTGTAGCAGCAGAGAGGAGGATGGAGACAAGCCTAGAAAAGTGCAAAGTTGGATTGGGGTATGTTCTTTACCATGAAGCAAACTGTGCATTTGAGCAATTTTGCAATCATGTTCACTAAACAGGAAAGTAATGGTCAGAGTTCTTCTTGGCATGTGGCAATATGCTTCAGTATAGTGGTACATTGGGTTACATACGCTTCAGGTTACACACTCCGCTAACTTAGAAATAGTGCTTCAGGTTAAGAACTTTGCTTCAGGATAAGAACAGAAATTGGGCTCCGGCAGTGCGGCAGCAGCAGGAGGCCCCATTAGCTAAAGTGGTGCTTCAGGTTAAGAACAGTTTCAAGTTAAGTACGGACCTCCAGAATGAATTAAGTACTTAACCCGAGGTACCACTGTACTACTGTTGATAGTTTCAAAGACCTTAAGGAATTCACATGATTTCTCAGACCTTTTGCTCAGTATTCCTGGACTGCAGAGCTGGAATGGGGGGAAATCCCTATTAAAACTTTCTACTAACACCACTCCTCCACAGCCCGATCATATCCATATTTATATTAGAGGCCAAAACAACAAGGTTTTGTGGCATGTTAAAGACTGACAAAGTTTATTATGGCATAAGCTTCCAACGCAGGTGGCGTTGTGGGACGCGGGTCGTGCTGTGGGTAAAACCTCAGCGCCTAGGACTTGCCGATCGCATGGTCGGCAGTTCGAATCCCTGCGGCGGGGTGAGCTCCCGTCTTTCAGTCCCAGCTCCTGCCCACCTAGCAATTCGAAAGCACCCCTAAGTGCAAGTAGATAAATAGGTACCGCTTTATAGCGGGAAGGTAAACGGCGTTTCCACGTGCTGCGCTGGTGCTGGCTCGCCAGAGCAGCTTCGTCACGCTGGCCACGTGACCCGGAAGTGTCTCCAGACAGCGCTGGCCCCCGGCCTCTTAAGTGAGATGGGCGCACAACCCTAGAGTCAGACACGACTGGCCCGTACGGGCAGGGGTACCTTTACCTTTAAGCTTCCATGCATTACGTGTTGTCAGAATACTTGAGAATATAAGCCATTTGTTCCTGTTTAACTTTAGGGTGACAATCCTGTGCACACTCAGTGATTGTTAATTCATCTCTGAGAAAGTTTGCAAACGATCAGAATACATCTTTCCCCAATGCTAGAATAAAACATATTGTTTGGAAGCTATTTTGGAAATCGGTGACAATTAGTGCACACTAATTGGGAACTTATGGTGAAGGGCTGCTTATAAATGGAATTAATAATAACCAACATAACTTTTATATGAAATGATTAATCAGCTCCTAAGCATGCTCAATGGAATTATGTGGTTTTTTTAATATACTAAGGCTATAATCCTAAACTCATGCGACTTACCTCAGAGTAAACATGCATGAGATTGATCTGAACATTTATCATGACTGGAATTACTCTGGATTTATACAAATTAGAGAAATACAGTGAATAGTCACCAACTATAACAGGACTAGGAAACCTGAGCCCCAGCCAGTATGACCAATGAGCAGCGATGATGGAAGTGGTAATTCAGAAAAATCTGGAGGTCCTCTGGTTAGCCACCTGTGTTTGGTTGCAATCTTGTTTAGAAATTATATGGTAGAGGGGTGATTCTGCATAGTGATATAAAGCTTGTGTCTGCTCTAATTCCTTTAGTTCAGAGATGACTAACCTGTGGCCCTGCACACATTGCTGGACTCCACCTACCCATCAGCCTTAATCAGCATGGCCAGTATTTGTGGATGATGGAAGTTACAGATCAGCAGCACCTGAAGGAACACAGTCTAGCTACTCCTGCTTAAAGTTGCAATCCTAGCTATGTCTACACAGAATTAAGTCCCACTGAATTAAATATGGCTTACTGCCAGGTAAGTGGAATTAGAACTGCGGCCATAGTTTCTAATCAACTTCCTGCTCTTGTAGATTATTCATGCAAGGCTTTGCAGCTTTACTCCTTTTTATGTGAGTGGGATATACACACACTGATAACTAGCTGAATATGTGGAGTAGAGACAGCAACAACGACAATGTAGTCAAATTGTGACAGCTCATGACCAGCTTTTTCTTTTCTTTTCTAGAATGCTGCAAACCACTTAGTTTATTTTCAAAAGGGAATCTAGTGTGGGAATGGTAACATTTCAGTTGGGATTGAGGCTATTTTGACTGAGATGAATACAGTATATTTACTTACAAAAACAAGATGAGCTATTATGATGTACTGAATTCTAAAAAGTTCTGCTTGCTACGTTCTCAAATATATTTCAAATGGCAGAATGCTAACAATACTTTCAAAGAGTAGTTGAGTAAGAAGGCAATACACTTGCTGGGTGTGAATTGATCTGAATTAGATCCAGACACCTGTGTCTTCAGAATCCATTTCCTTTGAGACACTCCAGGGAGTTTCCGTGCTAGCGCAATTGCGTGGTCCCTTCTGATTGGTCCTTGTAGCTCAATTATTCATGGATTCTAACCAGTGGAAAAGACTCTTCTGTTCAGCATGATTATCAGTGTGGTGACTGTTGTGGTTGTAGATTAGGAGAAGTGGGACAATATTTCAGAGGGGGTGTTACTATAGTCCTCTTAGTGCGGTTTAAAGAAGCCTCCTACCACTTTCAGAACGCTAAGTTCCTATGAAACCAGTAATGCAGCTGATTTACTTAGGGACCTTCTTGATAGGACTGGTATTTGGGGAACAAACTGACAATGACGATGATAGCCCTTCTACTATGTTAGAGACACCACAGCATACAATAATAAAGGAGTATTTTAGGGAAGAGTTTGATGATGAAGGTAAGTGATGCTTTGCTGTTTCTCTGTTCTGGAAGGAAACCATTAACTTCCAAATCTTCTTTCATTTATGTAGCCTTACTCTAAAGAGTTGCATTCTTGTTTGATTTCGTTTTTTTACTGTTTAATAATAAAATTAATTGATAAAACACTATGAAATATCTATTTTGTATGGTATCCCTTCTACTAAACTATCAGTACTTTCAGTACCACTACAGAAAAAAAATAAAGAATAGAAGCATGAAAGAGAAGACTGACCTTTTGCAATTTCCTCCCAAGTTTAGGAAAACTAATAATTAAAGACAGTTGTCTTGCAAATATTGTGAGGCTGCTGTCCTGTTCTGCTGTCCTACCTGGCAATATGTCTCACTGAATTCAGTGGCCCTTACATCTGAGTAGACATGCATGGTATTTCATTTTGAGTGATGCATGGAAGGAACAGAGATAAACCAGTTGAACATGAGGAGTCAGTCCTGATGCATTTGGAATCCTAGAGCACAGCTAATTTATAAAAGGATGTATCCAAAGTTAATAGTTTCATCTGTTTAATTATGAAGAAAAGGTAACCCAGATAGAAATAGTTTTTACTGTCTGTTCTGAAACATTCAGAAGCAACTGATGTCCTGATATAGTATAGTGTGTTTCCCTGCATAAGAGACTGCACAGCTTTATAATTTGTGCTATGTGTACTAATTTCAGTATCATTCAATATCTCTTCTTAACAACTCCTAAGCAGACTGCAGTTTTATTTATAGTGCTGCTCTATATGGAGCTAAAGGCAAATGCATTCACAATACTAGGTTTCTGGGTTTGGTTAATAGTTTGATTCTGGTTAATCATTCTTGGAGGTTTTTAGTGCTGTTTCCTAGGAAGAGAGAGTATATTACATGTCCTCATCTACCTCCCATACAATTTCCTCCCTTCTTCCAATTTCTTATTTCTATCCCATGGGAAGATCAGTACAGGTGTTATTTATTATTGTGCCTGTTCGTACCCTTTTTAGAAGACATACTAAATGACGCCAGTCTTGTACTGAAAGTCCATTACAAAATGGCTTGAAAATTAATTGAATTTGGTTTATATTACATTTGTTTGAATTTTGAGCCCTATGTTCAGTGTTATAAACATGACATAAACTAGGCAAATCACAAACATGATTCAACATGTAGCGAGTGGTCTCTTGGGATCATTGAGCAGTTTTCTCTAACTCCAGATGGAGTTAAATATAGGCTTTTGTGATATTCAGCTAAGGATTCTTGAGTAAAATACTTTTTGTAGGGTGTTTTTAACCAAATGTAATTCAAGATATATCAAGAATGCCTTTTTAGGTTTGCTGCCAGGTTTTATGCCTATGATGAAGGTTGCATCACTTGAATGATCTTTAAGACATAGGTGCTCTAGTATGAGTGCTCTAGTATTATTCCTTGTCAGTGGCCACATTCAAATATCACTCTAAACCACAGTATAGTATGATGAGACTGAGCAATGGTTTGCCTCTGATACATATGCTCTTTCCCTCCCTTTTCTTCCTCTGGCACAGTAGCACAAGGGGAAGTTCAGAATCTGTTTGCTTCTGCTTTTGCTTAACCACAGCTTGTTGTGTTATGCAGATTGAAAAAATGTGGTTAATGTTTAGTTTTGTTGGTTTAAAACAACTCGCCTTCAAACTATGAAGTTATTTTGTTGTTGGTTTAAACAAACCATAGTTAACATTGACCACAGTTCAGGGTTTGGATTAAATATCAAGAAAATTACTGCTTGTTATATGGCTGTTAAGCCCATGTGTGGTGCAGCCATGAGTTAATTTGCATCGTACTGTACAGTGGTACCTCGGGTTAAGAACTTAATTCGTTCTGGAGGTCCATTCTTAACCTGAAACTGTTCTTAACCTAAAGCACCACTTTAGCTAATGGGGCCTCCTGCTGCTACCGCGCTGCCGCTGCACAATTTCTGTTCTCATCCTGAAGCAAATTTCTTGACCGAATGTACTATTTCTTGGTTAGAGGAGTCTGTAACCTGAAGCGTCTGTAACCCGAGGTACCACTGTATGTCCTAAAATATTCATTCTATTTTACACAATGTGAAATAATTGTTGCATGTTATTGTTTTGCTATACCTCATTGCTACTTCTTTCACTTTTTCAGATGAATGGGAGAAACGGTGGGTTCAATCTAAACATAGATCTGATTATGGTAAATTTCGTGTTGCATCAGGAAGGTTTTATGGAGATAGAGAAAAAGATAAAGGTAAAATAATGCATTCTCCCATCCCCCAGGTTGTGAAAAATGAGATTTTCCTTCATTCACTTTTATTCCATTATTGACACAATATTGGCTAGTATCAAAACATCTACATAACTGTCATTATGTTTCCTAGTGGTGGGCTAGAGAGCAGGGCTTCTGCATCTGAGCAAATTTGTATGGGTGCAGATAGATCCTACAAGTAAAGTGATCCCACACATTTAGCTCTTTAAAAGTCAAACCAGCACTTTAAATTGAGCCCATATATAAACAGTCAGTCAATGTAATTGGTGTAGAATAAGTGTAACATGATCCAATATGCCCAAATCACATGAGATCCTGGTGGCTGCGTTCTATACCAGTTGGATTTTCTGAGCCACATGTAAAGGCAGATCTATAGAGAGAGCATTACAGTGGCCTAGTCTGGATGCAACCAGTGAGTGTGTTACTTTTTTCCTAAGATAGGGTCAAGCTAAAATGACAAAAGGCACTCCTAGCCACCTGTGCTAGTAAAGATAATAAATTGGATCCCTGTAGATTTAAGGCAGGAGTGGGGAACTGGATCTGACCAGTAGGAGGCTACCCACCAGTTGTTTCCCTGACATTGTTAAAAGAAGAAGCTGATCAGTAGTTAGAGCAACCACTTTTGAAGAAGCTCTTTCAGTGACTGTCAGCTGATTGGAGCTGGAAGCATGCCTTCAAAGAGACTGTTGATTGGTGGTTATAGGGAGTCCCTTCAAAGTCTCTGCAGAGGGAAAAATGCTCCTAAAAACAGCATTTCCCCCTCTACGTATAAAGTGACATGGGTTTAAAGCACTTCTTCCAGTGCTCTGAATTCAGACTGCTTCCTCTGGGGGGATGGGAAGCATGCTATTGCAGCGAATCCCAGCTGATTGTTGGGACTGACTGCACTTTGAAGCTCCAATGATCAGCTGATTGTCAGCTGCACAGGGCTTTCTGTTCAAGCACCAACAATCAGTGGTTATAGGTGCTTGAACTTTTGTTTTCCCTTTTCCCAGACATCTCCATTTTCTCTTTGTCTATTTCCCAATCGATGTACAGGCTCTGTAAATTGTTTCTTGACTAATATTTATGCAAGTTTCTAACTTCCCCGAGTAATCAACAGTGGTATTTTGTATATTGGTGGTTTCTGCTCTTGTTAACAGTGTAACTGGCAAGAGGTTATTTAATGTTCGTATCCTACATAATGCCAGACAGTCTTTGCGGTTATATTATTATAACCACAGTAAGGACAGGATTTTGTGAAAGTACAATAAGTCATCTAAACCATAGTTCTAGATCTTTAATTTAATTTTACAGGTCTGAAGGCAACGGAAGACACTAAGTATTATGCAGTGTCAGCAAGGTTTCCGCCCTTCAACAATGAAGGTCAGACGTTAGTGCTTCAGTATACAGTAAAATATGACCAACATGTCGATTGTGGTGGTGCCTATGTTAAACTTTATTCTGCAGACCTGGTTCAAGAGGTTATGAATGAAGATTCTGAATATTATATTATGTTTGGTAAGTTCTCAACATGTCTTATTAGTCAGCAGTCAAAGCATATCCATTTTTACAGTGCAAGCCAAGAGAGAATTGGGCTTAGCACTATAAGGAAATTTCTGTTTTCATATTTTTTGAGTCTGCATCACTGTATATATCAGTGAGATTCAGTGGTTGCACACAATGCTGTGCCATGACCTATGGTTTAGTCAACTATCTGGTGCAGAAAGCTCAAGAGCGCCTACCATACGCTTCCAGTAGTCAAGTGAGGAAACACACAACAGAGCAGTTGGCTTCCCAAACATTGTTTATTTGGAGAGAAAAACCACAAGAATTGGTTTGGGGAGAATGTTAAGCTCAGTGGTTTGTTTCCCCACTCAACTAAGGAAGAAGCAGAGTGGGAGCACATGGGGTGCATGCACCAGCATGCACCTTGTGCACTGGTTAGCTTACTAAACCATAATTAATGGCTCAGTATTATGGGCAAACAAAGGGACGCGGGTGGCGCTATGGGTTAAACCACAGAGCCTAGGACCTGCCGATCGAAAGGTCGGCGGTTCGAATCCCTGCGGCGGGGTGAGCTCCCGTCGTTTGGTCCCAGCTCCTGCCTACCTAGCAGTTCGAAAGCACCCCTAAGTGCAAGTAGATAAATAGGGACCGCTTTCTAGCGGGAAGGTAAACGGCATTTCCGTGTGCTGCACTGGTGCTGGCTCGCCAGATGCAGCTTAGTCACGCTGGCCACATGACCCGGAAGTGTCTTCGGACAGCGCTGGCTCCCGGCCTCTTGAGCGAGATGAGCGCGCAACTCTAGAGTCGGTCATGACTGGCCCTGATGGGCAGGGGTACCTTTACCTTTATTATGGGCAAACACAGCCAGTTTTTGCTTCCTTATGTTTTACAAAGTATATTCAATGAGCTGACGACAAGGTTGCTGGATCAGGGTGAAGTCTTCCAGGGAGCTTACAAGCAGGGCATGAAGACAACAGCTCAACTCCGCTGCCCCATTGTATGGTGCCAACATTTGATACTGTCTCTGAAGATTGAATTTAGCTATACAGATACACAACAATAGACCATGAACATAAATCTGAACTTTTTTAAAGCTACTGAAAGTAGTAGCTATCAACCCTTTTGACATATTTTTTTTTAAACTTACTGGCAATCAATGTGTCTAACACTTTGCTTATTACTTACAATTTTTGAAAACCGCTCTTTCATCTCCCATGTATGTTGTTGTGGGGTTAAAATGGTTTTAAAATATTAAAATGTTGGTTGCAAGGGACAGGAAGTAAGTCACCTTCCACGTTTGAAGAAGAAGAAAGTACTATTAATAGCAATTTCTAAATCAGTGTTCAAACTATCATTGACATATTTGTGCAGGTGGAATTCTGATCCAAGTCAACTGGGTTTTTAGAGCACTGTTGTTTTCTCCTAGGTCCAGATATATGTGGAGAAGACAAAAAGATAGTGCAGGTTATCTTCAACTATAAAGATGATTATTACTTGATCAAAAAAAACATCACATGTGAGGTATGATCAGTATTTTTTTGGTATTTGAGAAGCATTGTTGATTTCTAATCTTTGCTGCTAGTTTTCCTCTACTAATCGTATTTTTTGTATCTTTCTGTCTTGCTGAAATTCTACTTTCCACACACAAGCAACAGTGAAAAACCGATAACTGAAGTCTGGGTCAAGTAGTGTTTTTCGAATTAATAGTAAAGTATATTAGAATTATGTTGGCGAGTAAGGGATAGTTTAACCATAGTTTAATGTTAATGAAAAGTGCTAGTGCATGCTGCTCAAAAAGTCCTCAATTAATTCACCACAACTCATTCACTGCTGCTCCTAACCACACTGCACCAGGACCAACAAGCTACAAGCATTGGCATGTTATGGCATCTGAATCAAGATTGTACTTCGTTTGGAGAGAACATGAGCAGCAGGTTTGTTTCAGGGAAATAAACTACAAGTCTGGATTTCACATTCCATTTGTTTTGTTGATATGTATTGTTACTGGGACCATGCAAACATGCTGGAGCTTTGTTCTGCTTTGTTGTTCCCTGGACCTTTTAGCTAAGTGTGGTGCAGCAACTAAGCCAAAGTTTTGCTTAATGTGTCCTCTGAACCCAGGTGCATGGTTAAGCTCTTCTCCTTAACCACAAGCTGTAGCCAAGAACAAACTTTGCCTGATGGGCACCAATCATTATGGTTGCCACTCTTGCATCCTAGGCACCATTTACTTTTGACACACAACCCAAGAAGCTCTCATCACCCAATAATAAGCACCATGGCATGTCCTCAATTTTCTGGCCTCCAAACTCTTCAAGCAGTGATTGAGTAGATAATCAGTATGCCATTTTTTTTTCATTTAGTTTATATTCTGTTGCAACATTTAACAGGAAAAACCAGCCGTCAGTTTGGAATATGAGAAAAGAACACTCTACTTATGTAATAATCTTTATTATTTTTCTTTTTCGAGACCGATGACTTTACCCATCTCTACACTTTGATACTACGTCCAGATTTAACATATGAAGTGAAAGTTGATAATTATGTTGCTGAGGCTGGCCATCTAGAAGATGACTGGGACTTCCTTCCTCCAAGGAAGATAGTTGATCATGAAATGGCAAAACCTGACTACTGGGATGAAAGGGAGCTTATTGAAGATCCCATGGACAAGAAACCAGATGTAAAGTTTCAGTATCATGGTTTCTCTTTCTATATAAATATATATGTACATTAAAACTGTCTACTTCCCCAGTTGCATTCTGTCCACTGACCATCTCTTGTAGTCTCTGTTGAAGTCAGTGGGTGTTGCAGCTGTGCTTATAATTCTGTGATTTGCTCCAACTACAGTCTGATATCCATCATTCCCTTTTTATTATCATTGTCTTAAATAATGCTTACTTCAGTCAATTTCACAATGGTAGCTAATTATTACTTCCATTTAGCAAATGGAGGAGCTGAGGCAATATATGATCATTTACTTGCCTGGGGCTGAGTTGGGTTAAACTCTAAAATCAATTCTGCATCTCAGTGGCATTTGTCTTCGCCTTTACAGACAAATGTCTGCACCCAAGCAAACATTTATGCATTCTTTATACACAAAGCAGCATATGTCACTTTTGCCAGGACTTCTTACTTGACCTGACCAGATGAGGGCATGGATGGCAAATACCCAAGTCTTATAAATAGTTCCCCATTCTGGACTCAAAGCCCAGCACCCCAAGCCCACAGATAAGGATAACATCAAAACAAGCCAATTAACTTATATCAAAGGAATTGAGTATGAACATACATGAGCTCATTGTTACATCAACTACCAATTAATTGTGGGGTTATATTGACTACCAAGATGGTGTTTGCAGTGCTTCCAGAACAGTTCACCTTTGGTTCAACACAAAGTTCAATACAGTATATGTCCATCACGGGATTAATACAAACAAATTTCCATGCCTGGTAGTAGTTGCAGTGAATTTTGTTGAATGCCACAGAACCTAAAAGCTTGTTAAGTGTGGTAACATACGAAATGCTAAATGATAACAGAAAACAATATAATAACCAATACTTATTTTTATGTATTTATTTACATATATATTTTGCTACTCTTCCAACACAGAACTCAACTTACTAATCGGTCAATGTGATATTAAATGAGCAAGCATTTTATTAAACTGTCAGGATTGTCTTGCTGCTAAAGTCGATGTTTGAGAAAACAATCTTTATTGATCATCTGAATGCATACTGTTTTAGGATTGGGATCAGCCAGAAAGAATTCCTGACCCAAATGTCACGAAGCCAGATGACTGGGATGAAGAAATGGATGGAGAGTGGGCACCACCATCGGTTCCAAACCCGGAGTACAGAGTAAGCCTGGCATAGGTCTGCATAATAATAAATGCAGAGACTTAGATGGTAAACATTAGGGGTCATATACTCAGAGTTGTTGTTGTTGTTGTTTAGTCGTGTCCGACTCTTCGTGACCCCATGGACCAGAGCACGCCAGGCACTTCTGTCTTCCACTGCCTCCCGCAGTTTAGTCAAACTCATGCTGGTAGCTTCGAGAACACTATCCAACCATCTCGTCCTCTGTCGTCCCCTTCTCCTTGTGATACTCAGAGTAGACCCATTTAAATGGATAGATTTATGTTAGTCAATTCCATTGAATTCAGTAAGTCTCTGAGTACGACTTAGTCCAGGAATTATCTACCTGGTGCCAAGTTTGTGTCCCTTGAGCATCTTTGGTTTTTGGTTTTGTTTTCAAAAAGTAGGCATTTCCTTTACCCATGGAGGAACTTTTCTAAAGGGTGGGGTTTCTCAGTAATATTCTGTGTTGAGAGAGATGTATTTTTTGGAGGGGGGAGTCACACATATGGCATTTGTGTGAGGTCCAGGGGTGAGGGAGCAGCAGTGACTGCACTCTCTAATCTTGTCTTATTCCATACCCCCATAGCAGCCATTTTGTAACAGGCACCCACAGCACTTCCTCAGAATTCAAAGTGTGCCCACTGGTCCAAAAAGGTACCATGCTTAAACCTGAGGCATTTTATCTTACTACCTACTCTCCTGTTCAGTCTTCCTGAATCTACCTTCATCTGGCTTTGTCTGTATTTCTCAAGTCCCCCATCCTTAAATGCCATCTCTTGAACCAGTATCTCCCTTCAAGCAGCTATATCCCATCACTTACTAAGTCCTCAGCTAGGTACTGCTTTCTCTGTTTCTCTTGCTGCTCTCTTTTTGACCCACTGGTTTGGATTCCTCTTTCTCTTTCTTTCTTTCTCTCTCTTTCTTTACCACTTTCAAGTAGTTGCTGTCTCCAGTCTGCTTTTCCTACTCTCTACTGACTACTCTCTACTGAAATCATTGTCTATGGTTTTCTTCCATTACCACGATTGTCACATGGTATTTTTAAGTCCTTGCAGAACTTTTCCCCACCTTATATTATCAGTTTCAAACCCTGCAACTTTTAGTTTTGCAGCTCGAATCCCTGGTTGTGTCTCCACCTTCACTTCTCTTTCCATCACTTCTTGCTTTCTCCATTCTATTCACAACTCATCAGCTCCCCCCCTCCTGTTTCCATTCCTGTCCCCTTCTCCCACTTGTATTCAGGGGCCTGTGGAGGGGGCGGTTCGCCCTGGGTGCCACTCAGGGTGTGTGTGACAAGATGGCCCCTCCCCCCCAGCTGTAGAGCAGCCGAGGGCGCACACAGTCTGTATGGACGCCACTCGTGCAGTGTCCATATGGGCTGCACCATCCATATGGGCATCCGTATGGGCTGCCTCTTGCACAGCGACCGTATGGGCTGCTGCCACGCATGTGCGGCATCCCATACAGGATGCTGCACATGCACACTCAGTACGGGCTGCCCCCCCCCCCCCGGGTGCCGGAGAGGGTTCCTCTGCCACTGCTTGTATTATCTTCAGATTAAGACAGGAGTGAGGAACCTGTAGCTCTCCAGTTGTTGCTAGACTCCAACTCCCATAAGCCCCAGCCAACATAGTATGGAAGGGATGTTGAGAAGTGGGAAACCAACAACATATGGACGGCTACCTCCCCATCCTAGTGAAATCATTGTTAAAGTACATGTCAATGGTATATAATTGGTTTTACTTATTGAAAAATAAAGCTTCTCTTGGCATTATCACTATGAAAGGCCCACACTCAAAACTGTAAATAATGTGTCAGTACATATGTAGCAAATGATGATAATACATTCCATATTATTATTTTTCTTTCACTAGACTTAGCCAAGATTTATTTTGATTAAATTGGGTTTGGGAGGAAATAAACTTCAAGCTTGTCTCAATTGTTCTTTTTTAGGGAATTTGGAAGCCCCGTATAATCAAAAATCCCAATTATAATGGCATATGGGTTCAGCCATTAGTTGATAATCCAGAATACACACCTGATCCTAATCTTTACAAGTATTTCAACATCAGTGTCATTGGTTTAGAAATTTTACAGGTATGTATTTTATAGAGTTTTCAGAAATAATTCCTTAACTGGAAAGATAATTCTTATTACAGAGTCTAGTTGTATTCTGTACCATTATGAGGGGAAAGGTGTCCAATTTTCTAATTTGAATCATTCACAGGAGAAAAATAGCATTAGCAGCCTATTCATTTTGAAAATATGATATACAGTGGTATCTCGGTTTACAAACTTAATCAGTTCCGGAAGTCTGTTCTTAAACCAAAACCATTCTTAAACCAAGGTGCACTTTCGCTAATGAGGCCTCCTGACGCCAGTGCACTTCCACCGTTCGGATTCCATTCTTAGACCGACGTAAAGTTCACAAACCGGGACGCTACTTCCAGTTTTGCGGAGTTCATAAACCGAATCGTTCTTAAACAGGACTGTTCTTAAATTGAGGTACCACTGTATTGTGTTTTCCATTTGCAGCATTTGCAATTAATTCAAACGGCTGCATGGTCATCTATAGAATCTGCTTCAGTGGTGATCTTCACACCATGTACTCTGGAGTAGGATTATTGTGGAGTAGATAATTTGAGAAGAATGGCCTCTGAGATTAGAAGATTATGATATAGCTGGATTGATGGGATGACAAACCTGATTACTGGCTTTGAGTATGAATGCAGTGTTAATTCTGAATTTATTAGAATAGGTGCATGCTAAATTGGTAGACACAGTGGAACTTACTTTTGACTTACATGTATATTGATGAAATGTGGGGCTTTTAATGCAAAGCCTATGACATCTGCAATCTGAGAATCATTTTTCAATACAGTGGTACCTCTGGTTACGAACTTAATTTGTTCTGGAGGTTCATTCTTAACCTGAAACTGTTCTTAACCTGAGGTACCACTTTAGCTAATGGGGCCTCCCGCTGCCACAGCCGCGCGATTTCTGTTCTCATCCTGAGGTAAAGTTCTTAACCCGAGGTACTACTTCTGGGTTAGCGGAGTCAGTAACCTGAAGTGTTTGTAACCCGAGGTGTTTGTAACCCGAGGTACCACTGTAATAGGCTCCAGATACCATAACTAGATACATAGGTAAGCCTTCCTGATACAAGGAAATAGAAGCATTTTGAATCTGGCTTCTAGTCTTCAGAAAACGAGACAGTTTCCTAAAGAAGAAATGGGGACAATCACCAAATTCCGTACCCTTTGCATGTCATGGTTGAATTCCAACCCATTTTACCTAGTCCATGGCAAACAGAAATTGAATTTTTTTTAAATCAAAATTCTACAGAATGAAAACATAAATACAGTAGAATAAATATAAACTTAATATAGATACGAAGCAACAGCTTTGGGACTGTATATATTTGCTTCCATCACAAAATGTTGAATTTCTGGTTGAAGGAATTGGTTACTATGTTATGCATGTGTGAGCTAGGAAGTTTTCCTCAAAATAACAATGAAATATTATATATGCACGCTGCCATTTTCTATTGCTTGTTCATATTTTCTATTATTTTAGTATACAGAAGGAAATAAATTATTTTAAATAAATAGATAGCCACTGAATACAGGGTTGAGAAGAAAATAATGCAGCTTTGTACAGTCTCACTTCTAGAAACCACGTATCACCCATTCTTGCAGCATTCTATTGTAGCTATAAGGCAAGACTCACATAACCAGCCCCGTCAGCAGAAGCCCTGCACAAGGACTTCAACTTGCGCAATGGGGTTTCCTCTTCTCCCTGTCAGCCCCTTAAAATTGGATGGAAGGAGTGAGGAGGAAAACCCCCAGAACAGCATGTGGTGGGAGAAGAGAGGAGCTTGCTCCGTCTCACATTTAATTCCACCCGTAGGTTTTTGGGTTTTTTTGCATCACCTTTAATAATTGTATCCAATGTTACACCAAATTTATATTGTGAGCTTTTTCTGGTGAAGCCAGGCTGCGCCATTCTTGATGGTGTCAAATTCAGGAAGTGGTCATAACTCCATTATCTAATAAATAAGTGTCACTGAATTCAATAGGTCTTACTTCTGAGTACACATTGTTGGACTTCCATTATCATATATGGCTCACAAATCTAGCTAGATTGTGTTTACTTCAGTAACTCATTTTTCCCTTCTACCTTTTTCATTCCAACAGGGAAAGTCTGGCACAATCTTTGACAATTTTCTTATCACAAATGATGAACAATATGCTGAAGATGCTGGGAATGAAATGTGGGGTCCCACATTTGTAAGTAACGTAATCACCATACAAGAGTGGCTGCACTGAGATAGTGCAGAAGGGCTTCTGCTAGTATACCTGCACAGCTCCAGGTGTCCAGGCATTTGTATAATTACCATAAGAGCCCTGAACCCTGCAGCAGTCTCGCCACTACATTCTGCACTACCTGGTTCTAGACCAGGCCCCAGGACTTCCCCACATAGAGTATACTGCAGTTATCAAGTCTTGAGGTTACTTATGCATGGACTACGGTTATCACGATCCAGTTATGGACATAGCTGGTGTACCAGACAAAGTTGGTGAAAGGCATTCCCAGCACAGGTCACTTGGACCTTTAACCACAGAGTTGTATCCAGGAATACCAGTACCTGGTTCTGATTGCCTTATGAAGCACCTGAGCCCTACAGCATTGGCAGAAGAATCCTCCTGTGAATTGATCCAGGCTGTTGGTTGCTGTCATCATTAGCTCACAAGAGAATTCCTCTAGCAATACAGTAAGGCTCAGATGCTTCATAAGGTAAAACAGGACCAGGATTCAATGGGGTATCTTTGCTGGTCTGAGGTACACCATCCTTGGGCCTGAAGGACTAAGGAAAAAGTGGGTGAACAGGAGGTAAGTTGTAAAGCAAGCATAATTTATGAGGGTACACAATATCCCATTACTATTCAAGAAATATGCCAAGTTCCTTATAGTCTGATCCTTACACATATCTGCTTGATACTATATCTTGTTAAGTTCAGTCAGTCTTGTTCGAACAAGCTGTAATCCTGTGCACCCTTACCTAGAAGTAAATCTTGTTGAACATAGTAGGATTTACTTCTGTGTAAACATGCATAGAATTATTAGACTGCACATCCTGCAGAGTTTAGTTAACCATAATGAGCACTAACAGGATTCATAAAATCAATACAGTACTATATCTACTGTACATAATATTTTTATACATAGAAGTAGCCAGCAAATAACTGTAGAAATGCATGCTTCCATTATTACAGTGTAAGAAACAAAACTGATGTAGTTCCAGACATATTAAGATCTGCTTGAAAAGCACAAGCTTTAGGTGTTAAAGGAAGCTAGTTAAATTCTTTCAAAATTATGAAGAACTCACTGAAAACTAAGGAATAATGTGCAAATGTAGCTGTACAGATTGCACAAAAATAACAAAAAGTCCAGCAATGTATGTACAACACTAAAGAAAGTGACAAAAATATCTGAGGGTGGGAAAGTTTTCAGTGTTGCATCACGTCTGATTATTAGGAATTTTCATCGTGACTTTAGATTGGGGGAAAATACCTTCAGAGTTAAGGCTTGAACCTACATTTTCAGTTTGAGGCCCTCTTTCTCACTGACTCTTTGCCAAGAAGGAAAGGGAGGCAGATTTCAAAAACAAATCTCTTATGGAAACTTATAGAAGTAAATGTCTGCATTTCATATTCTGGCTGTGACATTCACATTTTTTAAAAATTGACTCGAGGTAATGTATTCCTATAACCTTCATTTGGTCTTAACACATGGAATACTATTGAATAAGTTATTTGCAGCTTATTTATATTAATATTTCACATGGTTTTTCATCTTGCCAACATGCTTTACAATTCTTGTTTGAATAAACAGGAGAGAGAATGGAAGAGAAGACAGGGACAAGATGTTGTGTATAAAAAGATTAATGAAAACGAGGAACCGAAAGGAAAAGAAGGCAAGAAAGAAAAAAGGAAGAAAAAAGATCGCAATGTTAAAGATGAGCTCTAATCAACCAAATTTTATTGCATGGTTACTGTAACTCATGGTGGAATTTTTTTCAACTTCTAAATATTGTATTTATTTTCTAAATATCTGTTACTGAAACTGAAATGCAGTGGCAGTAAAAAGTTCTGACAACAATTGTTATGCTAATAAGTGTGGGTAATGGTGGTACAAGCAAAATGGTTGGGTCTCTTATTTAATTATGGAGGGGATGTCGACACATACAGAGACACATAGATGGATGCAACTCATGTACTGTGGAGATGTAGAAAATAGCAAAGAACCACTGGCTCAGTCAGAGTCATATTCCTTGATACCTAAACTAGGGATAGATTGAAATGTCTATAACAGTTTACTACATCATTTGCAGGTGGCAATTTGATTGCTGAAATGGTTTTACAGGGAGGGAATTCCCATTGTGGTTGGCTGCTCAGCTTTCTAAAATAACTTTTTAAAACTCCCCAACTTTAGAAATTAAGCAAAATGGAAGCAAAGAAGGCCCGTTCTCATGGTAAGTTGATCCTCTATAACTACCCACCCCAAGTTAGCTAATTGTATTGAAGTGCCCCTTCTCTTCTTTTGGTTACAGGTTTCCCCTGACATCGCTTTTTTCTCCCTCCCCCCAAAGTCAGGCATATTGTAAAACAAATGGAGACTAGCTTTGCTGTAAACTAGGAGTGTTGCATGGGCTGCTTTTTCCCACTTTCTCATTCATACATCTCCCCTGCCCTTCAGTGGGTTCTGTAATTATACTGTAGCATTGCTTCTGCATAAAGGAGACAGTGATATCCAACAGTTGAAACAAAATTCTGGCTGAAACTCTGCCCCTTTAAATCTCTACCTAACCTCTATTTTATACATGTTTTGGGTAGACAAGCTTAGAACATGCAGGTCTGCAGATATCAGGTATAAGTGGCACCTCACATGACCATCATAGTGATTCAACCATATACCATTATACTAATTCAACTACAACTTACAGCTGAGAATTCACATGTGCACCTCTTACACACTATGAGGTTCCTGAACTATTGTGAATCGTTCCATTCTTTATAAGTTCCCACCACAAATGCACATGGAAGCATTATGTAGTCATATGGCACAACACTAAGAGGAGAGATAGTTGCCTGGATTTCCACCCAATATATTTCAAGTATGTAACTTTCCACTATCAATGTATAGCATAAGTAGGCAGTGACTACTGGACTGTGTAGGGTTCCTAGGTCACAGAAGCATGCCCAAGTTGTTCCTGTCTTCTGCCCATCCTCCTCCCTTAAAAAGATACTATGGTACAGTTGTACTTAACAAAACAGAAAGGACTTATGTTGGTTCAGAAGGGCTTCCTTCTCTCACAGTTGCTTCACTGCTCTGAGAAAAGTTACGTTGCCTCCACCTGTTCTGGTTCTCCCCGTCCTTACCCTTTGCAAAGAAAGATTGGACACTTAAGCATTGAAGTTTTTTAATACTTAAATCATGCCTGGCGTGCTCTGGTCCATGGGGTCACAAAGAGTCGGACACGACTAAACGACTAAACAACAAGGCACTTACGTGCTAAGTGCAGATTCATACCACAATAACTATATTGCATGGGGATTGAAATGCATAGGATGCAGCTTGAATTAGTTAAAGGTGCCACATAGGCCTTAACAAAGGACCCCATAAATTTCCAGACCTATGGGAAAATATTCTACCCTCCCCCCACTTACTCACTTCTTTATCTTTTCCCAAGAATGTGGAATAAGGTATAGAGATACTAAGTGCACTAGGACCTGAGACACCAGGGTTAAAATCACCACTTGGCCATTAAAAACACACTGTGTGACTTTGGGCCAGTCACTGTCAGACTAACCTACCTCACAGGGTGGTTGTGAGGATAACATGGGGAAATGAATGAATGCATGCCACCTTGAGCTCCTTTGAGGAAAGGTGGAATGGATATAAATGCAATACTGATAAATAAGGAATAATCATAATAAAAAGTCTACATCCAGCCTGCCTGTCCCTGATTTTGAATTGGAGGGTTGGGGTCAGGTCTTGAATCATGAAAATAAACCCAATTCAGAAATCAAAGAAAAAATAATCTGGGATACAACCAGGATATTCAGGCCTATGAACATTGGACCTTACATGTTAGGTCCTTGGCAAATCTGCTGGGACAGGCTTGCCTGGGTGAGGTGTGCGGCAGTGGCAATCCATGCTCCCATACTAATATATAGGCTCTGCATACTGAGTTATCATCTGAACTATCCCAGGCACTCCTCTACTTTTTGTAATAGCGTTTTAGGTTTGCCAAAGTGTTTATAGTCTCTTTAGCCTCACAGCAACCTTGTAAAGTAGATCACAGAGTCTGCTTAATCAAATGCATCCTTCTTGGTAATCCACAAAAGCTTATGCAATAATACATTTGCTAGGCCTTAAAATGCAATTGGACAGTTGTTTCGTTGTTTCTGTAAGCCATGGCTAGCTGACCAACCCCCTTGATTGAAAGTGTACCACAGTAATGTACCCAATGCAATACACTGAGCTGTGGCGCAGAGGATAAAATCTTAATTAGTCTCAATATCTTATGGTGGGCTGTTTTTTATGGTGGCTTACTGAGAAGGAAAATGTGCAGACAATATTTAATCAAAACGTGATGCTGTCCCGAGAGGTTTACCTTGAACAAGGGAACACATGATTTAAGAATTCTGAGCCTCAGAAATAAATGTCGTGTGCATGTACAGAGTGCACCTGCTTCCCCAATGAAGAATCTGTATTTAGTTCTTCCATAACAATAACTTCAGCCTGAAATAGAAATGCTTCATTGCCAGCCAGCCACATTATGCTTCGACTCACTGCTACTCTTACCAAAATGCCAAGTGAAAAGTAGATCTTAAAAAACACCACCACCTCAGCAATCTAGGCCTTCAGGTAGTTGGAAGAGAGGGATTTCTGGAGACCCTTTCTCGTATGTAATGTGCATTCCAGTTTGTTTTAAATACACTGGTTTGGTCATCATCCTTTGTGCATCATCCTTTGTGCAAAAATCACCACCAATCTGTTCACAGTTTCCCCACACCAAACTGGCAATCGCATTCAGTTTACTTACACAATAAATAATCCAAGGTCAAATCAAGCTGTGAACAACCTCATGCCCCTTCTCAAACTATTTTTATGTGGTGTATACTTGTGTATGATACGTTTGTATGGTGTTCCTGAACATGCATTTGTATCAACAAGTTGCCAGGCTCACAGCATCCATTGCTAGCCAAAAATAAATGCATGTCCCAGCATGTCTTTGAAGACACACAAAGAAAGAAAGAAAAAGCCCAGAGTTCCCTGGGAAGAAGGATTGAATGTTAAACTACTCTGGAAATTGTAAGAGGAATAGGGTGTCTCTTGATAACTCTCAGCACCTTAACTACCCTTCACAGGATTATTTGGAGGAAGCCACCACTATTTAAAATTGTATGATACAGCTCTAGATGGGGCCTCATCCGGTGAAGTTTACTCTGACAAACAGAAGTAAAGAAACAAGCAACAAAGGTAGTCAGGAAAGTTGAGGCCTGAGCTTTACTACTGTCTACTACATTCCCGTTCCGTCTCAGGTGACAAAATGGGAGGACGTGCCACCCCTGGGCATAGCCATCACATTCAACACTATACTGTTATGCAGGTAGTACACAGTATTGCAAGGGACACTGTTCGGGAAGACACTCCTAAAAGGGCAGAATGGACAGCAAGGACATTACATGCACAGCCACAACAATTCTTTCTTCTAGTAAGTAAAATGGAAAGGTAATAGTTTCTTGTGTTAAGACAGCTATCAGGTTTCCACACGCAGCTGAACACACAGATTGTCTAGGCTCATGTTTAGCTCCAGAGCTGGGGCTCATTCAGAAATACACAAGCTGGTTTCCTTCAAGGTTGGACTCCAGTTCCAAGTTATCTAGAGAAAACAGCAAAAAAATTAGCAGACTTGTCAAAAGAACAATACATGACATTTTGCAGCACACATCTGCCTGTCTTGGGCAGCATGACCATTATGTATAGTTTGAATTCTATCCTATGTTTCCTGAGAAGTAAGCTCATTAACATACACCCAAGGAGACCTTTGTTCTTGCCACGAGTCAAATAATTAGCACGGCCATCACAGGCATTCTCATTCAATTGGACATGCAACCTATCAGATATGACACAAATGAATCACTGAAGACACTTCAGTTTTCAGCATTAAAATTCTGGTACATTCATATTCTTTGTCTGAACATCATTGTGCATTAGTGAAGTAACACTGTATATTTAAACAGAAGGAAGTTGTACATAAATGTAATTGAACAGCCTAAGCTTATAAAGATCTTGCCAGAGTGTGCTAGCCCTTTAATACCCAAAAGCACACTTACAAATTAAAACTCATTCCAAGAAATTCCAGGGCAGGTAATTAACACAAAATGGCTTCTTTGACTGGAAAGCAAACGCATCTCAGCGAGACCTTGTAGTATCCTGATGGCTTAGGGGTCAAGGTTCTGTGAGGCTTTTCACAATTGGATATGATATTTAAATCAAACAAGACGTCAGAAATTCATCCTGCTAAAAAGCGCTACTGGGTCCTGACCCTACACCATACAATGGGCATGGTGATTCAACCATCAGTTACAATTTTTCGTATATTCTAGCTATAGTTAAAGCTAGCATGGTTTAAGATAAGGTTTACATTTTATTTTGGTGCTTACGGCCATGAGAGATCAATGGCAGCAACCTCCTGAGCATGTGAGATTGTGTTTTAGCGAAGTGTGCAACAGGGCTCCATGACCTTTTGGCTTTATTTTTTTCTGTTTGAAACATGGCAATGTGCTCCTGGATCAACATGTGGGAGACTGGCTGCATCTGTTTCCACATGGATCGTGTTGCCAGCACTGTCCCCAATTGGTAGGCTGTGGCAGAGTTTCTTGGGATGTTGTGGGCACGTCTGCCATTCCTCACAATGTTCTGTTTTCATTTGTGTATTTTCTCTCTTTGCCCAGGCTGTGGACAAAAATAAAACCATAGGGAGATCCAGTTAGAGATCCCCTGTATTGCATGTACCTTGGCCCTCCAGAGGAGAGCTGGTTTGCAACCAATACTTTATTGTACATTGCTGCAACAGTGTGTTGACTTTGTATGCATGTTGGAGATATCTCTCTGCCTATGTGTGCACATGTGTTGCCTAATTTGAACCTAGAGTCCATGCAACTAACTGGGGATCTTTTTCCTTTTCAGTATCAGTTCCCGCCCCCGCCCCCCACACTGTGTCAGTTGTTTTAAAGTTCAATGTGTTACATGGGCAACTTTGTAAAATAAAGAAGAAAGCCACTTCTATGATTTATGGTGTGTTTAGTGAGAAAAGGCTGCTTTCAGCAGAATGTATCAAAGCTCCTTGTGCTTGTTGAAGATAAAATAAACAGTACGGCGCTAGTGTGCAGGCTGTTGCTGATTCTGAAGCAGTATCATTTCATGCTCTATTTCTGTCAGAGTACATTACAGAGTAGTGTGTGAGCATTGGCTAAACCTCTGGCAGTTATACATTGCTTGAAGGTCATATGATATTTATTCAAGTTTGTAAGTTTTGTAGTGACTTTAAATGGCAACCTTGGGGCTGAATATGTTAACCTCTGCTACCGGGCGACTTCCATTTGTTTCAGAGGAATGGAGGAATCTGCAGATATGTTCCTGGCCTATGTTCAGAAGTATCACAGTCTCTCCAGCATTTCACAGATAAAAATAGGGACACTTTTGTGGACTATTACACATTGCTGAAGGCTCTTCTCTGCCTGCTGGATGCTGTATTAATTTGAACTGCAATTGCCTGGCCTGCACTGGCACTGTCTCTTAATAAACTAACAGTCAGCTGCCTTTTTATTTTAATTCTATTATTATTATTATTATTATTATTTTCTTCTAAATTGCTTATTAGTCCTCTTAAGATAGACAACACAGATGGACAATTTTTCTTCCACCAGATATTGTCAGACACCCACCGGCCACTGCCAGTACAGCCAGGGGTCAGGGATGATTATTAGTATTTCTTAAATTTATTAAACTACTTCTCTTGCTGCAGGCAATTCAAGGCATCTTTATGAAAACAAAATGACAAAGCAAAACCCCCTACATTAATTAAAACCGGTGTGTGTGTGGGGGGGGGAATAATTAAAAACAACCCATCGGCTTTAAATGGTCATGGATTGTTAACAGCCAAAGGCCTGGTTGAAAAATGGGTTTGCCTGCCACTGAAAGATATGTAGTGATGGCACCAGGTGAGTCTCCCTGAAGAAAGCATTCCACAGTGGGGAACCTCCTCAGAAAAGGCCTGTTATCAGATTGCCACCCTCTGGACATCTCATGGAGGGGGCATGTGGAGTAGGGCTTCAGTTGATGAGCACAGGGTCTGGATCAGTTCATATGGGGAGAGGCAGTCCTTGATTATGGGAGCTGTAGTCCAGTAACCACAGGTTCCCCATCCTTGTTGTATAGATTTAGAATTTTGTTGATCCTATTTGTATTTTGTATCCAACTTAAGTCCAAAGAAGCCATTCAGGCAGCATCTGCACTTTTGAATAAAATAGGAACAAGGGAAACTGCAAAAAGCCCTCCCACGCTGTCAGAAGTAGGTTCCACGAAATTCAATGGGACTTATTTCTAAGTAAATATGCATAGGGTTTTAGGTGTTTGTTCTCAAACTGCTATCTATACTGAGGCAGGAGGAAAACAGAACCGGATAATGTGCATTCAGAATACTAGAGAAGATTGAGATACAGGCCGTCTAACTGATAAAAGAGCTTCTCTTAGGAAGAGAAGAAACGCAATTCGCTAACAATTCTTTTTGAGCTTAAGCGGATCTATCCTTGAGAAAGGATAATGCTTTGTGGCTTGCAAGGCTTACAATTTGTGCTGTCAGATCGTTCACCAAGGAAATGGCCTGTAAGGCTGCCATCGTAGGGCGTGCTCTCTCGGGAGCAAACAGCACCGAACACGGCGAGATCTACTTTATAGAGTATTACACAACGGAGGTTAGCCACCACAGCGCGTCCGCCCAGCGAGAAAGCTCTGCCAAGTTCTCCCTCTGCACGACTCCAGTCCGCATTTTCGTAGCCGCCGAGCTTAACTGAGGTCGAGCCGAACCCTTCCTGGCCGGCTGGCTGGGAATCCGGGCCAGGCGAGCGTAATAGTATTCCTCCGAGCGGAGGCCGAATTGAGCGGTTGATCGCTGGTGGCTCCGCTCCAGAGGGGGCCGTGCCGGGAAGGAATCCGGGCGCCGGGCTTTGCTGCGCAGCAGGGCGGGGCCTGGCTGGGGGTGGCTCGGGAAGTTGCCGAAGTTGGGCAGAGAGTGGAGGGACGGAGCCAGCGAGCGCCTGCTTGCCTGCTCGGGCCGGGCCTTCCTGGGTGCTGCTCTTCCCCCTCCCGCCCTCTCTTCCCTGTCCGGCCGGTGCATGATGGAAGCAGCATGGCCGCTCATCTTTCCTTAACGCAGGTAGGGACTGCTCGCTTTTCGCTCGGTGGCGGGGGAGTAGGGTGGTTAGCTAGGGCGGGGGAGGCAGCCGGGGGAAGCCTCGCCTCCACGCTCCCGCCGCCTCCCCTTAGAAGAGTTTCCTTTGTGACCCGGCCGCCTCCCGCTTCCATTCCTCCTCGTAGCCCTTTCCCTGTCCGCGTCTCCCCTCGGGGCGCTTCCGCCTGCGCCCCCCTTCGCAACACCCACCCTCCATCTCTGGGACGCCCCTTGGAACCCAGCGGGGCTTACTTCTGAGGAGGCACCTTGTTTATGAACAGCCTCCCCTGTTTCCGTGCTCCCTAAGCTCTCTAGTCTTCCTCCCTAGTCTCCTCCTCCCCCCAAGTTCTGCTGTTTGCCCCAAAGCTGCCGCCCTTCACTTCGCCGGTGGTTCCCACGGGGGACTCCGCGCCTTGTTTCGCATAAGCGGACGACGTGGGCTGCGCCTTACGCAAAGCTCGTAGCGCAGAGAACGTGTTTAGCGGGCGCCCGGAATTCCGCGGCTCTTGTCAGTCTCCAGCCGGTGTGGCGAAGAGTGACGGGCTTAGGAGCTGGGCTGACAAGGGGTCAAAGCTCCACTCACCCGGGAAACTTTGTGTTTATTCGCTGCCCCTTCGCCTAATCTTCCTCACGGGGTTGTTGTGAGGATAACATGGGGAGGGAAAGGGCCACGGACACCACCTTGAACTCCCTAGAGGAAAGGTGGGCTAGAAATGTAGTAATAATAATCTTGGTGGGGTGGGTGTGTTATGGCTCCCTGAGTCTTTTCTTTTTCTTTTTAACCCTCTGTAGGGTTTCCTCATGTTTCACCTACTGTGCTGTTCTTTGTTGTATTCCCCACTCCATGCATTCAGACAGACAGACTCTTCTTCTGTAGGACTGCTTTCCAACCTAATACCTGCTATTTATTCTCCAGAGGTGCTCCCACCCATGACATGGGGTGAAGCGGCTACCTCAGGTGGCAGAAGTGCAAGAGGCGGCACTCCGCCTGCCCCACCGCTTCTGCCATCCAGAGGGAGGTGTTCCAGTGCTCAACATTGCCACTTGTCTTCCCCCACCCGGGTGGAGACGCAGCAAGAGAGGCAATACTTTGAGGAGCGCCCTGGCTCCTGCCAAGTTCAGTCAGAGTCAGGGCATTCCTGCACACTAGTTGTGATCAGCAGTGTTAGAAACTGAGATATGAAAGCTAGGAGCTAAATGGCACCTTAAACCTAGGTTACTGCAGCTAAAATATTGTGTTCATTTTTCACATGGTCTAGTCCTTTCCCTGCCCACCCCTCTAATATTCTTAGGAGGGTCTCTTCTCCTGTCTTCAGAGAGCAGCTGGAAGTAGGGAGGCAGAAAAAGGTCCTCCTTTCCTTCCACTTGGCAGTTTTAATCTGAAATCTTAGGTGCAGCCCAGAGCTCAGAAACTGCTCACACTAATGAAATTCCCTGTCGCAAAATGTGTCTAGAACAATGGGACTCCCAAGGAGAAAGCCGTGGCAACACTTTGAGGAGAACCTTGGCTCCCAAGTTCAGTGAGAGCCAGGGCACAGTGTTGACAAAAGGGGGGGGGAGGCAGCAATTCCCCTTTCACTGGGCTGCCCTTGTTCTTCTCTCTTTTTCCATTTTGGCTTCTGTGATACGCTTTTTGCAAACACCTTTTCCTTTTTTAATTTTATTTTTTTTTAATTGAAAAAATTTCAGTTAAACAAAATAAAGTGAAAAACCAATAGAAACAAAAGGTGCATTAGAAAATACAAAAATGAGGACCCCCCCTCCAATTCTATACATACTTATCTAATACAATGGTAAACATGTTATTTTTCCTGTGTCCCAGAACAGACTAGGGTTGCAGTCCTAACCCCACTTACCTGGGAGTAGGCCCCAGTGATTTTAGTGGGAGTTGCTGATGTGTTGGCATGGTTAGGTTTGCACTGTAGGTGCTGCAAAAAGTTTTTCCAGCACAATGGCAAGAACCCACTTCAACATGGGTTAAAATAGAGTGCTACAAATAAGTCTAATGTACTCTTAATTCAAAGATTATATATGTAGAAATAGCCCTCTGTAATAATAAATTTCAGTTCAGTTAATATAAAATTTATTTTGGGATGGTCTTGGTTACCTCACTTCATGCTAATTGGTCTTATATGTGTAAACAGGAAGTACAATCATCATGAGTGTAGGTGTTGTGTATTCATGTTCTTGTTCATACCCCCTGTACCTGGTGCAGTTCTTGGAAGTAGAACTCTATGAGTGGTAAACTATAGTGCCCAGAATTCTCTGAGGGAGAGAATGTGCTTTGAATTTGCGTTAAAACTATAGTGTATACACAGCTGCAGTCTTTGGTATGCTGAAAGAGGAATTAAGAGTTGCTGTAGCTGCACTATTTGTGGTCGGAGAACTAATAGTTGCTTAACTTCAACTATGCAGTTAGCATAGCAGTATGTTTGCAAATGAATATAACAATGAAGTCTTTGTTTATTTGAAATATTGATGTACTGCTGCTCAATAAAATAACACCAAGGTGGTATATAATACAGCAATTCAGAAATGAAAGCTTGAGGCTATAGTCCTATCTGAACTGAGCCCAGAACACAACTCTGTACATGTCTCATTTGCAGGCCTCTCTTGTACATACTTACTTTGAAGTTGGTCCCACCTGGTTGGTAAGCATGTGTAGTTCAGGTGTCATGGCCAACTCGGCCCAGTATACCTGAAGGAGCGTCTCCACCCCCATCGTTCTGCCTGGACGCTGAGGTCCAGCGCCGAGGGCCTTCCGGCGGTTCCCTCATTGCGAGAAGCAAAGCTACAGGGAACCAGGCAGAGGGCCTTCTCGGTAGTGGCGCCCGCCCTGTGGAACGCCCTCCCATCAGATGTCAAAGCGATAAATAACTACCTGACATTTAGAAGGCATCTTAAGGCAGCCCTGTTCAGGAAGCTTTTAATCTGTGATATTTTACTGTATTTTTTGTTTCTATGGAAGCCGCCCAGAGTGGCTGGGGAAACCCAGCCAGATGGGCGGGGTACAAATAATAAATTATTATTATTATTATTATTATTATTGAGATCTGCAAATCACACACTTGAAGCCATAGTTTCCAGTTCTGGTTTGGATGTGAATTTATCTGGATCTGTTTCATTCTGGGTTCAGGTGCAGTTTGGGAAATGATCAGTTGAGAGTGGGACAGGGAGAATGTGACTGCTTCTCAGTTTCTTGGTGACTTTTGACATCATTAACCATGGTATCCTCCTGGACTGGCACTGTGGGATGAATATTATGGGCACTGTTTTATAGTGGTTTTGCTCCTACCTGCAAGGTCTTTTCCAGAAAGTATAAATGGAAGATAGTGTTTTGGCCCCATAATGTTTGTGCTATGGTGTACTACAGGGTCCCAATCTTGTCCCCAGTGCTGTTTAACATCTAATGACCACACCCAGTGCCTTCATATAGGAGTTTGGAAGCAAAGTGTCATCAGTATGCTGATGACATGCTGCTGTAATTTCTTTATAACATCAGTATGGGGAGACACTGTGAATGAACTGGACCATTGTCTGAGTGCAACAGTGGACTGAATGAGGGCCAGTAAGATGAACTTGAACCCTGAGAAGATTGAGGCACTGTTGGCTTGTGTTCCCTTGTATTTCCTGGATGGAGTTGCACTTCCTCTGAAAGAACAGATTTGGAGTTTGGGGTTGCTCATAGATCTGTGTTTGTCGCTAGACACTTAGGTGGCCTCATTGGCTCGGAGTGCCTTTTAGCAGCTATGCTTAGTTCACAAACTATGCTCATTCTTGGACAGGGATAGTTGGGCCACAGTGATTCCTTGAAATGCACTTTATGTGAGGCTACCCTTTTGCTTGGTCTGGAAACTCCAGCTGGGGCAAAACTGCTGCTAGATGGTTGATGGGGACAGACTATCTCTAGCACATAACTCCAGTGTTCAAACACTTGCGCTGCTACCGATGCACTACTGGGCCAGGTTCAAGGTTCTTGTATTAATGTACAAGCCTTAACAACTTGGGCCCAGGAAACCTCAAGGACTGCCTGATCCCTGAGGTTTGCGGCGGAGTCACTGTTAGTGTTCCATCATGGTTTGTATCTACCAGGAACTGTGCATTCAGTATTGTGGGATCAATTTAATGGAACATCCCAGTTGAGATCAGGCAGGCCTCCTCCTTCTTGAATTTGCAGTGCTTACTGAACACATTATTATTATTCCAGCTAGCCTTGGACATCTTGACTAACTCTGGTTGCTGCAAAAGATGGGAGAAGAGGGAGCATCTGAGCCTTAAGCATATTTTAAAGATTCAAACTGGGGTGATCAAGCCACCTGTATTCAAAGCGTACAGTTCCATCAAAATAACTTGATAGTTTTGTCAGAGAAGAACCTGTAAGTGGCTAAAATTCTGAATGTAGATGTTGAAATCCCAGTTTAGGATTTTTGCTCAGTTTTGATGTTCCCTAAAGAGAAGACAGACATAAGAGTGTGGTGCAAAAGAGTGTGGTCCTGAAAACAAGTCCCTTTGAATGTACTGAAAGTGCAATTGCATCACTTACACAACATTTAGATATATAATATGGGTCCATTGCGTTCTAGTGTATTTCTTCCCCAGTGAGAGAATCTTTGTTCTTTCACTACACTCAGTTCGGCATAATTCTTCCTCAGGTTGGGGTGGCAAGGCAAGGAGAGTTAAGTTCTGCAAAAGCAATGTCTTTGATCAACTAACTGGGTGAATTGTATATAGTATTTATTTATGTATTTAATTTTCATGCTGCCCTTCATTCAAGGATCACAGGGTAGTTGACAATATAAAAACACAACAACACATAACATAATAACAAACAAAAGAATAGTAATGATATGGCACTATTTATTCAACTTCCAGTGCTAAGTTCAGGCTGCCTTTCCATTCGTTTTGGTATTCTAAGCTGACTGGGTTTTAATTATCTGCTATTCCACTTCTGGTTTTTGGCTTTGTTTTAATTGTTTTGTATTTTGAATGTTAACCACCTTGAGCACTCCTTGTTAAGCAGAAAGCTGGGATGTAAACATATGCAGAAGCATGTGTGGTGTTGCAATCCTATTTTCATTAATTGCCTATATCATCTGAACAGAGAATTTCCATTTAAAATAAAATTTCAGCCTGTTTGTTTGAAAGGCATAGCCTGGAAATCTGACCTTGTGGCACTTAATTAGGCATGTTTTCCTATATTCTTTCATGGTAAGGGATTTTGGTGTGTATTACTAAAAAGTAGACCCACTTAATCATTGATCGACATGCTAGTTTCTGAGTCTGTAGAATATATTGTCACAATGTTGTCGACCTTTACAGTGGTGCCTCGCAAGACGAAATTAATTCGTTCCGCGAGTTTTTTCGTCTAGCGAATTTTTCGTCTTGCGAAGCACGAAATCCCATAGGAATGCATTGAAATTCAATTAATGCGTTCCTATGGTCAAAAAAAGTCCAATCAAAGCCAAATTTGGTACAACAAGAGTTTATTAACTGCTCTTTAAAGTCACACATACTTTAAAGAGCATATCAAAATTGAAGGAACAATAAATTAAGTTTCTAAACATGACAGGAAAAACATTTAAAAATCAAAAAGGGTACATTACATTTTCTAAGACTCTGGGGACCACTCGAAGAAGGTTCCTCTTCCACTCTTGCTTCTTGCTGAGGAACCTGTCCATGGTCTGCTGCTTCATCCGCCTTTTCAGCAGCTCCCTGAGAGGCGACATGACCGTCGTATCAAAAATGTTCGCTTGGTCATGTGCCACGTGCTTGTCAGGGTGGTGCCGCTCTGCAAAAGCCTGCACCTCATTCCACTTCTGGCAAATGTCCCTCAGTTCTTTGGAGGACAGCCGTTCCTCAGTTGCTTCCTCCTCTTCCAGCGAGGCCTGCTCCTGCGCAACCTCTGACTGCAGTTCAACCAGCTCCTGGGTGGTCAGCTCGTGGTCGTGCTCCTCCACCAGCTCGCAAACGTCCTCCTCTGTGACCTCCAGGCCCATGGTCCTCCCCAAGGCAACAATGTCCTGCACCACTGTCGACTCTGGTGCATCAGAGTCACTTGGTGCCACACAGTCCGGCCACAGGCTGCGCCAAGCCCAATTCAAATTCCTCTGGCTGATCCCCTTCCAGGCCGTGGTGATCATCTTCAAGCAGGTGACGATGTCGAAGTGGTCCTTCCAGAATTCCCGCAGGGTGATGGTGGTGCAATCAGTCACCTCGAAGCATCGCCTGAAAAGCTCCTTGGTGTAGAGTTTCTTGAAATTGGCGATGACCTGCTGATCCATCGGCTGGAGCAGTGGCGTGGTGTTAGGCGGCAGGAACATGATGTTGATGAAGCTGAACTCCTCCAACAAGTCCACCTCAAGGCCTTTAGGATGAGCAGGAGCATTGTCCATCAGAAGCAAAGCCTTCAGCGGCAGGTCGTTGTCCAGCAGGTACTGTTTGACAGCAGGGCCAAAGGCAAGATTGACCCAGTCCACAAACAGCACACGTGTGACCCAAGCCTTGCTGTTGGATCGCCACATGACACTCAGCCGCTCCTTGTCGACCTTGTGTTTCTTGAAGGCCCGTGGGTTCTCCGAGTGGTACACCAGCAGGGGCTTGATCTTCAGGTCGCCGCTTGCGTTGGCACAGAAGAGCAGGGTCAGACGGTCCTTCATGGGCTTGTGGCCAGGCAACTTGGCCTCCTCCTGTGTGATGAAAGTCCTTTTGGGCATCCTCTTCCAAAACAGCCCGGTCTCGTCGCAGTTGAAGACCTGCTGTGGAACGTAGCCCTCCGTCTTCACAACCTCCAGGAACTCCAAGGCAAAGTCTTCAGCCGCAGGAACATCAGAACTGGCAGCCTCTCCATGCCTGACCACGCTGTGGATTCCGGATCTTGCCTTGAACCGGTCAAACCAGCCTCTGCTTGCCTTGAAGACTTCTGGCTCGGCCGAGGTTCCTGGCTGTTCCCGGATGAGGTCTGCGTGCAAGGCCTTGGCCTTCTCACAAATCACGGCCTCAGTCACTGTGTCCCCTGCACGCTGCTTCTCTTCTATCCAGATGAGGAGCAACTTCTCGACCTCCTCCAGAACAGCTGGGCGGTTCTTCACGATCCTGGTGACTCCCTTGGCTGCATCAGTCGCAAGGATCTTCTCCCTCATCTTCAGGATGGTGCCGATGGTCGATGGGTTCCTGCCGTACTCCCTGGCGAGGTCCGTCACACGCATTCCACCGTCGTGCTTCCGGATGATCTCCTTCTTCATCTCCAGCGTCACCTTCTCCTTCTTCCTCTCGCCGGCCTCCGCAGCAGCAGCAGTCTTCTTGGGTCCCATGGCAGCACAGCTGTTACCTTTGTAAAACTCAGAAAAAGAAAAAAAAAACCAGCAATTCAAACCCACAACCAAGTCCTTGAATTCCAAACACCCAACCCAAAATCCAAAACCCAAAAAACAGTTTTAAAAGTTTAACTTACGAAATGGCTGCAAATCACCAAAGTCTTCAAAATCCTCAAATGGCTGCAAAAGAAGTTTTGGGAAAGCTTTAAAAATCACCAAAGTCTTCAAAAACCTCAACTGTTCCCCCAGCCCCTCCCCAACTGTTGCAAACCCCTCCTCAACTGTTCCCCCAGCCACCCAGCACACAGAAATTCAAAACCCAGAAAATTTTTCAAAAAAACCCAACATGGCCCAATGGTTACAGAAAACCATAAAAATTCAAAAAAAAAACCACACAAGCTCCCAGATTCCTGCAAACCCCTCCTCAATTGTTCCCCCAGCCACCCAGCACACAGAAATTCAAAACCCAGAAATTTTTTTCAAAAAAAACCAACATGGCCCAATGGTCACAAAAAATCATAAAAATTCAAAAAAAAACCACACAAGCTCCCAGATTCTTGCAAACACCTCCCCAGCTGTTCCCCCATCCACCCAGCACACAGAAATTTAAAACCCAGAAATTTTTTTCAAAAAAAAAAAACATGGCCCAATGGTCACAAAAAAATCATAAAAATTCAAAAAAAAAGCACACAAGCTCCCAGATTCTTGCAAACACCTCCCCAGCTGTTCCCCCATCCACCCAGCACACAGAAATTTAAAACCCAGAAATTTTTTTCAAAATAAAACAACATGGCCCAATGGTCACAAAAATCATAAAAATTAAAAAAAAAAGCACACAAGCTCCCAGATTCTTGCAAACACCTCCCCAGCTGTTCCCCCATCCACCCAGCACACAGAAATTTAAAACCCAGAAATTTTTTTCAAAAAAAAAACAACATGGCCCAATGGTCACAAAAAATCATAAAAATTCAAAAACAAGCACACAAGCTCCCAGATTCTTGCAAACACCTCCCCAGCTGTTCCCCCACCCACCCAGCACACAGAAATTTAAAACCCAGAAATATTTTGCCAAAAAAAACAACATGGCCCAATGGTCACAAAAATCATAAAAATTCAAAAAAGCACACAAGCTCCCAGAATCTTGCAAACACCTCCCCAGCTGTTCCCCCATCCACCCAGCACACAGAAATTTAAAACCCACAAATTATTTCCAAAAAACCAACATGGCCCAATGGTCACAAAAATCATAAAATTCAAAAAAAGCACACAAGCTCCCAGATACTTGAAAACACCTCCCCAGCTGTTACCCCACCAACCCAGAAAAAAGAAATTTAAAACCCCGAAAATTTTTTCAAAAAAAAAAACATGGCCCAATGGTCACAAAAAATCATAAAAATTCAAAAAAAAGCACACAAGCTCCCAGATTCTTGCAAACACCTCCCCAGCTGTTCCCCCATCCACCCAGCACACAGAAATTCAAAAATTCAAAGCCAGATTAAAAAAATAAATAAATAAACATGGCCCAATGGTCACAGAAAATCATAAAAATGCAGAAAAAAACCACACAAGCTCCCAGATTCTTGCAAACCTCTCCCCAACACCAAGTCCTTGAATTCTAAACACCCCAACCCAAAATCCCCCAAACCCCCAAAAAGTTTTAAAAGTTCAACTTACCAAACAGCTGTAGAAGAAGTTTTGGAAAAGCTTCAAAAATCCAGCAAACTCTTTAAAAAGCTCAGAAAGGCCACCACACCGCGTGCAATGTGTTGCTCCTCGAGGTCAAGTCGCAACTGCACCTCTTCCAGCAATGCACCCTGGGTTTTAACGGTTTTACGAAAAAGGAAACAAACTTGCAAGACGTTTTTGTCTTGCGAAGCAAGCCCATAGGGACATTCGTCTTGCGAAGCAACTCGAAAACGAAAAAACCTTTCGTCTTGCGAGTTTTTCGTCTTGCGAGGCGTTCGTCTTGCGGGGCACCACTGTACTTTGATAGAAAGTTAGAAATTTTTTATTCCTTAAGGATTAGAACATCTATTTTTATGAATTGGCCAATGAAACTTGGCTTAGTTGTTGTCCTAATGGGGCTTGGCCTTGTTGGTAGTTAAAAGTTTTGAACTTTTCCTTTTGTATTCAAAGGTATAATATGCAATTTTTATTCTCAGTATAGATTTATGCTTCATGGAACTTTTGTGCACACAGAGCTTTCCCACCAATTTTCTTTTTTTACTGTGGATGTAAGATTGTATGCAAGTGTATAAACACACTGACATAAATTTGGAAAGCTGTTTGTCTGGAGTTTTGCTCTTCATAAGTAATGTGTATACACTGGAGCTGCTGTACTAGGGCAGTTGTACCATGGGACTTGGTTTTCCTGGCTGTTAACAATACATCTGCAGTAAAAATGTGAATGCAGGCATTTCAATAATACTGTTCAGATGCTTTCTTACATTTTTTTAAAAAAAAATTTATCTTGCCTTTCTACACCCACGTGTTTGTTTTTCAATGAAATATATTGACTCTTGTCATTTTAACCGTGTCTCTGTGTGTGCAGGTCACATCTGCTTACTACTAAAATGAGCTAAACTGAATGAGTATTAGTTAAAGCAAAATGGCCCTTTATAATATATAAACAGTTTAGGTTTGGGGGTAAGTTGGACCGCATCCTAATTTAGCTAGCAAGTTGGATGTCTCCTACAGTTTGAACACTATGACATCTGGTATAGTCAGCTGATCTTGACATAAATCTCAATGAAAGTTAAATACTTCTCTGCAATAAAATAACAGGATGTAGTTTTAATTTTGCATGTAGAGTGGCTGGCATGCTTGCACTATAATTGAAAACAGAAGTTATGTTGTAAATGTTGTATGAAGCATGCAAGAAACTCTGAAAAATGACAGTCTTTCTAAAATGTTACTTAGCAGCATATCATTTAATTTCCATTTTATGTATAGTGCACTGACTACCTTATATGCACCTTTTCCCCTCCATTTTTGTTCAGCTATGGGAATACTGTATATTGTGCCTGATCAATTGGTGGTGGCTGTTCGTATGCAGAAATCATACAAAATGTACTGCTTTTAGCATATTGAGAACCTCAGTTTTCTCTGTAAAACTGAGTTCTTAAGGTTGTGGTGTTGGATTGAAGCAATGCTTGTGAAAACAAAGGGTAAGCGGAAAGGCTAAGAAGCCATTTTTGGAAGTAAGAAGTGGGATGTCAGTGCCCTCTGTCCTTCATGACAACACAATCAGGCATCAATCCTGTACCTGCGTACTTGAGTGAGAGTAAACTTCAGTGGACCCAACGTGGCTTAACTTCTTCTGAGTTGACATAGGGTTGCTCTAGCTAGTACTGTACAATAAATTGCAAAACAAGTAAATAGATGCATGCTGATATCTGCATAGCTGATAAAAGGGTGTGGAATTCAGATTCTCTTAGTGCATACATTTAAGTGCAGGGCACATGGAGATGCTTCTATACATGATTTCTGTATGAAGTAAATAGGGAGCAGCAGCATATGGAAAAAGTTTTGCAATCCAAGATCCCTAAACACTTTCTCACAAAGTTTAGAAACATGTTAACAAAATCAGGACTGAGAGAACTAGATTTTCACATTTAAAAACAAAGTTCAGTTGGTACACTGTGTAGTGGAGAGAGATACTCTATTTTGCTAGATCAAGGGTTTTTTATGGTGCTAAGCTGAAATCCTTCCTTGTTCACACTCCTTCACTTCCTTTTTGGAGTGAATCACCATTAAAATTCTTGGTTTCTTGTAAGGTTGAGTTGCAAGTATAGTAGTGCTTTTCTTTTAAAGCGAAGAAAACAGCAAGTTTGAACCAGTAGATTATCTTCAGTAAGGAATTGAAGTTCACATTTCTTCTGGCACACTTTTTTTTAATATAAAAAAAATAATCTACAATTGGCAGAGATGCTGATCTGGTTGGAGTAGAATTAAAACCAAAACCTCATTTTATACAAGTAACTAGAAAGCTAATAAGGTTTGGTCCTGCTTAGTGATTTATAGACCACCTTAAATCGCTGAATCATTAACTTATTTTTTTTTGCCAGTCTTTATATCTTTAATTTGCCATGAAAGTGTCTGCTTAAAAACACTTTATGTTTTTGGAATTCTTGTCACATAGAAAGAGAACCCTGGGCAAACATCCATAAAGGAAATACCTGCAAATGTTGCCTTAGTGAAAGCAATAGAAGTGTATGGAAGAGAAGAGTTGTTGGGCCAAGTAGGGCTCGCTTGAAATGAAATAGCAGGTGAATACGTTGTATTTTTAGCTGTTGTTTAAGAACCTGAATTAATATTTGTTGTTTTTGTTTTGCTGTGCCATAAGTATTAGCTCTTCAAGTAAGTGGGTGAAAACTTGTATACTGTCAGAAAACTCTCATACTTGCTCTTTGACTTTGTGCCGCTGAAACCATAGCTTTGCCATGGTCTTCAACACTTGAAAATGATGTCAAATGTGGGCACTGAAGGTCATGGTAAACTTGGAAACGAAGGGAGGTCCTGAAAGGCCCCAATAAAATTAGGATTGCTATAAAATGGACTCCTTTGAAAGGGAGTTAAAGACTAGAATACTATAAGATAGCCATTAAACACTGTTGATCATGCACTAATATTTCCCTGGTTTTGCTTCTCCTTAGTTTAGAATCAGTGTTAGAAACACATATATATACCTTACCTCTCTCACCCTGACCTAGCCACTGTGATCCAAGCAACGGTCACCTTCAGACTTGATTATTGTAACTCACTCTACGTGGGGCTGCCCTTGAGACTGACTCAGAAACCAGTGGGTTCTCGCCGTGGGATCACATTCACCCAGTGCTATACCAGCTGCACTGGCTCCTGGTGGAGTACAGGATCAGGTTTAAGGTGCTGGTTTTAACCTTTAAAGCCCTATACGGCCTAGGACCCTCGTACCTATGGGACCGCCTCTCCTGCTTTGTCCCATGGAGGACCTTACGGTCTTCAAACAAAAACTTCTTGGAGGTCCCGGGCCACAGGGAGGTTAGGCTGGCCTGAGCTAGAGCCAGGCCTTTTTCGGCCGTGGCTTTGATCTGGTGGAACGCTCTGTCACAAGAGACTAGGGCCCTGTGGGACTTGACATCTTTCTGCAGGGCCTGCAAGACAGAGCTGTTCCACCAGGCCTTTGGCCAGGGCACAGCCTGACTCCCTCCTTTGGCAATCTTCACAGAACTCTAGCCCAATGGCTGCCATTAATTTGATTTTGAATTGATTTTAAAATGAATTGATTTTAGAATGCTGTGTTGCTTTTATTGTTGTTAGCCACTCTGAGCCTGGCTTCGGCTGGGGAGGGTGGGATATAAATAATAATAATAAAATTATTATTATTATTTATTAGCCAGTCGCCAAATGGCACCTTGTAGGTTACAGTCACCACAATGGGATGTCTAGGCACCATTCCCCGCAATGCAGTTTTATTGTTGTTGTTGTTGTTTTCATTTGCTTTATATTTTAAAGGAAAAAAATTCAAAGTTGCTTACAACACATTAAAACATCAAATAAAACAATCCAGAATCAAATAAATAATAATCAAATAAATTCAAGCTTCATTCAAGGAAACTATTTCACATCCTTCTCCAAGTGACATTTTGCTTTCCCCATATTTATTTACTTACTTAATTTAGTATAGCTGCCCCATAGCAGAAGTACTCTAGGAAGTAGACTAGGACCTGGGAGGCCAGGGTTCAAATCCCCACTTAGTAATGAATCTCACTGGGTGACCTTGGGCCAATCACAGGCTCTTAATGTATCTCACAGGGTTGTTGTAGGGATTAACTGAGCAGGGGAGTGAACCATGTACTCCCTGGAGAGAAAGGTGGGATATAAATGCAGTAAATAAACTCTTCCGCTTACTTGCTTAAGAAAGTTGGAGGGACTAGCTGGATGGAGATGACAGTCACCAACCTGGAATACAGAGATCACCACGTGGTTACAATTGGGCCTGCGCCAGTTGCAGAATGCGCTTGGCTAATTTCTAACACTATTTAGAATGGGTACCATGCGTTACCCTAGCAATAATCACAAATGCCTATATTGAATCTTGTACTGCTAGAATTCATTATGCAAGTGAAATCCAGTTATAATATCCACTTATCCGAATACATTTTATACACTATAGTGATCTTCTAAGTGAGAGATGAATTGTGGATAAGGCAATATGCAGAACTTTGGGTTGAGTCCATAAATTTGTTCTGGTTATGCAAGGACTTGTGCTTTTTAGAAAAACATTCCCTCTTCCTGTGTGTTCCCCAAATCTGTTTTGGGAGGGAAATCTTGAAGGTACACGGGGGCAGGAGAAGGAGGGGAAGTTCTGTTGCATAAGCAAAAGTCATTGTGTGAATACAGCAACTTTGCTGGATACAACCCTTTCTCTTGGGTTACATACTTGAACTATTCAGCAGCTGCCAGCCCTGAATATTCTAAGCCAAGTAGTAGGTCTTGAAATTTTCTAGTACATAGTCCTGACATAAACCTGTAAAACAAATAGATTCATTTTTAGCAATGTATGTATATATCATGAAAAGTTCATCTAGGTCCTGGGTGTTTTGCCCTGTCCATTGCTTGACTGCAGCATCTGATGTAATGTAGTTCTCCCACTCCTGATGTAGAGGGAAATGTCCAAGTAGCCATTCTTTGCTAAAGTCAGTGACAGGGTAGATAAGTGTATTGCTGTCCTACTGCTTTTGTAAGTACAATTTCGTACCAACACTTTCCAAAGATGAATTTATGGAAGAACTAAAAGAGGAGTTAGAGGATGAGTGAGTTGGCATTTGAAGGGGAAATTAATGTTGAATATCCAGTTTCAGCAGTGTGTTCACTCTGGTTAGTGGAATTCCTTCCTCAATATGTTTGAAAGCTTAATTGGAAAAAGGAAGTCTGAGCTATTCTGTGTTTCAAAGATCAACAAGATGTCTTTTGTAGCATATGTGCTACAAATTCTGATGCTACCAGATGGCTGGAAGAACTTTCGTTGAAGGCAAGTCAGCAGTTGCCAAGTGCTTGTGGGGCTGGGGTGTGGGTGGATTTGGTGGTGTTCTTGTGTTTGTAGTAAGGAGAATGTAAGGATATTGAAATAAGATGGTGGAGGGGTGATGTCTTTCTATCTGGGTGCTTACCTGGGTGGGAAAACAGGGCCTAGGTGGGAGGGGAGGGGCATTGTGGTGTAGTATGGCTAAGATGTCTTGATAGACACAAGTTTATAGTTAGATCCTCTGAATGCATTGCAAATGGGTTGAGGAGACCCTGAATTACAGTATTCAGGAAGGTGGTATAGCAGCAAAGGGCTTGTGCTTGGCCTTGCAGTTTAAATAGTGACAGTGTAAACTGTACAAGAATTTTTGGAACAGCTGAGGTCTAAGGGGAAAACATATATTAAGAGAGAGCTTTGTTACACCACATACTTGGTGTTTGGAGGGCGCTTGCAGTTTAACTCATCCTTGTGTAAGAAATAAAGAAACTTACCAGTCTTAATTCCAAGAAATTTATTTTAGGTATATAATATTTCCTTACCTGTGATTTCCAGAAAAATCTTATATTGCTGTACGAACAATTCTATTCACTGTAAGAGAAATCTGATTGTCTTGTTGCCCAGTTTGACTTTTATATTAAAAGGGTCTCTTGCCAGTGAAAGCAGAAGACCTTCCAAGCTTTCGCCATTATACAGAAAATGTAATTTGCATCTGTTGTTCAGATGTTAAACTGCATAGGAGAGACTGGATGGAGAGACTGCTTTGGAATTTTAGAGTGGTGAAGGCACAGGATGTGAACCAGCATATGTTTCCTATTCAAGAGTAACAATAGGTTTGGCTTAGTAATGTTTTGCTAACAAAATGATGACATTGCTATAGTTGAACGAAGATGTGAGATTACTAATTGCTCTGTTGGGGAAAAGACGGGGTACTGAACATTGACTTAATGGCTCAACTTCCACAGTGGTTTAAGCAAAACTATTTTCCCTTCCTAATATTTGTGGACATCTGTTAATGTATTAATCCTGAGCAACACTTAACAAATTTGAGTGGATTTTGGAAGAGCAGCGTCAGATTATTATAGAATGTACTGCCTAATTACTGCACAAATTCAACCTAATGTTCCAAGTGGACTTAAGGGGTTGTTTTGTGTTACAAGCAGAAAGCGAATTCTGAGAGTTGCACAAGTACAGCATGACATTTAAAAAACAGAAGCGGACAAATGCACACCCACTCAGGCTTTTCGTGTTGGGTCAGTTGTTCACCTACTAACTGGCTGTTCACAGCAATGATCAGCGGATGATCTTCTTCTCTCTAACCCCCTGCCCCTACTGTGTCTTTGTTCCTGAAACATCTTAATATGTTTTAGAAAATAATTGTGCTAAAAATAATTGTGCTAAAGAGAAAATAATTGTGCTACAAATAATTCCTGTTTAAAGCTGGCACCTTTTATTTTTTAAAAGACAATCCATTTGTGCAGCATTCTTCTTAGGCGATCACTCGTAGCCGAGTAAGATTGTCTTCCATGAACATGATCTTAACAGTGAACCTGTAAGTGACTATGGAGGCCAATTTTGGATCCACACAGTGGAGACATAGGTTTACAGGCGGGAGTTGATCATGGTGTGGGTTTGACAAGCATGCCTTCCTCTTAGCACGTTTCTCCATTTCATCCTGAGTTTGAGCGTCTTCTAAGTCTATGACACCTTTGCTAAAGGCTGTTCTTCAATTGGCCAGTGTTTCCCAATTGTCAGTGTTTATACTACATTTTTTAAGATTTGCCTTGAGAGAGTCTTTAAACCTCTTTTGTTGACCAACGTTACACTTTCCATTTTTAAGTTCAGAATAGAGTAGTTGCTTTGGAAGATGATAATCAGGCATCCAAACAACATGACCAGTCCAACAAAGTTGATGTTAAGGAATCATTGCTTTGACACTGGTGATCATTGCTTCTTCCAGTATATGTACTGGCATTAGTTCGCCTGTCTTCCCAAGTGATATGTAAAATTTTTCGGAGACACTATTGCTGGAATCTTTCGAGGAGTTGGAGATGCGTATGTTGCTGCCAGCTGGTCGAAGTTGCTGTGTAAGCTTGTTCTGCTGTAGAACCAGTTTCTTCTGGGGAATTTCTGTCAATGTGCTGAGTAGAGTCACTGTTTTCTGGAAATGCAATTTCCCTCTAAGCTCTCGAGTACAGTTAAGAATATTAGTAACTGTGGTGTTCCTATTTATTTATTTATTTATTTCATTTATCATTTCATTTCATTTATGTCTTTCCTTTCTCCCAGTGCAGCAACCAAGGCAGATCACAACATGAATTAAAAACAGATACAGCTAAAACTCACAAAAGTTATAAATATAAAAAACCAAATAAATTACCATATTAAAAACAGCGCTGAATAAAAGCAGCTGAAAACCATTTCAGTTTTTATCCCACCTTTTTGCATCTTCACCCACCCAAAATGTAATAAAATATCAAGATAAAGTGGCACCAGCAAAAAGAGTAGCAGCAACTTGTACAGCAATTCTAATCTGCTGTAGACCTGGGGGGTGTAGAATATGTGCCAAAAATACTGAATTTTGAATGTGTTTCAGGTAATCCAGATTTGTATGCAAGTGAGAATGCAAGTGAGAATGCATTTCACTTAGAAAATGATAGAATTATGCCACAGAATGGACCTTACCTCCCAGTTTAAACATGTTTGGAGCTATGTCAGATCTAGGACTAGTTCAAGCCAATCAGTTTAGATTATATAAAATTTTACAATTTAAGGCACAGCTGTCTTTTTAAATAGTCATTTTAAAGCTGTAATCCTAAAGTACCCTTTAGGATTAAGTCCCACTGAACACCATGAGACTTGCTTTTGAGTAAATGCATATAGGATTGTTCTGCATATAAGGAATACCATGGCAATACAGAATCATTTACTGTAATTTCTGTCTGAATATCTTTGACCAAAACTACTTTGAAGTTTGGAAGCTGCAATACTTGATCCTTCAACCTTGGGTCCTGTGGTGCTGTTGCATTTGCAAACTCAAATATTCCACAGCCAGTTTAGCCAGTGATCAGGGTTATTGGAAGCTCTAGTCCAACAATATCTAAGGACCTGAGGTTGAAGATTGCTGATCTCCTTCATATGTTTGCTTCATTGATAGGTGACATTGTGTTAAGAGTATTCAGCTTATTTTAAAGCACATTAACTGATCTTGTCTCAAATGCAATGTGTAAAATAAGGGAGGAAAATAGAGGGGACGTAGGGGGGAGTCAGCTTTTAAATTTGTATTAAACTTGTATTAATTTGGTGACAAATTGTTAACAATTATGGAGGGGGGAATTGCAAATGCAGTGTGTATACAGTGCTGTGAAATTGGCTAGCTGTTGATATGACCTGAAGTTATGTGCCATTTGTTTTTCCACTCTGAAACATTATATAAACCGAACACTTGCAGGCTTTGGGACTAGCAGCATTCCACATGTGTAACAATAATTGTGAAACACAAAATCCCACTGGCTGAAGCCAGGACTGATGCTCCCATTCCACAAATTCTGCTATGTAAGAGTTGAAAAAACACGTACAAACTAGGTCAAACAGCAAGCTTGTGTGTCTCGATGAATGACACGCCTATTTTACTTGAATTCCATGCCAGACCAATGAATAATCAAATCTAAGGTTTGCATTCAAAGACGCCATGATAACCACTTGCTTCAGAACACACAGCCAAACCTTAAATGTAACTGCAGCAAATTCCAGAGTCTGTTTTAGCAAAAATAGTCTTACGAGTCTTCAAAATGCCACCAGTGTACTGTGACATGAAGTTTCATGGACCAGAAGATGCATCTGAGAAAGTAGGTTTCATGCCTATAAAAGTTTGTGCCTCAGTACATTGGTGAGCCTGCTGTAGGATACTTTTTTATAGATTTAGTGGTTTCCTATGAATGCGAACCTCTAGCCACATAAGACTTTGTAATGTATTGTATATTGCTCTTCTATGCAATAATGGATAGTCTCTGTTTCTGAACGCTTACCTAATGCCATTCTTGAAGTCTAATCTTTGATATTGACAGAAAAAGCTAATGCCTTCCCTGTTTAATTACAATCTTTAAAATCGAGCAGTATTTTAAAAACTTTTTCTCTCTCTTCCCTCCGACAAAGCTGTCAAGTGCAAATCCTGTGTACGAGAAGTTCTATCGACAGGTAAGTGTGGCTGGCTTCCTGGGCTTATACAGTACTTGCTTTTAAAATATCTCCTCCTTGGGTAGTTATGGATGGACATATTAAAGAGGAGAATAACACAGATAATTTCTTCCTGTCTTTAGGCAATAGAATGAAATAAATATTTTGGGTGTAAAGTTAATTCTTAGGATATTTCAGTAGCTTTGCAGTACAATGGACTGTTTAAGACATTCATATTTATACAAACAATCACTTGTACCAGTACAAATCAGCAATTATTGCAAAAGCTAATTGCTCTAGGCCCCACCAACCTCTCGTACCAGACAGTAATGGATTCATACCATTACAAGAGGAATATACTGTGACTCATTATGTCTCCTTGTTGAAGCAACCAAGCATATCTTCAGTAAAAATTCTGTCCAGTAGCTTCTTAGGCCATGTCTTTGAATGCATAGTTCAGCTTAACTGACTGGGCTTTAAACCTATCAGTCTGGTCAGCTCTCAAAGTTTAACGTAGTTCCAATATTTGTAAGTACCAGAAAAGAAAGGCCTGGTTGGAAACTGAAAGCACAAAATAAATAGATTAAAACCCTTAATATATACATAACAAGACAGCTGCAAATATATATTCCCTTCTGCATGATGAATATATACCTCTCATCAGTCCTGCATTTCTTTATGTTTAGATGAAATGAATTAATGATAACAAAAAAAAGACCTGCCTTGGGTACTATGATGCCCACAAGAGGACAAATGTCTCTGTTCTGATTACCCAAAAGTTTCAATGGCCTGCATTGCCACAAGACTAGCATTGCATCTAAATTACTGTTTGTTTTGGCAGTCCTAGCCATTAGGTCTGTACCATCGAGCTTTGGTAGAATGGAAGTTCCCTTCTGCATTGTTACAGATCTAAATGAGGACTGTTTATGGATTATGGATTCCCAGTCTTTTTTTAGATGCAGAGATATTTAACGTCTAACTTAAGTACCTATTAGTTAGCAAATATTCATTACATTGATGCGGAATATAGAGAGAATTAGTAGTAGTTAATAGGAACTTTTATTTCAAATCAAAGTAGAAGTAAATTCATAATAGAATAATATTGTAAGAATTGCATGGCTTCTCTCTAGCACAGTCTGTATGACTGAATGCTTCTATTAAAAAATGCAACATTTGAATGAACAAAACACACACTAAGCACGCTGAAAGAAATTATAAACAAAGAGAAGAGGAGCTTCTGGCTGGCAGCTGTAGGGATCTTGCAGAAAGCAGGAAAGGGGATTAAACGGACCATGGTTGTCTTGAGGTACCCAATGTGAATGTTGTTGGACTACAACTCCCATTGGTTCCAGCCAGTGTGGCGAATGGTCAGGGATTCTGGGAGTTGTAGTCCACAACATATGGAGGGCACCATAGTGGCTACCACAGTGTAGAAAAATGTACAAGTCACAGACTGGAATGAAGCAAAGCAACACTCTAGTATTATACAGTTGAAACAAACTAAGATAAACATTGGATAGCTGCTTTAGTCACAGTGTATCCGCTCTTCCTCCTGGCAAGGAAAATGTAGTGCTGTGCTGTCAGCTGCTAGCTGCCTGACGTTGTCAGTCTTTTTGACCTTAACAATCGAAATTAGTGAGAAGCCTTGCAAGTCCTTCCAGGAAAACACTGCCAGTTCTGTACCTTCCATCGTTGTCCCTTGCTCTTCTAGGTAAAGGTGGAGTTGGGGAAAGGGCCTCACAATACTTTAGTTTTATACAGTATACAGAGCCTGGTGTATAAGTAGCTTCTAAGTACTCATTAGTTTTAAAAAGATCATCTGGCTACAGTATTTGGCAACTGTATCATTTTGTAGTTGCATATAAATAAATAATTTTGCTGAGGTAATAAATGTGTTGTACCCTTAATAGTAGTTCAGCAAGTCATCCAAGTAAGTCAGTAACAAAACTTTTTGTAAGATATTTAGTGTGCAAATTGCTACATAACAAATCTTCAATATGCCTTCTTTTTGCAGGTTGATCCTAGTAACTCTGGGCGGGTGTTGGCTTCCGATGCAGCTGTCTTCCTTAAAAAATCAGGACTGACAGACTTGATACTTGGGAAGGTATTAACTGTGAATCAAATATGGGGGTTGGGGTGGAGAGATACCATCCTGTCTTGGTTTTGACAATAAAGAAAATATTGCTTCCAATCCTTAAGCCCTTCTATCTCTCCAGGAGAAGCTTCTTGGTGCGCACGATTGTAGGCCTGAATGAAACAAAAATTGGGTGTTTTGTGGAGCACTCAGTAGTCAGAATCCAGCCCATAGTTAGGTGCGCCAAAGCCAATTTAAATAGGCTTTGTCTTGCTTATCTCTCTGGTGCATGGTGGCCTCTACATTTACTTTCTCTAAGGACTGACCCAGTTGCAGCTTGGAATATTTTTCAACATAGGACACTTCAGAATGCTTGAATATGCACTGGTTAGAGATAGAAAAACGTACTTCCCTATAATGTATGAAAGTGCCTGCAAATGAGAGAAGAGTAACTTAGAGCACTGAAATGCATGGGTGAAAAGTGATTGCACATATTTTGTGTATGGATGTTTTGTTTTGACGTTTTTATACACCCTTCAGTTTGTTGAGCTATTAACTTTGTTAGAGCTCTGTTTTCCCTTTTGCCAAAACTAAAGCCTCAACATTAAACTGAAATTCATACTATTGCCCGAGGTGTCACACGTTTCATCAATGCACTGTTAAGATAATGTGGTTAAACTTTTGGGGTTATTATTTAAAACTGTTGCTCATTCAAGTGGGGAAAAGATATTTCTGGGAGTACTTCAAATGCTTATTTCATCTAACTGTTTAGGTTTGGGACCTTGCTGATACAGATGGCAAAGGAATCTTAAACAAACAGGTAAAAATATGATATATTTTTCTTCAAATGAATATGGTGAAAGGATAACGAGAGTAAAAAAGCATTTTTATAACAGTTTATAGCAGGTTAGATTCTGTTAGAGACATCTGTTTCTTCATAACACACGGAGACACAACCGGATCATTATTGAAACGGGCTTACAAATTATGGTGGATGAAAAATATTTTCTTGAGCAGGAATCAGTTACTTGGTGCAGTAACTCAGTTACTACACTTCTAGCTGAAGGAAAACAGTGGAACTCAGTTAAGGATGATATACAGGTGTAATCTACTCAATCTTTTAACCATTCTTAGAAGATCAAGCGTGTGTTAGAGGACTGCGTGCTATTTCTTCCCAATTCCCAACAGCCTTAAGCCTTGAGTAAGGTAAATATAAGCCAGAGTTCCCTTATCACAAGTGTTCGTTCTGAAGCATTTAACCATGGTAGAGGCCAACAGAGAAGGGTGAGAATAATTTGTGTAAGGAGAGGGGCTGGGGGATTAGAATGTGCAATTCTGAGGCCTGCTCCTTACCGTTAAATGTTACCCATTGCTTAATCACAGTTAAATCTGCTTTGCCCATTATGTTAATTTGTAATGCTAACACCAAAGTGTTGCTTAAAGGTAAAGGGACCCCTAACCATTAGGTCCTATCGTGACCGACTCTGGGATTTTGGCACTCAACTCACTTTATTGGCCGAGGGAGCTGGCGTACAGCTTCCGGGTCATGTGGCCAGCATGACTAAGCTGCTTCTGGTGAACCAGAGTAGTGCATGGAAACGCCGTTTACCTTCCCGCCGGAGCGGTCCCTATTTATCTACTTGCACTTTGACGTGCTTTCAAACTGCTAGGTTGACAGGAGCAGGGACTAAGCGATGGGAGCTCACCCCGTCTCCGGGTTCGAACCGCCGACCTTCTGATTGGCAAGTCCTAGGCTCTGTGGTTTAACACACAGTGCCACCCGCATCCCTAAAGTGTTGCTTAAGTGCATCCAAAATATTTTGCTGTTCTGTATGTCCAGGGGGTGCCTTTCCCCACTTGCAGCCTTTTGCACCATGTTGCACTCTGCTTCTGAATTTTCCCTGCAACTTGGGAGCAGCTGGTTGGGTAACATAGTGAGCTTCTTTTAGGAAGTGGATGAACAGCTCAAGCTTCCCCACACAAGCCATGGATCTAGCCCTTGATTACTGCCTTATACAGCACAGAATACTTAGATTGCAGAGTAAACACCATAACATTATGGATCATGCAGGATTTTTAACACAAAAGAGAAAAGCTAGACCAGTGAGTGATGTGTTGCACATTAGAGGAAAGTTTTTAAGAAGCAACGCTTACTCTCCCAGCTTAACCTTTTGGAAATGTGAAGGATTTATAATAAGATTAGAACACAGAAGAATGTGTAAACAAATGTAATGTTTTTTAAATTACATCACCGCCGTGTGTGCTCTCCCTTCTTCTAATGCTGAATATTGATGCATTTTAAGAACTGTTTAGGAAACCATATCAAGCTGCTTTGAGGTACCTAAACTTTTAGCATGCCTCTAGTAGCCACATCAAGATTTGCAATGGAAGAAAGACTACCCTGAAGGTTTTTACTTGAAATGCGGTGTGTGTGTTTTGATACATTTTTTTTGGACAAAACGGTTCTATGTTAATTTAATTCTCTTTCCTTTTTAGGAGTTTTTTGTGGCTTTACGACTTGTTGCCTGTGCACAGAATGGATTGGACGTTTCACTGAGCAGTCTTAACTTGCCTGTTCCTCCACCTAGATTTGTAAGAACTTTTAAAAACGTCTTGCCTTCAGTATTTGCATACAATAAAACCTGAACACATTATGCTATGTTGCATGTGCTATCAATATACCATTGGAAAAAATCATCTCATGCAGCATCATACATAGTGCCTTAATTGTTGTCAAGTGTTATAGTCTTACAATACATCTTTAGTCCCCTTTACTTTTAAAAATATACACAAATGATGCTCAAAATACTGCAAAATGTGCAGTGTTGGTGATAGTAATATTTAGAGTACAGAATTCAAATACCGATGACCTAACGGGTCATAGGTCCTCACTGGCCGTTGTATCTTGAACCGTGTGAACCATATTGCCCCACCTCTGCAGCCCTTTGGCTTTGGGGCAGATATAAGTCCTATCCCATATATTCCAATTCATTCAGCAGCTAACTCTGGCAATAATTGGAACTGGCCACTCCTTCAGAAAAATAATGTAATTCATTCTGCCCTGTCCAATCAGTATACCTCCACCCGCATCACTCAGCCTGGACACTGAGGTCCTCCTCTGAGGGTCTTCTACTGGTTCCCTGGCTGTGAGAAGTGAAGTTACAGGGAACCAGGCAGAGGGCCTTCTCAGTACTGGCGAACAACCTCCCTTCAGATATAAAGGAGATAAAGAACTATACAACTTTTAGAACACATCTGAAGGCAACCCTGTATCAGGAAGGTTTTAATGTTTGATGCTTTATTATGTTTTATATATTCTGTAAGCCATCCAGAGTGGCTAGGAAAACCCAGCCAGATTGGCAGGGATTTAATAAAAATAAAAATAAAAATAAAATATTATTAATATATTGTAATAATATATTATTATTACTATTACTATCAATCCAAGCTGGTTCTAGAAAGTTTCTTCCACAATATTCCCTTTCACTTGTGTCAAAATTGCAAAAGCAACATATTGCGCTTTCTTGGTTATATTTACATGTTGTAAGATAATGTGAGTATCAAATTGTTGACTAACCTGAGATAAAGTTTCCTTATTAAAAAAAAAACTGGGTATGCACCAAGATGAGAAATTGAGTGCTGAAATTGAGAGCCGATTCTATGTGTGTGAGAGAGCATAAAATTGCTGCTTTCAGAAGATCTTTTTAATATTAATTAATACTGGATGATTAGATGTGCTAATCACTGTTGGTCAGTTTCTAAGAAGCCTTAGAATCCTTTCCTTTGACCACATGTCACCTTTGTGGGTTGGTAATTAGAGCTCACAGCAGTTTTTAATTATCTTATTTCTTCTGGCACACACTATGTCCTCTGGCACATAGTAGGGAATTATCATTGTACACAGTGAACATAACACTTTTCAACATAGACATTTTGGGAATTATTAGTCCACATTTTGGCTGGTATTGCAAGGTATTCCCGCCATCATAGTTTCCTTAAACAATATGTACATACTGTAACGTAAGCTACGTCATCTTAGCTCACTGCTGAAATCATTCTTCATTAATACAGATTCAGGCACTCTGACTTTATTTTACACAGCAGGAATTTATGATAAATCTGAATGACAGTTGCTTGTCATTTCCAAGTAAGGACAACTGAAATAATTCTTCTTTCCACTAGAATGATTCCTCTAGCCCTTTATTATCTGGGGGAGCGCCAGCTGATATCCCATGGGCTGTTAAGGTAAGGGAAGTGAACTGGAACCTTAGCTGAAGTGAATGCTTTTTTCAGTGTATCTCAGCTTCTGCCTATTAAGCTTCTATTTGGGGTTGATGCTCCTACTTTCCTTGCTATGCCCCTTCTTTGAAAACAAAACCTGTTACCCAACTGAACAAATACTTCCTTGCAATGTAGCACTTCCTCTCTTTGTAGTAGCTTGGCTCGGTTTCATGACTGTTGGTTGGTGTAAAAGCACATCCACATCTCTTGTCTTGGATATTTGGCCAAGCTCCTGAAGGGTGTGTGTGTCTTTCTCACTTGATCAACTATTGGAGTTATCTATGGAGTGGCAGATGCATCCGTGTGTGCATGTTATTTTTATTGGCTTCTTCCAAATGTGGTTAAAATCATGCGCAAGAGGTCTAAACCATAGCTGGCACAAGCTGCTGCTTAACATAGCCATTAGAAATGGGCCGTCTCTCTAAAAACTCTTGTTCATATACTTGAGTCATCTCCTACTTCGACTACTTCAGCCTCTTTTTGCATCTCTAGTCATCTCTTTTTACACTTGGCTCCTTCACCCTTTTACCAGAAAGATCTGTCACCAGAATCATTCGCTTCTTCGTCACTTTGGTCATATGATATCCCTACAGTAGCTCCCTGCCTGTTTCCAGATCCAGCACAGATTTCTTTAGCCTTGCTGTCGAGAGTCCCATCATAGCTGTGTGAACTTATCTGCCTGCTCTTATATCCCAATATATACCTGTGACCTTTGTTCCTCCAGACATATTGACTTTAGCAAACATGAATCCTTGACGTTGGCACAGCAGGGGAAAGGAGAATGAGAAAGAATTTTTAAAAGACCCATTTTCCACCTTGCATCTCTGAATGGTGCTACAAAGCTGCTGCTGATTTTAGGGACTAGGGTTGCATTGCAAAATTTTCTTGTCCACCTGGAACTGTATAAATAAAAATCTGTGATGTATTGCAAGGTTTCCCAGGAGGGAAAGTCCTTGCTAGAGAGATCACCAGCACCTTCTGGTTGACTTGCAGCTAAATAGAGCAAAAGAAGGAATGCCTTTACTTTTAAGACCCATTGAGATTCTGGTAGAAAAATTGTTTTAAATGGTGCTTCCTGGGATGGTTTCTAGAAACATCTTAAGGAGCAGTATATGTGGATTTTAAAAACAAAGAAGTAGAATGGAGCTAAAAACACTATTTTCCTTCTGATTTGATGCTCACTTATTTACTTTATATTCAGATATTCATACTGAAGTCATCTCATAAGAGGCCCACTGTCTGGCTTCTCCCACTGTCCAGTATTTGTGTGTGTGTGTGCTTCTTTCTGTGTGCACTCTGCCTATTCTCTTTTCATACTGACTAGTTAATTTTTGGTTGGGTCAATATTCCTGTTAAATTAAGTGTGGCTCTTTTAATATTATTTCTAAAACCAGGTAGAAGACAAGGCCAAATATGATGCTATCTTTGACAGTCTGAACCCAGTGAATGGATTGTTGTCAGGTGATAAAGTGAAACCTGTTCTGTTGAACTCCAAACTGCCAGTTGACATCTTGGGAAGGGTAAGAATGACAAGCTTTTTAGCAAGGCAAAACATCTGTTTACCCTGTGGAATCCCATAGGATGATGATTCGTAATTTTTGGAGCGTCCGTGAGGCTCTCTATCTCATGCATGGTTTTCACACATAGATTAAAAGACTGAGATCTCTACAAGGGGCAGCTCTTTATAAGCAAACCCCTGCTGTTTGGTTGTTGATCTGCCTTAGTGGCAGGGGGCCTGTGGGCCAGATTAGGCCTTACAGGAATCCATGCCCACCTGCCCCAAACCCCGGGGCATCCATGATGGGTGTGGAGCAGGTAAAGATATGGATGCAGATGAATAACAGGGAGCCTTACAGTATACTCTAACTGTGCCTTAGCAAGTAGGACTTCCTGCCAGTGCTGATCAGTCGATTTCATTGGCCATATTCTGTTCACCGCCCTGTTTTACTTGTTACACAGAGTTATGAAAGAGTTCCCCCTCAAGTTGCTTTTAAATAAGAAAATGACCTGCTTGAAGCTTCAGTTAGGAAGAGAGGAAATGATGCTTTAGCTATTTATCTTCTGCTGTTTTCCCTCTTGAAACCCTCTGTAGCGAGAAAAGAACATTGATGAGGGTGTTTTTGGAAGGGAAAGACTGCTGCCATCCATCTGCACTTGATTGCCGCTTCAAGTAGCTGCTTTTCATGTATAAAAAGAAGCATCTGAGGGAGTGGTTTCAAGGAACTCCATGTAATTAGCAGTTTGGCCCTGAGATGAGTAGCACAAGCATAATAATATGGTTCATAGGGTTGCTGTATTGCAGTTTGAATTGCCAATAGATGTCATTATGGACCGGATGCAGTAATAGTGAAAAGCTGTTCAGGCTATTCTAAAATTTTAGATTTTCCTAAAAGTTAGTTAATAATCTGGTGTTGAGAGTTAGTCATGGTCCAGAAGTGGCAGGTTTGGTTTTTGTTTTGCTCAGAGGAAAAACAGATTTCCAATGTCTAGTGCTGTTGGTATTTAACAATACAATGAAAGAAGCATTAGGAATATGATGAAATAAGGGTAGAATATTCCATTGTGTCCTGAATGTAGGCATGTGCATTTTTTGTTTAGGTTTGGGAGCTCAGTGACATTGACCATGATGGAATGTTGGATCGGGATGAATTTGCAGTTGTAAGTATAATGGTCCTTGTGAGATTCTAAACACACTTTTTAAAGTTTCTGGAGGTTGAATAGAGTATAGTCTACACTTTAAGTCATACTGTACTTTCTTAGAGGCATGTGAATCCAAATATCAGACTGGTTCTTGGAATAGAGCAGAAACTAAATTTACCACCACCAACTTAATTGCTAGACCCTGATGTTGGGAAAGATGGAGGGCACAAGGAGAAGGGGACGACAGAGGACAAGATGGTTGGACAGTGTTCTCGAAGCTACAAACATGAGCCTGACCAAACTGCGGGAGGCAGTGGAAGACAGGAGTGCCTGGCGTGCTCTGGTCCATGGGGTCACGAAGAGTCGGACACGACTGAACAACAACAACGCTTAATTGCTAGATGGAATGATGCCCCCCTCACTGTTCTGGGGTTCTCCCTAACCTCCAGACCCAATTTTGGGGACAGATGGGGAAGAAGCCCCATTGTGCAAGTGAAGATCCTTGTGCAGGGCTTCCACTGACTGGGTTGGTTAGGTTAATCTCACCCATAGGGTTGTATCTTAATGCTGTCTATATGTGAGCAAAACAGATTTCAACTCATGGAACATTGAATTATGCCCTAAGCTTCAAAATCTGAAAATACTTTTAAGTTGCAGTATTTGATGAATTGCCCAGACTCTTGGCATTGTAATGCCTCTAAATGTAACTTTGAACAGATCAAATTCGCAATGGAGGAGTACATGAATGTGAGATAGGTTTTAAAGGTTTTGTTCTTCCAGGTTGCTGCGTTGATTATATAAGCATTGAAATTGCTTAATAATAAGCTAATGCTGTGCCCATCTTTTGTACTTCTTCAAAACTATTTTTCAGGCCATGTTCTTGGTGTACTGTGCTCTTGAGAAGGAACCTGTGCCAATGTCTTTGCCTCCAGCATTGGTGCCACCTTCTAAAAGAAAAGGTGTCAGTATTGCAGGTGGAGTGCATTTGTTGCCACCTTCAGCATCCAGTAAAGAGTCCCATCAGTCCATGCCACCTGTAAGCCTCAAAGCACCATCACCACAGGCAAGCTCACCAATGATCAGCATTTTGTTCTATATTATTAGATGCGTAATGGAAAAATGACCTCTTTTTTTCTCCTCAGTGGGTTGTATCACCTGCAGACAAGATAAAATACCATGACATTTTTTTGAAAACTGACAAAGACATGGATGGCTTCATCTCTGGTGTGGAGGCTAGAGAATTATTCTTAAAGACCGGTCTGCCTTCTGCCTTACTTGCACACATCTGGTAAGATATTTTTTAATGGCACAATCATAATTTCCATTTTTAAAGTGTTGGTGTAGGGTAACACTAGTTATCTGTAGAGAATTAAGTTTTTAGGGAAGAATTAGTATTGCATGTGCACGCACAGGACTTGTCTAACTGAATTGGCAACATGTTTTAACAGGAGAATTCAGGGATTTGTGTCTACCTTTGATGACTATGTCCTTTCCTCCAGGAGAAGGTTCCACAAACCGATGGAGGCCTTGTGTTTGTAGAAGGGCACGTTGGGACTAAACCCAGATAGATTTCTTAATTTGAGGTGGGAGGCTGCCAGCTTCTGATGGAGTTACACACCCTCTGAAGGAGCTGGTACACAGCTTGGGTGTGCTTCTGCTTTAAAATGTTTTAGAAGAAACACAAGTTTACATATCTGCTTATAGTATAAAAGTAAGGAAGATGCTACACACTCTTCCTTGTAAGAGTAGCTATGCTGGGTCAAAGTGCATCTAGGTGATGGGCAACCGCAGTTCTTTTTACCAGCTGCACCTACTGCTGCACCTACTGCAGTACTGAGAAGGCTGTTGTGTATCTGCTAAAATACTCAAAAGTTTCAATACCAGCATCAAAGTTGCATAATTCTTCTAATGAATACATAATTTTTAAGCGGGAGAACAAATGTTGAATCTTTCTCCCTATGGCTTCTACAGGGCTCTATGTGATACAAGGGATTGTGGGAAGCTTTCCCAGGAACAGTTTGCCTTGGCCTTCCATTTCATCAATCTGAAGTTGACAAAGGGCATTGATCCTCCTCAGGTGCTAACTGCAGATATGATCCCTCCATCAGAGAGAACTGCTCAACAAAAGGTGACATTTTTGCATATTTTATGATATTTTGGACTTACTTTAAGATACCCCCTTATTTTTTTTGTCACAGGCCCTTGGGTTAGTGTGCCTAATGATGTGTAAACAATTCTGCTGAACAGAGAGATGAGTTCACTACCTTATATCTATTTTGTTGGTTTTCCCTTCCCCCTCACATAGACAAAGAAAGCAGACACGTCATTTTTTTAAAAATGAAAGGAAGAGATGGTTGAATTTGGAGCAGGGGGAAGGGATTGGGACCTGTTTATGAGTATTGTCAGCAGAAAGAGGCTCTGGTTAATCTAGTGCTGTCATAAGCTCATAGAGGTTCTCATCGACTCTTAGGGTTAGGCTTCAGTACAAAGTTGTACAGGATGAGATTTGGTAAGAATATTGGGGGCAGTTCAGTGCACGCAACAGAGGCATACATATGGAAGTGTCTATGGCCTTGCGCTGAAGGGGAGGGGTGGAGCTGCTGTACGTTCAAGGAACTCCTGTCTAGGAAGTACTGGCACGGTTGATACATAAATTCTGTTGCCCACCTTTGTAACATTAAAAATGTGCATTTCATGTTAAGGACTTGCATGATTCCTAACCTCCTTGTTTTAACGATGACCTACCATAATAACAAATTTAAATAGGGTTAAGTCTCACATCATTTTTTGCGGTTTATTTTTAATCAGTATATGCCAGGTAAAAACAAAAGTTTGGTGAAATCAGATTTGTGTTGATAGCGTTCTTTGCTCATTTGGCCCTAGAAAATTTCTTTTTGGTTGTGCTAAACCAAAACGAATCAAACTTCCAGCCCAGAAATGACTCTCAAGAATTCTGCATTTTCTTTGAATTCAATAATATCAGGTTTATTTTTCATTATTTTGAAAATCTGCTTTTATTTCTTGCTTTACTAATCTTTTTTGTATGTTTGCTTTCCTTCTATGTCTTTCCTAGTTTGGACTATATTTTCCATTCTGCACCATTCTGCTTTACATCTTTATTATACTGTCAGTTTCTTAAATCTGCCATCTCAAGGTTAGAGATTCTTCACTTTTCCAATATTGACTGTTTAATAATGAGCATCTTTCTCATGTCACATTTTATTTGAAACAGCAGAATGCTGCTTAATTCTCAGAAGTAGTGCTATTATCATATAGCTTTTGTCATCCCAAGGTCTTTGCTGTACTTGAACATTTATAGAATAATATACTGCCATGTACTTTATTTTGACACCTGTATGAAGGAAATAGTGTTAGGTAAAAAAGTATTTAAATTCAGATTATACTATCAGTTTCTTGGGGTTAGATATGCCCAGGTGTAAGATGCAATTACTCATCAGAATTGCACATTTGCTTCAATTATCATAAAACAGTTACACTGTAGAGTAATTAGCTTATAGGTAGGCACATTCAGTCTTAACCAACTGACAATCTAAGTTAGCAGTGTAGACAGCAATTGCATTTTTGGCTGTTAAGGGAAGAAATGTTATCAACTTTACTGCGACTATTGAATATAACATAAGGAATTCAGCAATAGCATGTCTTTTTAGCAGCGCAGCACTGTACTTCTAAAACTTGGATTACCTTTTAAGCTTGTGTCTTTCCCTGGTTAAAATTGTACTCTAAATTGCACCTTGTCAGTTACATTTTCTACTCACATCTTCATATCGGAAGGTGAATAGCATATATCTGTTGCATAATGTCTTCTTTTTACAAATATAGCTATGGTGTCACTATTGCAAGTAAAGCAATAGGAGACTTTTTGCAAAATTCTGACTAACATGAATGAGGCAACAATTATCAAGAGAACCTCATTACTTCCTAATGAGTTAATATGCAAATTATACTATACTATTTATTGGCAGTAGCCTTTGTGCTGGTCAGGTCCGTCTTTAGCATATGTGCCGCTGGGGTGCAAAGATCCGCCCAGTGTTCCTTTGTGGGGGGGTGAACTCAAAGTTGTGGAGCTTTTTTGTTTTTTTTTGGGGGGGGGGAATCGCTCACCTATAACAACGCAGCAGAAAAAACTGCTTTTGTTTCCTGACACATCAGGAGTATTTGACGGAGGAGTGGGGCGGCCAAATATCGAGAGGGACCAGTTTGCAGTGGCTAAACATTTGGCGCCCCCCAGAATTCTCACCGCACCCCTTGCACCCCCGGGTAAAAACGGCCCTGGTGCTGGTGCTTATCCCCCTATAACAGCCCTGTATAGAATGGATTGGGCAAGCCCCTTTATAGCTCCACTGTATCCAGTCCCAACATCTGAAAACCTGATAGGATCAAAGGAAACCCAGTGCAACTGTTGTACCTCGACTTGTAGTTAGAGCACAGGTGTGTATGGGCAGTGTGCTGTAGATGATCCTTGCCTCCTTGCCGTGGATTGGATGCCACTTCAGCTACTTGCACCACTGCAAATTGTGCTGCTTATTTAGATCCATGGCAAACCATATTTTCTCCTTTGTCTTGCAGAACATGCTAGGACCAAGTCCTGTAGCAGACTTTTCAGCAATCAAAGAGCTGGATACTTTAAGCAATGAAATAGTTGAACTACAGAGGTAAGTAAATAGAATTATGCATTTTGCTTGCACTGTTTTCATTTAATTGCCCATAACTTCATTTACACTACATAGCAGGAAGGTACAATTCCTTTAAATGAAATGCATCCCCTAGAACCCCACCATGACATGTAGCTTGTCATGTTTACATGAATGAAACGCTTAATGGGTACCTCATATGCCTTCAGGTTCGAGGGCATTTCTCCCATGGGCTCACCAAAATCATGAACCTGGTCTTTATGATTATAGACCCAAGAGATTGAAGATGGATAGAAAGGGAGAAGTACAAAATGATTTATGAAGTGATGAAAGTCAAAGTAGCATGTTTAGGTTAGAGAAGGGTCAAATAATTTTATTTTATTTTTTATTAAATTTGCCATCCCATCTGATGTCAGGAAGCCACTCAAAGTGCCCCAGTCTGTTCTGGATTGAGCTTCAGTTTGTAGGCTCTCATTCAGTCAATAATAGGGACAAGGCAACGGTCTACCACATCCACTGCTGTACCTACGCTTTACAGAAATGAGACAGTTTACAGCTGATGGAAAAGAGAAGAGGGTAGAAGACGTGGATAGAGAAGTGAGAGAGAGAGCTGGTGTGGGGGTAGATGGAAATGCAAAATAAGACTTGTGAAACTTTGACTGAAATGTGGAGTCAATCAGCTGGAAAAATGAACGGGGGGAAAGGTTAGAGAATGAACTTGTAGTCTGTCAGTATTGCCTTTATCAACATCCAGTTGCAGAGGAATATGTAAGGTGCCTTCTACCTTATCTTGCCTTTAATATTGCATCTGTCTACTAATGTAAGATTTATTTGAGGTTACTTGAATTTTTAGCATTTAAAAGTCTACCATGTTTATGTGCATTATTCAGATAACTACTTTCTGTATTTTTATGTTCAGTGCTAAGAAATTATTGGCTGCAACTGTGCCTATCTGTCCTAGATATAACAGCATGCTCTAGATAAATTCTTCCAAGTGGATTTACATTTGTTTCTTAAACAAATGGAAAAAGTCCTTACCTTAGGAAACTGAATATCTATGTTCTTGATTAGGGGAATTAAAAAAACCCCTGTACAGTACAGTTCACTGTATCAGTGTTTACACAGTGGTTAAGAGAAGGCTGGTATGTGTATATATACTTGTTTTGAAATAATTTAATTGTGTAGTGTTTTGATAAAACACATTTCCTTTTCTAATTTCAATCTTGCCTTCAGGATTTCAAAGCAGGTGGTCATAATAGTCAGGCACATTATTTGTATGACAGTGGCTTCTGGTATTCTCTGACAGAGATAGGATCAATAGCCTTGACAATAATGAAATAATGAAATTAGTTATGTTGAATGAAAAGCAAAGCATATGTGATGCCTTGCAAAAGGAACCTGCGTCAACATCAATGCAGAATTGTGTGATTTCTTTCCCCTTTGGCTAGCGTGCTCCTTCAGTTGACCTCTGCTGTTCTGTTTATTTTAGTTTCTTCTGTGTTGGCTGATTATAAGCACATTCATCTCTGGTGCTATTTATGGATGTTGTCTGTTGTGGAAGATCTCAATAGTTGTAATACAGGAAAGAGCTATAGGAACAGATGCAAATCTGCATATGAGATTTTACTTTGCCTTGAATATCACAGCAAGGGAAACTTGTCAATCGTTGATCAAGTGGCAGGCCATGCTACCTGCTGAAAATATTGAAATGCATGAATAATTACCAAGCTTGAAAGTATCTCTAAGGATTTGGAAACTTTTTCAATTAAAGAACGAAGAGGAAACCTGAAATGCTAGCATACTGGGCACCCTCATACTTGCTGGTTCTCCCTTTCCCCTTCCCCCATCTCAATATTAATCTCCTGAAATTGTTGCTTAAAATTGTTGTTATTATACATGCAGCGACCTTTATGTACAGAGTTCCATTCCTGGCCCCCCACACGTGTTGGTAGGGCGCACATAAGCGCCCCCATTCCACCCTGCCCCGTTCCACCCTCTTCCCAGGTCCAAAAGGACCTGTGCCTCAGTGATCATTCTTCAATTGGACTCACCTAAAATGGTCGCTACCTGAAATTATTATTTCCCACAATTCACCATCAGGTCCCAGGGTGGGTCACAACATTGTAAATGACAATATTACAAGCAGTTTACAACCAATTACAATCACTGCTGGAGAGGGTCCTAAAAAGAACTATCTCAGTATATTATCTAATTATCCACTGAGCTATTGCGTCAATACAGTGGTACCTCGGGTTACATACGCTTCAGGTTACAGACTCTGCTAACCCAGAAATATTGCTTCAGGTTAAGAACTTTGCTTCAGGATGAGAACAGAAATTGTGCTCCGGCGGTGCGACAGCAGCAGGAGGTCCCATTAACTAAAGTGGTGCTTCAGGTTAAGAACAGTTTCAGGTTAAGTACGGGCCTCCGGAACGAATTAAGTACTTAACCCGAGGTACCACTGTATAACTTTCCTGCAAAGTATAGCAAAATGCTAGCAGGGGAAGAGTGGAGGACAGCTCCCTCAGTGAAGGGAGTGTGTGAACCCGGGGTAAAAAGATCTGTAAGGTTACATTAGGACAACCTGCCCAAGTATTTGGTCATATATTGGGGAAACTGCACATTGTAATGGTTTATTGGACACAAGTGTTTCCATGTGGCTTCATGCAGTCAGATCCAAAAGTCCCATTCTATGCACAGGATGTCTCTTCCTCGCAGATAGGCTATTAAAACCTTGTTCTAGAACATCCTATGAGGGAAATAATACCTGATCCCAAGATGCTTTTTTCACTTGCGCAAGAGCTTGTGAAAATATGAAAATTATAGAACCTGTGTATCATTTCACTGCATGAAATCTGCTAACACTTGCATGTATGTGTGTGCAAAATTATGCTAGCAGCAATTTTCCTCCTGTTTATGGCCCTGGATCTAACCCATGATTGGGAATCTGCTGTTTAGCTGCTTCCAGATTTATGTTTCAAAAAGAGGACAAAAATGCTCACTCCACTGTTCGTTTTTATCCATATTGCAAAGATCAGATTAGTATTTTTCTAGGAAAAAATAATCTGGTTGCTCAAGTCTATTCAGTTATAGTTCTGGTTCTAAAAGGGTTAAACAGATGGAAGCTGATGCAATCCCTCCCTCTTTTCACCAGACAATTGCTCCATAGCAACAGTGAGATCACTGAAGACAGTATTTCATTGATTCTTCCCCCCCTCCCTCCCTTTCATCTCTGCTTTCTCTTTAAGCTGTTATTTCCACCTACCCATGTCTGGGAGAGTGAAAATTGTATATGTAGAACATTTCCTTTTTCTTCTTCGTAAATAAAGGAACAGAAACTCATTCCTATAAATTTAATGTTCCACTATGTATTTAAAAAGAGAGACTGGCTTAGGGGGTTGGATAACTGTACCTGGTGTAGCTGATGTGCTTAAATATTCCTGCATTGTTTGCTGGTCTTCTAGGGAAAAGAATAATGTGGAGCAAGATCTAAAGGAAAAAGAAGACGCAATCAAACAGAGGACAAATGAGGTCCAGGTAATTTCAGTGTAAATTTGTGTGGTTTTCTTGTGCTTTGAACAATGTGTTGGATGAACTGCCTTAGAGCTTGTTGAAAAATATATTGCAGTAAGTGTCCTTAGCAAATGCACTGCAAATAAGGGTTCTGCACATGCTGATGTAAGAATTTTATTACCTTAGGAATTTTGAATGGAAATGTCATGTTAAATGCCTGCAGGATATGGTGCTTAAGGAGAGATGAGGAAAATGTGGCATGTTTGCGGAGGAAGATACTGTTCTGGTCCACAGTATTAGAATTTTAAGCACTGTATACCATAACACATTTAGGATTTTGTTTCCTGCAGATAAAGGATTGCACCTAGGCACACATTTGTCAAGCTTCTCGTTTCTTACCCATAAATGCCATTGAGTTCATCGAATTACCCAGGCATAAGTGATACTAAGATTGTGTCCTAACCTATGCTGTAGCTGGAGGGGTGGGACTCCAGAGCATCTAAATGTTGAGCAAAAACTGCTTTTGCTTAAATTTAAAAATCCGTCCAATTTGGCTATCGTCATTCAGTGGCAACCTCTTATTTATTGAGCATTACAGTCTTTTCTGGTGAAACACAATCAGGCGGTGTCTTACACAGAGCAGTTTATTTGTGAGCAATTTTTCTCGCTAGATGATGGTGAAATCTGTTTTCATAAGGTGATGAGAAGTGCACTTCTTTTTAATGATAGCAAAAAGTGAAGCCTGAAATGGGCCATTTATTATAAAGTAAAATCATATTTCTCTAAACATTTTTAATGGTTATTGATTTTCCTTTTCCTTTAGTAGCTCCTTGTTATAGAAGCCATATAGTACTGAAATTTGATTAATAGAAAATGAATTAAAGGATTTGAAAGGGATGGTATTACTGGAGATCTTCTTGTCTTCATAAGCTAAGGCAGAATTTTCAACTAGGAATTGGAAATGGTGGTCTTTTTTAAAAAAAAATGGATTATGGACTCCTGAAATGCTTATTCCTCTAAATTTACCTATTCAGTTATGTTAGTATGAAAACTAAAACTACAGTTTTCCCCAAGAAACTTGTTGAAATACAATATTAGGAGGCCTACTGTAGGATTGTTTGCTTTTCACCTAGTGAGGCAAGCTTTGGTAGGAAAGCAGATATTTTTAATACGTGTGTGAGAGTAAGGCTTCCTTTTATTTATTCCAATAATAAGAATGCTTTACATATTTGAGTAACAAGTTAAGAACTTTCAGTTATGTTTTATGTTTAGAGGCACAAATAGACTTCCTGCCTTAGTATGCATTGAAACTTTTGAAGATGAGCCTTGATCAGAAATGCAAGAGTTTCCATGGTTTGATTTCATACCAAGAAATCAACATTGAAATTAAATTACGTAAGAAATGTCTCTGAAGAGTCATATGTAGCTTTAGAAAGGGTGAAACTGGACATTAAGAGAATGGCATTTCAGACACTCAAAATGAGTTGTGCAAATCAATGCAGTATTTACTGAAGTGGAGTAAATTGAAATGGCATGATATGTGCTATAATAAAAGAAATATATGGACTTAAACGTGAAAGCATTCAATACGTTTAATTCATCATATAGAAAAGGCATTGAACAGATTGAAAGGTGTCTGTTCTTCTATAGATCTGTTTTCACATCTATGAACCTAATTTCCTTTTCATAATTAGGTTTCTGAAGTTAATTATCCTTGCTTGTTTTTATTTTGGAAAGGTTGTTTTGATCATCTCAAAATGCTATGCTTTATAAACTTCAAAAAGTGTAGTGGCTTTATTTAACCTTGCTTGCGTGCATTACTGTAGCAATATATTGTCTTGTGGGCATACAGAGCAAGTGTGTGGAATATTCTCCTTAATTCAAGTGTCTTGTGCAGGGGTAGGCAACCTAAGGCCCGGGGGCCGGATGCGGCCCAATCGTCTTCTAAATCTGGCCTGCAGACGGTCTGAGAATCAGCGTGTTTTTACATGAGTAGAATCTGTCCTTTTGTTTAAAATGCATCTCTGGAATATCAGCTAAAAAAATTTCTGAACATGTTACAGTACTTACTTTGTTCCTTTTCATGTTATTGTTTTTAATTCTGTGTCAAAATAGACAATTCTTCCTTCTGAAAATGTGTGATATAAACACCATCTGCTTCATTTTTGTCATAGAAAACAATTTATATGCTTTCTGTCTTGTTTTCTTGGATTTTTCCATTGCCTCCTGCCACCCCTTCCATTTTTCTGCATATATCATATGGTCTAAATCTTCAAACTGTCATACTTTTTATGAACATGAATACATTAAATGCTTTTTAAAAAAAAAACCCAAAAACTTATTTGCAAAATTCCAGGATCTTCAGGAAGAAGTAAAAAGGGAGAGCAATAATTTACAGGCACTGTTGGCTCAGAAGCAGGAAGCAGAGGAAATCCTTAATAATCTTGATGACGAGAAAGCCAAGCTGGAACAGCAACTTAATGTAATCCGGCAGAAATGTGTTGAAGAAGCTGATTTGGTAGGCAATGGTAGCTCATTTGTGAAAACGCCCCTAAGTTTATTGCAACTCTTCACTGGAGCAATAGTAATATATATATATGTGATGTGAAAAAGAAAATAGCTGGAATGGGAAAATGTTGCTGTTCTCACATTATAAAGAACAATTGACTGAAGATTACTAAATTTGTTTCAAATTTAAGCCTTAAAGTGAGGGGGAAGAGATATTGCCATGATTGCAATGTAACTCTTATTGGTATGCTTCAATGGGTGCTATATCCTTCTAAGAATCCATATTGTTGCCTTGTTTGGTACATGCACTGTGGGCTCTTCCTCGAAGCTATGTTAGACATTTCGGACATGGTTATGGTGCTGTTTTAAGGCCAGTTGCTATTAATCCTGGCCTAAGTTTGGATGGGCGCAGTCTTAAGAGTCTCATGCCCAAAGCAATTCATTTTTAAAACATAACAGCATATTCCTACAAAAGAAAAAGAATAAATAAATATAAAGTTGTGGTTTGGCTAACCCTGTCATAGCAATGTAGTGCTCTCCAGATGTTATTCAGACTGCTAAGCCCAAGCATGCAGTCAGTGGGTCAGAGCTGATGGAGAGTCTGCTCTCCAGGTACTGTCAGATCATCAAATTAGCTACTTTTCAATTGTAGTGTGCTCAGGTGTGGTAAAATCTAATAATGAGTAAACTTGAACTGTCACTGACTCAGTTCAGAATCATGCGCCAAATCCTCAGAATCATGGTGTGGAAGATCAGGAATGTGCTACTTGCACTTGTACTCTTTTCTGTTCCTTTTCTTTCTTGAGCAAGCAATGATTCTCCATTGCATCTGAAGGGGACAGACTATGACTCCTTTAAACAACAATAAAGTTGTCAGTCTGTGAAAGATGAAGGAGGCAGACAGCAACGCATTCCTGATCCTCCGCAAACTGGTTTTGCAGATCAGGAACATTGCATTTTAACTGACCAATTCAGATGCCATAGTGGGAATAGTGTTTATGCAGTCCAGCTTCTTTCTTTTACTTATGCAGTGAAAACCGTGCTGCCGCAAGTACTTCTTCCATAGTAAATAGCCATACTGCTGTAATATGGAATTTTTTGAAACCAGAAACTACTAGAACTAGTTCCTAAAGGCAGATCTTATGGAGTCTATATTCACCAATTCAAATTAATCTGTACCTGTAATTAAACATGCTACTTAAAAAAAAAATGTTTTGGGGCAAAGTTGTGTAGTTTCTAACTTATTTTGTTTTCCGCTCTGCAGATCTCATCACTAAAGGCAGAAATAACTGATCAGGAGTGCAAAATCTCCACATATAAAGATGACTTGAATAAAGCTCAAGAAGAGCTTGGCAGGCTGCAGCAGGAAACAGCAGAGCTAGAGAAGTGTGTCGAGACGGGGAAATTGCAGCTGGGGCCTCTTCAGGAGGGTCTTCAGGAGTCACAACAAGAAATCACTTCAGTAAGAAAATAAGAGAACCCATTTTTCCTTGTTGCCTTTTCTACCAGTCCCCAAATTTTGCTGTTTGAACCAGCCCCCCCCCATTTCATTGATATCTAGCAAGGATTATCACAACTAACTCTGCTATTTAAAACTGAAAGAGCAGTGTGTAAGGTAGAGATTCACAAGCACATGGCAGGCAGCCTCCCTCTTTTGCCACAGAACAATCAGGAGTGCTCTTTAAGGCTTCAAATTGTTCCTTTGCAGCCTCAACTGTGCCCGTGGCAGTCCATTACTTAGGACATTCTAGCTAGCTCTTTTATTTGCCTGTGAAAAGCTTAAATTCATAGTTGTCATGTGCATTAGTTGGACCAGGAAGATATGAGTTCAAATACTAGCTTGGCTACAAAGCTTATTGAATGGTTTTGGGCCTGTCACTGTTCTTTAGGAAGACATACCTGTCTGTGTGGTTGTGGGGACAAATGAAGGCAATTCTTTGGTGACAAGGCTGAGTAGAAATAAAATTATATTGTGTAGCTGCTCACCACTAAAGAGGGGATTTGGTGAGATAATAAGAGTGACATTCTGTATTCCCCAATTCACTGGATACACTCCTGTTTCATGGTGCTTTCTCTACTACTACGGTCAGTCACTTGTTGTAGTTTGGCTTCTTTGAATAAACCAGGAGTAGTGGACCTGTGGTCTTCCTGATGTCATTGGATAACAACTCCCATCATCTCTAGCCAATGACCATGTTGGCTGGAGCTAAAAGGAGTTGACGTCTTAACAGCATCTGGGAGGCCAAAGGTTCCTCATCCCTGAAACAATCTTTTTAAACTCAACACAGTCTGGCCTGATTCAGACCTAATGACAAACTGCAGGATGCTTCCAATCTCTTCCTTGCAGCCACACTGGATAAGGGTGGGGAGCACTTGCCCCTGAAGCTCAAGCTGTTTAATTCCTGTAGTTCTGGGTTCTGTCTAACCTGGAGCAAAATATACTTTTCTTGGATCACCTGGTAGTATGTTAGGATGCTGCAGCATTAATCTTCCCTTTTTACTGGAGCCTTTTTTTTGCACTGAAGTACTTAATACTGAGAAATGTGCAAAAGAGTACTATAGTCGTTGCAGAAATTGTGCTTGGTCAATACAGGCGTTGCAAAGCAAATTTCCCAAGTGATCAGAGTTTCTATTGAGCATTATGTATAAGCGGCATATTTACAGATTAAGGACCATCCTAATTTTTGCTCATTTTTGAGAGGTTGAAGTACTTGAGTTCCTACTCAAGTAGGAGGGGGGCGGATAGAGGACTTATTTGTAAGAGACATAGAAGGGTTGCTCACTGCAGACTTTTAACATCCCACAGAAGGAACTAAAATGAAAACTTGATTCTGAAAAGAGGCATGCAATACCTTAAATATGTGAGTTGCATATGCTATTTTTATGTTGTTAAGTATATTTATTGTTTTCTCTTCACAGGTGCAAACAAAACTATTTGAACTCAAAGAGTTGGAAAACGGCCTCTTTAACTGGGAGCCTCAGCCACAGAACACACTACTTAATGGAAATGGCAACCATTCAAGCCTCAGCAACAGCAGCAGTGAAACTGCTAACTTTAATGAGAATGCTGAAAGAGAGAATTCAGCAGATTCTGAACAAATAAATCATGAACCTCCTGTGAGTATTGGTTTTTTTGTTTTGTTTTATTAAACAATTAGATGCAAAACACATTATCAAGCTTGAGTTTACAAAAATAGCAAGTTTGTCTGCCAATAAGGTTTCTGTTCAAAAGTCAAGATTTATTATATTGAGATGCTTGTATAGATTGGTGCATTGTTTATCCTTTTCCAATATGCTGCCCTCAGCCAACTAGTTCATAGAGATTTGTGGGAATGTGCTACTTCAGTTTCTTGTATTTGTTAACGCTATTCAGAGACTTCAGTGTTCAGAATGATATTTGGGGAGGAGGCCACAGTGTATGAGACCATAGGTTTCCTTCTTCCAAAGTTCCATTCTATTGAAGGTATTTTTAATTTTTTAAGCCCTCAGCGTTGCAGAGGACAACCTTTTTTACCTTAATATTCTTAAGCCATCAGAAAAGGCAGAACTGGTAAAATGCTTAAATCCATATACTAAACCTCTTTCCAAGTCCATTTTTATTATTTGAGGTTGGTCTACATCAGTAATGGAGAACCTGTGGCCCTCAAGATCTTGCTGGACTGCAACAGGATTCCTATTGGCCATGCTGGTTTGTTTGGGGCTGATGGGAATTGGGAGTCCAGCAACATCTGAATGGCCACAGGTTGCCCATTGCCTGGTCTACATCTAATTGCAACCTATCCCAACTAAACTTTGATAGCATCACCCACCTTTGGGAAATGTTACAATACAGTTAAAATATGCAAATTTCCTTAGTGCTTTGGCCCCAGGTATTCTGGTGCAGCTCTTAGTGATAATTTAATTGGCCACTTTTCATGGTTTTGGGCAATCTAAATCTATTACTGGACAGAATGTGCCGTATCCAGTGTTAGTACTACTCGGTGTAGACCCATTGAAATTGAAGTACTTAAGTTAATCATATCCATTAATTTCAATGAATATACTGTGAGGAAAACCTATGTTGGATACAACCAAATAACGTTGGTTTGGTTTTGTGTCTTATTGTCCTTTCCAGATGTAATTCTCAAATGTTTCAGAAACAATATAGCACATTCCTTTTTATATAATGTGCTTGCCCACTGTCTACTTGTAGTTGCTTGTAAGGATGATGTTAGCCGTTGCTTATAAGGTTCACTTCTTAAAAGAATACATGAGTTAGCATGAGCAGCATTGGTATTGAAGGTGAACGTGTGCCAGAAATGAACAGATTGTGAACAGCAATTCTGTAAACAATATTGCTATATAGACTTGTCACTAATGGTTAGATGTGTTCACAAATTGAAATCATTACCTTTAGTATGTATCTATTCTCACTTCAGTCTCTTAACTTTTGTATATCCCAGTGTAAACAGAAACTTTAGCTCAGTCAGTAGAGCATGAGACTCTGAATCTCAGGGTCTTGTGTTTGAGCCCCACGTTGGGCAAAATATTCCTGCATTGCAGGTGGTTGGACTAGATGACCCTCATGGTCCCTTTCAATTCTGCAGTTCTGTGAATAATTCTGTGGATCATTCTATATGTAAACATACTTTCCCCCTCAAAAGGTCAGGAATAGTCCAGACACAACACATGCAGAAGCAGAAGCAGAAGAAGCGGAGGTTGTGCCACCAGATGTTACCAAAAAAGTGAGTTTGTAGAGCACTTTAAAATGCCTCATTACATATAGTATTGTATGAAACTTAATGCATTCCTTAATTTTGCAGGAATGGGTGTCAGGTTAGTGAAGTAATTTGGTGCTGACTCACTGACTTGGATCCAGAGTAGCCCTTTTGCAAATGGAACTGTCTATCCATTGAGTTTTTCCCATTCTTCCTGCAGATTCCTGCAGACTTCTGTGCTATCTCCAACCAAATGAAGCAGGGTTTATTGGGGGTGGGGGGGAATTTGAGGAAATTGTTCCTTTCTCCTCTCTCTCCCAACCCCCAGTGAGTGAAAGATTGAATTCTACTTTAGACAATTAGAAAGTGGGATGGATCCCATGAAGTTGCATCCCTCTCATACTTAATTCCATGTATGTAAAATAAGTGTAATTACTGACGTCACAGATGGGATGAGGAGATTTGTACAATTGTGCAATGTATTTCTTTCCTACTAGGGAGATCCATTTAATGAAGAATCCCATCAGCTCTCTGATCAGGCTGAAGGCTCCAATTTAGACTTCTTTGAGGCTGACCCCTTTGTTGGTAGTAAGTTATCTTTCATTCTGCTTGTATTTATTGTTTATGACTGCTTTTGTGTTATCTGTAATTATGTAATTTTTTCATGTTGTATGTAGCATGTTGAGCATGATTTTAACTATGGAAAGGTGGCATGCAAATAAAATGATATATGTATGTAGCCTATTCATTGAAAAAAGTGTTTAATGTCATTAAGCTGAATTTCCATTAGGTTATGTGAACATAGATAGATAGCAATAGATATTCCCGCCCTCCTACACACACACACACACACACACACACACACACAGAGGCGTGGAGTGCTTAGCACTTTCTGGGAATGTGAAGAAACGACAACAAAAAGTGATTCTGAACCATCATGCCAAAAAACGGGTGAATAACACCAAAGTCACATTTCAGTCCGGTATCCCAAAATCAGTGTGGACCTCCACCTTGGGATGATATCTTGAGAGGTGGCTAAACCTATGCAAGAGAGGGTGAAGTCACACCAAAGTCAGATTTCTGTCTGCCATCTTGATTCAAAATGTTGTTTGGCATCCAAATGTCAATTAAGAGTGCTGCCCCCTTCCCAGGAACCCTCAAGAGGCGTTACATACAAGGGCATAGAGAGAACAAATAAACAAATGGACACATCATTTCCTAAAATATATACAGTAGTAGATTATGGTACAAATTGATATTCTGTAAAGGCTTGGATTTCATTCTAAAATGTTAGGTCAGTTCTGGTACTGTTCAGTTTAAATCTGTCTGAGCAGTTTACAGCTAAATACAATAAAATATAGAAATGAAACAAAAGAGACAAATGAGAATAAAAATAAAAGAGCAAAGGATAAGGGGAAAACTTCAGTGAAAATTCTAATTCAAATGAAAGGTCTTGGGGGAGGTGGGGGAGGAAGGAACCCTACCTTGGGCAGGTTTTCCTTTTACCTCTGCTTTGTTTTCTCAACATCACCTTTCCCCCTTGCTTTCTCCAGTTTTCAAAATTGCATGTGCATTGTTGATAGACTGTTGTGTTCAGGAAGTAAAATAACTGGTATGCAGAACCTTCTCTGTGGTTACCATGCAGTGATGTGTATTTGGCTATAATATTTCTTACTAAATGAGGGAAATAACAGCAGGAAAATGGTTCTTTTAAAATACTGATGCTCTTGAATTGCTGTTTTGACCATCTTGTGGTTAGCATTTGTGAGGTGAGTCTTGGCAGATTGTGAGGGCCTAACCATGTGTGTTGCATACTAATGCATATCAAAGTGCTCTAACTCTGGGGTGTGGGAGGGAGAGCATAGCCAAGACCTTTTCAAGAACTGGCAATTTAGAGCAGAGAAATAGCAGGGACAGAAATGTTTTAATAGCCCAGTGCCTTTCCCAGGGTTTCAATAAAAGTGTGTGTGTCCTTGCCACCCCAGGGAGCTGTCACATGAAGGAGAGGATCAAACCAGCCCCATAGATATCAGTGCCACAAAAGTGAGCAGTCCTTTGTTCTTTTCATGATGCTTCTCCCTTTACCTCCTAATAGGCAAGCTCATCTCATTTTGAAACTGTATGAGAGCACTGAAGAAGAAAACAAGGTTGCACTTAGTTGTAGGAGCTGTTCAAGTGGTTCTGTGCAGGGATGCTATTCCTCCCATGTCCTTTGATGTCAAAGCTCATAGCATACATACCTGAGAGCTTCTGCAACAGGTGAAGGAAATGAAAGGAGGATGAAGGGCAGATAAAAATTTTAGATGAATGGGAATACAGGTTGAGCTCCTGCAATATCCCATGAGTGGCCTGTGTTGTATACAGCTGACCAGGGTAAAACTGCACAGAACCATTTGACACTCCTTCACAGGTAATTAGAGGTATGTTTTTGCCCCTAAAGGTCTGTACAAGTGCTAGGGAAAATATTTACATGTGATGTTTCACTCTTTAAAATAGGTGATCCTTTCAAGGATGACCCTTTTGGGAAGATTGGTGAGTTACTCTTTTTTTTTTTTTTTTTAGTTCACAAGCAGGACATTTGAGGAACTTGTTGGGGACTGTAATTTTTTATTTGGAGTAGAAATGGAAGAACTGGAGCTCTATATGAGTTCAGCCTTAGCAGGTTTCCCAAACAAATGTTACCTGTGATGGAGAACTCAATTACATTAGGCAACACAAGGATGCTCACTTTGCAGAGGAAGCTATGGGAAATGCTGAGCTTATTAGAACAAGGAGTAACCCAACTTTGGGCACACAGATCTCCTAACATCAGAAAGTGCTTTGTCTAGGAAGTGCTTGAGGCTGAGACCCAACATCTTCTACTAACTGGCATGTGGTTATGGCATCCTATTACTTGCCTATTTGTGCCATTTAAGGGAAGCAGAAGGGAGTTCTGTGAACAGATTTTGGGAGGGGGAAATTCAGGAATCATCCAGTCCAAGCTTACCAAGCAGCTAGAGAATTCTAAATGTTGCCATGAAATGTGTTTTCCTTCTCTTCTCCCAGTGCATTGAAGGCATCATTGTAGAACATTTTCTTCAGAACCTTTTCATAATGTTTACTCCCTTCTGCTTTTTGTTGATTAATGGTGTGGTCATCTTTGCCATCTTCAGAGAGGATAAAGATCAGTTGCTGGGAATTGCAGGTGGGGAGAGGGTTGTTGTGCTCTGGTTCTGCTTACCAGCTGGTCTCTGTAAGAACAGGATGCTGGACTAGATGGGCTTTTGGCCTGATCCAGGAAGGTGGGTTCTTGGTTTCTTACCTTCTCTGCTTTTAAAACTGCTGAACAGACACCCTCTGCCAAGCTGATGTTCCTAAAGAATGCTACCTCTCTCCTCCATTCACCCTCAAATTTTCCTAATTATTTTTTAACTCTTCTTCCTGCTTCAAGCTTTTAGAGGTTAGAAGGTATTTATACAATGTGTTTCTTGTACATGCAAGCAGCCCTAGCTTTTTAATGTGTCAGCACTAACAACAAATTTTAATGTGTGATTCAGGCAATAAATGATATTAGCCCAGCCAGATGGGTGGGGTATAAATAAATGATGATGATGATGATGATGATGATGATGTAAGCAATTATGTGGTGCCATGGACTGCAGAAGAGGTAGTTGAAGCAGTAGCTAAAGTTCCTGTTAGCAGGGTGAATATCCAAACATGTCATAGCATATGCTCATGTAAGTGCATACTCAGAGAAGGCAAGGACTGCTTACATTGACATTTTGTGTAAGCCATATTTAGGTGAACGCTTCAAGTGAGAGGAAGCATATAACAAGCTAGCCCCTATACTGGGCCTTTGTGCAAAACAGAGCATTGTAGTAGATAGGCACTACTTAAATGAGCAAGATTACTGTGCACGTACTTCTATAAGAGAATGCAAAACATTTTCAGCAAGTGAATGCAAAACATTACTTCAGTAATAAATCTTGACTTGGTTTTCTTTAAGATCCTTTTGGTAGTGATCCTTTCAAAGGTTCAGATCCTTTTGCAGCTGACTCCTTTTTCAAGCAATCATCCACAGATCCTTTTGGAAGTATTGACCCCTTCAGTGCAACCAGCAACAGCAATAATTCCACGGTAAGTCTGGAAGAAGTACATGTACATCTATTGGGGTAATGAACTGAAGCACCACCATAGTATTTAAATAGGGAATGCTGCTAGTTTCTCTAACTCAATGAACATGTGTGTTTTAAATGCAGTAGGCTGTTGGCAATTGATCTCTGCAGCTGTATTGCCATTCTTTTGTGACATCTTGAAGTGAAGTGCTTCGCCCCCTAGAATCCAGAAATATTAGATCATAAGATATTTGGAAATGAATAAATAGAGAGGTGTTGTAACAGGAAATGTTCAGAATTACTGTTCCCAGTTCCCATTTTTAAATAAGGGTTTACTCATTTGGTAGCTACTTTGATCCATGAAAGAAGTAACATAATATAACCAGCACTTGACTGTGTAACAGTTCAGGTGATTTCTGCAGAGTGCTTGTGTTTTTAAAAACTTTGCATGGATAGCAGCTGGGCTTTGGTTGACTTAGCCATTTATCTGAGGTTCTGTTGAGATTTAATAAGCATCTCTGGATCCTGGCAGCTTCAAACAAAACATTTGTTTTAATACTACTGATTTGAAAGTAATTTTCCAGATAGTTTAAGTAACAATGCCTGGAAGGAATATACTTTAAAAGGCACAAGGGCAGCTGAAGGTTCAAATTTCAATCTAATGGGTGATTGGTTTCTTAAAGAAAGAAATCTCTGCCTTCATGGGAGATTGATGCAATTTTTGAGAGCAAAACTAATATTTTCTGTATTCTTCAGCAAATAATTAAGGATGACATTAGTATAGGATTTTATTTTATTTTTAAAAAATTAAAATATTGACCCTTTGGCAAATAATAGCTTATCTAATTAAGAATCTTGATGGTCTGAAGTAAACAGCTTTAATGGATTTTAACTTTTAGACAGAAACACTGAAGTATAATGATCCTTTTGCTCCTGGTGGAATTGCTGTTACTACATCAAGTGATACAGGTAAGGCTTGAAGTGGGTTTTCAAGCTGTGGCTTCTGGTGATCATGGCCTATGGATTAGCATAATATCTGAACTGAACGTTTCTCCTCATGGAAAATTCTGGTCTTAGATAGGAATTAACAGACTGAAAATGAAAGCAGATAAACACCTTCAAGCTATGACTTGTCTGTGTTTGGAAGCTCAAATTCATGATTTGGGTTCTGAGCTATGGTTAATACATAATGAGCCTTGGTGTGATGTCTGAAAGGCGCTTTTCAGGCACATGGAAAGAACACAACTTAACACAACTGAAGTTGTACAAACCTGTACAAAATCATCCCACAACGCTTTTCTGTGGCTGCAGATCTAGTGTTGTAACAGAGATTGAGTTGACAAGAGAACCCAAATGCATTTCAGTTAGATGCATAATGAAGAGAGCTTTGTAAATAACCATTTGTCTGCTTAGTTGAGCACAAATAAGATAACCAACTTATGGGAAACAATTGAAGTTGATGCTTGACACTCAGTTCAAATGACTGACATAGAGGTATAAACAGGATGGCTGATACTATTTTTGTGGGCTAAAACTTAATTTGCAAACCTGGATAAAGATGTACCCGTTTCTGGGAGCAAAAGGAGATTGTGGCTGTCTCCCTCATGCCCTGCCAGTGAGTTTGTAAAAGTAGATAACACCTTTTGATCTGATTCAGTAAGGTAATATTTATATTCTTGGTTGTGACAATGTACTAATGCATTGCTAAATATATGGCACGCAAGTCAGAGGTTTATTTCACTGATAATAGCCTGGCTTACCATTCAGTTACCAAAACTGGGACACTGAAGAGTTATGTATAGTTTCTGTGAAATATAGAAAGTAAAAGAACCACCCTCCTTGAGACTTCATTTCAAATCATGTTTATAACACTTCCATGAGATCTGCATGTCTTGTAAGAATTCCGCAAAATTATTTTCTAACTATTGCTCTTTAACAAGGTATCCAGTACTGTAGAAAACAGGCATGATCCTTATCAAATCTCATTGGTTTGAATTTGAATGTGAACTTTGAGTAATATTTATGCCACCTTGTGAATTTATTTATACTGAGTTCTTTTACCACCTTGTAGTTTAAATTATAGTAATTTATTATTATTATTATTATTATTATTATTTCTATACCGCCCTTTATCCAAAGATCACAAGGTAGTTTATAATATAAAACCACCAAATACATAACATAAATAAGATTATGGTGGTGAGGCTATCAACCCTAACTGGGTGTTGCCCATAACTGGTGTAAGATCCAAAAGATTCAATGTAAAATAGACTCATCTCCTCTCTTGTCTAGCTTTTGTTAGTCAATGAATTAACTTTTCTTCTCTCTTGCTTATTTTAGCTACAGATCCCTTTGCCTCTCTGTTTGGAAATGAATCATTTGGAAGCGGCTTTGCTGACTTCAGCACATTGTCAAAGGTAATTTGAAATGATTAATGCCTGTGGAAAAAGCATAAAATTGCTGCAGTAACCAACACACTAGAGGCTCCTACATACGACGATACAAAACACAACTTTAGCAGATGCTGAATCTAAATCAAGAGATCATGACTTCTCAGATTGATTCCCCATTTTAAGCTACTGTGAGCCTCATTATTTCTGAGATTACTTGCTTTGTGAACTGCCGTGAGCACAATTCAGTTAATGGAAAACTACACCTACTATGACTATAGGTGCTTGCATCGTCTCATTGACTACCTTACTTTCTTCTGCTTCCATTCCAAGATTTATATATCCTTTTTAGAGTGTTTCTGAAGCTGCTGTATTTGAATTCTTCTCAACAGCAGGGTAGTCAAGCAAGCAAGCAAGTTAGCTTTCAAGAAATGAAAATTCCTCCAATCGTAATCATAATTGTAATTTATTAATACCCTGCCCATCTGACTGGGTTGCCCCAGCCACCCTTGGCAGCTTCTAACCAAAATACAGGCAAAGCAACTAAACAACAACAACATAAAACATTAAAAGCTTCCTGAAACAGGGCTACCTTCAGATTCCTGTGTCATGTGGAAGTCACTCCACACACGTTGTTATACATGGAATAGCTCTTACACAGTTCTGTTTTTCTTGTGGTGATCACGCTGCTTGTGCAGCAAATCCAGCCTCATCTTTAACTGCTGTGAAATTATATAAGAGCAACAGAGCATGTATGTGACTAGTTCTGACTATTGCTGCTTGTATACAAGACCACAAAAGTTACTAGCCTGCAAAAGCATTTAGTAGCTGTGATGGCTTGTGTATGCTCTTCACAATAAACACCCTCTGCTCACTCAGAGAGATATTTACAGTTCTTTATTTTACATATGTACAAGCAGCACATTACAATCATGCCTCCGAATCAACTGGTTCAGATTTGGGGAGTGGTCTTCTCCGGCTTCTCCTCCAACAGAAAACGCGGGGAAGTTTCATGGGACGTCTCTGATCCCTGCGCTTTAACCCTCTCCTTTCCTGTGCAGACGGCACAGGAACAGGCTCTCCGTCTGTTCCTGAACTTCCTGTGCGGTGCTGGGACTGTGCTTCAGCATCGGAGAGCCTTCCCACCTCCTGGCTCTCTCCCTCTTCCCCTTCCGTCACTTCCTCTCTGTTTCCCTCTGACTCTTTTCCTCCCCCCCCCACCTCAAAGGCGTTCCTTGGCAGTAGCCTGCTGTGTTCTCTGCTTGGCACAAATGAAAGTCCATTTTTTTGGTCCTGCCATTACTCTCCATGGCACAGGAATATAATTTAAAAGTATGAACATCTGCAGACATCTGCAGTTTGCCAGTGCATGAACTCCTTTTTTTGTGGCACTTGAATAAGCACTGTTTTATGTTAGAAAACGAAAATGATAGCCATGTCCTCCCCGCAAGCTATGTTGTTAAGCAAAACAGTAGCTTTTCCTGTTTTTGTTGCTGTCTGTTTGTTTTTTAGGCAAATAATGAAGATCCATTTAGTTCATCTACAACAGGCTCTGTCAACAATGTGGTCATAACTAAAAATGTGTTTGAGGAACCTCCAGCCAAAAATGAAGATGTACCTCCTGCTTTGCCTCCTAAAACTGGAACACCTACTAGACCTTGTCCTCCCCCACCTGGTAAGAACCAGTACTAAGTGTTTGTGTGCTACTCTTTGGTTTAAAGATGTCTTTATGGCTGTAAGAGAGCAAAGAGCTTCTAATTTAGTAACCCACTAATTCCTATACTACTTCTATTTCTTACATAATTTTAAGTTGTCCTTCTTAATTTAGGTAATCTTTACTTAGATACATGTTGGGAGCCATAAATTTGTAAGAGAGGCTGTAACTTTTAAATTGCTGTGACAGTGCTACTGTAGAAGCTGGTTGCTGAGTAGTTTATTGAATTTGATAAAGCAAGCTCGTTTAAACCAGTTTTAAAATAGATTAAATTAAGCATATATTTTTTTAATTTGAATGAAAGAACTGGCTCTTACCCACACTGAACCACTTACAAAATGGAGAAAAAAATTGGGAAGAATGTACATACAAACAAACCCTGAAAAACGTGAAAGGTTTTAGAAATCAGATTAATTTATGACTACCAGCACTAAGGATTTTTTGTGGGGGTTTTTGGCTATATGATGAGATGGTGTAACCTAAAACACTATTGTACACTGGATAAATATTTCTGCCACACTCATAATCATGCTAAAGTGATTATTTTGATGTAGGAAAAAGGCCTATCAACAAATTGGAGTCTTCGGATTCCTTTAAACTGAATGATCCCTTCCAGCCCTTCCCAGGCTGTGATGGTTCCAAAGAACAGGAAGCTGACCCATTTGCTCCCACTGGTGTGTGCAAAGAGATGGACACCAGCAATTTTGCTAATTTCAGTGCTGTAAGTAAACAGGATGGGGAGGCATCAAGCTAACTCTAATGACTTATTTTTGTGAAGAACAATGAACATTTCCAGACTTAAATTGAGTGAAATGGGTTTCATACCGCAATGCAACGATGTAGCACATATTAATGTTAGTAGTGCCTCTCTAAAAAAAGGGTACATTACCACTTCCTTCTGGGACAAATGCAGCCAGTTGCAGCAGATTCTTAGTTGCACATTTATGTATTATTTAGCTTCACATGAATAATTGTTACCTTTCCCAGTCTTCGTACAAAGCTGTAAGTACACATTGTGCCTCAGGGTTTAATGTCTGTACAGTATATCAAACTGCAGTGCATCATTTATCTTCAAAGCATATGTTAAGGTCACAGTTAGGCAGTTAGAAAATAAGCAGCACAACCTTTACATTGTACTTGTAGCTACCATTTGAAGGCTTAATCCCCTGCAAGATTCATAAATACAAATTGATAGTGTGACAAGGAAATCTTGTCCCTGAGCTCCTTTTTTGGCAACCAGCCATACAGCTAGGCCCTGCCTGCTGCCTCCGCTGTAAGATTAGTCTGGGGGAAGGGCACAGGCCCAGGGACAACTGATGCAGCAGCAGGCTTTGTAGACAAGGCATCTTAAAGGCCGAAACAATAGGGGAGGGTGGTAAGGATTTGTTCAGGAGACAGACTCAAGGGAATGAACAGCCCTAGCCATAAACTATTATAAAAAGGGAAACTACCAAAAGTAAACATCCTCGTTGTATAGAACACTTCAAGATAAGGCACAGATCTGTCAACTTGGCATGCCACCCGTCCACTGTTAGTGCTGAGTGATCTGTAAATGAGCGAACAAGTACAATGCACATGAAAGAGAGATGTTATTTTCCAAGGAGCGCAGAATTAAATTTCAAGTACTTGAAGGTAGGAAGCATGGAGCAATCAGTCAATCAATTAACACTATAAAGGATTTCTGGGTCAAGTTAGTGAGAACATGTATTTATGTCAGTTTTTATCCTGCCTTCCTACAACTTTGCGCCCAAGGAGGAATGACAAAACAAAATACAGCAAAATAAAACTTATCAAAAAAAAATTATAAAGCAAGCTGTTAAAGGCATAAATAGATGAAGCTATCTGCCACCAGCAGCAGAGCACACACAGCAGCCTGAAGGTCTTGTCTTAACATCTTCATCGGCTAGCAGAAGGTCATTAGACTGGAGGCTAAACAGGCTTCTTTAAGAAGGGAGTTCATCAGCCATTGAAAAGACCATTTCTTGCATTCCCAGCAAACCTGATGTTGACTGGATGCAGAAAGGGATGCTCTCAGAAATATTACTAGCCAGGCAGACTTATATTGGAGGAGGTGGTCCTTCAATCAGCCAGGTCTTTAAAAGTCATAACTAGCATACTGAATTCTCCCTGGAAACCAATATTCCCAGTAACTGGCTCCTAGTCAATAGCCTGGCTGCATCATCCTAGAACACCTGCAGCAGTTACATTTCAAAGACTGCTTCCTATAGAACACATGACAGTAATCTAATCAAGATGTAACTAAGACATGTGTCAAGATGGCCAAATCAGATGCTTTAAGGAATGAGTGCAGCTGGCACACCAGCCTCAGCTATGTAAAATTTATTTCTTTCTTTCATATCCCACTTTGCCTCAAATGATCTCAAGGTGGTGTACATAGCTCTCTTCTTCCCCATTTTATTGTCACAACAATCCCATGAGGTAGGTTAGGCTGAGAGTAAGTGACTGGCCCAAGGTTATCCAGTGAGCTTCATGGCTGAGTGAGGATTTGAACCCTGAGTGAGGATTTGATCCTAAGTCTGACACTCCCAACCACTACATCACACTGGCGCTCTGTGCCAGCACCTGAAAAAATGAACTGTGTCGTATGTTACCATAACATTTTCCTTAGTAAACGGAATCATCTTTATATCTTACTACTCTGTTAATCAGTGGGTCATAGCGGTGGTGGACTTGGGATTTCTTAACTTGCTTTATTGCATGACGGTCACTGGGATGTAAACCTTTGGGGAGGAACAGTAACGTGGTGCTCTTGATTATTTTGAAGGCCTTTCTTTAATTAAATCTGTGTACTTGGATTGTTGGGTGGTTTTAAATAAGCATTATATATATATATAATATAATCCTTCTCTTTAATTAACAGTTTAAAGTAACTGCTAAAGATCTGATAGTCCAAACTCTTACAGTGGGCTTACATCTTTGCAAGCTAAATCAAATGCACACTTTCAATTTTCTTTGAGTGTTTGGGGCAAATGAAAATATTATTTTTCTCCTCTTAATTAAACAATTGAAACAATGAACTAGATAAATCATAGATGCTGACCAAACACCCATTTAAATTCTAAGTGATGATAATAATTTAAACCAACTGGGGACAGAATCTTCTTTAAACACTTGATTTTTACCTCCTCAGTTAACAAATCCATGGTTTCTCTATTTTAGTATCCTACTGAAGAAGATATGATTGAATGGGCAAAGAGGGAAAGTGAGAGAGAGGAGAAAGAGCGTCTTGCAAGGTTGAAACAACAAGAACAAGAAGATTTAGAACTAGCTATTGCACTCAGTAAATCTGAAATATCAGAAGCATGAAGAATTGCCACAACCATTTGTCCCTTGCCCTGTATGTGTATAGCTAATCAGAAGCTGCTTATGCACAGGGAAGTACAAAAGGCTTTAAATTCCTGCAAATGTGATTTTTGAGCAATGTAATGTCTTATTTGTAATTTTTTTCATATTCACTTAACTCATCTGGCTACTCTTTTTTAATAAAGCGAAGTTCCATTTGTACTTACCTTGATATCTTCTTGTGTACTATATAAACCATTACACCAAAGTAAGTTCTTATAATGCAAGAAAGACAAATCTGTATTAAGGCACAGCAATGCATTTTTGAAAGATCTCAGAAGGCAATTCTGACTCCAACCAAGTTCCCCTTTGATACATGCCTTACGCAGTGTTGAAGATCTAGAATGTGCAGGTGTGTCTAACAACATAAAATGAGTGAGTGCATTGTATTGCCTTTAAACAAATGGATAGGTCATGTGTTACTGATATTTCCCTTAAAAATATTAGATGGCTTGTTTTAAGTCTTGATTAGCTTTCTTTTCGAAAGGGCCAAATTTTGCCAATTACTATAATACTGAATTATTTAGGTCTCCCAGGTGGCCCAGTTAGCAAAGTACATTTTCACCAAATCTGGCCATGTAGCCAACCAAACTGTAGTTTATGGCAAATCTTCATGTACTTAAAAATTGCTGATAATCCTGCTTCTTTCTTGCTAAAATGTTCAGATCTGGTTATCACAGGTATTAGAAATCTATTGTATATTTTAGAGATGATGATAATTGAGGTTAGGCCTATGGAGTGCCTTTATGTCTGTGGGCTTCCTTTTAATGAAGGCTCTTCTTTTGGGGTGGATATCTAACAGAAAATCTAGATTCCAGATGCAACTAGTGTTATCTGAAACTTTTAACTGCCATTTTGCCTACTATCAGGTTTTTTAAAATGACCTTTTAGGATTGTTCCAAGGAGATTTCTAAGATTACACTGTTTGGCCAAGTTCACTGTTAAGAACTTTGATGCCCCACTGCTAATTGAGCCAATTTCTTATGTGAAATATGCAACTTAAATTGGCAAGTTGACAGCAGAATTTGAAATAGGGTAGGAAGTAGACTACATAAAGATATAGTTTACAACAGTCGGTTGCTGTTGTGTATAATTTATTGAATGCCAACTGATAGTTGCACCTTAAAAATAAATTTCCTTTTATAGTAACGAAGTCAAAATTGAATGTTAATGAAAGTAAGTTATTATCTAATATGTTCTGTTCTGCAGGATGTTAAACTCATTCCAAATGACTCGTTTCACTTCCATCTTCAATACATGAATAGTTAGGCTGCAGCCACACAAAACTGGTGGTTCTGCTTCCCCCCCTCCCAAAACACTGTGGTATTTGTGCCTCAAATTAAGAGTTTTAAAATGATTTTTCTTCTGCTGCAAGGAGTTGCATAGTTACCACTATCAGGATGAAACTTTTCCAGTTACCTGTGGATGCTGCTGCAAGAGACTTTTTAGGAAGGTAGTTTTTGCTCAATTTTCCTATAAATTGAGATCAGTTATGAGAAACTTTTGCACTAGGAAATGAGCATTTTAAAACACCTGCTCAAAAAAGTAACCTAGCAAAACCTCTTGCAAGTATTAATGTTCATAATTTATCTACCCAAATTTTGTATTAACATTAATCGTGCATATTGTATGTTTAACTGGACTACATAGATTTTTCCTTTTTTGTTAAATGTATACTTTGTGGACCAATACAATATCTGTGTGTATATATTATACATATAAATATATATATATTCAAGCTTTCTTGTATAGGATTTAAAGTTCTGAGTCACTTGATGTTACATTTCATGTTACTGACTGATCACAGAACCTTTACTCGAAGGCTTCTAAATAAACCACTGCTGTGTCAGCTTAAATGGCATTACTGTTAAAGTTTTAAAAGGCTTTTAATAACTTGTTCAGGTGGGGTTAGCCTCTATTTATAGACCTTTGTTTAAAAATTCTAAAATAGCTTGTAATTATGAATAAAACAGTTTAAGTATATTATGTTTTGTCTGGTTTTTGTTTTTACTTTTAAGTAAACTGTACAGTGTCTTGTGGAAGTATACAGATATGAAACATCACAACTTTAGTTTTGGTTTGAAAATGAATTTTAAGTGAACTTTCCATTCCCTGAAGTATGTTTTTTTGAGAAACTACTCAAATGTATTATTTCTGTACAGAGTTTGGATTTTGTAGTTCACAGCGGGTGGCGCTGTGGGTTAAACCACAGAGCCTAGGGCTTGTCGATTGGAAGGTTGGCAGTTCGAATCCCTGCAACGGGGTGAGCTCCCGTTGCTCAATCCCAGCTCCTGCCAACCTAACAGTTTGAGAGCATGCAGTGCAAGTAGATAAATAGGTACCGCTCCGGCGGGAAGGTAAACGACGTTTCCGTGCGCTGCTCTGGTTCGCCAGAAGCGGCTTAGTCATGCTAGCCACATGACCCGGAAGCTGTACGCCAGCTCCCTTGGGCAATAAAGCAAGATGAGCACCACAAACCCAGAGTCGGCCACGACTGGACCTAATGGTCAGGCGTCCCTTTACCTATTCAAAAGCTCAAAGTGGGTAGCAGCATCCTAGACATCAGACAAGAAATAGATCCCTATCCCCAAAGCTTTTGAAACCTACATGGGGACAATAGAAACAGCAACAAACGGTGGGTGGTACCTGACTATGTCATTCACGTGAATCACATCTATCAGTTACTTCTAAAATTCAATCATTTGTGGTTAAGTTCTGATACAGATCTAGCCTCTAAATTGGACAGCGTTGGTTTGCCTCTACTTTCATAAATACATATTTAAGAGCACAAAAAATGCATCATGTATGAATGAAAAGAAGTGCTTATTTGCAAAGACTTGGCAAAGCCAGCCTGTGATGGAGAGACTGAATGCGGGAGAAGGTGAGTTGGGGGGAAAGAAAGGTGGCAAGTGTCCATTCTGCAAGGGAAGAGGGGAGGAGACGTTATTGCTGTTGTGAAACGTGTGCAGAGAATTGGGAAAGGTGGACAAGCTCTGCCAGATCTAAGTAGCCTTGGCTAATGGATGAACTGGTTTAACCATTGTTATGGGGGGGGCACAAGGGGAAAAAATAAAAGAGGGAGGAGGAGGAGAACAGCTTCCCTTGGGAATACCCTGGCGATGCTGTCTTGGAGCTTCAGTTTCCTTCCTGTCCTGCCAGCCTAAACCTAGAAGCTCCCTCTTGCCTGAGCTGGCGCCACACCCTTGACCCGAGGCGATGAGCTGCAGCCGGGGCTGGTTTCCTTTATCACGCCGGTTTATCAAGTACGCGGCTGCCTCCGAGAGACCTGCAGAGGGCGGTCGCTCCCCTGAGAGGCCTCAGGATGAGGAGGGAGCAGGCGGCGGCTGCGGCCGGCAACTTTATAGGGGAGGAGCCGCCACCCAGCAGCGCGGGGACCTTGCTCTGGAGCCGCCTGCCTCCACTTTCCCGGCGTTATGAGTTTGCCGCTGGCTTTCGAGGCGGAGCGGGATTTTTTTTTACCTCAGCAGCAGCTCGCTTCATCTCGAGACGAGCCTAGCGGAGCCTCATGGACGCGCAAAGTAGCTGCAGAAGCAGCAGCAGCAAGAAAAAGGAGCTGAGGTACTTACTCTGAGGGAGGTGGATCCTGCCTTCGGTTTAGCTAGGTTGGCGCGCTTGTGTTTCACGAGCAAGCTGCCTTGGCAGGCAAGAAACCAACAGGTGAAGCTGTTCCCGGCATGCATGTCGACATTTGCAAATAAACCTGCCGGGAAGCTTGCAGCTGCTGAAGCTTGTTTGCAGCTGCAGAGTTTGTTTGTTTGTTTGTTTGTTTGTTTCAGTTGTTGTTGTTGTTATATCTCGCGTTTTCTTCCAAAGGAGCTCAAGGTGGTGTGTGCCTGGTTCTCCCCTGCCTCATTGAATCCCCACAACCGCCCTTTGGGCTGAGAGGCAGCGACTGGGCCAAGAGCCCTTGCCTCCCAAGTAGTAGTAGTAGTAGTAGTAGTAATAATAATAATAATAATAATAATAATAATTTATTTATACCCCGCCCATCTGGCTGGGTTTCCCATAGCCTGACACTCATAACCACGACACCACACTGGCTCTCATATTTAGCATTGTTATGTGGATTGAGTGTATTTCCCACCCCACTTCCTGACTGTAAACTGCTGGGGTTTGTGTGTGTGGAAAAGCATTAAATGTAAAAAGAAAAAAGAAAGGTAGTAACCCTGAGGTGAAACCGAAATAGAGTGTGTATGAAACCCCTGGAGAGCTGCTGCCAGTCACTGTCAACAATACTGATGAACTAACAGTCTGACTCGGTGTAAGTCAGCTTCCTAAATTCCTAAGGCGGTTACATAAATGTTTAGAAATGGCAGGTGAAAGGGGATGCACTACAGTATTGCCACTTTATGTAAGTTAAGGAAACATATATTGTAGGTACATACTTTCCTGTCTTTATGTCAGGTGAATCTACCGCCAGCCTGAAAATAAATGTTGCAAGCAAGTGGGATTCCTGACCTCCCTGCTATGTGTGTGCAAATTTCTTATTGTGCAAATAAGAAATATTTAGGGTGTGCATGCTAAATTTTGTTCTTGCTCAGGTGCCATATTACCAAAGTCTGCCCCTTGTTTCTCCTAATGTTCAACTGAAATCTACCCTTCTGTAACTTAAGCCCCATGTCCAATTGTTTTTCTTCTGTTTTGTCTTGTATCAGTGGTTTCCCCTGAAAAACCTGCGTTTTACTGCAAACGGCAATCCAGGGAAGACTTGATTGCTGTTTGCTCCAATTCAGCGGTAAAACACAGGTTTTCCCGGGGAAAGTGCTAGGAGAAAAGCAACAACAACACTTGGACATGGAGCTTTAAAGTCTGGACCTGTGCCCACTGGGTAGTGAATGGTGATCCAGAAAAAGGTGGCAATTCCAGGTTTTCCCCATTTTGATTAGCCCCACTGTGTCCACCTTCTGATTGTGGTCTCCAGTATGTTCAGATCAAATTACAAAATTCTTGCTATATGAAACTGGTTGCTAAGTTATGAGGAGAAAGCACTTTTCACGTGCTCAGAAGGTACCCTTTTCGTTTTTACTTCAAATATTTTCAGGGCTAAGCTTTGCTGTTGGGGGACAGGAGGTGGGAATGCTGGAAACAATGTTCCATCCTTATCCCACAAACCCAGTTTTTTAAAACCCTAGAATATTTCTCTTCCATCACTGCCAAAAGCTCAGTGTGTTTGTGTGTGAGAGCCTGCTTAGGTTGAATGTGCTGCCAGCTTTCTACAAAGCACAGGAGGAGATGTAGACCTATTAAATGTTAAACAGGACTTGGTAAAGGACAGGATATGCCAGAATTGATGATCTCTTTAATGTGCTTATTTGTTATTGAATTATTTATAAGCTTTTCAGTTGGCTAAAATGACAGAGACAGTTAAAGAAAATTACACTTGATCTTAGTCAAAAGGCCGAGAAGAAAATTAACAGTTGTGGGGGACCATTGTTCATTTTCTCTCTAGTTTTGGCAAGTCATGAGTTGACTGCTCATATTGGATTACTATGGTACCTCGGGTTAAGAACTTAATTCGTTCTGGAAGTCCGTTCTTAACCTGAAACTGTTCTTAACCTGAAGCACCACTTTAGCCAATGGGGCTGCTGCTGCACCGCTTCTGCGAGATTTCTGTTCTCATCCTGAAGCAAAGTTCTTAACCTGAGGTATTATTTCTGGATTAGCAGAGTCTGTAACCTGAAGTGTCTGTAACCTGAAGCATATGTAACCCGAGGTACCACTGTATTGTTAAGTTTGCTCTGTTTTCATAAAGTCTTCAGAGGGTTGAGAAGGGCTCTGTGCAATAGGTCAAAAGCTGTTGAGCACTTGAATAGGAGAGAAAGGGTTTGGGCACTATGCTGTATGAAGGAAAGTCTTTCATTCGAAAGCATGTCAAAGTGCAAGTAGATAAATAGATACCGTTCTGGCGGGAAGGTAAACGGCATTTCCGTGTGCTGCTCTGGTTCATCAGAAGCGGCTTAGTCATGCTGGCCACATGACCCGGATGTTGTACGCTGGCTCCCTCGGCCAAAAAAGTGAGATAAGTGCCGCAACCCCAGAGTCATCCACGACTGGACCTAATGGTCAGGGGTCCCTTTACCTTTATTCTTCAACACTGTCGCTAAGAGTTTTCCCATTTTAGAGATGTGGTGCCATGTAATCACTGATAAATTTGATCCAACTTGTACAGGGTTGAACACTGTTGGATTAAGTTCTATAAGGTGTTTTTTTTTTATTTCCAATCAGCTTGTAGCAATCTACTCAAAATATTTTTAATATTTAGTATCATTCTACTATTGAAACTCCTTGATCTAGATCTTTCTCCCATTTGTCTTGTAAATCTGGAAGACTGAAAGTTTTAAATTTAACAGCAACAAAAACAGTTTGTCGTCAGATATATAATGTAATAAGTATTTTCTACTTTAAAACAAACAAACTCAGAGCCAGGACTACGTTTTTCTTGCTACTCTGTTCAAATTCTTTCCTACAAGCTGTGCAGCATAACAGCAGCACATTAAATGGTCATAGGTTGTCCAGAATACACTTCCTTTATTTTTAATCTTTAATGTCTGTTGCTTCTTACTTTCTCTGCTTTATGACTGTATTCTGTGCCCCAGGCAGGTGATAGAGGTCAGGAGGTTCTCTGTCATGTCCTCTGGGATGCTGAGGACACTGTCTAGCCTGGTAGCCGCCTTTTGCACTTCCTCCAAATGCACAGGTATTGGCTCATACTCCAGTATGTTAGTGGTTATGCTCAATGCATTCAACCCAAATTCAGTGTGTTTTTCCAATATAGTATTTTTTTATGTCCTGAACAAATCCACTGCCTGTTTCTGTAAATCAAAATCACAAGCCAAAGCAGCCTACTTTGCTCGTGATGTTGCAATAGCTAACCCATAAATTAGGTTAGAGAAGTTTTATAATTAGCCAATGGACTGCATAATATCTGGGCACCTTCTGATAGAAAAATGCACAGTAACTACACTTTGAAGTGGAAATAAACTTTGATAGGAAATAAACGTTGCTATTTCAAAGCCATGTTGTAAGTCCATTACAACAGCTGGGAAATTTAAAAGGAAATAAATATTACTTTGCATACCAAAAAGTACAATAGCTGATGGGTTTGCTAGTTTAATAGTTTATCCATAATCATCATTGTGTTTAGGACTTAAGAAATACACTAGGGTTATTGGCTAAAGCATTTCATATATATTTAAAAGTAACTGAGCTATTCAAATGTCTTTTATCTGGGGGCAGTGATGGGCCGGATGAGGGCTAATAAACTCAATCTCAACAAGACAGTGGTTCTATGAGTCAATGTGTTTCCCAGTTCCAGGCATTAGGTGGACAGCCTGTTCTTCAGTGGGAGTGCTGCCCATATAGGAGCAGATTCATAGATGAGGGTGATTCTTGATTCCAAGCTGTCACAAGAGACCCAAGTGACTTAAAATGGTGAGACGTACCTGCGCCCAACTACTGCTGGTTCACTAGTTATGGCCGTTCCTGGACTGGAACAGCTTAACGCCAGTTATCAATGCTCTAATAACCACCCATAAAGAGAAATGCAACATTCCATAAGCTGCAGGTGGTACAGAATGCTGCAACCTGGCTATTGGGCACAGCTGACAGGGTCATGTTACTTCAGTTCTGAAGATACTGTAGTGGCTGCCATTCATATACTGTACCAGGCCCGCTTCAAGGTGTTGGCATTAGTCTGTAATTAGTTTTTTTTTAAATAAAAAAAATAGTAATCCTTTTATGTATTTCCTAGTATGTGCTACCCCAAACCTTAAGAACTGCTGAAAAGTCTCTGCTTGTAGTCCCACTGGCTAGTGTGGTGAGTAAAATGGTGATATGAGGCATGGCATTTGCAGCACTGGCACCCCTTTTACAGAGCTCCTCACTGAGATATGAGAGTCCTCCACATTAGCTGTTTTCAGACAACAAGCAGAAACATGCTCTCCATCCAAGTTTTTGGAACCTGGTTCCTCCACTGGGAACTGCCCAGTTGGTGTTAAACTATGGCAGGGCCTTTCCAGTAGTGATTCCCCACTTCTGGAATAGTTTCCCTGGTGAGGAGAGTCTGTCTTCCTCATTATTGACTTCAAAATATTCCTGTTCACCCAGGTATTAGAAAGCAGAAAGATACCATTCCTAGCAACCCTGAAATAATTCATTGAGAGACTGGTTGTATTTAGAATATTTTAAATATTATTTTAATGATGCCACCCTGGACTCCTTTGGCAGGAAGGCTGAGATATAAATTGAATAAATAATAATAAGTATCATGTTGGTGTTGATTCTGGATGGAATTGAGGTCTAGTGCTGCAGTTTTTTATAATGGATGTACAATTTAATTTTGTTACATGTTTTATATTGTTTATACTGCATGTTGTGCTCTGTGCTCTGATTTGGGGGAAGGGCAGGGTATAACTGCTGAAATAAAGCAATTGAATAAATACTAGATGCTGCAGTGGAAATTAGCAATAAATCCATTGCTAGTCAAATATTTATGACTTTTTTTAGTTGCCAACTGCTGTAGTAGTTGAAAGAAGGAACCATATTCCTGTTTTGTGTGTTTTTTAAAATGATATCGTAAGAACTTGCTTCTATGTTTGATGTGAATGTGTCCGTGTCAATTAAATACTTCTGGAAGTGAGCAAGTTAAGTTTGGTCATGAATTATGAGATGCTATCCTTTGTGTTTTATTTATTATTTCCAGATAATTTTTGAGTGCACAAAATGTTTTGTAGTTCTTATCTCATTTTGCTTAGGGAGGGAAGCAATTCCAGTAGGTGCACTGAGGTCTATTGCTTCTTTTTAGTAGTTAATGTCTTAATTTAATATGAAATTATGCTAATGGTATTTTAAGGGCCACTACATTTAGATCAAAGGACAGAAAGATAATGACATTACTAGGGGAGCATGAAGAACATGGAGAAGGAAGCAGTTGAGTCCATGTGAGCAATTGAAGATAAGTTGCTTGTTAAAATACCATGGAACAAGAGCACATGAGACCCATCTCTATGCTTATATCACAATCACAAGACATATTGTAAGTACATAAGAAGAGCCTGCTGGATCAGGCCAGTGGTCCCTCTGGTCCAGCATCCTGTCCTCATAGTGACCAACCAGATGCCTGTGGGAAACCCATAAACAGGATTAGAGCACAACAGCACTCTCCCCCAGCTGCAGTTTCCAGCACTGGCATTCATAAGCATTGCTGCCTCTAACTGTAGAGGCAGAGCATAGCCTTCATGGCTTGTAGCCATTGATAGCCCTCTCCTCCATGAATTTGTCTAATTCTCTTTTAAAGGTTAGTGACCATCACGGCCTCCTGTGAGCTGCATGAATACGTAATTTCTTTCATTTGTCCTGTAAAGAAGGTGTATATACTGCTAATTGTTCTGGAGGTTAAAACTTTATCTCAGACTCTCTGTATCATAGAAAAATGGTGGAATAGTGCTACTCTTAATCCTTTTCCATAATTGAACAGTGCTCAGCTTCTGACAATCTATTACGTATGTTGTGTAGTGCATTAAACTATTTGAGGTTTTTTGTGTTTCAATGCGTTGTTACGCATTTCAGGTTTCTTTCTTTTTTAAAAAAAAAATAGAGCCTTGAACAGGAGCACTCATAGGGCATGAGAATCCTCTGGTACATTTTGTTGCAGGTCCTACTTGGAGATGCACAAGCACAAAATGTTGCACCTTTCACATAATTTTTTTAAAAAGGCAATTTCAAACAAGATTGCCTGATGATATTTTCTAATATGGTGTTGATGGAGTAATTGTGCTTCATATGTGAAAACCAAGGGTGCAATCCTATGCGTGCTTACCTGGGAGTAAGTTCTATTGAACTCAATGATTCTTACTTCTGACTAGACATGTACAGAAATACACTTTAAGAAAAGCATTCTAATAGTTAACATGCTGACCTTTGGGAGGACAGGACTTCTTTTTCTCATTCCGCATTGGAAACAGAGAAGTTAGCATTAACTCTTTTCTCTTTTTCCAGATCATCTGCACAGGACTTAAATGTTGCTCTCAGTGAATGTATGGCAGCTGTGGATCTGTTTCTAAATAACAAATTCCAGGATGCCCTTGTTTCTCTGCAAACTAAGTAAGCTTGTTTCTTTCTTTCTCTAATTATTGTTAGCATTTGTGCTTGACAAGAGAGGAGGGTTTTTTCCAAGCTATGGTGCTAAAGTAACTAGCTTTTACAAGTCTTTCTGTATTGTTGCATGCCACTCCAGTCTCCAAGCAGTGCGAGATTCCAAGGGTTCTAGGCGCCTACCAAGGTTTCATGTTTCCTTTGGAATGAGGCACAGCAGAGACTGTGGTGTCTTTATAATATATGGTTTATTTACACATATATACAACCTGAGCTTTTGTGATGGAGGAGTTCACAGCATTAACACCCCAAGAGGGTCTTGCTGCACCCATAGCCGCAGCCTTGGATTCAAACAGAAAATAAAACATGGCTCTGTCTCTCTCAGTTTCTAGCTTGCTACTTTCTGGGTTCTAGCTTCTAGTTCACATAACTCAACTTTCCACTCTGACCTATTGTCCTTCAAACTACCCACAAGTTGAGGTAGAGGGCCCCATCCATTTGCTCTCTCTCACAGATCCACTTCCTTTGTTCCCTTTAATGTTCTACTGGGAAGCTAACCTGACTATTCCAATAATGAGAAGGGGGCCCAGGCATTCAACTTCACCCACTGTGTGTGTGTGTGTGTGTGTGTGTTTTCAAAGGAACATAGGAATCTGACTCTCTGATTCTCAAATTATTTTTTAACTTGAAATGAAAAGCATTGAATAAGCCCCAGTGCAAGTATTAATACTCAGTTTCTGACAGAAAACTTGTAACTCACTTCCAGACCTGGTGATGTTGTATCCATTTAGGGATGCAATGTACCACCAGCCGAATAGCTGAATAAGTTGTACAATTAAACATTTTCTTTTTTTTAAATATTTTTATTTTTCAAATTTTCAAAAACAACAGAAAAAAACTTTCCATTTAAATTTACATCCAATTCCAATCTTTGTACTTTTTTGGACTTCCCTCAGCCTGTCGGAGAATTTTTCATATTATCACTATTATTCACATTTCTTCAATCTGTATTGCATTTTAACAATCTTAATCTTATCGAATCTTATAAAACAATATTTCTATCAATTATTATCACAGAACTTCTTGAAAACCTACAAATGTTAATTGCTCTTCACATATACTTTTAATATACTCTGTAAATTTATTCCAGTCCTCGGTGAATCTCTGGTCTCGTTGGTTCCGAATTTTCCCCATGAATTTGTCCATTTCTGCGTATTCCATCAGCTTCATTCTCCATTCTTCTTTCGTCGGGATTTCTTCCTGTTTCCATTTTTGGGCCACCAAAATTCTAGCTGCTGTTACTGCATATAAAAATAACTTCTCATCTTTCTTCTTAATATCATTCCTTAATATTCCTAACAAAAAAGATTCTGGCTTCTTAACAAAAGTATATTTCAACATTTTTTTCAATTCATTATAAATCATTTCCCAGAAACATTTCATTTTTTTACAATCCCACCACATATGATAAAATGTTCCTTCTTTCTCTTGGCATTTCCAACATTGATTACTAACTTTATACATCTTCCCAAGTTTTACTGGTGTTACATACCATCTATATATCATTTTCATGACATTTTCCTTTATTGTAGTACATGTCATGACATTTTCTTTTATTGTAGGACATGCAGTGAACTTCATTCCTTCTTTCCACAATCTTATCCAATCATCAAATTGTATGTTATAACCAAAATCTTTGGCCCACTGAATCATAGCAACTTTAACTTTCTCATCCTTTGTATGCCACTCAAGTAATAATTTATACATTTTAGATAAAATGTTTACATCATCATTCAAAATTTCTTTATGGAACCTAGAGTTTTCTTCTTGAAAACCTCTTTCTAACAACTCTTTTTTAAACATCGCATTCAACTGAAAATAATGTAACCAACCAATCATTTACATATTCTTTAACTTCTTCATATGGAAGTTTTTTTGAGAGCTTTAAGAAGTAATGAAAAGATAAAAGGTGTGACAGTTGGTTGTAAGGAATATAAGGTAAAAGCCTTTGCTGATGACTTGGTCATAACAATAGAAGATCCTATCAAAAGTGTAAAGGAAGTATTAGAAGAGATAGAGCAATTTAGACAAGTTGCTGGTTTTAAATTAAATAAGAATAAAATGAAAATAATGGTTAAGAATATGGATCAAGAGATAATAGAAAGAATACAACAACAAATAGAGATGGAAGTGGTTAAGAAAGTTAAATATCTTGGGACTATGTTAACTCCCAAGAGTATTGATCTTTTTCAAAACAATTATGTACCGACATGGAATAAGATTAAGAGGGACCTGGAGGTGTGGGGGAGAATGAAGTTATCACTTTGGGGAAGAATTGCAATGATAAAGATGAGTGTGCTACCAAAAATGATGTTTTTATTTCAATCAATACTGATAATTAAAGGAGTGACAATATTTAAAGAATGGCAAAGAATTATCTCAAGATATATCTGGCAGGGCAAAAAGCCGAGAATAAAGTTTAAGATATTAACAGATGCAAGAGATAGAGGAGGCTTTGCCCTGCCAGATTTAAAGTTATATTATGAGGCTGCATGTCTTTGCTGGGTAAAAGAATGGATAAAGTTAGAAAATATGGAATTATTGGATTTAGAAGGTTATGATAACAGATTTGGTTGGCATGCATATTTATGGTATGGAAAAAAAAGTGCATAAAGGTTTTGAAAACCACATCTTTAGAGGTCCGTTGATTGAAGTATGGAACAGGTACAAAAATTTATTGGAGTTCAAAACTCCTCACTGGCTGTTGCCATTGGAGGTAATGAGTGTTAAGAAGATCAATATGACTGGGAGATGGATTACATATGAGAATTTAATAGTTAAAGAAGGAAGTACAATTAAACATTTTTTACTCAAGAATAATAGTTGTGATGTGCTCCCACATTTTACTAGTATCTGTGCAAAAATAACCCTTAGTGTTTAAGGATTCTTTGAAAACACTTGCTTGGTTTGCATGACATGGTAATCCAAACAAATGTGCAGGATCCCAGACAGGAGCTCACAGCCACGTTGCTCCTCCTCAGTTCTTTTTACTTGTGTATCAAGCTGAAAGAAGCCAAAATTTGGCTTAATGTGTTGTCTGAGCCTGGGTTCATGGTTAAGCTCACTCCATGGTAACCACGAGCTGCAGCCAAGAACAAACTATAGTGTTGTGTGAATGAGGCCACTAAATAGAGAAATGTAGTATTATCAGTCTGGTAGTTCCTAGTGCTACCCAGTTGTTGGTCTTCCAATGTAAGCTATATGTGGAATTGAAAATGACTAGGCATAGCCACATGGGCAAAGAAGGGATAGAGTATTAATATTAGCCTGCCTGATTAATGTCTATTTGCAAAACTAATACAAATATTTTTTTAAATAAAAATTTGCATTAAAATGTTTTTATTTAAAATTAAATTCTATCACACAAATATTTCAGTTTCTTTTTTTAAAAAAGGAAATCATTTTAGTTCAAATTAAATAACTGATTTTTAAAAAGAAAATAAATATGCCGATAAAATGATACCAGTGCAAAAGATCATAGTGAATGTATGCCAAAGAAGATGCCTCATAATAGGCTTCATTGCACATGTCAAAATGCCTCTTTAAAAAATGCAAAAAAAAAGCACTAAGTTGATCAGTACCTGTACAGATGTTGCTACTGTTGTGTTCCTTAGCAATAAGAATTTGATTTTGTTTGAAGTCTGGAAAGAGATGGAAGAACTGCAGGAAAAACAGAAGAAGAATGATATGATGACAATGTATTGTAGGTGCCTCATAAAAGTGAATGAAGACAACCTGGCTGTTCTGTAGTAAACAACTTATTTTTATTTTATTTTAATTATTTATTTATTCAATTTATATGCCACCCTATACCGCTTTATAGGTCAAAACCAGCACTTTGAAATAGGCCTGGAAACTAATTGGTAGCCAGTGCAGTTGGACCAGGATCGGTGTAATATACTCAAACCGTCTTGCTCCGGTGAGCAACCTGGCTGCTGAATTTTGCACTAGCTGAAGTTTCTGAATCGTCTTCAGAGGCAGCCCTACATATACCGCAATGCAGTAATCTAACCTTGAAATTACCAGAGCATAGACAACAGTAATTAGGCTATCCCTATACAGATAGGGGCACAGCTGGGTCACCAGCCGAAGCTGATGGAAGGCACTCCGGGCCACTGAGGCCACCTGAGCCTCTAGTGACAGCAAAGGATCCAGGAGTACTCCCAGGCTACAAACCTGCTCCTTCAGAGGAAGTGTAACCCCATCTAGAGCAGGCGACCTCCCAGTCATCTGGTCTTGGTTGATAAGATGTTGGCAATATTCTTTAACTAGAGCAGCAGAGGAAATAATGTGTGTCCCCCTTCATTAGCTTTGGTAAGGTGGCTGCTTCTATAAAAGGGAAAATACTTGATTTTACAAAGGTGGAAGCTGCTACAGTGGTACCTTGGTTTACAAACTTAATCTGTTCCGGAAGTCCGTTCTTAAACCAAAGCGTTCTTAAACCAACGCACGCTTTCCCATAGAAAGTAATGCAAAATGGATTAATCCATTCCAGACTTTTAAGGTAAATGTAAAGGGATCCCTGACCATTAGGTCCAGTCGTGACCGACTCTGGGGTTGCGGCACTCATCTCACTTTATTGGCCGAGGGAGCCGATGTTTGTCCACACACAGCTTCCAGGCCATGTGGCCAGCATGACTAAGCCGCTTCTGGCGAACCAGAGCAGTGCACGGAAACGCCGTTTACCTTCCCGCCGGAGCGGTACCTATTTATCTACTTGCACTTTGACGTGCTTTCGAACTGCTAGGTTGGCAGCAGCAGGGACCGAGCAATGGGAGCTCACCCCGTCGCGGGGATTCGAACCGCTGACCTTCTGATGGTTTAACCCACAGCGCCACCCACGTCGCCTCCAGACTTTTAAAAGCAACCCCTAAATCAGCAATTTAACATGAATTTTACTATCTAACAAGACCATTGATCCATAAAATGAAAGCAATAATCAATGTACTGTACTATAAAATAAATAAAACAGTGTTGTAGATGATAAAAATGAAAATTAAAAATTTTTCTTACCTGCGCTGATGATAGTCATTGTTTGGATGCGGGGCTTTTATCCATTTCCTCAGTCACACAATCAATCAATCAGTAGCACAACTGGGATCCACACAGATCCACCCCACCCCCCACGCTGTTGCAGGAAATACTCCCTAGAAAGTGCATCTCCCGCAGGGGCATGGCATGGGGGGAGAGTTGCGAGCCTTCCAACCAGATGGCTGGCAGGCGTGCAGCTTCCCTCCCAAGCCTCTGCAGGGATTGATCTCCTCTCGCAGCGGCATGGGGGAGAGTTGCAAGCCCACCAACCAGCAGCTTCCCTTCCTCGCGTCTGCGGGAAACACCGTGACAACCCCCTTCTCCACTGCTGGACAACAGAAGTGTGGCACTCAAAACGGAAGTGCACCCCTGAATGGAGTACGTTTGTATACCAAAAAAAATACGCAACCTGAAACACTCATTTTTGGATTTGAAGTGTTTGTAATCCAAAAAGTTCGTTAACTAGGCTGTTTGTAACCCGAGGTACCACTGTACTTGCAAGATACGAAGTTCTTGAAATGCTGGTACGCCAGTTACTGTTTCTTAAAATTCTCCAATGGTTATTTGTTGCTCATTTTAATTTACAACTACTACTTCAATTTGACTGCATCTTTCCCTACTAAATTATACTTAGTTGCTATGAACAACTTTACAGAGAAGGATATAATTGAAAATGATTGTTCAAAGGTTGCATGACGTTAGCCAGCTTTGTCTCCCTATTTCCTCTCCTCCCTACCCCCCCCTCCAATTTTCCGTTTTAGTCCCATGTGGAATGGAATATGGTGTACAGTGGTACCTCGTTTTAAGAACAGCCCTGTTTATGAACAATTCGGTTTATGAACTCCACAAAACCGGAAATAGTGTCCCGGTTTGTATATGACAAAAAATATATCTTTTATTGAATTGGAATGTCACTACATTTGGCAGAGACAGCCATAATCTTTTGGCTAAGCTCTGCTCATCTAGCAGTAGCACAAGGAGCAGGGTGGATAGATAGAAAAATGGCAGCTCTAGGATATGAAAGCATATGTGGTCTAACCTGGAATAGGCAGGACATGCAAACAGATAATTCTCTTTAAATGACATCCAGTCTTTTTGGATGCTATGTGCAAAGTGGAAAATATTACTGGGGCCTGGGAATTAATGGGGAAATCTGCATTTATTTAAACCTTTATCTATATATAAAAAATCATTGCATATAAAACTTGAGGGGGGGCACTTGCAAAAGTGATGGGAGCCACATCCTTTGTTTAAAAATGTTACACAGTTCATCACAGATGGTTTTGATTATAGCTTAAATGAGCCCCTGTTGAATTGGTTTAATGAGATGACTAGGTATCCTTGGATTTTACATGTGAATTTATTTCTCACTGTTAAACTACTTTAACTTAGAGAGTCAGTCAACTCCTTTTTTTGTCTTTGAATACAGAGTGATGGCCCCAAAGAGTCAAAGGGAGAAACAGGGAGCTTAATTTAACTGCAAATGAGCTTCATTATTGACACACTCCTTGTGTCAAGGGAATGGTGGTAGAAGTGGGGCAGGCATATAATAATACACAATATTTTCTTTCAGAGACATCTGTTCCTCATCATTCACTCTTTCAGTGTCCTGTGAATCTAAATGGGTTTTCATGGTCTATAAACACACACGTTCCCTCTCTTTCTCCTAGTGGAAAATACTTACTGCCTTACTTTATCTGACAGCAGGCAAGAATTTACCTTTGATAATATTTCAGGTTTATTGCTAAGTACCATTCTTGTAAAGCCACTGAAATAACTTTTGATGCACCAGCTTTGTTAAGGAAAAAAAATACTAGCAATATGGATAGGCTGGTGATCGCTATTTCTTTTGTGTGGTGGTGTCCATAGGACTGCATCCTTGTGGAGAAGGAAAAGCAGAAGCTCACTGGGGAGCTATGAAGCATATAGCCATATCATATAAAATTAGCATATTCCATTTGTTTGATAAAATTTTCCCCTTGTGCCAGAATGTTTTAGCTCCAGATACCACTTCACCTAGGGAAAATGAAGTATTAATTATATTCTGTATAATCATAAGCTGCAAAACTTTGAAGAGTGGGGGGGGGGGGAGAGAGTGATACAGGATTCAAGGAGCAAACTGCATGAGTGTGAAGGGCTTTGTAAAAATAGAGAAGTGGGTTCTGACAACACTGGTAACCCTATTGCATTTCAGCTTTTTGTCCTTTCAGAGCCCTGTATCCCTTGAAAGGTGCATGAGAGGTGGTGGTGCTTGGGGCAGTAAATGATTCTACATCTGTGAATCCCTAGGTTTGGCATAGTTACACTATTTATATTTCAGCCTGCCGTGTATTTGCTGAGAGAGACACTAAAAGGTAAAGGTACCCCTGACCATTAGGTCCAGCCGCAGATGACTCTGGGGTTGCAGCGCTCATCTCACTCTGTAGGCCGAGGGAGCTGGCGTTTGTCCACAGACAGCTTCCGGGTCATGTGGCCAGCATGACTATGCCACTTCTGGCGAACCAGAGCAGTGCACAGATACGCCGTTTACCTTCCCGCTGGAGCAGTACCTATTTATCTACTTGCACTGGTATGCTTTCGAACTGCTAGGTGGGCAGGAGCTGGGACTGAACAACAGGAGCTCACCCCTTCACAGGGATTTGAACCACCGACCTTCCAATCGGCAAGCCCTAGGCTCAGTGGTTTAGACCACAGCGCTACCCTGTTGTGCCCTGAAAGAACAAGTAACTGGCTTCCTACTAGTTTCAGCCTCCGAATGACACTGTGGGTGGTTAATATCAGTGCCACTGTGTATGTTGGCTGGTTGCCTGTAGATGCAAGAGACACATATAGATAGTGATGAATAATTGGTTGCATATTCTATTTTTTTAAATGTTTGATGTTTTGTTGTATTTTTATATATGCTATAAGCTGCCGAGAGTGGCTAGGGAAACCCAGCCAGATTGGTGGGATATAAATAAAATATAATTAATAATAATAATAATAATTAATAATAATAATGTGATTGACCATTCCTGTGACTAGGTACTAACTAGAAGCTATTGGCAAGTGATTTAAGGAGTGTTGCCATTGTGTTGGTGTTCGCTTTCATGTCTCAGCCCCACTTCCCACTGGTAGTCCCATTGGAATATGTGTTAGAGAGTCACCTATTGGGAAAGATGATGCTTCCACCCAAAATGACCATTTTCCTCTGTCCTAGTAGGTGTCTATTTTCTCATTGAGCATGCATAAATTGAAGTTAGGATCACTCTGTTAGCTGCCTTGCTCTGTTTCCTTTGCCAGATGCTGGTGGTGACACACCAAATCTGGTCGCTTCATGCAGGGAGGACTTATGAATCTTTTAGGAACAGGTAACTCAAAGGAATATAAAAGGTTACTTTCTTCTAGCTCATAGAAGCTGATGGGCAAAAGCTATTTCAGGATTTAACAGTGTAGATGAAAGCTTCTTTGTAGTCCATATATTGTAGATTAAATGTCAGATCTAGTTATTAGGTTTCTCAAATTCTGATGTCATTGTTTTGATATGAATCAGAATAATGCACTGAATTTCCTGATGATATTGAAGATAACTGATCTGAGTGCCTGCCAGTCCTGACAGAAAAGCACTTTGCTAGCTTTTTATTGAAAGACCAAGACTATAACATAAATGCTATTTCAAAGTTTTTATATTGCCTTAGTAAATTGAATTGGTATTCATGCATCATGTAATGCCTGTCTTGAATGCAGGAACAAGGATGTATTTTATCTAATTTATCTAGGTTTTGTGTTTGCCATTACACACCATAGAAAATACCTGAGAAATATATAAAATGTAGGTGCAGCACAGGAATACAAGAATACATCTTATGGAAAGAGAAAACAAAAGCAAAACAATGCTTTTATCTTGCCCAAACGTAAAGGTAAACTAGTGTTTCCCAAGCTTCTGAGTTCATTTGTTAAAGATGTAATGAGGCTCAACCCAAATTCTTAGGAATGTAAATAAAATAAAGTAAAATAAATCAGTATAAAATCCACATTTATTTATAATCAACCACCATTCCTAGGAATCGTAGAATGTAAAAATTCTATGATGCATTGCAGGGGGTTGGACTAGATGATATTTGGGGTCCCTTCCAATACTATGATTCTATGATTATATAAAAAAGAAACTAAACAACTAAAAAATAACAACACCTGTATACAATTTTTAGCAGTAAAACAGCATGTTATGAGAATACTGTAATATTGTGGAATCAGCTTATTAAATGCAGAGGTTATTCATTCACAAAGGAGATGCACTCTGTACCTGCCTGTGCCCTTTATTTATGAGGCTCATAGTTCCTTGTTAATTTGATTGCACTATACATCCTAAACTGCTTTTCAACCTCAGGCCTTTTTCTAGCTCTTTTGACCCTCAACTCCAGGGGGTCAATATATGTTGGCAAGCCCAAGTAGACAAGCTAATAGGTTATTGGCTTCAGTACCACTTATAACACATTTTATGATTGCTCTGTGGTATAACACACCAACTATCTGTACAAATATACTGCAAGAAGCAGTAGCAACCTTTCATTAAATGGTTGTATTTACAAGTAACCTCATGGGCTAGTAATGGGTTTGATTTTACAGTGTCATAAATGTGAGGTGGAAGGGCTTTTGCCACAAGGAGAAAGTACCTCTGTGGACAAACCTTAAGGGTATGCTGTGATTATCTCCAATTTAACATATAAATAAGATCTCTTTGTGAGTCAGACAAATCCCTCTCTTCCCTCCCAATGCAGATTGTTCCCCACAGAACAGTTTGCTGTGCTTTATCTAGTGTAATTAAATGTCGATTAATAGCTCCTCCTTTCCTTACTTTGGAGACTGTAATTTAATTAAGGGTTTGTCCCATTGTTGTACAGTGGTACCCCGCAAGACGAATGCCTCGCAAGACGAAAAACTCGCTAGACGAAAGGGTTTTGCGTTTTTTGAGTCGTTCCGCAAGACAAATTTCCCTATGGGCTTGCTTCGCAAGACGAAACGTCTTGCGAGTTCTTGCGAGTTTGTTTCCTTTTTCTTAAAGCCGCTAAGCCGCTAATAGCCGCTAAGCCGCTAATAGCCGTGCTTCGCAAGACGAAAAAACCGCAAGACGAAGAGACAAGCGGAACGGATTAATTTCATCTTGCGAGGCACCACTGTATTCTGTGTTAGTGTAGCTTTGCTGAATGCAAGGTCTCTAGCCTGAGGAACTGCTGTTTGGATGGTGAGGAGTCAAATAATGGAGAGATGAGAGAACCTATATGTCCTAGGGTGATGTAATGGTTCTAGGGGTTGCTCGTGCATAAGCCGGTGCAAACACCTGGCTGGATTGCCTGAGTGAACCTTTTCTGTCCGGACAGCCACTCACCCGTGGCTGTCTCAATCGCTGGCAGAATCCGTCAGTGGGCGTTTCTTAAACTTCTTCCAGCAAAGAAGCTCTTTGACGCCTAGTCACCTCCTACTCTCTCTGCGCGGAAGCCTTCTGTGCAAGGAGGGTGTAGGCAGCGGAGGACCTCTACTCTCCCCGCTGGTCCCCGGCAAGGAGTCATGGAACCGCCTCTCCGCTTCCTCCATCTGCCCCCTTCTCCACTGGTGCTACGCTGATTCTCTTCCCCAGAAGATGGGCTGCCTCTCCCAATCCTGGGACGCTCTCCGGAATCCCTCTGGATTTTGCTCTCTCCCTCCGGCACTGATGGCAGTTCCCTGACAGGTGATAAACTGGGGGGCTACATCTTTTGGATTTAAATTTGTTTGAAGGAGATACCGTAACTGTTTGGAGGAAAAAAATGCCCACAGATAAGAAGTTGCTTTGACAGGAACCAGTAGCAACAGTCAAAACTAAGAGGTTCCTAGAAGGACCATTTAGGATGTATTAGATGACAGAATGCAGCACGCAGGTCTTTGTGTGCTTTCTGACTGGTAGCCCAGTCTTTGTTGCATTCCCCTCTTTCTATTTTTTCATAGTAGTGCAAATAACTAGATGACCATATACCAGTGCAGTCAATTGTGTGAACCTTTACAAGTGGTCTAATAACAAAGGATCATAATAGATGACCCAATCCTTAAAAACATCTTTCAAGATAGTCTACTTGAGTTGCCACCGCCATCCAACACATGCAGACATACTTGTGGGGGATGGGAGAGAAAACCCATAGGAGTGGATGACAAAGGGAGTACATGTTCTAAGCACTGAAAACCAAATCCAACAAAAATTATAACCAGAAAATTCTGTAGAGCAGACAGAACTTTAGTAAAAATTTGAGCTTGGTCTCTTCAGTATTTCTGAGGTAAGCACACATTACAGTAATAGATGTTAATATTAGGGATTCCATGTCTGGTGCTAAGATTTTTACTTCAGGAGGTATCCTTTCAATGTGTGTTGCAGGATGTACAGACACAGCTGTTTTGTTTTCAAACATGTACAAGGGCTAAAATTAAGTCAAGACCATGTACCATCATGCTGCCTCTTAAAAGCAGTTCAGTATCACCGTGGCCGCTCTTCTTATATCTCTGCTTGTCTGATCTCTTCAATCTTGATAGGATTGTTGGACTGAAATTTAAGAAATGAGGTCTGCAGCAAGACTGCAGTGTTTATTCTGTGCTATTCAGAGAAGCGGTTGTGTTGTGAATGGCACTGTGATGTTCAAGGACAAAGTCCAGTTCTTTAAAGGGAGGGGAATCTCCAACCCGTGGACTGAGTGTGGCCCTTTAGGCCTCTCTATCCAGCCCTCAGTTTTTCCCCCAGGCCATGTCCCATCACACCTTGCCCTTCACCCTCCTAGAATGCTCTTGCTTGGCTGGAATGCGTCCTTGAAGTGTGGTAATGCCTCTTGCTTGCCTGGATGGACTTGTGTGCATGGAAACCTGGTTTTTGCACGGCTGGAATGTAGCCAACTGTACAAAGGAAAGAGTCCCACCTATTATTCTGTACCTTTTCGCTCTGGCTCTTCCCACCACTGACATGTGGTCCACAGGAAGTTGCCCATGAAGGAATATGGCTCTTGGGCTGATAGGTTTTCCAATCCTGCTTTTAAAATATCCTTCAGTGATCCTGGGTGTTGCTGCTTCTAACTCTCCACTCCCTTGACCTCCTACCTTTAATGCCATTGTTTTTGTTTTCATTCCTTTACTCTTTATTGTGGCTTCTGTGAATATCATAGAATAGATGTATCTCCCTTTAACTTGTTTCCCACAGAACAAAGGGGAGTATGTATCATGCATTGACATATGCCACCATATTGGAAATGCAAGCCATGATGACCTTTGACTCTCAGGACATACTGAATGCTGGAAACACAATGAAAGAAGCTCAAGCCATATGTCAGAAGTAAGCACACCACAGAGAATTATTCTAGATGGTCAAAAGCATAGAATAAGTACATAAGACAGCTTTGCAACAGTAAGAATGAAGAAAATGTTTTAGTAGAGGAAAACGCTAAAGGATTCTTAGGAACCTTCATGTGCCACCAATAATTTTTTTTGACAGTTGGATTCCACCATGTATAAATGCAGTCATCTACATTAAAGTCGAAAGGTATAATTTTACTTGCACTTTACCTACATATGGCCACATGTAAGCCATTTCGGAAATATTTATTTGTCATGCAGCCAAAATGACAATTGTGGGACTATAAACACTATAGAATAACATACCGCTTTAAACAGAGGTTAATGTTTATGTCAGAAAATGCTTGAGGTGACCACATAAAGGCATTGAGTCCCAACTGTTCCTAGTCATAAATGTTAACACATAGAAATATAATGGCAAAATTTAGTATGCCGAAGTACAGTGGTACCTCTGGTTACATTCTTAATTCGTTCCAGAGGTCCGTTCTTAACCTGAAACTGTTCTTAACCTGAAGCACCACTTTAGCTAATGGGGCCTCCCACTGCTGCCGCGCCGCCACCACGCGATTTCTGTTCTCATCCTGAAGCGAAGTTCTTAACCCGAGGTACTATTTCTGGGTTAGCGGAATCTGTAACCTGAAGCATATGTAACCTGAGGTGCCACTGTAATGTAAAAGATAATTGAAAAATAGTATATGAAACCTTTAATTATACATACAGCCTTTTCTTAAATCACTTTGAGCATAAGAACATATTGTTCTGTGTACTTGGCATTTTGCAGAGTAATAAATTAAAATTTCAAGTCTGTAATCTCCTTGGATTGGAATCTAAAGTTTTGACAGAGTGGAGGAAAAGCACTGAAATAAAAAAAAGACAAAGGTATTGGAGCAAGAATATATGCAGATATAGTTTAGATGTACTTAGACTCCATTCCTCTTTCTATTTAGCTTTCAGCAGTTGGACTTGCTTTTGATAATACATGCATAACATTGCATTGTTAGGCTTAGTTTTTAAAGGCCAATATAACTAAAGGGTTTTGTCAATATGTTCTACATTTCCAGCCTCTTTTGTTTTTATGTAGGTTTCGGAAGAAATCCACCGTGGCCGATTCACTCAACAATTTAGTGCACAGACACAATGTTGACCAATTAACTGAAGGTAAAAAAATAAACAAAAATAAACATTAGCTCCTGTTTCTGTCCACATGACTGCCTGGTAAATTAAATAAATATTCACCTGGTGCTTAACAGCTCAGGAGTGGGCAGCTGGCAAGCCTCTGTGGGGAAAGAATTGTGTAGGTGGGAAGCCACAACTGGAAAGGTCACCACCTGCCTAATCTTCAAAAACAAGGGCATCCAGGCAACAGCCTTAATAGAACATCCTAATGTGGACATTTTTGAGGTGTGCTTGTATTATAATGTGGAAGATTGTAGTGGTTATGATGACACTGTTCCATTTGGTGGTGGAGCTTTCCTGCTATTCACTTCATATATTTTTTCCCCTTTCCCCCTTTTTAAAAAGAGGAAATTCATGCAGAAATTTGCTATGCCGAATGTTTGCTTCAGAGAGCTGCTCTTACATTCCTTCAGGTAAGAGCATTTGTTTTTGGAACATTGTTGTGGAAACAGGAATGTGAGGCCTCAGTTAATTTCAATAAGACCGTGGTTACTGAGATCACAGTGAGTCGGGCAGGTGATGTTAATAAGAATCTCTTTCTTTGTCTACCCACACCAACACCATGCAGCTTTGCTTTTATGCATTTTGCATAACATGTAGCTTCTCACACACTGAGAAGCAAGTTTAATTAGGAAGTCAGGATGTTTCCAGTTTATAATATGGGGACTTGATAAATCATTCTGTAACTTGCTTTTCGCAGAGATTTCCTTGTCCTTCATTTGAGATGGAGACAGCTTGTTGGATCCTTATCAAACTCTACAGTGTCAGGGTGGCCTGGTTGCATTTTGCAAGTTCAATTCAGTCGAACACTGTTCCTGATACCTGCTTTCTCTAAGGTTTCTGATGCCTTTGCAAGTGTCCAGCATGTGTCTTGGATTAGCTAAAGCTGATGGCCCCATGCTAATCATCGGTAGTCCAAATCATTACAAAGCCTATGACATAGCATGTAGGAACAGCGGCTTTTGTGCAAAGTCAGTAATAATAGGTTCTTCTCCGATGAAATACTTCCTGTCTCATTTTTCTAGTGTTAATTAATAAGGAATACTATTATTCTGCTTCTGTTTTACTTGATGTATCCAAACTAAGGGCTACAGCTTTGAAATTTGTGTTAGGTATTTAACAAGGTCAAAATTTTAAAGATTTTTTTTTAAGGTATATGTGTATGTATTAGAAAAGATTGACCCTTAAGTATTTACCAGTCTAGATTTTGTAACAAACTTTTAGTCATTGTCCCCAAAAGCAAGAGGATTTTCATGTACACGTATGCTGAAATGTGTTATCTATTGTATTTTCCTTAGGATGAAAACATGGTTAGCTTTATCAAAGGCAGCATCAAAGTCAGAAACAGTTATCAAACATATAGGTTTGTAGCATTTTAATATTTTTTTACAATTATTATGTTCCAGGCATCCATCCAAATCAAAACTTATTGCTTATTATGTTTGGTGCTCTGCACTTCAGGCTTCACTCTTGTCTAAATTGATTCTGGCTGATATTTTATTTTAATTAATCAATCAATCAATCTAATGTATTTATATCCTGCACTTTCAAAGTAAAAACTCTCATAAAGCAGCTTAGAGTGGTTACTAATAAATACAATTTATGAATCTAAAAGCAAAACCAGTAAACTCACAGTTGAAACAACAGCAATGAATCACAAATGTAAGTGAGGCCATTAATAAAAGTCTGAGTGGAATGAATTTTTTTTTAATTAACTGCTCTTTAAAATCACCAGCAAGTGGGCGATGTGCACCTCCCCAGTGGGGAGGGAATTCAAAAGATGCAAGGCCATCTTTGGTACTCTCTTCATACCATGGGTATTGGGTAAATGGTATATTAGCAGTAGCTCTTATTGTCATGTATTTCAAAGTGCTAGACCATGATTGGTATTAGAACTGGATTACATTCTGGGTTTTGATGAGATCTTTTGGTTTGATAGGGAGCTGGACAGTCTAATACATTCTCCCCACTATGTTAAAGGAGAAAATCATCCCCATTTTGAAGGTGGCGTAAAGCTGGGAGTTGGGGCATTTAATCTGGTATGTATCACAGTTTTTTTTGTATACATGGTTCTGGCTAGGGCTGTTGGGAGTTGTATTCCATCATCTGGCTTTATATTTGACTGTTCAAGAGATTATTTGAAGTTGACATCTTTTACATAAGAATTGGTTCCAGCGGCTGAAAATGCTGCTATGTGGTAGTAGCTCCATGTAGTGGCTAAAACATTTTATGAGCTGCTTTCTTATGAGATTTCCCACCACCTGTAACTCTCTCACTGCTCTGGCTGCTAGTTTGCGACTGAGCCATATCTAAGGCCCATGTACTGGCTTAGAAGGCTCTAAACAACTTGAGATCAGGCTATTTTAGGGAGTGCCTTCTTCAATATCAGCCTGCCTGGCTGTTGAGGTATGCGAGTAAGGCCTTCTTGATTGTATTGTGGCCTGCAGCAGAAGGGCTGAGTCTCAGTGGTAGAGCATCAAGTTTGCATGCAGAAGGTCCCAGGTTCAGTCCTCAGCATCTCCAGGTGGGATTGGGAGAGACAGTAGTGAGTTAGATGGACCAATGGTCTGACTCAATATAAGGCAACTTCCAGGGTGAGCCTTCTCTGTGGAACCAGAATAATTTCTGAGTTGTGACCGGCTAGCATTTTAGTTCTTACTTAAAGCCACTTTACTTCCCAAGCCTTTGATGGTGGTTTGTTCTTAATTTGTCATGATGGTTGATCGTTTTATGATTATTATTGTATATTTATTCATTCATAGACTCTCTTGTGCTAGCCAAAGGCCATGGCATCGTTCACAAGGGGAACAAAAGGAAAAACAGCAATAACCATAAAAACATTTAGCACTACCAGTGCAAAAAACCACGGTCAAGTCTCCTAGAAATTATTTGTTGCATAAGATAGAATAGCAGGGAAATCTCAGGTAAAATATGCCAGTTTAAGTGTCCGAATCCCAGTTGACTGCTATTTTATCTAGCTCTTTTCTCCTGATCTTTTTAGCTGCCAACACATATAGTGCTACTTTATAGGTTACAAAGTCATCAGTATCGCTCAGCAGCCATTTCACCCTTTCCACCCTGTTAGAGTGTATTCCATTCATAAGCAGGGGTTTTATAAATTGGTCTCTTGGATCTATATATAGTGGGCATTGCAATAAATAATGGTACAGGTCCTCTACACAGGGTTGCCCACATATACAAAGTCTCTCCTCGTACTGTACTTTGCTGTACCGACCATCCAACACCATCAAGGGCATTGATTGGAATAATAATTCTGTAAAAGCGATTCTTAGTACGGCAAGTGGGAGCTTTGTCAGATATCTAGCTCGGGTGTGCTCCGTTTTAATAAGTGGGAGCCATGGTGAACTTTTGGTAGAGGCAATCGTGGATAAATCCCTTTCTTCATCGGACCTAAAGAGACAATCTATTAGGTGCCTCCTATCCATCTTCATGGTCACCTGAAGATCTTGTAATTGATATTGGGACAAGAGGCTTTGGATGTCAGCCTTCCAGCATTTGGACTGTTCTCCTTCAGTGTGGGACATAGTGGGGAATCTCTCCTCCAAGAGCGATTGGAGTCTTTTCACATAGCTTAGACACAGATAGTCAATTCTAGCCCATATTGTTGTCACGTCCGCTTCAACGCGGATAAGAGCAGCTGGGGTCCCCTTGGGGAGTGAGAGCACTTTCCTGAGGAATTTGTTCTGTACTATTTCTAAGGCTTTGTTAGCATTTGGGTCCATGCCCCATATCACTACTCCATAGAGCATTTGGGAAACCACTTTACTGGTGAAGATTTTCAGCACAGGTTCTAATAACTGGCCACCCAGTGTAAAATAGAATTTTATTAGTGCCCCACAAGCTTTCTGTGCTTTGAGTTTTGAGAAACTAGTCCTCGCCATAATTTCCTGTATGCTTTTCACCTGTGCAAATTTTATCACAAGATACCAATTATACAGAACGTTTAGGCTACAGTGATTAAAATCACAAGCACTTCAGGAAATGAATTAACTTGTGTGAAGGAGTGAAGGCCTTTTCAGGGAGGAAATGTGTGAAACCTTACAACATGTGCTTGAAGCTCAAACTCATCAAGTTTGCAAGAGCTATATTTGTCACACTGGAAATACTCAGATTATTCTATTATATATAGCTTGTTTCTTGCCAGTAATCAGAATGTTATAAGGGCAGCATTATGTATTGAAGAGCTACTGTGCTGATGAAAAGCTTTTATGATATTGCAATTTTAATTTGCAGGAAGGTTCCCTCCATTATGACCCTTCTGATTTTATATTTTAAATCAGTATCTGCTTGTGAGCTACTTGTGAGCTGTTTGTAGAATTTGTAGGGGCTAGCTAACTACAAGTTATATTATGTGATTAGCAATTGCACTGTGGTTTTTAACAATGGAAATATTGGGAGTAGGGGATGGTAGTTTCATCGGTACCTTCAATATGCAAGAAAGTAACATTTAAGTCTTCCCTCTCCAGTAACACCTCATCCTCCTTTATTAGAGATTGGTGCTGAAGGGATATTTTTTTCTAATGGTGATTGCTGCGCACAGTCCAGTTTTTCTTGAACACCGCCAGAGAGATAAGGCTTAACAACCCCCACCCATTGTTGATGACAGCCCCCCCCAGTGTATAATTTTTAAAAACCCACAATTCAATTGCTAATTGCATCACTAAAGTACAGTAACACATAGCTAGGCTCTTTGTTTGCACATGTGTGGTATTATAAGCTCACATGTTCAGGAACAGAGGAGTAACTTTGCATCCTCCGCCCCTCATGTTTATGCAGTTATCTGTGGGGTGGGTGTTTTGCATGTTTAGTTGTACATGCAGAAGGTTTCCTGTAATCTGGAACTCGGATAGTTGCTGAACCATGATTTTTACTCATAATGCCCAATAGGGCTGCAAGTATAAGTACATCAAATGTCAAGATTTTCCTTTATAAAGGTGACTTGAACAAAAATAACAGAAGTGGCTCCTTCATACTGGAATCTTCTTTCCTGATGATTCAGCTCAGAGCTTTTTTTCTTAAAAAAATGTTTAGGGATACTCTCATTTTCCTATTTGTATTAAAATACAGCCCCTCAATGAGACCAAACTTAGATTCATAAAATGTTTAGGGGTATGCGTACCCCTGCATCACCCCAGAAAAAAAGCACTGGTTCAGCTTCATTTCTAGATATGTTTGTTAAGCTTATTTCCAAAATAATAAGACTGTAAGGCACCACTTTATACTGCTGCTTTCATAATGAAGGAAGGAAGGAAGAGCAAACACACACACAGAAAACTAACCCTGCCTACTGTTTGACCTTCCTCATTACCATGGCAGGTTGTAATTACCAACCTCACAAGCTTGTTACCTGGTAGAGATGTGTTGTCTCCACTCTGGTGAAAGATGACTTGACCCATGACTTGCTCATCTCTAATTGGCCCAAGGCTGTGGAGGCACTGAGCATCTTCCCACACCTGCCCCATTATTTCTTGTGCTGACATGGGAACTCTCCACATTATGTGTAAATAATATGCCTTAGGAGAGTTTGCCCTAAAATATGGCTTAAACATGTAGTACTAAATAAACTAACAAATAAGAAGAAGTTGCATTGTGCTCAGTGCTATGGAGGGGTGTGTGGTATGGCAAACATGACATATGGAAGCCATTTTAGGTGAGCTTGATATGAAACTTGTTCTGCTCCTTTTATTTGTAAAATATCTTTTCTGAGATGTTGCAGGTAAAATAAATGTATATCTATATATAATTTTCTTCCCACAAATTTTCTTTGGTTTTTATTTCTATAGACTTTGTCTATGTTACCATCAAGGATTGTACGGTTACTGGAGTTTGTTGGGTTTTCAGGAAATAAGGCAAGTATATGTTTGTTTATGTTGTTTCATTTATTAAAATCTTTTATATGCCACCTGTCATTTCAAAAGACATACCAAGGCACTTCTCTGGGCAATAATAAAATACAACAATAAAAATCCTATAAATAAAAAACTGTAAAACATCAGTATTGATTGCAGTAGCCAAAAATGCCAGGAGTCAGTATTAGCGGTCAGCAAATGCCTGGGTAAATGAGTACATTTTTAGTTGCACCCCATAGCTGGCTCCCAAATGCTCTCTAAGCTAATATTATTTCAGGGTAGGAAGCACCACTGTGAACATTTAGTTGGCATCTATACAGTACAGACAAAACTAAGAACTGCTACACACACACACACACACACACACACACACACACATTACAGTAAGATAAGATAAGATAAATAAAACTTTATTCGCATTAGCCTTTGGCCATAGCAACAGTAAAACATTACAGTATATGCAGAAAAGGAAATTTGATATAAAAGTACAATTTAAAGTCCTGAATCAGCAGTCAGTTAGTGGCCCTTATTCTGATTGCCCCTGCTATGAACCTAGCAACCTTTGCTGTTATCTGCTCATTTTGATCTTGTTATGTACTGAGTTGAATAGGATCCAAACTGCAGCAGTCTGATTGGTCCTAGAACAATAGGATTCAGAATGCAGCAGTCTGATTGGTCCTAGAACAATGCATCAGTATGATTGGTTGGCAGGAACCACCCAATCATGCTCCAGATATAAGTGAATCCACAACCTGATTGGCTTACAGTAGAATTCCAGAATTAGCCAATCATGTGCAGCCCATTGTGTAAATAATGTATATAAAGCAGATACTTTGAGGGGACATTCACTCATTCCTCCTCACCACTATGAGCTGAATAAAGAGCATGAAATCACTTTGCGACTCTGAGTATATTTCAGATCTGATAGAAGAAAGGACATTATGGCAGTGGTTGAGCACCCTGGGATGGTCAGTACGAGTGGAGTGATGATCTCGTTCCTAAAATCTTTGTAGAGAGTACAGGACAGGAAGACTTGTGCCGCTGTTTTGGTGCTACCATCTCCACAGGGGCAAAGACGTTTCTTAGGCGGAATCTTTTGGAATCGACCCTCAGGTACCGCAGATGGCACAACATCCAGTCTTGCAAGTGTAAAAGCACATCTATTTTGGGATAATAAGTCTGTGCGGATATGGGGCCAGAGAATCAAAATGGGGAGATGAAAACAGAACATACCAAGGGCAGAATTTCCTTATAGTGGCCAGGTTGTTCTGGTGCTCGATATCTTTTAGACGCTGACCAGTTAGACTGTTTGCTTTAGTGGGGCCCAAAGTGAGTAGATGTTGTGGGGATAGGCCACAAGAGTGAAGTTTTTGATAGGCAGTTTTAAGCCAGGCACTTTTATGGGAGTCTTGAAGTACTAGGGATAGTAAACTGGGGGGATTTGAGTTTAGGTGAAGCCAGGGGTAAAAAGTTATTTGCCAAGTCCATAGTTCTACTGAAGAGAGACTTGCCTCCAGTCTCAACAATGCGTTTGGGATGCATGGCGGTACCGAAAAAATCTGCCTTAGAAACTTTGATTGAACAGCTTCCAAAGTGCCAAGGTGGTTACCAGTCCAAGTCTGAGCCCTGTATAGTAGCTGTGCTAGGGGTTTAGCTTGGAAGGCTTCTAGGGCTGATGGTATATATTTGCCACCCTTTGTATGGAAAAAGCGAGTCAAAGTCTTGGCACTTTGGGATGCTTTTTCTTTTGCACATTTTTGGTGTGCTCCCCATGACCCCGTGGACTGGAAGATAAGGCCCAAATATTTGAAAGCTTTGACCTGTTCGATAGGCTGATTGTCCATACACCAACTGTGGGGCCTATATTTTCTTGAGAAAACCGTAACTTTGGTTTTCTGATAATTTGCGACCAGGTGTTCTCTCTGGTAATACACTGAGAATTCTCTTATCAATCTTTTTAGGCCTATTTTTGTTTGGGATAAGAGGACCGCATCATCAGCATATAATAGTACAGAGATTGGTTTTGAGGCCAGTTTAGGAGCGTGGAATTCTGAAGATGTTAGGCACTGGACCATGTCGTTTATGTATAGGTTAAAGAGTGCCGGGGCTATAATGCACCCTTTGTGGCTGGGACAGATCCTGTAAGTTGGCCATTTGTAGAGCAACACACTTCCAGCACAGTGTCTTTATAAAGGCAGTTAATCGGATATAATAATCTTTTGTCTATGCTTGAGGTGTTTAATTTGGCCCATAGACTTACTCGTGAGATTGAATCAAAAGCAGCTTTCAAATAAATGAAAGCAGCATACAGCACACCGCAGGATTGCTTGGCGTACTTATCTATGAGGTGGGCTAGGACGAAGCAATGGTCTATAGTACCTGCCTTGCCTGAATCCTACTTGCTCGCTCTTCCACAAGGATAGTCTCAGCATCAATCCAGTTGATTAATTTATTGTGGAGGTGTTTTGCATATAATTTACTAACTATAGATAAGAGGCTGATAGGTCTGTAGCTGGCCAGATCCCATGTAGGGCCCTTTTTGAATATTGGGATGATTACCTCAATGGCCCAGCTGTCGGGGAGTAAACCAGATGAATCAATGTGAGAGAGTAGTGCCACAAGCAGAGGTGCCCACCAGTCAATATTGGACTTCAAAAGTACAGGGGGCAGGTGATCAATGCCTGGGGCTCTATTGTTTTTTAGCTGTGTAATTAGGTCTTTTACCTCAGTCGTGGACACTGGGGGCCAAGCTGGTAAGTTTTCTGGAGATACTGCTGCGTGATTAAGCTGAGCATCCTGGTCTTGGAAAAGTGAGCGGTAGTACTGCGTTACATGCCTGCTGTAGAGAAACCTCAATACATTGTGCCCTTTGTGTGACCAAATGGCACATCTTCTAAGGGGAACACATGTTAATTGCTATTGCATTTTCTGTAACCACTACTTCATTCATTTGGTGTTTTGTAAAAGAGATGTCTGATAACTTTATTGGGCACTATGGTGACATACATTGATAATGTTCTCCTGTACTAGCTGAGTAAACCAATTTAACTTTCTGTGTTGGAAGATACTTCTCTCCTTAGTTACGGTGGAACAAATAGAGCAAACCACAGGTGTAATTAATTTACAACCATTTATCTGACTGTGATGCAGGAACATGGTCTGCGACAGCTTCAAGAAGGAGCCTCAGTGTACAGCTTTAGGTCTGTGCTGTGCACTATGCTGCTGCTCTGCTATCATACCTTCATGACTTTTGTGCTAGGTAGGATTCATTTTCTTCTCTAAATGTTGACCCTTCATACATCCAAAATGGCAGGGGGATAGGAAGGAGTGTGTTCATCACAAAGCTGGTTGTGAATACTTATTCAGAATAGCTTTAGCATTGTTCATGTATGACTTAATTCTTCACAAACTTTTATTTTCTTCAAGAAACACTTAAGATGGATATGATATATGCATAAAGGTAAAGGTAAAGTGGCCCCTGACCATTAGGTCCAGTCGCGGACAACTCTGGGGTTGCGGCACTCATCTCACTTTATTGGCCGAGGGAGCTGGCGTACAGCTTCTGGGTCATGTGGCCAGCATGACTAAGCCGCTTTTGGCGAACCAGAGCAGCGCACGGAAACGCCTTTTACCTTTCCGCCGGAGCGGTACCTTTTTATCTACTTGCACTTTGAGATATATGCATAGCTTATCCCAAAATTCTAAAACATATAGACAGTTTTTGAACCAGGCTAATCCTAGCAATCCTAAACGGCGTTCCGTGTGCTGCGCTGGCTCACCAGATGCAGCTTGTCACGCTGGCCATGTGACCCGGAAGTGTCTGCGGACAGCGCTGGCTCCCGGCCTATAGAGTGAGATGAGCGCACAACCCTAGAGTCTGGCAAGACTGGCCCGTACGGGCAGGGGTACCTTTACCTTTACCTTTACTAATCCTAGCAATTTAAACAGAAACATAACATTATGAGCTATAAATGCAAACATTTTGTTAGGTGTTTGCTGTTCCCCTAACCACTCTTTAACTTGTTCTAAAAACCTTAGCACAGGTCCTCCTAGTCACTGGGATCAGATGATACGAGGCCTTTATAGGGATGCAGCTTTAGGGAGCTTGGGGTTGCTGATTCTAGAAGTGTGACTCTTCCTGCCCATAGCTTCAGTTTTACAGAATCCCCTCCCCAGTGAAACCTGTAAATGCCCAAACTTGTTTTAATGAGTTGCCTAAAAGTCAACTATCTTCGGACTATTTAGGAGCTGCTCAGTTTTGATGAGAATTTCCCTGTAATCATTTGCTTTTAATATTTTTGTGTCACCATTATTTTTGAGCTAAATTAATGTTTATATTTGGCCTTGAGAGAAAGTATGGAAAGGACTCACAATGTAAACTAAGTCTGGGCTACCCCCACTTTCTAATTTTTTGTTCTCCCAATTAATTTAGGGACAGGAAAAGGAAATGTTGAAGAAGCAGAGAAACTTCTTAAGCCTTACTTGGCTCGATATCCAAAAGTAAGATATATCTTAAATAGGCCTGATATGTGTACCAATGTAATATCTTACTGTAGAAAGATGATTAAATGTATATGAAAATTGTTGCCAATGTTTTTTCTTGATTTATTCCAGGGATCCATATTCCTGTTTTTTGCAGGGAGAATAGAAACAATAAGAGGCAATGTTGATGGAGTAAGTAATTTGTTTTTATCCTTCACATACCTTCCTTGGGGCTTAAGAAATCTTTGGCCTTATGATCACAGTTCCTGGTGGGTTTTGCTCTCTGCAGTACAGTACTTGGCCACACTAAGAGTGACAAATGGATGTTGGTCTGAAAGAAGTAGAAGGGCATGCAACTGGTTGACCTGGCAGATTTGATAAGAAGGATTCAATAAAGATTGTAAGCAAATCACGGTAGAAAAGCAAGGCTATTTGCCATCTTATTTTCCACATGAACCTGACCATATATGAAGGTCATCTTCAGAGGTCCTTCTCCACTGGTGCAACCCTGTCACTGGTTGAGATGCCCTTCAGCTGTAATGTCTCTGCTGTGGACTACCTTCCCCACCTGGTGCAAAGCCTGACATTTTTTCAGCATCAGGTGAAGTATTTGCCTAGGCATTTTAAATCATTTGAGCCTTTTGGATTTAGATTTTGGACTGGTTACAACTATTTCTGCTCTGCTGTGTGAGTGTAGTGGTGGGTTTTTAAACTTTTATTATTTTAACTTCATGCAAGCCTCTCTGAGTATTAAAAGTGAATATAAATACTTCAACATAAATAAATGGAGCATCTATTATTGTTAGGTACTGGGTGGAAACAACACTAAATTACTACTAAACTGTGAATTGGCTCTTGGTTTGAGAACCAATATGATGTGATAGTGTTTTGCTAGGACTTGGCAGACGCAGATTCAAAGCTGCACACCACCTCGAACCTCACTGAATGCTTTTGGGTTAGTATTTTCTCGCTCAGCCTAACCTATCTCACAGTGTAGGAGGTGAGGAACAATATATGCCCCCTGAACTACTTGGAGGAAATGTAGCATCAAAATTGAATTAAAAGTAAGAAATAACGTTTCTAAGCAAATATATTGATATCTTCTGCTATTTCTGTCTCCCCTTTTGCATGGAGATGCAGACTGTCAGAACTGATTGTAGTATGTGATTGATACAGGAACAGTAGTGTATGGCTTCTGGCCTGAGTGCATGCTTGACAAGTATATTCAAAAGCTGTGCTGACATTTTTGAATGAGGGGTGTAGTCCTTTAAGGTTTTCTTTTGATTTTCTAGGCCATCAAAAGGTTTGAAGAATGTTGTGAAGCCCAGCAGAATTGGAAGCAGTTTCATCACATGTGCTATTGGGAACTCATGTGGTGCTTCACATACAAACGTCAGTGGAAGATGGCATACTTCTATGCAGATCTGCTCAGCAAAGAGAACACCTGGTCCAAGGTGAGTACAAGGATGATGTGCTGACGAGCACATCTGATAAAGAAAGGTAATGTTATGGTGTGATTTGGATCAATCAGTTTTCGAGTAGACTTATTCCAGGTAGACATTAAAATATGATTGAAAGGCCACTGAAGATATAAAACAATGCTATTCCTAGTTGTACTTTAGTAGCAGACACTTTGTCCTCTTAATCAAGCTCAAGTGGCATATGCTGTTGCATAGAGCCAGAGTCCTTGAGAGGCCTATAGCTTTGGTCTTCTCTCTTGTTCTGAGCTGTTCAGTAAGCATATGAAGAGAAGCCATGTCTGCTGGCTCATTTCCACTGTGTCCCTGATTGCTATCTTTTAAATTTCCCCCGAAGAAGTGATTGCTTTCCATTGAGAAAGATTAGGGGCTTCTGATAGAAATTGTCTTCATTTTTATACATTTGGTCAGCTTAACCTGTCCAGGTCTGCCTTTTGTAATATCCCAAATCTTTCTCCTCCCTTCAAGCAGCTTGTTTTGATAATAAATGTGTGTTCAATTTCCTGTGTAGGAATCCTGTCTCGCTCAGATAGCAAGATGTGTACTCTTGTGTTGTCTAGAAAAAAAGGCTCACATTTGCATGAAATTTGAAAGCCTTCTGTGCTTTTGCTTACTCTTCAATAATTGGGTAGTTTTTCAGTTCTCTGCTTGACTTGCTAAAAGCCTTTCTTTGCTAATTCTGATTGGATACACTTTCAGTCCAAATAAATGTCTCACAGCAGAACCAACTGCTGCTTTGGCAAGAGAAATTCCGGTTGGCTGTGGGGTAGATGTTCTGCTTCTCTTTTGTTCTGAGACAACATGTGTCTTCATTTTGAAGTGGCTTGAATAAATGAGTAGTTAAAACCGTATAAGTTTGGGCTTCTTCTTATGGTAAGATATTGAGCTGGGCAGTATAGGAATCTTGTATTATTATACTTAGTCATGTGTGTTTCCCATTTTTATAAGTTTCTTCCCCTTATGCTTTTTAAATGCTATGTAAATCAGGATTTTCTTATAAAAATTCAATTTTACTTTTGCAAGGGATAATGTGCCTGGCAGGGTAGGGGTGGGGGTTGTGAAATATATTGCTAGTCGGTCTTGCTACCTGATTTGGACACTTAGAACATATTAGCCCTATTGACGTGTTATAGTCAATGCAGTTGCAGCAAGGCTTAGTTCCTGCTGACAATGGGTGAACCTTTGTCTCGACTGTACCACTTTAGACTATAAGTGAGTGCTCACATGCCTGAACGCTTTTCTTTACAAAAATTGCCCACACATAGAAACTTAGCCATTTCCCTAGTTTCATGTAGAGATTGTTGTTTCGTATGAATAAGCATCCAGTCTTTTGCACCTCCATCTTCAGTCTGAAATGGAACCATTAAACATAGATTTACCACTTTAGGTGAGGACAAAGCCTAAGAATAGCCTGCTTTCGGGGCAGTGCTAGTCAAATGGCAGTGCTGTTGGATTACGATTCTAGACTAATGGTGCCTTTTTTTAGCCTATAAAAACAATGTTAATCAGGATAGATTCATGCCATCCTCAGGAGTGAGCAAAGGAATAGTAATGACCATAGTCATGTACTTTTGACTTAACTTCCTTGAAACCAAGTGCCCAAAAGCTGTTCCTTGGTGTAAGATCTGTTTTCTGCAAACACACACACACACATACTAAACTGTAAAAGCAGGGCTTTTTTTCAGCCAGAAATCATTGGAACTCAGTTCCGGCACCTCTCAGGTGTGCGCCATTGCCATAATAAGAGAACAAGGGAGGCATTCATGGTGCATTCCGGCACCTCTTTTTCTAGAAAAATAGCACTGTGTAAAAGTATGTATCTGTACACACATCTTCTTTGCAAGTAGAAAAACTTGGATACAGAAAGAATTGAGTTCTAGTATATGTTTCTGATGTATTTACTTCCCTTTTCTGCTTCGTTTTGGTTACAATATCCTAATGCAAGAATATATGTTCTAGGTAATTTCACTTATGATAGTATAAGGCCATATCCCTTAAATGTTTCACCATGCTGTCTTAGATATTGAAGATGACACAGGAATATAAATTACAATAAGGATTTTTAATCATACGTAATTTTCATTTTAGGCTACATACATATATATGAAAGCAGCTTATCTCTGTATGTTTGGACCAGATGATCATAAGCCTTTTGGGGATGATGACGTTGCACTATATCGGTAAGATTACTTGACTCTTCACAAGGCCTATATATTGACTGAGATTAGTCATGAAAGAAATACCCATTGTATTCAGCCCAGCTCTACACCTAAAATTGTAACTTTGTACATTCCTCTGTATTTAACACCAAGCCATATTTTAATTTATGGTCAATGGGATAATTCAACAACATTTCTTGAATATAGTTTTAATTCTCTCCTACTACTTGAGACATGGGAATCCTACCCACAATAACATTAACTGAATCTCTTCTTCTGTGTCACATGGGATAGAGGGTCAATATTAAATGTATATGGAGCAACACATGAAAATCTTAACACTTCTATATAGGCTACATTCTAGCCACAGAAGAGATGAAAGTTTCTGCACCCCAATTTTGCTCCGTCCTGGCATGCAACAGGGTGATCACAGTGTTAAGGATGCATGTGAACCAGACAAGGCAAGCCCTTAAGGAGGGCATGAAGCAGAACTGGAAGGGTTGTGGCCTATGGAGAAGCCTGCAGGGAGTATTTGGTGGTCTTTAACTCTGGGGCAAGACATGGGGTGGATAATTTGAATTGGATGTGCCATTACTGCAGCTGATGTAGTACCATCCTCAGGTATTTGTTCTAGGAAACTTGGAAATGCCAGAATCCTCTAACTTCTGTAGCTGCCACAAAGTGTTTTTAAATTACGTACAGGTTTAAGGGGCCCTGAGATGCATGTCTGATTCTGTCACTAAGCAGCTGCCCAGAGGTCAGGTGTGATGTAGGAATGGATGGCTCCTCCATGAATGCAGAGCAAGATGTCTAGTTATTCTATGATGGTGACATTTTGATGGTGCTGTATTCCTCCTCCACTACCACTTTCCTTCTTTCTGTTTTATGTTCTTTTAAATACCTAGGTGTTTGTGTATTTGTTTACAATCAAGCAGTATACACATTTTGTTAAATAAAATAAGTACTTCTTCAGAGCTGATCACCTTTAGAATGGAATCTGCTGCTTGACAATGCATATGGAAAAATATAGGGGAGAGTTTTCAGTTCTGATTTTGTCTTTCTAGTTCAGAGGGCTGCAGTATGTAGTAAATAAAGCAAATGAAATTTTGTATGCTTCCTTTCATCTTCCCCACACCTCACAGGGCTGTGCCTAGTTTGAAACTGAAAATAGCAGGAAAGTCCCTGCCTACAGAAAAATTTGCAATTCGGAAATCCCGCCGATATCTATCCTCAAATCCTGTTCCACTTCCTGTACCTGTTTTGGTAAGATTCCCCTGCCCATCCATTGCTTAGAGGTCTCATTATTTATATAAAAACTTCCCTGGTATTTCTTTTTTAATTGAAATGGTTGTTGGGGGGTGGGGAGAGGCTTGAAATGCTTCTGTCGTGGCAGCTAATAATGGATACTGCCTGTGCATACTTTCATGCATATGCCCTGCTGTACCAGGGAAAAACAGGTGGGTGGATCATGTGGACAACAGCTTAAGTATATAGAAATGTATGCAGTCAGTTGCATAACACATTGTGGATAAACCATATTTTCATGGTTCTTTGGATTGTCCTGAATACCACCATTTGGTAGCTAAGCCCCAAGCCAAAATTCCTGTTTGGAATGCATTTTGGCTTGCCTCCTGATGAAACTGAGTGTGTGATGATTGATAATATTGTCATTTATCTGTTTTAGACCCCCTAAGTAGTAGCAGTTGCCAGGACATTGTTCTGTTCGCCTCAGACATTGTGGTAGATTGCAGTGTTTAGCTGGTGATATTGTGAGGTTTAGCTAGTGATAACATTGCAACGTTTAGCTGGTGAGTTATCACAATGTTGAAAACCAAATATCTCCCAGCTCTTACACACATTGTGATTCGTGATACATTGCCAGCTCAAATATTATGAAACAATTATTACGATGTGAACTTCAAACCAGTTTTGCATGATATATTGATAAATCACCCAGTCTTAGCCTGCATCCAGTGATTATGGCTACTGGGAGCAAATAAGCACCTACATTACATCTCTTTCAGGTCAAAGTTAGTGGAGTCTGGTATTGAAACATGTGACTCTTGCAAGCCACCTTGACTTCTATGTGTCCTCCCTTTTCTGCTGAACTTGCACCACAAACACAGCAGATGGTGCTCTTTAACAATTCTCTCCATTGAGGAACTGGAAGTTGGTATTGAAGCTATTTATAGCACTCTGTTAATAGTTAATTGTGCTAGGTCTATTTGGTTTGGATCGAAAGGTCCTTACTGCTGAAAGCTTCTAATTTAAAGTGGGGGGGATATATTTTGTACTGCAATTTTTATTTTTATTTTCTTCAAATCCCTGCTAGAATGATCTTGACAAAAACACAGTTTCTGCATTCAGTTACAGAATTGTTCAGTACAAAATATATAAAGCTGATATACAAAGTGATGCTGCTTCAGTTGAATCTGTTCAGTCTAATCTACCAAGACAGGAAGAAAAGTAATGTGCAGGGTGGCCTAACCCAGATAAAAAGTAGCTAAGAGGAATAAATAGTATAGGATCAAATGTTTTGCTTTTTATTTGTCCAAGGAGACTACAGACCTTGCAATTTTTCAGTCATTGCATACCTTTCCATAGCAGTGGGTGTTCAAAGTAGATAGAAATAAAATGGAACACTTTCTTGCACATCTCGGCATAATTGGGGGTGTGGCTATTGGCATTCTCTAAGAACAAAGGAATTCAGCTAGGCTGGATGGACAGGCTGAACATTGTTTGCAGGGGGGAAAGGCAAGGCCTGAAATCTGGCAAAAAGTGTAGCAGTTCAGTTGGTCCAGCAGTAGATAAAATTTTCACTGCTACGTGCATCATGCACATTTTTATAACATTCTGATCTTTGAAAAAGTGGTTGTAAAATATATTTCAGAGGTTAACTAGTTCACAAGCATTATTGTTATTATTATTATTAGTGCTTTTTTTCTGGGGGGGATGCAGGGGGACTCATACCCCTAAACATTTTGTGAATCTAAGTTTGGCCTCATTGAGGGGCAGTATTTCAATATGAGTAGGAAAATGAGAGTACCCCTAAACATTTTCCCCCTGAAAAAAGTTCTTCTTCATATTCAGCATTTATGCATACTCTTTGAACAAACTGAAGTATACCAGATCAATCACCTTTGTAATCTTTATACAACCCTGTAAGGTAGGGCAATATTATCCCTATGTTGCAAGTGGAGAGTGGGTAGACTAAGACTGAAATATGGTGGCTTGCCTAAGAACCGCATTGTATTGTGGTTGAGGTGAGATTCAAACGTTAAGTCTGCTGGTTCATAATTTAGTCAACCTGGTATTCAACAACATCTGGAGAACTACAATTCCCATCAGCCTCACCCAGCATCAGTCAATCATTTTATTTGTATGCCGCCTTTCCAAAGTGCTCAAAGCGGCTTGCAACATATTTTTTAAAATAACATAGCTATAAGCCTAGCAAAAGTAGCCATAAACAATAAACAAAACATCAAAAAGTACGCAGCTAAATTGAACAATTTCCACATAAATCATAAGAGCCAAAATAAATATATAAAAAATAATATCAACGACAGGAACCCCTGCTCCCAAACAATGCCCCAGTCCCAGAATGTCCTGTGGTCAGGGTTATGGGAGTTGTCAGTGGTGTTCTGTTGTACAGCATTGTTTTGGTGCCCCCTGCAAGGCAGGACCCAGTGCAACCCCACCAGTCCTGCTACCCTAAAACCACCTCTGGAGTTGTTGTAGTCCACAACATTGACAGGAACTTTGCGGCTACCCCTGCCTTAGTCTGTTGAACACTTCCCCCACATTAACATCACTTGCTACGCTTCTCATTTGAATTTTAAATGGAAAAGCAGCTGAGCTTCATTTCAGTGTCTCTAGTCAGACCACTGATAGGGAATGGAGCCAGAATATTATGATCATAATAGGGCTATGTTTATTTGGGCTACAAATTATAGAAGGGAGAGGCTTTCACTAGATTTTTTCCACAGAACCCTGAGTTCTTTTAAGTATTATAGCCAACTAGCTTCAAAACCCAAATGCAAATATGGGAAATAAAGTTTAATAGCCCATTAAATTCATTATCTCATGCTTCCTTGAGGTCATCACATGGCACAAATAGTCCTAGTAGTTCCATCTTCTCTGGTTCCTTTGGAAAGTTCTTTCTGTTCCTTCCCTGCTCGCTTCTTTTTTGCGTTATTCACTCATATGCTAGGTAACATCTGAAATAGAAATACCCATATAAAAGTTTCAGCTACTATATTCCTGCTTACCCACCTCTGCTATCCCATTGCTCTTGCCATTTCACTATTGATCACCTGTTTTTAAGGTCCAAACTAGAAAAGACTGGAAAGAATTATAAATGTATGTATATTTATATTTATTCATATACAGGCAACTTCCCACTTATGCAGGGATTACATTATGGGTCCTCGAATGCATAAGTTAAATGTATGTAAGTTGGGTACACCCTCTAAATGCCTTAATTCTAACACTAGCTTGATGGGAATTTAGAGGGGGCTAGCATTCACAAACTCATAACAATATTAAAGGGGATATATGTGGGTGCACTTGTGCAAATTCAGCATTTATTAGGAGTAATGTTAGAAAATGCAACAATATTATGTCATGGTCATCAGGTGGTTGAAATGAAATGTGACAAGAGTGTCAGTGGGATATAGGCCATTATTCGTCAGTTCCAGTGTAGTAATTAAGTACTCAGCGATTCAGATCAAACTTCCTAGAATCAGTTTTCCAGTTGGCCCCATATTGATAACAGCTCCTGGATTTTGTGATTACATGTTACACAGGTGATCTCAGCTTAGCAAAGGAGCAAACTAAATGAAATATTTATGTCTAATTCTTACCATTAATATTAATCAGAGCCAATATGTTGCTTGCCATGGGAGCTATTTGCTTCTCCCCAGGGATTCTTTCCTTTACTGAGTTTGCATACCAATATCACAAAAAAATGTCCTGTTGATTCTTTCTCTTATCCTTTGGCTGAGTTGCTATGGACATGAATGTTCACAGACATTCTGCACCATCAGAGTGAATGAGTCAGCAATTTGCTGTCTGGTCAACTTGAAGCTTCCATGATAAAACAAAATAGTTCATTTTAGAAAGAGCTTATGCAGACCAAAGGTTGTGAGAACCAGTATGAGTAGGTTGGAAAGAAGGCCTAGGAGGTAGGGTGGCTGAAGAAGAAATGAAACCATGGAACAAGGAGCAGGAACCTTATGAAAAGGTTGGTAGAAGAAGCAGACTTGAGACAGAGAGAAATGGGATTCTGGAGAAACCATGAGAAAGAGGATCTCATATGGCTTTGGGACAAGATGCTATGATGAGAGAGAGAGAGCAGTGTTGGTTTACCTAGGAAGCTGAACAGAGGTTTGAAATCCAGAAGGCTAAAGTGAGGATAGTGTAGGCAGCTGGCTAAAGCTATCTTGATTTTGAGGAAATTATGAGTGGGGAAGGTTGAAGAAAGGAGGAGCCAAGTTCAAAATGAATATTGAAGGAAAATAGTAAGTGAATGAGGGAGGCCAAATCCACCACTGGGGAGGTAAGAGGTGGGGGAGCAGAAGTTACAGTCTTGCAGTGTTGTAAAGACAATCAAATGAATGAGTTGGCTTTCTGGGAGTTAAATGGTTCTGGAGGTTTTTTGTCTGTTTTTGCTGAAACTGGCTAACTCTGCTTCCAGAATATTTGAACTAAACCAGCTAATTGTTTGGGCTTAACACCTCCAGTTTCCAGTAACTAAATTTCTCTACTGCTGTAACAACATGCTCTACTCTGTTCTCGCGTCTAGGAGATGATGTATGTCTGGAATGGTTATGCAGTGATTGGGAAGTGTCCTGACCTGACTGGCGGTATGTTGGAGTGCTTGGAAGATGCAGAAGCAGCCCTGGAAAGGAGCCCAGGTAACTCATGTCTAATTTCAGAGGGTGTAGTCCGTGAGAGATTGTGGTTGTCCGTCGAGTTGTTAGACGGTAAACCTATTAGCCCATTTTTATTTAATCAGCAAGTGGATTATGGGTCAATGAGTTGATGATACAGATGGTAGCAGTATTTTTACTGTTGCTTTGGCCTCCCCTCCCCAGTTACTACCTTATTAAATTGGGGGGGAAATACTATCGTATTTTTCCGTGTATAAGACTAAAAAATAATGACAAAATTAGGGGGCATCTTAAACATACATGGGGCCATTTCCCCCCCATTTTCTTAAATCTGAGTCCCCCAAAGTAGGAGGCGTCTTATACATGGGGGCGTCTTATAGACGAAAAAATACAGTAATCACTTCCAGGAATATATTTACAACTATTTTTAGATTTATTTTTTTTAAAAAAAATATTTATTACTTTTATGGATTACAAAAAGAGAAAAAAAAACAGAAAAAAAAGACAAAGGAGGAAAGCAAAAAGAAAAAAAAAATACAATACAATATATAGACAATGCAAAACACACCTAAACTCAAAACTAAACACATTAAACTAAACTAAACAAACCCCACTCCCTAACCTTAACCCTAAATGAAACAAAACAAAAACAATTTAAAAACATACATAATCTCTTTTCCGTACTCTATCTTTCATTCCCTTGTTTCCTCGACCTCCTCTCACCTCCCTTTTTGTATTCCACTTCTGTTAATTGTTTCAGCAAATCCTTTCCATCTTTCTCCATTTTCTATCATATTGTAAATAACGTATTTTTTAACCTTATTTTCCATTAAAACTAAAATACTTATATATGCTTAACTCCTGATAACATTTCTGCTAAGCCCATAAAAAATCATTCCACCATTTTTCTATCACTCATTAGTTTTACCATAAATCTATATATAAACTTTAAATTTTCCAATCTTCTTCCACCATCTCCTCTCCCTGGTTTCGGATTCTGCCAGTCCTTTCCGTCAACTCCATAAAGTCCATCAACCTGGTGATCTTATGTCCGAGGCTCTTAACTCTTTTCCAAGTCCCTTCTGCAGGTCTTCTTCATTTTCTTTAATGCTAAAGAGCAAATCTCGGGGAAACTCCAACCTGTCAATCCTTTTCTTCCTTCTGAACAGATCAGCCAAATTTCCATAGTTAAAGCTACAGTCCATAAAGTATTTCAGGGCATATTTCAAGATTCCTCCAAGTCCAAAGGCCCCCAAAACTTCAATCTCCTCCAGGCCCGAGTCCATGTCCCAAAAGTCAGTTAATCCCTGCATAGAGGGATCTTTCCAACTTTCCTTCTTTAGTCCAAGCCGGGATCCATTCCTCAGAGTCTGACTTTTCCTAGATTCAATCATAAAAGGCCTCAACTTATAGTCCTCAATTTGCTTCTGTAAAGCCACGGATCTCACTTGTATTACTTTATGTTCAACAACAGCAGCATCCTCCTTCTCCTCCACCATTTGTCCTGCCAAAATGGATTCCTGTACCAAGTCCTGAATTATTTCTGTGTTGGTGTTCGCTTTTTGACTCAAATTAGTCACTTTCTGTTCCAAATTATCAACTTTAAAAGTCATGTCATCCATCTTCTTGTGAAGCTGTCCCAGCGAACAGCTTATCTTACATAAAACAGTCACAATGGCCTCTCCTGTCAACATTTTTAAATGGTCCAAGGTCACTCTCTGGTTCTCAGAATCCTTATCTGCAGCTGGAAATCCCCCAGTTACACTCCTGTAACAGTTTCAAAAGCTCCCTCTAGAGGGAAACAGTCTCCACTTGTATCAGTTCTTTCAGGCACAACTCAAGCATTAAAGATAAATTTTCAGTTACTTTTCCTCTTTTTTTTTAAACGCAGAAAGGGACAATGGAAACAGTATCTTACTCTTGTTTAGCTAGCTGTCAAATCCGTTCTGTCAAATGCACTCTCTCCAAACGTCATCTGGCAGCCCGTTCCCAGGTTCAGAGCAGTGGTAATTTGATTTTTCACTCTCTCCTACAGGCTCACTAGATCCAAAATTTCCCCCTCTTCTCCTGCTTCCAAGGGGGGTTTTGTATTTTAAACCGATGGAAATTTAATCCTTTGCCAAAAGCTTTCAAAGACTTTAACTTGTAACATCTTAGCTTCAGTCTATTTACAAAAACGGAAGGCGGACTTCCTGTTTATTACCTTCCCGCTTCAGTGCCAAATTAAAGTATTTAAAAATCCAATTTTCCGTTTTACTCACGAGTAGTTGTTTAAAATCCAATTGTCCACAGGAAAAAGTCAGCGCTCTCCGGCAACAGCAATGCGACTTCACTCCGTGAAAGAAGCAGTCGATTCAAAGCACCGCGCCACTCACCCCACGTCACTCCGGATCCCCAAAACAGGGTTCCCCCGCGAGTAGGGGAGGCGCAAAAGGTGCCAGCCAGATCCCAGGTTCACAAGCTTCTCCCGCTTGTGATTTCAATGGGTCTCCACCTTCGCCGTGGCGGTCAGACCCTGTTTTTCACGGAGCAAGTTCCTCCCGAACGGAGGAGCTCCGCCATTGCTGGAGGCGCCAACCCGGAAGTCCAACTATTTTTAGATTTGGATGTAAGTTTGGGAAGTCGACTTTTCCTGACAATAAATTGACTGCTTTCAGTCAGTCTCTGTGTTGGGAGAAGTTGACTACCCTTTAAGGATGCAGTGGTATAACTGCATGTATGTTGGTCGGTGTGGTAGGGGGCGAGATACAAGAAATAAATGACTTTGGCAGTACAGGGACACAGGACTTTTGAACAAGATGCAAGGGGAAATATGTATGTATGTTTCAAGCAAAGCTCTTTTTTGCTTAATTATGTTTGGTTGTATTCAACATAAAACTAAGTAAATAGTTCCATCAGCACAAAAATTTCTATTTGCACAATGTTGTTGTTGTTTGTTGATGTTTATTAAATTTGTATACCACCCTTCATCCATAGGTCTCAGGGCAGGTCACAAGATAAAACTGCAATATAAAAGACACAAAATACATAATAAAAATAAGAACAAAAACAAGTCAATAACCCCCCCTCCCACAACACATTTAAAAGGGCATTGGATGCCAATAAGCCAAAGGTCTAGAACTTCTTCCCACCCCAATCTGTTCTAATCTGCATAGCAGATTTTGGGAGTTTACAGGTTACATGATGGAGGAGGAGAGGGTGGGAAATCCCACTGCACTTGCAGTAATCCTTCCACCCTTTGTTTTATCTTAGAAGGCTTCTGATCAGTAGCATGTTCTTAGCTGCTACATGCTAGTTCTAAATAACACTTGGTTTTATTTTTAATTGACCATTGGTTGCTGACATTCTAATTTGACCAGTCTGGGATTTTTTTAAAGCTCAGATATTTATTTCAGATACACCAGTTAATGAAACCTAGCAATAAGGAATGCCTCTTTACAGCTATTGGTTTCCCCTGCCATTCTCTTTTTGTCTTCACACGATATCAAAGGTTGGATGAAGCAAAGTTGTACTCAGAATAGATCCATCAAAGTCAATGGATAACTTACTCATATCCATTGATTTCCATGGGTCTACTCTGAGTATAGTGCAACGCAGGTGCAACGCAAAAGTTTCTTCCCAGTGCATCAAACTACATTTAGCGAAAAGGAAAGGAAAGAAAAAAAGTGCATTGTCGCTTGGGCCTTTCTGCAGTACAGTATCTTACAAGGAAGTGCTCTCTCTGTAGGAAGTTTTGTACCTTGTGAAGTAGGACTAGATGACCATTGGGTCCCTTCCAACTACGATTCTATGATTCTATAAGTAGCAATTGCTCTCAATGGCAATTGGAGTAAAAGGGCCACAGCAGGGTATCCTGTAAGGCTGCAAACAAGCAAGGCGCAAAGAACTGTATATAGCCAATTATCGGTCAGACATGACAAACTAATGCCCAACTGGATACTGAAACCAGACAGGAAAGGTCACTATCTTCCCAGACTCTATTTTTGGAGACACCTGTCAGCAACACCTCCCTTTTTTGCTTGCATGACTAGACTTTTTTTGCCTCTCCTCTCTTACATCATTTAGCTTTTATGTGGAGTGATTTGGGTCAAGCACACTTCATTTTCTCCTTCACCCAACAACTTTAGGTCCTCTTGTAGGCATTTGTGTGTCACTGCCTTTTATCTACAGATAGCATGGGTTAGCCAGAAGCAACCTCCTTTAATCTCTTGCTAACCAGCAGTCACTTCAGTTCAGTAAAAAAATCCCTCTCTCAAGTTTAAAGCCTATGTTACTTTGGATCCCAGCAACCATTGCCTTTCCCCCCATAATTAGTGAAAAGAGGCAGTAGAAAACAAACAAACAAAAAACGTGGTGATTTATGGTGTAAGTGTGTCACTGATGTAACTGCATATTCTCATCACACATCTGTTCTGTATTTCTTTTCAGCTTAAACTGTGCTAAACCTCAGTTGTACTATTCAATCCATTAAGCTTTCCTTAAGGATCATTGTGGAGAAATCTCAACAGGCTGATACTTAGATAACATGCAGTGGGATGGTTACTACTTTAATTATGGTCACACTTGATGTATGGCATAGGGCAGCTTTCCCCAATCCAGTGCCCTCCAGATGTTTAGGACTACAACTCCTATTAGCACCAGCCAGCAAAGCTGTTGCAGTTCAAAATGTTTAGAGGGCACCAAGTTGGTGATAGCTGCTGCTGCTGCTTCTCTCTCTCTCTCTCTCTCTCTCTCTCTCTCTCTCTCTCTGTGTGTGTGTTTGTGTGTGTGTATTGTGATGGAATAGTTTCTTTCTCCCCCTTTTCAAAGTTTACAAAATTGTCTCAGTTCAGCTCCCTGTTGCTTTATTTTTCAGCTACAGATTTGTTTGTTGATGATCAGTGTGTAATCAAGTTACTGAAAGGGTTGTGCTTGAAATACCTTGGCAAGATTTCAGAAGCAGAAGAACACTTCACTTACATTCACTTAAAGTAAGTGTCCCAACTAGAGAAGATGACAGCGCAGTAAGAAATACTGAGCCACATCAGCTTATCAAAACCTGTGAGCATTTCTCATTGGAAAGTGATTCTATAGAGATGTTTCAAAGTTTGGCGTAGTTAATGGACAACCATGCAGTTACATAAATTGTTGTACATTTCTGTATCTCACTATGTGCCTAAGTGTTGAACTTGCACCTCTGAATGTTCAGGATATAACAGAGGTCAGGATTATGCCTATGTGTCACAGTGGAACTCAGCACTGATAGTGCTCTTTACAGAGGCAGTCTGTCAGGAGTGGGACAGCAGTAAATCACATGACATCAGTAAAGTTAACTCTGTATTCAAGAAAAGGTAATCTCAGGAGGCGAGGCCTAGTGAGCACAGCAACTCGTCCCATTAAAACGGGGGGTTCCCCAACTGGCACCTCCCACAATTTCTTTGCATGCAGCCAGTCCATGACACAGGCACATCCAACCCACAAAGCAGGTTCCAGTATTCTACAAAAATCCTCAAACATTGAGGAGACCCTCCTCCTGTTCCTCTGCTGATTGACAGAAGAGTATAGGAGAGAGGCTGCCTGCATCTGCCACATGAGTGGGTAAATGTGTATTGGCCACTTTGGCCCTGCCTACCACTGCCAGAAGGTTGGCCAGGCCTCAGAGGCCTCAGTGCAGCCTCAGGTCAAAAAAGGTTAGTCATCCCCTGCCCAAGTTGAATAGAGACATAACCATCATACCACAAATTTTGCCAGAAACACAATTTAGCTGTGTCCTGGAGCACAAAAACTATATAACCAGCCCCTGCAATGTAATGTATATTTGTACAAATATGCAGATGCAGATCCATGGTTATATCACACATATATGACCACAGTGGGGGTCACTTGTTTAATTGGCTTCCTTAATCAGCATATCTGCCCTGACATCATGATGTCGTTTCATGCCAGTAATGTATTAACTATGCTGAGAAGTGATGAGGTCAGCACCCAGGAGACTCGGAATCTGTGGCTGATTTAAATATTGATTACAAGCTGAGGCTGAAAATGTAGAAATCCATCTGCACTTCTGGAGCCCCAGTTGTATGACCTGATGCTCTACTCTTCAAAATAGAAAATGAATGTGGAAACAGTTGCATTTCCTGTGCTTCGACCACTCCTTTACTGTCATGAAACTTTACATTGAAACAAGGGTACAGTACATGTATCTGTACACAGAATTGCCCTTACTCTGCAATTCTGTCCCCAGACTGCAAGATAATATCAATCCCAATTACAGATGAACATGGGACACTCCATGTTCTGTTATTATATGGTAAGGAAGCTATAACTGCATTGACTTGTTTCCTGAAAATTAAGTCTCTGGCCAAACCTGTGGTGTAACTCTGAAAGCCCCATGTGCAGGTGCTTGTAGGTATTATGTTCAAGTAAGGATCTTGAGGAGCCTGAGTGATGCCATACAAGAATGGCCATGGGATGTTCTTCGGTGCCAAAAATGTAGATTATTTAACAACCTAGGATACATTCAGACAATGTGAATCATTCGTGTCAGCACCAAGTGACTTTATTATTTGATTGTAGATAAAGCTGTTGTTGTTCATTAATTGCTATTTCTTCTTTAAAGTGAAAAGAAGATAAAGTATGATCATTATTTAATTCCAAATGCACTGCTTGAACTTGCTTTATTATACCTGGACCAAGACAGAAGAGAAGATGCTGTGAAGATCCTGGAGCGAGCAAAGTAAGCTTATAATAAACACTTGATTATTAGAACTAGATAGAGCAGGGGGCTGAAACAGTGGTGGTTATTTAAGTGGAGTGTTGCAGAGTTCAGTCCTGGGCCCCTTGTTATTCAACATCTGTCTAAACAACTTGGACAAAGGAATTGAGGGGATACTCATCAAATTTGCAGATGGCATCAAGCTGGGTGTGGTAGCCAATGCCTTAACAGATTGGCCAATGTTGCCTTAACAGATTGGAGAACTGGGCCAAAACTTAACACACTGAATTTCAATAGGGACAAATTTAAGGTTCTACACTTAGATAGGAATATGGCATGAGTTTTGTATGCTTGTGTAATACTTTTCTTGAATATTCCTTTCTTCCAAACGTTTTCTCTGTGGAAAAAGAGAAATATTAATGTTGTCATTTATCCTGAGCTTGTTTTCTAAATTACTTAAGAATCTATTTTCTTCCCTCTTTAGCCAGTAGGGGGAGAATAAGTGACTAACATGGAGCAGGGGAGAGCCTATGGGCTTGGGGAAGAGAATGTGATCATGCTGACTCTTTTTAACAAGGCTTGCTAAAAAATGTGGGGGTGGGGGAACCAAGACTTGCTTTAGCTGACCTAAATCTACATACTAGCACAACCCAGGTTCTGAGACAGAAGAGAAGCCAATAAAAGCAGCTGTAAACACACACACACCCTAATTCTGTCTTCATAGGTTAAAAATAACAGGTGCAATTCCGGTACTTTTTTCAACACTGATTGTGGGTTAAAAAAATACAGGCTGCATTTTGGAGACTACTAATTTTGCTATCACAAAATGGATTATAAGATAAATAATGTAGAACTGAAAACCTGGATTCTTTTCTAGTTGTACCCAATGGTGCCTTAAGAGTTAGCAGGAAGTACCTGATTTTTCTCTGCTTCCCACCATACCCCATAGTGTTCTGGAGCATCCACTTCAACCCTCTAAAGCATCTTTGAAGGGAGGGCAGGGGCTACCAGTGAAAACTAGTTATTTCATATTGCACAAACAAAAGTGCTCTCTACTAGTAAAAAGTCAGAATTGGATACCCTTCTTTAAACACCTCACATTGTATGTGTAGTATACCAAGTTTTTATGTTAAGTTTCTAAATATGTTCACTTTCTCACTTTAAAAACTGCCATATCTATAGGACTTGATCATATCAAGGCCAATCTGTTTAGAAAAATAAACATTAAGCTTTATCAGATTATTAATTAATTGAATGAACTTAATGTAGAGTTGAAAATAAAATTCTAGGGCCCAATATGTTAAATATTTTGTGTCTTGCTGCATTCACCACTGAAGCTACCTTCTTAGCTCCTTGCAGTGATATCTAGGAAGACGTATGAGATGCTTTTGTTGTGTGAGATCCCTGCCCATTTCTCAATTTCTTGGCTGCTGTAAGCTGGGAAACTTGTAATGTGATGACACTGCATCCCATTATAATTACTCCTAAATGAGATTGTAAGGTGTGCACTTCCTATGGGGATGCTACTTTCAGCAGTGATTCTGTGGCCTACACAATATGAATCCTGACAGAGCCAAAATGGGGTATTGGCTAGTGTGCTGAACTTGGGTTACAAGGTTCTATAGTCTAACTGCAGCATTCAGATAAAACTCTCAGGTTAATTCTTGGGTCCCTGTTGAGGCCCCTTGCCATTCCAAGTTTTCTTTTAAGTTTGTTTAAGATTTAAGTTTGTTTATTTTTACCTTGGGCAGCAACTGGGCTAGCTGAAAAGACAAACTGTCCTGTCTTCCTCTAATGTCTCTGGGTCCATAGTACAAAAGCATTTTTAATAGGAAAGGAAGAGTAGCGGGGGTGGGCACAGCTAGTGGCCAGTCAGCTTTGAGGGTGGAAGTGTTTTGCATGTTCGTTGGGGTGCTCTCTCTCTGAGCATCATCAGTTTGTTCTTGTGAAATGGACATTTTGTGATGCCCATGACATCTGTTTTCCAAATGTTCTCCTGGGCCCAAAAAAAGTTTGGGATCCCTGACCTCACTGTTCTCTGTGTCTCTATTTCAGAGGAAGCAGTGAAGACATTTGTGAATTAAGTTTGGTTTTTCTACCTTCGTTTTGTAAAAATTGTTCTTTTAAATATTGCAATACAATGATGATGGGGAGGTGCAATATTTAAGTGCCTATCACAATATATCTCTGTTTTGTTTTAGGCAAAATTATAAGAATTATTCCATGGAAACAAGAACACACTTCAGAATTCAAGCTGCTTTGCACCAAGCCAAATTGTCTCCAGAAAATGGTGTTTTGGAAGCGGAGGTTTCATGTTAACTTTTAAAAAAGAAATCTTGTTTGGTATGCAAACTGCCACAAGAGGACATTACAGGCAATAGTTTTAAGGTGGTCTTTGTCAAGTTTAGCACAAAACGTATTTAAAAATACTGAGGGGATAACAAACCAGTATTTCATTCCACAACTGTTTATAATATATACAAATGTGACTTACGTTCTTTATAAGTTTTTTAAATAAGATTTTCATGTTCATTAATTTGGCAATGAATATTTAAATGGATGAAATCATGAATTCTATAGAGTTGCTGACAAATACCTAGATCACACTTGGTTATGAATATAATGTTTATTTTCTACATAGACTGAATTTTTAAAACTACTTTTTAAATGAGGTAATAATTTTCCTGATAGAAGGAACAACCAAATAATAACCTTTGATTCAGGTTTAATATTATAATGTACTGTTCTTTAATCTCGCTTTCACTTTTCTCTCTTCTAATGTATTCTATTTTGATAACACTCAAGATGCCAACAAATTACCAATGCAGCCAAAATCCAATTGCAACGTGCTGTTGCTTACCAGTTTGAAAGAGTTATCAATGTTGAAATAGCCAAAGAACCAAAGTAAATAAACCGGAATCTCTCTCTTTCTGATGCAAAAGTCACATTTAGACTGCATTAAGAAAACTGGAGTTTTTCAAGAAGTTTAGTGTTGGTTTACTCTTTTTGTTAAGCAGCACACGGTTATTTGATTTCCCCCCTAAAGTGGCATATGATTTGGAACAGGGATTGCCAGCATGGTGCCCTCCAGCTCTTGGGACTCCAGCTCCCATCAGTCTTAGTCACATAGCCAATGGCCAGGGATGATGATGCAACATCAAGGTGCCAAGTTGGCTACTCCTGTTTTAATATTCTACTAGAGGCATTGTGAACATTCATAAGCCATTTTAGAGTACAGATTTTTTTGAACTGGAGCATGTCCAGTTTGGATTAGCAATATCATTTGGGAGAGTGTTAATCATGCAGTCCTTCCTCTTTAACTAGCTGCTGGAAGTTTTTTTTTGTGTGTGTGGGGGGGGGAGGTCTGCTAGAAATTTAGAGAGCACCAATGACCTCTTTGGCAGATGGCTGGATTCACTCTCCCCTTCTTACCAAACAATTGATTGGCTACATCAGTGGCTACTATTTAAATAAGACTGCACATATTGATCAGCCCCTCTGTGGTACTACAGAATGCCCATAGGTTCTGGAAGTCACCAATTTCTTGGAGCAGGGTTAGAAGCTACATTGCAGAAACAATGTACACACTATAGATTTAAGGTGGCAGGAAGTTTGACACATTCTGTTGTACAGTAGGGGGATAATTTGTTACTGCATTTCTGTTACTTGCAGGACTTTCTTATGGAGTGTGTCAAATAGATTTGTGTCATTTCAAATTTCACCTTTCTTTAGTTTCAGTAGAGAACTGAAAACATAGATTTCACATGTGGCTGATTTCTCTCAATGCAAAACTAATATATACCAGAGAACCTTTTCGCTGAGTAGGCATTATTAATCTTTTCTCAACACAGTATACTAAAGACTCTTTATATTGGATGCAGAATATGTGTACAGTGCAACTATAAAAAGCACAAAATCAAGCTAGCTGTTCTTCGTATTTTTGTTGTATGTATCATGTCTTTCCTTATACTCTCCCTCCCCTTCTTTTCAAAATACCCTTCTTGCTGAATAGACTTCCAGCAGCATTCAGGAAAACCTAATTGTTGCATTGGAGACTGTTTGAAATCAATGGAAATGACAGCTTGGACATCTACAGATTTATAAGTAAATCCTAATGAGTTCAGTGGAATTTACCATTAATTTTGGATGTTTAAGATGGTAACAGTATAGTTCCATAATTCCATTGTTTTTAATAGAACTTATAGGCAAGTAACTTTTGAAAGTTATGCCTATTCAGGAAACTAAACTAAACTTGAATGTTCTGTTGAAATTGATGAAGGTTGTGCAGGAGTATTGCTTTATAACTTCTAATAGTATTAAACACATATTTAATACATACTTAAGCGTAAGGTTAGAGGCGATGTTGCTTAAGCTACAATCTGAAAAACAATAAGCTTTTGTAGAATAATTTGGGAAATTTTGTAGATTCACCTAATTGTCATAGATTTTTGTGAATTTCATCCCTTGTTCATATCCTCTTAACACCCAACAATAAAGAAAGCTTAATGGTCTGTTGAATTGCTAATGTCCCATTAGATTTTTTTTTATTTTACAGTAGGTATGACATATTAAATAGCGCACCCAATGTTCTATTACAGGTCTTTATGCAATATTTTTGTCAAATTTCAGTGGTCTTCCTTTGTTACGAAGAGCATTCAAACAACCTCAAATTCCCCTTTGCAATATGGTTGATATTTACTTCTACCTATTTAAACTTGTTGCGTTCCCCTTGAAAGATCCAATTCACAATTTGGCGGTTCTCATGGAGGAACAGGCAAGTTCTTTTAAATATATGGTGCTCTGTTTTGCATTAACTGTTGGTGTTTTAATGTCATAATGTTTTCATTTTTTTCCATTTGGAAAAAAAATGAAAAAAATAATGTTATAATGCCTTTATTTTGCAGTGTTGTTTTAATGATATTTTGCCATGAAACATGGCATATAAAGAAATAATTTACTTTCCATGTAATGTACAACTCATATTTACAATAGAGTTTGTTTTAGCCAGAGGATCATACGATAGAGTTTTAGAACAAAAGTTAAACTTAAATCTATCCAGTGCTGCTTTTCTATTAAAAAAAAAATGTTTAGGGGGTACTCTCATTTTCCTATTCATATTGAAATACTGCCCCTCAGTGAGGCCAAACTTAGGAGTATGCATACCTCTCGTCTCCCCCAGAAAAAAAGCACTGAATATGTTATGAAACTATGAGGGTTTAAAATCAATTTATATAAAATTGGTTTGGTATTTGAGTAAAAGGCCACAAGGCAACACAAATATAAGCACAACTCTTTACTCTTAAGGGCACTTAATTCTGTATTTAGCATGTTCTTTTGAAAGTCTCTTACAATCTTAACCCTTTAATATTTTAATAAATAGCTTAATAAAAAGTAGAAGGTTTGTGAAATTAAGTTGGGAAAACCAGTTACAACTCACTTTCTCATAACATTCCCTGCCTCTGTCTTTTGAAAAAAATCTTGGGAACAAACAACAATGAACAAGAAAAAGGTGTTTAAAAAGTGTTCATTTGTCGATTTAACAATCCAAGGTAAAAGAAGAAAAGTCTGGCTATAATACTTGACAAGATAGACATCAACATATATGGAAAACAACAGGTGGAATGATAAGAAAGGTAGTATGATTTACTACTGAAAATATTGCACAACTTCATATTTTTCTTTCTCAGATTTACTTCCTGTAATTAAGAATAGCTGAATTAAAGGAGGGGAACTGGAAAAGGTTTGCAATACAAATGCAAATCAACCCAAGACTGTATACTGCTAGTTACTTTCTTCCAACAGTGCACCATTTATACTTTAACAACTATCCCAATCCAGCAGTCTTTTGCAGGTATGTCGATTCTGATGCAAACACTGAAGTCCTCCCAGCCTTTGTTCTTTTCACTTACAAGGGCAATTTGGAGTATGCCCGAGTCTGCCTTGTCCAACAAAACAAATAGGAAAGGCTGCTTGCATAGGTGCTGTGTATACACCACTACACACCATGGGATATGGAAGGCATTTGAATGGAAATAGTCTACAGTGTCTTATACAGCATCTTCCACAGGTTAGTGGATACTTTTGCAATCTGCCAACTAATCCTGTAGAAATTATTTTACATGTAAATGCTCTATTCTATAGCATTGAGGGAGGAATTCCACATTGTGCTCTTCTGATCTTACCATCAGCCCAAGCATTTCAGCTTGCCAGATGGAAGAAGCCTCCCTCTCCTCCCCTTGCATGCTGTTCTGGGGGGTCTCCTGACACACATCCAGAGCCAATTTCAGGAAGCATGGGGTGAGGAGAGGGGCGAAAGCCCTGTTGCATAAGTCCTTGTGTACAGCTTCCACTGATGGAATTTGTTAGGTGAATGCTTACAGTCTGCAGTGCTTATACTGTAGACATAGTCTTCAGTGCAGTAGTTGTTTACATACAGTTTCTTCGAATCATGTAGCCAAAACAATCAGAACAGTCCTTGATACGTTGCCTGCATCTCATGCTAAACTAAGACGTTTCAACATATTGGCTTTAAGTCAAAAGTATAAAGGTCACATTAAAGAATGTTTTAAGAGAACAAAACTCCACATCCTAAGTGGATTTTTTTTTACAACTACCCTCTCTGCAAGACTGCATCTATCAAGCACATCACCTTTCTTTTTAGTTTCATAAATGTAAATACTTGGAACAGCCCTTACCAGCTGTAGGATCACTAACTTGATCAGTTTTATGTAATTATTTGCCAAATATGAATTTTGCATATAAAACATAAAATATAGAATATTTTAATATCTGCCGACAGACTGCTATGCCAACCAAAAGAATACCAAAGGTACACTTAATACACAGAGACCGAGACACAGTATGGTATTGAGAATCTAAGAAGTACAAAAACAAGAGATGCAGTATTTTTTTTATATGATCCAAGATGAAACTTTTTAAAAAGAATGCATCCCCAACAAATTGTGTTTTTGAGATGCAGGGTAATCTTTATCTTGTCTTCATCATGCTCCATTTTAACTTAATAAATGTAAGATCAATTTTAGTATTTGAATTCTGCACTCTGTTTAGAAAGAAAATGATGAAAGGAAACACTAGAAAGGCAAATACTGGTTTGTGTTGGTTTTCTTTTAATATTGTCACATCAAAATGTCTCATATAGAAAAAAGTGCATCTCAAGTTTGCTTACAAGCTAGGAGATCTTCTCAAAGTCCACATAATCCTAACTGCAAACAAAATATAGCACTTTTATAACATGTTATAAATAAACTGGTTTTCAAGCATAGAGCCAGCCCCAAAATAAGAATACACTATTTTAGAAGATCTAAGGCAAAATGGATTCCATTTCCAATGAATAAAAAAACTGTGCAAACAAGCTTGAAACTATTTTTGTGCCAGTGTTATAAAATGTAGCTTTTTTTGTAAATAGAGCATTGACCCAAATACCAGGAACTTGTGAAGCAATCTGAACAAAAAATGCAGTTTTCTTTAGGACAAAGGATACTCCAGCATCCCTTTCTCCTTTTTAGTGCGCTCTCTCTCTCTCTCACACACACACACACACTCACCCCCCCCCATAGTATTCTTGTCATTCATCTCAAAGAAGCTTGAACAGGAAACTTCCTGGTGGGCTGCATCCACACAATTTAATTTTTAACATATTTTATTATTCACACAGTTCTTCTGTATGGGTGTGCTAACAGGCTTTCTTAAGGAGCAACTATTTGTAAGCACTGGATCAAGGCTTTACATAAAAATAACTTCCTATTTTTTCTATAGTCTATAAATGTGTTTCTTCTTCCTTCCTTCCCTCCCTCTGTCTGCTATTCAGGATATTTCTTTATTCTTAAGAAATGAGATTTTATTGTGCATGATTTTGTTTCCTAATCCCTGGTTCTTTGGGCAGATGGCAAAGGATCAAACCCCTTTAAAGTGGATGGTTTCCTTGACAGGTCAGAAGAGAAGCTCTGGCTCAGTTAGTCTCGTAGGACGACAACAGTGCTGCATCAACTGGCTCCATGCAGGAAGGACACGTGAAAGATCTCATCAACCAGTCATCTATACAGTCCAGGTGGTAAATATGCATGCATGGCAGGAATCTGATAGGGTCCCCGTAAACAAAGTCCATCATACAGATCACACACCTAGAAAGGAAAAAAGGAAACAAGATGGAGAGAATCTGAACTCAGCTGAAATATTAACCTGTCCACCTCTCACCAAAACATAAGGGGAAATTGCTTGTTGCTGAAGCACCCATCCGCTAAAACAAATAGATTAGCCAAAACTTATTAACATTTAAAATTTAGAGATGTAGAACTTTCCTAAATAATTTTGAATATTCTTTGGTTTTACTATTATTGATTCCTATGTTTGCTTATAGAACCATACCTTTTGCAGGGGTTTCATATCCACAAGTTGCTAAGTAATAGAATAAGTGAACGGAAACTGCACTTGCTTATATCTGATGCAGCACCTAAAATTAATCTATAGTTTTAATATAAAACTACTTTGTTTCTCTTTTTCACTTCTACATTTTATCTCACAGGGAACATGCATGTGTTATGCCTAATGTTGGAGATAGTGCTATTTTTTGAAAAAGGTCTTGAACCTAACAGTCATGGACATTTTCTTTCCCAGCAACCACTGATGTAACCTGAAATCAGTTAGCAGAGGCTAATCCAAATAAGTCAGCAGAACTCTAAGGCTGTTATAATTGCAAATTTCATGGCAATATTATCATGCCAACTTTTTTCTTACTCCTTTTTCTGCTTAACATTCAGCATCATGAAATGCTATACAGAACTCAGAAACTTGACCACTATTTTGTGGTCTTTTGGTTGGCCCTAAGGAAGGTCTTTGCCTCCTGTAGATTTGGGGCCATGTCAAACACTTGTTGTTCCACTAACAGAGCAGACTTCTGCTTGTCTAACAGAACTTTCCCTTGCAGCCTCCACACACCCTCCATCTGTTCCAGAAAGTGGGAGGAAGCTCAGGAGATTGGGGGGCAGGAAGAAGCTCCATTACATGAGGGCAACTCTGCACAGGCAATGCTAGATACAACTCTTGATATTTTCCCCCCTGGTGGTCCAAAGTTTATTGTAACTCTTTTGTAGCTTACTCTGGAATCATTTTCGATGGTAATACCTTAAAGTTGCAAGCTGCTTTGAGCCATGAAGGAAAGCAAAATATAACTCAAATTCAGTCTAAAAATACCCACAGCATGAGGTTTTTTTTCTTATAAGTGTGTTTGCCTTGTAGTGCCATTACAGAAAGAGCATATCCAATTACTAGGAGCACTGAGCTGTACAGGTGTGAAGGAGACATGTGGAGGGAAACTGCTTGCTGCCTTATGAAGTTTCTTGGTAGCAGAGGGAGGTCTTCCTGGAAACAAACTTACTACTATATTCACTTGATATGACCTTCCCTATAGGCCCACCTTCAAAGATCCGCAGGCAATGTTGGAACTTAATTAGGAGTATCTTTTTGCAACCAGAAAGGGCAACCCAGTTTCTTAATTAATCCATTGTGAATTAAACAAGAATGATGTCATGACTTCTGTGTGGAGGACTGGCTCACAGTATCCACTAGGTTGTCCATCCTCTTCAGTCATTACTCAGCTGTGACAGCTATGTGCCACCCACCACCCCACTTCGCCAGGAGCCCCTCAGAAATCAGCATGACAAACCCAACTGGATTAGGGTTACTGGTTTTGGATCCAGATTTTACATAAGAGAGCTGGGAGACCATCTAATAGTGTGAGATGGGGCACAGAAGGCTTCGGTTGCACATTGCTCCAAATTTCCGAGTAGTGTTCAAGAGCAAATATTGCCAGCCTTATTTCACAGTGGGCAAAATGAAGGAGTTGGGTTAAAAAAAATTACTGCTTGTGGAAGATCTCTGTGGTTAGGCAAGGAAGAAATAAGAGTGATTGTATATGCAGTCTGAGGCAATACTGCAAGTGTTCCTCCTCATCAGGTTACAGCACTGATGAAAACAGCTACACTCAAATTCTCTGGGTGGCTAGCTTGTGTGCAGGTTTGGGATAAACAGAAATAGGGGTCCGGAATTACAGGTCACCTATTGAAACAGCATTTTATATTTAAGAAATCACTCATCCAAAAAATGCACTAACAAGCATCTACGCCATTAGTGGCTGCAGATGTATAATACTTACATGATTTTCTATGGTGGTGAAAATCCAGTTTATAAAGTGAGGGGAGTATGGGCTGGGATTGTTTTGACATTAATGTCACGTGGAATGCATGAAAAAATTAGCATGCATGAGCAGCACTAATTCCACAATAAATTACTGTCTGGAAGCAGCCTATGTCAAAAAGGTTCTGAAGAAGACTGAGAATATGGGTGTTCTCAGTAGTGGCACAACCTTCCCCTGGTAGCATGAACAACTACATCTTTGTGGTTCCTTATCACTGCAAGATAATTCTTATTCAGCAAAGCCTGTGGTGGATTTGCTTAACTTTATCTGATCTATGAGATTTTTCTTATATGAGATTTTTCTTCTATCGTATTTTGTGGATTTTTCTGATGTTTTCACATATTGCATTATCTAATTTCTTATTTGCAACAATTATTCTGATGAGAAGCAACTTACTGATAAGTAATTGCTTTTAGTGCAGCTATTTCATGTATTTACGTAAGTGATGTTACCACAAAAAATGGCACTTACTCTCTGATCTTTTTCTCAGAACCATCTCTTCCTGGATCATAGACTCCTTTCGGCAGGTGCTGTATAAGGCCTATTCGTTGCGCTATCCTAATTTGTTCCTCTTCTGTAAGCTGGGTTGCTAGGCGGGTCTGGCTGGGAGTTGGATGGTAAACTGGAACTGGAACCTGTTCCTAAAATTAAAAGAAAGAAAATGAAAACAAATGCATTTGCTTTGTCAGTTTTAAATTAATGATAGAAATGGACTTCACAGTATATGGAAATTTAAACCTCTTTCTTTCTGGGAGGAAATGTGTGTAACACTTCATTCTCCTTTTTAGTCTTATAAGCCATAAAATGGGGCAAACTGCAGTGCCATCATTGCTGGGAAGCTGGCATGGATCTATTTTAGAATATTCTCTGTACAGACAATTTGACTTTTGTTTCCATTAGTTGCCTATGGATTAGTTAAAACAAATGCATAAGTATGACATGAGAATTGGAAAATTATGCTTGCAGGCTGGCTAAATGATGAACATATGGCCTGCCAATACAGAGAAAATTATATATTTTAACTATTACTTGACACCAATCTCATCATCTGCTTAAAGCAAACAGTAACTTGGTGTTATAAGTTAGCTTCATAGAAATGAAATGTAACAGACCACTCAAACATCTGCAATACTGAAGGTTTTTGAATACCCTTGTGCCCAGACAATACAACTAGTTCTATTTAAATGGAAAAAACACCACACACACACACACACACACACACACACACATATTTTAAAAGTTTAAGTGAAAGTCTCTATAAAATATCCAGGCACATTTATGGTAGCAAAATCTCAAATACATGCTCCTTTTTGTGTGATGTTAGTGCAGCTACATCACCTGTAAGTTTCCTGGGCTAAGGTGTGCCATCTCAACAATCACAGGTACAGGGTCATTTGCACAACCACATCAATGTAGTTTCAGTGTTGAGACACCAACTGTGTTGCCACAAAGCAACAGAAGAGCTGCACGTGGGCAAGGATAAAATGCACCTCTGTGCAATTATGATTTTTAGCTGACTCACTGTGGGCTGCATTTTTTGTTTTCTTCCATCCATACCCAGTATGTATGCACACTGTGAATAATCACATAATCTATCTGAACACACTGCATTAGCACACATATAACACTCAGCATCTTCTATACCGAACAGCCAACTCCTCAGAACAGTTCCTGTAAAAGGCTTGCCTTTGATTCACCCTTCTTCCCACATTTATGCTGTATGTAAATGGCAGGTTACCATGCAGTGATTTTTTAAAGACCAATTACTAATGGAAGGGATTCCTAGTTTCACTTAATCCCCGATGCCCCCCCCAAAGCTATGAACAAATGGATACATGAGAGCTGCCAGATGGACATCTGTTAATCTTCAGCAGAAGGCGCTTACGGACTATAAAATGGAGACTTCCCCATTCCACTTTTCTTTGTGCCCTTCATTTATCATCCAGAAGCAAGCCCTTGTTTATCCTTGGACAATGAGTGTATGTTATTTCACAGGGGTGTAACTATTGAGTATCTTCCATCCCTTTTTGCAAATAAGAAACCAAATAAAAGAACAGCAATATTCAATAATAAAGGTCAAACTGGATGCAATGGGAGCAGGTCTGTGCATTTTGCAGCATGTCAGCCACGTTTGCATGTCACACTAAGCCAAACCATGGCTTGGTGCAAACATGCTGGCTTGTGAGGAATAGATTTTGCTCCTCCCTGGTCTTTTTAGGTGATACATGGGTGGCAGCCAAGCCAAGGTTTGGCTCAGCGTGTTGTACAGACCCACAACTGTGATAAGAGCTCTCCTCCTTAACCATGTTTTTGGGGTTACAGGTTGTGGTTAAGGGGAGACCTTATCTACAATCCTGGATGCAATGGCATTAAATGGCAAATGTGGATTCTATGTAAGAAGTTACATGGGGGGGGAGCAAGTATAAAGTAACACATAAGGTAAAAAAAACAAAACCACTTCACAATTATGCTAATTGGCAACTGACTAGGAAAGAGATATTGGGCTTAGGGGAACTAGATCAATGAAAATGCTAACCCAGTGTGCAGCAGCTATGAAAATTAGAATCCCATGAAAGAAAGGGATTGAAAATAAAATTGCCTATATCATAATACTACCATTATACAAATACTATGTTCAAGTTCTGCTTGCCATACCTAAAAAAAGGATGTCATTGACCTGAAAAAAGTGCTAAATTGAGAACCAAAATGTTTTGGGGGCTGGAGAGGAAAGGTTATGTCAAACATGTTGCTTAAATTTAGTGGGGAAAGTGAGTAAAGGGTGCGGGAAGAGAAATGATAGAGGTATATGCAATTATGTGTGGTATGGGGGAAAGTTGATAAAGAGCAAACTTCATAGCATGCATAGTTAACGTTAGGTTTTCAAGTGTTAAGAAAGAAGTTAAATTATGAAAAATAATAAAGACTCTTCAAGTGGCTAGTTCAGCCACCCACAGCCAGGTGCTCTCCTGGATTTTTGGACTACAATTCCCATCAGCCCCAGCCAGCATAACCAATGATATTATAATACTTTGAAAAGAGGTCAGTGGTAGCTGGGAAACTACTAATCCTTGGATAAAGATAATCTGAAGATTACTTTATTCAGTTTAATAAATTGATATAATGTTCAACATGATTTATATAAAAAAATCAGAAAATATTCCAATTGCTGTTCAAGTGTGTTGTCTGACCAACCGATATTGTGCTGTGCCACAAATACTAGTTAAAAATAGGTATACTGATTGTCAGACTGTTACAAATCATAGCACTGACTTTGGTGTGCTCAAAATTTGTTGGCTCAAGGAGACCATTCTAGGCTGGATTGTGGCTCATTGAGTTGCTTCAGATATTTAGAACTAGAGCTTCTAGACCACAACAGAGAAGAGAATTCTGTTTTTTACTCCTGTAAGACAAATATGAGCTTGAACCCTTGTATGCAGATGCAGTAACTAAAATTGAAAGAAAGTATATGCTATCAAAACACAAAAGCATAGTCAAGAAGACAGAAAGAGCCTAATCTTGACACCTGGAAACAAACTAGAAGGGAGTTTGCCCTGAAACATACCACTCTTGGGGTCTGTTGTGGAGGCTAGGTATGTAGCAGAGCAAGGCAGGATAGGGATATAGCAAAAACAAACAAACAAACAAAAACTGTATAGTGAACTTTATAAAAATTGAAGAGTAGTCATTTTTCATACCCCACCATTAAAAACATCTATCATGATTACAAAAACATTTTCCTGGGCATATTGATGTACAATATTATACCAAAGAAAACCCAAATACCAATTTTGATTTTTAAAAGGATATATTGTTTTACCTTCTTTTGTTTACCCAAACCTAGTTCCTTAGGGTGGCTGTTGTCTACTATAAATAAAAGATTGTAATTTGAGAGCTTTTTTCTACAATTTTCATAACTGTGAGCATAACCCTAACCACCTAATGTTGATGGTTGAATAGAAGCCTGGGGAGGCCCAGACCACTGCTGGCTTTTGAGGCCCCTAGCCACAATAAATGCAGCCACAAAAAAAGATTGCTTATAACGTGATCTTTAAAGAATGGCAAACCACAGCAATAAACAAGCAGATGAAGTGTGAGAGAACAGGACAATCTGGCACTTAAAAACAATAAAGGTGGTACCTAGCAAACGTGCTTAGAAAGTTCCAAGGAAAGGGCCCCCTTTGGCTGCCACCTGACTGACCTCAGGGGGCTGGGGTCCACAAGAAGGCCCTCAGACTGAGTTCGCCTATAAATCAGATATACCAGCTTCACAGATTACTTTGAGGGCTCTGCTTTGAACTCTAATCTTACTGCAATTTCCAGTAAATTACCATTTATAACATACAATATTATATGTGACTAAAGTTATTTTATTAAATAGCTTTCATCCTGCACCTTCAATCATAACAGTCCTAAAAGCAGTTTGCAATCCTCTAAAAATCCATAAACCAATAAAACATAAATTGGAATGCAATAAACAGCATTCTGCTACAGCATTAGCTAAAAAAGCAACAAAACTCAGAAAAAAGACATCAACCTACATTAGCTGCTGTGTCCAAACAGCATTACCTTCTTTACCTTCTGTCCCATATTTATTTATAAAATATTATATACCACTATATATAAAAAAGGGACGCAGGTGGCGCTGTGGGTTAAACCACAGAGCCTAGGACTTGCCGATCAGAAGGTCGGCGGTTTGAATCCCCGCGACGGGGTGAGCGCCCGTTGCTCGGTCCCTGGTCTTGCCCACCTAGCAGTTCGAAAGCACGTCAAAGTGCAAGTAGATAAATAGGTACCACTCCAGCGGGAAGGTAAACGGCATTTCCGTGTGCTGCTCTGGTTCGCCAGAAGCGGCTTAGTCATGCTGGCCACATGACCCAGAAGCTGTATGCCGGCTCCCTCAGCCATTCAGCAAGATGAGCGTCGCAACCCCAGAGTCGGTCACGACTGGACCTAATGGTCAGCGGTTCCTTTACCTTTACCTTATATATAAAAAATATCTAAGGGGTTTCTGCTAAGTGATAGAGGGAAGCAAGTAATGCAGGTGCCACTACTGAAAATACCTGACCATGCATAACTTCCCTACCCCACAAAGCAACGGGATGTGCAAGAGGACATCTGTTGATCTCAAATGTGTGGCTGGATTCACACAGGGTCCTGCACTAAACCACCAAGCCACAAATAAATTTCTATGTAGATAGTTATCTGTCTCTGTGTTATTTACATAATTGTGATTCTTTCCATGTCTCAAGACGGTATACTTTTTTCTCTTCCTAGAAACTAAACTCATAGCTAATATTTAAAAGGTAAAAATAATAAAATCTATTTTGTTTGTATTGCTGAATGCTGAATGCATTTGTTGTTGTTTAGTCGTGTCTGACTCTTCGTGACCCCATGGACCAGAGCATGCCAGGCACTCCTGCCTTCCACAGCTTGGTCAAACTCATGTTCGTAGCTTCGAGAACACTGTCCAACCATCTCGTCCTCTGTCGTCCCCTTTTCCTTGTGCCCTCAATCTTTCCCAACATACAACTACAATAAACTTCATTAAATATCTGCATTTAAAAAAATATAAACTACCCCAAGACAATTAATCCAGCCAATGAAAATTCTGGAAACTGGCAAAAAAGAACTAAGTGAAGAGCAAGAAATAATAATTATTTTAATGAAGCCTAAAGCTCCTTGTTACAAGCAACTGATTTCTGCACTTCAATTATTGCACAGCATGCTCCCTCATTCCAGGATAATGTCTTAGGGTACAGTTCAGCCTGATGAGTTTAGTGGCTCATCAGTGCTGCTCTTCACTTGGTTCCTGTCCCTACCAGGTGTGATAAATTTCATTTTATCTGGCAAAAGTCCCATATTCAGCCACATTGGAAAAGAACATGCAGCAGTATAGTTAAGATCCAAATCTCCAAGGTGCTTCACATGGACAACCCCAGCTTGTACCTCTTTAACGAGGTACAAGCTTTTGTGAGAATAAAAAATTCAGGAAACAGAGTGCAAACAGCGATAAGATTCACAGGATGTGGTGTGGAGTATCAGAAGCAGTTGCATAAACAGAAGTGCTGGTCTGAATGCATCCTTAGAAAGTTGTTTTGAAGTGGAAGGAGGGAAGGGTCTACATAAAATTCATTGTTATCAGGAGCTACTCCTGAAAATCCAGTAAGTCACGATTTACACACTAGAAAAAAATGTTAATTTTAAGCACTGCAAATTGAGAAAGTGCTGTGTTTGCCGAGGACAGCAGAAAGGTTGCACAGCCTGGTCTGGAAGTCAAAAGCATTTGTCTTGAGAAAGCTGAAAAAATAACTCATTTCCAAGGGGCAATGAACAATACTACAACAATGGATGTGGCCCCCACTTAATCCCTGCTTCCTTCCAAATCCCAGCAGCCTTTCTATGGAAGTCTGTTCATGCTTCCACCTGCCTTGCATATTAACTGTAGATTTATAGAGATTGCTTCTTGGACTGAAGAAACCATTCCTGTTAACAGCAGTCTTGCCTGGGCAATACAAAATATTGTGCAAAACAGCCAAATTAAACACTGCCTGGCACGACTGGCTTTACCACGAAGCCAATGGGATAGGGTGGCATCATTTTACCCTGTAGACAGGAGAAAGTATTTCCTTCCTTAATAGTTTATTTACTACTGCTGTTTGCTTGCTCCTCTCCTCCACCCCACCCCCCAGCTCTTCCATCAGCCAGTGCTTGTGTCACTTCAGGCAGGAGAGAACAAGCCAAATCAAACAGCCGAAGTAGCACATGAATCAGGCCACAGGCTGTTTCTCCATATTTGTGACATGGTAACTATGAGAAATGGAACCAGTAACTCATTCCACATTGGAAGCTACTTAAGTGAAGAGTGAGGGTTATGCCGACATTGTTAAAATTGGCTAAACTGTGTAGAAAGTTGCCTCACATAAACAGCTTCCTAAGTAGAATGGCACCCAGACTATTCCAGTGTTTTGATAGATGCTACCACGCTGCAGAAGTATGCATGCAACAAGAAGCAGGAACGGAACCACTGCAGTTACCTTGTATGCAATATATCAGAGGGGCGTTACTTCCTTGACTGTTTAGATTTAATCATCAGCTTTCACTTTTACAGAACTATATCTGAAACCTCAAATACAACTCTCTTACTAAGCATAAAAGCTACCTTCCAAGTATAACATGGGACAAGAGTGGCCAACCTATGAACACTCAGGTGTTGTTGGGCTGTAATTCCCATCATTGCTGATCAGTGGTTGGGCTAATGGGAGTTGAAGTCTAACAACATCTGGAGGATCACAGAGTTAGCCAACCTTGATTCAGGGACTGTAGAACAAATTGGCTTGGAAAAACCCAATAACTGTGCTTTGATGGTGTCAAAAGCTGCTGTGAGGTCAAGGAGAATTAACATTGCTACATTTCCCTCTCTCTCTCAATAGATGTCCATCATACAGGGTGATCAAAGCAGTTCCTGTGCCAAAACCGGACCTAAGCCCATTTGAAATGGATCTAGAAAGCCTGGATTTGATCCATGATTTCACCCCCTTCTTAACAGTATGCATTTTTTAAAAACTGGCTTGATGATCAGACTACTTTCAGAACAGAAAAGTACATTATTTCAACATTTCTGCAAAGTTGCTCTACAACCAACAATTTATCAGCTTCTTTGGATGATACTGGGGATGCACAAACAGAATCAATATATACAAACCACACAAATTTAAAGTAAAGAATCAATGAAATGGACAAATCCCTCCCTTACATCCCTTCAGAACAGAGTTGGCAGGAATTCCTTGCTTTTGGAGATTGCAGTCAGGGAAATAGCATATAATATCTATGTACAGTATGACCCCACAACAGTTGATAGTTTAGAAATGTTGCCATTTGTGTTTCCTACAAATTCACTTTAATGTGAAAATTGTTTCTCTTTGAGGAGCATATATACGATCCCTAGGATTTTTACAGACTGAGCATCTCCATGCTGTTTGGCCATATGTCTCATACTCATTTAACCTTAATCAACAGATGGGCATTTCTGGCAGATTAATGCCTATCTGCATAAATAGGGAACCATGTGTGAGGGATCACATTTGGAGAGAGGCCATAGCTTAAATGATAGAGCACATACCTTGGAAGCAGAAGCTCCCAGGATCAATCTGTCATATCCAACTGAAATATTCAGGTAGAAAGATCTTTGCCTGAGACCCTAGAAAGTTGCAGTCAGAGTAGGCAGTACTGGCTCACTAGATAAATATTCTGACTTGGAATCAGACAACATCCATGCACAATTCACTCTCAGCACCAACCTAGTCCAAATATTTCCATCCTTGTTCTTGGGACTATTTTATTTTATACACTGTAGGAGTTACCATCTGATATGTGTGCCTGTGGAAAATTCTGCTGTTTCTTATTTAAACCAGATCACCCAACTTCTGTCCAAGATGGAGGTGAAAGTTACTTAAGTGTTTTGTGTGTAAGACCAAACCTCTTAGTTCTTCCCTTTTAAAATTGGCTAGATATCTTGGTGGGGTTTTTTTTGGCTGCAACACTACTATTGTTTAGCATTATGTGCACAAACTGGAATAAGCCTTAGGCTTGTATAATCTCTCATCTCTCTCTGGCCATGGCAACAAGATCTGGAGCTGACACTTCTACTGTTAAAATAACCAGAGCCCCCTACTTGGAGGGACTCAGCAACAGCAACTAAGACACCATCCATTCTATGAGAATCAATGACCAAACAAGACAAATGAATGGTGTTGTATGGTGCTACACAAAATGGACCCATTTACCCTAAAACATTGCATACTGAGTTCATTTTAGTTCGCTAGAAACAGAGTAAAGTAGATACAACCCCCCCCCACCTTTATTGATTAAAGCAATCACCTTGTTAATTGGTAAGGCTCCAAAGTGGACAGTCCAGATGTAGAAGAGGGAAGGGTTTCTGCACCTTTAGCAGCAGTCATGCAAGTTACTCCTGCTGAAATTCCCTTTTCGGCACAACCAAGGTGCCCTAGTTTATCCCCTAATCCAAAGATGTAAAATGTTTCTCTCAAATTACAATAACAATTTCCCTCACAGATGAGGGAAGTAGACACTCCAGTTTTACCATACAGCTTACAAAAATTGGTTTTTTGTTTTGCTTATTGCAACAGCTGAACAGCAACCAAAAAGCACTTTGTATGTTGAATAAAATGTGTTTACACTAATGTATCTGATATGGGAAGCGTGTACAGTGGTACCTCGGGTTACATATGCTTCAGGCTACCTACGCTTCAGGTTACAGACTCCACTAACCCAGAAATAGTACCTCGGGTTAAGAACTTTGCTTCAGGATGAGAACAGAAATCGTGCTCCGGCGGTGCGGTGGCAGCAGGAGGCCCCATTAGCTAAAGTGGTGCTTCAGGTTAAGAACAGTTTCAGGTTAAGAACAGACCTCCAGAATGAATTAAGTTCTTAACCCGAGGTACCACTGTACTATATTCCTTTTTGTGGTAACCCAAAGCTTATCCCTGCTGTGACTGTGCATTTTCAGTTTCCAGGGCACAAGTCCAAGAGTGATCTCATTCAGAGCTCAACCACTTCTAATACAGAATATATGTTTGCACTAAGGACACATGCAAGAAAGAAGTATATTCACTCAGGTGGTTGATAATACTTTTTTAAAAAAAGCTTCCAAAAAACTGGTCACTGGTATTTTTTATTTTTTTAAAAAAGCTGTGCCTGGAGACAGATAATCAGGTTGTGTATCCATTGCAGTGACCAAAGGAGGAATGACTGCTGAGAGGAGAGCAGAAAGAAGGAAAGCCATTGTACACCTGCATCAGCACAACCAGACACCTTCATCTGCCCCAGCTGCAACAAAACATGTCTCTAGAGCCAAAACAGGTGCTGTGTAACTCTCCAATGGTTTGATTTCACCCCCAAAGGGACATTCTTCCATTGCCAACTCTAAAAACACAGATTGTCTATGTTCAAGAAAATATTTTCTTAGCTGCTAGGATGGTTAATAACACGAACTGTGAAATTCCTGGTTCAAATATAAGACCAGTCTACCTTTCACTGCTGTTGTAAGGAATATCAGGTCAATGTATGGGAATTGTTTTGTGTATTTATAGGGCAAAGCAATATGCAAAGGGTTAAGTATCTAGCTATATTAGCATATAACTAACATACTGTAAATTGGGTGGATTAGGACTTTTTTCAGGTTCTAAATAAATAGAGCATTTCACTCCAAACTTTAGGTTTTCATCAAACACAAGTACTGATGACATTTCTGATGGGAGAATGGCTACCGCAGTCTCTGATCTCCCACTGGTTTGAAAGCCGACTGTTTTGAGTTCAGAAAGTAAGACTCAATTGCAAGCTAGCAAAAAACATAACAAAAACATTTCCCCCAAAATACAAATACGTTATATTGCTAAATTTGAGAAAGGTTTTATTTATACACACAACGTTCCTTTAATATCATGCATGCTAGATTTTTAGTTTGCTGTAGATTGGTTAAAGAAGGTGCTTTTTATATGAACACTCCTATATTTTGATAGTGTTTAGCACAACTGAGATAAAATTATGATCACTACTTTTCCTAACAAGTAAACCAAAATTATCATGAGAATATTTTAATGCTAGCCAGTATCTCTCTAGCTGTACCACCTGAGGAACAACATAAATGCAGCCTGACATCCTTCACAGTGCATTTAAATACACTTAACCACTGCTAACACTTAAACACACTGTATTTTAGTAAAGTACCATAGAAATGAAGCTATTGAAACTGAGTTTTGGACGATGATTGTTTAAGAAAAAAATAATCATCAAAGCTGTTGGACAAGAAAGACACTGCAGTTCTAAAATCACAGCCCAAGTCTCCTGACTCCTAGTCCACTGCCTTATTGCCTGAATTACTCATTTTAGGCTGCTGTAATACTGCACTATGAAAATATCATTGCCAAAGCACTAACTGGAATTTTATCTAAAGGAAACATAAAACAACTGAAAAAGCTGATTGTTCATTCTGGTCCAGAATCTAGCTAATGCTGGGTGTTCCTGGTTAAATCCTCAGGGTATTATGTAATGCTTCCCATAGATCAGTTAGAAAAATGCAGGCATCTCAGAAATCGGCCACCAACGGAGCCCTGCAGAATCATCTTATCATTTCTCTTACAATCATGAGGGCAGAAGGGAATAAAAACTAAATAAATAAAACCAACCTCCACAATACTGCAGAATCATCTATGTGTTAGATCACAGATCAACACACACAATACCACCATACCTATGAACCACAGACTTGTGATTTTCATTTATTAACTGTGGTAATGTCAATAAATCTTGGCTGTGAGTCCTGGAAGATCTGCTCCTTTACGGGCCTAGAAAAGCAGGGTCCTGACTGACTCCACTTACAAAGGCTGAGGCTGCTGGAGAGACAATACTGGCTGTCTTAGTGGAGACCAAGGTCATCAAGCCTGAGGCCCTATTGGCAGTAACAGCAGAAATATATGTTGTATGTTTCTCTTGCCAACTATGCTGTTTCAAATGTGCAGTTTATTTGACTTCCTTTAGTAATGTTTTCTTTTGCTATGTTTAATTTTTTTTGTTAACTTTGCTGTGTTAAATGTGCATACTGTACATGGCCTCTTTTGTATTATTTTGAAACTTATAAAGAAATGTGATAAAGAAATGAAATGAAATGAATAATAAAAATAAATAAAAAAGCACTCTTACTCTTAAAAAAAACAAAAAACACCCACCAAGAGTTACTTCCTGTATTATTTTTCACATATGGGATGACTGTCAAATGTCAGTTCTGTGACTCTTGTATATACACATATATAGATTCAGAAAGTCTCAAAAGAATTCCAGTGTTATCGAGTTCGCGAATTAGTGACTTGTACTAATTAAAAAATGGTGATATGGAAGTAACTTGAGCAAGTCATCTCATGCCTGCAATAAAACATGAAAGAAACTCTATGTGACATCAGCTTGGAGGCAGAAGATGCAAAGTGTTACGCCAGTTTCAAGACAAAGTATTGGACGCAATTTAAACAGACCACCACAATGCAATATGAAATTGCATTACAATTACCGTACTAAAAACCTCACACTCATTAATACCCAGAAGTAACACAATATACCAATATTGCTATGCTGGCTACTCAGCCTAGCACACATGTGGTGCTGGTTCCCTACAACCATAGCTTGCATACAGTGGTACCCCGCAAGACGAATGCCTCGCAAGACAAAAAACTCGCTAGACGAAAGAGTTTTCCGTTTTTTGAGTCGTTCCGCAAGACGAATTTCCCTATGGGCTTGCTTCACAAGACGAAACGTCTTGCGAGTTCTTGCGAGTTTGTTTCCTTTTTCTTAAAGCTGCTAAGCCGCTAATAGCCGTGCTTCGCAAGACGAAAAACCGCAAGACGAAGAGACTCGCAGAACGGATTAATTTCGTCTTGCGAGGCACCACTGTATTAAGAATCAGTCTTGGGAACATTCACAATCCATCTCTTCCCAGTGTGAAATGCTGCCCTTCCCTCCATGGTTGTTCTATGTTTGCACCAACTGATCAGAGAAACGCAAGGGGAAGTTTTGCTCACAAAGGTGTAACTTTTGCTCATGTTTTTCTAAACAACGTAGCATCCTGCACCACAGAGTACATGGTGCTGTTTAAATTTCTTTGTATACATATAGGGGCTTGTTGGCTTGGGACTACTTGTTAAGACTAGTCAATATCCTAGTGTGTACAAAAAGAGCTCTATATCTTGGCAATGAGAGCAATATAGTATATTTCAAACAATGCTGTTATGTTATGGCTGCTAGAGAATTAGTATAATGGAGCTGTTAAACCCCAAACCAAAAACCAGTTCATCTTATACAAATTTATGTGTTAATTATTTATAACATTTATACCCTGCCCTTTCTTCCTTAGGAGCACAGGGCAACTTACACTAATAAGCAGCAAAACAACTAATCGTACCATAGGGTGCTCAACACTGGCTCTATTGTCAATTGCAGCTCCCCCATTTAGTAGGCACTGCGTATTACTTCAAAATGCAGTAAGCCAGCCCTGTTCATTTATCTGAGTGAGACCCTGGACTTCTTCCCCAAAATCGTTCCCTGATGGCACAACTGTGTGATTTGTGGTTCCACTTATCCCACACTTAGTCCTAGTAGTTACAACATGACTCTGAAAGATGTAGTTTGGTGACTACAGGCTTAGTCAACTATCTTGTTGCAGGCATTTTGGCACAGTATCAATCCTGCAATTTGGCAGCTTGTCATTTTAGATATCTTAGCTTAAATAGAGGAGTTACTGAGAATAGCTGTTCTGTATTAAACTACAAGGAGAATGTAGTTAGCCAGAATACAGTTGTGCTACCAAAGTTGGAGTTTAGCCAATACATCTTGTTGAAACATAATGAGATTTTTGAAGTTCAGTCAAACAACAGTATCACTTCTGCTGTAAATTCATTGTCCCAATATAAGAGATTACCATAGAATAGCTGAGTAGATTACAGTTTCTTACAGCAATTCAGCATCAAAGTGGATTAATAAACTCTACCTGGAACAGCCATACAAAATAAAATCATTAATAACCTTTGTTTTCCCCTCATTTTACCATGGGTATGTTGGGACACCAGAGCTTTAAAGCAGGCTATCACCCTATTAAAGAAAATAAATACTGGAACTGTTTTCAAATTGAAGGGCAGCATTTAAATTCATAAACTCAATTAAACACGTTAGAGTTAAGGACCAGGATGCTAAATTCTCTTAAAAAAACAACTGCTACTCTAAACTCTACAGTTTTCTTAGTCCTTGAGCTATGCTGACACTATGATAAACAGGGAGGAGCATGACACTAAGTAAGTTTTTTGAAGCACTCGAGCACGTCTGAATGTAAGTGATGACACAGACAATGAAATCTGAAGAGCCCACAATCCAAATTAGGTTTGTAAGACATTTGGTTTAGCTCATTTTTAAAATAATACTGGAATGGCAATCATATGACATAGTTTTTATGCTCCAAGGGTCCTCAGGGACTGAATGCAGATACAGGCAGTGTGCAAACCTGGCACATGGCATGTCTCTCTGCATGCAAGGAGGTCACTGCATTCTGTCTTACATGCACAAATACAGCTGGAGTGTGCTCTCCGTACATAGAGACTCGGAATTAAGCATTTTCTGCTATATTTTCCCTAGAATAGAATTACATTTTTGATCAGTATAAATCATTTGCTGTGAAAGCAGACACAAGTTCTATAAGTGATAAAGCAAAACTGAGCATCGTAAAAGCACAATGTGACTTAAGCATTTTGAAAACACAGAAGCTCCCACTCCCCCACCCAAGCCCAACGCTCTCCAGCACTCCACTATTTACCAAAGTCTGTTGCTGTGGAAACAAATCTACTGTAATAAATGACAGTTTTGAGAAGAGAAGGAAACACAGCCGAGTCCCATGACAGAAATGAATGACGTTATTGTAACCATTGATGTCTCGTGAGTTTATCACCCGCTTACATACATCAAAACAGATGCAAACACCCTCTAAATAATCTTTCACCAACATATGAAGACCTGATGACACACTTACTGTAAACTGCCCAGAGATGCTTAATTATTGGTGAGTATATAAATAGGGATGCGGGTGGCGCTGTGGGTTAAACCACAGAGCCTAGGACTTGCCGATCAGAAGGTCAGCGGTTCGAATCTGAATCAGGATTTTGAAAATCTGCCTTGAAAAATAATGGGAGGGGCTTTTCCCCCTAAAAAGCAGCAGCAGCTTACTTTAACATAACTGATTGGCTTGATTTGTCCCATTAACCTACTTTGTAGCATCCAAGTGAGATGCCCCAACATTGCACAAATATACTAAAAAAAGTAAATCCTATATAAAGACAAAGGTGGCTAATAAGTTCCCACTATTTCATCTTTAGGGACGCGGGTGGCGCTGTGGGTAAAACCTCAGTGCCTAGGACTTGCCAATTGTATGGTCGGCGGTTCGAATCCCCGCGGCAGGGTGAGCTCCCATCTTTCGGTCCCAGCTCCTGCCCACCTAGCAGTTCGAAAGCACTCCTAAGTGCAAGTAGATAAATAGGTACAGCTTTATAGCGGGAAGGTAAACAGCGTTTCCGTGTGCTGCGCTGGTGCTGGCTCGCCAGAGCAGCTTCGTCACGCTGGCCACGTGACCCGGAAGTGTCTCCGGACAGCGCTGGCCCCCGGCCTCTTAAGTGAGATGGGTGCACAACCCTAGAGTCGGACACGACTGGCCCGTATGGGCAGGGGTACCTTTACCTTTTAATTCATCTTTATTTTTAAATTTTTCCTATTGAAATCTACTATACAGTCTCACACATACACATATGGCATTTAACAGATATACTTTATGACTATAATTCTCTGAACATTATGAATGGGTAAGGGCAGTTTTACATAAGGCTCTCTAACCTCCCTCTAAGATCAGGCCCGAACCCTTAGGGATGCTCTTTTCAGTTGGCAAGAGAGGGAGAACTTTATGTATATAAATGCTGGGTCCAATCAAGTTCACTGGAATGTGACTTTTTCCATTACTAAGCCATGAAGTTATTGAGCTGGAACAGCTACAGAAATTGAACTTTTATGACATCAGAAAGCTTCAAACCTCAGAAAGTTGAGCGCTAAAAGTGGTGCTGGAAACAACAAAAGCTTGAATAAACTGCCAAACATAAAATAAACTAGTTTCTAAATGACAGTTGTTCTACTCAGAGTTCATAAATTTAGTATGATCAAAAGGAATTTCATGAAACAATCACCCTGAATGGGCCTTACTGAGACAAATGGCATTTGTCTGAAATGTTACCCTACCTCACCTACTAACAACTACTCAGATGCAAGTCCACTGAGTACAATGGGGTTTATAACCAAAGGATTACAGTGGTACCTCTGGCTACATACTTAATTCGTTCCGGAGGTCCGTTCTTAACCTGAAATTGTTCTTAACATGAAGCACCAGTTTAGCTAATGGGGCCTCCTGTTGCTGCCACGCCGCTGCCACGCGATTTCTGTTCTCATCCTGAAGCAAAGTTCTTAACCTGAGGTACACTTTCTGGGTTAGCGGAGTCTGTAACCTGAAGCGTATGTAACCTGAAGCGTATGTAACCCGAGGTACCACTGTATAGCTAAAGTGATGTACACCATTCAAAGGAAGGGGGGTATTGTAGTGCAGAAAGGGTTAAAGCGAAGGCCCAGCTGTTACACCATCCACAGCACCACTTGATAAAATTGTATCATGTTACTTGGTTAGAACAATGTGCTTCCAAGAACAAACTGTATTGTTCCTAAAATGTCTATTACAATAAGAAGTGATAGTTGCACAAGTGTGAAGAGCGACTTACTGGATAGTGCCTGTGACGTCATTGCACTATTTCTCTGTTACGGCAGCACCATATTGCCACATTAGGAGAATGCAGTTTTACTATATCACTCAAAGGAATTACCTCATGTAAGTCTTTCAAATAAATAGGAACACCTGCAAGGATACCCCATTCTGGTAACCTTTCCTCTTTGTAGATTTTTCTATTTAGTCCTTCCAATGTATTTTACCTCATGTCTTTTGTACAACAGTTGTTAGAGGATGAAAAATGTGAGCGTTCCTCTACTGTCCCACTCACCCCTACTTCCAACCTAGGAACAGGACATTATGCTGGGTAAAAGTTAGTGCTAATACAACCCTTTGTGTACGTATAAAAACACAAAGGAAATGATATAAGTATTAGGGGAGACCCTTGCTAACAAATTAAGTTTGCAAGTCCAACCTGAATATGGATATGGCACCTCCAAAAGAATCAGTGTTGGGATTCTATGTTTTGGGAGAATGTGCTTTTGCTGTTAAAGTCAGCCTTGTACTGGTGGCCACAGCCTAGTTATGACACAGTGAATACTACATAAAGGTATTGTAACAAGAACAGGAAATAAATTAGACTCACAAAAAAATATTTAAAATCGTGACCTGATCTCTCTAGAACTTGCATAAATCAATACAGCCTTTAGATTTTTTTTGCAGCTGGAAATGCCATAACAAACATCACCATGGGTACAATCATATGCCCACTTACCTGGCAGTAAACCCCTTTAACTCGATAGTTTTCCTTCTGAATGAACATGTATAGTATTGTTCTGCATATATGCCTTTCTTTAGGAATGCAATGCTTTTCTAGGAGTTGATGGCAGTTTTTTAGGCTGCAGTCTTATACTCATGGACACTGAGTTAGCTTAATGTACTAATTAAGACATACTTCTGAATGAAACATGCACAGGATTGAGCTACATTATCCACTTCATAATGAAATATGCACCGGTGACTCTGGTTTTCAGTTATTATAGCCTATTTAATTAAAAGCTCCTTATGTTTAAGAGCCAGTGTTAAAGTATCAGATGAACCAGATCCAGCAGATCAATTACCGTATGTCAAATGCAATCTCAAAGTCTATTTTGATAAAGCAACACTATTTCAGGTATTCACCATATAGTTGGATTAAACATACACACACACACTCAATTAAAGGGAAAGTATTTAAATATTCAAGTTGAAACTAGCAATATGAATTCAACTTTCATATATTTGCCAAAATTAAAGTGTCTCCAACAGCAACTGAACACATTTCTCCATAGCTCTAATAGTTTTCAAGCTTAGCTCTAACAATGGATTCACCATTTGTGCCACAACTAAGAACTATTTCAAGCAGCACAGCAAAGCACACTAGCAATAGTTGTGGCTTCCAGGCACAGGTGTACCTGGCACACCACAAAAAGTGTGATGAGCCCTAACTCTGGCCAACAGGGGGAGCAGCAAGAAACTAGCCAGACAGGTTCCTGAATGCCAACAGGCTTGACCACAGCAGGTCATGACAAAGCCTGATATTATATGACCTTGCAGGTCAGGTACACTTCTTTGATTTAAGCAGAGCAACTCAGCTTCCTGCCTTATATTTCCCACTCTCAGCTTTTCCCAATACCCATATCATCTCCAATGACTCTGTAGGAACCTGACATGACAAAATATCATTATTATAGTATTGTCCCAGGAGATCTTTTGGTTTGGAATCACGCTATACAAGCTAGCTCATGTCATCATACTTCATCCCAACATTTAGTATGATGGGAGGAGTTCTTTTTCCAATTCCTTCAAAATCCTTAACATCCCAAGTCTTTATGTAGCTTTACTGTTACACCTGAAACTAATAAAAAACTATTTCTAGGTTGTTGGATAACTTTTATATTTGTGCCTCATCTTTCCATTCATACAGGGCTCACAAGGCAATAGTAAACAGACATCTGTATCAGGCTAAGAAACATGATTTCCTTTACAATTGCTTAGCACTTAAAGGAACCATAAAATAATCCTTTGGGATCATTACTCTTTCTAAGCACATTTACTTGAAAATTTAAATTACTTCCAAATAAATGTGAATAAGAGGGAAAGCCAAAGTGGTGCATGTGAATACACAAGCATGCACACAAACCTCAAAGGAAAAAGTTCAAGTCAATCAGAATAGGGTTTTTTAAAAAAAAAAAAAAAGATAAATAATTTGGAATTAGCTTAGAAAAGCACTGGCTGGAAACTGTTTCCTTATAGAAAAATGAAAAGGTAAGAGACATATTGTTGTCGTGAAACTGTAGTAAATTACTGTATTCCTTTATTCACCAGTGTTATATACAAATATCCTTTGTATATACACAAGAGTTTGCCACTAAGAATGATATGAAATATAAGAAGTATAATAGTTGTGGAAATATATGCTCACCAATTATTACTACAAATTAGGGGGGGATATAATGGGAAACATGAGCAAAATAAAATGGTAGCAGACAAATATTTTCTGCCACCAGTTGCTAAATGTGGTATATAACAGAATACATTAACTCTTTCCTGCCTCACCTCCTTCTGTTCCATTAGTGTGAGAGTTTATGACCTATATATTCAGTGTATAATTGGGGTATATGAGGGGATAAAGGAGGGGTAGTAGAGATAAGTGGATACAGACTTGCAGCTTAAGAATGTTCACTCAGAACTATCCACTGAGTTCAATCATATTTACGCTTTAGTAAGTATGTTAAGACTGCAGCCTTCTAACTTATGCATCTTTACCTAAAAGTAAGTTTCACTGACTTCAATTAGACAAAATCCTAAATAAGTGTGCACATAATTGCAACTGTGCAGAGCCTATCCTATTCATGTTTGTTGAGATAACCTACTGAGTTCAATGGAATATACAGTACACCCAAGTAACTGTGCATAGGAAAAGCAGCCTTACACAGCAATACTCAGAAAGAAAAAGTCTCACTGTTTTCAGTGCCATCTATTTCCCAAAAGTGTGCAAAGTTACGCACAAGATTCAGATATTGGTGATCCTTCTATAACGTCCCTGCATTCTCTTCTTTTGAATCATTCAAACAATCCATCAGAGCCAACCTATAATTATCATCTAAAACACCTGTAGGTGACCGATATAAATTAAATACTTCCTGTAATTTTGTTAACTATGAATTATTTGAATATTTTGAATGACTTTACATCCTGATATTAAATAAATGGAAGTAAGTCCTTGCAACATGATAGTTGTGAATGTGATCCTGATTAATGTGCATGCCAGATACATGCATGCACCCAAGGTAAAAATGAAAAACGCCAAAGGAACAGTCTCTTCTACGAGCAGATATAACTTCACTGGATGACTGCTAGTGTTTTTAGGAGCAGCATTTTATCAAACCTCATTCCAAAATACCAAGGCTGCAATCATATGCATGCATACTTCAGTTGGAAATGTATCTCATTGAACTCAATGGGAGTTCAAATGGCCTGGTCTACATGTCACATGAAAACCATAGTCAAAAACAAAATATGGTTTAATGTGAATGTGCAGTATGCTTTAAAAATTCTTGCTCCACTCCAATGTTTGAAACATAGATATATAAGCTAGGGGCCAAATGGCACCTTTAATCAAGGTTACAGTTGCCAAAATGGAATGTCTAGTTGCCATTTTGGGGCAAGATGGCTCTAAAGTCTTATTTTTCAAATGATGAACTGACTGTGGTTGATTATCAGTTAAACATCTCCTCCATTAGCTTGAACAGCTCCAAGTCTTGGCTTTCCCAAGTGAAGGCAGGCTGCACAAGCAGGAGGAGTGAGAGCAGCAGGGGCCGGTGCAGCCCTGCCACAGGGATCAGGCGATGGGGCAAACGGGCAGATGAGCAGCTGGCCTCCAAGCTGGGCTCAGCACAGCTGCTTGTAGCAGGACCCCAGCCCTGCCTCACATAGATGGAAAAATGTGGAGTGGTACATAATGCTTTACAAAAGATGCAGTCTTCTGCTGCTACGCAACTGCGGAAATCAGCTGGCTTGCAGAAGAAGAGACTGCCCTTCCGCTGAAGCATTATGGTGTGAACCAGGTGACTTGCGCCATAGAATGGCAGCAAAAAAACCCGCTGCTGTGCACCAGCCTGCCAGATGGTGGAGATATCGTGCGCCATCCTGGTGCCCAGGTATCTTCACTTGGTCGCAAGTGGCCGAAAGCCAAGCGCAAAAAATTCCTGGGGAATTTTGAACATGGCTCCACTCCTGCTGTATCACCAGGAAACAAGTGACTCTCTGGCTTGCTGTGATGCCTGAACATGGGTTTGTGGTTTGTTTTCCCCAAACACATAATTGAGAAGTAAAGTAAGCCAAGATTCACACGTCACAACAAGCCAGGCTGTCTTGTTTTCCAATGGGTCAGCAGCAGACAAGCAAAGGGAGAACTTTTGAGCCGTGTGCACCTTGCTTTTTTACATTAAACCATTGTTTGTTTTTAACTATGATTTAATGTGCTAAGCTTACCAGGCTTATGTTTGAGATGAGGGTGCAAGTCACATTTCAAGATTCAGTGCTTGCTAAGAAAACATCTCATATCCTGTAAAAAATAAAGTGATGGGGGCGGGGGGAGAATCAAGACTTCCTTTATCTTAAATAAAATATGGAAATATAATTGCTTGGAATCCAAGCCTTATATCTTCATAAAATACTTCATTCTGTTTACAGCTGTTCTAATACCGAGGAATAAATCTAGATTAATGCACTCTTAGATGTAAATCAATGAGACAAAAATAATTTATTGTTTCTCCAAAACAAAAATAAGTGTGTTTTTCTGGCTATAAAATGAATGCAAATACAGATTAAAATTTCTTCATATATTTTGACATCAGCAAAAATATTAATGAAAACCGTAAAAAGCTAATAATCCCAATTCTAAAACTTGCAAATTCATAACAGAGAGGACACAAGGGAAAGAGAATAAGAGAAACACCCAGGAGGAAAATGTCATTGCCCTGGCCTGCTGTCAATCACACTTGGGAGAAATAGGATCTATTGCCATAAGAAAGTTCAAAATTAATGATTGGAGTTACTGCTTTTGCATATAATGAAAGACAGAATAAAGAAACTGAGACAAAGATACTGTGTCTGTGTGTGTGTGTGTGTGTGTGTGTGTGTGTACAGTCTTCGCCTTAACAAGGTAATGAGACAAGAACAACACCAGACAGTGATGTCACCGCATGAAGAAACAAAGGAAGCTGCACAAGCTGAAAAACTAGAACCCCTGTTCTGTGGCCTAAATGAAGAGACTATATCTGAAATCATCATTTTAAAATGTCATAATTAAATTATCAGGTCCAGAAAAACAGTGTCATCAATTACGTGTGAAACATGCTTACACAGAGGTAATCCCAACTGAAATTTGGAGCTTGCTTCCAAGTAGAAATGGTTACAATCTGTTTTATTCAACCCAAGATGTAGTTCTGTTTTATTTTTGTTGCTGTTATTTATATTTTGCCCAGTACAGTGTTCCAAGCTCACTTCTGAAAGCTGTTTTCTATATATCTGCCTTTTAAAAAGGGAGCTTGGCATATTAAAAGACAAACACAGCAGCATTTTAACGCTGAAAATCAGACAAGAGAGGCACAGAAGAAGAAACAAAGAAAGTCTCCCCCATCAGGCTGAAAGCAAGAGGTTCAGCTTCGAGAGAGGTCTGGCCAGTTGTCAAATTTCAAACCTCAGGAGTAGAATAAGCACTGGGGGTGGGCAAGGTGGGGGCAGAAGGGAGGCCCCCAATTTCTGACATTCAACTCATGAGGTATAAGTATGTTGGTTAATATCGATTCATAGCCGCTGCATAAATGACACAAGTATGAGGGATTTTCATTTAAAAAACAAAACAACAACACCCCCAACAAAACTGTGTACATCCACACAAATATCAATAAATGAAGCCTCTCCCCACCAGGTTGTCCTGTGTTTTGGGGGGTTTTTTTGTAGCCTTCCCGTCCACCTTTTATATTCCTCTCCTTCCCCACCCCGCAACCCCAGCCCCGGGTTTGCCCGTCTGACACGCACAGCCGTTCTCACGACGACTCCAACCTCCTCTCAATTTGTTGTGTTTTCCCCCTGCCCTTCTCCTCACCCCCCAACACACGGTACCTGATATGGCGGCGGCGGCTCCTGATCCGGCTCAGTCCCATCCCCATAGCTGGCCCTGTCCGACTGGGACTCGTGCAGCAGGGAGATGTCATCCGAGGTGGGGGATTTCAGGCAATTCCCCATCTTCCCCAAAGGGAAGTGGGGGCTCTCCTCCTCCTCAGAGACACAATGGCAGCTCCAGGCGACGGCTTTCCTCCGGCCTCCCCTCAGCAGCAGCAGGAGCCCAGCTCAGGAAGCTCATGCCAGCCTGCCAGCCTGCATAAGCAGCTTAGCCCCGAGTCGGTTCGCCCCAGGGACCCGCTGCCTGCCTGCCCGCCCGCCTCCCCCTCTTCCTCGCCGCACTCCGGCGTAGAAATGGCAGCGGGGTTGGGAAGGGAGAGCGGTCTTAGCCCTCGGCCGCCATCAGGGCCTCGGCAAGGGGCTTGCTTAGCCCTCCGGCGGGGGAACGGGCAGGGGAAGCGGCGTCGGCGGCGTCCAGGTATATACACAGAGCCCGTCTCCTCCCTCAGCCCCAAGCGCGGTTCTTCTTCCTGGTCACCAGCCTTCTGCGCACTGAGCTTTTGTCAGGCAGGCCTCTCGCTCCGGAGCTCCTCCCTCTCCCCTCCCTCCTCCTCTCGCCCTGATGTCTACAGGCCCGGCTTCTCTCGCTGCGCGCCTGGCCCCCACCTTCCCCTCCGAGCCAAAGGGAGAAACAAGCACCTTCAGGATCTGCGGCGGCGTTGAAACCAGCGGCTTTTTCCCTTCGCCAAAGGAGGCATTTTGTCCCGACATGCTTCCCGTATTAAGTTCCCGTCAGATTACGCGTTTCGTTCTAAAAGGAGGTCTCCCCCCCCCCGACACAGCTGTAGCACTTTTGTCTGGAAGGTGTAACATTGCATCCCCTCAGATAAGAAGCAGCTGACAACCTTTCTACGTTAAGACCGTAGTTTTAATTCAGGGCAACTGTAGGGAGCCCGATCCTATGTATATACTTCCTGAGAAATCCCAAAGACTTGCTGCCTGATAAGTATGCTGGAGATGACAGCGTTAAGATAACATGTTGGCTACTTCCCCATTGCGCTGACAAGTGTGGTTTCTCCCACTGTGTTGTGGGGTGCATATTCTAATTCAGACTGGTAATGGCGAGCATAAAACCAAGAGGCAACAATGGTTTTGTATTAACTATTAAAAAACAACACTAGTGTTCACAACAACAAAAAATTGTGAGACACCAGAAATTATTCTCCAGCTTTGTTAATATTGTTGTAGGTTGGCAGGGAGCAGATTTCCCTAAATGGCTGAGTGCCAGATCTTCCCCATAATTCCTGAATTTAGTAAAAGTCAGAATTAATCAAGGTTTGGTTAAACTTTGCCAAACATGGACACCCTCTGGATTTAGTTATGCTAACGAGCCAAGGCAGCTCTGCAGAGCTAGCTGGATGGGCCATTAGTAGTGGACAAAACTATCAGAGGGCAAAACTGCCCTCTGCCAGGTGAGGGAGAGTAGGACCTCTTTGCTGGGTGCTAGTGGCCAAAGGCAAAGGCCAAGTTTAGAGTTTCAACTCTGAATGATATTGGCTCTGAAGGAGGCCTTGAGTCTGTAAGCAGGGAGGAGAAGGAGGGGCAGAACTCCATGTGATCTGGGAATGACAGTCAGGAGAAGCGATACACAGAGCAAGGCTTTTTGCTGTTCTTTGAATCAAACGCTGCACTTATGAAGGCCGGACCTGCTTGGAATGTGAATTCTCACAAATTAGACCTTCATCTGGGTTTAAGTTGTATATATGTACAAATAAACTCTATATCATAAATATGCCAATCTCCACTGTGTCTTCTTCCCAAAGGAAACACAAACCCTGAGTAAATGCCTAGAATCCCTGAAGTGCACCACTCAGCAGAGATTGGGGTGGTTTTGACCTATAAAGCCTTATGTGACTCACAACCTCAGCACCTGAAGGATAGCCTCTCTCACATGAACCAACATGAACCCTGCGTTCTTTACCTGAGGCCCTTCTCCTTGTGCCCCCTCTGAGGGAGGTGCAGAGGGTGGGAACACAAGGATGGGCCTTCTCAGTAGTGGGTCTCTGTTTATGGAATGCTGCCCCCAGAGAGGGAGGCCTAGCAGCAGCACTGTTTTTAAACACCAAGCAAAAACATTCTTATTCACCCAGGCCTCTGGATTGTCACAAGCCAGTGGGACCAGGGTGGGCTTTTTGAGGAGTGGTCAGATCATTGCCTCTTTCAGGATGGCCAGGACCACTCTCTCCTGCAAGGATACATGGATTTACCCCTGGACTCATCTGGTTATACCATTTCAGCAAGTTCTAGCAAGGCAAGGTGGCAAGGGGCAAGAAGACACATCTGCCACATTGTCCTAAGCACCTTGTCTGCACCGGTAGGCTGCATCCACCAAAACTGATCCCATAATGTTGCAACAGACATTGCACCTCAGTTGAGACTGCAGTGGACGTGGCATCAATATTGCTGTAGAGGTGACTTTAGCCTTGAAGTGCCTTGCAAAGTATTCACAGTGGGTTTCCGAAGAGTCTAAAACTTTATTCCCTGGAGTAGGTGTTAATAGACTTTTAGCAGGCTGGCTACTATCTTTGAAACTGGGAGGCAATCCACTATTGCTAGTAGGATTTAAAAAAAATGGCTTCAGACTTCTGGGGTGGCGCCATCGGCAATGGCGGACTCCCTCTGATCTGGAAGGACTAGCTCCACGCGAAACGGGTCTTTTCCGCTACGGCGAAGCAGGGACCCTTTCAAAAATCACAGGCGGATGAAGCCTGTGACCATGGGACTCGGCAGGCACCTTTAGCGCCCCCCCAACCCGCAAAAGAACCCACTAACGGGCTCTGGAGCGAAGAGGGGGAAGTGGCGCGGTGCTGAGAGTCAACTGCTTCTTCCGTGGAGCGAAGCCGCACAGCCGTTGCCGGAGAGCGCTGCCTTTTTCCTGGGACAATTTGGCTTCTAAAATAATCACCCGTGAGTACATAAATTCGGACAATTGGACTTTAAATAAGGACTTGTGAGCAGAAAGGAAAATTGGACTTAAAAGTTTACCTCAATTTGGCACTGAAACGGGAAGGTCTAAACAGGAAGTCAGCCTTCTGTTTCTTTGTAGATAGATCAAAGCAAAGACATGGCAAACTAGAGCCCAGAAAATCGCTTGTAAAAGATTAACTTTCATCATTTAAAATTGTTGAACCCCTTCGGAAGCAGGTGAAGAGGGGGGATTTTTTCGGACTGTTTAAATCTACAGAAGTGAGTCTAAAGTAAAGTAACTTTCCACTGTCCTGATCCTGGAGCGGGGTGTCAGGACTGACGTTCTTTTTTTTTGAAGCTCATTGACCAGAGACAAACGTTTTTGACAGATAGCTATAAGAAGAGAAACATTGATTCCATTGTTCCCCTTCGCATTTTAAAGGAACAAATATTGACAAAATATCTGAAAAAGGAAACTTTGTTGTTAGACTTGTTTTTAAAAGAAAGAACAAATAGAAATTTTCCCCCTAGAGGGAGACTGTGAAACTGTAACCAACTACGGGGAGCTTGCAGCTGTTACAGATTACAATCGTGGGAATAGACTTCTGACCTTGCAGGACAATGTATTTGGAAGCTCTGTTGTGTGCTTTCTCTAAAACAAATGCCCTACTGGAACAGCTACATGAGAAGACGGATTTGATGACTGATGCGATCAGAAATTTTGAACAGGCAGTGGGAAATTATATGGAGCCCACTCAGGAATTAAATCAGGAGTGTGCCCTGACGGATCAGATGAGGGAAGAGGATGCTGCTGAATCTTGGGCGCCAGAGACGGAGGGAGCTGTGGCCCAGCAGGAACATGAGCTTTTGGATTTGACAAATGAATTTAAAAAAAGCATCATAAAAACTTAAGCTGGTCATCTCAGTGGAGGTATTAGTACCAGTCATCTGCAAAATAAGGATTATAATATAATATATAATAAGGTTATGTAGTGCTAAAAAATAACCCACCCATATTTCTACTACCATAAGCCAGGTGGTAAAAAGACAGGAATTCAAAATTGTGCCTACTCTTTATAGATCAATTCTGAGACTATAGCAAAAGGCCACCTTAAGCCCCATAAAATATATTTATAAGCAATTTTAAGGAGAAGGGAATCATATTTTGCCTGCAGTATGTCATCAAAGTTTCAGACTGACTGTCCAGAAGAAAGGAACTGTCTGAGAAATGACAAAAAACAAGGGGCCTGTTCGTTCGTCAGAGATCACAGGATGAGACAAAAGACAAGGGGCTTGTTCATTTGTCAGAGATCACAGCATGAAGGGAGATCACCATGCTGAGATTCAACATTGTTAGTTTGTGGCCAAGGTGGTTGTTAGGGCTGTTGTGGGTTGTCTTACTCACCCTCTCCAACAGCCCCGCAATCTCCAAGAATTAAAAGTCTACCCTGCAAGAGGCTTGACATGCCTCCATCTGATCACAGATCCCCTATCCAGCTGAACATATACATTTTCTACTTCCCATGTGAGAGGGCAAGATTTCAGCAATCCATTTGATTACTTCATATGACTATGATATGGCACTGTGGACGAAGGCTGGCACAACAAAACTGACAACACTTTGCACCACAAGTTAGTACATAGATGGAATGCACAAGCCTACCAAAGTCAGTAGGAACACAATATTCTTCCCCCTTGTGTTAATTTAACATGGTGACCACAAAAATATTAACTCAAAAACATGAGTAATTGTTGAACTTCAACAAGTATCGCAGTGACCTTGTGAAAATTCTATGTAATGAACAGCACAGGTAAAGATGGCACAGTATCATACACAGGTATCTGTGATTCACCAAGGAAAGGGAAAGAGACAAAAAAAAAAAAAAACCAGCGAGAAAAGAAGCACTGAAGCAAAAATAAAGTTCTCAGACCATGTGCAACCTGTGGAGCAGCAGCAATTTGCCAGCACCAGACTTCCACTGGGCCACTGCTGCCACACATACCGTAAGTTGATGTACCATCATGATTTGTGTTTTGAACCAGAGTGTGTTTTGAACCAGAGTGTGTTTTGAACCAGAGTGTGTTTTGAACCAGAGTGTGTTTTGAACCAGAATGCCACTGGTTCATGTCTCATGGCCTCATCCTGGTGGCCTTGAACTTCCTAGGTAGCTTTAAGCAAGTCACTATTCTCTCTCAGTATATTTCCAATATGACAATACTAAAATAATAACACCTTTATTGTCATTGTACAGCCTATGTACAATGAAATTAAATGAGCCTTCCCCCCCCCAAACACTCAATCTCTTATCGAACAACACACCACCTCGCAAATCAATTTCACTATGTTATTTTCCGTTCAACAGCCTAACAGCCCACGGATAGAAGCTATTTTTTAGCCTGTTGGTATGGCTGATTATACTTCTATATCTCCTGCCCGAGGGTAGAAGATTAAAGAGGTGATGGCCGGGGTGTGAGTCATCCCTGATAATTTTTCTCGCTCTCCTAAGGCAACGATCCCTTGCGATGTCATCTAGCGGACTCAAGGGACAGCCCATGATATCATGTGCTGTATTCACCACCCTCTGTAGAGACTTTCTGTCCGTGGCTGTCAGGCCAGCATACCACAGTGTGATACAATATGAAAG